TTAAGCTTACCTATTAACTAGGTTTAGCTAATATAGTAGCTAACGCGTTATTATAAAAGTAAGAAGAGCTTAAGACTTAAAAGAAAAAAGATTACGCTGCCTATATAAGAGCTTTTCTAAGTAAGAAGTAAATTAGCCTTTTAGCTATTAAGTAATTATTAGATAAGTTATTAGTTCTAGCTATCTAGAGATTAGCTAGTAGTGCTATAGAAATTACTGCTGCTAATATGTTTATAGAGGTGCTCTCTACTAAGAATCTATATACTATAATTAATTAGGTTATTATAGCTAACTAATTAGACAACTCTCTATAGCTAGCTTAAGAAAAAGCTACTATATTAGGCTTCTCCTAGAAAATAGAAGACGGCTTATTAACCTATTAGAATTAATTAATAGTTTCTACTATTAACTACCTATAAACGTATTTAATACGCGCTATATATACTACTTAGGTAACTACCTACCTAGAATAAAGAAAAACTACCTAGTTACTATAAGATTAATATTACTAGCTAGATATATAAGAAGATATTAATACGTACGTAGTAGTATATAAGGCTTACTACTAGAGCTATACTCTATAGAATAAGACGCTAGGTCTTCTAAAGCCTCTACCTATCTCTAAGAAGACTTAGTAGAACGTCTCTATAAATTTTAAAAGCTTCTCTCTAGATAAGAAAGAATTTAACTACGTATATGTTATTATAGACTAGCTAAGTAAGTAGAGCTTCTCTCTACTCTACTATAAGAAAATTATAGCTTAGCGTACTATAGAGCTATATTACTAATATATCTAGTGTATATATAGTTCTTCTAGATTTATTATATTAGATTATAGTCTATAGTTTACCTCTACCTTTATAGATAAGCTCTATTAGTTTATAGAAATTAAGTAGAAGCTCTCTACTACGTACTACTCGTAAACTAATAGAAATATAGAGATTATTAATTAATATCTTAATTAGCGTCTACGTCTATTTATTAACTATTACTAGAATAATTAGTTAGACCTTCTACTCTATATAGACTAGATATAAGCTACATTACTATATAAAACTATAGAACTAATAGTATATAAAATTAAATTTAAATATAAGCTAATATACTACTAGAACTAGAAGAAACGTATAATAAAAGCCTCTACTCTACGTAAGTGTCTATTACGCTAGAAAGCTTAGAATTTTGCTAAGAAGTAATATAACGCCGTAGAAAAAGCTACTAAAATTGCACAAGGTAATATTGCGAAAGCGTAAGCTAGGCAGGCGCTCTAAGTAAATAAAAAACGCTAAGAACCTAATTTCGCGGTAGGCAACCTTATCTATATTAAATCTTATAGCTTTTTAATAAATTAGTCTAGTATAAAGCTTAATTAATAGATATATAGCTTTTACCTAATTATTACTATAAAGAGTTACTTTTTCTAACTCTAGCTATCTATATATATACGTATATATAACGTCTTTTATACTAATTAGCTATAGAAAGCCTTAGAGCTATTACTAGAGTAGGTAGAGCCTAAGTAGCTATCTATTAAAGTAGATAGTAATCTAGAATAGCCTATATATAAAATTCTAGATAGCTATCTTTATTAAAATTATCTTTAATACTACGCTATATAGGTTACTTATAACTCTAACTCTACCTAGTATAATACTATAGACTTTATTAATACTCTCTATAAGGTAAGAGACTTTTACGTAGTATACCTAGATAAGCTAGAGCTACTATTATAATTAGATACTTAGATTAAGGCGTATAAAAAAGAGAAGACTCTAGAGAAGATAGTAGAGAATTTAAAACCTATAAGAGTAGAAGACGTAATAGTAACGTAAAGGCGCTGCTAAGTAATTTAGAACTCTACTAAGCTTAGAGTATTATTTAAGAAGAGAGTCTATAATAAAGCCGCCCTATAAACGTAGAAATAAGCCTTCTAGCTTAAATCTCTATAAAGATAGAGTAACTAGAAGAAAGGTAGTAGCTATAAAAGTGCTTTTAGTTTAAAACTAACATAAATACACTTACTATAAGCTAAAAGAGATAGTTAAGAGTATAACGCGGGAGTTTTAGAAGAAGAGAAACCTAGAAGGCGTATTTTAGAGCTTAGAAACAAGCTCTCTCTATAAGAGAGAGTAATATAATAGTCTAGTTTAGAATTTACCTTAGGTTATATAACCTTAGGTTACGTAATTCTATTACGTAACCTAGCCTAGCGCCTTAGCGCTCGGCACCTCTATATATAGAGCCTCTTAAAGCATTCTTCTACTTCTTACCTTTAGATAGCTAAATTTAACCTAACCTACTCTGCTAGCACCTCTTATTTTTATAGCTTGTAGAGACAGTGCTGCCTGCAGCCAACTTACCTAGCTAGGTGTTCTAGGGGCGCTTATAGTAGTAGAGACCGCGAACCTAGCTCTTACAAGAAGAAAACTCTAGAAAGATTTTTTTAAAATTCTATCTCTTATTGCGCTATACCTAGAAAAGCTAGCGGTATAGAAGTTTTCTAGAAATCTTTATTACGTTATAGATACTATATACTATAAGTTTTATATATTATTATAGAGATATAATAGTACTTACTAGAAGAAAACTAGATTTTTTCTTAAAAGTTACTTAAATACGTATAGCTTTTTAATTACGTAATATATCTTAGTGTAACTTTACTATAAGGTATAATATACTATAGAGAATATATATATAAATTTTTATAGAAAAATATTAAGGTTTTGCTTAGTTATTTAAGAAAAACAGGTTAATTTTCGTTGATTTTCGTTGCTAAGAGAAGGTGACACGTTCGCTTGTGTGACACGTTCGCTTGTAAAGTACGTTACTTATTAATTTTCTTATACTTAGCATTTTTAGAAGGTTTACTTGTGTAAGGAGTTCGCTTGTGTAGGAAGTTCGCTTGTGTGGGGAGTTCGCTTGTGTGGGGAGTTCGCTTGTATGAGGAGTTCGCTTGTGTGGAGAGTTCGCTTGTGTAGAGAGTTCGCTTGTGTGGAGGATTCGCTTGTAAAGTACGTTATAATACTCTAGAGGCTTTACTTTATTCTAAGGCGTAGTATATAATTTAGTAATATGTCTAGATATAGAGCTACGCTAGATATCTAAGCTTTTTCCCTCCTCCTCTCCCGGTAGCAAGATCTCATGACCGCTTCCATTTCTTACCCAAAAACTAGCGACGCACCCCCATGCGCTTATCGCAGCCACAATCCACCAACTGAGGCCTACGATCTCCTTCTTCAGCCCGATGCTATACCAGTAGCCACTCGCTACCGGTCCAATGGTTCGAAAGGCTGAACTCACGCTCTGGCCAACGCCGTGTATCGTACCGAGAACGCTAGGGTGGGGCGACGCGTTGTTGACGAGGATGATAGAGGCTGGCAGGGCGAATGTGCGGGCGGTGACTTGCAGAGTGAGTACTAGTGATATGGCGACCCAGATGAGAGTGCCGGATGCTGGAAGAGGCGCCGGTGTGGTGGAAGGCAGGAGAGCGAGGTATGGCGCCAGCGCATAGGCCAGCGGGAAGAGGATAAGGGAGTACCGGAAGCATCGCATCAGCCCGAATTTGCCATTGGCCCAGGGATACAGGAGGATTTGCAGACATAGCCCCACGATGCCAAGGACCGCCAATGATGTACCCAGCAAAGTGGGCTGGAATCCAAGACCACCCGTAAAGCGGAAAGGGGTGCGTTTGACGAGTTTGTCCCATGCTTGAGCGGGCGACAATCCTCGTGGCCGTGAAGTCGAGAGGAAGATGATCCACAGACCGGAAAATGCACCCATGTGGAAGTCGAATATGGCAACGCTCAACAACGTCCATAGGACGTTAGATGTCCAGATCCGGCGAAAGGGCAGACGTTGAACGGGCCGGGAATGGGGTGTCGTATTGGTGGGCTTCTCCGGAAAAGACCGCCTTGGGAGAGAGGATAGCTGATGACTGGCCTCGAACTGCTCAAGAGATGCATAATCTGGTCGGTTCCGCAGCACGGAGAAAATACCCTTGCACATGTCCCGAAGCTGTTCGGACAGCGTTCGGACACGATCTTTTGAGGGTAATGTTTCGTGCAAGAATGAAACCACCAAGCCAGCTTCGATAAAAAGTAGTACGGCGCAGAGGACGCTCGGGGTTGCGTACGGATATGCCTTGATCCATCGCTTTGGGGCTCCATCGTATCCTTCGAACATCGACGGGTGACTTGCTACAGGATTGACCAATAGGCCGCCAACCACTACAGTAGACGTCAGCCAACCTAGTCGAGCAGCCAGAGATCAGGTGGGATTGGGCACTCACCAGGGCCTAGGATATTTGCGACATTGAAGGCGATGGGAAGCAGTAAGAAAGCCCTACTATGCCACCTCTTGTCAACCGACTCTGCGACCATGGTCCTCGCTGCACCAACGGTCCCGTTCACGGCACCCCCCACTAGCCGCCAAACAGCAGCCTGCCAAAATGTGCGACTGAAGCCCACACCTATACACGAGATACCCGTCCCAACCAACCCTATGAGTAGCACATTCTTACGGCCCATGGCCGGAGAGTCGGCAGCGCGACCCCAGAGTATTGAGGTGATAATCTGCGCAGCTGTGAATGAGCCCTGTAAGATGCCTGCCTGGTGGGAGATGGTAGACTCGGGGAGCGTAGCGTCGAAAGAGCGAAGCTGCTGGACCATGTACGATTGGAGAGACGCCATCTGCCAAAAGTCGACGAGCCGTGAGAGCGCGAGAATGAGCAGTTGCAGTTTGTTTGGCATGTTACCCCATGACGGTTCTGGCTGCTTGACCGGAGTCGCCGGCGGCGTGTTCTCTTCATCATGTGGCGCGCAGGGGCCGCCGTTCTGCGTGAAATACGGGTACGAATCACGACGCTGGTGCAGCGATGTCCGTGATATAGGATCCGTCGCAGTGCTGTTCTGGCGAGCGTGGAATTTATTGAGAATCATCCTGTAATGAGACAGTCCTCGGGCCCGAAGTCGAAGGGCCGACTGTGTTAAAACGGCAAGCCTTCAGGAAAGGCGTGCCTGTACCGAGCAGAAATATAGTCTTGTAGGGGCGGGAGTAGAAAGATGAACCAGAGCGTGGTTAGAGTTAAAGCAAAGACAACTGGTAGATACGAAATAGAGGTGTCGTCGAGATGTAGAATTCGAAGCATGAGGGACAAGGGCTGAATATTGTTCAGTCGTTCGAGAATAAGAGATAAAAGAGGTGACCAACACCAGCCCGGCGCGAACGCTTCAGTCGATCCACCAAGACCGCGTTGGAAATAGCTGCAAGAGTAAAGTCGTGTCGTGGATAGACGCGCACAACGGCGCGCCCCAAGAGACGTCATGCACACACGCAAGGAAGTGGGTCTCCAGCACGTCGGCCGACCCTGTCGTGCTTGTGTCTGGAGAAGATTGAAGGTCTTGTTTGATAGACAGGGATTTAATGTTAGCGTCAGCCAGTCGTACGCGTCACGCCCATCGCATTGTTCCGACGCCGGAACACTAGGGCCGTCGGTTGCTCGTGCATAGGATAGTTGGCGACGATCGGCTTGGAATGTCTGCCCTCCAATAGACCCTGTTTATGCGCTCTGCCTGCTCGTCTGCCCAGAAAATGCACCTTCTTGATCAAGCAGTGGATGGACGTTATACAAATATGCCACGAATTTATACAAGAACTGCATTTAAATTGCGTCGGCCAATAACATCATGGCAGGGCGTCTGGCCCCTCGAGCTTTCGATAACCCGGGGAGAAAATGGCCTGGTCCCCATACGCTTCCCCGCCACACAGGTGGAATGCTCTCGGGGTGGCCCACTCCTGGAATGAAGACACTACCCTGACGATCCGTCGTCGCCCTACTGCCACGCATACAGCGGAGATGATGAACAATATCAGCACGAATGGGAGAGCTAAATGCGCCCTTGGAACCCCAGCGAAAAGTCCCGCGTTAATGGGATAGTATCGAGCTGTGTCGTACCCTTGAGTGTAAAACTTCCCGCGGTTCGTGACCATTGGCATGGTCTGATCAAATACTTCGCCCTTTGGAAGCGGAGGAATGGGATCGCAACCTCCTTCATCGCAAAGCGGCGCCATGGATTCCGAGGGCACAAACGTCTTTGCAATGCCGGAACGCTTCAAAGGCTTTCCGCTCTTATCGAGTGCTTCCGCGAAAGACCATTCGCTTGCGAATGGAGCCCTGTACTCTGTTTCGAAACCCGTCCTGTTCACCCGCCCTGCCAACTGCCAGGGGCCGGAAGCTGAGTCTGCAGTGTAGAAGTTCCACGCTCTGACTTCGGTTGCACCGTTCCACGACACGAAGAAAGCGAGGCTTGAATCATTGTTACCAGTCTTGGAATACGTCCACAAGGATGGCGTCGTGAGCGGTTCTCCTATCCAGGGGTATTTGTTGCAGCGGTACATCATCACGTCGGACCCCCAGTACGCCAGTTTACCATACAAGACGGCTTCTCCGCTGTCGAGATGCTCAGAGTAGAAGGCATGGTCTCCCCACCCAATGAAAACATTCCCATCAGGCAGTCTCTGCATGTTGCCCTGTGAGCCAGACAAGATGCCTTCTTCTTCTGGAGCCAGCCATTCTTGCAACTTGGTCGCGGTTCGCTTGACGTGGTTGATGGCAATGAGCATGCCTCGCGACTCCTTGTTCGTTATGTTGAAGGTGTTGCTGGCGTTATCGAAAAGGGATATGATGGTATGCGTCTGGTTCTCGTGGACCCAAAGAGCATGGTGCTGGCTCGAGAAATGAAGGTTCTCGTTCTTGAAGGTAGGGTTCGCGCCGTTGAGTTCCCAAAGCACTCTCCCGTCCTGGCTGGAGATCTTGTAGACGGCGGCGACATGGCGCGCAGAAATTAGATAGTCGCCCTCTTCGTTCTTGTCGATCGAGTTGATGTGGAAGTAGTCCCAGGGCGTATCTCTGCTCAGCCCGTTCCCGCTGGTGTCGGTGCAGTCAATGCAGGTGTACGAAAAGCTCGGGGCGATGTGGTCAAGCGCCCTCCATTCAAAGAGCAGCTCTCCGGTCTCGACGTCGATCTCCTGGAAGACGCTGTCTTGGATCCACGCGAGTCCGGGCCCAACCCCAAACGCACCGAGGTCATATGCGCGGGGTTGATAGATGGTAACCAGAGCGGTCCGGCCTCGGTTGATCAGGCGGAACTCGTGCATGTCGGTCTGCGTGGCGGCGCCTACGGCTTCGACGGTGCGCACCACCCGGTATTGGTTATCCATGATCACCCCATGCCCTCTGGCCCATCCATGGTGCTGGTGGCCCTGGAAGAAGCATAGGTGGTCTTTGCCGTTGTACTCGCACACGTGCGGGTTGTGCGCAGTAGAAGCGCCTTGCGAGCCCGCACCAGACCAGACCAGTTGCTGCAATGAAGTCAATCGGCGCCGAGTGAAAGGAGAAGACAAGCCGCCTTACGCCGTAGTTGTCGTAGATGTACGGCCCCGGCTCGACATTTCGATAAGGCGCCAGGAAGAGGTATCCAGGAGAGACCAGCTCGGGGTAGAGGATCTCTAGGCTGATTCTGGGGGCGTGCAGGTCGGGTCTCTGGAAGCAGCGTCAACACCAGTGCGAGGGGGCCGGGCCTGGAGAGGTACCGAGCGGAAAACAGACGTCGGCGAGGTCTCGTCGTCGAGACGCGCCCGGACGGCGGCCAGCAAGAAGCAGGCGCATGCCACGAGGGGCCGCGGAGAGGGAGGCTGCACGAAGAACATGTCTGCGGCATCGCCCACAGAGAGCACGGTGGGAGAGGGAGCGCAGTGGAGAGGCAGCACGCTGGCGACGTCGTCGGGCCCCCGTCGGCGCGCATCCCCTCCGAGGAGGCGGTCGTGGACCCATGGCATGTCGATCGAAACATGTTACCTGTTCGGCGGCCCCAGCAGCCTCGATGCTTGCGCGTCCGTGGAGCGTCGCAGAGGCCAAGGGTGTTTCACAGAAAAGAGCGAGTCATGCATGCGCCCGCGGTGGTGGCGGGCCAGCCGAGCGACCAACCCGGCGGCGGCACTCGCGCCAAGCAAGGCTTTTCCCAACGTCGCCCCGGTTTTCCTGCAATCTCGACGGCCAGCCATTTATCCAGCCAGCTACTGTATCTCTCCATCGTCGACCTTTGTGATCGCACCGGCCGATCTTCTTGGCGTCTGTGTACCGCGACGCCCGAGGGCGAATGGAGCGGCGCCGAACGTCGGCCCATATCACGATGCACGACACCAACGACCACCGGGCAGCGATCATCTTCGACGACATGTGCACGGTATATGATATTCAGGGGAATCCCTCAGCAGTGCTGTGCCGCCGGGCCTGTGAAAACACGCTCCCTTGTGTACCCGAAACGCCGATCGAATCCATGCAGACGGATCCCATCCAAACAGCGCCAGCTATATACACCATCTTCCCGTCGTCTTCCCGCGCCTCACGCCCTCAGACCGGGCAGGCGCGCGCCGAACCGGTGAAAGGTCGCCGAGGCTGAGAGAATAGCAGCCAAAATACCGCCCCCCATTACGAACCCCCGGAACAGGACGTTATACATCTGAGCCCTGTTCCGCGCACGACACCTGTCCACGAAGCCATCCGTGTCATTCGTATGTGGGAACTTCTTGCTCTCCGGAACAGGAACCTCCAGAAAGTCGCAAAGTGGGCCCCATCCTTGGCTCACGCGGAACTCGAGGAGATTGTCCGCCGGGACGATCGAGCGCACTTCCGCATAGTAGTCGTTGAAGACTTGCTTGCCGTACTTCTTGAAGTCGCCCTTGAAGAAGACGTCCCAAAACTTGCGCAGCATGGGCTGGTAGAGGCCCGCGCCCCAGTCCCACTGGGATACCAACTTGAGCTCGGGGTCATTGGCTCGCCAGTCGACCGTCTTCAGTGTTGAGCTTGGATCTGTCAGGGAGCAAACGCGCAACGAGTTCGAGAGGCCACTTACGCATGCCATGAATCGACATCCCGAGTGGTCATGATGACTTTTGCCTCGGGGTATGCCTCGATCAACTCCTTCGCGAAGGCGACGGCAGGCCAGTCGCAGACCGCCTGGCAGTGGCCCAGAAGCTGGTCCCACTGCTCACGCCCGAACTCTCCCTCGCCGTCGTACTTTGCAGCGAAGGCGTCCTGCCACATGAGGCAGTCGGGGGGGTTCTCAACGCTGGCTGACATCATGTGGTAGCAGTCTGTATAGCCGAGCTCTTTGAGCGCGGTTCTGAGTGCTGTGGCTGGTAAGCAGTGGCTCAAGAAAGGGGTCGGTGAACGGACAAGCAGTTCCAGTTCTACCTAGGCCGAGCGCCAGAACTCTCATTGGGACGGTGCGGTGGCATTTTCGGCGGTCGATGTCTGTGTCGGCCGTAAAGATGTCGGTGATAGGCTTGGGTGTATATGGTTGGAAAGCCATTTTCAAAAGAGAGAGAAATCGGTGGGTATGCTTGAACGCAATGAAACGAGCGAACGACGTGAACAAGATTAATATGTACAATTGAATTCCAGGCTTCAGGAAGACGTGGCGGAAGGCGTCAGTGCCGTTCCTCGGAAAGACCCAGCAGCCTTATTATACTGCCCCGGAAGCCTCTCGAACCAGGTATTCGTGGCAAAGAACGGGTAGAAACAAAGCTTAGCCCGTCCGCCCACGTTTCAGGAGACGCTCGCAGATGAAGATCCACAATTCGTCGCCTGTACCCTACGAATCCACTTGCCGCGCGTACCTTGACGTATTTTTATGTTGATACGCGTTAGCGTCCGCGATGGAGCTCAAGCTTCCATACCTACCACAAGCAGTGTTGATCGGAAATTGTACACGCTTGGCGCTTTGTACGTTGCAGGCCGATTGACCAGGCTGTGTACATCTTCATCTGTCGTTGATGGGGTTTTATTCGCATGTGCGCTGATACGTAGTTGGAGGCTTGTGATCCCGCTACGGTTGCGTACCCCTTGTTGAGACCCAGTGCGTACCACACGTCGAGATGCGTCATGGCATGGCGGCATGCGCATACTATCATGCCAGCCTGAGGCAGATCGACTGTTTCGTTTGATTTCTTTTATTGTCTTTCAGAGGTCGTCGCCGCTATACTTATTGTCATAGCGGGGAGTTACTTTGAATCCGCCTACTGAGAACCGCCTTCAGAAATATTGTTGTGTCGTCTTGAATTCGTTCAGATTTGCATACTCCCTACAGGGGGTTGGTGCAAACGCGATTGTGGAATGGCCCTCGATAGCTGTCATAACATCGTGAGGTGGGGAGCCGCCTGCGCGTTTATGTGATGGCAGACCGAGCCAACGAGAGATATAAGATGCCTTCATCCCCGTCGGATGTGTAACATTCACTGTGGCGTCTCGAACCATCCATCGTCCAGCTCTTCGTATACTCCTCGACTATCTGTTTTGTACTCTGCTAGATGCTTGACTTATACGTATATGCCAGTAAAGGCAATGCTTCGAGATGTTCGGACCGGGTGTATTGCATGCGGTCGTGGTAGGGCATAGAGTGTGAACCCCGTGAGTACTAAATCGCATAGCGATTATCAGCCATGATATCAGTCTCCTTCCCCAATACCACTTGCATGTCTACTTGGGTTTTGCCTTTTATTGCCGTTGCCCATGTCAAGCGATCATCATATGCCTGTTCTCTGGTTGGAAGATGTCGACTGCGCTGGAGGAATGGCCCTCACAACCCACATCGCCGTCGATGAGACTTCAAGCTCCATGGATTGGCCTCTCTATACTTTAGTATGGGGGATCCCAACAAGTCCTGGTCGATAGATTCGGGTGTCTGCTCTTGTAGTGGTATGCCTTCGATTTCAGGGTTGGGTTGTGAGACTCCGTTCGCTTAAGGATCTATACTCCAAGTTCCAAAAATTTTTCGTACCAACCTACTACCAAGTCAAGCCATCCCAGAATGCGTCATATAGAGCCTTCGTTATATGGCGGTTAGTATAGAAGCCTTCGAGGCGTTATTTTCACGTTTATCCTTGCTGTATCCTCGTACCAGTGTTGAGGTGGTAATATTCTAACACCAAAGCCCTGCATCTCAAATTAAGAAAATTCATAGCGAACCACAACCATCCCTAAATTACATCAAAATTGCGGTACCGACTCCCAACCACACGGGAAATAATATAGAATCACGAGAAGTTACTACATGTACTGCGTTGCGGTAATATGCTGCCATCAATAACGCCGAAGCTGCGCAACGAGCCCCCCTTGGCTACCACTAACACGAACAAGACCGACAAGGTGTGAATACATACAAGGAAGCTGACTAAAAGAGCGGAATTAATATTATAACAAAAGAGAGTCTGCTAGAAATCCATGTTAATGTTCTGAACAACTAGAGACCCGTCGTAATACCCTACCGGACGGCAGAGGCATAGGAGCCCATACATAGCATCACTCAAGCAGAGGCCCCCCTTCTCTCTCTCTCTCTCTCTCTCTCTCACTCTCTCTCACACACACGAGTACGCCATCGTAATATGCTGTACAAAATCGCTCGTGTATTCATCTGCACCCTAGTCGTACATTTCCCCAACCATGCTAATCCACCCCACATATCGGTCGGACCCAACTGCCCTATGCCTCACATGTATAGACAGCGGCATGTAGTCCGGAAATGCACAGGTACAACAAAATGCTAAAACAAAGGAGAGACGAGCATTTAACCAAGGAGCATCTTCCTGGGGTCCTCGATGAACTCCTTGACCTTTACCAGGAAGGTCACGGCCTCCCTCCCGTCGAGCAGACGGTGGTCATACGTCAGAGCAAGGTACATCATCTGGCGGCGCATTAGCACCATCGCAGAATTTAGACAAGGGAACTCACTGGTCGAATCTCCACCTTGCCGTTCACGACCACGGGCTTTTCCTTGATCGCGTGCAGACCCAGCACAGCAGTCTGGGGCAAGTTGATGATGGGCGTACCCATCAAACTGCCAAAAACGCCGCCGTTGCTGATAGTGAAGGTACCCCCAGCCATGTCCTCGATTGTGAGCTTATTATCTCTCGCCTTCTTACCAAGGTCGGCGATAGATTTCTCAATAGCCACCAAGTCCATAGACTCGGCATTGCGCACAACGGGCGTAACTAGACCCTTCTCGGTCGCGACAGCTACAGAAATATCGACGTAGTCGCGGTAGACAATGGTATCGCCGCCCTTGGGCCCCTCAATGGAGGCGTTGACTGCCGGTAGATCCTTCATCGCGAGCACGCAGGCGCGGGAGAAGGCGGACATGAAACCAAGCTTCACACCCTGCTTCTTGAGGATCTCGTCCTTGTAGAGCTTGCGGAACTCCATAAGGGAAGACATGTCAACCTCATTGAAGGTGGTGAGGGCGGCTGCCGTGTTTTGCGATTGCTTGAGACGCTCGGCGATCCGTAGGCGCATGCGGTTCATCTTGACCTAGAGAAGCTATCAGCGACACATGTCACATGTTGCAGTTCTGGCGGGCGGCGCTTACACGTCGCTCTTCGCGGTTCCCTGGCGCGGGAGCCTGCTTCGTGTCCGACTCCTTAGGCTCCTTGGGTGGTGATGGCTTCTGCGGCGGAGGCTGGGGCTTGGATTCCTGCTTGGGAGGTTCGGGCTTCGACTCTTGTTTCGGAGGCTGTGGCTTCTCCTCCTGCTTTGGCTGTTCCTGGGTCTTCTCTTGCCCGCCCTCAGGCTGCGAGGACGTTTCTTGGTCCCTGGTCGCGGGCTCCTTCGGCTCTTCCTTTGCCTGCTCCTTTGCACCACCGGAAGGCTCCCCACCCAGCTCCATCTTTACGATCTCCTGCCCGACTGTGACCGTGTCCTCCTCGTTGACCAGGAACTCCTTGATGGTACCGGCATCGGGTGCGTTCACGGAGACGTCGATCTAGACGTGTCAGGGTGGCGTTCTGCCATGTGTGCTTTCCCGCCTACCTTGTCCGTCTCAATGGTAGCAATTTCCTCATCTTGCTCAACGAAGTCGCCCACCTCTGCAAAACTGTCAGTACCGCCGCTCCAACACGCTGTATCCGCGCCGGTGCAATGCCACTCACGCTTGGACCACTGCTTCAATGTACCCTCCGTGATGGACTCGGCCATCTGGGGCACCTTGACGATCTTGTCGGCTATCGTGACATCAGTCTCTCATCGCGCAACGCTGTGCATCTACGCATACCATAGCTCCGTGACTGCGCGACGAGGGCAATGCGCGGCGGGAATAGCTGTGCGGGCCGTCTGTGGGCAGGTTAGCTCTATTCTTTGCGCGGCTCCATGGGCGCGCTCACTTTGAGGCCTGGCCCAGGAGGCCGGATGATGCCGCTCTTGATACGGCAGAGTAGCTGCGTGTCGCATTGGCGGTTGCCGGTAACCGGGCAGCTCTCGAGGAGGCGCGAAGCGTCGGCATGGCTCGCAATGGCGGCGGAGAGGCCGCTAGGCGGCGGAGACACTGCTGGCCAGACATTGCGGGCGACAGGCGGCAGAGCGCGTCCAAAAGGAGGGGACTGGCGGGATGGGAGGAGGTGACGGAGAGAAAATTAAGGTGAGGCAATTGATTCGAAGGTTGCAAGGCCTTGATGGCAGAGCTCTGGCATCCCTCCAACCGGAAGCGGCAGCCGTGCACCAAGCTAAACCACGTTCGTCACAACGCATGGTGCCGAGCCCCAACGTCGCCCCAGAGCTGCCCTCACCACACCGCGAAGACGAGCCATTGCGAGTGCTGTCGCTCGCCCCCCGTCGCGAAAACACACAGTTGCACCCAAGCTGGAGGACCAAACGCCGCCATGAGCTCCAAGACGACCGTCCTGTGCGTGCCCGCCCGTTGCATCGCCCGCGCGACGCCTCCCCCTCCTGCGACGAATGCACAGCTAACGCGCCGCAGGCGCCTCTACCGGCGCTCGCTCAAGCTCTCCCTCGACTGGGCCGTCCACCGATATCTCTGGCGGGGCCAGGCTATGTACATCCGGTCGCTTTTCGAGGCCAATAAGCACGTCACCGAGCCGCGCCAGCAGCGAGTATGATAGCGGTTACAGACACCACGAGGAGGGCATCGCTGACGCCCGCATCCAGGAGCTGATCAAGGAGACGGAGACGCTGCTGGAAAAGTGGAAGCATCCCGATCCGTACCGCCCCCCGACTGCCCCCGGAGGTGAGCTATCGGCATGCATACGGCCGCGGACACCGCTGACCGTTACAGGCTCCAAGTACGAGCGCAACGTGCCAGCCCCGATCCTGGATCGTGAGTACCCCATCAAGCCCTTTTTCCGCGCAGGAAATTGACGATTTGCAGCTCCGCCGAAGATGATTCTATAGGGGGAGCGGCATGTGGGGACGAGGCCTTGTTTATAGTAAAAACATGGGAACGCGGCACCGGTAGAACCAGATTCAATGCAAACATCCAAGTCATCCAATTCAAATTGGCCATCTTCGCGTCACGGGACTGAACACGGCGATTCCAACGTTTTCTGATGCGACAAACTTGGGGTCGCAGAGTCGAATGATCTGCTGCCGGACCGAATTCTCATGGCGTACGGCGGATGCTGTCACTTTCACCGAATCTGCGACTCGCGATGCCTGAGCTGCACAGCGCATTTCTGTAGAGATGCAGCTACTTCTGACGATTCCGAAGTGTCACAGCCTAGTGCATGAACACGCAGTCCTAGCGAAAGACTGCAACATGAATCGGATAGTGAACCTAAAGACGAGCAGACAAGACACGTCACAGAAGCCAAAGAGAAGGTTGAAGTAATCGCTCGATTGAACTCATGAGCTACCCATCATCCGTGGGCTAATGTACAGCTCTGGTATTGCAAACCCCATGGAAAACCCGTGAACCGAGACCCAGACCGAACCCCATTATCATGATAGAGAAATCAAAACACCGAGACCGCGCCGAAGAAAATCGCTTAGAGCTCCTGTGACGGGCCCTTGCCAGGCTTGGTGGTCTTCTTGGGGAGCAGGTCTGGAAGCGGTTAGCAGATGCGCGACGACTGGGAGAGAAAAACGTACTCTGGTGAATGTTGGGGAGGACACCACCCTGGGCGATCGTGACGTGACCAAGGAGCTTGTTCAACTCCTCGTCGTTGCGGATGGCGAGCTGGAGATGACGCGGGATGATACGAGTCTTCTTGTTGTCGCGGGCGGCGTTGCCGGCCAACTCGAGGATTTCGGCAGCCAGGTACTCAAGGACAGCAGCGAGGTAGACGGGGGCACCGGCACCGACACGCTGAGCGTAGTTGCCCTTGCGGAGCAGACGGTGGACACGGCCGACGGGAAAGGCGAGACCGGCCTTGGACGAACGACTGATGATGGTCAGCGATGATGCAATGCGCCAGTCGAGATGGAACGTGGATGCAAAGAGGCGAAGACGCGCCAGGCTTGAAACCAAAACAAGGCGACGTCAAACGCGTGGAGGCAAACGAGCAAGTCGCGATGAAAAGCGATGGAAACGGGCGGACTCACGATTGGGCGCTGGACTTGGAGCCGCTGGCCTTGCCTCCGGACTTGCCTCCAGTCATTTTGGATGCGGGGGGGGAGTGGGTGGTAAAGCTAAAAAGCTAGAAGTGCTGGAGCTGGAGATGGGGAGCTGCGTTGGGTGCGCGGGCGATGGGCGGCGTGGAGAGTCGAGAAGATGGATGAAGGGCGACGGTCGGGGGGCGGGGAGGCAGCTTATAAGGACGGGCGCGGCGTGTTGTGGTGCGCGAGATCAATCCTGCCGGGCTAGCGCGCCGGGCGGCGGCCACAGATCACAGTCGCGCTCGCTTAGCGCCCAAACCGGCAGCAGCAGCGCACGGGCCGGCCTGGCCGCCGCTGGATCACAACATCAGCGCGACTCCCCATAAGTAGCGCGTCCCCCGCCGCTCGACGACCTTTCTTCCTTCATCTCGACACTCCACTCCCGCGCAACCACCCCGACCCGTCCATCTCAGCCCACTTCCAGCTCTCAGCTACTCCGCCTTTTTCCATCTCACTTCCACCGCACGCCACCGAAAATGCCTCCCAAAGCCCAGAAGACTCCCACCACCGGCGGCAAGGCCCCGGCCGGCAAGGCGCCCGCTGAGAAGAAGGAGGCCGGCAAGAAAACCGCCGCTCCCTCTGGCGACAAGAAGAAGCGCACCAAGTCGAGGAAGGAGACCTACTCCAGCTACATCTACAAGGGTCAGTCTGTCCGGCACGGTTGCGCGCGCGTTTTTCGCATCGCGCAGCTGCCTCCCGTCTCTGCATCCCATCCGCCGACCCCAATCGCATGTTTTGATCACGAAGCTGACGCGTCGCAGTCCTCAAGCAGGTCCACCCCGACACTGGTATCTCCAACCGCGCCATGAGCATCCTTAACTCCTTCGTCAACGGTACGTCACAGTCGCACGCTCTCCCCATTGGAGCTCCCGCTGATTCTTTCAGATATCTTCGAGCGCGTCGCCACCGAGGCCTCCAAGCTTGCCGCCTACAACAAGAAGTCGACCATTTCATCACGCGAGATCCAGACCTCGTACGTTTGCTCTGTCTCTCCTTTTCGCTGTCGCGCATGCACTAACAGGCTCCAGTGTCCGACTCATCCTGCCCGGTGAACTTGCCAAGCACGCCGTGTCTGAGGGCACCAAGGCCGTCACGAAGTACTCTTCCTCCACCAAGTAAGGGTGTCATGACGATCGGGGTTTCTCTGGGTTTCTTCCTTCGTCCTGTTCTTGGATGACGGCTATGGGGTCGGTGTTTACGGGTTTCATTTTAATGCGATCATGGGTCGGTTTGCTTGCTCTCCAGGACCGTGAGTTCATGGTTTGACTACGGGGTCCGGATCATCGAGGGTGTACATTATACCTCTGCACACGGAACGAATCAATTCTTTCCAACTTCATCTCGTCGATCCTCCATCCGTTGTGACTCATCCACACTTGTTTGGTTTATTTTCGTCCTATTTCACCTCTGACATGAGACCTCGGTACGCACGCCTTAACCAGCAAGTCGCGTGAGAAGGCGACCCTGGACGCGCCATCGACGCGAACGAAATCTGCTAAGTCCATCACGACTGGCAACCTTCACGCATCCTAGGACATCCCACAGGACTACCCGATTTCGACAAAGTTGAGTCACAGACTAGATCTGTGCTTGAAGGAGAAATGGAGTACGGTAGCTGTCGCGAAAATTCTAATTCTAGTTGAACTACATTCTACAGGCTCTTTAAGAGGATCGCTTTCTGCGCTTTTCGAGCTTTCCCATATTTCGCGTGGCTCAGACGGGGAACGCGGAAGTGGCAGGTGTTCTTTGATTCGGTGTACCGCACTACTCTGTAAAAGCTGCGGGCTTTGCGGATATATCTACCCAAACTCCACGATAACCGAAGATGCGATTCCCTCAAGTCCAAGTGCGCGCCAAAGGATCCCGATAACAATATTCCCATGCCTCCTAGGAGCGCCTGACCTGAAATGAGGTGATTCCGATAGCTACTGTAAGCCCTCCTCGTCAAAGCTCTCCACCTCATCCACAGCACCCTCTCTCTCTTGTCCCCTGGGCGCCGGCTCGATCTGGCTAACATGCACGATACACTTTCCCTGCACGCTGACTATGCCCTCTTTCCAGTCTTCATAGTCATCCTCGTCGCGGATGAGGAAGGCGATGAGCATCGAAGGGTCCATTTCCCGGATCTCGATGCACCGGAGGCGGCGCGTGTGGCAGGTCGCGACGTCTTCCCGAGTGTAAGACAAAGGATCTTCATGGTAGGGGAGCAGAGGGCGTGTGAAGTGCGGGTCCAGGTAGAAAAAGTGGTTGCCTTGAGTCCCGACAAAGTAGTGGGATGCTGATGGGCGGCCGCTGTAACCCCGTTAGTAGGCTCACTAACATGATGCTCAACTTGATGGTGCAGTGGCTCACCCTGCGATTCCAATCGACTGGCGCATCTGCAATGCAGACTTCAGGGCTTCCCAGTACACGGGGGTGACCTTATCGATCCCCAGGCGGGTGCCTACGAGGATCAAGGTAGGCTGAAACGTGCCATGGTCATCGACGGCGACATCTCGGAGCCTGTTTTCATACACATCCGCGCCGTCACCGGAGACATAGACCCTTAAGCCGGCGGGCTTGTACTGGCTGACCAGGTCTTGAATACAGCGAGCTGTTGCTGACGGCCCAAACCATTCACCGGGGTACTTGCCGCACACTGCAGCTCCATGCTGCACGAAGCGGTGGATTGAGAAAGGTGCCCTGGGGTCGTCGGCAAAGAGGGACAGAATCGGGCGGTCGCTGCTCTCGGGCTTGGAGCCCTGTACTCTCCAGTCTGGTGCTGTCAGTCACAGCGAAACAAGGCTGTTTGTTCAGGAGGAGTACCTCTGCCTAGGCGCAGGCACAGCATCGTGTTTGCCAGAATACATTGTCCGGAGCGTATCATGCAACCGAATCCCGTGTCTGCCGTGAAGGCACTCTGCGCCAGGTTCTGCATCCGCACTCTGAAGCTCATGGCCGCTGTTGCCTTTGGGTCCTGGCTCTTCTGTATGGGCGGGAAGCCGGACCTGTACGTCATCCATATGCGCGACTCGAAGTCGTCAAGAAAGGGCTGCGGCCAGCCGCCACACCGCGCGGGGTCTTCGCCGTTTGTCGCCTCGTTGCGCTCCTCGTCAAGGCTCGTGCGTATCCAGCTGTCATCCTCTGTAGCGCCTGTTCGCTCAGAGTGCGGTGCAGGGGAAGATGCGGCGGTCGTGGAGGTATCCGCTACGTGGGCGGGCGTGGACCTGGGCGGCGGGGGCTTTGGGTCGTACTGCTGGCCCAGACACCATATGGGGCATTTTGCATCGTTGGCTGGCTGGGGGTCGTAGAAGGTGCGCACGATGTTCCTGCCAACGCGCTCGAGGTCATTCATGGCGACCGGGGGAGGGGGGGACAGGCGGATTCGGGGAGGCGGTGGGCGGAGGGGCTGCGTGCAGAGGTGCTCGCCGTGAACGGCGCTGTTGGAAGCTTCTTCTGGCGGGCGGAGATTAGCACTTGACCATGGCGAGGGACAGGCTGACAGGAAGACGGCGGGGAGAGGCGGCCGTGAAGGGGCAGGGGGGAGGTGTTGACTGCTGCGGCCCCGGGGAAGCCCCAGGCAGGGCTGAGGTCATGTTGCCTGCGGATGGCGGGGTTCTCGCGCTCCACGGTCACAGAGCAGCAAACGCTGCGAAGACTGCGCTAGCACGCTACACACCAGAAACGAACGGCCTTTGGAGCTTCTGTTCGCCGTGCTGCCCGAGACTGCCCGGCGCGCGTCTATCAGCAGTTTCTCGCGCTGGGAATTCGATTGATTGATTGCATGCAGCGTCCCGACGCGAGCTGTGCCCGGCCCTATCTCCAGGAACCGCCGACAGCCCCGCCGCCACAGGTGTGGCTCCATCAGCCATACAACTACCACCTGCCACTCACTACTCACTCCTGCTCCACCGGTCACCACCGCTGTTCCCGCTGCGTCGCCTTCGCCTTCACCCACAGTTCTCGCGACGGCCGTTGCCATGGCGCGCAAAAAGGGCAAGAACAAGCGCGCTGCCAGAGCAACGCCCCGCCGCGCACCGCCAACGCGCTCGTGGGCGCAGGAGGAGGGTACGCCAGCCCGCACCTCCCCACGCTCCCCAGAAGTGTCTCTGTTGACCTGAGCCCCCAGCCGCGACGCCGACACCCAAGTTCTCGCTCGCCGACGAGGCCCGCTGGACGTCGGGCCACCGCTCCACCGCCTTCGACTCAGCGACGAAGCTCCGTCGCCTGCCCATCGCCTTCGTCAGCGCCGGCTGTCTGGAGGGCTCCATCAAAGAGAAGGCGCCGCCGGTCGAGCCCGCCGCGCCTTCCTCGCCCTCCCGCTCACCTTCTCCCGCTCCCTCGCCAGCCGCCCGCAACACGGCGGCCATGGCGCACATGACGATTCGTAGCCCGTCGTCCTCTGCCTCCTCCGTGGCAAGCGGCGAAGAGGTGGTCGTCTTCCGAGGCCGCGCCCACAACCCGCCCACGCAAGCAGCCCCTTCGGCTCCGGCGCCTGCAGCACCCATTGCCCCTTCCCCCGAGCAAGATGACTCACGGCGCACCCCGGCCGAAACGCCGCAGCTCACTGGCGCCTCGTCAGACGAACAGGCGTCTCTCCCCACCGAGGCACTAGCGACTATGCCCGGGGAACCAAGCGTTTCCGCGCAGGAGCCTGCCATCGCTCCTCAGCCCGGGTCTGATGTCGACTCAGACACGAACAGCGTTATCCAGCATCACTTTGAGAGGCGTCGGGGAGGCAGGCCTATCTGGGAGGGTCGCACGACGCCGTGGGTTTCCAGAAGCAAGCCAGGCATCGGATGGCTTCCTGTGCGCGACCGCCCAAACATGGACGCCTTCTTGCGTGGTGACGTGAACCCGCAGGACGCAGCCATGGACGACTACATGCAGAACGTCGAAGACTTTGGATTGAAAGATGAAATGGTCGCATCTGCCGGCTTTGCGCGCCGCGAAATGCATCTTGACGCTGGAAGTCACAATGACTGGGAGTCCGATCCAGGCGAACCAGCAGCCGAAGACGGGCAGGGCGAATGGGATTCTGACGCCCTAGGGGATTTTAATCATCTAAGTACTTCCTCCGATGTCATGGACACGATTGCCCGCATCATCTCTAAACGCACCCGGCCTTCCGGCGTTCAGTATTTGGCGGTGTACGAGGACTCGACTCCCGATGACGCGCGATGGTTTCCAGCGAGTTTCTTCAACACTCCCGCGGACCAGGAGCTGATTCGCAAGTTCGAGGCCACTCTCCTTCATACGCGTCGTATGACCTCCAGCAGTGGAAGCAGCGAGAGCGGTTCAGACCTGGACGAGGAGGACAAGCTCGAGTTCGTCGACGAGACAATTGCTAGGCTTCTACAGAAGCAGGAGGAGCTAGGCCTCGGTTCAGAAGAAGTCATGCTGTACGGCGGTGACGCATTCTTCGGCGGGCCGGTCAGTGCCGCAGCCTCCTCAAGGGCGTTCGATAGGCCGAGCAAGAAACGACAGCATCGTGCTGGAGGCGGAAGGCGTACGGAGCCATCGTTCCCGTCTGCAGCCGCCATGTCTGACGCACTTGAGATGGATCCTTACGGCGGCTTCGACATCATGGATACTGAGCGACCTTCGCTGAGACCTCGAAAGAAAGGTCGGCGTAGCCAAATGCCCCCCGAGCTGGATGACTCCGACCTGAATGACCAGATTCAGGCCAGCTGGGAGGCCGATCGGGTCAAGAAGCGATTGAAGAAGGCAGAACGCGAAGAGCTGCGAAAGTTAGGCCTGTTGGGGCGAAAGGGCAAGGCGCCCGATCTCAGCGTCAGGTACAAAGACGGAGTCAATGCGGAGGACATTCTGGACGAGATTCGCGACTTCATGAGCTCGGATATGCAGACGCTTTCCCTCCCACCTATGGAGGCCCACCGCCGCGCAGCCATTCATCAGTTTGTCAGTCATCTCGGCGTCAGTTCCAGGTCGCGTGGAGACGGCACCGATCGCTTCACAGTCTTATCCAAGACAAAGCGCACGATCTACGATGACAGTATATTCGAGGCATTCATTGAAAAGGTGAAGTTGAAGAATCGCTGGCGCGGTCCTCCTGGTGCTGGTACGAAACAATTCAAAGGTCCGAAGTTGCCGAAAGCGACGAAAGGTTCGAAATCTCGCCCGGTGGTTTCCTACAAAGACGGCGAGACGGTAGGCGCCTCCGCTCCCGAGCTCGGCCCAGAGAACAGGGGCCGCGCTTTGCTTGAAAAGATGGGTTGGAGCAAGGGCATGGGCCTGGGTGCCCACGACAACAAAGGCATCCTTCATCCTATCGCCCATGTCGTGAAGACGAATAAAGCAGGTTTGCAGTAGGAGGAGGCTGGTCATGTTCCAGACGTCTCATGGTCACGGGAAGATTCCCCGACGTCTACGTGATGGGTTCGTTCGATAGACGGGCTTCTGCTTGGGGAACAGTCTGCGTTGAGCACTGCGTATTCACAGCGTTCGGTGTTCCTTTTGACCGTACTCTAGCGTTTCGTTGTCCCCTATCGTCACGGACTCCTTCCTTGTAGATGTTGAGTGTATTATATTTTACGGGCGATATGTCTCCTGGATGGGTAGAGGCAAATTTGCAGCATTTTGAAGGCGTTCGGGCTGCATGGCTGCATTCTCTTCTATCTGGCGAGTGTGCTGGGGGCTATCGAACACCGAAGGGCTTCCAGAGTGGCTTTCTAAAGCTAAGATGAATTGACAGCTTTGCCATCTATATGATCAGACCTGTGGTTGCACAATGCTAGCACTCAAACTGCGTAAATGGGGATGCTTGCGGTCCTGTGACTCATCTGCCAACCCCGTTCGCAGACACCCAACTCCTCTTCGAGTATCTCAGGGAAGTTTTCTTAGTCGTTCATCCATCTTGAGCTAGGTATGTACCGAAAAGTGATCGGAACTGCGACTCCTGTCACCCTCTAATTACATCCCTTGTCTCTACGGCCTGCTATGCTTCCAGCAGTGTTGCTCACGGTATTACAACGAATGAGCTCTGCAGTTTGCAATGTGGGTTGGGTTTTCAATTCTTATTGCGCGCCGAGCTGCTCGCTCTCGTGTTTGTCAAAAGCTCCAAATCGGAAAGAAATTACTCACTTGCGCATCACCAGTAAATAATGCGTGGACAGACCATAACCTGAATCCTTTCCACTCGAGCACTGTTCTGATGTCCGTATACCAACCCTTTCAGATCGACTATAATCTTCTTCTGCGCAAGACGTCGTCGCGCCTTTGGTCGTACGTCGTGGCACACATACCAACATGTCTCATTCCTAACTCTGGAAGGCCACTCCTAAAGGCACTGGATATGTTGATGTTTGAGAAACGTCGCAATGTGCACCGTCACGCTCGGTGACCAACAGTTCATCGGTACAGCACACCCGCGCCACGGGTTTTAGAAGAGCGTCGCCACTTGGAACTAGTCAACAGCTCCCATGAGGAGAACGCTTGCTCCGTGCACCGACTGGGAGGCCTCTCCCCTTCTCGAGTTATTAACAAAGTTAAGCGTGGATAGCTTCTATTAGCAAGGATTATAAGCAATATCGTCCACTCACTGTAAGAACAAGTACAGGATTAACAACCGACATTGCGGCGTTCTATCCGCGATGAAATGCTGCATAAAGGAAATCCCTTGCTAAACGTGAGGCGATGACGAGAAGCTCTATACTCGTATGCTGACGACCCCCAATCGGTAGACATGCTAGCTCCCTTTCGAAAATTAGAGGCACCTCTGCAATTCAAAGTGGACAGGAAGTCACACAAAATAGCATCATTCGGTGGGCTATTTTGATTATCTCCACACACGTTCCTGCTCGCTACAATATGGGGGCCGATTCCTCCCTTGCAAGCGTAAAAGCCATGTGCAAGTCTCGTGCGGATAAGCTACCTGAACTAACCGCCCCTTTCGCCAAACTCCCGCGCCCAATCCTCATATTTCTGCAGTCCCTGCCTGCTTACAGATGGTCTAATAGTCTGCAGGCTAGCCTCGAAGTCCTTAAACCGCATAGGCCTGATCTCGTCCATGGTCATGTGGAGTAGTTTCTCGCCGAGGGAACGGAGAGGCCCCATAGCCGCGTCTTTGGCAAGCGCTGTGATATCAGAACCGGAGAAGCCTACACTATCTTAGATACAAGCATACAATAGGGCGAGGACAGGAGATGGAACGTACCTTCAGTGAGCCTAATAAGGCGATCCAAATCCGCCTCGCTAAGCTCATGTTTCTGATGACTCAAGAGTGTCTTCACCTGCGTCTTCCTTACGTGATCCTCTGGCAAGGGGATATATTGCCTCCTCACAAATCTCCGTCTCGCGGCCTCATCGATCGCCCAAGGCAGGTTCGTGGCAGCAAGGACAAGCACGCGACTCGCATCTCCCTTCTCTTTATCCTTCTCGGTCTGCTCCCTTCCTGCTGCTGCTTTGGCTAAATCCGACCACTGAATGAGGAACTCTGTCTTGATGCGTCGTGTAGCTTCGTGCTCGCCGGAACCAGAACGCGAAGAGAGGAGAGAGTCGATTTCATCGACGAAGATGATGGAGGGCGCGAGCATCTTCGCCAGGGCAAAGAGCGCGCGGACCAACTTCTCAGACTCGCCCAAAAATTTGGACGTCAGGCTGCTGGCCGAAATGGCGAAGAAGGTGGATCTCGACTCTGTTGCCACCGCTCTTGCAAGCATGGTCTTGCCTGTCCCAGGTGGCCCAAATAGTAACATTCCCCTTGCTGGCTCTCGCAGACCCATAAACAAGTCTGGTCGCAAAAAAGGATATACGACTGTCTCCTTGAGAGCGGATTTCGCGATGTCGAGACCTGCTACGTCGTCCCAATGGACCTCATCGCCCTGGATTACGATCTCATTAAGGATTTGCTGAGCGGCAGCTTCGTCAACCCCCCTAGGCAGATTTTTCAGGATACTACGTACGCGCTCCTTCCATTCGTCAGACTCCTGTTCCGACTCTTCTGAAATTCCCGTTTCTGACGTGGGAGTAGGGGGAAGATCTGCGCGCGCTGTGTCTTGTTTCGTCTTCCTGTTTCTACGTGCTGGTGGTTGCGTCTTGTTGAAATTGTCCTCTTCCAACGCAATGGTTTCTTCTTGCTCCTTCTTTGGTTTCCGCCCGCGGTTGTTAGCGACAGGCTGTTGTGACAGGGTCCCATCCGGCTTCCTGCCCGAGGCAAAATCCCCGGGAGGCCCAAGTTTGTCAGATTCAAGGTCGGTCCAGGATCTCGCGGCTGCTGAAGCGGCTAGAAGGCGAGCATTCTGCACGGATTCGGGATATTCATTCCGATACGAAGGCAACAATGTGCTGCTCGATTGGCTGCTCTTTACTCGTCCTAGGTCGAGAGAGCTCCTTTGATCGAGGGGGGAAGACAGGTCCCTCCTGATGCGCTGAGGTCGAGAGGAGAGTTCGGGGTCAATGCCGTTATCTGGGGGAGGAACGGTGTAAGCGGCGGATCCTGATGCGCCATTGGATCGAAAATAGAAAGGAGCGGGAGGCTGATATGTTTCATGGTTCGGCGGTTGTAGTACTGGCCTCTCGGAGTCAGGCCCGGACCCTGGTCTTTCGAATGAGGGTCGACTTGGAGCATTTTGAGATGAAGGCAATGACGCCTTGGTCAGCCGGCTGGAGCTTTGGGTAGGCTTGGAGCCCCAGGCTTGAGTCGCCGCTTTTGCGGCTTCTGGTGGCCGCGATCGCATTGAAGTAGGCAGCCTCGGGGCTGACTGTTTACCCTCCCTTCCTGGTCTCAAGGTCCTCAATAGACGCCCCTTCTTCTCGGGCGACGGCGTCCGCGAATCTTTGCTCCGTGTAGGTGCAGGCGACAACGACGGCCCGACCTGGGGAGCGCTCTTCGTGCGATTGGATTCGGCGCCAGAGCTCTTGCGCGGCAGGAGCGACGGACGCTGCGGTAGAGGTGGACGTGAGAGGTCGGTGTACTCCACCGGCGGTATGGTTCCACCCCCGAGCCAGCCGGATGATCCATTGGTATCGGCGGGAGCAAGGGGGACGCCGTGGGGAGGAGGGGTGGGCGCTTTTGCATCAGCGCCGGGCGGGGGAGACGTGAGCTGCTCATTCGACTCCTCGCGGCTTCGCTTCAGCGCTTCCAGCAGGTCTACCCGCTCTTTGCACTGCAGCTCGAGCTGGTGCAGTGATTCTGCCAGCGCCTTCTCGGTCTCGGACGCAGGCCGGGAACTGGAGGGCTGCCGGTGGGCATTGTGGTAGTAGATCTGGTCGAGGGCGCTCTTCCACGAGCGCAGCGCTTCGGGCTCGTTGTTCTATCGCGGACGCTGGTTAGCGAGTCTGAACTCGGGCAGCCTCATGACGCTGGGCTATTCGGGGACGGCAGACCTGGCTCTCAAAGTAGACGGCAGTCGAGCAGGCGAGGAAGGCCTCGTCGTAGGCCTTCTGCGTCGAGTTGGCGCGCATAGTCTGCGCATCAGCCGATCGGAGCGCTGCAAGCCCGGTCGCTCAGTGTCGGCGGAGCAGCGTCGTCGCTCGTCGGTCGCGGAGCAGGCGGGCTGTACGAGCGATGTTGGGGTTCGGCTTGTGGAGTTGCATGCGCCTTTGGTGGGTGCAGCGCCTGCTGTGACGTAGGCGCGCCTGCGGCTCGCCACGACGCGTGCAGCTTGTTGCGCCAGCAGCCGCTGCTCGAGACAGTCGCGTGAGAGGAAGCACAGAACGGTGCAAAGTCTCTAAATCTCACCGCAGGATGGAGCATGAGCTGCGCGTGTGCGTTCGCCGGTGGTCATATTGAGAGCCGCGCTAGGACCACATCCCTCCTCTATCGATTACGCACCTCTGCAGGCACCGGCGCAGAAAGACAGACGCCAGCGCTTCCACGACCTTTGAAGGAAAAAACCCCTATGATACACTCGTACAGGCTGCCCCATACTCCGCGCGGAGCAACAGAAGATCCGGACGCCACCACATGGTCCTCTATGCCATAGGAACCTTTTATGACTATACAACGAAGCGAAATGGCACCGCGTCGCCCAAATGCCACAGATGGTGCATCTTTGCTGCACATGCCAGAAGGTGCGAAAGAGGCCTCCCCTCTTCCTGACATCGTGCGTACCTCGTCCTCGCGACCGCGCGTCTCTAGGCTGCTCGGATAGTATGGTATTCGTTCGGCGGGGAGTCCGTGGCTGTCTGTGTCTTTCAAGCAGACTTCGTGTCGCTGCGGGCTATGAAGAACGCCTTCGCCATCTCGTACGCGGACCTGTCGCAAAGCGTTAGAGCAGATCGAAGGCGGGCAGTTGGATGGACTTGCCAGCAAATCGCCGTGCTGGGCATCGTCGTAATAATCCGAGGCTTCAGACCACGGAAATAGCCCCTGTACCCGTCTCTTTGATGTATTATCTTTGCCGCGTTCCATAAGCCCGATACATTCCGCAATTCAGCATCTGTCGCGTTTCCTCGCGTCTGCAAAAGGGTCTTGATAACGTCCAAGGGTGTGGTGAAGCCTGCCGCAAACCCCCCCGCCAGCCCTCCAGCAAAGCAGTGCGTGTACGGATCATAACGGCCTGTCGGATTCATGACTTTCGATATCGACTCATATGCCATGAATTGCATGGCAGTGAAGGGTACCGTCATGCACAAGGTGGTGGGATATGAAACGTAAAAAGCCGTGATGCCTTCGCGGCGAAAGACCTCTCGGGCGCAATGGGGAACCGACTTGTACACAGAGCCGTGTAACTGCATGCGTTGCTTGATGACTGCGCATTTTAGCACTCGCCGTCGAAACCGGGCCGACGCGGCTTACCGTCGAATGGGTTCATCAGCGCATCGCTGCTAATCGTGGCAGCTGCACCGCTGGCAGCTATTCTCGGTTAGTGATAAGTTTCAACGCCGTGGAATGGGCTTCTGCGCACCGGCCGCGAGCGGGTGATGCTCCTCGCTGCCTCCCTCGTTTCCGCCGAGGGCATGCTTTGTCGCTTCGTAGGACACAAAGTAGACGGCGTGCGCGGGCCCTGCCACCGCGTCAGTCTCATCGGGCCGTGGCCTTGATCACCTCTAAACAGACCTGCTCCCATAACAACGCTCGATAGACCTCTCCATAATGTTCTAAAGCCTTCTACCCTCGAGATTGTGACCATGGCGTTGGAGATGCCTGTGTACATGGCGGTCGGTGACGGATTGACGACCTGCATCCGGGTCTGCGAGCTGTCAGCGCAAGGCTCCTGCAGCATCGGGGAGCCCACAAAGAGCGGCGCACCTTCAGCAGGTCAATTGGATACATCACCGAGTGTTCCTGCTACGTAGTCAGTCTATGCACGTTACCACATTTTGAGCTCGGCGACGTACGGCAATGCCCGCGAACGCGCCCGCAACCATGTTCGCGGAGAGAGAAAAGTTGGGCGGTAGAGATTCATAGCTGGACGGGCTGTCAGAGATGGACATGGCGAGGGCGACGGTGGCCGGGGAGCTGTACTCGTGTTCTACGTCTTCCACGGCTGTCCGCTCATGGGTGGCCATTAACTGACCGTGCACCGGCGATGCTGATTCCAGCTTTGCGATTTGGACGGTGACGGACTCGGGGCGAGTTGTTGGAGCTCCGCGCGACGGGCTGCAGCTCGCGATGGGGGTGAAATGGCGAGGTTGAAGGTTGAAGCACTTTTGTTTCCAAGGGCAAAGGCCTGGGCGCGCATGGGCGAAATGATGGGCCGAACGCCGAGAAAGCCGTCACAAGCAGCAACCGCGCCAGCCCTAGACTCAGCGAAGCCGGAGGCAAGGCGGCAAAATCTATGGTGATGCTGCTCGCCCCCATACGAGGTGCTGCTTCGTCATGCACATTGCTCGCCGACGTCGCTACTAATATCCGCCGCAATTTCTATCCTGCGCAGAAAGTCGCGGAAGCCAGCGAAATCGCCGCCCCAGTACGGAGGCACTCCCCCTCACCGCTCGAGCCGGCGAAAGTGCACTTCGGAGAAGAGGGTGGAGAAGCTTGGACAAGTCCGCGGCTCGCTGGCGCTTTGTAAAATCTGATAAGATCATCTCCGCAAATGTCCGCCCATGCCTGCATGTGTACTCTGTATACAAGACTCACTGGCTTCGCAAGGCTGCAATCTCCACCAGAATGAGCCCCTCCTATCGTACATCGCTGCTCATAGTCCGCCACGACTGCGGCGGATGACTGCAGCCACCATCGCACATAAAAGCCGCCGCTGCGCAGTTCGACCGCATCTTACAGGTACAACTCGTAGGGGTATGTTCAGCGACAAAAGGTAAAAACTCCACCGCGTCTATTTTAGATAGGCGCACAGTGTGGCATCCGGACAGCTAGCGCTGCGCTATCGCTGTCTTCCGAAGGCTAGCCCATCAGCAGTCGCACCGCTTATGCCACCGAGGGAAGCTGACGACGTCTTTAATGTTAGCGACTCCCGATAGGTAGCACAGGAGACGGTCGAACCCCATTCCAAAGCCACCGTGAGGGACGCTCCCATATTGTCGCAAGTCCACATACCACTGTAACGAGCCGTCGGACCCCTGCGGATTGGAACTTGACGGACGCTGGAGGTCATGGTCGTCCATTGACTTCAAGAGCTCCGGCAGCCGATGTTCACGCATCGAGCCTCCCACCAGCTCGCAGATTTCCGGGAGAAGGAGATCGAAGCACGCAACAGTCGGGACGTGTGTCTCTGCGGACAAGTCATTCGATGGCAACATATAAAATGGCTTGATGTTGCGTGGATAGTCGGTCACGAAGACGGGTCCACCTCGTCCGACCGTCTCGGCTAGGAACCGCTCATGCTCGGTCTGTAGGCCTTCTTCATGTCCAGGCGCATATTCGAATCGCACCCTGCCTCGAGTCACCGCGTCCCTCAGATGCTCTATAGCGTCGTGGTAAGTGATTCGTGGCCAGGGACCGTCGATGAGCCCTTGCCACCGCTGTGCGAGTATGGTGTGGGACACGGATGCGCAATCCTCTCCGTGATCCCGTGCCCGAGCTTCCAGCAGCTCTTCACCTACATGTGAAGACTGGAGTTCGGTTGCAACGGCTCGCAACATACCTTCCACCACGTCCATGACCTCTGCGAGATGTTCCACAAAGGCAAGTTCCGCTTCGAGCATGTAAAACTCGCTTAGATGGCGAGCCGTGTCGCTCTTTTCGGCACGGAAAGTCGGCGATAGGGTCCATACATTGCTGACAGACTGAGCGAGCGCCTCTAAGTGAAGCTGGCTAGAGACGGTCAAGTATTTCGGAGATCCAAAGAATGGATCTTCACGGTGCTGTGGCAGGTCAGGAGCTTCTCGGGTCGCGGGTGGCGATGAGACTGGACAAATGGTGAAAACTTGGCCGGCACCTTCGCAATCCGAGGATGTGATAATTGGCGGATGGACTTGGATAAAGCCCTGATTTGCGAAGTAGTTGGTGACTTGAGCGGTGACCTGAGACCTTAGCCTCAAAAGCAACGAGTTCAATGGCAGCCGTGACCGCAAGTGAGGCAAACTGCGAAGGAATTCGGGCGTCTGGTATTTCTTTTGCAGCGGAGAGGTCTGGATGAGGTCACGGGATACAAGATTAGCAGAGGCAGCGGCAGGCTTCGGAAGGGCGCCCTCTACTTACCGTGGCATCGTGCTGGCCCAAAATGCGGACGCTTTCAGCCTGCAATTCGTGGGACTGCTCTGCTCCGGGCGATGGCGTCCATAGACCGGTGATGGCGACTGCTACGCCCGTTGACAGTCTGATTGGCAGGTGTCAGTAAAACCAAAGCCGGAATTTGGTTTTGATACTGACCCGTCGGCCTGCTCGGGAGTCAAGACAGCCTGCACCGTCTGCAATGACGAGCCGTCCCCAACGGCGGCAAAGGCAATGCGCTTCTGCTTGCGGACACTGCGCACAAAGCCATTGACCGTGCGCGTCTCACTGGAGGAGGGAGGCTGCTGCGGGGACGACAGAGGCGGTGACTGTCTTAAGAGCGCAGCTATAGTCGGCCGGGCGAGTGTTGAGCTGCAGCGTGTTCGACAGGGCGGCAGTGCGTGGGCTGGGACACGGGAGGCGCGCCCTCGGACAAGCGACTGGCGCATCGACGGCCCGCAGACTTCAAGCAAGCCTGCAGCAGCGCGCGAGGAGGCGGGAGTGCAGCACAGGGTCGAGTGTTGTCGTCGACAGAAACTTTGAATCAGGGGAGCTTGGGCCACCGGCGGACAGCGCTAGAGACCCAGCGCCGCGCGGGCGGGCAGCTCGTTGCCGGTCGCCAGTCGCCAGTCGCCAGTCGCCAGTCGTCCGTCGTGGCACCTCCGCGCCGGCCGGGCTGGGACTCTGGTGATTGCTTATGAGACGGCCGCGAGTCCCAACGATTATTGCTGTGTTGCATCGCCTCCGTCCCGTCGACGTGTGCCTGGCTTGGGCGGTCACGGCCCTGCTTCTCCGCGGCAGCCTTGGCAGGTGCTCCTTGGCTCCCATTGGCTGCCGGCTTCCCCATGGACATCCAAATCACCTCCCGCCACACGCCGACACCGATCTCGACGGCCGTTTGAGTCTCCACACCCATCGTGCACGACTGAGTCTGTCCGTGCCGCCAGGGCCCGATGCGCACAAAGGCGGCGGACATGCTCGCTGTGTGCAACCGGCTGAGACACCGCTAACCACCGAGATATGGCCCGTGGCAGAGAGCACACGCTGGCTAAGGGCCACTAGCTGCATTTCCCTGCATATACAGCTGCTCTGCCGGCGCTATGGCTGTAACCCAATCTCATGCAGGATCTGCCATGCTGTCACGATCGGGCTATCCAGCCGTTCGCGAGATCTAGTTCGAGCAGCATTGCAGATCGCCGGGGAAAAGAGCCTACAAGATCGGCCGCGACGCGGGCCTCGTTGCATCCCAGCCTTCAGGAACCTGCCACATGGGTGAACGGTGAGAAGGCTTCATTCCTGATATCGCCCCGTTTGCTGGTAACGCCCGAGGACCAGGATGGAACACCCATATGCCGTGCCCATTCCCACAGCCGCTTCCGCTCCCGCCTTCTGTGCCTATCCTAAATTGCGTGGTGAGCACGACTCAAGCCTCCTGCTGCCCAGGTGTCCTGTAGGTTTGCGCTCCTAGGCGTGCAACCGGCCGTGTTTGAGTGTCAGAAGTCGTATCGATTAGACGAAACCTGCTCTATGCACAAGGCTGCCGTTTCTGTCTAAACCCGCCGCGAACGAAAGCCTGCTAGGGACGCCAGGTCGAGCTATAATCTAGTCTCGCTCTACCAGACGCCTTAGCACCAGCAAATCATATAGCATCTCATTCGCCGTCTACTTCTATATGCGCCTCTGCCTACTGTACACACATTCACTCTTTGCTGCCCCTCTTCTAGCCACGTCCATTCTGGGTACCCCTGTCTCTGCGTTTATATCCTCGCCTGCGTTTGCTTCCCTCACTTTACCAAGGCAACATGCCTCCGTCGCGGCCAAAACCGTCCGAAATAGCGGCCGACACTAAGCGGAAGTGGTTGCCTTACATCTGGACACATCTGATCAAGGAGCCAAAAACATCATACTTGTACCCGGATTCGGCAGCCATAAAAGTGAGCCCTGACAAGAGATCACATCATCGGACACGCGTTGCCGTCATGGACGGCGATGCGGTGAATTATGCATTGGGATGGTACCAGAACGCCACGCGAGAACCTGCGCACCGAAATTGCAAACGGATACCGGTGGTAAATACGGCGAATGAGAAGCGGGCGGGGGGTGACTGGGAGTCTGGGCTCATGGCGCCTGAAGAATGTTTTGCTCGCAGGAGCAACCTCGTCCATGCACTGACGATGCCATGGAACGCTCAAATGGGGATAGATGAGAACTTCTACCCCATCCCTCAAAGAGGTGGCATCTACTCTCCCGAAGTTTGTAAGTTGACAATCCTTCGCAACCTGTTCACCCGCTTACAGTATGTTAGTCGTATTCCGAGGAACCCCAGAGCAAGACTATGCCCCATTTCCGACGGACGAGATTCAGTCACTTCCAGTCATTTCAGTCGCCCCCGTCCGAAGACCCAAGCTGGACGAAACCGGCGCGCAGTACTCATTCGTCCAGGAGAAGGAGCTGATGAAGGAGAAAATGAGGACTGTTCTGCGATTGGCATCGTACTGCGGTCACAGGAACCTCGTTGTGGGCGCGTTTGGACTCGGCCCAATTTTCCGCAATCCCGCTCGGGAGGTCGCCAGGATGTGGAGGGGGCTCTTGTTCGAGGAGGAGGAATTTTGCGGTGTCTTCACGGATGTTGTTTTCGCAATCGACAGCGGCATGGTCGGCCCTCCAGCAAAGGGTGGTCTGTCGGATGCAGACGTGTTCAAGGAAGAGTTTGATCCGTCGACCATTTTCCCGACACGATATGGTTGGTGAGGGGCATGGGCGGCGAGTGCGACGGAGGCCCATCAGGAGGCATGATGTCAGAGGCTGGAGGCGGCAGAATCGGACTAAAAGCTCGGTTATCTGTAAGTCGGCGTTGGGTGGATTTCCAAAACCTGGAGGTGTCGCTGTCGGTAGTCAACCAATCAACAACTATCTGGTACCAACCTGTCGGGTTTGCTGTGAGCTAGCGCCGCGCTTAATTAGACATCTGGCATCATGCGGGCAACAGAGTTGTGGTTGCTTGCTTTTTCAATTTCAGCCAGAGCTTGGCGCACAGCGCGGGTCGGGCGTCAAGGCCTCTCAGGCAAACTGGGCGGCAATATAAAGCAAGCATGCAGACCTCGTGGCGCGCGAGCTGCCCTCGACGTTCTTGTGTTACGTGGCATGCTTTGGGTCGTCTTCGGCGTCGAGATGCAGAGGTGGTGAACCCGGCTCTGGCCGAGGCTCGAGCGAGAGACCTGCGTATACTAGCTTGGCTTCAAGGTGGTGACGACATTATGCAAGCTGGTGCAGTCACTCGTGGACTACCTAGGCATCTGCCTCCGACATTGGACATACACGACGGCAGACTCCGGATGTTAGAAGCACGCTACTTCAGTTTTAGAAGATATAGCACATGTCCAGCCAAATAGGCAACCCGCCGGGCTAGAACACCCCGCACAATCTTCACCACCCACCGCCCTCAGAGAGGGAATGTCAGCTCCACCACTAAATAGTAGACGATAAGCGGTTCAACGCTTGCTTGCCTACCGGACATCAGCATGTATACCTATGCCCGAACACGTTCGGTAAAGGTTGTATCATCCGAACAGTAGGTTATCGTTAAGTGGCGTTAACATTACAGCCGCGCCCGCCAGATAGGGTAGGGCGCGTAAGTAGTATACATATGATACATAGCCTATTGATGAAAACAGCTCATGGCGGAGAAGCGGGTCCTCTCATTTCGGAACCGGTAGCTGGGGTGCGACAATCTCTCCGCCCTCTGCTTCGATCTTCTTTATCGTCTGTTCCTTTTGGTAATTGACAACCCTCTGCTTCTTGAAATACTCGACCTGTCATATGCAAGTCAGTCTCGCTAGTGTCTTTTAACCGCTGACTGCACGGGCACAAAGATAGCTGTGGCGCGCATGATATCTGCTCCCATCCGGGCTGAAGTCTGGCGTGTGGGAGTCGAGACATACCCAGCTGTGTGCGCAGTTCTTCTCGAACTCCTGATCGAATTGCCCGCACGCTTTCGATGCCGCTGCTCTTCCGTCCTTCGTGTTTATGCTGTCCAGAATGTTGTTTCGATCCAGACATTCGAAGAAAGCGTCTCGGGCTTCGTAGCACTTCGCCCGGTTCGTTCTTGAGGGAGATTCGAATGCGCCACCGGAAGTCTTCTTGGGCCCCGAAGCCTCTGACGGACTCCAGGGTAACCAGCCCATGTTGTGGATACGGAGCGGGAGGCGGAGATGGCGAGGAACTGCATGATCTCGCGGTTAGCAGGAGGTTCTCGCTATAGGGCCCAGGTAGGCCTGAAGGTTCTGAACGGTGGAGCTATTATGAGACGTACGTTCTGAATTGACGTCGTGGTTGAGCGCGGAGGGAATTGGCGAGCAATGAAGGTTGAACTTTCGGCCGCTTTGAAGCTTTGGCACTGCAGCCAATCACCACTCGCCGGCGTTAGGCTGCACTTTTCTCCGTCGCGCTTTCGGGAAATGACACCCTTCCGCAACCACGTCGCGTAGACCCCCAGAATACACGAATACGCTCTCTCCTCAACATCTGCTGGAACGCGCATGCATGCTACTATCCTAGCGACCGTCTCTCTGGCCGATGCCCCGCCGACGTCGCCCTCCACGCCCCGGCGCGCTCGCTGATCTTTCCCCTACCCGAATCCTCTCCCAAATCATTGTCTTGCAGCTCGCATACTATGCCTGCGCGGCCGTCCTCATCCTATTCACAGCCCTAGTCGCCGGGAAAGAAATAAGCACAGATCTCCTCTTTAGCTGGCGGAGCCTTCGGGGCGACACGACAGTTGGATGGACACTGGGGCTTGTCTGGGTGTTGAATAGCCTCACGTGGTAATCTCGTACATGCGGTCGCACAGCCGGTATGGAGATGCTAACTCTGCCCCAGTGCTATTTTCATATTGCTGCTCATAGCTCGCTCGAAACTTGTCCTCGATTTTGCGCTCACGATACACTTTATCCACCTCATCGTCACCTCCTTATACTCGCACGCGATCCCGACCAACTTGTTTTGGTGGGCGTTGCAGATATGCAGCGCGGCGTTAATGACATCTCTCGGTGTTTGGGCTTGTCAGTGGCGGGAGCTTCGGCCGATTAACTTCGGCTCGAAGCCTGGCGTGAGACAGGGCAATGGATCCGCTCCAGACGATGGGGTTGGCGAGACAAGGGGAAGAGGCAGGGGGAGAGGAAGAGACGGCGCAGGGGAATACGAGATGGTCAACATGAACGAAGAGGGAAATACAGTCTGATTTAGTTCAAGCTATGCATTGCTCGGCGTACGTTTGCTTGGATAGACCCATGGGATGGCCGGCGCAAAGGAAATACTTTATGCGATACGACGGATTAGTATGCTGGATGTTTTCCGTCGGAGTTGTACTCGTCGAACCCGAGCTGGCGAACATGGGCGACCATGGTAAGGTCCACACCGTGTCATCTGCATTCGTAGCTTTCTATGTCTCTATCCGCTAAGAACCACACCGATGAAGCCTGCTGGAACTGCACGGCACCATCCTTGGCTCTGAACCATGGCCACTCTCTATTCCGTGACGTAGAGGATACCTCTTCTTCCACCGCATCTCTTGGCATAATCCTACACATGATAAGGCCAAGTTCTTCTAGCGGTGCTGACTGTCGCTGCTCGTTCATTAAGGCCACAATCCTCGCGCCGTCCAAACGATACGGAAATTCGGGGCCTGGGATGCATTAGAATTATCCCGGGCAATGCTGAAGCACGTAGATGGCATACCGGGTGGCATGCGTTGGCGGAGGGGTAACTCAATATACTTCTCATCCTCATCCCCGACTGCTGTAACGGCGAGTATTGCCTTTGTGGCGTAGAACGGAACTGACGTCTTGGTATCCGGTTTGCTTGGTGGTAATGGTGCTTGAGTAAACTGTCCTGGGATGGCCACGCCAAAGACGCCGTGAGAGAGACTGCATAGAGCGCAAAAGAGTTGGAAGGTGTTCATCGCTATGACCTTCAAACAGGCGCCTTGAGCAAGAGAAGTTGACGGCGAATAGAGGACCTCGGGAGGAAAGCGAGACCGGGGCTGCTGATGAACAAGTGAACGAGGAATGCAACTGAACACCAGATACCGGCTTTGCAATAGCCGACCAGAGAACTGCCACGGGCATGACACATGATCCTATGCTTGTTCCAACCTCTACGGACTGCGTTCGAAGGGGTCGGAGTATAGCCTAATAGGAATCTGCTACAACGCGGCTAGTTTCATTCCGATGAGCGGACCTTGGAGACGGGAAAGATGCTTCAAGTTGCGAAATACCGGAGGAGGCAGTGGGGCGCGTCAAGGCAGGCATATGCATTCTCGCCTTCCCCTCTCTGTCCACGAGCTCGGTATGCCGTGGCCGACTATCGCGGAGGAAACGTCCCGGGACCAGACGAGATCTGCCAAGCCAAGCGAGATCGCCGTCACGTGGGGAAATTCTCCGAGCTAAACTCGCTAACGTTCGCCAAGCGCGCCAGAGTTGCCTCTCTACCAAACCTCGTCCAGCGCAACTCATGATCGCACGCTAACCAAGACATTCAAACTAACAGGCTTGTGGGGAGAGGAAGCAGGCATGAACTCGAGTGGTGGCTTGTGGAATAATCAGTGGCCTGGGCGACAGCCTTCAGGTGCCAGGCGATTTTACCCTGTCGCAGGCACTTTCTCGGATGTCCAGGCAAATACGCCACGGCAACCCGGACACACCCCGATTGCCCAATATGTCTCCCCGCAGCAACTATTCCAGCCGCCTCCCATTCCTTTCACCAGTGGGGACTTCCAGCAGCCTCAAGTCCCGTTCTCTACTGCAGCTTATCATGAGCAGAGGGCTTTTGCGACGGCCGGGCCTGTTGTCCATGAGGGTTATATTCCGGCTCCTGGCCACGAGGACGAAGATGATGCAACGTATCCAGCCTACCCGAGTGCCTGGCGAGACCCTCTATTCTTCAACCGCGGGCTTCGGAGCTCGAGCGACGAGGATAGCGAAGAGGAGCGTGCCTTAGCCCTTGAAGAGGAGCGCATTCTGTTTGAAGTTGCCGAGAAGAATGACCGAGAAGAGGACAGGGACTTTTCCGTGTCGGAGGAAGACTTAGACGAGGACCCCGACGAACTGCTACTTGACGAAGAGTTTCACGATGAAGACGAGTCTCAGCCGAAGCGGGGGAGGCCTAAAGGCAGAGGGACTCGAGGAGGTCGACGCGGCAGGCCTTCTATGCGAGCCAGAGGAGGACTTCGTGGTTCAGCGTCGACGAGGGGAAGGAAGCCAGTGAGGCCTGGCAGACGTGGGAAGCCCAAGGGCAGACGGGGGCCCCGCCCAATTGCCGATCCGGGACCTCAGTTCAAGGACTTGCAGCGGCTGGCTAACGAGGCGTACATGCGAAGCGACTACTCTGATGCTATCCAATATGCCGAAAAAGCGATCCAGCTCAACCCAGAGATTTTTGTGGCACACAACATGCTGTCAGAGATCTATGCGGCAATGGGCGAAGAACACAAGTCTGTGCAAGCTCTAATCGTTGGTGGGCCCACCAAGCGAGACAAGGACCTCTGGTGGCTCATCATTGAGCGCGTGGAGAAGATCGACCCGAGGAAGTACCCTTCCTATACTGAGAAGCGTAAGACTGAGATTATTCTCAACTGCCTACAGTCTATCATTTTGCTTGAACCCGAAGACTACGAAGCGCGCAGCCGGAAACTGGAGGTAGAAGCCAAGTTGGGACGCATTTCTAAGTGCGTCAAGCAGTGTCGAAAAATGCTAAGCATCAAACCGCACGAGTACGATATCCTGAGGCAAATGGCGGTTTTGGGCACATCGACACCGAAACAAACCCGCATTCATCTTTCCAGGATCATTCAATGCTACGAAAATTCCATTACTCACTTCCTGGCTCATGACCGGGACCCCTCAAACAGCAATCTGGACTGGGCTTTGCTGAACATCTACCTAGACCTCCTGGACCTCGCCGGAGACTACGATCGTGCACTGTCCCGTCTGAAGATGCTCTCACGGTGGAAGCAGAACAGAAAGGAGGAAACGTACTGGGACAATCAGGAAGACGACCGGGAATTCGACCTCGAAGATGTCCCGAGACGGATAGCTGTGCCAGAGTTTTCGCGCACCTCTCATCGAGCTAAATATGGAAAGACCCTACCGATGGAGATTAGAGTGAAAATGGGGCTCTTTCGCTTAAAACAAAACCCGTGCAAATTTTCCGAAGCGATGGTAAGCTTTGGCCAGGCATTTGTGGAACCTCACTGACGTCTGCAGCACCATCTCGAAATCCTTGATCCAGCCGACGACAGTCCCGACGCTCTGCTACGGGACTACCCGGACCTGTTTCGCCTGGTGGCCGATACCCTCCATGCTACCGGCTATAATAAGGACGCCTTACGATTCTACGAACCTTTGTATAAGCACGAAAGGGGGGAACTTCGTTTGAGAAGCTTTCTAGGGCTGTACACCTGCTACATAAACTTAGGCGAGGACGACAATGCCCAGGAGATTGTTGACATCTTAAAGGATTGGAATGCAGAAACTCTCGACGACCTTACGATCCTGGCAAAGTTCTTCGAAGATATTGGAATGCAAGATGAGGCAACTCAGCGGGCAGAGACTGTCTATCGGAACAGAGGGGCCCACCGTTTACGAAGGATAGGTTTCAAAGGATACACCAACCTCTTGCAGTACTTCTTCAACCAGAGAAAGCAGGCCCGAGGAAAGGATGTAATTAGGAAGAAGCGAGCCAAGAAGCACATGAAGAAATTGATGGCTGCTACAAGGCCCGAACAGGACTCCGAGAACGAGGAGGACATGAGCGAGCTCCCATCCCTTGGCCCGCTGGACGAACGGCCAACCCAGGGCCTTTTCAGGTCGAAGAAACCTCTATCTACTGGTGGACCTAAAACGTTCCTCCCTGTTGAGCCGGAGACGCTCGAGGGTACAAACGTACCAATCGATGCGATTGATCGCAGATTATTTCGGAGCAGGCTAGAGAAGCTTGCCAGCGATTATGCGGATGAACTGAAAGCGGCAAGAGCCCAACACAGAGAGATTGTGGCTAGTTTTGGGCGACTGGACGAGTTATGTGACGCCGCAGACGCTGCGGACCAAGCTGCCGCTGCCGAATACATATCAATCAGCCGCGAACTTATCGAAGAGTATTCCACCTTCGACCTCTTCTACTCCAATCGGCGTGAAGACTTCCAGGGGTACTTCCGACGAGTAGGGTCCGGTGATCTATGGAAGGATTCAGCTTTAATGATTCTCGCTGTGCAAGCGAACAGGGCGGAGGATGGCGAAAAAGAGCTGGAGCTCTCAGAGAGCCCTGAGGTGGTCCCACGGGAGTTTTACGGCATTCACTTCGATAAATGGGCCGACGTATTTGGCCGTTATGCCCTTTTACTCGCCCGCCAAGGGGAGAAGGACCGGTGCTTTAGCGCTCTGGACGTTGCTATCCAATCGAACATCTTCCACCGGTCTCGGACCTACCACCATTTGCTCGAGCTCTGCCGCCTCGCTTGTGCTCTAGCAGTCGATGACTCGCTGCAAGCGTCCTCTGCAGTTCGCTGGCTCATGCGTACGTACCCCTTTGGTACTGAGATATTCCGACTGTACGGCGCTGTGAACCGCCTCTCCTCATTTGCAGAGGGTTTTGCCATGGGATCTACGGCGAAGGCACTCATGCGATATATTAAAACGATGGACTATGTCTTGCTTACTCCAGAGCAGCGCGTTTGGTATAATTTTCGGGGCGACGATCGCACGCAATGGATGCATAACGCTATTTCGTCTGGCATTACGGACTACGTCAAGGACCATGACCCGGCTTTATTTGCACTGTTTGCTCATGTGCTCAGTTCCAGTGGATCCTACATGGCAGCTCTCAACTACTATTTCCGCGCCTTTGCCATCACGCCTGAGGATCCAACACTGAATCTCTCGATTGGCATGGCCTACCTCCAACATTCAATGAAGCGACTGTCTGAGAATCGACAATTCCAGATTCAACAGGGTCTCGCGTTCATAAACAGATACTATGAGCTGAGGACGAAGGACAGTGTCCCCATTCATTGCTCGGAAGCGGAGTTCAATGTAGGGAGGGTCTGGCACAGCCTCGGCCTCATGAGCAACGCTGTCGCGTCTTATGAGCGATGTATTGCGTTGAGTGAGCGTGTGCAAGAGGAGGCAAGCGATGAGTGCAGAGATGGTGATTGGGGCGTAGAGGACTTTGCGACGGAAGCCGCCTTTGCTATTCAGGCTATTTACGCCGTGAGCGGGGACTTTGAGGGGGCGCGCAAGGTGACGGAGACGGTTCTCGTTATCGAGTAGGCTTCCTTGCCGCTTTCTTTGAGCAGTAGCTTCGCCTCAGGGGGTCAGATGAGAGTCAGAGAATGCCTGTGGTTCTACTGTCCACGGATCATTGCAACGGACTACATGAAACGCAGGTTCGGTGTTTGTAATATACCCCCCTTCATTTCCAGCTGTGGACGGCGTGACTGGGGTTTGAACCGTGGCGAGTGGGGGGCTTGCATGCGTGGAAAGAGCGGTCAAGGCTGTCTTGCTCAGAGAGATCTCATAAACGGGGGCCTTCAGATCTCACGGCGTCGATCTCATGCACTCGCGTTTGCTTCTCCAAACATGCAGATGCATCGCTGGGGTGGCGTTTCCACCTTGGCGAAGATGAATGAACATGTCGTCTCCGATGTCCTGCTGCTTGCCATGAAGTGCTATTGCGGAGCACGCTAGCAAATTTCAATTCAGGGCAATATGACTTCGGTTGGAGCATGTAGCTTCTCAAGCCACGATCTCAGAGTTGGCATCTCTCACGCTGTACTCCAGCAAGTGGCTTTGCGTTTGGGGATGGCAGATCTCGTGCTCATCTCGCATATGCGTTCTTGTGCTACGGAAACGACTTCGCTGCATCTGGGACAGTAGCTCCCCGGCTGGGTGGCCCAGATGAAATATGAAGGAAGTCGTACAAGTTCCCGTCGGTCGTTCCACGCCACAGCAACCCCACTCGTCGCTGCTACGTTGCACACAGATATGGGTGACCACCCCTCGTGCGACTCCGTAGTTGTGACTTCAATCTCGCGTCGTGAGCTCAACTTCCTAGTGGTAATAGCGAGGTTTTGCTTGATGTAGCACCGATGAATGGCCAGTAGTAGTAGTAGTAGTAGTAGTAGTAGTAGTAGTAGTAGTAGTAGTAGTACGAGATTTGAAGTTCCTAGATGGAAGAGTACACGTAACAGCGGCGGAAGGACCGTACCACTGTACTTGGAACACTCGAGGTCGGAACACGGCGGCGGGTGGGATCGAGCTCCTGGGACGGGATACTGGGAGTTTTGTGCGAGCACTGCTAGCGACGAGTCAGTTGGACCGAGTTGCCCGAGTAGGTATTGACTTCCCCGGCGGCGAAATGACTAGCCACTGAGCCGATAGATGCAAGTAGAAGTTACGACAGACGCGCAATGGTGCTGCTAGTGTACAGTCTATTCTCTATACAAGACCTCTGTGGAGAAGGTCGATGGATGAGTACGCCGCGTATCCCTGCGATGCTATGTATATCTCACCACTTTTTATCCTCCGTCATACAGAAAAGTAAAAGGACCCAAACCGCTCGACGGGTAATTCTTACAACACCGGATGCGCCACATGTTGAGCTTCCCGCATCCGCGAATAACGCCCGACTACCAGGACTCCCTGACGCCCCATCTCCCAACCTCCTTCATCGCCTCCTTCCCTCCTTCTGCCAGCCGGGCATCACCCAACACTCCAGCAACACACTTCCATCCATCTCTGCCCCCACCCCACCTCAACACTTCATTCTTATACTTCTCTCCGTTCACCCTCTCTACACTACCTCCCTTCCCGTCCTTCTGAAATACATCGCTCCAAATCTTACCGGCGATCGCACGATCAAACAGGTAGCTGTAATATGTGGCGCCGTAGCCAAACAAATGGCCAAAAAAGCCTTGCCAGGCAGTACCAGCGGGCTCAGGGATAGAAGCATGGGTATTGTATATGTCGTGGTAGACTTTCGTGGAGTCGAAGCTGGAGGAGAGCGGGAGCGCGGAGTGGTATGCTTGATCTAGCATTGCGAGTAGAATCTGTGCCTCTGTTTCTGCTGGTTGCGTGCGCACGTCGATGGCGAGCCGCTTTTCTAGAGCGGACATCGGTAGCGGGACGTCAGTGTCCCAGTGGCGCGCGTAGAGTGCGAGGACGTCGGGGCAGGATGCGAAGTGCTCCATGAGGACTGACGGAAGTTCTGCGAAGTCGGTAGCGCAGCGAGTTCCGGAGACGTTTTGTAGAGGGGTGCGACCGAGGAACGAATGCAGAGCGTGACCCATCTCGTGGAATAGAGTGCGCACATCGTTGAAGTTGAGTAATGTCGGTCTCGGATATTGATGCTTTGAGAAATCGCAGATCAAGGCTATAGTGGGAAGCTGGAAGTAGGAATCCGTCTCCTTGTTGTATGATACAGCCATGCCATCAGTGGCGGCTTCCACAGGAGAGGAGAAAGGATGAGACATTTGCGACATGTCCTCGATTTCAGACTGCAATATCTCGCGCGAACAGCGAAGGGTGAAGTGTGCTGGGTTTGGTGTCTTGCCCTCACGGGAGAAGAGATCGCAATAGAGGACAGCGACATGACCATCCCTGTCCGAAACAACGTCCAGTCGCCGCACTCCATCGTCCCAGACCTCACCGGGTTGGGTTTCGCGAGGTACAAGCCGGATGCCGTAGAGGCGGTCGAAAAGGCGCGAGAGACCTTGCATGACGGTGCCGACGGAGAAGTAGGAAGAGAGGAAGTCCGGTGTCCGCAGTTTGGTGTCCATACTCGATAGCAGCTTGTGGGTGTAGTAGAACTTATCCCAGGCGTTGATCCTGTCGGGGAAATTGTCCACCTTCGCGTCGCCTCTTTTTAGCTCCATCAGCTCCTGTAGCTCTTCGTTGACCAGCCGCTTATTGTCCTCGACCAAGGCACCCAGGAACTGGTTGACGGCTTCGGGGGATTTGGCCATCTTGTTCTCTAATGTCATATGCGCGAACGTCTCATATCCAGACAACTTGGCCAGCTCTGCCCTGTCCTTTAACATCTTCTCCAGCCGAGTTATGCTAGGCTTATTTGCCGTCCGCACCGCCATGTAGATATCTCTTCTCACATCGGCGTCGTCGACATACCTCAGAGCCATCTGTGCCTCGTGGTGCATAGTGCCGATCTTGGTCTCGCCCCATTTGGTCAAGGCGCGTACCATATTCGGTTCTAGCCCTCTCATCCGCTTGCTATCGAACCTCAAATAGCTGGCCTCGGGCGCCATTCTTTCCACAAACTCGGTCCCGACATGGGCGATCTCGCCGCTCAGCTCTACAAAACGCTGCCTAGCCCCTTCGGGCAGCTCAATCGCACTCCTCGAGAAGTCTTCGATTAGAATTTTGGCAACGACCCTTTCCTGTTCGCTCCAGCTGTCCCACACCTCGGGTATCGCGGACGCTTTCTTCAGCTGATCGTTGAGCACCGTCGTAGTATTGAGCTGATTCATGTACTGAAACATGATGGTATAGGCCTTGCTCGCAGCATTCTGCACCCTTCGGTCCGGATGCGTTCCCCTCACGAAGTCGGCCAGATCAATGACCCTGCACAGCAGATCGCTCAACCGGTCCAGCTCCCGGACCATGCTCCTATAGTGCTGCACCGTGTGCGCCCTGCTCACTTTTTCCACCACGGCATTGCATCGCGACAGCGTTGTGGACACGAACTCGAGGAAGCCGTCCGGGTGCGTGAGGTATCTGTTGCCGACGATGCCGGTCGGTGGCTGCTTCGTGGAAGCGCGCGAGAAGTCCTCCCAGAACCTGGCATTGTCGAAGATGTTGCGCAGCGTATCGTCGTCGTCCTTTGCGCGGCCCGTGGACAGGCCGTAGAGACTCGAGGCCGGGGGCGGCGGCACAGGCTCGCGTGCGGTCGCTGCGGCGGCAAAGGTGCCGTTGAATCGGCGCGGGCGGTGGCTCTGCCTCTGGTGCAGACAGCGCGAGCATATCCATGGCCGTGTCTGCGCGCGCGCCGCAAGCCGCATGAGCATGGCGGGCTTGACGGGCAGGGCAGTGCGGTGCTGGCCGGGAGGGGGTACAAAGGGTAGGAGATGTCGATGTCGATGTCGTCAGGCTGCGGCAGGGCAGGATGAGACCAGCGCCGCGTCCGTGCGCCGCGTATCCTTTTGTCCCGGAGCGCAACACCACGCCCTCTCACGACGTCCATCCATTGCGCCTTCGCCTCCTCCACTATGGCCTTCAGACCGCTGCTACGGCAGGTGCGTGTACTCCATCGACGTGCTGCGATGCTCTCTGACCTCCTCCAGCGCGCCCTCGGCCCGGTCGTCGCCGCCGCCGCCGCCGCCGCCGCCGGTGCTGGCATCGTTGCGTCTCCGCGCATCCTCCATGCCGAGGAGCCTCCCGCAGACGCCTCCGTACGCCACTTTGCTCTCCAAACTGTATCTGACCTTGTTCTCACTGTGAGCCCCCCAACAGGACCGCAAACCCATCTACGACGACTCCCCCCTCGATGCCACCCTGCCGGCACCCGCCAAACCCGCCGCTCCGTCCACACCCCCAGCACCAGCCGGGTCCTACCGCCCCACGCCCACCGACCGCCTCGCCGTGCGAATCGGCCACGCTCGCATGGCCCTCTACGAGCAAGCCACAAAAGCCGAAGACGCCGTTAATGCCGCTCTCACCGAAACCCTGCGCCTGGAGCACTCCTTCACATCCACCATCCGCGGCCTCGCACCTCCCAAAGAGTCTGGCGAGAAGGTTTTCCCAGGTGTGCTGTATGTCCTGGTAGCCACTATGGCCGGCAGCATCATAACGCGGAACCGGAACATCCTGCTCCGAGCCACCGTACCTGCAGCAATCGGCGTGGGAGCTGCATATGCCGTGCTGCCGCTCACAATGAAGAACGTCGGAAACCTGGCCTGGACATACGAGGAGAGGTATCCCGCGCTCGCCGATGCGCATTTGAGGACAAAGGAACGCGTGACGCGCTTCTGGGAGACAGGGAAGGCCCATTCGGCCATGACAGTGGGCATGGTACAGGACAAGGTGGGTGAGACAAGGTCGAAAATGGAGGAGTGGGTGAAGAAAGGGAAATAAACCGTCTTTTCCTTGGATTGTTGATCAGGGTAAAGGCCCCTAGGTCACTGTAACTCACTGTACCAGTAGTTGATACAAGGGCTGGGCGCTCGTGCACGCAGTCATACAAGTCTTCATTTGTTACATACTGTAGCCCAGACCTGCGGTGCCGACATCGTCGTTTTGCAACATCAAAACACAACAGTGGACACATCACTGAAGCACTTCACGAACCTCCAGGCCACCAACAAGCACCAGTTCCCAAATTTTACCAAGAGATCCATTCGGGTCCTATAGTACCAAGCCTACAGTTCCCCGCTGGTCCCCCGTCCAAACTGGTCTATGATACAAATTAATGTAACTCCAGCTAATCCGCCATTTCCTGACGGGGGAATCAAACACCGAAAGCAAAACACCTCCCGGGTAGGCGTGAAACCGAGATTAATGGGATATCCTTATGCTTCCCACAGATTCTAATGAACTCAGACATTAGCTAAACTTCCAAAATGCAAGACTTTGTCCAAATGAGCCAAAGCTCATCAGTCGATAGTGATCACCTCGTGCTTGCTTGCCATTGCTGGCTTGCCACCCACATTACCGACCTTCCCGGGCGGCTGCTGTTGCCTGCTGTTTGGAGGACCGACACCGTTAGCCTTGTTCGAAGGACCTGGGCCATTGGGCTGATTGCGAGCTGGAACAGGTTTACTGTCGCCGTCGTTGGCTTCCTGCTTGAATCCACCTTCAACAGCGCAGCTGATGACCGTCTCGTGCAGCTTCTTCAAGGCAGCCGGGACCCCATCGATATCAGCCACGATACCTGTCCGTACCCCAAACCACCGCTCACCGGTTTCCTTGAATAGATTGTGCAATGCTACCTTGAGGGTCTCCGGTCGTTTGAGATTTGATGCGCGTTCCTGGCTGGGTCGCAAATCCGCCGGTTTTCCATCGTTGTCCTCTATGAGCCAGAAGACCTTGTCGTCCTTTGGTCGGAGGCGCACATCAAATGAGCATTGCGGATTGGCATACTTCAGGCGGTATGTCCCAATAGCGTGCGTACGTACAGCGGGGTTGCTCATATTGCCGGGAGCTAGGTTCTCGATCTCGTTGAGAGCGGATAGGATAGGCCGAGTCATTATGAGAGTGGTGCAGAAGCGGTCTAGGGTGGTGTTGTCGCCGAGATATAGATCTGCATGGGCTGGGTACCGCTCATTGACCATTTCGGTGAGGAGCGCGCGGATGCGATTATGCGGGTTGTTGTGTCCAAAATCCACTTTGATGTCGTCGCCCTTCCCGAAGTTGACCGTCGCCATGAGCGATTTGCCGTATTGGAATTGTACCTGCTGCAATGAGGAAGATTTGAGCGGCATTTTGCGCTTCTGGAGGGTTGTTGCGAACGAGCGAAGACGGTCCACGTCTCGCAAACGTGCCCTGAGTTCGGGGACAATCCCCTCTCCAAACGACGTAGATAGAAGGATTGAGAAGTTGCCGTCCTCGGAGAAACTGAAGTTGTTTTGTGGTGAGGCCGCCATGAGCTTTTTCATATCCGCGGCAACATCTGGCACCATCATCCCAGAGGCGATGTGCCACACATTGCGAGAGTCCGACCGTAGACCCTCGCACATAATTCGCAAGCCAGGTTCCAGCCATGGTGCTTCTCCGGGCTTGGTAGCAAGCAGATCTGAAGTCTTGACATGTAAAACCCAGCCGCGGACGATTCCCTGGGAAGCGCCAGGATGACGAGATGGAGCATACTCGTACCCAAGGTTGTATGGCTTGTTCTCCTTCTGGAGTTCTCTCGCAGTGACGTAGAAGGCAAGTGTGTGGAGGGCGATCCTTTCGATGCTTGAAGATGTAGCGCGGGTGATGGGCGGCGAGCGGCCCTTTTGCTTGTCGATGATCAAACGCTGGGCATACTCAATGGTGTTGCCCTTCGCGCCTATCTCACATATCCACCAGGATTCACCGGAGGAGGCTATGACGACGGCCAAAGCCCAGTTCGGTGACCAGCCACGAGGCCAATAGAAGGCATACTGTAGGACATCCAGCTTGACTGCTGCTTTCACGACGTCTAATCGCAGAGCTTGCCGCGCGACCTCTTGCCACCCAAGCTGCTGAGCGTATCTTTGGATGAGGTCGCGAAGTGACCGAGCAAGTAGCTGGGTGAGTATTGCACCGGTGTTGGATGCCTCCTTTGGGCGATTGATGGCGTTTTCCGCGGCCGCCGACTGGGCAGTGACTGGCTGCAGGATGTATCTTCCCGTCACAGATTCCACCGATATCGTCGCCTTGTTGACCGATGGACCCAGAGACGTCTCAAGCATACAGTCCGAGGGTTCGGTTTCGGATAGCGTCGCCTTGACGGTCATCCCCGCGTCGAGATTTTTGCGAGCGGCCTCTAGAAGGTGTCTGATATGGAGCGCTATTACTCGCTTCAACATTCGTTCCACGGACAGCTGCTTCCAATCAAAATTGAGGTCGACGTCCTTGACTTCCACGCCTTGGCGAAACCAGCGGACGGTCAGAGAAGGTATTGGCGGTCCTCGCCATGATACTCTGCCGTTTTGGGGCCTGTTACTCGATAAGCCGATCTCAATCCAGTTCTTTCTACCAGGCCTGTCCGTCCAGTATTGGATCACAAGCGATCGATGCACCGGCTCCACCTTGAGCGAGCCAGCCCAGCCAGCGCGGAGAAGCTCGTACGCCTGCGACTTGAGGACGGCAACTTTGTGGGTGAGGATGAAGTTGTGGAGGTGGTCAAAACATCCACTCAGACCGGATTGCGCAAGAATGCGATCTAAATGGAGCTTGAGGGTCTGTAGGAAGCGGCTTTGTACCGTGATCGAGGGCGCGGGCGAAAATAGAAGCCTTAGGTCGATGAAATGCCACTGGTCCGAGGCGTCTTCTACGAAGGAGATGACGTCCAGCTCGAACTCGTTATCTACGATGAAGGTCGCTCGTCCGGAATCCACCCGCCATTTTCGGAGATGGCGTGGGAGATTCTCATGCACGTTAAGCCGTATCGATAGAGATGTGTTCATGTATCGCAGCAGCTTCAGCGCCTTCTCGGAAGAAATGGGCTTAGGTGGGATGAAACCCATCTGCAGGCAGTCAGCCATGTGTACGGGATAGGCCGCGGGGAAGACGTACGTCAGGTATCCATCCCGCCTTTCCAGTAGCCAGGACCTCCAGCGCCGTCCTGATGTCGGGATTGTACTGCCTCGCATGATTCGAGAGCACTTTTAGGTTCTCTATCTGGAAATCCACGGCATCCATGAAGGTGCTCTGCTCTCGTGCCCACGAGAACAGGTCGATCAGTTTCGAAACATCGACTGCAGACTTCTTGCCCCACTCTGCCAGAACTAGCAGTTTGATAAACTTGGCCCTGTTGTCTTGCGCAAACCGCATCAACCATAGTTTCTTCTGCTTGTTCGCTTCGGAATTGTCTAGGCCGCCATTTGCCAATCCGTAGGGCCCGAGCCCGTTGGTCACGATGCCATTGGCCTGGTGGCTGGCGGGCACCTCGGCCATTGCCTGCAGGACGTCATTGAGGTCATTGTAGCAGTCTTGGGAAACGCGCAGAAGCAGCTTCGAGAGAGGATGATAGAAGTCGGAGGCGAGGTGCACGATTTCCGGCGGCAGTTGGGCCAACTGGTTCGGCGCAGACGCAGATGCAGACATAGAGGCGGGCGTTGGGACCGCGGACACGGACATGGAGGCGCCGTTTAGACTTGGAGTGTTCGCAGGCCCGTTCATAGCGACAGCGCCATCCATGGCATCCTTTTTCGGAGCGTTGCGCTCGCCATTGACCAGCTTGCCGTCGTGAGTGCGTTTCTTGCTTTCTCCATCTCTTGGGCCCGTGGCTCCGTCTGCGCCGCTAGGATTCATGGTGCGAATGCCTGGCATACTCTGGGCCTGGTCATGCAGCACTTCGGCGCGCGCGCCACTCCTGCCGCTCTCCACAGCCTCCCCGGATTCTTCCCCCGCTCGCTTTAGTGGATGCGCCGACAGTATCTTGACGCAGACGGCTCACGGCGCGGCGGCTGGGGCTGTCGCAACGGCGAGGGCGGCCTCCAGGTGCTGTCTACGTCGGCGGAGTCGGGTTGGCGCAGGCGCAAGCAGGCAGGGTGCGACCGTACGCAGTTATGTGCCCGCGGGGCCTTGAGGCGGCGGCGCACAGGGTGAAAGCAGACGTCGGCGGATGCGGGTGAAAGGGCTGGGTGCTGGCCTATCTCATCGTGTCGCCCTTGAGCTCCCGCGGTCGGTAGGCGCGCCGGCGAAGACAGAGAGAGAGAGTGTGTGTGTGTGTGTGTGCGAGAGAAAGCGCGGGCAGTAGACAGGGTGTCGCGGCTGGGGCGGGCAGGGCGGTGGTGGTGGTGGTGTTGGTGTTGGTGTTGCAGCGGGCACGGAAGAATGAAGCGTGGGAGGGCGGCGCGGCGCTGGCCCTGACGAGGTGCCCCAGCGGGCGGTCTTGGCGGGCAGTCCTTCGCATCAAACAATAAGACGCGCGATGGGCGAATCGGTGAATAGTAGGCCAGCGTGCCGCACCGGCCTGCATAGACGCGGCCGCTCCGTGCACAACTGCGCGCAACCCGTGGAGACCATCGCCATGTTCAAGTCTGGCCCAGTCACAAGTCACATGCCTATCCCATCGCCGGCGCGCGCGCATGCACGCTCCACACGAGATCAACCTCCGCCGTCCCCATCCCCCTTACGGTGCCCGCGACGGTGCCTTTGCAGCCTCGCCCTGACTGCTCCCTGCCGCCCTGTCGTCTTTTCTGGCCGTCCTGCCCTCGCCATGTCGCAGTCCAGGTGACGCCGCCGGCCGCCAATCACAGCGCTCCCCGACAGCAGCGCGCTCTCGAGCCCGCCGGCCGAACAATGACGCCCCGTGCTCCAGAGCCTCTGCCTCCGCCGCGGCCAGAGCTCCCCCGCGATGCCTCGACGCACTCCAAAGCCTCCGTTCCCTCGTCGTCGCAGAGCAACGAGGCAGACGACGAGCAGAGCATGTCCGACGACGTCTTCGCCATGCGCCCGCCGCCGTCCCCTCCGCGCTACGAGGGCGAAGACACCGGCCTGACAAGCGAGAAAGAGCTGGCGGGCTTCTACATGTATGGCTGGGCTGCCGAGGTATGCCGTCTTTTCTTCGCCGCCGTCTTCCCTTCATGCAGCAAATGCCCATAGCAAGACTGACGCCCACATAGGTCTTCGTAGTGTGCGGAATCGGCAGCTTCATCCCCGTCACTCTCGAGCAGCTTGCGCGCGAAAACGGCGTGCTCCTTTCCGACCACACCACACCATGCAAATCCTCCCTTCCCACTACGACTTCACCCCTCTTCTCCGCCCTCTCCCCCAAGCCCGAGACGGGACAATGCGTCGTCTACCTCCTCGGCATAGAAATCAACACGGCCAGCTTCGCCATGTACACCTTCTCCATATCCGTCGCTATCCAAGCACTTCTCATAATATCCATGTCCGGCGCCGCCGACCACGGTCGCTTCCGGAAGACCTTTCTGCTGTGGTTTGCCTTTATAGGGAGCGTAGCGACCATGTTGTTTCTGCCCGTTGTGCCCAAGGTATATGTGCTGGGCGCGCTGCTTGCCATTATTGCGAATACGTGCTTTGGTGCCAGTTTTGTGCTATTGAATTCTTTCCTGCCACTGTTGGTGAGGCATCATCCGACAGTGGCATATGCGAATATGTCTGGGGAGTCGAGCTACCTGGACGACGAGGATTTGGATAGGTCGAACGGATCATCAATCATCCGGGAAGCACAGTATTCCACTGAGCTGGCGGAAGAGGAGAACGTCATAGGCGGAGTAGCGGATGCGACGACGGCATTACTCCCACCTCGCTCCGAAGTCGACATGTCGGTCCCAAATCCACTATCGAGAGCAACTCCCTCCCAAGAGCTAGCTCTCTCTACCAAGATCTCCTCCTACGGCATCGCAATCGGATACATCGCCGCGCTACTCGTTCAAACATTATCCATCCTCGTCGTAATCGCTTTCCGCAACTCAGACTTCGGTCTTCGCCTCGTCCTCTTCATAATAGGCGCCTGGTGGTTCATCTTCACTATACCCGCCGGCTTCTGGCTCCGTCCCCGCCCAGGGCCACCGCTTCACCTCTCGGCGCACAGATCCAACTTGCGCACTTGCCTCGCATACTTCACGTACTCGTGGAAATCGCTTGGTCGGACGATCATACATGCGCGTCTGCTTAAGGACGTCATCATCTTCCTAGCCGCGTGGTTCTTGCTCAGCGACAGCATAGCCACCGTTTCCGGAACCGCCGTGTTATTTGCGAAAACGACTTTGGGCATGGGCTATGCAATGCTCGCCCTCATCAACGTAATCGCCACCGTCTCTGGTGTAATTGGCGCATTCACCTGGTCCCGCATCAGCATCTACATGCGGCTCAAACCCTCCCAGACCATCCTCGCATGTATCGCTCTCTTCGAGCTAATCCCCATCTACGGACTGCTTGGTTACATCCCCGCAATCCGCCGCTTAGGTTCCTTTGGTCTCCAGCAACAGTGGGAGATGTACCCCCTGGGGGCTGTGTATGGCTTCGTGCTAGGCGGACTAAGCAGCTATTGTAGGAGTTTGTTTGGCGAGCTGATTCCACCGGGGTACGAGGCTGCGTTTTATGCGCTGTATGCCATCACGGATAAGGGAAGCAGTGTGTTTGGACCGGCTATTGTGGGTGCGATTACGGATGCGTATGGGGAGATCCGACCCGTAAGTCTTCTTCTCTCTTCTAGCTGACATTCGTACTAAGGGTGAATAGGCTTTTTGGTTCTTAGCTGTCCTGGTCGGATTGCCATTCCCCATCATGATGCTTGTTGACGTAGATAGGGGGAGAGCAGAAGGCATTGCTCTGGCCAAGAAACTTGAAGACTTGGCAGATGAGGAAGATGAAAGTGAAGATCTGAACCAGCATCTAGTTAGAGACACCGAGCGCGAGTATCAGCATTGAGCGAGAGCAAAGCATGCATTTGCATTGGGAAGGCGCTGAGCATCGGGTTGGATATTCCCACGATTCATTAGCTAGGAGTTGGATCTATCTATTTCAGCGCGATTCTCAGTTCTTCCGCTTCGTCCTCACCGGTTTCATTCTGTGACATCCTCCTGTGTTCGATCTTGCCCGTAAATCGTCCATCATCCGTCGCATCCACCTTGCCGATATCGTCAGTGCGTCATCTTCTCCCCATTACATCGTCCCATACGTATATTTCTAATCATCCAGCCCCAAGCCTTCCCTGACCTCAGCCTTCTTCTCCGCATCCGGCAGCGTATCCTCGATCATCCTCCACATCTCGCAAGCGATCTTCTCCCGCTTCTTTGCGACTGCGCTCCACTTCTTCCACTCGGCCTCGACCTCATCGCGCTCCTTCTTAGTGACCTTCTTTGCCTTGCCAGCCTTCAGGCTGTCCAATCGAGCGATGATATCCGTCTTCTCGACCTCGAGGGCTTGCACGTTGGAGATGAGGTCAGTAGTACTGAATGTGGAGTTCAGTGATGAGAGCGTGCTACGGAGCGTTTTGGCGGTGGTATGAAGGTCCGTGGTCTGGCTGCGGAGGTCGTTGATGGCAGTGTCAAAACCGGCGAGCTGCTCGGGAGTACAAGAGTCTTTCGGGCTCTGGATGGAAGTGTAACGTGAGCCCAGAAGTTGCACTGGCAATGAGCGGCACGTGATGAGGAGCAGCTTACCTGAAGAGCATGGTAGACAATCTGCTTACCTGGGGTCCATCAGTCAAAACGAAGAGATCAAGCCGGTTCAGATCACTCACCGGCCGCACGTCCCTCGATCTCATTGCGCTCATGGAGATCCTTCAGTATCTTCGCCGCGGCAGCTGCACACTAATCAGACACACGGCTCCACACGTGCCACAACGACGAACCCTTCGTAACCTTGTTATGCAGATTCGCTGAAATATCGATAGCCTACTCGCCGTCAGTGGCATCTTCCACGTACGGAGGAGGCGAAGGACTCACGGAGTACGGGCGACTGCGAGGCGATAAGCGTCAGCTTCTGCTCCGTAAAAGAGTTCACCCTTTAGGACGTTGACTCACTTCACCTTGCCTGCGGCCATTTAGCACTTTAGTTCAAGAAAGCGGAGGGATTCCGCTACTTACGTACGTAGTGAAGGACCATGTCGGCAGCCTCATTCGCTGATTGCTTCGCAGAGGGCTTCTCATCTGTCTTCTTGCGCGGCGCCATGATGACACTCGGATGTGGATCCGTGGGGAAGGATAGAGTTGGGTAAAGTGTAAGGGAAGGTATAGTGGGAGAGTTGAGAGCCTGTGGGACGGAAGGCGCGAGACGGGAAAGAGTCGCCGAAGCACGTGAGCCGTGGTTGCGGCAGCGACGACCCACTACACACGGAGGAGGCTCGCATGATGTGCGAGAAGAGGATGAAAACGAAGCACGAGGCGATGGAAGAGTTTATGCCACCGGATGACGGCACTGGACGGGACGTCGTCTGGTGATGCTATCAATGCTTTTCTACGCGCGCTTCTCAGTCTCCGTTGGCAAAGACGAGAGATATCGCATCTTTCTCCAGATCGCTCCCACAGACAGTGTATTTTGGGTATAGGGGCAATCATTACTACTCAAGCTCAGGCTCAAATCTATGCAAGATGCTGCGCCCCAAAGGCAAAACTCCGCTATGCAAAAGATACAATCTTCGCGCCATGTGTGCTTGTTACATGACAACCTAAAGCTCATTAGCAAGTGCTTAGAATTAGGTGTGATGAGTGACTTACACAGTCGCTATCCTTCGGCGCTTGCCCAATACCCATCTCGTCGAAAGTCTTGGGGCCCTTGCCTGGTGGTGCTGCAGGCTTCGCAGGCGCCGGTTTCGCTGCTTGCGCTGGATTCGACGGCTTTACAGGCTGCTGCTGTACAGGTGTTGCCGATTTCCCTGGCGGCTTAGGTCCTTGTGGCAACCCTTGCGGCTTTGGGCTATGTGCTGAAGGCCGCCCGGCAGAGCCTGGCCGAGAAGAAGGTCCTCCTCCGGGTCGGGGCCCTGGCGCGGTGGTCGATGGTCTGTCCGGTCTAGCCGATGTCCTGCTCTCCTGACCCGGCTGCACTGTAGATGGGCGTGTGTGTTGTCGCGGCTCTAGAGGAGCAACGTACCCAATATCAGGAAGAGTCCCTTGCTTCTTAAGCGGCAACCCAGGCTTTTGAAGCCTGTTACGTCCCTCAGGCGCGCTGAAGCCGATATCAACAGGCTGTGTTGTTGCTGGTCGGTCGTATGCGTCCGGTCGTTCAGCGCTTGGTCCTCCAGGCTGCCTATATGCGCCTGGACCGGGTGGGGGAGGTCCTCCGCTTGGGACGCGTCCCCTTCCGCGGCCCATATTATCAATGCTAGTGTGTGGACGGAGCGGCAGAGGACCCATATTTGGTCCTTGAGGCGGAGGACGGCCACCACCGTATCCGTTATTGGGACTGTACAGGTTCGGATTGATGTTGAATGCCTGCGATACAGGCCGAGCAGTTGCAGACCGTAGTTCTGGGGCAAATCCTCCTGCCAGGTTTGGACCTTGAGGGCCCAACCGCGGCGGACCATTATCTACAGGATATGGTGTAGCTGTGGCAGGTCGATCGTAGGGCTGTGATGTAGGTGCAGACGTCGTAACGACGGGGGGCTTGTCGGATAAGGGATAAGGAGTGGTAGTAGCATTGCGGTCCGGTAGTCGAGCACCGCCGGGGGAGGCCGTTGAAGGCGAATCTCCGTAGTCAGAAGGACTGCTGTCTTGGATGGATGGCAAGGGTGGTGCTTGCATCTTCTGTAACCTCGCCGGGCGCTGCCCGCGCATGGAACCGTGTTGAGATTTAATTTTGTTGATCGCAATGTTCTCGTGATCCTTCTTCGAGAGCGTTCGAGACTTCGAAATACTTTCAATTCGGGCGGCTGCATCCTTGTTACCATTTCTGGCCGCTTTATCATACCATTCTAACGCTTTGTCGATGTTGACCGGCACGTTCATGCCAATTTCATTAAAGTATCCCATGGCGAATTCTGCCGTGGCCAGTCCCGCAGCGGCGGCGCGTTGCGCGTACTGGTATGCTAGCTCCTCGTTCTTCGCAAACTCTCCCTCATAACCGCAGAGGAACCATTTGCTGATGGCCATGTCTGCCTCAGGTTCTCCTTGGCGAGATGCTAGCGCGTTGTAGTGTAGGGATAACGTCGGATTGAAGTCGCAGCCCAGACTGCAAAGCTCGTAGGCGGAACCCATCTTAAGCTGAGCCTTTGCAAATCCAAGGTACGCTGCCTTCTCGATGTTCTGCCTTGCACCTTTCTCGTCGTACGCGAGGAAGACTTCTGGCACGTTGATCTGGGGAAGTTCCCGGGCCTGCAGCATACCCATAACGTAAGCACCCTGGGGAGCATTCTCGTCGGCCGTGGCTGCCGCTTGCCGGATCAGCTGAATGCCCTTGGCGTAGTCTTGTGGTTGTCCATGTTGTCCCAGCAGTGTCATCATGCCCAGGCGGTAATTCGACGCGGAGTCTCCAGCCTCCGAGCCTTGCTTGTAGTGCTGGAGCGCCTTGATCGGATCGTTTGACTGCTCGAACTGCATGCCCATCCGATACTCGGCCCTAGCATATCCTTTCTGCGCCGCGCGCGTATAACAGCGGAAGGCCTCCTTCTTGTCCACGCGCAGCCCGAACTTTCCAAACTCCAGCCACATGCCGCGCATGAACTCGGCCTTGGGATGATGCTGGTCCGCTAAGAAGCTGACCACGTTCATGGCATCTACGCGCAGCTGATGTTCCACCGCAGGCGTAGCCGGGCGCGCGCCTTGGATCTCAGCGAGCCGCTGCTCATGGAGCTGTGCTACGTCTACGTATGACAGCGCGTCCTGTGCCCATGCCAGCTGCATCTCCGGGTCGTTCGAATTGAGCACGGGCAGGCGCGCATTTTCCAGCACAGCCTCCTTCTCATCGTCCGACGGCGGAACGTTGGGCGGCCGGCTGCCGAGCTTTGGGAAGACGGAGAAGTTGGGAGCCTCGCTGCTTTGGGCGAAGCTGTGGTAGTCGTGCGTCGTCTGCTGCTGCATGGCTTGCGGCTGCACGCTCGGGGGCTGCTTGAAGGTCGACGAAATGCTCGCCTGTCGCTGGGGCCATTGCCCTGCGGCCTGCGGCGGCTGCTCGGGCTGGTAGCTCGATGCGCGCGGCGGGAAGTGCGGCGACGTCTGGTTGAGGGCCTGGGCCGGCGGAGACATGGGCGCGTTGGCGCTTCGCGGGCCGTTGGCTTCTAGTTCCATGTGAGCAATGTTTTCTTGCATGTTCTCGGGCACCTCGGGCATAATCCTACCGCGAAGGGGGGACGTCAGCACGCGCGCAATTTGATGGCATTGGGAGGGAGGACGAACCGCTGAGGCGCTGGAGAGATGACCTCTGGCGAGGGCGCCGGCATGTAGTAGTCATCGAACCCTCCCGGAATAAAAGTAGCCCCAAGCTGGGGGGGCTGGCCTTGGTTGTAGCTCATTGTCGATGCGGGCCGCTCTGGACAGCCCAAAGAGCCAGGTGTCAGCCTTTGTCCACAAGCCCAGGCGTCTGCCGAAGTGTCAGGCCGCGCGCACGACTCTCTTGAAGCGTTGTCATGGGTGTTCGTGCGTAGGCCTTGCGACGAAGACGGCAGGCAAAGCGGACGATCAACTCACAGCTTGGCGGGGTGCACGCGGAGCTTCACGGACGCTCCGACACCGCGACGGCCGTGTCTCGATGCTCCCACGAGCGGACGGCGAGTCTCGTGCGCGGAACAGGCTCGCGCAAGCGGCTGGATGTGCTGTCGGCGAGGCAGAAGCGCAGCGTTGTTGCGGATGCGTGCGGCGGGCCCGGGGGTGTTGGAGGAGGGGCTGCTGGCTGTGTGGCCGCGCAGGAGGAAAAGGGCTGGGGAGACAATAAACGCTGCCGTTTGCTGCTGAGACGGACGGCTCAAGAAGCAGTCGACGCGGTTCTCGAATGCTGAGGATTCAAATAGCTGTCTGACGTAGGCGTGGTGTAGGGTCCCGCAGCGCGACTAAGCACCCGCAAACCCTGAGCATGCAAGGCCGTCAAGGCGCGGAACTCCTACTCACTTCGCTATAAATGTTCTGACATGGCGCGTGTCGGGTTCCCAGCGCATCCACAAGGCTGCGCCGCTGTCCAGAGGCTGAGGCTGTGTCATCGAGTGGCACAACTTCGCTTTGGACCACCGCATTTGGCACGTTTGGTTTCGTTTCGCATACGCCTGACCTATGGAGCATGGGCACACGGCGGCGGGCTGAGCAGTATACGGCTGTGGGAGATGAGGTTGAGCAATATTGCGCTTTCTTGTGCTCAGCTCTGGCTTGCATGGCCGACCATATTTAGTTCGGAACACTTGTCTCGTGTCGTATCCTTAATGATTCCGAGATCAAGTGGGCGACTGACTCAGTAAGTTGTTGAATGCCCTGCACTGCCCGATTAGGAATTGTCTAACTGGAGAATAACATCCGTTTCCTCCTCACGGCACGAGTCCGAACACCTATACGGCCTCAAGCATACGCATCAACAAGTCGCATGGTGACGTGTAATCAGATCTGCTATTTCGTATCCGTAACTCTACCCTTGCCGCATAGCAAAAGAAACATGCTTCCATCCCAAGAATATCATGTGCGTACACCCCATCACCTTGGCCAATTAACCATGCAAGAATCAAGTTGGCCACCTCCAATAGCCGTCGGAAAAACCGTAAAATGTGGTGCGGCCAGAATCGCCAGGACGCCGCCTGTGAAGATAATGTGAGAAAAGGAGAACATTGAGCAGTGCCTTTAAGTGCTACTGTGGATTGACGGCTTTCTGGACCACTTTCGGGGGGTTCGAGAAGACAGGCGAGTATTCGAATACATTTACTAAGTCCGAGATTTTCAACGGACTGCGTTGAGGAGATGAATGAAATGGCTGAGATGGCTTGTTTACTAGATCAGAGAAAGGTCAGCATGCCCTAATGTACCATAACGTCGGTGTTATGCTGAACGGGCTGTTGAGGGTGCTTCTGTTCACCATTGGCAGGCTCAGGCTCGTCCATCTCCATGTCATCGCCGCCTTCTTCCTCGCCCTCTTCATCCTCGTCATCTTCGCCCTCGCTCTCTTCGATATCGATCTCCTCGCTTTCGGCGTCTGCAGCTTTCTCCTCGGCAGGTCCAGCAGTCTCTTCACCGCCAGCCATCTCGGCGTCTTCGCCATTAGCGGTAGCAGCGTTCTCAGCTTCTACCTCCTCCTCTTCATCCTCCTCCTCGTCGATACCGTATTGGTCACCATCTGCGGTCAGGTCCGCTTCGGGCTGGTCAGGGGGGAACTCTGGTGGAGCAGACTCCTCCGAATCCCTGTCATTGTCAGTTGTTGCCTAGACTGCTTATTTTGCTGTCATACCATTTTATAGCGAAGCGCGTGACACGCGGCTTCTCCGCCAGAATGTTCCTTCGCACCTTTTCGATAATGGGCTTTGCTGGAGGCTCGAGCTGGAGCGCCTCGTCCGTGTACTCGTTGTTGACGTAGTATCCGACGCGCACAAATTCCCGCTCGTCATAACTGCAGCTGAGGAGGATGACCGTCACACCGATAATTTCGCTGTTCGGGATGCGCGAAAGGTCTGGAGGATCGGCGCGGAAGGCGAACTTGTTGATGCCGACTGGAATGGGGCCGACCAGCACGGAATCGAGCTCTTGATCATACTCGTTCCTGTGGACCGTTAAGATCTGCTTCAGAACGATAGAAGCGTGGTGTGGCACTTACGAAGTTGCGGAGCCAACGTATGTCAACTTCCACTCGAGGTCTGCGTACCGCAAGTCAGCGCGCGGCAATGCGGCAACAATCAGTGTACTCACCTTTCTGCAGCTGCTCAAGACACTCAAAGGTAATCTCGAACTCATATGGCGCGTCGAACGTGGCCGGATTATTCTTGACCTCGACACCGAGGAGCGACACGACAGACATGTTGATGGATGTGGGGCGATTAAGACAATGGCGGGGGGCTGATGGTTGCTGTAAGTCGGGATATCGAGTCGGCGAAGTGTTGAGTCGAGAGCGCGGGAGCGGGACGGAAGAGAAAAGTGTTTGTTGTGGACTGGGAAGCGGTGAAGGTGCAGCTAAATAGGGACCCTTGACGCCCGTCGCCAGTCGCGTCGCGTGGAGCGCCATTAACGCGTCACGTGCTTTCGCTCCCAGCCTGCCCCTCCCCAGCCTCCCGAGCCAACTTCGCACGAACACGACAGAGCCCAGGCAACAACACGATGCTGCCTTCACTAGCTATCGGCTCGGAGGGATTCCTAAATCGTCGGTGTGGCAACTCGGCAAACTCACCCCCGATCGCACCAGGCGTCGACCATGGTTTGCACCGTTTCGGGACGGAAGACTCTCATCGCACACTTTCTTGTTCGCGCCAGAACATATATTTTGATATTTAGATGCTCGCTCAAACCGCACAATCATTCCATATGCATTTCGGTATTCAAACACCACGCATGCCTAATCATACACTACCATCAGCCCACCCTCCCCCTCCGCGGTTTGCTCCGAATCAGACCCTTGTCACCTTGACTCCTCTATCGACGAGAGCGGTTGCAAGCCCTTCCGCAATCTTCCTCCTTCGCTTCGCAGTTTCCCTCAGTTCGGGGAGATTATCATCCACCATATCACCCAGCCTCGCCAGGTCTTCCCCTGTTGTCGGGCTTCCTTCAGGCGTGTAATAAAAGCCGTAACCCTTAGTGGGCGTTGATTCGACCTCCGGTGTCAGCGCCCTCCTATTAAGCTCGCTCAAGCTCATTCTGCTCCGATTTGTAGGCGGGGTGGCAAATGGGCTCTCGCTGCGAAGGCCGCGGGACCCTCGTGGCGTTCCAAGCTGGCGAGAAGAAGACGAATTCGGCCGACTGGATTCTGAGAGGCCGATCTTACGGAGCTGGGATTCGAGAACAGCAATCTCGCTATTCCTCTTCTCCGTGACTGTAATGAGCTTGTTTATAGTCCTCTTAACAGCATCGACGGTCGGAACGGCTCCCGTCTTTCCATTTTCCGCATTGTGCGAAGCAAGCTTAGAACGCAGAAGAATCGTTGCTTCTTCGGCTTGACCAAGCAACGTCAGAAGACGCGCGTAGTCGCCTCGTAGTCCTTTCTGCTGATCGGCCAGCTCCTTAGGCAGTGACGCTTTGCGGAGCGCTTCTACCTTCTCGGGATCCTTGCGGTTGATAATCTGACGGCGGATATCGTTGAGCTTCGTCATCAGTCGAGCTTTCTCGCGGAGCAGTCGTGCTAGTTGACTAAGCTTGTCAAGGACGTCCTCTACACGCCCCTTATCCAACTCCTGCTCAAGCTCATTCTCAAGCTTCTTCAAATCTTCAATCTCGGCAAGGCACCATTTCTCGAACCAAGGACCGTCCTCGCCCTGCTCTACGACTTCTTCTAATGCTCTCCGGGTTACCTCACTGTTCCGTTGGGGTCGTTGGTGATACTCCAAAAACGCCTTGAGAGAGCGCCAGTTGAGGCCGAGTGTGTCCACCATGTTGTTGATGTCCCTATACACGATTTCGATCTGAGCAGCATGGCCCGTCTTGTTGATGGATGCTCCGCTATATTCTTGGCGTGCAAGGAATGCATCTAACGTCCTGCTGGGCTCAATCTCGCTGGCAAGCTCCAGACGGATACGTTCATCCTCATCATCAATTAGATCAGAAACCAGGGGCTGAGGGGTGGGTGGTTTCGGCTGTTGTTGTATCGACGCGCTCAATGAAGCGCCAGGAGCTGTCAGTGGTTCCCTCCGCGTTCCAATCACAGAGGTCGAGGCCGCCCGCGCTGGACTAGGTGAGCGGAGATTATCTTGTACTCGGCTCTGCGAGGGTGTCAAAGGCATAGGAGCCCTGGGGAAGCCGCCAGTTACGGCGGATTGGGGAGTCTGCTTGGGCTGTCCAAATGACGGGGTGGACTTGGCAGCCTGGCCGAAAGGGGCAGCTGGTTTGGATGCATGCCCAAAAAGAGGACGAGGCGGAGACGTACTCCTGCCTGATCGAGACGAGGTCCTAGACTTCACGACTGGTGGAGTGGGCGCTGCCGGGAAGATGCGCGGAGACTGATTGATACTGTCTTGAAGTGTCCAGCCAGTTTTTGAGGGCCGGGATCTGCGCGCGGCATCCGAAGGCGATGGTTCTTCGGTCTCTTCATCGCCACTTCGATCCTCCTCGACTGAGATATCCCCCGAACCTTCTTGTAGAGGTGATGATGGTACCGATGATGATTCTGGAGCCTCCACCTTAATGGGAGGACTTCCAGCAAGCGGAGGAAGGTCTTCGTCCGTTTTCGGTGGTTTCCATGTCATGGGATCGGGAGGCAGAGGGGCATCTTCTGGGACAAGCTGCTCTTCCTTCGGAGGCGGCGCCTTTGGTGCTAAAGTGTCCTTTGCAGGTGTTGCCCCAGGAAACATTAGGTTTGGCGGTTTAGGTGGCGACGCCGGAGTGGTAGAGACTGCCTGCGGAGCTTTCTGCTCTAGTTGCTTAATGGGGGTTGCAGGTGGTTTTGTTTCGTCTAGGGCAGAACCAAAACCTACGCCAAAGCTAAACCCGCCAGCTGACGGTGCAGGTTTCTGTTCACCCTCTTGTGTCGATCCGTCGCTTTTAAATGAGTTTCCGAGCTTGAAGCCATCGGATGGGAGTCCAAAGAGATTCTTTGGCTGAGGTGGTGGGCCTTGGGGGGTTGGTGTAGCCTCATCTCGCTCTCTGTTCTGCGCTTCATCGGCATCGCTCATATCGGACTCCTTGGTAGATGCAAATGAGGATGTACCTTGTCCGAAGATGGACCCGCCCTGCTGCGCGGGGGTGTTCGCCCAGGAAGGTAAGGTAGAGCCCGTACCGGAGCCTACCGTAACTGTGGAGCCAAAGCTCGGTTCTGTACTTAGGCCCTTGAATCCATTTGTAGTCCCTCCGAATGCGGACTTCTGTTGCTGCCCAAGCGCGGCGAACCCTGACTGACCACTAGTGCTCCCGAAACTAGAGAATGCGGAGCCTCCAGAGGGAGCATTTGTTCCAAATCTGGCAAAACCAGAGGGGCCTCCAGCCGCATTGGAAAATGGAGTCGCGGAGGTTTGAGAGGCCGACGTTTGCGGAGCCGAACCCCATGGAGATTGGCGACTACCTAAACCACCGGTCGCACCAAACGCGGAGCCTCCTTGAGCTCCAAATGTAGATGCAGAACCAAAGGCGGGCTGGGAGGGTTTTCCAAAAGTGGGCGTTGTGCTGCCGAACCCTGTCGTTCCGAACTTAGGAGTAGACGGTGTTCCAAAAGTAGCCGCTGGCTGTCTCATTTGTAGACCCCCTTGCGTACTTCCAGCAGCGGAAGCTGGCTGCCCAAATACGGACGCCATCTTCTGTTCTGACGGACCGGATTTTGCTGGCGTAGCTCCAGCTTCTTTCTGCTTTTCATATGTGAGCCCGTGGTAGCCCATCCCTCCTTCGATTGATTTATCCCATACAACCCACCATGCTGCCAGCATACCCTCGTGAGTAAGTAGAAGATACTCAGGCAACGGGGTGGATGATTCGTTCACCTCCTCCAGCCGGGGTGCAGGCCGCTGAACCTTGTCCTTGCTCGAGAGATCCAAGGCCTCGCCGATAAGGACGCTATCACCTTGTTCTCCTAAGCTCATTTGCGGAACCTGGGCCTTCCGACTATCGATTAAATTAGTCAAGTGAAAGTCGTTCACGGTTTCCTGGTCCGGGGCCATGGGTTCGCTTGTATTCGTGAGGACGGCCACGTCGGAAGAGTTTGCACTAGCCACAATCAACATATCGTTGAGAATCGGATCCCAGTTCCGAAGCCTAGTTACTGAGAAGCGAGGGGGCGGGTTTCGATGCGGGGCGTCCATAGGCGGGAATAGGAGCGGGAAGGGAGACTTGCTGAAAGAGAAGGTGGCGAAGGCTTTGTCGGTCTTGACGAAATGATATAATGTGTCCTGCTCTTCTTGCATAGCATCCTCATCCTCTGTTGGCGAGGCCTTGGGGGAATGTATGAGGAGGAATTCTTCGTTGTTGATCCAGTACACGGCCGACACTATAGCAGTCAGCAATCTCATTCGGCGTTCGAAACACGCCATCTCCCGACTTACTAGTATAGCTCTCATCCACATCGGGCGGACGTGGAATATGACCCCGTTGGTCGTTCTTGCCCGCCATATAAACGGTAGCAGTTCCGTCGGTCGACCCAGCCACAAATGCCTTTCCGCGTACGCTCCATGAGACACAAGCAACACCCTCGGTCCGTACAGGCGATGGCTGTTGGGTGCTCGTGACGTCTATAATGCTGAGCTGTCCCGAATCCAGAACCACAGCCATATACTGCTCCATGGCCGGGTTTGGGTTGGGCAATAGTGCCCGAAGAGGGGTGTTGTCTGTGCCTATTCGCATGTCTGGCTGTGTCTGCCCCCGAAGAAGATTGTCCACGCCATATACAGCCAGGCCCCCTTCGTTTTCTGGACTGAGCACGAGGAAGTCTTCGCCCGAGGAGAAGACGACGTGGCGGAGGCGCGGCACCGGAAGAGCAAAGTCAGGCGTGAAGTCGGTGACGACATCATCCTTGGTGGCCTGTTCGTGGAACGCTTTGCGGACGCTGTCTGTGGAAGCTAGGATGAGGGTGTCGGGTGCAGCTGCGGCGAGCAGACGGCGCTCCGAGGCGACGGACAGGAGGGTGGCCGAAGCTGGAGGCACATTGTCGTTCGGCCAGGGCGCGGGGAGCAACTTGAGTTTCTTCACGCCTTCCAGCCCATGGCCCACAGTGGAGAAGCCAATGACCTGTGCACGGATTAGCTATGCTTCTTGCCCGGAGCGTGCTTGATTGCCGCTACCTCTGGGTTGATCTCCGCAAGCTCGGCGCCGACGTTTACAGAGGGCGTCTGGTTGAAGTGGAAGGCCATGCTCGCGAGGAGGTACTCCGGTCGGATCTCGCGCGAGGGTGTTCTGCGAATCAGTGGTCGAATGCCCGCATCGGAGGAAGCTGCGCGCTGAAATACAGGCGACGAGGAAAAGGAGCGTGAGAGCCTGGGCGGGCTCGGGCGGAAGAGGCCGAAGCTTTTGTTGAAAATAGTGAAAGCTGCGGGCGCCTGGCGCTCTGGGGGCAATGAGCGGCAGGCACTTCACGCGCGGGCGGCTTTCTTTGATGCGTGTTTGGAGAGCGGCCTGTACGCGCCAAGCCGTCCGAGCTTCCTGACGCTGGGGGTGCTGGAGCTCCAGGCAATCGACGCTGCGTCAACAACCAACTACCCAGGTAGCAACGCCCTACCTACCTCTCCGCGTTCCGCTGCGAAGCTTGCAAGCTATACAACAGAACTCCCCGCCTCGCCGCACATCTGCCTCTGCACACCATGGCCGGCTTCGACTTCTCCAACCACAACCGCAATGCCGCCCTCCACGCCCAGGGCGTGCCGCTACCCAAGGCCACGAGCACCGGAACGACCATTGTGGGATGTCTCTTCGACGGCGGCGTCGTCATCGCAGCAGACACACGAGCAACCAGCGGGCCCATAGTAGCAGACAAGGTAAGAAGGCTTAAGTTAACATCGAAGCTTCCACATCCCGAACAGAACATGTCTGACGAGATTGCAGAACTGCGAGAAGCTGCACTACATCGCGCCCCAGATCTGGTGTGCCGGAGCCGGTACCGCCGCCGACACCGAATTCACCACCGCCATCATCTCCTCCAATCTCGAGCTGCACGCCCTGTCCACCGGCCGCAAGCCGCGCGTGGTGACCTGCATGACGATGCTGAAGCAGCACCTCTTCCGCTACCAAGGCCACATCGGCGCGTACCTCGTCGTTGCCGGCGTCGACCCCACTGGCGCCCACCTCTTCACCGTGCACGCCCACGGCTCGACCGACAAGCTACCCTACGTGACCATGGGCTCCGGCTCGCTGGCAGCCATGTCCGTCTTCGAGACGCAGTGGCAGCGGAATTTGACCAAGGCCCAGGCGGTGAAGTTGTGCGCGGACGCCATCCAGGCCGGTATCTGGAACGACTTGGGCTCTGGTAGCAATGTGGATGTGGCCGTCATCACAGGGGACAAGACGACCCTGATGCGGAACTACATCACTCCCAATGTGCGGCAGCCCAAGCAGCGGAACTACAGGTTCCAACCCGGCACGACCGCGGTGCTTAACGAAAAGGTCATCACAAGGGAGGAGATCAGCAAGTATGTTACCGTGCATGAGCTGGAGGATGACAACGTCACCGCTACGGCAGAGACGATGGATGTAGATTCATAGGGTCGGGGAGCCCGAGGAGAGCGGTGAGAGTGAGATGAACTCCAGATGAACTCCAGATCAACGCCTTGCACGCCGGCATTTGGGCAAAGGACATGTATTATAGTCCGGATTTAGACATCTATGGCAGCCGGATAGGGGCAAACACGGTCATCAAGACAGAAGTTTTCGATCTACATACAAGGCGTAGTCGATCGTGATATTGCTCCGCCCTAATCAGACAAGGTGATAGAAATCTTGGAAGTTTTTGACCATTAGCGCCTCCTGGTATTGCCCAAATGCCCAGACAGAATCCCAGCAGTTGCTTCTATCTGCACCTCTTCTCCACAATGTTCGCTCCATGCTCCTCGTACTCCTTCCTCGATATCCAGAGCTGATGGAAACTGCCCAAGCTCGCCAGGATGCTGCCTCCAATCCATGCAGCATACTTCCTCTCCACAACCTGGCCGGGAGCGATGAGTTTGTTCCGCGTTGATGGATAGATAGAATTGATCTCGTAGTTCAACCTATCGTTGAATTTGTACAGAAGCGTTGAGCCACCCGTGACCACGATGTTCTGGAGTAGCAGTGGCCGCTGGTCTGCGTCGACGTGCTGCACCGCTGCCTGCACGAGTCGCGGGATTGTCTGCTCATCTTTTGGTCGTGGGTTCTCCGAGTCTTGAATCGCGGCGTTGGCGTCGAATAGACTTTCTGCGGGCCTGAAGCGCTCAGCGCCGAAGACCTGGTTCCATCCATCGGGCATTTCAAACGGGCGGCCGGGCATCGATTTCGCAATATCCTCATTGCCAGTGTTAGAGAGGCGTCCGGGCCCCGGCCAGATTTCCACCACAGACTCTTTGAACTCAGTCAAGACGCGCTCTTCCTCGTAGCGACGGAACGAATCCGTAGGTGGGACGTCGAAGTTCCTATATATGGCTTGGGCGGGCGCTCCGGCGTCGACTTGCGTTTTCGACTTCACCATGTAGTGGGGCGTTAGCGGGACCTCGGGCTGCGACTGCTTGAAGATGAGTCGGATTTGGTTGGATACGAAGTTGCCTGCGAGGGGGGATTTCTGCACGCCTTTTCGTAGGACCATGCCGTCGAGCACAGGTGTGACTGAGGTGTGCGATGCGCCGACGTCGATTATGATACCAGAGGCTTTTCCTGAGGCGAAAGCGGCGAGCACACCGGTTTTCTGGAGGTAGAAGGCGGGTGTTCCCCATTCTTCCATTGCAATCTCGATGTACTTTTCCCGTGCTTTTGCGCTGTTCCAGCCTGGCTCTGTCACAAGCAGCGGGCTGTCTTCGAGCGGCTTCTCCTGGTTCTCCACAGCATCCATATCCACGTCCATGGCGTCGCCATTCGCATTTGTGCCATCGTTCAACCCGTTCTTGGTAGGATCGCTAGGTTTTGTGCCCGTCAGCCGTGATGTTATCGCGTATTCCCATATCTTCGTCGCGGTTTCCCAATCCTCGACAATGCCATCTGCGCCCCATGGGTTCTTGATCTGAAGGTTCGCGCGCGGTGTGTGTATCGCGTTCTCGCCGAATAGGTATTGGGAGCTTGAATCTGCGTCTATTTGGCCATAGAACGAGGGACAGACGGATTTGGGGACATCTTCGCCCGCGAAGCCGGCCCGGGTGGTTGAGTAGCCAGGGTCGAGGACAATTGCTGAGACCTCATCTAAGCGCTATGTCAGTTCATGCGTCGAGGAGTTCGGGAGAGGGTTGTACCTCCAGCGTACTCGCCTGGCGCAGGCGCCGTTGAGGAATTGGGAATGTTCATGAGGCAAGGCTATCACAGCTCGCAAAGCTTTGTGAAGCTCGAATTCGAGGTCGGCCAGGCGGTTAACGCGTGCTGCTTCGGTGCTTATGCGCGGTTTCGGGGCACAGACGGTGGGGCCGGAGTTGGTGTTAGAGAGAAACTGTCGCATCGCGATCCTCGAACTTTCGAGGTTGGCGAGCTTCCGTCTTCCAGCCGCCCTCACCGCACCCCTTTCCTTCCCAGAGCACGGGAACGCTCCAAGACAGTCATTATATGCCCCGAACATGAGAGGCTGAATATAGAAAGCAATATGATGCTCCAATACCTCCGCCAGCTCTACTCCCTGGACACGCTCGATACTCGCTTCGTCGTCCCCGCCACCATACCCCCCAAGGAAGCTCTCGAGCTTGCAGAACTCGACCCAGCACAGCCTTTGCCGGTTAGGAATGGACAGGTCAAGGGCAGAGACTCAGCGGAGGCGGTCCAGCCTTCGCGCTGGGATACGCCGGAGTTCTACTTCTATTATCTGGTCATCCTCATTTGTGTCCCCCTTATGTGCAAAGCCGTAGTCGATGTCTCGAATGGTTAGCCAGTGAGAAAGGGATCGCATAGGGCATTCATGTTAACGTATACGCAGAATCCCATCCCAACTACTCTAAATTCGCTCGTCTGCTCTCGGATGGCTGGATACCTGGTCGCAAAGTTGTACGATTCCCCTTAATGTCGCCATGTCATGCACCCGCTGAACTTCTCGCAGGACAACTCCGATTTGCAGTATTCCGGCTTCCGGCAGAACATCCCATATCTGGTCATTGTTGTACTACTCCACCCTCTATTACGGAAAGCATACGACACATTCTGGAGAGCCGACACCTACACCCAGGTACGATCATCTCCAGTTGGCCTCACCATGGGCCTGACTGCTTCCGCTGCTGCGGATGCTCGTCTGAATCAGCGAGTCTCTTTCGACATTCCCTTCTCTGTTGCGTTCCTGGCGGCTCTGCATGGCTTCTCGGCCTTGAAGATCGTTACCATCTTGTACATCAACTATTGCATTGCGAAGAAGCTACCTAGGCCGTACGTGCCTGCGGCGACCTGGATCTTCAACATCGGCATACTGTTCGCCAATGAGCTGGCTCGGGGTTACTCATATGCCTCCATTCTTGGCGCATTTCTTTCTCCAACGCCAGCTTCTGAGAAGGAACCACCAACAACGAATTTCGGACACACGCTTGACAGCTATGGTGGCCTCATTCCGAGGTGGGAGGTCTTGTTCAACTTTACCGTTCTGCGCCTAATCAGCTTCAATTTGGACTACTACTGGAGCCTGAACTCAAGGACTGGCAGCCCTTTGGAGGTACGCTGACTTTCCGCTCTATTATTGGTTTACGCTAATGACATCAAGAAGAAACAGCTCGATCCCTCCAACCTCTCTGAGCGGGATCGAGTCTCCATTCCCGCGAAAGCCAGTGACTTTAGCTTCCGCAACTACTTCGCCTACACCATGTACTCGCCGCTGTACCTCGCTGGTCCGATCGTGACATTCAACGACTACATGTCACAACTACGATACCGACCGCACAGCATCACCACGAAACGGACTCTGCTCTATGCAGTGCGCTTCATCATCGTCCTTCTGACCATGGAGATCATGATCCACTACATGTACATGGTGGCCATCTTCAAAGCCAGGCCAGATTGGTCCCAGTACACACCCGCTCAACTCAGCATGCTCGGCTTCTTCAACCTCAAACACATCTGGCTCAAGCTGCTCATACCATGGCGCTTTTTCCGCCTATGGGCGCTGCTCGATGGCATCGACCCTCCCGAGAACATGGTCCGCTGCATGAGCGACAACTACTCCGTCACACAGTTCTGGCGAGGTTGGCATCGAAGCTTCAACAAATGGAGCATCCGATACTTATTCATACCGTTGGGTGGCAGCGCGCTACCAGGCTTCTGGGGAAGGGTCAGATTGGTCGTGAACTTTCTGACAGTTTTCTCGTTCATCGCCATATGGCACGACATACAGCTTCGGCTTCTCTTGTGGGGCTGGCTGGTTACGCTGTTTGTACTTCCAGAGGTTATCGCGTCCATGGTTTTCCCGGCCCGCAAGTGGAAAGACCGACCAAATGCGTATCGTTTCATTTGCGGTGTTGGCGCGGTGGGCGAGATACTGCTGCTCATGGTGGCGAACCTGGTCGGCTTCGCACTGGGGATGGATGGCCTTGAAGGTCTGGTCAAGGGCATTATGGGAAGCTACTCTGGACTGGCGTTCTTCTGGGGTGCATGTGGTGCGCTTTTTGTAGGCGTGCAGGTTATGTTTGAGATACGGGAGTCAGAGAAGCGGAGAGGGATCAAGATGAAGTGCTAGCGTGCTACTTAGATCCGGTCAAAGAGTACTATTATCGCTGTCTTGCTCTTCTCAATGCTTCTTTCCGCGTTGGCCGTTCAAAAGATGAGCAAGAGCGCCACCAGCGCTTTTCCAAAAGCCACAAAAAAGCTACCATACCCTATAAAAAGGTTCTACTTCTTCCATGTTATTCTACCAGCTGTGCAGAATCCAGCAAAAATTAAATCAAAATAGCAAAATAGAAGAGTCGAACCAAGGACTGGTTGGGTTTTCCAAAGATTTGTTAAGTGCAGTGTTGTGCGGGACTCGCGGCCACTTCTGGTAAAAGGCAAGAAATGGGTTCGGACAAATCCTCGCACTGCACAAATAGTAATCGTGGAATAAGAAATATATAACGGTACTTTGATCGGAGGCAGGTGCTCGGCGCGGAGCTTCGAGAATTTGCGGTGGGCGCTGGCGCTAAGCGAGCTGGTGGCCACGGTATGGACTGTGCCCACCGTGCCGGCTTTACCACCCGCAGTGTGCCATCCATGATTACTACATACCACAGTACCTCCGGAGGTGCACCTTTGTAGAACATTTCGCTATCGGGAATTTACAGCTCCTTTTGTGGCGCGCGTCTGATGAGAGGCGAAAGTATGAGTTGGCTAAAGAAGAATGCAGTCGACCCGCGGTCTTTGAAAGGTCTTGTGTGTTTGAACACGTGCCGCGATAAACCCCTGCCCCCACCCTCGCGCCGTTCGTCCTCGCGCTTCGTCACCATCACCATCACCATCACCATCACCCACCAAATGGCAACTCATCTCATCTCGGCTCGGCCGCCCATGGTGATTCCGCCGTTTTGCCATGAGCACGTAGCTTCGCAACACACATTTCGAGACCCCAATAGATGCTTTCAAGCCCATCAGTCGCCAGACTTCAAAGGGGATAGAAGTGGAGACTCCACCGTGCAGAAGGACATGCGGGCGACCACGCACGAAGCACGTTTGGCCTTTTCCATAACCCCCATTTCACATATGCCGGTCTCTTCTGCTCATTCACCCTTTCGTTGCTCGGGTCCCCATGTCCTATCCTTTTCCAACTACTCACTTCCTTCATCATCTCTATAGAAGATCAACTTAACCGGGGGTGATCTCCTCGCTACGTTCCTTTGATACATCGGAACCTCTGCACCGGGCTACTTCACTTTCGGGTCGTTCGAGCTGAACTAGACGCTCCCCACTCCTGGGAGGCAACCCACTGACTCCGTGCCTTACCCGGAGCAGTGCACGGTTGCTAACTGGCAAAGGCAACACCGGCCGGGGCTCGCCCGTATCTTTCCAAACATCACGCGTTGTGGGCGCAGCTAAAAACATCTTAGGAGACAGTCTCGGTCTACGGTTGTCCTCTGGGCGCACATGAAAAGGATGTGGGAGATGCTCCTTTGACTCATTATGTTCGCTAGATCGTTCTTTCAACCATTTAAGACTACTCTTTCAGTGATCCATTTCTTTGTGCGCCTGTAATTTCCCCCTATTTTCGCAATGCGCCTAGGCTATTTTGCGTCTCACTGTCATCCTGGTCGTTCTCACATAAACCGCAGCGCGCAGCTTTTGATGTTTGCATCTTGTTCTTGGAGTCACATTCACCTCGGCGAACGGACCCGTCTCTATAGCGACCTTCTCACTGACTATGCGGTTGCCCTGTTGGCGTCACTAGCGCCAACAGCGGGTCTTGGCGGTAGCTACGTGCCACAACACAGGCGCATAAAACAACTTCCAATCCCTTGCTCCTCCTCTCCACCACACTCCCTTCCCCAGACAGTCCTTCTCGAGTCGGCTGAGTCCACTCTCCATTCATTTCTTTAGCTACGACAATCGGCAAAGCCAAAGGTACTTCCTCCCTTCGACGGACAGTCATTCATTCCTTCTGCCTGCCCTGCTCTTTCGCCCGCCGTACTACATCCGTTTTAACTTCCCGAACCCTACAAACTGCATACATTTGCCTGCATATACTTCACTGCATACCATAACAATCGTTCAACCGCAGTCACGTTGAACGTGCAGTAAAGCGACCACTTGAGAGCCAGGTTTCGTAAGACGACCCTTAGCCCGCCTTTCTCGCATCTGCTGGCATCCAAGCCGCTCCATCTTTCGCTCTTCTGCGAGTGTTTAGCTGACGCTGCTGGCCGGCACCTCTAGTCTTTCATCCATCCGTACATACTTACGCATTTCTCCAAAACGCCGAACACGTCTTCCGTCATGAAGTCTGTTGCCTTGACTAGCGCTCTCGTTATGGGCGGCTTCCTCGCGGGCAGCGTTATTGGAAGGCCACTGGGTAGGTCCCCCGAAGTGTCAGAGGTAGGTTATCTCCCAGCTGACGGATACAGCCGTAAAGCGAGATATGGTCACCGAGGTCGTATACGTCACAACGGCCATAGCCGACGCCATTGTCTATGTCGATCAGGACGGCGTACCCTACCTTACCATGACCGTAAACCGGGTCGAGAGCCTCACCACCGCAGCGATCGAGCGTACTACGAGCTCATCCTTCGTCGCAGGCCCTACTTCAACATCCGTCGAGCCTGCCCCGACGCCGTCGGCTGCTGTCGTTCCGCCCGCTAGTTTGGTTTCATCAGATCCGCACTCGCTGGTTGTCGCCCCACAGGAGTCAACCCCTACGTCTGCAGCAGCGCAATGGTACACATCGATTCCCGCCGCTTCGTCTACTCCAGTGGAGGAACCATCGTCTTCTGCCGTACCTCTCCCGCCGGCGTCTTCCGTACCGTCGCATACCTCTTTTTCTGCTCCGGCGCCCGAGCCCGTCGCTTCTTCGGCAGCGCCAGCTCCTGCAGCGAGCGCAAAGGCACCTGAACCCTCCGCTCCCGCTCCCGCTCCAAAAGTAAGCACACAGTCTGACGGTCTCGGCGTCACATATGATCCCTACAAAGGTACACCCAGGCAGTGCCAATGCAAAACTTCCGACGAAATTGCCGCCCAATTCGAGCAATTGAAGAGCTATAAAATAGTGCGCATCTATGGTAATGATTGTGGCATCATCCCGGTCGCCGTCCAGCAGGTACGTGGGTCGCAACACACGCTAGCATGTCTCGGTTTGGACCTACAAAAAGGGCTTCCTAAAGGCCTTCAGCGGGTAAAGGCCTAAGACATATCAGAGAGCCAAAGTTGCCCCTTATTGGAGACAATTGCTAACTGTACCGCTACCTTGGCAGGCCAAGAAGAACGGTCAGAACCTCATGGCCGGAATCTACAGTCCCAATCAAGCTATCGACGACGTAGTCAACGACCTGTCCGATGCTATCAATCAATACAACGGCGGCAGCTGGGATATCATTAGCCTAGTCTCTGTTGAGAATGAGCGAGTCAACGCCCACGTCCTTACCGCCTCTGACGCCATGGACACGGTTGCGCAGGCGCGCGTAGCCCTGAAGAAGGTTGGCTACACGGGACTGGTTGGTGCCGTCGAGACTGCCCCTGCTATTGTCGGTAATCCGGCCATTTGCGCCAAATCTGATGTGGCGCTCGTTAACATCCACGCATTCTTCGACCAGCATACGAAAGCCGAAGATGCTGGCAAGTTTGTTAAAAGCGAGGTCGAACGCGTCAGGCAAGCTTGCCCTGACAAGCGAGTCATCGTCACTGAATCTGGATGGCCTCACAAAGGTGACAACCACGATGATGCCGTGGCATCCCCCGAGGCACAGCAGGCTGCGCTGGCATCTATCCGGAACGAATTCCAGCAGGATCTGTTTCTCTTTAATGCTTTCGATTCCCTCTGGAAAACCGACGACGACTCCACGTTCAACGCAGAGAAGTACTGGGGGTTCATGTCATAGGGTGCTACTTGCGCACATCTTGTGGTATTCTCTCACGAATGGCACCGGCGGCATAGGTCTGCGTGGGAGAGCGAATGGCATTTTTGCATCATGAATCACGAGAAACATGAGTCATGTAACATAGATATCAGGCTCAAATGACGAAAACATTTTCTCCAAGGGCTCCTATCTATCCCAATAACCGTGAATGTAAACGGTATTATAACGATGAAGAAAAGGACATTCTCATAGTTATTGACTTCCGTCCTCGTCCACTCCCAGCTCGAGTATGCTCTCGTTCGGCTGTTATACCTCGATAGCACCGTTAAAATCCCATAATCTCTCTTCCCACCCACGTCACAGTTTCGGACTAGCGGCGAGTCATACCAAACCCGCAAATGCCTTCGCAGTATCGGCAACGCTTTTCTCATACGTAATCCACAGCCCACCCCTCAGCAACTTCTTGGCCTTACTACTATCCACGGTAAGGTCTTTCTCTGAGTCTACCGTATAATCCTTCCTGTATCCCTCCCCTGGCGTGCCTTCCACAATCCTGTTTTTCGCCTCTGGGAACTCGTTTCGTAGAATATCGGCAATGGCCTGCGGATGCCCAACCGCGCTGCTTGCAATATACCGCTCGCCGTTCGTCTCCCCAGCATGCTCGATTGAATACGAAACAAGATCTGCCACATCCCTCACATCCACCACCTGCGGGAGCCCTGCCATCGGTGCCGGAATCGACTTCCCAGAGAACACATCGTATATTCCATGGATAGTCTCACCGATTGCCTCCTCACTCTTTGGCGCCACTAACGGTGGCCCAATAACGAGCACCGGGTTGATCGCCGTCATGGCGAAAGCGGGCTTCTTCTCATCTCTAAACTGCCAAAACGCTTTCTCGGCAGCTACTTTGCTAGCGCTGTAGATGAAAGGTCCGGGCGTGGCTTTCCCGAGCTCGGCTACTTTTGCTTCAGCGATGTCATTCCAGTCTGCTTCGGTGAACGCGTATGGCGGGAGGTGCACGTTTTTAACGGCCGCAATGCTAGAGAGGAGAGTGATGGATTGGAGCCCAGAGCCGGCGTGAGCCAGGGCGGAGGTCAGGATGGTTTTGGTGCCGTTGATGGCGGCATAGAGGATCGGTTCGGGGTCGTTGAAATGAAAGGATACGGGTGATGCGAGATGAGCTATGGCCGTTGCTCCTAGGAGAAGTGTTAACATCAGATATTTGGTCTGGACCGAATAGAGGCGGTGGAGGCCTTCAGGGTTCCTGTTGGCATGTCGGAAACTAACCTTTGACTGCGTCATCGAACGCGCCGTCCACTGTCATATCCGGCACTTCAATGACAGAGAACGTCCCAGCTTCGGCATAGTCTTTGAGTGCATTCTTGAGAAGCGGCTCCGCTGAAACAAGCTTACGAACTGTGCCTCGGACAGAGTATCCTTGGTCGAGGAGGTGCTTTGCAGTGACGGCGGCTATGTAGCCGTTCACTCCCGAGATGAGGACGAGGCCTTTGGACATTGTGTGATAATATAACCGAACGGCAAGATTCGACAGCTTTATGATCGGCAGGATTTATTCAGAGTAGCGTTATGTGACTGAGGGTATGCTTGGGTTGGAATGAGGTGTTGAAGGTAGCCTACTTGTATCAAGTCGTTAGCGACAGCTGTGTATATCCACCTTCGTTTACTAAACCATATCGTCCCTCCAGCCATGATCTTGCTTTCCAATATCGAGAGGTTGTTACTGGATCCTTCGCTCTTACAAAGAATACTTCTACGGATGGAAACCAACGGCCAAACCGAGGGATTACTACCTAGGTACTACAAAGTGAACAGGCTAACCAAAACGGGACACATGGAGCCTTCCAAGGTTGTGTTGAGTAAACAGCCACATGACTAAACATGAGCAAGGAGCGCCATCTCCACGACAAACATAGTGCCTAGAGATCAAATCTTTACTCCATGCGTAATCGGAGTTCGTGCAGAGGTTTGCATGCTTGGAAATATATGGCGCGTTTACCCGGCGCTCGGCGTGGGAAGGGACGAAGACGCGAGATATGGCCACAAGTCCAAGGCAAGGTCCAATTCTCGCATGAACACGGCCGAGGCATGCTGCGTGCAGCCCTGAGATGCTACAGCCTGGCCTTTGGTTTGTTGTCGCTGAACCGATAAACTACGTCTTCGAACTTGTCGGTAGCGAAAACGTACAACCACACCAAATCCTTCTCTTCATCCATGTTTCTTATTCCGTGCTCTGCATCCCGGGGGATGAAAACCACAGCCCCTCTCTGGACTTCATATTCCGCATCATCAATTGATACGATCCCTCGTCCTCGGATGATGTAGTACATCTCAGGCTGGGTGTGTCGATGGGCCTTCAAGTGGCCGCCTTTCGGTGCGCATGTCGCAATGCCCGACGTAAATGTATCGCTCGGCGTTCTTCCAGAGGAAATGAGCGTTTTCCATTCGACTTTCCCACCGTCAACATCGGCTGAGAAGGCTTCGGTGGGTGTTGCGGCGATGGCGTCGGAGGTGAAGACGATGGGCCTGATGCTCCGCGGGGATGCGCTCATGTTGTGCAGCTGTAATTGCGGTGTGGTGCAGATTGTCGCGAAATTGCACGTTGACGGGGAAGCGGCAAGGTATATGCTGTGATACGTCTTTCTGGTATCATAGCGCGTGGAGGTGGAGACCAAATGAGGGGCAGTAGGTAGTGGAACGGATTGCCGCAGAGAGACTAGATTCCCAGGCGAGCACAGGCGGCGCCTCTTCCAGTAGTGTTGACGACCTTCGCGACCTTGGATGCATACCTAGATAGGAGTTCGGCGTTGTCATACTGTGGTGTGAGAGTGGTACATGTTCAAGAAGACCGGCTCGCAATGGAAACAATGACCAGGTGGAAAGACAGGAAGGCGGAAAAGGCGTTCGGAAACGGCAAAGTTCACCTACTCTCGCTTTGCCTTGCCTCCTGGTGTCAGGGTCAGAGTCGAAGTCGAGTATCCAAAAGATGGCGGCGCTCGGACCGGTGAGACGCCCCGGTCGTCAATGCAAGCAGCAACATGGCCGACAGTAAAGCCATTAAAGCCATCCGTTCCAAGCTGGCGAAATGGGAGGGAGCATACGCAGTCTCCCTCGGATGCCAGCGTGTCACACAGCGCCATGGCATTGCGCCGAGCGAAAACAGAAGGTGGAGCGTATTTTTAGCGCAGCAGCGTTTCAGATTGCCCTCGTGGCACTGCGGGCGACGATTCCCGCAGATCCAGATGACGAGCCTGTTTGCCGGCCACGAGGGGCCCCACGCCAGCCTAGACTTTGCCGCTGCAGCTGTCGTTCGACCCCCCCGTTCTTCATCTTGCGCCGTGCGACACCGCCTGCGCTGGCGCCATTACCATGACTTTGACGCTGCGCAACGAGGAGCTGCGCAGCTTCTTCTTCGTCGCTTGATCGGTGGCCATGGAGAGGTTCCGCCGGACTAGCTCTCCGCCTGAGCGCGCGCGGTTGGCATTGGTGGGCAGCGGCGATGCGGCCCAGGCGAGGAAGAGACCGAGTATTGGGCGGGCGGCTGAGACCTTTCAAAGCAAGTTAATTGCCTCGTTCAGGGGCGTGAGGAGGAGGCCATCGGGAGAGGCATTGTCGCAAGCCGGCTCAAGGTACGGCCTTCTTTCGGCTTGATGCCCAACGGCCCGCGCAAGGCAAGAGCACGGGAGCTGACCAACCCTACGCTACAGTCCGTTCTTCAACGCCTTCTTCCGTCTGCCGAATGAGCTTCACATCCATATCCTGAGCGAGCTGTCCATTGCCGATCTGCTCGCGCTGCGCAGGACTTCGCGCGCCCTGAACGATCTGATCACAGCATGCGGCCCGGCCTTGGTCCGCTTCTGGGTGAAGCACAAAATGGGCACTCTTCACACCAGACTCTATCCACCTCCGGCACCTAATGAAGCCGACCTCCACTATCTCCTCGCCATGAGGCGTCGTCACATAGCCTCGGTTAGGCTGACCCGGGAACTGGCGAAATTCGTCCTCAAAGACACCCTCAGGCACACCAACGAGCGCCAGCGGCAGATGTGGACCTCGGTGTACGAGAAGATGATCCCCCTGGTTTTTGGCGTCGGCTACTTTCTCGAGGAGCACCGCCGCGCAATCTTGATACGGGATCTTGGACGCATCCGTCCCCGGTCTCACATTGGATATGATATTTGCACGACGCCGGCGATCACGAACGTAGAGCGGAAGATATTGAGGAAACTGGACGCGCCGTTGCGCCTGCAATTCTTCTATATGTACTGCTTCATCGTCCAGGTATTGGCGCGCAAGCTGCGGCCTCCCACGTATGCTGGGTCGGTTGAAAAGGTGCTACGGGGTTGGTCTCGCAAGCCTGCTTGTGCCGAAGATATTGCCTTCGTTCTTGTCCTTGGCGGCGTCGGGCAGGTGGCCAAACTGCTCGCTTGCCAGAACTACAGCGAGCGTCAGAGGCTGCTGCATGCCTTCATAACCCGCATGTCGCCCCACGAGAGTGTGCACTGGAGGAAGCACTGGAGGGATGCTGGTGTCACCTCGCCAGCACTGTTAGATGATATCCCGTGCAGCAGTATTGGTATCACGCAACTCGACCAGATCTGGGAACCTTTGGTAGCAGAGATGATGGGCGTGGAAAGCAGGACGTATACAGAGCAAGAGAAGGAAAGGTACGAGCAAGTGCGGGCCTCGAGGAACTATCTTAACGAGTTAATGGGCTACGATATATTGAGAGGGCGTCCTGCGGATGCTGACGACTCTGGCGACGAAGGGCACGACGATATGTAACGTTAGATGGGTGTATAGTACGAATACCAAGGATGAAGTTGATTCTCGCAGAGTAGGATTAGGAACTACTGCCCCTTGATAATGCAGCTATGTAGTCATCAAGGCAAGCTATTACCTTGCCCAGAAGCTAAAGCGGCAGTATATTGCAGCCCCTGGCCTTAACTAGCCGGGGCTAATGGTACGTACGCACTTTAGTCTGGGACTGAAGCCGCAGGCCTCACGCCGTACACGCCGGCTATGCTTGTCCTCCCGCAATTATCCAATATTCTGGAGGAGAGCGGCAACCCAATCACGGCCGTGCTGGCGCTCGTCTTCCCCAGATTCCCCGTCTTTTTCCGCAATTCAGGCCAAGACAAGAGCTTCTGGAAAAGCCGTCCCATGCGGAGGCGGCGGGCGCCAGCCAACGGAGCCAACGGGTTACTCATCGAACCACGCTCCATTGGGACAAGGCGGCTCTGGTGTTTCGACAGAATGACGTTGGCGGTTGGGCTTCCGAGGGCGCGCAGTGGCAATGGCCGCAGAGACGACGTGCGGCAGATGGCATTTCCGGATAGAGCCATGGCACGCAACGTCGCAATCTACATCGGGAAGCGCACCGCGTTGCGCAAGCTCCATCGAGGCTGCGCTGCGTCATTGGCCGCCGGGCTGCGTTTCCACATGCGAAGGGCCGAGTGGCATGTCGCACGGCTGGCGCGCGCGGCCAATGGGCGACGCCGCGATTGCGCTTGAGATTGGCGGTGACGGCCCCCTGCAAGCGTCCTCGGCTCTGCCCTCAACTCTCCGCCGCCGCTGCTATTGCTGCGAGGTGCCGTGCCAGACCAGACCCCATATCCGCACCGCTCTAAATCCCTCGCTGCCCCTTCGTCGCTCCTCTCTTCACCTCTGCTCCCGTCTCTGCGCCGCGGTCCTTGTGCCCTGTCCCAGAGCGCGGCAACGACGCCCGCCCACGCTCTTTGAGCCCGCCGTTTGCGACAGCACCCAGACAACCCAGACAACCCCGACAAGTGCGACACCCTCCCCTCCACGCCTGCGCACGCGACGTCGCCACCCTTCCCACGCCTGAGACCGGTGCACCTGTTCCTGGCGGCCATATCTGCGCATTCACCACTCACAGCCGCCACCGTAGCCCACCACTACAGTCCCGGCGCGAACAGGTCGCGCGACTACACCCCTCTGAGCGCGCGCACAGGGGGTAAGCATCGTCAGCTGAGCCACCGACATCGACCCACCGCCTCGCGAACCCGAGCATCATGACGCCGTAGAGGTACATTGGACAAGGAAAGCAAAATGGACTTCACGGTAAGTCTCCGCGCGCTTAACCCACCCCCCTCATGCCGCCAGATAAGCTTCGCGGCGCCATCGGGACACCGTTGTCCCTTGCCCGTGGCCCCGTGGCCGCCAGACCTCCCGAATATCATGGCTAATCTGGGCATGCACAGATCTCGCTCGCCCACTTTTGCGAGGTCCACGGTCCTACGTCGATTATCTGCACCCAAGCCTCGACCACACCCTGTGGCTCTTGCAACCCGTGCGTGACGCCGCCGTCCGAAGAGCCGCCCCCTACCTTCTCCTATAACGGCCTGTATGACCAGCCTTCGGCGTTGAAGCTGAGCAGCCGACTGCCACAGCTCACGTCGCCCTTCGAAACTCCACCCACAAGCCCGCGCTCGCCCACCCATAATCCCTATTTCCCCAGCTTCCCCTCCTCCGACAGCAGCTTCGGCAGCCGGAGACCCAGCAGCACCTTCGACGCTGAACCCGATGTCTGCGAGAACTGCCATTTTGTCGTACCCAAGAGATACAGCGATAGACTCCCTAATGGTGCTCCCGGAAGCCCCTCCAAAGACGGCCGAAGAAGGAACGGCAGTCCGGTTCTGCGCACTTCCTACAACTTCCCAGTCCGCGGACCCCTCGTCAGCGATGACCTGAGCAGCACAGACTCGTCCGATATGTCTGACACGGAGCAGTCCAAGTCGTTCGACAGCAGTGCATCCCAGTCCTATTCAGACTCTGTTCCCACTTCCCCCCTCTTCAGCTCCAGGAGCATGCATACGCACACGCTCAGCTACGTCTCGACTAGTCAGCCCCAGTCCCCCGCAACCTACTCTTTGTTACGGCGCACCTGCATTCGTACCTTGTCAACAGAGACGCTGCCGATGGGGAAGGCGTCTGGGCCCATGTTCTTCGGTGATTCGCACGCCGGGTACACGATTGCCTACGTCTTCCGCTTGCAGGATCCTCGATCCCGCGGGGCGAAGCGCACCTATGCGCTTATTGCTATGGCCGGTCGAGACAGTTTGCGGGCCTCCAGAGCCTTGGTTAAAGTGACCGAAGTTTTCGAATCCGTCGCCAATCGTATCGTTGCTCTTGCTGAACAAGTCCTCGAAAGGGAAAGCGCGGCCTCGCAGAACCTCTCACGTCCGGCCACCGCCATCCCTCCCAGCACACCCCCTCTTGGATCCTCCGTATCCTCGATGCCCGCCTTCACGTCACCCCAGAAGGACCGGCAGTTCTCCTCAGTGGCTAGCTCCCCGACCACCCGTAACATCACTCCGGTGTCATCGTTCCTCTCCGCGAAGAAGGTTGACCCAGACGGCTTTCCGCGGGTATCTCGTGACGTGATGAAGGCCAAGAGTCTCGTCGAGATCGTTGGGATGGAGAACTTCTTCGTGGAGCTCCACAAGATTTTTTGCGGTCTTCTCCACTCCCTAATCAAGCAGTTCGGGCAATACGGATGAGTGGCCCTCCATCGTGCGTTATCCCGTCAACCGACATACGTTACCACCAAGCCTTTAGACTTCGGTTCTTCCTCTTGTATTTTATATCTCTCATTATTGTCGTTTGTTTTGTCGTGCGTTCCAGCGGTATCATTTCCTTCCAGCCTTGGCGTCTTGGTGTTGGTCCCCAAACATCTTGTAGCCATTACGGGGTCTCATTGGTACATTTTCCTTAGCAACGGTCGAACTGTCTACTTCTTCTCGCTCGTTCTGCTACACTGTTGTGGCAGGCCTGCTTTATACCCATTGAGATACCCTCCATATGTTTCCTTCGGTTCATGGTTCGGGATTGGGAAGAATAAGGATCTCTGAACTGTCGAATACATCTAGATGGGAGGAGCGGAGGCGACCGTCGGGACTTGTAGCTCGTCGGACTCGGAAGCGGGAGGTTACGATGTGACGGCCTGCATGAATGAGTACGGCCGAATGAGTGAGGAGAGCCCAGGCGAGCGCGCTGGGCTTTTGAGGGGGCAATAGAAATATGTACGAATTCCTGCAGCGTTTGCGTCTTTCTACCCGCCTGTGAAGGTGTGCGGCTCAGTTAGGTGCTCATACGAAGGGCGCCGGTTTGGGTAAGCTGCTGCGACTGTACATGAGTCTGTCGCTGTGATTGTGAGTGCGTTCCATCAAGGTGCTCGAGTGGATGAAGAGCGGAGGAAAGAATCTGCGGGGACGCTGCCAAGTTACCCGCTGAGGGTACTTGAGAGGCATAGCCTAGGGCCTTTGGCGAGGCTGAGACATTGATCGGAAAATTTTTCTGTGTTCAAGGCAGCCATATCGATAATGTCTGTAAGGGGAAGGAAGTGTGGACATGTGCAGGGCTGCATGGAGTTTAGCGCGGGGGATGGCGATGGCCTGGGGGCGAACACGCGGCGGTGGAAACAACGTGGGTGCGTGAACGGTTGACATTGCTTTTCCTGTCACGCTACATATTTAAAACATCAACCGCGAGCAGAGGTTGTTATGTTTCCTGCTTGACTTCAGTTCATTAAGAACGTTGGATGCAGACGTTGTTAACATCAAGCCTGGCAACACTTCATGTGAACCTGGAAATCACCCGCAGTCCAAACTTCACACCGAACCACAGCGCAGCAGCCGCCAAACCAGACCCTTCAGCCGTCCGATGCTCGATCCCGCCATGCAAGCTTCAATCTTCGCGAAACGCACACCCCACATTTCCGCCGTCATCCCACATCCCTCCGTTCATGCGCTTGGCATCACCCCTGACGTCATTCGTCTCCGATCCAAAGGGACTGCTGTACCGGTATGCAACGACGCCAGATGCGACTAAACTTGCTTAGGAGCACAAAGATGGATCGGAAGAAGGACGAATGCATGCCCTATGGAAACGTGTATGAAAGCACGCCATGTTAGGCAGAGTACCTTGCAGAGCGACGTCAGATGCAAACCGATGATGGCAAGTTTAGGGGCCTAGTACTAGGGTGAAGCCAAGTTTGAGAGCTTGAATGATGCGCGCCAGAGGCCAGACTCGCGGTTACCGGCAGGATAAGGGACGCAGTAGGGTGGGAATGGCGTAGGGCGTCGCGATTTCCAAGTTTAGCGAAAGGGTCTACGTGTAAGTTGACGGCTACCTAATCGACAAAGGTGAAGTATAAAGAAGGGTACCACTCGGCCTCTCCTTCATATTCCATCACCTTCAACAAACTTCCTTCTACCACACTACTTACCAAATTAAGTCAATCCAAGAGCCATCATGAACTCCAACACCAACAATGCCTCCAACCAAAACGAAGACTACCTCGACAAGGGTCTCGACTCCGCCGAGAAGAAGTTCGGAGGCTCAATGGGTCAAGACACGCAGAAGAACCGCGGTATTAACGAGAAAATCGTACGACTACCTCATTCCCTTCCCTCCACACCCACTTAACTTCGCTCCTTCATCCGTGACATTGATATGTGCTAACGACAAAGACAGACCGATGGAGCTCGCGGCATGCTTGAAAAAGTGACGGGCAAGAAGGCCCCGGAGAAGTTCTCCAACTAAACATCTTCCTCGACGAAACAAGGGTTTTGGGGCTACGATTCATGAGCGATGGTGCAGAATACGACCTACAGTTGAAAGGGTGAAAGGGTGGATGTAATGATCATAACCATGACCCTCTACGCGTAAAGGACCACATAGTTAGGATAACGATATCAACCTATACACGAAATGTTGGCTATGCTTGTGAATGATGCAGGCACATGTGTGTGAGGACCCGTTGCTTACGTCTAGCTTCCCCGTTGGCGCTCGTTAAGTAAGTAGGACAGCATGATCTCGGTTAGACAGGCGGCGGCTGTGGTTGAGATGCAGCTATGGTGGCACAAGAATCGAACGATGTCTATCCCGCAAGCTCAACTCGCCGGCCTAGCACAGCCCTGGCTTCCGTTTCGCTGAGCATTTCCATACCCAGCTCCTCAAGCACTTCTCTAGCAGCCTGGTTATCGGCGAAGAGTCGCTTCTCCACCTCCCACAATCCGAGTTCCTCATCCGCAGCCGTTGTATCACCACCCTCTCCTTGTTGCGGCGCCGCCTCATTATCCTCTGCACCCCAAGCATCCCAGGCCTCGCCACCCTCTTCCTCCGCTGACGAGGACTTTACTTGAGATTTGCCACCCTTGACAGGTAATCCAACGAGTTGTGCACCTTCGAGGCACTTCCTCAACCCGGATTCAGCGACACCGGGACCCACCGCCTTGTCAACAACTCGACAGATGGCGGCAAGATCAGCTGATAGTTGCGCCGCGCCCGCAGTCGAAAACCGATGACGGCTGAGTACATTGTCAAAAATCGTATGAGAAGTTGTGGCGAGCACTCCTCTGGCGATGCGGCGTAGTGGCGCGGGAGCTAGAGCGCGGGACAGAAAGCCCAGTGTACTGGTCAGGTGTGTGAGGAGTGGATCCAGCTCTGCAGTTGGCGAGAGACTGGCGTTTGCTGAGGCTGAGGGACCGGTAAGGGTGGCCCAGGGGTTACTGCAAAAAGTAAATAAATATCCGGCGCAACGCTGAGGTTTCTGCTTTGGGAGACGTACATGTGTCGATAAGGCCGCAGCGCCTCTCGCACATTATTGTTTAGCGTGTCCGTTATGATCTTTTCGCTGCGGATGCGGAGGCGCGTGTAGTGGCCAGCCGTTTCATCGAAGAGCGCGCCACCATCGCGGTCCCCTCCTACCGTTTTTGACGTGCGCTCAGCGACATCTGCAACGGACATGGTGCCGATGTTATTGGCTTGGCGAGCGCGCTCTTGCAGCTCCTCCCAGATGTCTAAGAAGAACTGTAGATGGAATTAGCATCCGGACGCCGATCTCCCGACAGTGCGGTGAGTGACAACCTACCACGTCGTCGCTCCAATCCCGCATTGCCTTTTCAAGGTAGTCTGCACTACCGTAGGTCTTGCAAAGACGCTCGAGTCCTTCCACGCCAAGCAGCCGCTCCTGTTCTTCCTTGGTCACCCCTCCGACAGCACGACCCAGCGAGGTGGTCATGGAAAGATAGGCTTCCAAGTTGCTCTGTAGTCGCTCGTGAAGTTTGTCAAAAATGGCAATCTGAATGTCGATCAAGAAGCGCAGTTTTTGCGAAAAGGAAGTCAGGGGCCTGTATCGATCTACCATATCGGTCAGATGGGAGTCGTCGAATCTTAGAATTTCCGTCCTCACCTGTGATTGTTTCGAGCAAGTCGTTCACGCGGATCGCTCCCTTGGTGGGCTTTGTGGCTTTTGGATCGACGCTCTCGTAGTCCAGATCACCAAAATCAGGAGACTCGACAATGCTTTGATAGCGGGCTAATGCAACTGCTCGCAAGTCAGCTTCCGAAGGGTAAGACAGGTCGGGCAGAGGTAAGCTGTCGTACAATCTTTCTCAACCTGCAGCCACCGCCCAAACCAGTCTTCCTGAACTAGAAATTCCCACGACAGGCCCTTCCACCCTTCAAGGCCATAACCGCCGTCGTATCCCCATACATCTCTAATAGTGGTGTCAAAGCTCATGACCTCGTGCATAAGGTGGCTGAGAAGCTGGGGCTGGCCAGCCACTTTCGGAAGCAGAGAGCTAATCTTCGACCTCAGCATGGGCAGCAGAGCGGTGATGAAAGCAGCCGTTGCGTCAATGTAGACGGGAGTCAGGGCGAGATGGGTCCCTCGGAAGTGTCTCAGCAGGGTGGGTTGCACGTAGTCGGTCATGAATCCGCTGTAGTCGTTCAAAAGGGTGGACACGTGCGAGAGGAAGTATTCAGGCCGATCAATGCGGTTCGTAGGCTTGTCGCCCTCGAAGTGATATCGGAAGCGCATCTCTAGAGGCTGCACCAGCACCTCGAACGGGAATAGGACTGCGGGGAGCCTTGCCTTGCTTGCGGACCCCTGTGCGTACTCGAAGCCTTCTAATTCGGGCATCTGCAGGTCCAGGAGCTTCGATATAGCGCTCTCCCACGCGTCCTGGAGCTGAGCGGGGACGGTCGCTTTTGGAGTGGGCCATTTTATCTGCTTGAGCGCCTTGTCGAGGTCGGACGAGAAGGCGTCTAGGATCTTGGACCGCAGAGCCTGGGTGAGCTTATCGACATGGTGAAGCAATTGCGGAGCAGCGCCCTCGGCGTCGTCTTGCAGGCGGAGCAGGCGCGTGTGGAGGGAGCGTAGCTGCTTGTAGGGACCGAGAGCAGCGTCATTGGACGTCTGCAGCTGCGACTGGGCTTCCTGGCTGCGAGCATCAGCGGCTTGTCCTGAGCTACATGGGACGATGTGTGGCCCACCCCAGCACGTCGACGTCCCGCAGCAGCTCGACGTAGGCGTTGGCCACGTCCAGGCGCTGCAGGGTATCCAGCACGGCTTCGAAGCTCGGCACGGCATCGTCGCTGGTCTCGGAGGCGGTGATGAGCACCAGACGGCGGTCAATGTCGGCTTGCTCGCCGCGAAAGGCACGGGCGCGGTCCTGCAGGGCGCGCTGGTGGTGGTGGGCGGCCTGCTTGGCCTCGTGGAGGTCGCGCTGGGCATCGTGGAGCTGCGCGGCGGTCAGTCGGGGCGCGCGGGCGCGGTGGGAGGCGGCCTCACCTGCTGCTTGAGGAGGCCGTGCTGGGCGTGGATGTTCGCCAGCAGCGCGGCAAGCGAGTCGAGGTCGCCGGCCGTCTGCAGCTTGTCGTCGAGGTAGTCGGCCGCGCGCGCCAGGCTGTCGTCCATGTCGTCCATGGCGGAGTCGATAGATTTCGTCGGTGGCACGCAGCCCTGGAGCCCTGGAGCCCTGGAGGGTTGTGCGGCGATCGATCTGGAGGACGAACGCTCGGCCCGCAGGCGCCAACTCGCTGGGTTCCGTGGCGTCCAGCGCCGTAGACTACCTGACTACCTAGGTACAGTATTTATTCGCGGTGCAGCCCCTGCAGACATGCCAGCAGCAGCCAGGTAGCCGAGCGTCGACTTTACTTCGTACTTCTAGCAATTTTCTCCCCGTCTGCCGCCGCCCCCCCAGCATGCCGAAAGAACGCAAGAAGCGCGGCCGCCGCGAGGAGCACAAGAAGCGCAAGCGCGAGCACGACGACGAAGGGGGCTCGAAGCGGCACAAGACGAGTGCGGACGAGCCTGTGCCGTGCCCGGACGCCGCCGTCGATGGCGTCGCCCGCCCCGGCGCGCAGCCCTTCTACGGCATGCTCGACGACGACGAGCAGGACTACTTCAGGCGCGCCGACGAGCTGCTCGAGCTGAACCAGTTCGCCGACCCAGAGGAGCGCAAGCTGTTCCTGGAGAATGTCTATCGGGAGGCGAGCGGGAAGGAGCTGAAGATTGCCCACAGCCAGTCCTGCTCGCGCTTGATGGAGCGGTTGATCCTGCTCTCCACCCCAGACCAGCTCAAGGGCCTATTCCAGAAGTTCAATGGGCAGTAAGTGCTTGCTGCACGCCTCCCGGCCCACGCTGACCTCGCAGCTTCCTCCATCTCATCCAGCACCGCTTCGCCTCCCACTGCTGCGAAGCGCTCTTCATACAGGCCGCGCCCGCAGTCACCCAAGAAGTCGCCAAACCCGCGCTTACGCAAACCCCGCCCTCTTCCGACCCCAATGACATCTACGTATCCATGGAGAACCTGTTCCTTTACACACTGGACGAGCTGGAAGGCTACCTGGGCTATTTGATGACGGACCGGTTTGCCTCGCACGTCCTGCGAGTCCTGCTGGTCGTCCTTGCCGGCGAGCCGCTTGAGAAGTCCAATCACAAGTCGCTTCTCCAAAGTAAAAAGAAGGAGAAAGTGGCCATCTCCGGCGCGGAGAAGACGCAAGAGTGGGCGCTGGAGAAGAGAACTGTGCCACTATCGTTTCTCGTTGCTCTGCAGAAGATAATCAACGACAGCATGGCGGGCTTGGATTCCTCTTATCTCCGCCAGCTGGCTGTGCATCCAACCGGCAACCCCACCCTGCAATTACTGCTCCGGCTCGAGCTAACCCAGTTTGGCAAATCGCGAGCGAAAGATGAGAATTCGATTATCCACAGACTGCTTCCGGATGATCCAATCGCAGGAGGAACCGAGAGCGCATCCTTCATAAACGGCCTTGTCTACGACGCAATCGGCTCGAGGCTGCTAGAGACCATTATCCAGTATGCTCCGGGGAAATTGTTCAAAACCATCTACGGGGAGTTTTTCAAGGAGCGCATGGGCAGCCTGGCACGCAACGAGATCGCAAGCTACGTCGCGGCGAAGATACTAGAGCGGCTAGGCAAGGATGACCTCGAGGAAGCGATGCGCCAGATTGTCGAGCAGATTCCGAACTTGGTCGAGCGAAACCGAACGGCCATCCTCAAGACGTTGATCGAGCGCTGCGTTGTTCGAGGCGTCGACACCACGCCAATCAAAGCCCAGCTGCAAACAGCATACGCCGGTTCCAACGGCTTTGAAGTGACGCGCATACTGAAACTCAGCGAGGCCCCATCAGAGGATGGAAAGTCGAATTCGAAACACGAGTATGCCCACCCGGACAAGGTCCATGGTTCTCTGCTTGCACAAGCGATGATGGCCGTTCGTGGGCCCTTGGGCAACTTGATCTTCGACTCGTTGGAGAAACTTGGTCCCCACTTGACCATCAACATCGCTCGCGATCCAACAGCGTCCCGGACACTGCAAGCCGCGCTTACCTCCCCCCACGCATCCGTCATATTCCGACGCAAGGTGATCCAGAAGTTCTATGGTCATGTCGGCGAGCTCGCCTTAGATCCTGCAGGCTCCCACGTAATCGATGCCATTTGGGAAGGCACTCACGGGCTGGCATTCATCCGGGAGCGCATCGCGGAAGAGCTGGCAGAGAACGAAGCCTCTCTCCGGGAATCTCACGTAGGCCGCGCCGTTTGGCGAAACTGGCGCATGGATCTATACAAACGGCGACGCAATGACTGGGTCAAGCAATCACGCTGGACAGCGGGCAACGAAGGTTTCCAGTCCTTTCCCGAAAGCAATGGCGACACTCACCCTGCCACGTACAACAATAAAGCGGGTAAGCATCTGACGGCCATCGAGCTCGCACGGCAGAAACACGCAGCCGCGAAAGCAGCCCAGGCGAAGAAGGAAGCACAGCAAGCAAAAAAAGAAAGTAGCAGCAAGGAGGTTAGCAGTAGGGAGAATAAAACGAAGAAGGAGCAGCACGCATCGAAATCGAGTAGCAGCAAAGGCAAAGAAAAAGCGGCTGCCATGGCGCAATAGACGGCATTGGCGCATATTCTCGGCATTTGGGCGGCGTTTTCGGCGGGCCTTGGCTTTAGGAACCATTTGGATTCGGACTAGATACCTTTGGTGCATTTTGCTCGGCAGAGCGCGCGGTGAGAGTTTTCTACCGGCAGGTTTTTATTCTCAGAAATCGTTTTAAACCATCCCACTCGATTGGTGCATTGGTGACGTACTTCGTTCTTGACTCCTACCCTTCCATAGTCTTGTTTTGCGCTCTTATATTTTGGCAGGAGATGGCTTCGAGCTCCACGAACGGTGTGGAGGCGCCGTTGAATAGAGCGGACGAAGTTAAAGAGGTATGCATATCCGCTACGCAAATTGCTTTTCCGGTCCGTTCGACGAAATCCATTCGCTTTTCCGAGATTCGCCAGACCGCACACTGACTGACTCTCCCTAAGCTGCTTGAAGCCGTCCAAGAATTGATTATTCCATACATCGGTTCGGCAGATGATGATGCCAAGACAAAGCATACAGGTCACGGCCTGGCCCTCCCCGGCGGAGGACCTAGAACCGCCCTAGTCGAGCATCATCCACCTAAGAAGCTCGAAGGGATATTGAACCTACAGGTGCCGGAAGCAAGAGGAGGTAAAGATGGGCTACTCGAGCTCGTACAGAAGTTGTTGCAGTATAGCGTGAATACATGGGATCAAGGATTCATGGACAAGCTCTACGGCTCAACGAACGCTGTACGCATGCAAATGCTCTCAAAAACACCCAGCTACGACGAGTTCTGACTTGCCAACCTCAGGTCGGATTAGTATCAGAATTGCTTCTGGCTACATTGAACACAAATGTACATCTCCTTCCAACAGCCTTCCTCCGTCACCCATCTCGACGCTGACCCACCCCCCGCAGGCGCACGTCTACCAAGTCTCCCCCGCCCTAACCCTCATTGAAAAATACACCACAAAGTTCCTAGCCCACCTCTTCGGCTACACGTCCTCATACTGCGGCGGTATATCTCAACCTGGAGGGTCAGCATCAAACAGCACCGCCATCATCATCGCGCGCAACACACTCTACCCCTCAACCAAAGAAACCGGTAACGGCCCCCACCGCTTCACACTCTTCACCTCCGCGCACGGCCACTACTCCGTCGAAAAAGCCGCGCAAATGTTCGGCCTAGGAAGTAAGAACGTCATCTCCGTGCCTGTCGACGCCGAAGGCAGGATGATCCCCGAAGAGTTGGAAAAGCTGGTCAAGCAGAGTAAGGAGAAGGGCGAAACGCCGTTCTTCGTTAACGCGACAGCCGGGACTACCGTCTTGGGTTCCTTCGATCCCTTTCCCCCACTCGCTGCTATCTGTAAGACGCACCGCTTGTGGCTGCATGTGGACGGGAGTTGGGGCGGGAGTGTCGTGTTCAATTCCACTTACAGGGAAACTCGGCTGAAGGGCGTAGAGCTCGCTGATAGCATAGCCATCACCCCGCACAAAATGCTCGGCGTGCCTATGACATGTAGCTTCCTCCTCGGCCGCGACCTGCGCCAGTTTTGGAGCGGTATGACACTGCCGGCTGGATATCTTTTCCACAACGCGTCGGAATCTGTGGATGAGATATACGATCTTGCGGATTTGACGCCGCAGTGCGGACGCCGCGCAGATAGCCTTAAGCTCTTCCTCTCTCTATCGTACTACGGGACGTGGCATTTCTCGGATCTAGTAGCGCGGGCGTACGAGAACGCGGAGTATTTGCTAGGGTTATTAAAGAAGAGGGGAGATTTTGTCACGATAAGTCCGGCGCCGCTGCCTTGTTTGCAAGTTTGCTTTTACTGGGCTAGGGGAGGGAAGTTGAAGGGTGGCAAGGCTAATGACAAGGCGACGGCGGATATAGCGAGCGAATTGATTAGTAGGGGGTTTATGATTGATTTTGCGCCGGGAGAGAGAGAGAAAGGGAAGTTCTTCCGCGTAGTCGTCAACGGGAACACGCGGAGAGGTACACTAGATGGGTTAGTGAGAGCCATCGAGGAGGCGGCGAGGGAGTTAGGATACTAGGTCGTGAAGGTCATCAGGGTATGGTACAATTGATAGACCTAGCAAGCGCCCGACTCAATCGACCGTAATACTATACGGAAGCCTGAACAGACTTTGCACGTACATTAATCCTCCTCTTTCGCCCGCAAACCTAATATATTTCTCCTACTTCCTAATTCCCCAAACATCGGCCCCCAAGCTAACGACCTTCCCATCCCCTTCCATATCCCCCAACAAGCCCCTGAGTTCCTCAGCTCCGAACGGAAACCCGCCCTGAACCAGCATGCGCATCATCATGAGAATCCTCATGACCGGCAGATTCCCCTGATTGGTCAGCATGCCTACGATAAAGCTCGTATAGACGTCCTTCTTCTCGTTCAAAAGATCAGCTTGGGATTTGACGGTTGTGGTCTGGGCAGCCTGCACTTCAGCGAGTTCTTGGGCTGCGGCTGCGGCATCGCTGTCCTTGGTGGAGGAATCGAGCCGCTCGATGACGGTGTATGTATCGGGTGAAACTGCCCGGAGCACGGATTTGCCAACCCAATAGGCTAGCGCTTGATGGACAAGGCCTTCATCCATCTGCAGCATTTCTTCAAGCTGTTCCACATTCCTCGTAATCCCCTCGCCTTTCTTGCCCTTCCCACCAGCAGCCCGCTCCTCACCAGGCTGCGGTTGAAATGCATACGCCACGCTAACCTGCCATGGCGTCAAGTGTTCGAACTCCTCAGTCCTATCCTCAAACTCCAGGATTATGGTGCTGTCACCCAGCGCATTCATCCAGCGCAGTTTGCGCATGCCTTTGATGCGTTCAAACCGCGATTCGTATTCTTTCTGCAGCGCTTCGATCTGTGCGGGAACGCGGAATTCTTCGTCGCGGAGGATGGGCCAAAAGAAGGAGGAGAGGATTTGGGCGTTTAGGGTAGGGCCTTCGGGTGGCTTCAAGATTGGTGTTGAGGGTGTTAGGTGGGAGGGCACTGATGATGTAGGACGGTGTGGTCGAGGTTGCCTTGGTCCAGGACCTGCTGGGGTCTCTGGCTGTTGACCTTGGTCCTCTGGCGTCAGTACATCGCCTGTAGCGTGGATGGTACCGTTGATGCGTTTTGACTCTAGGACATCGCGCAGCATAACTTCGCATGCTTGCAGCTTCTCGTCACCCAATCGAACCTTGATAAGCTCGAGCAACCGAATCTCCTTCTCATACTCCAGATCCTGACACCGCAATAGGTGGTCCCCAAGGATATTCTTCAACTCGTTGATAAAGTCTTCTTTATCCCAAATTGTCAAGAGGAAGTGAATGACATCCTCGACCTTCGACTTCTTGTAATCTGGGGATGCATCATTTGGAAGAGGCTGCCAATTCAGGTCGTTCCAGTTGAATTCCTCATCCGCCTCCTCACGGTTCGCAAAGGGTTTCTTCATTTCCATCGCGATCTCATAGGACAGCTCTCCACTTGAGGCAAATTTGGTGTTACCAACCTCGTCATCCGGATCCGTAAGAAGGCTTGAGATGATTATGCGAGCGGTATCTTCTCGCTCTTTCAGATATCGTCTGATAGGTCGCGCCACGCGTTCAAGCAAGACGCCCTTCGGATCCAGCTTGTGAAACGCGCGGATGATCGAGATGTAGACGTTTAAGATGTACGTCGTAGTAGCCCCAGGGTGTAGTAGACGCCTCGATATTTGCTGAGAGAAATTAGATGTGAGATATTGTTTTGCGCCGTCGAGCTTCAAGTAATCCTGAATGTTGTTAGATGATGCAGTATCACCACGTCGTTGAAGCACTTGCCTTGAGATCTAGTATCGCCCCTAAGCTTCTGTCCCAATGGATAACGAAGTCGAACAGATTGGCAACTCTTCCTCTCCCCAGCCTGGCAAGCGCCATCTCCTGCCACTGCTTCAGCTCGGTAGGTTGAACGTCGCTTGCATCGCATCTCAAGCATTCCATGGCTAGCTCCACAAGCGGGCAAAAGCCATCTTTGACCCATACCCTTAGATCGGGTACGATTGACCTCTTTGAGAACCAATCCACTTTCAGGTAGTGGCTAGCGATGAACGTCTCCAACAACTGGTTCATCGCATGTGCAAATGCCCTCTGAGCATTATTGCCTCCCAGCCCCACGCGCTCCAAGCCGGAGAGAAGCGCAGTCATCCGGTCGCGGACCTCCCTGGTACTCTCAGGTGTTGTGCTGGGCTGGACACCATCCTGCCGTACGTAAAAGCGGAACAACCGGCAACCTGCATCATAGAGGATATAGCTCAAAGTCTTCGAGAATCGCTTCGGAGGGAGGCAATGCGCGAAAACTGCGTGAATGTGTCGCTCGAATTTCCAGCTCGCGGCGTCCATTAATTCAATATCGGCCGTCTGCGACAGCTGGCTTGCGCGGATTGTCTTGTTCGTCGCATCTTGGTGGAGGAACGGGAGGATATGGTCATTGAAGGGCTGAAGGTAGAAGTTCTGGACCTGCTCGAGCGTCCGTTGCGTCTCGTCTAGGACGTCCCAGGCCGTGCGCAACTCGACTTCCTGCATTACGGTCAGCTCGTACTCAGGACTCGCACTATGCCTTTCGATATAATACCTTCTCCCATAACTCCTTCAGGGCCGGCTTTACAAAGCTCGCAAAATGCAACCGCGCTTCGTTCGTATACCACTCCAAGAGCCCTTTCTCGCCTTCCTCGCTCTTCCCCTCCCCGACCAATAGATAATATAGCGCCCCTTCAACGTCTGCACTTCGTTGGCTTCTCCTCGTTCCAGAGCCTGGATTGTTCGGTAGACTCAAGAAGCGTGTCGCGGTGCTCCAGGCCTGAGTCCGTTTCACGGCGCGATGCTGTGCGCCACCCGCATTGCCAATGAACGGGCCTCCGAATGAAGATCCAGGCGCCGTGTGTCCGAGATCCGGTGTTGCGACCGGCGTAGGCGTTGTGTGCGAGAGGGACGGGACGGGAAATACGGAGGCGAAGACGAGGGTTGCGTGGTCCATGGTCGATGTGCTGCAAACCCCACTTCGCAAGTTGTTTGTGTTGAGGTGCGCGGGCCGTTCATGACAAGACAAATCGCCAGGAAGAAGCTGATGCTGCTGAAACGGGTGGAAGGTCACTCATCGCACTCGTGTTACAGCCGACGAGCGACTTTTGAATCTGGTGAATGTGGCATGGATGGTTGCTCTCAACGCGGGCCAACACGCTGAGGGGCACGGACCAAGCCGCGAGAGCACGTGGTTGCTGTTGCGCCTGGGCACCTGCATCCTTGCCGTGCAAGCTTAATTAAAGTATACTTGATACTACGCTGGAAAGTCTGGACACGCTGTGAAACGATTGAACTTTGTGAGTATGGGATGAGACTGCGCATTCAGTGGGCTTGAATACGGCCCAAATGTGGCCATCCACTCTTCATTCCCGCGCCTAGGCATGATCTTCTTTCATCTAACTTCCCCTACCCTGGCCGCACTGATACACCTGCGCTGATAGACGGCTTTTAGGCGTGAGCCGCCGCCGCTATGCTCAGTTATTACATCTTAATCCTAATGCCTGTCGTCCCTGTCCTCTCCGTACTCGACCTCCCACTCATAGCCCCCATGCTCCCATCACTATCATCCGCGCCATTATCCATATCCTCAGGCCCGTCAGTCATAATTCCCAGCCCCAGCGTGCCCACCTTAAATAACCCTGCACACCACTCACCAAAGACATCGGGATCCCACACCCCATCCTCCCTGCCCTTACCCTTGCTACTCCTGCCCGTACCGTTGAGTGAAGGCGTGTAGGCAGTGTCGAACCAGTCTTCGTACGTCTGGGTCACGGACTCCATGACGGCGGCGACGAGCATCTCCCGCGTGCGGTAGTCAGTGATGTATTCTTCTAGTTTGGCACGTAGGAAGGGTGTCTCGTGTTCGATGTTGGAGCGCACTTTGGTGATGCGGGGGGCTGCTTCGCCAGGGGAGATTTTGGGCAGAATTTTCCCGTCTTTGGTTTTGATAGGTGCTGTCATGCGTCCTACAAATTGGGCAGTAAAATCTTGGATCGCTTGTCTGAGCCGGGTGTCGACTTCGGCTTTGGCGTCCAGCATATTCTCCACCACTTTCGGAATCAGCAGGCCTACAAGACTTCTTGGGTTGAAGAGTCCACCGCGGGCCCGAAGCTCCCAGAAAGTGTTGGTAATACTAGAGAGATCGTACTGCAGGTCTGTCTCGGGCGTCACGAATTCAATATCGAAGGCCACGATTTGTTGTTTTAGGAGAAGCAAGTGTGCGATGAGGAAGAGCGCGGCGTCGGTCGGGGAGGCTGATTTAGAGAGCAGGGTGCTCGCGTGGGCCAAGGAGAGGGTGGTGCCATGGACGATGCGGTGTGCTAGATCGTCGAAGACGGAGGACTGAGAGATTATTAGAGCTAATAGTCGAACGTTTGCGAAGACGAGACTCACGTGAACTAGCCGGTATATCTTACTAAGTAACCAGATTGCTTTCCTCAACGTCGGGTACCAGTCCTTGAATGCAGTCTCCGTGTTGAAGCTCCATCGTGCATCGGGATCATCCTCCTCGACTACCATAGGCGTCTTCGGCATCTGAGGCGTCGGGGGGGCCTCTGACTTCGGAGCCTTCCTTCCAGAGAGTACCGGCTGGTTCGACTTAGCACCCGACACGGCTTGCTTCTTGTTCTTGGCGGGATAATCTAGATCTTCTGGCTTCGGCTTATATCTCTCAATCTCGTCACGGAGAACGTTGAGCGAAAGAAACACTAGGCGGTTCTGAGTGTCTTGGAGTGCTGGATGCACTAGGGCCGTAAATTCTAGCTTGCTTGTTTCAACAACTGCGACTTCTTCCTCCTCCTCCTCCTCCTCCTCTTCTTCCATGTAGCGTGTCTGAATGAGGGTACAAAGTTCACAAAGCTTGAGAATCTGGGTCTCGTGGATGGTCCGAGGGCGTAAATGATCGTATAGAGGCTCGCACATAGATTCGAGGAAGTCGTATACGCCACCATCACCTTCAAACCATTCACCCCAAAGGTCGTATTCATCGAAACAGATGCCGCGTATGTAGCTTATACTGCTCCGAGCAAAAGAGACCAGGTCTTTCGACGTACTCGGCGCTTGAGCAATCTCTCCAATCTTCTTTGTGACGATGGGAAGGATCAGCCGCCCGCGGGTGGCTGAATAGCTCTGGTAGAGCTCGTTCATCAAGCTCTGATACTCTGCCTCGGCTCCAGGTTCCGCTCCTGCAGGTAATACGACGCGCTTTTGTATTTCGAGCCCTATCCGCTTCAGCTCCGGTGCCCCTACGCGAAACTTTGCGTACAGCAAAGCAGACATAGTGGTATCGTTTAGTTGACGATCTGCTATCCGCTTCGCCACATCCGCGGCAATTTCGCGAAGGGCGTTCGTAAAGTGGACTCGGATGAGGGTGAGAGCACGCGTAAGCAGGAGACGGTATCGTGAGCGGTACGTAGCGGACTCTCGATGCTTCGGGTGTGCCTGCATGTATTCCAGACAACTGTCCAGATTCGCCAGCATCTCTGTGAACTCCTTTCCCCGCACGATGTTCCCCGCACCAGGCGCGTTGAGTCTCTTGGTGATGGGCTCCAGGTAGAGATAGTAACGCAGGTTCTGTTCCATATCATCTGCTAGCTTTGTGATGCGCGTCTGGTCGTCTATCAGGCCTTCGCATTGTGTCTGGAACGCGGTTGTCTGCGATTCGACGGCTTTAAACGATTCGGTGAGGGACGAGAGAGTATCGAGGGCCGAAGTAGTGTCCGCTATTATCGTGTCGAGATGGTTCCGCATCAGATGCAGCTGGTCCTGATAGAGCCTACATATGAGCGATTAGTATCCATCCTGAATGGGCATCTCCCCCAATACACACTTGTACTCCTCATGGCTGGCCTCCAGCAGCTCGTCATTGACGCCACTATACCACTCCGCGAATTCCAACTCATTGCTGATGTTATCTCGCGACTTCTTCCGCTCCAGCCCCTTCTCCTTCTTCAAGTGCGCCCGGACGACGGTGTAGAAATCGCTGTACGACTTGGCTCGTCGGGCCACGGTGGCCGGCGGCGGGCCATTGTCCTTCTCGGGCGCTTCCTCTATGGTTTCGACGATGCCTTCTACGCGCTCGACGTCAGCCTGACTTTCCTGCAAAAACAACAATCAATATAGCTCAACGTACCCATGGAGCGGGCGGTGGGCTTACGTTGGGCTGCTTGAGCAGAGACTCGCGGCGGCGGTGCTTGCCCTTGTCCGCGGGTTTGGCTGCCCGGGGCACAAAGGCATTATACCACGAGTCCTGTACGTCGTACATTTTCGCAGGAATTGCTGGTGGTGGAGGGGAGAGGAAGCGGCGGCTCCTTGCGTCGGCCACGGCCAACAAGTCGTCGTGGGGTTGCTGCTCCGAATCGCCGCACTCCCGCCGCGCTGCTCCGGATCACGTGAAGGTCAAGCTCGCGCGCATGGTGACGTTCTAGACTCGACGACGATGCCACGAAAGCCATCGGCGGGCATGTCCATTACCAATTCCAGGAGTAACTACGAACATGACATCCCAGATGCCTTCCATTTGATTTCCTCTACTGCCCTCGTCGACGTTCTCCCCTGCTGCGCATGCAACCGTCCTCCTCGCCGTCCGCCATGCTCAGCACTCGATGCGCATCGCGGGCCGCATTACGAGTCCCGCATCCCCCGCGACTGTGTAGAAACATCTCGAGCAAACAGCGGCCGCAGATAAGAGCAGCGACCCATCCGTACGCACAGCGTCGCCAGCAGCATTTCGTCCGGTCTATAGCCACCGTCACTGCACTCTGGGCCACCGCCACTGCCTGGCAATGGTTCAATGGGGACAAGTTCTTCAGAGAAGTCCATGCGGAGGAGCCGCCCCAAGAGCAAGAGTTGAGCTTTGAGAAGCCGCGGCGGCAGGCTGTCTCGGAAGAGGACAACCGCAATATCCTCAGTTCGCAGCACTTGCAGGTTCAGAAGAGTTGGGAGAATCCGGGAGTATATGCGTGGGGGTCAAATACAGGGAAGGTTGTGGCGCCTGATTCACAGGAGTCTTTCATAAAGACACCGCGGCGGATACCCTTCTTTGACGGAGTGCTTTTAAGGGACATCAAGCTTGATCGGAACTTTGCGGCAGCCATCGATGAGAAGGGCGACCTTCTGCAGTGGGGCACTGCCTTCTCTAAAGACACCACCCAGCCAACGCCGACACTAAAGGGACGAAATTTGACTTCGCTTGCCATCTCCCGCGACCGCATCATAGCCCTCTCCGCGTCAGGAACTGTCTATTCGATCCCAGTGTCGCAAGAAGAGCAAAAAAATGGCCCAAAGCCGGCATCTACCTCCTGGATCCCTTTTTGGGGCTCCTCAAACAATATCTCCTACCGCATTCGCACACCTGAAAACCTTGGCTGGAATGAGCGGGTCACATCTATTTCCTCCGGCCTCGAGCACGCCCTAATGCTCACCTCTTCCGGTCGCCTCTTCTCTTTTGCGTCGGGAACGGAAAACTTCCCGTCAAAGGGACAATTGGGTATCCCACGCTTGACATGGAAGACACGTCCCAGCGGCACTTTCGACATTCCACATGAGGTCACCACCCTGAAGGGGTTTCCGATCCAGCATATTGCGACGGGCGATTACCACAGCCTCGTCAACGATGTCAATGGCCGTGCCTTCGGATTCGGCGATAACTCGGCTGGCCAACTCGGTTTCGACTTTAACCCTGAGGCCATGTTCATCGACGCCCCCTCGCTCCTCCCGACCCAGAAACTCTACTCCGGGACCGCACAACAAGCCTGTGTAACAAAGGTCTTCGCCGGCGGCAACACTTCCTTCCTCACTATTGAAGCTACGAAACCCGTAGCCTCGACCCGCGACTCAACTCGCGTGCAAGCTGATACATGGGCCTTTGGCTTTGGGCTGACAGGGCAGCTCGGCAACGGTCGCTGGATCCACAATCAATCGACTCCCATCAAGGTCCCGGCTTTCTCCGGCCTCTATGAATACGACGAGAATACTAACAGCGTCATACCCATCAGGCTCGCACACGTCTCCGTTGGCGCCAGCCATGCCGCCGGAATTATGGACAACGTAGCTAGCGTGGCCGTCTCCGGAAAATCCAAGAAACTCACCGAGAATGACACGAACTGGGGCCGCGATATTCTCTTTTGGGGTAATAATGAGTTCTACCAGCTCGGCACGGGGAAACGGAAGAACGAGCCCACACCAACTTACATTCAGCCCTTGGATCAGGCGGCGGAAGAGGAGCGCGCGGCTAGTGTGTTGAGCTGGGGAAGGCAGAAGGGGGAGAAGGGAATGCATAGGTTTCAAATTTCGCCTAGAGCAAAGGTTAAGGTGAATGGTCGGACGGTGGATTTGGAGCAGAGGGTGGAGTGTGGGAGGGGAGTGACAGCTGTGTATTCGGCCGTATGAAAAAAGAGTTGACAAGTTGGAAATAGCAGTTAGTGCCGTTGCACTCTCCGTTCACTTCATTGTATATGTTCAGCGGCTGTCTCTCAGCAAGGTACAGGAAAGCCTAGCTCACACGGCGTGTATTATGAACCACGATCTCTCATCTACTCCCAGATGAAAGCCTCCTTCGCGCGATCGCACTCATATCTGTGCTAACAAACGCTAGTTTGAAGGCCTTCAACGCGCTATCCGAACATCACCTCGGGATTCGAACGCCAACCGGGAGGCTGTCAACTTAATATGCAAACTCCGATCTTATCTAACAATCACCGGCTTGAAGACTTTCAATGCGCCACCCAGACACCAGTTTCGCTAACTACCCAGCCCTCGTCCAGCCCTCGTCCAGCCCTCGTCCACCCCTCATTCCCCCATCTCCGCTCTACTTTCCTCGCGACCTCACAGCTTCTGATACTCGGCTGTTTCCTCCGCGGTCCTCACATCTACAACACGATGCCCAGGCTTGGGTTTGACTGGCTTTTTCGTCGATACGGGATCTAGCTCGACCCTTTGTCGAATCGACGTTGGCTGCTGCTTCTTCGTTGCTTGCGAATCCGCATTTACTTTCGCTTCTTCCTCCTTGGCTCCTACCTTAGTGTCGTTCTTCGTGTAGCTTTGATTTTCGGAAGAAGCTGCAGCCTCACTTTCGACGGGATTTGCGTTTTGGTCTGCCATTGTGCGGTTGTTCGTGAGGGAGTGTTGTGAAGCGGGAGGATAACCAGGGAGTGGATGAGAATAAAGAGCTAGAGGACTGGGAGTGAGGGATTTTATCTCATGCTGTTTCACGTTATGATAAACATGGACCAGAGTCAGGATGGTGAAAAAGAAGAAGTAATGGGAGAAAGGGACGTTTCCAGAGGAAGTAAGCATAGTACAGTTGCAACATTTTTCACTCCGCGGACTATTCACATCTAGATCCGGCGTCACAAGCCCAGCCTATCTGCATCTACTTGTCACCCTTGGAAGCGTCATACGAGGGATGCCGACTTTACAGATCGAAATGCACTTGTCTATTGTTCTTATTTCCCAGCCAAGTTCTCCCTTGGAGACTCGTATCTACATGGCCCGAGCACTCGCAAGTTCTAAGACCGTTGATCATGTTCCATCCCAAGTCGGCGAGCAGTCTTATCGTGCCGACGTCTACGCAGCCACCTACGCCTATGAATACGTCTGTATCGGCGACATACACTACAACTTTTTCTACCCCTGACCCGACGCAAACCGCGGATTGTGGGGATCATGAATGCGGACACAATGATCCTGTGCCTGGGAAGACTATCGGGATTATTATGGGTGCCATGATAGGCACAGGAGTATTGCTCCTTTTCCTCCTTTGTTGTTGCACCAATGTTTCCGGGTACAGGAGAAGGAGCCCTTCAACTTGCTCGATTTGCCGAAAGGAGGAGCAGGAAAGGGGAAGAAGAAGGATAAGGACGCCTTGAAACTGCTAGATAGGTCGTGATGCGCAGCAGCGAGAAGTGAACGCTAGTCGAGCGAAGCGTGCTGTGGGTTCTCGGGAAGTGACTGTCAGAGATATGTTATATGAGACCGAGTCGGGCTTGTGAGAAATCCGAAGAAGACGTGCCATCTCATTAATCATGTCTGCATTATGCATTAAATACCCATTAAGAGTGCACTATACCCACAAGGTCGCAAGCATGGATATCCATATCCCGACCCCCAACAAACTCCACGACCTCGCTAATTTCCTTGTGCCCGACTTTGTGGATGAGGTCCTAGGCGCTGCCTCTGTATCCGGGCCACCAGTGGGTCCAACTTTCTTTGTCACTGATGCAAAGAGTTCGGATGCCGACTGACTGCTCGCTGCAACATGGCTTCCGCTCGAAGTAGTGCTCGCAAAAGCGTCGTTTATTGCCGCTGCGAGAGCGTTGACAACATCGTCCGTGGTTCCCGTCGCGGAGGGCATGAGCAACGTAGTCGTTGTACCGTCCGGGCCAACAATTACGAGCTCCCCGACTTGAGTAGTCGAGGCAGGCGAAAGCCTCATCTGCTGGCCATTAACAAAAACCACCCCGCTCGGATCAATAAAGATGCTGTGCCCCTCTATAGATATTTGAGGATCTCCTGGCTGAAGAGCGATTGTGCCATTGACAAGAAGGGTTCCGTTAGAGAGGAGTGTGAGCGAAATACCGGATACCATGGTCGAGGAAGGGTCAGCAGAGGTGGGCCGGATTTGGATTCGCTGACCATCTACGAAGACCGCGCCATTTGGATCCAAAACGATGGTGTGGCCGCCTACCGTTATTTGAGGATCGCCCGGGCGTAGACTCAGCGAGTTATTGATGATAACAGTACCATCCGCCAATCGAGAGATTAAGATGCCTGATACCGTGGTTGATGAGGGCGACGGCAAGGCGGTGGCTGCTGGTGCTAGGGAGATGGTAGTGCCGTCAATGACCACCGACGGCCCGTTCACGCTGAGCATCTCCGTAGGCTGTCCGGTCCGCGGATCCCCTATAACAATAATTCCAGGTCGTGTTGGATCAACGAATACGGGCTTACCACCGACGGTGCCAACTGGGGTGAGGGTGGTATCCCCAGTGATAACAACTGCCCCGCTCGTTGGGTTGACGGAAATAGTAGTACCCGAAACGATTACGGGAGTACCACCAGGAGTGATAGTTTGAGCAGCGCCCGGAGCGGTAGGGTTGACTATTATGACTGTTCCTGGGCGTGATGGATCCGCATTGACGACGCTGTTGCCTATGGTTGCAATTGCGGTGGGGCGGGTTGGAGCATTGGTGATAGGAGTTGGATTGGGATTAGGATTGTTTGGTGGATTGGATTGGTTGGGCTGATTTGGTTGGCCTGGGTTATTCGACAGATTCGGGTTCGGAGGGTTGTGACTTGGTTGTGGATCAATAGGAGGTGGAGTGGGTACCGTTATCGTCTGCGTGAATCGAGTCGTGATCGGAGGCTGAGGAATTGATTTACTCGTCGGAACGGGCACAGGCGGTATTGTCTGTCCAGGGGTGGGGGGATCTGTCTTAGATTTTCCTTCGGTAGTCGTAGAAGCGAGGAAACCGGGCGCTGTGCCCAGGGCGATTGGTGGATCCGGGGTACCATCGAAGACAGGCACACAGCTCGCCCACTCTGGATCGCGTGCACGCAACTGCGGTGGGACAGCAATTGCTGGTACATACCAGTCCGTCACAATGGATTGGCATCCGCTTTGACACCTCGGCATGCACTGATACGCGGAGGCTGGTATGTCACCAACAAGGTCTTCCCAATTGAGCGGCTTTGCGGTGGCACCTATGACCTGCCCATATGGTCTTGTGGTTCCAAATCTCCAGTCGCAGATAGAAGAGATGTCGCTGGATGAAACTTCAACCATGTGGTCGCTGTAAGTCCCACCAACCGGTACGCTCGTTTGACCCAACATGTTGTCCAGTGCGCACCATTTGTACGCGGAGACGGCGGGATAACGAACGTATGCTTTGTCCGACCAGTAAGTAGTAGAGTTGATCACGGTAGAAGAGTGTGGGTGCGAGTATATGGAGACGGAATAGCTGTCGAAGCCAGGGCTGGTATTCGCGCAGAGATCTCGGCTGGTGGACGGTGGAGCGAAATAAAGGAGTTGAACGGTATAGGCACGGATGGTACATCGTGCTGTAGCACACTGTGATTGGATGACGGCGCCGGTAGGCCGCGAGCAGTTCGCACCAGTGGGGCCGAAGGGCTTCAAAACCTGATCTAAGTTCCAGGTGAGGACATTCTGGCCCCCTGGCGTGAGAGTCACCTCTCCGTAAAGGTTCGTGCCACCGGAAATGGTGTAAGTGCCCCGCTCTGCAGCATATGATTCTCCATGCAGTGTCAGTGTGGGAAAAGCGCCAGCAGGTGCCGTCAGAGGCGTGGTTTCGCTATTGACCACGATTGATGCCGGAGGAGACGCCAGCGAAACGGTAAGTATATTGCTCGAAGTCCAAGCATCGTTGCTGTTAGACAGCGATGAGCCGAATAGCGACCAAGCTGCAGAACATTCGTCTGCATTTCGGATCGAGCAAGACGGGGCGGGTGAGAAGGTACCTGTGGGCCATATCCAGTCTGCTGAAAGGTAGGTTTCAACTGTGGTAACTGGTGTTGGCAGCAGAATAGTCGCGTTGGTAGCTTCGGCTTCGGAATCAAAGCGGGGGAGTCCATCGCAGAGGGTTGAGAAGGTCCCATTTAGCGAAGAGGATGGCAGACCAGAACTGATAGTCGATGTATACGTATATGTCTTAGTGATGATCTGCACATGGGACTGCGACCAAGCCGATGTCATAGAGGAGTATGACCAGTACGCCGGCCAACATTGCGTTACGTTGTTGAGATCTGGGGATTTGAGCTTCTTGGATGTCACTCGTTCAGGTCAATCTTACCTGTACCATTCAGAATTGGAGCGGCCGTCGTGTTGGGAGCTATGCTCGCCGATGCCGAAAGATTCGCAATCGGTGAAGAGAAATTTGCGACGTTAGTGATGGATGAGAGCAAGGTTGAATCGGGGGTCAATGGCGCCGACGCCGTCAGGTTGCCCAGCGAAGCGGCGGTGGCGATTCCATCGAAGGATGAAGCAGCGGCGGTGGTGTTTGCGATCGCCGGAGAGGAAGAGCTTGAGATGCTTGTGGCCGTGATATTCGCGCTGGTGAAGTCTGCTAGCGGTTAGCTCTGCGCACTCTGATCAACCGCGCAGATGCTCCTTACTCGAAAACCCAGCGCCCCTCAATGCAAGCGATCGCGCCAGGACTTCCATCTCGCCCTGTTCTTGAAGGTCGACGACCTCCCAGGAATTCGCGTCGTCGTGCCCATATATGCGAACTCAGGTCCATGTGTACCTGGGGGCTGTGAATCCTTCTCAATATGTTCTGCATTTAAGCTGAGGTTAATTACGGGAATTTCCCCCATAGGGATTAGTCTGGGGCGTTTTCGGCCCGGAATGACACCCCTGAACACGCATGGTGGAGGACGATGAGATCTGGGTGCATTGCTTTGCACTCTTTGGGCTCTAGCTAGGTGGGTGAGCGAAAGGTTCGTTGACGATGGCGCATGGGCCCCCTCGAAAACGGGCCAATCACGGTCGGAGATGGCAGAAGAGGAACCACCGGCGCTTCGGATACGGGATGGCGCTGCAGGGATGCCAAAAAAACCCCGAGTCACCTTCTACTATCGTCATAAGCCTCCCGGGTGGCTTTCATCGACTTCCTTCACTCCCGCAAATGTGGATCATGGATACGAGTACCGAGTTGCGGGTACAGAGCATCGCTCCACACAGCGGCGTGTGTCCCTCTAGTCGTACCCGGACGCGCCCTCAACAACACCATACGCACCCCCTCCCTTTCCGAACATGATTCTCAAGTCACCAGCTATGCTTCCGGGCAGCTCCCACGCCGCAAAGTGTCCACCGCGGTCATGCTCCCGGGCACACACCACTTCGCCCATACCAGATCCCCAGGTCTTTGGAAGACGGCAGATCTCTTTTGGGAAGTACGCAAGGCCCTATGTACAGCGTCAGTTCCTGCGATCGCACTTTTCGAATAATGAAACACCTGTCAACTTACTAGCTTCACTCCCGGGACATACTTGCTCCCGAAAGCAGGAAACTCGCCCTTCTGAGACTCGTAGTAGATGCGAACACTAGCCGCAGGACCCGCTGTGCTGAACCAGTACAGGCTAACCCACGTGCACACTTCGTCCGGCTACCAGTCGTAGTTGTCCGTCCACCCATGCAGCTTCTCGTACATCCACGCGAGGAGCCCAACGGGGCTATCAGCGAGCGAATACCCGACCGTCTGAGATTTTGTAGACTAGACAGCGTAGTAGCCCATTCCGTTCTTTTGGAAGGCTTCTAGTCCGGCCTTTTCGGCAGCACTGTACATCCCGAGCATATAGCGGGTCAGCATTGTGACGAAAGAAAACGGAGACTTCCAAGACGGTGGTGGCGATACGACCATGTTGATGTGGGAAGCTGTGAGATGAGATGGATACGGTTGGCCCATGACCCGGGTAATGAGGAAACCCTAGAAACCTATGTCAGTCCTATGCGAACCACAGCTATTAGAGAACATACCTAATCCCCGCCTTGCGAGACGTACTGCTCGTAGCCCAAAGCTAGCATGAGCTTGTGGCATGTCTCTGCGTATTGCTTCATCCCGAAGCCAGGCCTTTTAACTACAGATGAGAAGCCGAAGTTAGGCAAGGACGGAGCAACTATATGGAATGCGGGCCCATTGTCCTTCTCCGCATCGCTCAGGAGAGGCAGAAGCTTGGTCACTTCAAGGAAGCTTCCTGGCCTTAGAGGATATCAGCATTAAGAGCTATGGGATAATCGGGCGGGAAAGACCCACATCCATGAACGAATACCAGAGGAATCGCATGCTTAGCCGAGCTCTTCCTGTGGACTAAGTGCACGTCCACCGGATCAAACCCTTCTACGGAAATGCTGGTGATGAAGTTGGGTAATTTGTTAATGGACCTCCCAGCTGTACTTTGTCCGCCAGTGCTCGGCGAGTCGATGCACGTTGCCCAGGGGCGTGCCGTAGTCCCAACCAGCACCCTCAAGTTCATCCGGAAAGCCCGTAAGGTCTAACTTGTGTTTGAGTCGCTCGATCTTGTCTCGAGGCACCGCAACCTTTGCGGATTGCCGCCATGGTGCTGCCGATTTTTCAATCGGATGATTGGTATATCCGGCCGAAGATACGATTCCTTCGTCGTTGAGAAAGCACCTAGCAATCGTAGTGCGAATGAGGTCTGGCTTAGCAAGAAATCGGGTTCTGTTCGGGATGGGGCTAATCCGGCCGACCCGCTATCACGTGCAGCTTAATACTGCCGCACATACGACTCGCGAATAAATGATGCGATGGGTCACGATTGCAAAGCAATCAAACATTGTGCACAAGGATCTAGTATTCTAACCGCCTTAAAGCTCACCCTGAAGGCCTTCAGCGGATTTTGCACAGCCCAGTAAGATGTGCACCAGCCGCTGAAGCGCTCCATGCCCCCCAAAGCACCTTATCCCGCTCAGGGGGACGGCGCAACAGCATCCCTATTCCCTTCAAGAATCTCCCGCTCAATCCTCGCCTTCCGTGCTTCCTCAGCCTCGCTGCTAACATCCTTGAACACCTGATCCATCTGCTCCAAGCTCCTACCGGCTGTCTCAGGAATGAAGAAGAACGTGAAGACGAATGCCAGAAGACAGAAGACCGCGAAGAATGTGTATGCGCCGTATCCGGTATTTTGGACGAGCGGCGGTGTGATGAGGCCCTTCTGGCTGTCAGATGCATGTATCGAGAGGAGGAAAACAATGAGGACCTACGATAATGAAGTTGTTGAGCCAATTTGAGCACGTCGAAAGAGCAACACCCTTCGCTCGCAATGACGAAGGGAAAATTTCCGAAGGCATTGCCCAAGGAACTGGGCCCCAAGTCGCGCCAAAGCTCAGCATATAGAAGAACAAAAGGGCCACCGCGACCCAGCCTTCGGTCGCGTGGCTGCTCCAGCTGTTATCAAACTTGCCAACCAGAACTGCGATGATGAGGTGCGAAATGAACATCAGTCCAGCGCCCACAAGCAGGAGGGGTCGTCGGCCAAAATGGTCCATCGTCCAGAGCGAAGTAACGACACCGACGAGCTGGGTTATATTTATGACTCCGGAAAGGAGAAGTTGCATATCGTAGTCCTGGCCGAGCGTCTTAAATAGCGAAGGAGAGTAGTAAATCAGGGCATTGATTCCAACAAATTGCTGGAAGAACATTATGGAAACGCCAACAAGCGTGCGTCTCCAGCATCCATGTTTGAAGCAGTCCGTCCAGGCGACGATTTCAAGCTTGATGCGATTCGCTCTCGTAGGCTTCTGCAGGTGCGGGTGACGCTCGCGGCTTACCTCCTGCTTGAAGGTGACTTCGGCACGGATTTCGCACCACTCTTGCTGCACGCGGGAGTCAGTGGGTGGTAGACGGCGCAGCTCGGAGAGCACTTCAAGCGCCTCTTTGTCGCGGCCTTTGCTCGAGAGCCAGCGCGGAGAGTACGGCAAGAAGAGGATCCCGGCACCGAGGACCAGTCCGGGGATCATTTGGATGAGGAAGGGAAGGCGCCATGACCATTCGCTGCGCATGTAGCGAGTGCCGTAGGTAATCCAGAAAGCGATAACGATACCAAGAACGATGCTGAACTCTTGAAGGACGAGCAACGCGCCGCGGATTTCTGGTGGAGCGATCTCGGAAATGTAGAGAGGTGATACCATGGCTAACCTGTTCATCATATCAGTATTGCTCCATGTGTCCTTCAACGTGTGCTCTGGACTCACATTCCTATACCCATTCCTCCTATTAGCCGTCCGACTGTGAGCATCGCATACTCCATAGCCGCGGTCTGCAGAATACTCCCGACCGTAAACACCACAACAGCAACGGCGATTGACCGCTTCCTGGAGAGCTTGTCCGCCAACCAACCTGCGAACAGTGCGCCGAGGAGCGCACCCAACTCGAGCATGGCTGTAATCAGGCCCTTCCAAAAGCCGGCCCCGGAAGCCGTCTCCGAGACGCGCGGGAACCGGTTGAGAAATTGATCTGTCACAAGAATGACTGAGATCACACCCTGGCTGGGTTGACGTCAGTTACTGGACTGGTGTGTGCTGATGGTTGAGCTCACTCGTAGCCAAACAAGAGCCCGCCAATAGTTGCAAAGGCCGAACACAGAGCGACGAAATGATTCGCGAAGAGACCTCTGAAGCCTATTCCGTCAGCCAGATCCCTTACCATTGATGCTTTCAATGGATCACATACCAGCCGGCCCATAAGGTTCTCTCGTAGCCCACGCTTTCTCCGCATGATGGAGCCCAGCAACTTCATGATGATGATGCGATGGTGTCGGCGCGACATCAATTTCCTCGCTCTTACCCATTATAGCAAAATCTCTTTACAATGTAACTTAGGTTGCGAACGATAGAAGGTATGGGATGAGGAGAGCTCCTAGAGGGGATCGACCCCATACTTATGCAAAAGCTGATCTTCGGCGCAACAATTGCGGTGGTGGAGACGTTACGTTAGCGTGCTAACGCGGTCGTGCTGTCCAGGTGCACGACATCAAGCGAGCGCAAGATCGGCGGCGTGAATTGCCTGGCTGGAATGCTTCCTGGCCATGTGCGCGTGCCGTTTAGATGGTAGTTCAATCGGCCCGGACAGTTTGAGATGAATAAGGTCGCATCCAGCGGGCTCACTCCGGCACCCAACGCCAAGCAACCCCTGTCAAGTTACGTCATATCCCAGCCTCCCACTGATCAAACGCCGCGGCTTTTGAACGGCCACGCGACCCTTCCCCATTACCCCAGGTTTAGCTCTCCGGCACGTTGAAACATCTCAAAGAAAACTGACAATTCGCGGCGCTACCTCCTCCCCGGCATCCCTTTTCAGGAACTTACGAAGCGGCCTCACTAGCCAATCCTGGCGTGAACGGAAGACGACCCGAGTCGGCCAACCCTAGGGCTAACAATGTTCCGATGAAATAGCAATTTGCCCCGACGACGATGTGACGAGCATTCCGAGCCGCCCCCTTGCTAGTTAATTGAGACTTGGCAGAGTTGGAGTAGCAAACGACGTATGTTTGACGAGAATGATATGGATTATATGGGTCCGTCTTCATGCGTCCCTTCCCTCGGAAAGGAGGTCTTTGGCTCTAGATCCGCCAACATGTTTCGAGAGATCTTTAAGAATGCATACATCGCAAGGGGATGCGGTAGGCCAAACACAACACGATAATGCCCAGGCTCAAGTAGGCATCGCCATGACTCCACCCCACGCGCCGCCCCCACCAGACCTCCGACTTCCACCCCCCGCCGTCTTCTTCGTGCCACCGAAACTGCCCGACTTTCTAGCTCCAGATGTCCTGCCACCTACTCTCTTGGACACCCCGGCGTATGATTTACCCGAGCTACCGGAACCCTTCCTGCGGAAGCCACCCTTCTTCTTGGAAAATGGAGCCTTCGAACCGGCTCTAGATGTAGAAGGTTTGGACGTTGCGGGCGCCTTCGAACGCGGATTAGGCCTCTCGGCCTCAATTTGCGAGAATCGACGATTCCAGTTCTCGACTTCGGGGTCAGCTTGCTGATTGAAGTGGTGGCTCGTGTGCACGGCTACATCATCCTCTTCCTCGTTACATTCCATCGAATTGAGGCTTTCGGTCTCCGTGGCTGTTCCTTCGTCTTCTGACCCACTACTCACAAGATCAATAACGTTCTGATGATTCGGATCCAGGGGCCTCTGGTCTTCATCCTCGTCGTCATCTTTCTCGCCGACAAGAACGACTGGACGGCGTCCGGAGAGTCGGTGCTTCGGGATTGGCACTTCCTCACAAAAGCATTTCCTCGTATTGTCAATGAGTGGGAGAAGCCTGCCGCCGTAGATCTTCACCATCTCGGGATTGATTCCAGGGATGACGAGCAGTTCGTCTTCGTTGTGGGGAAGGTCGAGGCACATTTCGCGTAGGATGGTGTCCGAGAACGGGGCGTTTCGGATCCCTTTCTCTACCATGATGCCTCGAAGTAGGTTCTTTGCGCCTTTCATGAAGTCGGCCAGAACGTCCCTCTGAAAATCGCTCAGGTCGGAGACCCTTTCATCAACAGTGATAGGGGCACCGAGCGCCCTGCGCTTTGATAGTGACGAGGGTTTTGCGCCGCGGATAGGAGCAAAGCCATCATCGTCCTCTGATTTGTGGGGGACGACGGGTCCGTCATCTTTATAACTGCGGTTGGTGCCGCGCGTCCGACGCGGCGGGTCGTCAAAGCAGTCATTACTCTCATCATCGTCGGCCTCGTTTAACACGTATTGTCGGAGGTTTGGCTTCGAGGCAAGTCGGATAGGGGAAGAGACGTTCGTCGAGGGATACTCCGCTCGCTTTTTCGTGGACTTCTTGCTGGTGTTTATACCACGCGCTTTTCGAGGGGTGACACGGACTTGTAATCTGAACTGCCTTCGGCCCTTTTCATAGTCTCTTGCCTTCAGGCCTAGCTGAAGTAAGTTAGTCGGGCTCGTTTAAGAGAGGTCACAGAACTTACATGAAGGTAGTTGGTCGCGAACCCCGCGTTGTTTGTCTTGCTTTCCTCCCTCAGTGCCTGAGCTTCTAGGAGGTGATGGAAAACACGTTCGACGTCGCCTCTTTCCAAGTCCTTGCCGAAGCCGAACTCGTCAAGATCCGCGCCCTTCAGTTTCGCGTTCTTCGCCCCGCGAAACGCGTCGATACATTGAAGTACCGTGACGTTGGTCTTTTCGACTTGCTTTACCATTCGAATAGCTGCGGTTGCATAGTTCGTGAGGTCCTTCTCCTCAAATGTGGCATCCGACATACAGTTGTCGCAGGTCCCGTTGCAGTTTTCGCGCTGGAAGGGTTCGCTGAAGTAGTTCAACACCTGCACCCTGCGACAATCGCTCTTGTTCTCGCAGAACTGGATCACGTTTCGAAGCATGTCATGCTGGCGCTGCTTTTGCTCTCTACTGCCATCCCCCTCTTCAATCATCTTCCTCAGCATCTTGCAGTCGGCATATTGATAGTACAAGTAACAGTCCGAACGCTTGCCGTCTCGTCCAGCGCGGCCGGTCTCTTGATAGTACCCTTCCAAGCTCTTTGGTAGAGTATGATGTATGACGAAGCGCACGTCGGCCTTATCGATCCCCATGCCGAAAGCAATCGTGGCCACGATGATGTGATATTCATTGTTCTGCCATTTCCTCTGGACGTCGGATCTCTCTGCAGATTCCATTCCAGCATGATAGTGGTAGGCTCGGATGCCAAGGGATGTAAGTTTCTGCGCAACAGCCTCGCAGTTCTTCCGAGATAGACAATAGATAATGCCGGACTTCCCAGAGTATCTTGATTGGATCAATTCAGCAATGCTTTGAACGATGGCTCTGCCCTTCTCCCGGACCTCGTATGACAAGTTTGGTCGGTTGAAGCTCTGTGTGAATAAACGACAGCCCCGGATGCCGAGATTCGCCATCACGTCAGTACGGACCAGCTGGGTGGCAGTTGCCGTGAGAGCGATGATTGGGACTCCTGGAAATTGGCCGAGAACGTCTCCAAGCGCCTTGTAGTCTGGCCGGAAATCGTGGCCCCATTGACTGACACAATGCGCTTCGTCGATGACGATACGAGCGAGGCGATTCCGCCGGTGCAGCTGCTGAAAGGCGTTGATCATCCTCTGGTTCTTGCTCAGCATTTCAGGGGTTACGTATAACACCTGTATGAACTTTTCGGGGTCGCGTTCTCTCAGCCCCTCCATGATGAAGTTCTTCTCCGCCGCCGTGGACTCCCCGTTGATCAGGAAAGCCTGCATGTTGAACCGTTCTTTACAGGCCGCAACCTGATCCTCCATCAAGCTTAGTAGCGGTGACACTACGATTGTAACTCCTCGGGTCTTTCCCGAGTTGATAACGGAGGGAAGTTGGTAGCATAGCGACTTGCCACCTCCAGTTGGCATTAGCACGAAGCAGTGTTCTCCGCCAAGGGTGGCATTGATGGCTTCCAGCTGGCCTGGACGGAAGCCGCGCAGGCCAAACTTGTAGAGCAACGCATCTCTCACATCGCGCGACCACGGGAAGTTCATTCCTATGTTGTTTAATGTCGGCTTCTTTGGCGATGGCTGGATATTCCGCTGTTGAACCCGGTTCACCGAAGCTTCCCGAAAGACCTCTCTTCGAGTTGTGCGAGCATCCACCCGGTCGCCTTTCCAATCGAAGCGTGCTACGTTCTCCCCGTTGCTGATCTCATGGAAAGCAGCGTCATCGTCATCGTCGCAGAAATCTTCGTCGTTAACCTCTGCCGGGTCCGGCGGCACACCCATGGTAGAGCTGAAGAGGTTATCGTCATCATCAAAGTCGTCTCCGAAATCTTCATTTGGTGTATGAAACGACTCGGGTCCGCTAGACTCGCGAGGCGCGTTTTTCTTTGACCGTGCAGGTGGTGATCTATGTCGCTGGGGAGTTTCAGGTATCCGATGAGATTTCTGCTGTGCCATAGGGTTCGGCCTCTCGGGGGCATGGGGGCGAGTGTTGAAGCTTAGAAGCGGCGCAGGAGATGCCGCGTTATGCCTTTCAGCAAACCGGATTCGGCGGGATGGCGTCCATACATCCTGAACGGATATTTGAGTCTGTCTGACGTATTGTGTCTGAGGAACGTGACTGGACCCGGGAATTTCGGCTGGTTTCAGCTTGTTCGATGTCGGTGTCGTCTGCGTGGACTGAATAACAACGTCGCGGGCATCCCCGTCCGCTTCGTTCTTAACACCGGGTTCCAGGAACTTCTTCATTCCTGCTACTTCGAGAAGAAAGTAGATCTGGACTTGGAGTTCCTCAAGCGACTTAGCTATAGCAGCCAAGGCTTCTCCATCTGCGGGATTGAATATGCCCCTGTTGAGGTCTTCCTCTATCTTCTTCCTGACCCCTTGTCGTTCCATATTCATGTCTTCATGCTTGGTTTTGAGCACAATCAACTGTTCTATTGCATCTTTCTGGGCGTGGGCACGCTGGACCTTCGTTGTATCGGCCGAATGGTCTGCGCCAGACTCCAAATGTCTTAGAAATGCTTCCTTGGCTTTGGCCCAGGTGGCGATCGCAGTATCTAACTGCCGCTGGAGACGGTATCCCTCAGCGTCCAGGAAGCTTTCTACAGCTTGGCGAATTGCGTCTTTCTTTTCCTGAGGTATTTGAGATGCACAAGGTATTTGGCGAGACTGACGCACAATAGAGCCAGGAGTAGACTGCACCTTCTGGGGAGACAGCCGCTTCGTTTGGGGTGATTGGGGTTTCGTATGGATGCGCGCAGGTTCTGGCTTGGCTTGTCGGCCGGCTGGCTCAATGGGCTTCGATGGAGAGCGAATTGGTAAATGCATGTGGATATTTACATGGCTGGTAGGTTCTTGGCTTGGTGCGTTGACGGTGTTTCTCGCCGAAGTAGGACGTGGCGACGGGACAGATTTGACATCTTCCGGATCGAGGTCAAAGCCATCGAAATCGTCAAATTCTTCATCTTCCGAGTCTAAGACTGCACCACCGACTCTTCGCTTCACTGGAGTGTAGGGTCGACCAGCTTTGCCAGAGGCATTACCGTTTGCATGCTGACTAGTCTTCAGAGAAGGACTACGAGCTTGCTTGCCCATTTTCCGCGTATGAGGGGACATTTCAGAAGGCGCGCGACTGAGCGATTTGCGCTTTCGGGCGCTTGGCGTAACCTGACGCGACACCTCCGGTATGAAATGATCTTCGTCATCGGAAGGTAGTTGAAACCCAAGCCCATCGTTCAAATCTCCTCCGTATGCTTCTCCAGCTTGTCCGATTCTACCATTCTGAACCGTCGTCGAATAGGGTGGAGGCGGGCTTTCTGGTACAGCCCCCATCTCGTCGATATCTGCGAAACCGTCGAAGTCGGGGGTGCAGGGGCTGAAGGCGGCGATCGTCCTGACTGGTCTGGGTGACTTCCTCTGCCTGAAATCCTCCTCGAACTCATCGCTCTTCCGCTTCTTTCCCTTTTTAAGCCGTTTCGAGAGCGAAGACGGCTGCGCTTCATTCTCGCCAGTCAAGTCTATTGCTTCGATATCGTGGGACTGAAGACGTTGTTTTCTAGACGTGGGATGTGCTTCAGTTGGGGTCGTCAGGTCAGTCGAATTTCGCCTCTTTGAACTTTTACCCGGCCTTTCATCTTCTAAAACAATTTTCAGCGTCTTCCCACAGGGCAAAATTGACTTATACATACTGTCCTGCCAGGTATTGGTGTGCTTGCTCCTCGAGGCTGAAAGCGCATCATTAGACGGCAGTCCGGCTAAGACAAGCCTAGGCTTTCCATTTCCTGGCGTAGCACGCAGCCTTGCCATATAAACCTCTCTTTCCTGCTCCGACGTCGGCTTATGTATATCAACCGTTCGGGTTGCTGTGCAGGTGGGACGCTGGCTCGGTTGAGTAATCGTTCGGACAGGCGCTGGCGCAGGCCCGGGTGCATCGTTTATTGTAGGCTCGGCCAAGGAAGAGGAGTGCTGTGAAATCGTCACTGAGCTGGTGGGGAGGTCTGAATCGTAGGCAACAAGAGAGTGAGCGGATGGAATGAACGGCTTCGCGCTTAACAACCACGTTATCTGGTCTGTTAGATTGTTCCTAGCAGGCATTACAGCGTGGCATCGCCCAAATTGAGGTACGCATTGGTATTCGGCGCGTCGTCAAGCATCCGGCGGAAGAGAAAAGGGTGTGGTGGTGGCGATGTGGGGGTAGCAGAGGTGGTGTTGTGGAAGGCACGTTTCTCGATCGCGCTTGCCTTGATTAGTAAACTCACGCTAACATGTGACCGGCGAATTATTTCCCTATCTACGGTAGGACCTTCCAAGTCGGTATAGCATAAGCGACTATATATACCTTGCGGAAAGATGGCTCCTTCCCCACCAGACACGATTTCCCCCCGTTCCAAATGATTCAAGCCTCGGAAACCCTCAGGGAGCTCGCCGCTACATTTGCGTGCCTTCGCACCGAACCTGCGCCCGACGTCCTACCGCCCGAGGAATCAGTGACTCGGGCACGCGAAAAGCTCCAGCAGCATTTACCAGAGTCCGGCCTGGGGCTAGAAGAGACGACCAAACATTTGCAAGAAGCCATTATACCAGGCCTCAACGCGTCAAGCCGCTCGCCCAACTACTACGGCTTCGTGACGGGTGGTAGTACGCCCGCTGCATCTCTCGCCGACAACATAGTTACTGCCTACGACCAGAATGTCGGTGTCCATTTGCCAAAAGAGACGGTCGCAACGAACCTAGAAGATAGGGCACTCGTACTGCTATGCGAACTCCTAAAGCTCGACCCAGCGCAGTGGCCGCACCGAACATTTACCACCGGAGCGACGGCAAGTAATATGCTCGGCGTTGCATGTGGCCGAGAGTACGTTATTGCAGAGGCGTCAGCTGTCCGCAGCGATGCTACCAATAGCGTAGGCGAGCTTGGAATATACGAAGCAATGCACCGCGCTGGGATCGACAAAATCCAGATACTGACTAGCGTGCCTCATTCGTCACTGAGCAAGGCAGCTGGTATTCTTGGACTAGGGCGTGCTTCGATCAGATCCATTGGGCTGGAAGGAGCATCGCATAAAATAGATATCGCCCAGCTGAAGAAGCTCCTCGAGCAGCCTGGCACTGCCTCCGTTGTGGCCATATCCGCGTCGGAAGTCAACACCGGTGCATTTGCTACGTCCTCGCTCCAAGAGATGCTAGAAATTCGCAAGCTGTGCGACATGTACGGCGCTTGGATACACGTTGATGGAGGTTAGTAGGCTGCTTTGGAGCTGCTGATGCTCTTCGGATTCCCTCATCCATTCCTTTATGCAATGTTTAGTATTGGAGTTTCGCTAAAAATGACAGCTTTTGGGATTATGGGCCGCATTCTCACACTCCCCACCCACTCCACCATCATCAACAGTTGCGCTGGACTTGAACTCGCCGACTCCATAACCGGTGACGGCCACAAACTGCTCAACGTGCCCTACGACTGCGGATTTTTCCTCTCGCGCCACCGCGAGATCGCAGCTCGCGTTTTCCAAAACCCGGGGGCACCATACCTCAGTACCGACGCTACAGACACGATCATGTCGCCGCTGAACATCGGCCTCGAGAACTCACGGCGCTTCCGTGCATTGCCAGTTTATGCATCGCTTACTGCGTATGGTAGTAACGGATATCGTGGGATGTTGGAGCGCCAGATTGAGCTTGCAAGGGCGATTGCGGAGTTTATGCTTGAGAGCGAGGATTTTGAGTTGTTGCCGAAGTTTGAGGGCTCGAAAGAGGAAGCGCTGAACAATATCTATATTATAGTGTTATTCAGAGCGAAAGACGACAGTCTGAATAAGGAGCTTACCAACAGGGTCAAGGCGAGCAGGAAGATATACGTTTCGGGCACTGCCTGGGAAGGACAGCCAGCATGCAGGTTTGCGGTCTCGAACTGGATGACTGACGCGAAGAGAGATCTGCCCATCATCAAGCAAGCCTTGATCAATGTTGTTAAAGGCTGGAAGAAAAGCAAAGAGGAAATTGGTATCGTGCATTCATAGCCTACCTAGGTGGCAGGTCTGATCGCTCGGCCCCTGGAACTCGAAAACTATTGCTATGCTTTTAGGCATAGTTGGAGTCTAATGCCTTCACATATCCTCCATCTTATACACCTCGTAAGCCGGCTCCTCATAAGGATGCGCCCTGTCACTATGGTCAACGTCACTATCCTCTCGCCCTCTCCCTCCCCTCGCGCAACACTTACTTCTTCAACGCCTCCACAGCCTTAACCGCAACCTCCCTCCCTACACAAATCGACTCCACCCTCATCTCTTCGACCTCCTCGAGCTCGCCCACTTTACCAATCTAACAACGCATCATCAGCCTCGCGCTCTCATGCATCCAACCGCACCCTCCTATTCAAAGATATTTGGAAAGGAAACCATACATTCGGATTTGCAGCATCTCCCGGCCTAAATTGCCCCGTCCCTTTACTAGTAAACGCGCACTCCGTGTACCCACCCGGGCCCGGATACTTGCCGGCGCCCGCAGCAAAGATCGCGCTTTTGCACGTCTGCATGGCGGCGGTTGGGACGAAGAAGACGAGTTTAAAGCGCTGGGGGAGAGACATCTTCAGCAACAAAAATTGATGCGTTGAAAAGACGCTTAATGCGGCTCAGTCCCGCTAGTCGAGTGCTGTTTCGGTGTGTGTGTTGGCAAGGTGGGCTGGGATGTTCGGTTGGGCGCGCTTACCACTTTAGATTGGCACGTGAATTGTGGCGTTAATATAGAGCGCCGAGGCACAACTGAGGGGACAACCTTGTTCTTGTTTTGAACGTCATTTGAGAAGTGGGCTTGCTACGCAAAAGACACGGTTGTTCCCTTCATTATCGCATCTCATTCAAGAGCGTGCCTTCGCGAAGCTGCGTCTTCGATGTCCCCAACGCCGAAACGCCCCAAGGCCCTGTCCGTCATTGACCTGACCACACCGGCATCGCCAATTCTATTCTTTCCCCTCCTTAAACCTCACCTTGACCCCATCGGCCGGACACTCCGTCAGCGTCAGCCACTGCCTTACATACCCCATTCCACCCTTTGCAACTGGCTCCCAAGTATTTCCCACGCCTTCCATCGCCTCAAACCGCTGTAGCAATCTCACGATCACGTATCCCGCCTCCGTCAAAGCAAATTGCTGACCGAGGCAGATACGCGGGCCGCCGTTAAAGGGCAAATACTCCCACCCGCTACGCCTTCCATCCCAGCGCTCGGGCCTGAAGTCGTCGGCATCAGGGCCCCAGAGATCCTTCCGCCGGTGCATCGCGTAGACGGAGTAGTCGACCTGCTGGCCTTTACGGATGTAGACTGGTGAACGGCCGTCAGGACCACCGCCTAAGGGGATCGTGGTATCCTGAAGCGCGCGACGGCCGTCGATTGGGACCACAGGATAGAGACGCAAGGTCTCGTTGAGAACCCACTGCAAGTAATTGCAGCTCTTGAGACCAGAGAAGGTGATTTTCTTGGAGTTCCTATAGGTGCCGAAGTCTTCTAGGATGACGGATCGTAATTTGGAATATGCATCCGGACGTTTGGTGAAGATCATGAAGACATAGGAAAGCATGGAGGCAGTTGTATCGCGTCCGGCGAGAAGAATGCTCAAGAGGTGGGAGCGGAGCTCAACGGGATCGCGCGTCGACTCTGCAAGTGCGTCCAGGAAAACATACTTGTGCTTCCCGGCGCTAGTAGTCTGCGCCGACGGCTTCTCTTTGTGCAGCGCCAGCTGGACGTAATGGTCGATGAAAGCATGGCATCGCCTGCAATGCTCCTTGTAGTCCTTGTCGTGCTTGATCCAGTACATATCGCCCAGCCTTGCTGCTTGCGCTATGCAAGCCTGCGCTCTATCGAACGAGACGGCGAAGTCCTTCTCATTAATAGCCATCGGTGGCCTGCTGGACGTATAATCTGGCAGATACGATAGCTGGGAGTCGACACTCTCCCCAAAGAGGAACTCGGTTGCCGAATCGATCGTCAGGCGAAAGAAGAGAGGCATGATGTCGATGACATCCGTCCACCCATCGAGGTTCGCAGGCAAGATGCGCATCATGTGCTGAACATGCGTCTCCTCGAGGTCGAGATCGCTAACCTGATCACGCGCGAACTGGGGACGAAGTAGAGCCCTAGAATGCTCCCATTCCTTCCCGTCTGTTGAGAACTGCAATGATAATTAGCCCCAGCTCGCCACGGCCCGTCTACCACTAAGTAACCCAATACGCAAGCATACTCACAATGCCCCACCCCAACAATGGGAAAAAATTATTATTCCTCGACGACCCCAACCCGAACTCCTTAAACTGCGTGGCCAGCACCGCCTGAATGTTTTTGGGTTCCACTGTAAACACGGCCGGACTGCCCAGCAAATTCTGATACGTCGTCGTTACGAGTCTACCCTCCCTCTCGCAGACGTCGTCCATACGGTCTTTGACGTACTGCATGATGCGACGATCATTGTCCGCTTGCAAGATGCCCCAGATATTCCGTGTGCCGATGGGATCATTGACGCGGATGCGAGGTGGTTGTTTGCAGCCGAGGCGCGCCGCGTTGCGGCGGTGGCGGAGTTCATTGGAGACGTAGGTTGTGAGCTTGAAGAGGAGGAAGGCGAGGACGGCCCAGAGGGAGAGGAGGATAGATGTGTGCATATTGGCGGTTAAAGAGCTTGAAGACGAGCGTGAAGGTGACGGATGAGGTTTCAACAAAGAACGGCAGGCGCAGTTAAAAGCCTGGGAGCGGTCAGCATTATCGACGTCGACCTGCACTCATACAAGAACCATCAACGCTCAACGTACTGTACCTCCAACCGACCTAGGCTAGTCGGCACTTACGCACAACACGCATGTGGGTCGCGGGGGAGGCTTTGAAGCGCATCCTCAGTCACCGCAGCAGCCCGGGGCGAGCTATCGTAACAAGGGCCTCGGCCACCTCGGTATCCTGACCAGGCAGGCGATTCTGCCGGTCGAACCAAGAGCAATATTTCTTTCCCATCGGAGTCTAAGCGGTCCGCCTCCGTTGGGGCCCCCGAGTCGGAACCAAGAGTTCCTCCGCCGCTAGTGTTCATGGGGAAACGCATACGAGTCCACGGGTCTTGATTGACTATGTCTTCACCGTCTATTCTGCGCCCGAATATACACATGCTTAGTATGACTTGCTTTGCCAAGGGATCCTGCGTACCGAGGTCGTCCTTTGCTATCATTGTGACTGACAGTTTTGCAGGAGAAAAGCTTGGACATCGGGTGGGGTCATTCGCGAGCGGAAAATGCCGCGAACCCCGCGGAGACGCTTCCGACAGACATCTTAGCATGCCAACGGCGTCTAAACTTGTATTCCTTGCGTTGCGATGAGGTCCTTGGGGAAAACACTACTTTGAGACGCGTAAATGCAATAAGCCAGTCGTACGAGTGCTGACGCTTACATACACGCCAAGTACCTCTAGGGCGAGGTCAGCATAGGCACGACGGGGCGTAGGCCCTGAAGAGTTGGAGCATAGGCGGTGCCTCGAACATCATTTCCCTCATTAGATATCCGTCGTAAGAGCATACTCTTTGGGGCGTGTGCGTCCCACCATATCCACACGTCACCATTCAATCCGACCCAACCCACCAACTTCTATCCAAGACCAACAAGCATGTATCAGATTGGTCAGCACCGTCTACGCCCGCCCAAAAATATAGTCTTTGTTCTCGATCGTAACACTCTTCGTCTATAGGACCATTAGCAACCGCTTCTGCGCAGAAACATGCAGGCGTAACACTCACCATATGATTAACCTTGTATACGCCAACAAGCCGCGCCGCGAGCTCGAACATGTTGTTTCGCAGCGAGATGACGATGAATTGAGCGTTCTTTGTGCGCTGCTGGATGTAACTGGCGACGATAGAGACCTGTTGATCTAGTCAGAAACAGCCCTCACCACACCTATCAGGTACTCACATTTCGGAAATCCAACGCAGCATCAATCTCATCCATAACGTACAGCGGCGTCGGCTTGTAGTGATGCAGCGCAAACACCAGGGCAAGCGAACTGAGCGTCTTCTCACCACCACTCAAATTAGAAATGTTCTTCCAGCTCTTCTTCGGCGGCATCACGCTGAATAGGATACCCTCTGAGAAAGGATCGAGCGAGTCGACGAGCTCCAGCTCCGCGTTTCCGCCCATGGTTATCATCTGGTACATTTCCTTGAGACGGGCGGTGATGATGCTGAAGCCTTCCATGAAGCCCTCGAGGCGCAGACGGCGCAGCTCGTCGCATCGTTTCTTCGCGGCATCACGGGCGGCGACAGCTTCGGCTAGGTCCAGACTGCGAGCTGCATGTTCTTCGACGCGCTTACGGTACTCAGCAAGCACGGAGATGTCCACGTTGACGTTCTCGTTCTTCTTCTCGAGCTGGGCGATCTCGTCCTGGAGGACTCCCTTGTCCATGTCTTGAAGCTCGTCCTTGGTGTACGTGGGCAGACCTTCCCCTTCTTGTTCCTCGCCGAGGTCGCTGATGCTCTGGTAGGAGAGCTTTGACAGCTTGTCTTCGAAGTAGCGCTGCTTCTTCTGGTACTCATGTAGACTCTTCCGACCTTCTTCAAGCTTGTTCCGCATTTCGATTTCGACGGCACGCGTCTCATTCAGCTCGGCGGTCTTCTCGTCGAGCTCCTTCTTGAGCGCTTGGAGTTCCTCCTTGCTGTTGTCAAGAGCCTGGAGACATCGTTAGCAGAACTTTGGGCCGCCAATAAAAGTATATACCTCTTGAGCTTCTTCGGCTTGCTGCCTGATGCCAGCAGCATCACTCTTCTGCGTCTTCATATCAGTTTCTACCTTCTCCGCATCGAAAGCAAGCTTCTCAAGCTCCTTGATTGCATCGGCATGGGCTTTCTCGTGCTTCGCGCGTTGCTTCTCCTCCTTCGATTTCGAGACCTCTGCGTTCGAGGCTTGGTCGGTCAAGGTGTCAATCTGCTGCTTCAGACCGTCTACCTTAGCTTTCTGGCTTCGGAGCTTGACCCCACCAATCTCCATGATCTTGTCTTGTAGCGCCTTAATCTCGGCTTCAACTCCTGCTGTTTCCGCATGGAGTTTGGAGACCTCCTTCTGCATAGAAGTGATGCTCTTCTCCAGGGTGGATATCCGTCCTTTGTCGGACTTCGTCGATGCCTGCTCAGCGCTAAGTTCCTTGATGCGGCGCTTGGAGTCTGCAATGTTGCGGTCGAAGCTGTCCAGCTCCAGCGCGATCTTCTGAGCCTTCGTCTCCAGCTGGGGGATCTGGGCGCTGAGATCGCGCAAGGTAGTTTCTAGGTCGCGTTGCTCTTGCTGAAGTTCAGCGAATGTCCGTTCAAGCGTATCCCGATCCTGCTCAAGCTTGACCACTTGATCCTTGGTAATATCTGCAGCAATTTTGGAAGACATGCCACCCTTAGCTACTCGCGTTCCACCACCGCTCATGGTGCCGGACTTGTCGATGAGCTGGCCATCGAGGGTGACGACTCGCCATCTCTTCGCACCATATGCGATGCGATTCGCTTGCTGAAGATCACCTGCCACGAGGGTGTTCTGCAAGACGCTGAAGAAAGCCGGTCGGAACCTGTCGTGCTTAGGTTTAACGAGGTCGAAGAGTCGAGGAACATTCTCGGGAGTGTCGATCTGCGAGAGGTCTCGCTGGGGAAGGCGGTCTAGAAGAATGAAATTGGCACGGCCGAGGTTGTTCTTGCGAAGATAGTCAATGCATTGCTGTCCAACCTCAACAGAGTCGACAACCAGATTATCGAGCTGCGGGCATGCCGTCGAAATTGCAATGTCGTACTTCTGATCGATGGCACCTAGGTTCCCAAGCCGACCATGGAAGCCGTTGATACGTCCAGACTCTTTTAGGCGCATGAGCCCTGTCAGGACGTTTCCTTGAGTTTGGGTCGCTGAGAGGCTGGCGCGAGCTTCATCAGCCTTCTGGCGGGCGCCAGACAGCTTTGTCTGGAGGGCCGGCTCTTTGTGGGCGAGCGCGTCGAACCGCGCTTGGACTTTTTCGGCTTCCTTTTCAACCCGCTTCCTCTCGGCCTTGCATTCTTCAAGCTCCACTGCCTTGTTCTGCTTGGATTCCTCAAATCCAGCAATCTTCGCCTCAGCCTCAGCGATGCCCTTTGCTCCAGAATTTTCCTTTTCGCGAAGGATGTCAAGCTCACTTTGGGCTACCGCGATCGAGGATTGCTTCTCGTTGACCTTGGCGGTCCAGGGCTCGAGGGATTTCTGCTTTGCCGCGATCTCATCTGAAAGTCCCTGAGTTTTTCCGGCCAAGCTCGCGCGGACAGCCTCAAGCTCCTTCTCCTCATCCTTCATGTTTTTCTCCAATTCCAAAATCTCCTCAGCATAACGCTCGATGTCGGCCGCGTACTGCTTCGCGAGGGTCTCAGACTCAGAAATTCCGAATTTGCTGGTTTCTTTGGTCTTTTCTAACTTCTTTTGCTTGCCGACAAAGAATTTTTTCTTCTCTTCAAACTTGACGGTCTCCTTATCGATCTTCGCAACCTCTTTTTGCAGCTCTTGCGCATGCTTCTCGAGCCGCTCGCAATCCTTAGTGCTCTTCTTATATTGCTTCTCGAGCTGTTTGATGCCTTCCTCGTTTCCTTGATGCTTCTGCAGCTCTTCATCTAGCTGAGCCTGCATCTGGCCGACTGATTCCTCGGCCACCTGAATGTGGTCGTCGAAATCCGAGATGTACATCTGATACAGTGCTGAGTGCTTCGTCGAGAGCTCGTTCTCATCGCGGATATAGGCTAACGCCTTGTTTTTCTTGTCTTCTAGGCCTGTCCTCTCCTTCTCGACATGCTGCACTCGGTTGTTCTTCTCCATGCAGACCTCGTTGAGGGTCTCCGTCTCGGCCGCAGATTCTTCAATAGGCGTCTTGTACTTGGAGGTCCCGATGATGTCCTCAAGGTATTCAAGAAGACCATCATCGTGCTCGTTGGCGGCTTTCGGTTTCATTTGCGCGATGGATTCTACCTCGCCCTGCAGGATCAAGAAACGCTTGTGGTCCAGATCTACTCCACGGTTTTTGAGAAGTGTAGTGACTACGGTGAAGGTGGACTCCTTGTTGTTGATGTAGTACTTGCTGGAGTTGTTCTTGAACGCTCTCCGCGAGATGACCAATTGCGAGTCTGGGACGACTTCGCTCCCCCCACCCGGTAGATCCATGACTTCCTGGAAGTGGACTTCGACCTCGCAGTAATCGAGGTCTGGAAACGCAGCCGAGTTATGAATAAGGGCAGAGATCTTTCCCTGTCTCATCTTGCTCGCACGGAAACCGAACACAAACAACAGTGAGTCAATGACATTCGATTTTCCCGATCCGTTCGGACCCACAACCGAAGAGAATGACGTGTGGAATGGTCCTACTTCTTGTCGCCCGGCGTAACTCTTGAAGTTTGTCAAGACGAGCCACGTGATGACTGTGCGTTGCTTTGGCACGTCAGGCTCCTGGGAAACGGGGAGAGCAGCTGCGCGCTTGCGCACCACGATGTCCATCGGCTTTTCCAGGACTGTGTGCTGGGCGTTGACTTTCTCAACCAACTTCGATTGTGGGGCCGGCGCAGACGTTTGCTCATTTATGGCGCTCTCTGTGATGTCGGCGAGGGGCGTCCCGGGCACGTTTGCAGGCTCGGGTTCCGGCGATTGTGAAGGCTGCGGTGTGAGAAGCTGTGAATCCTCATCCACGACACCCCCAGCAATCGAGACACGTGGCTTACGACCAGTCTTGCCGCTTGCGCGCTTCTTCGGTGAGTTCTTCGTGGGCGACCGGGCCTCAGCACTCTGTGGCGTGGGCGTAAACAACTGCGTCGGTTCGATCGATTCGGTGGGTTCGGTCACGCGCGTTCGTCTCCTAGTCGAGGTCTTCGGGGTGGAGGCGTCGTCGACCACCTTTCGAGGCGGCCCTCGTCGTGCAGTCTTCTGTGGTGCTGGCGTAAACTCTTCTTCGTCCTCTTGCTTGATTTGCGGCGCCTGGTTCTCCTCCTCTTCCGAGTCGTCAATAATGGGCGCTTTCCGGCGCGTCGCTGCAGCGCGTGTCGACTTTCGAGGGGATGGCGCCATAGCGGCTGCTGCTGCAGAGTTAAATGAGAGACGTGGGTGTTGTTTGCGTTGATGTATGCTCCCGAACTCGGGTGCGACGGTGTTGGTAAACAAACCTTGGAGCGCCCACAACGCGCTAACCACGCTAGTGTGACGCTAACCGCGTCAAGCACGTGCAGCCCTTGTCCGCCATCGACACCGACCCGTCGGGAGCAGCCCTACCACCAGGCTTCCTCATTTAGCAGCCATCGTTGTGGAAACCCTAACAGGTCGCTTGCAAGCCCCCAGCGGATAGGACAGTCTCACACATTCTCGGGCGTTCTAGACACTGGCTCATGTGTATCGGCCTCGAGGCCCAGCCAGGCCATTCCGGCTAGCCCCCGTCTGATTGCGGGAGTCCACCTACACTCTACCCAGAGGTCGAAGCCACTCGCTGAGATGTCACGGCATTGAATCCCCAATGGAGCCGAAACGGTGAGAATGGAAGAGACATGAAATGAAACAAGGTAATTCTATAAAGAGAGGTCCTCCGCTCGGCACTCTCCATAGACACACAAGATGGCCACCGTCAATTTCATCTCAAGCACTGCCGAGCTGAGCCGCGTACTTGCAACACTGACCATCGCACCAACCTCACTCCCTTCCTTGTACAACGACGTCAAAGGCGCGAACCTATCCCGACATGGTACCATATCTCTCCTCACGTTGTACGATCACCCAGCCTCTAAAGTCTACCTCATCGACGTACACACTCTAGGTCTATCAACCTTCACGGCCCCAGCAGAGGCTTCCCCCAGCGGCAGCCCCGGTCCTCAGACCCTCAAATCCATCCTTGAATCTCCAGATATCCAAAAAAGTCTTCTTCGACGTACGCAATGACTCTGATGCACTCTTCTCCCTTTTCGGTGTCAATCTCAAGTGCATTCATGACCTGCAGCTCATTCAGCTGGCCACTACCCATCCCCGGAGGCGAGCCTTCGTATCAGGTCTTGAGTGGTGCATCCAGTCGGACGCGTCGCTCACATATGGCCAGCAGCAAGAGAGCGAGCGGATCAAGAAACTCGGAAAGGAGCTGTTCGCTCCGGAACGAGGTGGCACTTACGAAGTCTTCAATGAGCGGCCTCTGCGGCCCGAGATCGAGAAGTACTGCGTGCAGGACGTGCTGCACATGCCCACCCTCTGGTGTGTCTATAACGGTAAGCTGACGAACCCGTTCTGGGTCTGGGTGGTTAGAGAGGACACAGAGATGAGAGTCCGGGAGAGTCAGACTCCGGGGTATGTGCCAAACGGACCGCATAAACGGGTGGGTTGGAGGGCGGACGACATCGAGCAGGCGAGGAATCGTTGGGAGAATCAATAGGCGTGTATTTAGACGAGAGCTTGTCGAAGTAGGAGAGCGGAGGGCCGGTGACTGACGCCTACGAGGCGAACATGCCACAGAATCGACTGTCTCTCAGCCGATAGCGGGGTAGAACGGCCTAATAGCTGCTGCATAAGGATTAGATAAGGTATTTGGGACAAGATTTCTTGGTGGTCCGGCTTACTACGACATCTAAGAGTCGCTAATGGGACGGTCTGTTACGTTAGAACCATTCCCTTGCGCAATCCTCCAGCCACAAGTCCTTCAAACTACCTTCGCTATTTGTCAAAATCCCCGTTTCTTAGATAGTTTCGCATGAAGTCCGCCATGGCTATCCTGCTGGCGACTATCATCAGAGTACATGAATAAGGAGCGCGTTGCTAACTTCGTAGCCTACCTCTCCAAGTCCGTAATGTGAAACGCTCCGCCTCACCTGCTCTCTTAACATTTACCCACAGTTACTATCGCTTCCAACCTTTCACTCATCTACACTCAACTAGCCGGAACTTCGTCACCTCCATCAGAAATCGTTCAATTATCTACGCACAACAACCATAGTTCTCACAATCCACTACTTAGGCATCTCGCAAAGCGAGCGCATTCTCTAGCTATGCGAAGAACTCGGCATCGACTACAAACTCATCCACCACATACGGGGGTGCATTCTAACCACGAAATCTTCGAGTTCCATCCAAGGAAATGAGACCGGAATGCACCCTTCATTGAAGATACCGAAGCGGGGATCACGCTGTGGGAGTACATTATCGCGAAGTATGCCGCAGAGGGAAGGGAGAAGAAGCTTTCGAAGAAGTACGGCGAGGGCGACTACATGGATTATATCTACTTGCTAGTACGCCAACACTAGCCTCCAACCCACCATGCTTGGCGTCATATTCCTCTAGCGGCAGATGACCAAACAAAAGGAACGGGCATATCAGCGACTTCATGCGACGCTCAAGCACATCAATCACCGTCTCAAGGAGACCAAGTGGCTCGCAGGCGAGGAACCTAAGCGCCGCAGACATTATGACAGCGTATCCGCTGACCACACTACAGTTCTCTTCCCCCTATTTTAGAGTTATTCCTCAAAGATAGGGCTCTACTGGCCCCTATATATAGAGAGAGCCCCTATTTTAAGGGAAAGAATTTTTTAGGAGAGGAGTATACTACTCTATAGAAGTAAAATTACGTAAATTTGCTCTCTATTACGCTTTCTTAGTATTTACTACTAAGCTTTCTCTTCGCTATCTAGCATACTTAGCTATTACTAATACTATATATTTACTTCTAGTATATTTAGAGGTAAGTTATTAATTTCCCCGCGTAGAAACCTTAGAAGCTGCTAGAGCTTGCTATAGAGAGCCCCTAAAGCTTACACGCTCTCTTCTTCCCCCCCTGCAGCCTCTCCTTCCTCTAGTTCTCTAGCTACTACGCTTCTCTATAGCTAATTAGAAAATAGATCTTATACCCCTAATAGGTCTAGAAGAGCTACCTAAATAGGGGCTCTAGCCTTCCCCCTGATATAGAGGGGAGCGTAACCGTAGTGCATACAGCGCTACTTCAGACCGCTGGTTAGCTTCAAAGATTATCATATTTTGATGTACTTGGGCGATATTGAGAAGAAGCTGTCATGCAGAATGCTATAGAGAAAGTGGATCCGGAGATGAGGTTGTTGCTGTGGTCGCGGCCGCCGGAGAAGACGTTTATTAAGACTAGGAGCGTGGGGTCGGATATCTGGAAAACGAGGACGATGCAAGCAAGGGGCAGCGTCGACCAAGAAACCAGCCGAGCGATCTCGTCGATCGAAGCGCGTCGTCGAAATAGAAAAGAACAAAATAGCGAAGGAAGACGCAGCTGTAAAAGAGAAAGAGCGAAAGGAGGCAAAAAAAAAGGGGTGGAAGCATCCAAAAGGAAGAAGAAAGCCGGACGCAACGCAAAGTCCGACCCCGCGGATGAGAGCAAGACGCAGCCCAAATCCCGGCCTGGACCCGGTGCCACTGACCCCCAGACCGTGAAAGGCACGACACGGGACTTGGAGGGAGCAACAGCGGACGGTGCACCGACGACCACCAGCATGACGAACTTGATCACCGGACTTCTAGAGCAGAATATTAAAGTCGCAGACACGTACGTGCAGTTCTTCAGGGGACGGGTACGGGATGACGATGAGGCGGAGAGGACGGAAAGGGGGATCGAGAACATACTGAAGCGGAAGCCAACGGCGCAGGGAGGAGGAAAGCGGAAAAAGGCGGCCCAGCCGAGGATGGCGATTACGAGAAACTTGTGGAAACGTTTGGCGAGGGGTTTCTGGCGGGGCTTTCTGTCTTGCTTTTCGCTTTAGATGATGTCGTTGCCGTCATGATGCGTGCTGCGGCAGGTGATCTCGGGCATGATGATGCTCTCGATCCTAGCTTCTTGGGTTTTTTTTCCTTGGTGCATGTGCTCTGAACCCACGGACGGCGGTGTTTGCACGATGATTATGTTTACCTCCTTGCTGTTCCCATGGCGCTAGATTATGTTTATGGAGAGGTAGGCAGAACGGACAAGGCTGAGATTGAGGCTGTACGGACATCAGGGTGTGCGACCCTGTCCAACCATCTACTCGACATGTATAAGTAGTCACGCCGCAAGAAGTAGCACCAAGGCTACAGGACATCAGCGACGAATTACTGGTCTAGATTATAACAGCCGAGCTAAGCTATCGAATTCGAAACTGCGAACTGGTTATGTTTGGGCGCTGGTTTTCCCTCGACTTCACTGGAGCATAACCATGCTTATTGTGCTTCAATTCTTACCCTACAGCATAGAGGGAGCCCCTGCGATCAGCCTCTGTGCTCTTCCTCTCTGAAGCTCCCCAAAAAACAAAAAGGGCTAACTACTCTTACATGTGGTCCGACCTCTTCGAAACGTAAACGGTGAGCCTCTTCCAGCATCCGCACATCTTCAACTCGTCTCGCGGACTCTTCCATCTCCAAACACTCAAAACCGTTAACCGTGAGGCCCCGGGCCGCTTTCTTTACTCGAACCAGAAATGCGAATCCCGTCAAATCCAAAAGCCTCGTTAACGCAATGGTTTGCAGCCGTCAACCTTGGAACAAAGATGACTCGGAAGACGATGCGTCTACAGTCCCCCGGGCTCCCTGCGTAGCACCCCTAAATACTTTTCGTGGAGATGCTACGAGCAGCCTCGCGCTGTCGCCGGCCCTTGCTCGGTCCATTTCCATGTGCCTTCATCTCCGGCGAAAGATCGATTCCAAAACGACCACCGCCAATAGTGTAAGTGCGAAGCGAAAACGACACTTCTATCCAGACATGTGCTTTGGTCTACGGTCCGTCTAATACGTCAACCGGAAGAGCCTTCATCGTTGGACTTGCTATCTTTCCACTCTTGCCGTCAGCCGACTCCCCTGATCAAAAATCCTGGTCTGCATTTTCATGGTCGCGTCTTGTGGAGTTCAAATAGGGCCTCGCTCGTCAGCATGTGGAGGGAAGAAAGCTTCAATGAGGGGGTTGTATGTCATCGGAAGTCCGACTCTTCGATCCAATCCTCCAGAAAGCTCCGAGCATCTTTTCTATACGTTGCGTCTGGATCCGATTCCTACGTCTTTGCTCGACGCCCCTAACTCTTTCTCTCATCCGCGCATACACTGTGACTAAAGGCAACTATCCGCCCTTGTATATGGAATCTTGAACGCTACAGCTGTCTATATCACGGTGTGTTCTCCTTGCCTTCCGAATCTTGCTGCTACAAAATACGTGCCAGCTCCGCGCACCAAACCGGCAGAAGGATTGCCCGTGCCTGGAGATCCAGAAGACGCCACCCAATCTCCTTAAGCGCAACCCGACTATGCATGTCATAGAAGGGACAGTTCCCTCTTGCGGGCTTTCGCCCAATATTGGCGCAGCGGCAAGACTAAATATCAATATGGATCAGCTCATGCGGTGTGCCAGAATCCGCTCGCTAGCATTACAATAGCAGAACACTTCGAAGTATCCGAACTAGAATTCTGGCGAGTCATGGCTGGAGCGAGAGGGGACCAAAGGAGACTTATATAGCTCGACATGTCCTGGAACTAGAAAGCTTCGGACTAGCAAGTATGAGCGAAGCCCCCTCCTTCCCCCTCCAGCCGTCTAAAATAGATTGCCCACCGTTACTCTCGAATGCTGCATCATGGGAGTAAAGTCCCTGTGGACCTCTACACAATTCAAACAAAATCTAAAAGCGAACCTTGGAATGTTCGAGCCTCGTGGCTTGACGCCAACGGGTTCTGACGGGATATTGAGATGCGTCCTTGCCATGCTGCTTCTCTGTGCGACTGGCGGTGACGAAAAGGGAGCCGAAAGAAAAGCGGCATTCTGGTGCGCTATAACAATAGTCAAATGGGTCATGGACTTGAATCATGTTCTTCGTTGGACGGTTCCGGGATCTGAAATACCGGAGAACAAGTCCTATGCTTTCTGCGAATGCACTAACTGCGTTAGTATGGGCGTGCAAAAGTGATGGAATGAAATTGAGATTAGATTTATGGTATGCTGAGGAAGGACTGAACTGCGAAGAGGCATGGACATTGGGATGAAGGAAGACAGTAGGAGAATCGAAAGATTTGATTCGTAGTGATGATCATCTTGAGATCCTAAAGGTAGTGACTGCGACCTGACTAAAACGTCTTCTCAGGGTCCGTATGTCGTATAGCCGATCCTTTCCAGTAGAAGGTTAAATGATCAGCTCAAACCTATATGGTCTCGCTCCTCCCACAAAACCCATATAAAGCATGCGACACATAGAAACCTAGCATCTGCCCTATCTCGTGCCACTCATACGCCTATTGCGCCATCATTGCTGTTTGCTGTGATCATTTAGTCGTCCCCGAAATAACCTCGTTCGGACCAACTCATCGGCGCGATATACTCCACAGGTCGATTCTGAGCCATCACGATCGCCTCGTTGACGCAGGCGATATCGTGGGTAGGGTGAATGAACTCAGTGTCCACGTTCTGGAAGGCGGCGAAACCACAGAAGTCGAGCCGAACCGGCGCCGGCATCTTGCGACCATTAAGGATCGCCAACGAATTAACGACCTTGAGAACCCGGCTGGCAAATTCTTCGTCGCTCATGTCCTTATCCACACGCCTAAACAGCGGGTCCCAGGAGTACCAGTCCTGGGTGTCGCGGCTCGCCCACTGGTTGTAGTTCATCTTGATGAGGAGGAGGCGGAGGTTGGGAAAGCGGGAGGTGATGGTCAACGCGTCCTCCAGCCAGTGTTTCCAGAGATGGGAGAGGTGCCACGAGCAGGGACCAAGATGCCCAGGGTAATGAAGGATGAAGAATTGGATGAGGCGGAACGGCATTCCCGGCGCCCGAGGGATGGTGAAGTCGCGATGTAAGGGTCGGGCGAGGGAGAAGAAGTTGTTGCCGTACATCATGGGGGCAGCTTCGTGGTAGAGTTCTCGGCAAGTGGCTAGGAGAGCGAAGCGATTGCCTTCACCCCACCGGTCCTCCGGCGCATGGTCCCGAAGCGTAGGATTCAAGGTCATCCGACGGGTAGTTTTCGTGTAGAGGACTTTTCGATACACGATGTTGCGAAGTTCGGGCGGGAAATCGAGGAAGCTCTTGCCCGGGCGCGCGCTGAAGGCTCGGGTTGGGAAAGGAGCGACTGGGACCTGCTAGGAGTCAGTCAAGTTATAAGAGTATAGTAAAGAAGACGTACGTATCGATCAACAACAGGCTTCTCCTCCAGGGACCGTCGAGGATGCACGAAGCAGCAACCCTCGAGGAAGCAGCACTTGTAGCTGCAAGAACAGACAGTATTGTTCCACTGGTCGTTTACGACGTGTGAACCCATAATGCTTGCGAGAGATTGGAGTTGACCGAAGAGATTGGAAGATCTGTTAAGGTGTGTCGACTCCGGTTGACCGCGCTGAGCAGAGCTGCGATGGAGTCTATGCTTGAGCGCAACGCGGAGGGCGGTCTTAAAATAGGTGTTGGAGCGCACCACGATGATTTCACCAGGCCTAGCCCCGGAGCCTTGCATTCGTCCCTCTGTACCGGCCGGAAGAGTGACAACACAAGGGTGACCGAAATTGGTGGTCCTGTGGGAAAAGATTTTCAAGGAATCGTCATGGAGAAAACCAGATACTAAATCGTCCCTTCATCCTCTCTCGATTCTATGCTCTGCGCCGGAAGCCAAGCTAACTAGTTTGGTATGTGCAGACGATTTCCGCCTCTTCTCTCCACTACCCTGCAACATCCTTTCGATCTGGTCCATGGTGTATTTTCCAATCCGAGTCTGCTTTACTGATAAGCCTCGGTTGTTCTTATCAGCATCGTGAGCGCTGATCCAAGCTTGTGCGTAAAGACTGCGCGCAATCTGCAGTCCGCCAGGGGATCCGGAGGAGATATTGCCTCCTAAATACCAAGGATTCTCAACACGGTCGAAGGAGTGGACTAGAGCCGTCAGTGGAAGCGCCGCTTCCGTTACGAGCTGAGAGGCTGCATATGGTCGTATGATTTCATACGGCACACCATGAGGGGAGTATATGACAGACAATGTCTTCTCGCGGTCGTTATAAGGAGCTGGCACGAGGGTCCGCGGTGAGGAGGCTATAGTCATGGGGGATCCGGGTGACGCCGGAGGACTCATGGGCAGATCGCGATAGTAACCCGGATTCGCAGACAGCACGCTGCAAGGCGGGCGATATGTGATGCCAATTGCATGATGCAAACCCGAGAGGTCTCTCTTCGCGGGGATCCAGGAGACAGTCACTTCTCCGCATGTGCCTCGAGGCGAAAATGGCGGCAGCACGACGCGATAGATGGACCGGCTGTCCCCCTCAGCATACTTTGGCAGATCTTGGATTAGTTGGGGTTGGAAATGGTTCCATGACCGTATCTTCTTGGCGGCGGGAGGTGTGGCAAGTATCGTAGACTGACATTCTCGGGGTAGTTGGCGTAGAGTCTCCTCGTGGCAGTGGTCCGGTTTATCTTGCGAAATGAGGATAATGTCTGGCTCTTGGTCTAGCTCTGTCAGGGACGATATACACGGCTTCGTTTTCTGCTCCGAGATGGAAAAGATGGAGCTGAGAATAGTGGCAGCGCCAACAAGCCAGGGATCGGTGAGCACGGTAAAAGAACCTGGAAAGAGGCCTGGAGAGGACAGCGGCGCAATAGGAGGACTGAAGGTGAGGAGAAAGGCGGTGTCCCCATTCAATGACTTCACAGTCAAGGACATGGCTGCCCGCCGACGGAGCTGCCGAAAAGGATGGCGAAGAGCATCAGGAGGACGCTGCCTTTATCATAATATGGCGCAGGGCCAGTCGTCATCAGGAGCAAAGCGGCTGAGGGTGGAGTTTGGATGCGCCACCACGGCTTCAGGGCAGTTTTACGCGGGTGCTCGGACCACCGCGGCCGCATTTGGCGAGTAGAGACGGGGCAGGACGTGACGCCGACAAAATTATCGATAACGCCGGCAGTACAAAACATCACCTCCGGCCACGTTTGGGAGATTAACCTCTGCCCGGATTTCCTCTGATTCAGCCGCTCTGGACGGCTGTACCCGTGGCTGTACTGCACGCTGTGTTTCCTCGCCCTGGGGATGCGTTCGGCTTGCCGCGAGACGGCTTCACGGACGGGCTGCCAATCATGGCAGACGACAGGCCTTACAAATCGCGAGACATGTCGGCGATCGAAACATCGGTCGGCGGGCCAAAACGACATCGGAGGCTTCGTTGGGCGTCGCTGGCACGCCTGGGTGAGGCTCGCAGGCATCGGCGCTGAGCGTGTTGTCCGCGAGGAAAGGGGCTGAAACACTGCCTCCAACACCGCGCTCTCATCCATACTAATACTAGGCGTCGACTATCACAGTACTGCGGGCTCAGCGACAGCAATTGAGAGGACGGGCAGCAATCGCTGCGGGCTGGCAGCAATTTGAGCTTGCCCACACAGCAGGCCCGTCGGCAATTCGGCCGCGGATTGGGCTGTGTACACGGTAATCAATGGAAGCGGTTTGGAGCTCCCCTGCCAGCCTGTCAGCGGTCCCCTCACTATTTCCGGGTTTGCGCAGGAACCTGAGAGGCCGTTGTCATCCCGCTGCCAGCTGAGCTGAGCTGAGCTGGGCTGGGCTGGGCTGGGCTGGAGCAGCTGCACGCAATTCGAGCGCTGCGCAACGAGCACCGCGGAGCCAATGCGTGCACACAGTATGAGCAGCACAGCGAGACTGGCGGGATCTGTATGCGCATGCTGGCCTGTACAGTATTAACTCGCGGTCCGAGAAGGGTTTCATCAGCAGCCAGTCCTCGACAGACGAATGTCCGGGCGCGAGCTCTGCGCTCCCCCACTTCTCTTCCTTGCCCCTCCTTTATCCGCCCGCAAACAACGGCCAGAGCTTGCCTTGCTTTGCTTTGTGCCCGACAGCAGCTGCTCACCTGCGACACACACGAGCTCCCACGCCTGCCAGAGCTCGCTGAAGCTATCCCGCAGCTCTTCGCAGCTCTTCGCAGCTCTTCGCGCCTCTCCCACCGCTGCCCGCCCGCCATTGACGCCCACACGCCGTCGCCCTGCGCCTGCTCCTGCTGCCACCCGCCCACACTCGCTCGGCCGCGCCCGAGGGTAGATGCAGCTGGCAATGCCGCCCCGAGCCTCGCTCACAGGATCCTTCTCGGTTTCAGACGAGAACAACGTCGTCGTCTGCCCGCTGCGCAACCATGACGGCTCTGCCTGTCGCAAGCGCTGCACCGGCGTGAGTCTCCCGCTGTCCACGTCCAGCCTCCCGCCCACGTCACTGCCCCTCGGACACCTCCTCCCCGCCGAACTCGACTGACGCAACATGCTGCACAGGAAAAGCGATATCGCTCCATGCAGGAGCACATCCGCCGCGCCCATCCCGAGCACTACATCTCGAAGCTCCCCGCCACCGAGGAGAGCTTCACGTTGATGGTCAACGCTACACCGCGCGAGCTGCCTCCCCCGCCTCCACCTCCCACCTCCACAACAGGCCCACCAGGTTGGTGCCCACGTCTCTCCAGCTCAGCGGGGACTGACACAGTGGCAAGGCTATGGAGGCGAGCTCAATGCCTTCTACAACGACGACTACGCCCTGGGCACGCCCAGGTCATCCGATGAGATGCGCCGAGGCTCGCTGCTCCCCGCTGCCAGTGCGGCTGCCGCTCTTGCTTCGCTGCACAACCACCGCCCAGACTACGACTGGGAGTCTGACCCGGTAAGAGCCCGCCCTGCACCTTCCTACATGCGCCTTGCGCTAACCAATTGCTGTGCCAGGAGCCGACATCAGAGCCCGAGAAGAGCTACCGACCCCGCGCCCGCTTCGCTCCCACGACCATGGAACATCACATTACCACTACCGAGGAACCCTACTATACTTCTACCTCGCTGCAGCGTGAGCTGCTTCCCTCGTCGCTCGCTCGCTCGCCGCCGGGCCGCTCCTCCACGCTCCCACCAGCTCCCCGATCCATAAAGCCCAACAGACCTCGCAAGTCGTCCGTAGGGCAGAACGCGCGCAAGCCGAAACACGAGCGCCAGAAATCCAAAGAGAATGCCCGAAGAATGAGCTACGACCGGAAGGCATATTCTGCAGAGCCACAGGCGGCTGCTGCCATGTTCGGCAAGCGATGGGAGGATCTCATCGATGCTGCGGCATCGGCAACAGAGGAAGACAGCCGGGACCTCACACCGGTAGGTTCTGCACATTGTCTGCGTCTGTCCCAGGCTAATGGAAGGTCAAGGTCCCTGCCTCTCCTCCCCATCACTCACCTCACATGTTGAACCGGACCTCGCTGCCACCATTTGTTGCTACTCAATTTCAGTCATACACAGCATCGCCGCTACAGAACACACTGACGCCGCCTCCGCCGGATATGTCAGATCTGCAGCCATTTCCTTCCGTCGAAAGTTCGATCGAATCAGCAGTTTCCGGAGCAAATTTCCACATACCATCCCAGGGTCTTTCGGATTCTTCACCCACATATACCCACCCTGTACAGATTTACTGCGCTGCATGCCGAAAACTGTCCGTATTAAAAGAGAGCTATGCCTGCTCCGAGTGTATATGCGGCCTATGTCAGGATTGCGTAGACGTTCTCGTCAGCGAGCATTCCCGAGGCAGAACAGCACGGTGTCCGCGGTGCGGCGCCGTCGGCGGCAAGTTCAAACCTTTCCAATTGGACATCAGATGAGTGAGGTCATTCAAAAGCGTTGAGAAACAGAAAATCCCATTCGTGGCGTTGGTTGGCTTGACGATTTACGTTCGCCCCTATATGGGTATGCTTTGAGATACTGCTTACATTGTAGGACGGGTGGCGTTCGCTTTGGCACATGGGTGTTTTGAAGACTTGCATAGACCATCCAACAAAACTTCGGCGTTATGGTTCCGGCGGGATGAAAAGCTGCTGTGCAGGCGGTTCTGTTGTCGCACATGGAGGCCGAGAGGCGAGTACCCAATGGGGTGGAGAAGTAGATATGGTGAATTCAGCACCGAGGATGCATGATAATCCTTTTGCGCGGACGACATGTCCCATATCCCCCAACATCCTTCTGTCTTGCGGTTGACGGGTCCCACTTCCAGGCTCGCAAGATCTTTCCGGTTGCCCGCTCCAGCGCGAATATCGTTCGACTGTTGATAGAATGCGTGGGAAACATGACCTCAGATGCGTAGATGTGCGGCGTGTGAACCGTGGTTGAGGATCCGGATTTGCATGAGTCATAGAGAGTTTCGCTTAAAGTCGAGCATACGAGTGTCTTCTTTAGTACTGTGGAATGTCGAATTGAGTCGTTACCAAGACAATTGCTCTGACAAATGCTTCATATGTTTCGTACGAGTTGACTGCTCGTGCACGTACGAGGGACCCTGAAGGCCTTCACAAAGTATTTACGCCTGTTAACAGGAGACACATACCTTCGACATCATTACGCAGAGCTTGCTCTCCAAGCAGCGTCACACGCCCAATCTTGCAATCCAATCCAATCCAATCCAATCCAAGACAATGCCTCTCCATCGAATCGAACCATGCCCCTCCCGCCCACTCCCCTCTGGACCAGATCCCTTCGCGTGCAACAGGCGGTAAAACCTACCACTGGTAGCGCGCTGTCTAGACACTGTCACTCGCAAGCGCCATCTGCGCCGGTACCGCAGTATGCTTCCCACATTGCGGAGCGTGTGGCCTGCCAAGCATCGCCCATTACCCCATTGGGCGAATTGTGGAGAGACTAGCGGATGACTCGCGAAGCTACGCGCATCTGGCCGATGTCGTGCATTGCCGGCACTCGCGTGACAGGGTGCTTTTGTTGCGGACGAGGGTAAACTCTTTCGGAAGAATAGTCAAGGGCTTGGGAAAATATGGTTGGGGTTCAGTGTGAAACCTGGGGGCGGTCTGACACGGGGCTGGCTGGCGGCTTCGGTGAATAAAAAGACGGGCTGTGCAATGCGGTTCGGGGTTCTAAATTTGCTGCTGTGTTTTCCACATTCTGCTGAGTGCGGCGCAGATCTTGCTTCTGCTCCTCTGTTCAGACATAATTACTTGCACAATTACCTATTACCATCAATCTAACACCTACCCCTCCCTCCAGTCTAACCATCCACCCATCCACCCATCCACTCTCAACCCGCAAACATACTCCAGCATGCCACTCCTCCGTAGCATCACGCTAAAAATCAAAACCAAGTTCACGCCTCCGTCGTCTCCTACTACTGCATCGCCGACCACCGGCTTTCAAGTTGTAGGCAGAGAGGAGAGGAGTGAGCGCAAGAGGGCGGAGACGAATATCAGTATGGAGAGCTTCATGAGTGACGATGGGGTGAGTGTACCGGCGAGGGTGTTGTTCGAGAGCTTGGAGAAGGTTAAGGCGGGGAGGAAGGGGAAGAGGAGGAGTAAATTCCGCGAGGAGCTTGGGGAGGGGAACTAAGTAAGGATGGGCGTGGATGAAAGAAAGAGTTTGCAAGCCCGCAATTGGTAAGGCTCAAGAGAGAATCCATTTCTGCGGTATCAGCTCTGACCCCGCTGTAGAAATTAAACCGCCTCCAACACTGCTGTCGGATCCATAAGGAAACGCCAACAACTTGGCCTTTCATGCTTCCGCATCCCCTTCCGCTTGCACAGGCGTAGCGCTCTTCGGCGGTCCTTTAGGCGGCCCTCCCATAGGCGGCCCTCCCACTTTCGGCGGCGGAGGAACACCTCCCTTCCCTTTCGGCGCAAAGTCCTGTTCCAGACTCTTCTGCTCGCCCTCTTTGAAATAATCATCCAACCCGCCGCCTCCACTTGGACTAACATGCGCATGATGCGCTCTATGCTTCCCTCTCTTCGGCGGTGCTCCTCCCTGAGGTGGCGGCGATTTCGACGGCATAGCGATGTTTGCCGGGACAAACAGTTCGCTTCCAGCGCCGATACTCTGGGCTGGAGGTAGGTTGGAGGATGACGATAGTGGTCGCTTCTCGTCGAACGATGCTGAGTCTGTGGAGAAGAGGGTTTCCCCTGGTCCTTGTGGTGGTTCTTCTAGGGGTGCGGGGATGCGATGCAGGGCGCCGAAGCCGAGGACGCAGCCTAGCGCTCCTTCGCCGCCCCAACCGCGGGAGGGCGTGATGGTGACCGGGCGGGTGACGTTGTACTCGTGGTTGTAAACAAAGAGTCGGAGCGGTCTGTTTAGGTACTGTTCACCAATCAGCACGCTTGACCTGGAGGAACAGGAGAGGGGAAACCTACATCCTCAACGAGCTCGCCCAATCCAGACTCTCCTCGTACTAGACCTTCTGGACTGCCAATCACATAGTCGCCGTAGGGAAGAAGGCCTGCTACATCGGCCGGAGAGTTTGGGATTACGTCGAGAATATGCCAGACATCTTCTGTGACGGCGAGGGGCGTCCACTGCAGTGAGACACCGAGTGCAGGGTTATCTGCGGGAATGGGGATATATATTTCTCGGATCTTTTGCCCCTGGAGAAACTGTTAGTTCTTGAAAAGCAAATGAACAGGCTAGTTTTCGAAAAGCCCTTTTGCGTTAACATGCGGTGACAATGAGAATCGGATATGACTTGCTAATTTGAGGGGGAAAAACCAGGCAAGACGAAAATCCGAGCAGGAAGGAATAGAGAGCCAAGAAGAGCGGTTCGTGATAATAATCTTACCTTCGCGCTGAAGATACCCAGGCTAATCGTCGACCCAGCGCAATTGCGGACCTCCGTAGCGAACAGATTCGGATCCGGACTTTCCTGGCCTCCTCATTAGCTACTTTCCTTTTCTTCTCTGCTCTAGTGATCTTAAACTCACTATGGTCCTGCCATTGATTCCAATAACAAAATCGAACCACGGCTCCAAGGTCACCTCCGGATTCGTGTTCCTCAACACCTGAAATCCAAACGCGCCGCGGGTCGCCGACTGCTGCTCCTCTGGTGCAGCGTCAAGCCGTGCAATAAAGCGATTCAGTGCGCCGAACATGTTGTTGATGAAGTGGGATGGCGCTTTGTCGTCGGGATGGGTGTCGTCGCTGGATGCCAGGTGGTGTTCCTGGCGGTTTTCGGTCGGCGTGGCCATAGCTTCCGACTGGTCGGCATGCGCTATTTTGGGCCGCTGCAGGTTGTCTTGCAAGCGTCCGCTTCAACGAAAGCTGTGTGGGCGAGAAGTGCATAAAGAGTCAGATGACGAGTTTGGTTGTTTGAGTATCTAGGTACGCCACTTAGCTCCTACATTCTTGCCCATTCCGCCCTGAGTTCGGATTCACCAGGCAGGTACCTTCGGCTAGCGCGTTCAGCCCTATCCATAAACGGACTAACGCCTCGAGCTTTTAGACTGCGCCAGAGCAAGATCACGACCGCCTCCAGTCCCCCACAGGACCTTATTTCTTCGCGACTTCGTCAGATCTTTCCTGGCACTATCTGAGCTTGGTTGAGCTTGTGCTATGGACGAAGAGCCGAATGAGAAGGGTATCCACCAGTGGCTGGACGTGGACGAATTCCCAGAGCATCTCAAGAAGTAGGTGTGGGCGCTCTAATCAGACTACTGGGCTAACCTTGCAGATATTGGCACCAGCGGTTCAAGATATGGCAGGATTACAATAAAGGCATATGGATGACAGAAGACGGCTGGTTTGGTGTGACACCTGAGCCCATTGCGAAGTACGAAACCAGTATCTGCCCCCGACCTTGTTCAAGCATACTAACATCGATAAGCAAGATTGCTGCGCATCTAGCGGAATCGGCTCCGAAAGATAAGACCATCATCATTGATGCCTTTGCAGGAGTGGGTGGAAATTCAATCGCGTTTGCCCGCTCAGAACGATGGGAACAAGTCTTCGCCATCGAGAAAGACACCAAGGCGATGAAGTGCGCAAAGCACAACGCTAAGGTCTACGGCGTCGACAAGAAGATCGTCTGGGTCACCGGAGACTGCTTCGACGTGATCAGCCGGAGATTCAGCGGAAAGACCAACGTCATCATTTTTGCTAGCCCGCCTTGGGGAGGTAAGTCATGTCCCATTTCCCATTTTTTGAACGGCTGTTCTCACGGCTTTAGGCACGGAGTACAGCGCCGAAGACGTATTTGATCTCACCAAGATGGAGCCCTACAATCTGAACAAGCTTGTACAGAGCTTCTCAATGCACAGCAAGCATATAGTCCTATATCTGCCACGGACGTCCGACTTAAATCAGATTGCTCGGTATGCGCCAGAGGGGAAGAAGCTCGAAGTGACCCACTATTGCATGATGGGCGCAAGCAAGGTGCGCTTGTGGTGATCTTAAAATGATAGTGTATACTGACTTCGAACAAGGCACTGTGCGTTTACTTCGGGGACTTCAACTTCGATGTGGATGAGACAGAGGAGAAATCTCCCGCTTGATCATTCGCGAAAGGCGGCTCTATGGATCCCCATGAGCAGTCCTCTCTGCTCTACTTAGGGTGGCGGCCGGATATGACGCTGCGTATGATTTATGGCGCCCGGAAAATCTCCCAAAATGATATATTGAACGGGAAAGGGCTTCGACCTCCTGGGCGTGAAGATATGCGGCGGTGGTGCTCAGGTGAACATGACTTGCTTAATAGTTTAGACCGAGGCTAGTGATGGCATAAAGCCCAACGTTGCAATATGGTTAGGCCTATCATATAATAGCGGCCGCTGTTGCTTGGTACCTAGGTACATACGCAAGCACGTGATTTTAGCGCACAGACCACCGTCGCGTTCTTTCAGATCGCGGAGGCGACCATCACCTATACACGATAACCGTGCCTGCGGGCATACACCTCACAACGAACTCCATCACTTCGGGCCCGCGACCGAGCTGCTTCTAGAGCCTCCACTGAGAAAGGACTAACTTTTAGATGGTTGACCGGTCCTAGCGACAGTCCGATCTGGGAGACAGCGTGAATGAAGGCCGGTTGCCTCCCACCGTTCACACTCCCAGCGGCGCGCCTTCACCGTCCATCGGTAGAGCTATAAAATACCCGCACCACGCTCCCAACTTCTTTCTCCAACCTCGATTTCTGTCGCGCGGGGTTGACTCATCTCGATGTCGTACGCAACCATGGATTCCAACTCCGACGCTTTCGCGGCCGCGAACGGCTCTGGCGGCAACGATGACGAACTCTCCAAGCTATTCCAGGAGGCTGCGGCCCCCAGCGCTGACGGGGGCAACTTCTGGGAGGAGTTAAACACCCGACCGCTCGAGGCCGGAGAGAAGGCAGACGACGCGATCGATTTCGAGGATATCTCAGACGATGATCTGCCGGAGGAAGAGGATGCCGATGGCGATGTGGATGGAGGCGACCTTCGCCTAAGCGGAACTACCGTGCGGGATTTCTCTGGGGATGGGCATGAGGAGGAGGACGACCTCGCTGACCTGTTCGGCGACGGCGGATCCAGCCCTATGCAGGAGCGGTCGCATCACGACAATATCCCCGTCGCATCGATCGAGCCTCATGCTCAAGGTCAGGCAAGTGGCGTTGGGCTGCGCGCGGGCGACAGCGGACAAAAGGTGCAGCCCGCCTTTCGAGCCGTCAACTACGGGCCCGCGCAGGATGAGGACGATAACGATCCGGAGCTGCGCGAGCAGATGGCCCTGTTTGAGGCTGCGCGACGCGGGCATGAGGACCGCCTGCCCCCTGCACCGCAAACGTCCAAAGAAGTATTCGACCAGATATGGCCTGGTTTCGAGCCCGGCAAACCTCCCCGATTTGCCAGCCTGATCCCACGCAAGCGTGCCTACTTCGTCCCGCGAGAACCGTTCAGGGCAATGAGGGCGCTTTCCTCTATAAACAAGTTGAACCTAGATATCGCCCCAGACCAAGAGAAGAGCTTTCGGCTGCCTACGACTAGCGCGCCGACCAAGTTCGGCCGACAATTGGAGGAAGACAAGGGCGGCATTGTGTACATCACCGAAGGCATGCAGCAGGAGGGCGACAGTAGCGATGACATGGAGATGGAAGGCTCGGACACGCTGAATGAACAGGAGAAGTTTGGCAACGTATCCTGGGGTGACCTGCAGATAGCGTGCGAAGATTGGGATACCCACAGCGTGGCGACGTTATCGGATGAAGACGACCTCATGACCCCGCCGGAAGGGGTTGCGGATGGCGACGACTGGATTAGGGACCTTGCAGAGCACCCACCAAAGAAGCGCAAGCTCGGAGGGCGCGAGAAGCCCATACAATTCTCGGTATATGACCGCATGGATTTGCCTGCTTGGGACGACCCAGAACTTGCGACTGCCAAGCTATCGAAGAAGATCATCCTGGACATGAATGACCCTCATTTGCTGCTCGATATTCAGCAACCAAATGCTGAGCAGAAAAAACCTCGCACAATCGGTCTCGGCCTCAAGCGTGACAACCGCGGTAGTCTCGCGAACCCAATGTTCAAGCGATACAACATTTCCAACGACGAGGCATATGACGCGCTCAAGGAGAGCAGCCAACAGAAGGTCCGCGGCACCATCGGACACATGAACATTGAACACAGCTTGCCCGCTCTGAAGCTGCAGTATCCATTCTACAAGGTGAACCTCTCCGATCGCGAACTGCGCTCCTTCCATCGACCCACCATTACGTTCAAACCTGGCGAACGAGCTAGCATCTCACCGCTCAAGTCGTTTAAGCGTAAGCACAAGAAAAACCTCAAGCCATCTGAAGCCTTTGCGGTTGCGGAAGATCTCAATGTTGGCGATAATTCGGAAGTCATACTTGCGGAGTACTCCGAAGAGTATCCCACCACGCTGTCGAACTTTGGCATGGGTGTCAAAATCCTCAACTACTATCGTCGCACAAGCAATGAAGACAACTTCCGTCCCAGGCCTCCGATTGGAGAGACTTCGGTGTTGTTGCCGCAGGACAAGAGTCCTTTCTCGTTATTCGGGCAGGTACAGGCTGGCGCTGGCAACGAGGTGCTGACGCTGCACAATGCCATGTACAGGGCCCCGGTGTTTACGCACAAGACTCCGGACACCGATTTCTTGGTCAGCAGGAGCCATACTGGCATCAACGGATCGAAATACTACTTGAGGAAGATTGACAATCTCATGGTCGTGGGCCAAGAGTTCCCGTCGGTCGAGGTACCTGGCACACACGCGCGTAAGGTCACGGAGGCCTCGAAGAAGCGGCTGAAGATGCTCGCTTTCCGACTCTACCGGAAGGGTCAGGAGCGTGGCGCTAGACAACCCTGGGTCAGCAATGAGATGATCAAGCATCATCTTCCTGGCACAGAGATTGCACAGAATCGATCGAGAATGAGGGAAATCATGAAATATGTCAAGGAGACCGGTACCTGGGAGCCATTGCCTGGCGAGACCATTCCCGACGAGCCAGCATTAAGGACCTGGATCAAGCCCGAAGATATCTGCCTGATAGACTCCATGCACGCAGGCGACAAGCAGCTTCAGGATGCGGGTATCAAGACTAACGAGATCCAAGACGACGAAGAGGGTGATGGTAACGAGGCCCTCGAGCTCAAGCTAGCCCCTTGGCATACGACCAAAAATTTCCTCAACGCTTGTGCAGGGAAGGCGATGCTCGAACTCCACGGTGACGGCGATCCTACTGCTCGTGGGGAGGCATTCAGCTTCATCAAGGTCTCAATGAAAGGTGGCTTCAAGGACGTCGGAGAGAGCACGGCCGATAAGATCGACGCCAAGAAGCAGAAGGAAAATGGCGGCCACAGCTACAACGTGCAGAGGCAGCAGCAAATGTATGAGAAGGCGATAGATCGAATCTGGGGCTTACAGATGAAGAGCCTAAAATCTACAGCGGCTCACTCGGACGTGGAAATGGATGGCGACTCTGGGACGCATCCTAACGCGATTCGTGGACGATCTGAAGCCGCTACGCCGGCTTTGATGCGCGCCGAGGACGAGACTATGAGTCAGTTCAGCCGCAACAGCGCCAACGAGACACGCGGGAAGAAGCTCCGCATCACGCGTATTGTCAAGAACAAGTACGACGAGTACGAAGAGCAGGTTACGACCGTCACAGATCCGGAGGTCATTAAGCTCTACCTTAAGCGCAAGAAGCAGGAGCGTCTCATGAACATGAGGATCGATGACATCAAGCCGACTGGCGACGCCGAATATGACCACCAGCAGATGCTCAAGCTCAAGGCCGAACACGCTCGACTTTTGCGCAACATGGAGCGCCGTGAGGGCCGCGAGAAGGCCAAGGGTCTTCATCGCAGCCAGACGGGCGGTGACACGCCTGGGGCTGGAACGGGCAAGGCTACACCGCGCAAGTGCGCAAACTGCGGTGAAGTGGGCCATATCAAGACCAACAAAAAGTGCGCGAAATCCATCTCTTTCACCTCTTTTGCGCTCTCTCTCTCACTTCGTGTGGCATCTTCTCACATTGGCAATAATGCTGACCGTTGGAAATATAGGCTCTGCCCACTCCTTAACGGCCAGAAGAAACAGAGCGATACGTTCAAGGATGCGAGTGCTGCTTCGCCCGTCACAGTGGCTGCTACTCCGATCTCTGCTACACCGCAGACCGCTAGCTCCCCTCAGTAATCGTCTTCGAAAACCGCATTCACATCTATCTAGGTATTCCCGTCTCAGGCCACGAGTCCGACGCCCCGAGGTCGCTTTCATGGTAATGCATAGCAACGGCGTTGATGGCTCTTTCGTTTCCCCGGAGCATGGCATATAGTTTGGGCCGGCATCAGTTATTGGGACGGCGTTTTATCTTTTCATGCATATATTGCACGACAGTCCAGGTCTGCGTGGCGCGTAGTCTGAGTGGCTGCTTAGTTATTAATTGAAAGCATCGAAACTGGCTATAATGTGACGAATGGTTCTTAGATCTGCTCTTCAATTGAAGTACGCATTCAGTAAATTGTGTTATGTATAAGTATGCCTCCGGCAGGATTATCTGATCGTTCCCCACGTCGTGGCCAATAACAAGCAATAGCGAGACTTGGAGAGCATCAAGCCCAACTAGGTTAAAGGAAGGATTCAGCGCTTTTGACTTCGTCCGTGGATGACTAGAGCGCATTGTGAGCTTAGTCTTTGCATTGGTGGGGGGTGGATGCATATAAGGGCTGGTACGCCGAGGGCTCTAATTTACGCTCGTCCTTCGTTCTGATTGTGTTTGAATCGGATTTTGAGGCAATTCGCAAGGTTACGCAGAGTTACCGCAATCCTTGTTATCTGAAGGGGTTTCAGGAATAAGCTTAATGGCTAACAAGGCGTCTTCGATACTCGTTACGGGTGGTACGCAGGGCATGGGATACCACTGTACGCGCGCCATCGCGGGGCAATGCCCAGACACGCTCGTCGTCATCGCCTCGCGAACGGATCCGAACGACGCCGCGGCGACCATCAACAAGGCGCTCAACCAATCGAACGTCGAATTCATGCCCTTGGACCTCTCCTTCCTCTCCAAAGTGCGCGACTTCGCGAAGCGCTGGGAAGCAGAGAAGCGTCCACCGATTCAGGCATTGGTGTTTAATGCAGCGGGCCAGTGGCCGGGGGTTGTGGAGTACACGGACGATGGGATTGAGAAGAACTTTGCGGTGAATCACCTGGGCCATGCGCTGTTGTTTCATTTGCTGGCGGGGAAATTGGTGGGAGATGCGAGGATCGTGGTTGTGAGCAGCGGTGTGCATGATCCAGAGATGGGGTGGGGCATGATTCCGAATTGGACGACGGCAGAAGAGATGGCGCGGCCAAGCAAGGAAAGCGAGAAGAGGAGCAACGGCATGGACCGGTACGCTGCGTCCAAAGTCGCAAACATCCTCTGGATGCTTGCGCTCTCCCGGCGTCTCTCCGCCTCCTCTGCTCACGCGAACAAGACGGTCGTGGCCTTTGATCCAGGCCTCATGCCGGGCACAGGTCTACAGCGCAACTGGAGCTGGTTTGCGCGCTGGCTGATTGCGAATGTGCTGCCGAAGATGGTGCCGCTGCTACGCGTGGTGTGGAATCAGAATATCCATTTGTCGGAGGAGAGCGGCGAGAGTTTGGCGTGGCTGGTGGTGGGGGAGGAAGTAAGGGGGAAGGGGATTTATTATGAGGGGAGGATGGAGCAGAAGACTGCGGTGGTTACGAGAGATGAGGGGTTGCAGGAGGACCTTTGGGGCTGGACTGTGGAGAGGGTTTCTGAGGGGAGAGAGGAGAGGGAAGCGTTTGGGAGGTTGGATTAGATGGGGTGCGGATGTGGGCGGGCTAGCATGTGCTGCCTGGCCCGCGGTTTGGCCGTCGTGATTTCTCTTCTTCAAGGGCTTCAGGGGTCCTTTGAAAGGTTATCCGGATAAGCTTCAACTCTGACCAGTACTAAAGTTGCCCAGATGCGTCAGACATCATCGCTGTTGTATGTGGCTTGAATGCTCCTCGGAACGCGAGACGATTCTCAGATACGTTGGGCGGCCGCCTGAACTTTGTAAGCTCCGCCACATCTTCCGAAGAGGCACATGAGAGGCTCAGAGGGAGTCGTGAAGTACCGGTAGGACAAGTAATGCGCTTCAACCTGGGGGCTCAACGATTGAGACGTCACGGCGAACGCGTGATGGTTTGGTCGATTTCGTTGCTCACCTGACACCCCGAACACGAGGAAGAGGTAGGCTGCGGCAATAACACGCGGTACATGATAAGCAGTGACTGGGGATAAACCGAACAAAATATGAAAAGATATCGGCTTTACTGAAGGGAGGAGGTGATGCGGTGTTGAGGCGAAGTCGAAACAACACGGGGCTCGGGAAAGAATGACGCGTTGAAGTCAAAACACACCGAACCAAGCGAAGGGAACAGCGAGGACAGGCCCGCAGGCAGAGGCCCAGATATGAGTCACGGGGCCAGACGGATAGAACACGCCAATAGATCGGGGTGAGGTAGGATTTGCCTTCTGGGAAGGCAGCTGTTGAAAGACGTGACGGGACCAATGGCAGCCATGGATCTCGAGATGGTCGGCCGCATTGGGGGACGACAGGATCAAAGCACAACGCAGAACAGGCGGGAGACTCGGGGGACCCCAACAGACGGCCAACGCAAGACCTCCAGAGACGCCAATCAGCAGGCCAGCCGCCTACTTCTGCGACCTGGCCACAGATCAATTCTTCCCAAACAGGCATCGTGCCGTGTAGCCTAAGCGAGTGATCTGAAGGTGCCTTCTGTGTTTAGCGAGGGTATATAAGGAAGCGCCCCCCGCCGCTCGCGCAGCTCCCGCCCTCCACCACAGTTCCCAAGCTTCCACAACACCAACCACCACGTCGAATACCACGACCCGCCCCTCGTTCAAAGCATCAGATACCCGTCTATCACACCATACCACTATTATCCACAATGCCTCCCAAGAAGTCTTCCGCTGCTTCCACCAAGAAGGCCGCTGTCGCCGCCCCCGCTCATGGCTCCTACGTCGGTATGTCGCGCCCGTTCTACCCACCCCAACGCTGTCGCGTGCCCTGCCTGATAGCTTTATCGTGGTCGCCGATCGATGCTGACTTGTTTTCCCAGACATGGTTAAGGATGCTATCATCAACGTGAGTCTGCCTTCTCCGGCGCATTGCGAGTCCCGCATCGTGTTTGCGACACCAAACACCCGTCACGAGCGCAACCCACAACACGCACCCCCCACAACCAACAACCTGAAGGATATGATTGCTGACGTGTTCTATGCATGCTGCAGCTTAAGGAGCGCAATGGTTCAAGGTTAGTCGCCTCTTCTGGAGCTGATGCTGCCTCCCAGCGCCAAGTCATGCTCCCAATCCGAATTGACTCAGGACATAAGCTGACCAGAGCCACCCTACAGCCGTCAAGCTATCCAGAAGTACATCAAGGCCAACAACAGCCTTGGTAACACCAGCGATGTCATGTTCAAGAGCCACGTCAACCGTGCTATTGCCAATGGCGAGAAGAGCGGCGTCTTCTCGCGCCCCAAGGGTGAGTTTTGCGCTTTACCGGTCTACGTTCTCTTCCGTTTACGTCGTCGACGCGTCTTGGTTGCACGCGCTTGTCTATTGTAGATGAAGAATGGCATCAACTGTCCCACCCTATTCAGCCATTGTAGCTAACACAACCTAGGCGCCTCCGGCACCGTGAAGCTCGCGAAGAAGGATGCTAAGGACACCAAGCCCGCTGCCGCCGTGAAGAAGGCAGAGCCCAAGACCGAGAAGAAGCCTGCTGCTGCGAAGAAGGCCACTGCCACCGTATGTTCGTTCGCGTTGTCCTTCCCCTTCCGCCACTAACTCGTCCTAGAAGGCTAAGGCTCCTGCTACTAAGAAGGCTCCCGCAACGAAGAAGACCACCACAAAGGCTGCCCCCAAGAAGGCCGCCGCGAAGCCCAAGGCCAACGCCAGCAAGCCCCGCAAGACGCCCGCCGCCGCCCCCGCCGTCGACAAGGAAGTCTCGCGAGTGCTCGGCAAGACTAAGAGCGGTCGCGTCACCAAGACCAAGGCTCCTCCCGCCGCCCAACCAAAGAAGACTGCGACCAAGAAGGCAGCACCCAAGAAGACCGCTGGGAAGAAGGCCACGCCCAAGAAGGCAACACCAAAGAAGGCTGAGGCATGAACGAGTTCATCCCGAACTCTTCCTTCCTCTCTCCTTTCATGTTGATCTCTTCTAACTGAGCTCTACGTGTTTAGGCTACTTCGACGTTGCGTCGCTCGAGTCGCCGCAGCATGTAGCAAGCCACGTTCGTGATATCCCTCTTTTCTCTCCAAGACGTCGCGTGGGTCCGGGCTGGGGGTTGGGTATGGGAGCAAGCGGGTGTTCATCTCTGGGGTTGTCTATGTGCGATTACTATCATGTTGGCTCGGCGTTCGGTGGGCGTTTTGGTAGCGCTTTTTTTCCGCACCCCGTGTTATTGCTATCCATGGATCTGGTCGCGGTGTCATCAGGGTAGTGTCTCTGAGTGCACGATGAAAAGGCATGAGCAATGAATCAAATCTTTCTAATGCAAACTTTGTGTCCCGTTGTGTGAGGGGTGTGACGCGACGACGCGTTGTTTTGGTGCACGGATCATGGACATTCACGCCGAGGGTACGGTGCACGTGACCTGGTATCGATAAGCAGCTGGTACCTGAGGGACAGTACTGTGCCGTCCAGATGAACAATGGAGGATAATACTGCTGCTGAATGGCTCTTCCGGGCAGTAGTGCGCTCCGCTCTCCGGTTATTGTCCCCCTGATGTCTTTTTTGGCTGCAGTGGCTGGAAATTGTTGTTCAGGGGAAGGCATGTCAGTTGACTTAGGGAACATACGAGTTTGAGACGTATCTCCACGCGCCTGTATACGTGCAGCTCGAATTAAAATTGTCGCCGGATGGCGCTCTCGATAGATCTCCAATGCCCTATAAGCCGGGTATTCGTTGGTACTGGTGCCTAACGTAGCACGCCCGTCTGGCTATGGTTCCTCTGTGTTTACGTCATCTGTGCCACGGTATAGGTCCTTTAAGGAGGCTTCCACTAAGCCGGTGAAGATGTTTTATTTTCCGACCAGTTCGCCGAACAGCGCGTCTCTCCGTCTCCTCATATTGTCCAGCTTCACCTCCAACTTCCCCACTTCCTTCCTCGCAGCCTCCTTGTCCGCCGGCAACCCCGTAAATTCCTTGACTTCTTCCTCGAGTGCTTCCACCTTCTCCTTCAGCGTATTGAGCGTCGTCTGCTGCTCCAGCATATCCGCGATTGCTTCGGCTGAGCTGATGTTCTTCGAGCCTGGGGTTGTAGTGTTTCTCGACTGCGCAGACTGCAAGGATGACAGTTTGTCTTCATATTCGCGGATCTTTGTGCGTAGATGCTTTGTCTGGCGGACTTGCTCGGTGGTCTGGCGTTGCAGGTTGGGAGGCGTGGCGAAGGCGGGATTCGATTGTAGCTCGTTCAGTTGGGCACGGAGGAGGGACTGCTGCTTCTCGAGGTATCTCTGGAGGCTTTGGATATGGTTTAGATTGTTGGTGAGAGTCTGTGAGGCCGAAGTGTGCTGGATAAGCGTGTGGGCCATTGTCTCGGGGTTTGCGGTTGGAGTATTGAGAACCACGGCCGTGGAGGCGAGAGCGTGGAGGGCTGCCGACCCCTCGACGGTAAGCTGTGCTTTGATGTTCTCTAGGAGCTTTTCATCCTCGAGGTTTCGTGTTTTCTTGCGTGTGTCAGACTTCCGTCGAGACTAGATATGACTAGCCGGCGCGGACCTCTCATACCTCATCCTCTTCCAGCTCCTTGCACGCTTCCCTCTCAACTCTCTGGAACATTGTTACTTCCTCGTCGGCTCGCTCATTCGCCATCATCAGCTCCCGCAGCACTTTCAATGTTTCTTCATTTCGCTCGAAGCTCGGGACGGTTCGACCGGAGTATCTGTAGGAGAGCCAGGTGTCAATCTGCGCCCAGTCGGCTGCTTGGGCGCGCTGCTCGCGGGCTTTTGAGGGCGAGAAGAGGTCTTGGGGCGTCAGGTTGTCCATGGTGCTGCGCAGGACAGGGGGCGCCCTTTCAAGTTGACGCGGAAAAGAGACCGCGGGGCGGTGGTCTGTGCGAGCTACCCCGGATTCCAGCGCGGCAGCCCTACGTGAGACGACATTCTTTCATTAGCATGACGTGACACCCCACTCCCTTCGGACCATCCTTCACCAACAATGTAATGCTCTTGCCACTGCCCCCGTCACTCCATAACTCCACCACCTCACCGCAAACCTCAAGCTATCACCCAACATAATCTCACCAAGACGCCGTTCAGAACCCCTCTTTCGAAGCTCCTCCTTATCGCATTCATTGCGACTGTCCTCACGTTGCCGTTCCTAACAAGATCCTTACGCTCTGTACGCGGCTCTTCTCTTACACCGTCTCGCCGTAGTATGGGCATGGCGTGGCGAAGCTCGGGCTCGACGAACGAGGGCTTAGTTGCCAACTTGGCCCGGAACGGACTGATTGAGTCCGACCGGGTCAAGGAGGCCATGCTGAAGGTACATTACAGGTCCTTCAGTTGAGGAAACTCGACGACATGGCTGACAGCTGAATGACTAGGTTGACCGCGCCCATTATGCCCCCTCCTACGCCTACGAAGACTCTCCGCAACCCATCGGCCACCGCGCTACCATCTCAGCACCGCACATGCACGCCTCGGCTTGCGAATCTCTCCTTCCCTACCTCAAGCCCGGCGCGAAGGTGCTCGACATCGGCTCAGGCTCCGGGTACCTCACTGCTGTATTCGCGAACCTAGTTGGTCCTTCGGGCACAGTCATTGGCATCGATCACATTCAACCGCTCGTCACTCTTGCAGAAAACAATATGAAGAAGTCGGAAGAAGGCAGGAGGATGCTGGAATCAGGACAAGTCAAGTTCGTAAAGGGCGATGGGCGGAAGGGATGGACAGAGGATGCGTACGTTTGCCGAAGCTTCTATTGGTGGACTTCAACACTGACGTCTGTAGCCCGTACGACGCGATCCATGTCGGCGCCGCCGCAGCCGAGCACCACAAGGATCTGGCCGACCAGTTGAAAGCTCCCGGACGCATGTTCGTCCCAGTTGAGGAGGGCTGGATGCAGCACATCTACGTCGTCGACAAGAAGGAAGACGGAAGCATCGAGAAAAAGAAGCTATACGGTGTCCAGTACGTCCCGTTGACGGACGCGCCACCAGAGTGACTTCAGTGGAAGATCAAAGCAAGATCGAAAATGTAACGGACGGGTTGGGAACTATCGGAGAAATGACGATATTGCGAAACCCCGAGACGGGAATCAGACTGCCCAAGGCGCTCTGCTTCTTGATGAGGATGAAGTGTCAAGGACCTGTCAACATGGAATGGATGTCTAGTATGGCTATACGATATCACTCAGAACAGACAGTAAATCGTATCCCAATCTTTCGAATGGATACCATCGAAATAGTCTCTAGCACGTGCACGTGTAAATGATGCTAACGATCAAGATATCATGATGTGCCAACAGTCTCTAGAACGATTAAGTGGGCACAGAGCACTTCCCCCATTCTTCGTCCTATGCCTTGCGTTCCTAACTGCCTCTTCTTCCTTGGTTCACGAAAACTAGCCTTCTTGCTCTATATCCGCTCAATGTAGGAGGTGAGGGAATATGGGCCGATCTTGGATTCCACCAAAAGCTTTGGTCATGCCATGTCCTTTGGTGCATTGTTATACCTGAGCGAAGCTCATCCATTACTCATTACAGCTTCAGTAGGTAAATGCCGGCAGATCTACTTCCACAGTATTCAAGCGAAGTAAGTGCGGAGAGGTGGGATACAAGGCGATGATGCGATTAATTCATTACTCATTACCCAAAGAAGAAAGCAGGCCGACGACCAACGCCATATTTCCGATGCAACCAAAGCTCAATAGGAAAAATTGAAAGAACTGTCCTTAAATGTCATCTCCCAGGTTCATCTCCGGCTACGGCCTAAAGCCAAACCCGAGCTGTCTGAAAGTATGGTGCCCCTATGTAATGCTCCACCTTTTTCGGTCACACATCGCATTCAACCACCCTGCCAACGAAACCTTCCAACCCAGCAACACCTTTCTCACCCCTCTCGGTGCTTCCAGTGAGCCCCGGTCCACCGCCAGGCATCACTAGCACCTTCGCATCCGTCTCGACGAACTCTCGGGAAGCGATGAACTGGAACGTGACGTCTGTTGCGGTCCCATGGTTACCGCCAACTGAAGGATCGTCAGTAGGCTCTTCGTCAAATCCGAAGCCAAATCCTTCCCCTTCATCCTCGTCCCCGTCCGCCAGATTATGGCTGGTCACTGCACTCCCGTCCTTAGCATCCAGTGCTGGTGCAACCGAGACCACTTTGGAAGAAGCTCGTACGCTGTTAAAGTAGACGACTACGGCGCTTCCGATAGTCAAGCTCTTGACGGCTTGCGCGCTGGCTCCCGCAAAGCGAACAGTGACCAGTCTATGGGCTTTAGGCTCGGCATTTGCCAACACCATCCCTTTCCGTATCCTGTTGATTGCTGGGGTCCTGATGGGTCCGTTGACCGGGACAATCCCGACGGTTCCAACTTGACCAGCCTGCAATGTTCGCACCCCAAGCCTAAGATTCCGGAGCGAGGTGACCCGCACGCGGCGCCATTCCGTCAATGATGCGGAACCCATGTGTAGTGGCGAGTTCGAAGGTCGTCTGTTCAAGGCGCCAGGGAATGACCTAGATGCTGGCACCGGGGAGTTACGGGCTGATGGTCTCCCGCTTCCGCCGTCGCTGTCATCTGAACTTGTATCTCCCGGATATGGCCCAAGGAAGATTTCATCGCCGATACTTAGCGTTCCATAGCGAAGATGCCCACCGATGATCACCGGGTCCGAAGGCTTTGTACGAGCAGGACTGTTGGTGTACACATCCTCCACGTTGAACAATGTTTTAGGAGAGTCTGGCGGCGGCATAGGAGGTGCAGGCACAGGCAGTTCTCTCAGGAAAGCATGAAGCTTGCTCAAACCGTTTCCACTGACTGCACTCGTGAGAATGATAGGAACGACTGCAAGAGGCGAAGACTCCAAAGCTTGCAGGGTACTGTCAGCCTCCAAAAGATGTTTAGAAGGAATCGTGGTGAGGTCGACCCCAACCGAAGATGTAGGTGGGTCAGCGATAATGCACCCCCTCCTGCTAGAATCTTTGAGTGCAGAGAGAACCCTCGACACGACAGCTTTGAGCCCTGCTTTAGTAGCCAGATCATATTTAGTGATTACAACCACGAGTGGGAGTTCGAGAGTTAGGCAGAGCTGGAGGTGTTCATGGGAGAGATCCAAGTCTGCCGCGCTGGTGCCTAATATCTCTTGCGTAGTTGGCGATGCACCGACTTTTCCAGATGAGTCTTCTGCATTATCGGCAGGTATACAGAGCAAGGTGAAGTGCGGATCCCACCCAATGAGGCCTCGGACAGTAGTACGGCGGAAGCGCGGATGGCCTGCAGAATCGGAGAGAAACGCTAGCCTTCCGGCTGTTGCTGAATCTACAGATGCGTGAATATCAACCCATGATGAGACGTCTCCGGAGCCATAGCTGATTACATGGGTTGAGGTCCTTTCTCCATCTTTATCGAAAGCATCGCGATAGCCGATCAACTCCTGGGTAATGGAGCTGGTAATCCCTGATTCAATCTCGTGCCTATGCTTCAGAAGGCTGAGCCGACTCTTTCCTCGTCCATTGTCCCGCGTCCCCGTAGAAAGTGTGCCAAGTAGACTCGTCTTTCCAGACATGGTGGCACCGGTGAGTGACACGCGAAGTTGTTGGGTTCTCTCTTGCGAATCACTCATTCCAGGCTCGGTATGGGGTGTGCCTGCGACAGTACCCGCTGGCCCCTGTTGGCTGAGCGGTGACTGGTCCTGCTCAACGAGATGTTGATCTGGGCGAACGAAAGCTTCGGCAGCCCATAACTTTGACTTCTGGATATTGGGTTGCAGCCCGCCGATATTTTCAACCCACTCGCATTCGCCAACTGGTACCATGCGCTGCACCTCGACTTGACAGCCCAGGCTAGCAGCCATTGCCCGCAGGTTGTTCAAAGATTCCTCCATTTCGTCTTCGGCAAGACCAACGAGCTCGCCATCATCTGCAACGCCGATCTCGTACAGCGCTCCTTTAGTCTCCTCCAACCCGGGATAAAGCCGCTGGGGCATGACAGGAGCAGTAACCTGCGTCTCGTCTGGAAAATGGGGAACAACGGTAGCCGTTGAAGAAGATGTATGGTACGGGCATGACTGCTGAAGTCGCCACAGCAACTGAGTAGTTAATTGTTCCAGTCGATGTTGTCGGGATTGGATCGAGCTCGCGGGAGGGGGAGTAGTGGATAGTATGCCAGAGTCCGAGACGCTGCGGCCGACAGGAGCTGGCATAGAAGCATCTACGCGCCTCAAAGATCCAGAAATATGGCGCCTGGTGCTGCTGCGCGTGAAGGATCTTCGCTTGCGGAGCAGCAAATGAAGCTTATATTCAGTGGGGCCCTCCTGAGGCTCAGCCTCTAGTCTGGTGATGGTGCTGTAATCGACTATGGACATTTCCAAGTTCTCAAGCGCTCGGTGCCCTTCCCTAGCGCTACTCAGCGGCGCTGCCGACTTTGGGTCTTGCGGGACTGGAGGTTTCGCGGACCCTTCCGGTGGTGGTGTGGCCGCCGCCCACGGGGATGCTACCCGGGGCGGATCCGGATCAAATGTGAATATGGAGGCCATTTTATCGTATCAAACAATCTCTGCTGGGACCCTGACTTTAACAAGTGCCAGAGGCGGGTAACCGGAGAGGTCTCGAATGTTCAGGGAATCCGCTGCCGCCGCGGCCCGCAGTATAGAACTTGTAATTGAGATAAAGACCGAGAGTTCGTGTGTGAAAAGTGTGTCTGGAAGAGGACAACCATTAAGGGAAACATTTTGGCGAGAATCGTGCGCAAACGCTGGGTAAGACCGTCCAGCGACGCCTGGAAATAAATTCGGTGGCGGACTGGGTGCAGCAGCCAATTCTGCCTACACAAGGTACATGGTTACAATAGGAAGCGTTGTAGGTGTCGGGAGTTGAGTTGGTGGTGATGTGGATGTGGAACGGCCTGGAAATAGTCGACGTGGTTGAATTGCGGTCGTGTGTTAGAGTCACCTTAGCGGAAAGTACTGCCAAGCCTTCCGAAGCGGAGTCACGCATTATCACGTGAGTGGCATTATGACTGTACTAAAGTCATTCACTTGCAATACTAAGGTGGAGTCATCAGCATTCATCTCCCAACGCCCTTTTGCGCTTGCTTCTAGCCATTGATGTCTGTTCAGCGGAGCTCGTGGCTGCCCAAACTAGGCGACACTCGGTTCGACACTTCCAAGGTTTATCTGCTTCTGATGTCGCCGAGAATTTGATGCGTTCATGAGCTCTCCATGAGAGAAAGCGCTCAGGGAAATTAAGGGTGGAAGAAAGAAATCACTCAAATGTCGTGGGAAGACTGAGGAAACAAGGCGTTACCTGCTCGTTTCAACGGCCTCCGGGAGGGCATTGAAAGATTGAAAGTCTATTCTGAAGTCTTATACAGGTGGCATCCAGCTTGGTCCCATTCATGGGCTATCGAAAGAGTCGCAAGCAAAGCCCCTTTTGTTTGAAGTTGAATCCGTCCGTCTGCGCCTTTTCTCGCCACTAGAAGGGCGCTTCAGGCCACCAACGTGCCTCAGTGGTGCATTTTTCGCTGCCTTTCGGCGTGCGGCCATGCGAGCTGTACCACGTCACTATCGTACGAGACTCTGAGACGGCGGACGAAATCGACCAGCCTGTGCCAAGCTGGACGAGCTCTGGTACGCCCCACCGTGCAGTAGTCTCCCCAACCGCCCCTTCTTTTCCATAACTATCCCGTATAGCTGCCCGTGGACGTTGCGGAAGCTCTTCGCACTGCTTGCTGAATCTGAACCCGTCGTGAAAAGCCACATCGGGCTCTCCGAACCTAAGGTTCCCCTGCGGCAGCCACGTTTCGCGTCTTTTCTCCAAGCGGACGAAACACTGAGCTTTGACCAGTACTCCAACACGAGGGCGGGGAAGGAGTGATCGGCGCGGGGGTTACTGGTCAAGGCATTATCCAGTGCTCTTGACGGCTCCATGGATCAAGCCCCGATTCGCATGTGCCTGCAACCTCGCAAATGAATGATGAAGTTGTCCAACGCATACTGTGTACCTCCGTATAGCACCACGGATGTGCTCGACGTCGCGGTCGTTGGCGTTCGGGGAAGAAAAGCAAAAGAGTCTGCCTCGCCAAATATTCTCTTGAAGGTAATCTCCTAGGGACCTTGGCGAGATCGTGGAGCATTCGACGCGAGCAACTGCGGATGATGACTACGCAAGGTAGCACAGCCGAACCCCGACGGACATGGGCACCTTTGCAACCCGGACGAGGGGCTGAGCAGCAGGGTACGGTATGTTTAGCCCCCACACCGAGGACGCGATGTGCCAACACCCGATATTGAGAAAGCAGGGTGCTCGGCCAGTTAGGAGGCCCGTCTGCAATAATGAGCCACTTAATTCACATCCTCGATTTCACCCGTCCAGCAAGCGTTCGAACCTCATCTCGGAAGCGACCTCGAGGCTACATCACATCGTATCGGCCAGCGCAAGGTCTCCGGACCGGCGTTCAGCGACCTGCACACACGCGGGTCCGGGCAGTCGGGACCCTTTGTGGTGAGAGCCTTGCGAACAGCCTCACCAACTTTGGAAAAGGGCCCTAACGGCTTCTAACACCGCGCGCGTCGTTTCATCGGAGACAACAGGTCGCAACCCTGAAAACTGCCGTCGTCAATTCAAAGTTTCATGAAGGATCAAATAGATGCGCCTCTTGTTGTTCCTCCCGTCCTCTGCTTCCTCCCGTGGTGCTTTCGTGTCGAGTGGCACAGCTTGCGTGGCCGGGAACATGCTACCGTTACCCGAAACGGGCGACGACATGGCCCGAAGGGGACTGGCCCTGCTGGATTGCGTGCGTCTTTGGGCGTCCAGCGGGCTGGATGGCGGGACTTTGACGGTCCGAGGCGGTCGCAGCTCCACGGTAACCGGTGCAAAGTTACACACCCAAAACCCGCCTAATTGTTTCACCAACATCGCACATACATCAAGTCTTCGCTGACACGAACGCTGCTCTCTCTCGTCATCCCAGGTGCTTCCAAGAGAAGCGGGCGCATTTCTTGAAACGAACAGCTGCTGTGCGGGGTGCTTAACGATGTCACCTATTGCTGCATGAGTGCGTTGGTTAAGCGCCCGCGCAAAGACACGACTCGACCTTTCAGGGCCTTCCATGCAGCGCCCAACGCCTTCCAATTCATCGATGCGGGTCTCCCATGCACGTCGAATGCGGTTTGGTATCTTGGCTCGCGCAGGGGGCGAGGAGACACTGCATCGGCCTGTTCGCAAAAAGCGTGAATTCGTGCATGCCGCTGGTAGCGCGAGCACGCCGGCACTGGACTCACTGGTCAGATAATCTGACCCTCCTCATCCAGGACCACTCCATGGTTCGCACCCCACCTGCAAGCGACGCAGCACAACGTCGTACACTAGAACCGATAAGCTCCAGTCAACGGTCATGGGACTGTTTTCTGGGACAGCCTCAGTAGCACAAGACGCAGCCCTACGACACGAATTTCGTATATCTGACTTCTGACTGCGCGGCTGGCACCGTTCGTCAGTTGTTACCTGTGTGCGTATACGATAGTTGCTCGTTCGATTTCCGGAACGGGGATATCTGACATGTCGTCAGGGCGATCAACGTATCTGATTTGCTCGCAATGATTGCATTTCTAGAAGCTTACTCACGTGGAGCCCACCTGTTGCCAGTCATCCTTCCCGCGCAGCCGTCTCCGCCGCCGGTGTTGTTCAACCCCTGTGAGCGTCAGCAAAACCCTCAAGGTCATGTCAGAACTCAGTTGTGACTGCGGCGCAGCAGAGGAGATGGCCATTCAAATCGCGGATCTGCGATGCGTACCGACCGCCCCGCTAAATCCGTGCCTCACAGCGCGGGCCGGCCCAAAGTAAATGAAAGAGCGGTCTACTAGGGGTCGTCCGCGATCGACTGGGACGTTGTGCCGCCCAGACGCATTTCCAGACTATGAGCTTGACGCGGACTGGCAGGGTCGTAACATTCGGATGTCTGTTCCCGCCCACGCCGCCATGAAACTTAGTATGGGATGATATTGACGGAATCTCCATGGAGGAAAGGACGGGTGAAACGAGCAGGATAGCGACGCCGATCGTCCCTACATGCTAGATTACCAAGCTTCGACGGAAGGAATGCCACACTCGTTCGCTGCCCTGTCTGAGCGGACGACACTCCGGGACGGCTGGCCTAGTGGTAACCCAGCTTGTTCCCGTGCCTGCGGTTCGGCCGTAACTTAGCGGACCAGACGATTTCAACGTCGAGCTACGCCCGACCGGACGGTGACGTGATTGCCAACTAGGCGGCCTCATCGTCGTCTGATCGGAATTCAAATGGTAGGCTTGGCATGTAGGGTTTTAGCCCTTCTCGTTGAATGATAGCCAACCGCCTAGTATGTGAAGAGGCTGGCAACTGGATGCTTTCTTAGACTGGTATTCTGCTCTTCATTAGTCCGCTGGTTGTCTACATCATACAGCCCCGTATCTGTCTGGCCCCGTTATTGTGTGAGACCCCACATGCGCGAGCATCAAGTCAAGGCCCTGTGCAAGGAGCGTCAAGCTTATTTCTCCCATGGCTGAAGGGGACCGGGGCCCTCCCATGATAGTATTCTGGCACGTGACATAGCGCTATGTCGAATGGGATGACGACAGGTCCGAGGGCCGATGTGGAGCTTCGCCTCAAGCCTCAAGACCTTTTTCCGTCATCGAAATGATCTCTCGCGCTACTGCGCATGCGTTGACTCAGCGCTGCCGGCGGCATCTGTCTGACATGAGCCGGCACAGGCGGTTGCCAGCGCGCTCGGAAAACGAAAGTTAGTTCTGGCGCTGTTTCGGCAGTCGAACCCATGTTTCCGCGCACCAATTCCAAAAAGTGTTCGCACGATCTCAGGTAAGGCGGTCTCGTGGAAGCTCCCGTCCACAGTGCATGCGCGCTGCCTATGATGAGGCTTTCCGCCCCAATCGCCACACACGCCGTTCCGTTAGTTTACGCGTCTTTTCGCTGTCTGACTCCTCCCCCGTACAGATAATTTGGCGAGCTGTAGTTGACATGTTCGAACGCTGCGCACTTGCGTAGGCCCTTTCTGAAGGTTGCACGAGCCGTTTGAAGGAATTAAGCGAGAGGATGCTGGAGAGCGAAGAACAACCGCCCCTAGCACTCTTCGGGCAAAGTGAACAGTCCATCGCTAGCGTGACTATGCGTCGGATTGCGAGAGAATATTGGCTTCTCAAAATATCTTTTTTTTCATTTCGTTGTTTTGAGGCCATGCTTGCGACGGTCGGCCCAGCGTCGGTGTGCCTTTCCGTCCGAGGTGTCGGCTCTTGAACAATAGGAGCCGTAAATCCTTCAGGCGGTGAAGTCAATATTGCCCCTTCTCTGGCCCTTTCCGGCCCTTTCTGGACGCGTCTGCAGCTGTCTCGCCCGTCGATTTTCTATTCGCGCGAGCGTGACCATGCGGGTGATCAGCGCCCAAATCCCTTCCCCGCTGACCAGCGTGCCCAGCTTATCCATCCAAAAATGCAGGGCTGAAAAGAGCCCTGACAGCTAAACTCAGCACTTGAGCTTGCTTAACCTCCTGAGTCTATTATCGCCCTGATGCGATGTAGACTGCAGGATGACAACATCCACCGTATGCTGTGAGAGGAGAGTGATGCAGAGGTTGAAATAAGAATAAATTCCAAGAATGCAAAGCGCTGCAGATAACTCCGGTCCTATGCATAGTCCGAGTCCTGTAACCTGGTGTAGCCGAAGAAATGGTATATGTGTAAAAAAGCCCGTACGCCAAATCTGGCCGCGAAAACTGATTTGGACCTGCGCTGGGCTGTCGTGAGCCGGTACTGGAAAGGCGGAACGATTGCCGATGTGTAGAAGGGAAAAGCCTCAATTTTTGCCCCAGGAATTCGTGATGCTTCGTGAGTGTCCCTCGAATAAGCCCCCATGCCAAGCTAAACGCCTCCAAAATCACGAGAGCAATCGTGCTCCCAACGCCTTGTAAGATAGCTCTTGCGGACAGGCCAAGCGTTTCATGCTCAGCCTTACCGCTTACCTAGTCGTATCTGACGTCCTCCGTGGCTTGCATTTCTCGTGCGCCATGTGCCCATTCCGTGCCGTGGTCCGCGTGAACTCGGCGCCACATCGCGGGCAATAACTCTTTGCAGCTGTGCCGGACTTTTCTCGCTGATGCCGCAGAAGGTTGCTGAAGGTGGAGAATTGCCGTCCGTTGCAACCGTGCTCCCAGCATTGGGGCTTAGGTCGCGAGTTGAGAACACGAGGCATCATTCCGTTGGTCTGACTTCCTGGCGAGGAGGACAGTCCGGGTACAGAACCGGCGGACGGCGGGGCAAGTGTACTTGATTGCTCATAGGATGCGTACGGAGGTGCTGATGTGGTGGCCGGGTACAACGTAGTAGGAAGCGGGCTATATTCGCTGATACCGTAGCTCGTCGGGGGGTATATTGGTGGCCTGTCCATCGTCAAGATTACTGCCATCTTGTCCGCATAAGAAAACTTACGGTGGGTAGCTGGAACTATTGCTGCCGAGGGTTTGACCGGGGAGATTGGCGTGCACCGCGGGGTAGGGGTAGCTGTGTGGAGCTGAGCTAAGCATGGGCGAGGGTTCACTGGAGGTTGGAGGATAGCTCATTGGCGACGGGCTAGCGCGCATTGGACCCAATGCTTGTTGATACGGGCTTCGCGGCATTGACGGTGCTTGATAGGGTGGGAGCACTGGATGCTCTGTTGATCTTCTTGAGTGAGAATGGCCTTGTAGGTTAGGACTGGAGGCATATGCAGGCGCGTAGGATGCTGATGATGAGGCCTTGGTATCCGAGTATGACTGGCTGATAGGCGGGTAACCTACACCTTGTCAAATCGCCATACTTGATCAACGAACATCCGACTTACTGGGTGAGTCAAGGGGAGGCGGGGAAACGTAGTCCATATTGTACTGCGCAGGCGCCATCATGAAACCCAGAGTGCTAAAAGATTAGTCTACCATTTGTTCGAAGGGTGGTAGGAACTATACCTCATATCTTGCAATTCCAAAGTAGGGTCTTGAAGAGGTTCTGGTTCCGCCGAAAGACGCAGATCGTAGTCTGTCGCAGTGTGGCTTCCAGACAGCGAGGGTAAAGGCGATGGAAGAAGCTCGGATTCGGATGTGGTTTGTACTTCGTAGGTTTCTGGGTCTGGCGCTGAGGGCGATCCTCGAGGGGAATGGTAAGATTGGAGATCTAATGGTTCGGAGAGTAAGAGGTCGCAGTCGGGGTTTTGTTCTATTCCAGCAGGATGCGAGGTATTGCTACGTGTGAACGAGTCGAGGACGTCTGGATGCCAAACGGGAGTATGTGTCTCTTCGGTCTGGTAATTGACAGATGTGCGGCGGTTCGTAGGAAGAATTGCGGCACGGCGCGAACGGATGGTCCTCAATTGTCGGACCTCTGGCGGCTGGACAGACAGGTTTTGGTCGGCGCGGATTCTGAGTCTTCGTGAGATGGTGGTCGTCTTTGGTTGTGGTTTGGGAGACCGTGGGGTCATGATCAACAAGAGGAGACCAACATGCGTTTAAACGTTGGTCGGTAGTGGGGGTAAACATACATTCGTGTTCCTGCATTTGGGTAATTCCTGGTGGGCTTTTAGCAGCCTTATGGAAGAGGAGCATCAAAGCTCGCAAGGCAGATTTGCGGCATGATCTTGTTCGCAAGAGGCGGCCTGCGCCATGCCCGGGGGGTTCTGGAGGGTATATACTGGTATAGGGCATCTGAGGCCCAGTAACATTACAAGCGTGCTTGGAGCCAACACCACTTCTCCCGGCAGAGCGGCTGGTGACTGGTTGGTGCCTTGTAGGATCGGAATCCTGGGCCATGCGTAGCGGGCCAAGCTCCCGACCGTTTAGTGGCAGAACGTGCACGCACAATGGCAGCCCTTGCCGCAGCGAGGATGCTGGGTCCAAGAGAGAGGTGAGCACAGTCCTTGAGGCTGCAGCGGGTGATGAGAGGGGTAGCATGATGGCTGCTCTCGACGGGACGGGCCCCAGAGGCGTAGGACAGGATGCGTGAACTCGCGCCACATCTGCACACGGCGACCTCACCTGCGTCCTGCTTCACTAAGCGTGAGGGTCGCCCGAGCAGCTGGTGTGCCGCTGGCGCGCCCTGCTGTCGCTGCCGGCGGCAGCGCGTGCAGCTGGCACTGGAAGCGGCGCCGCGTCGACGTCTTTTCCGCATCCAGAGGCTGTTGGTGGCGAGCATGGGCTGCGGCAGCGGGCGACCAGAGCCCTACCGGCTCGAGCATGGTGTCGTTTAGTGTTTCAAGGGGCCCTGTCGGGTAACCAACGGTCTGTGAAGCCAGTTCGAGCCGCCAAAATAGACGTGACGAGAGGTGGGCTGGAGAGGATTGGGGGTTGTGGCGCGTGCACGCTGCTTCATCTCCAAGCCTCGCCCGGGGCAGTTGGGCACAACACCGGCCGTCCGTCTAAGCCACGCGATCGCTGCTGGGGCAAAGATTCCTCAACAGCAGACTCGTTTAGGGTGTCATGCGATTCGAGCGCGGCCAAGTGGTTCTAATTTTGCGGCCGTGAACGAGCCCGGCGTCGATGAGCGTCGCCCTCGTCCGCTCGACGCCGGACTGCCGGGCGCGTCACAGGACGGCCAGGCCAGAGGGCTTCCGGAAGCTGCATCGAAGCACGGGAGTCGCTACAGGACGCTGCGGCAGAAGGGGGGTACAGTAAGACGGCCGTCGCCAAAGCAGAGCTGAGGTGTGCTGGAATGGGGTGGAGGAGACGTCCAGCGCGCTAATTTCCGCCCCTCCCCGGCCTTTGACGTCGCGCTCGCTGAGGCCGAGCCCGTGGTCCGTGGGCGATGCTGAGAGAGGCACGACGAGGAGTCGAGGACCCGTGGAGGCCGCAACGGTCCGAACGTCGACGGTGCTGCCCAGGTGGTGCCCGTCGTGGTTAGAGGAGCAGCCCAGGCCGCATCTGGCATGCAGCTCGTTCCGCCAAGCGCCCTCTGAGTGGTCGCAGGCGGACGGGCTTCAGACGATGACTGCTGCTGGCGCAAAGGGACGGCTTTCAGCAGCGCGCGCAAAATAGAAGCCGCCAGATTTGATGTTGCGCACGCCGTGGGCAGTGCCGCAGAAGGCGAAACGAGAGTATCATGTCTGTCCTCCCTCGAGAACGTGAGTCTGACGTAACCGTCCGGCCACGCCTCATTGGCCCGCGAGGCGTCCATTGCCTAATTAGGAAGACTGCCGAACTACGCGACAGCTCGGGCCTTAATTCCTCCCGGAAGCCGAATGTTGTGGCCGAACGACGGTCGAGATAGATACCGTCATGATCGGGCTTCGAATGCTGTGTATGCGGGGGTCGCTGCCTGCGTACTCGCGGCAGTCGGAGAATTACCGCCTTGCTGTGACTCAGGGTCTGCATTGCAGGCCGCCCCAGGGTTTGCTCATATCGGTGATACCGAGGGCCTCCGCTTCACGGTAATGCCACTTTTCTAAACGCGGCTCAAGCCGCAGGGCAATGCGTTGAAATGCGAACAGGTGTCGATGAAAGGTGATACGCTTCCACACGTGTCCCGATGGCGCACGATCCTCGAGAAGATCATGAGTGCCTGAAGGAATACTGTAGGCACGACATGCCTCTTCCCCACGGGAGGAATGGTCTTGGCAATGCTCGGGGTATGTTCAAATGCACCCAGCGTGGCGCAGGCAGAAGAGGAACCTGGCGATATGCGCGGGAAAGCAATCAGTCTCTCATAACCTTGATTTATCCCATCGGCCGCGAGAACACTGGACCTGCCGTTAGCGTAGCACTACTAGGCAGCAGGAAGCCACAAGCCTGAACTAGTGCGGGAAGCGCTCAAGAAGTGGTCTACTAGATGGTAAGCAGCCTTCAAGTGAAGCGGGAGCTATCCGGTCGAAGCAACGTTAAAGACGACTGCAAAGTCAGATCCCTGTCCTGCCTACAGCAAGCACGGTGGGAGATGTATGAGTGACAGATCGAGCCCGTGTCAATAACAGCCTGGGAAAGTGGGAAAGCTGGCGTCAAAGCTTGTCCCAAGCAGCAGGAGGATCTGATACGCGGTGATCCACTCTCAAACAAACTCCAGGTCTGGCATGGAGTGCCGTGTATGTCTGCAGATAACCTTCGCGCCGGACACCAGCATCCAGGTTGGCAGAAATGTTGCAGGAGACGTCCCACGCGAACACCTGCATGGTGAGCTGGTTATAACAGGTTTCGTGTCTGCAGAATATGGCGGTACAGTTGGAATGCCTATTGGTTGTGGCCGAGGCAGGGGAACTTCCCTCCACGTTTCCATCCGACAGTGTGGTTTAGCCGAATGAAACGGGAAACGCCCATTGCTTGTCGTCCTGGGTATCATTTGGAATAACCCCGACAGGCATTAGATGCAGGCCGAGAGTCAAGGGCCGGTGGGCTGTAGTCGGCATACCATGTGCTCGGCGAGTGTGTGGGAAGCAGATGCATCCCATGCGCGACTTGCCAATAGAAACCGTGCCCGCGCAGTTGGCCGCATATTGAGGCCGAAAGACGAGGAGCTGTACGAGAGCCGCCGACGGTTCCAGCAGGTATGGTTTTTGGTCAAATATGAAGCGCAAAGGTCGAACGTAGGCTACCTACACAGGCATGATTCTTCTGCTCGCTCTTTCGGCTATGATTTCATGTCGGAGATTAGCGTCGCGGTCTTTGAGTGTGGATAGCACGTCCAAAAAGGAAGACCCTCGATGAGTCTGCCTTGTGAAACCCGAAAATAGTCGGTTTGGTGGTCCGAGCTCGCCGTCGTACGTTAGTCCTGAATAGGACATGCATCGTAACATGATACAAATGGGCTGGAGCCATTAGTCTGACCTCACCTTAACATATCTGTTATTCTCCCCAATGCCTTGTTCCCCGCGTGAAACAGCTGCCGTGATATTTCTTCAAATGAACCTCATCGTTGCAACGGCTGGGAACGCTCGAGCGGAATCCTGTGCTGACACGCTATGGCTTGAACTTCGAGATCAAGCGTTCGCAGGTGGAATTGGCTTAGTGTACGCTTACTCTATGATCGGTGAAGAAATTCGTCGGTCTCCTCATCTCGGGATAGCTTCAAGTGCCCGCTTAAAAATTTGCACCAATTTGCTCGTCTCCTCCAAGCCAACACTGAAGCGCACCAGATCGGCCTCGACGCCCCATGACGCACACTGTAGAAGTCAATCTAATGTCGTTCCGTGTGGGCCGGAAGACTTACCCAGTCCAGTTCGCCATAATGGGCCAGAATCACATACGGAGAGCTACCGAACGATTAGGCTACGTGCACCAGAGAAAAGGCCCCCGCATACGGAGTGTTCCACGCACCTGAGGGTGAAGTTCGTGCCCAGACTGGGCCCTTTGACCGTGTCAAGGTTGTCAAAAAATGCCACCGCGTCTCGCTTGGAAAAGAAGGTTGCCGAGAGTAATCCGCCATAACCGCCGTTGGGGGTACGGCACTTGTCATAGAATGGTCGCGTAGGACTGTGCTTCGGGTAGTTCACCTGCTTCACTATGGAAACCATCAGATGACGTTTGAGATATCTGACGGTAGATAAGCTTACCACGTGGATGTGCACGTAAGACGTCGCAGATCGCCTCAGCGTTGTCATTGATACGTTCGATGCGTGAGACGAAGTCGCGACTATTGCGCTCGAGGAAGATGCTGTCTTCAGCCCAGTGATTGTCCTCATAATCTTGCTCCCATGTGTGTTTCAGCTTCTCATAACTTCTTCCCTTCGGATTCAGGATCAGACTGCTTGAAGTTAGTATATGCAGTAGACGGATATTCGGCATGCACCTGCCTTCCTCCCATAACGTTACTGTCGCCGCTGAAAACCTTAGTCAGGCTGCTGACAACGACGTCTCCGTAAGGAAGCACATTAACGTTCAGGAAGTTCCCGATGGTCTCATCGACAACCACATAAAAGTCATATTTGTCGGCCAGGTGGCGGATGCGCTCAAGATCAGGAGAACGCAGTAACGGATTTCCGGGAAACTCAGTGAAGAGAGCCAGGAATTGTTCGCCGTTCTCTAGTCGCTTCTCCAGGTCGTCTAACTCTTCGGACGAGCCGAGCCCGTAGAATAGACAGCCTGGACCGAACTTCTCTACGATCTTCAAGGTGTCGATGTAAGGAAACCTGGTCTAGTGAGTAAAGGCATTTTCGAGGGTGCGCTTGTCCATACCCATAAACAATACTTTTCAGCGGCCCTTTCGTTGCCATGAGATTTCGATGAGCGTTGAATATCGAGCTCATGCCGCAAGGATACAGATATATATCATCTTCCGAGAATCCAGCTACATCCCGCATCCTGTCCGCGTCCTTTTCTAATGAGAGTGCTTCCGTTAAGCCAACGTCCGCGGTCAAGGATCCTGCGATACGACGCCGCACCGCTAGTTTTGCGTTCGCCGTCAAAGAGAGGTCCAGGTTGCGTCCGAATCTCTCCTCTACAAATTGCGTAGGGTCTTGTACCTCCGCAGTTCCGTTAGGCTTGTTCGTTGAACTACCTAAATCGATGGATGTTTTCTTCTGGTACCGCCTTGGACCTTTACAAAACCGCGCTGTATCGTTCAGAGTGCTTTCATCCACCAGAGCACCTTTGGAAAACAGGCTGTGGCAGTACTCTGCACGCCGGCTCGAAACTCCGTCGCCTGAATGCTGCCAAAACGTCTTGGCGATCTTGAACTTGTCTTCGGGAAACAGCACAGCAGACACCCTTGGAGAGATAATGGCAAGCTCTTTTGATCGTGCTCCCTCTGCAACGGGGACGAGATCCAGAATCCGTACCCGGTCTAAATCCAATTCTGGGGCTTGGCGGGCGAAGAATTCTTGACACCTTGCGGCGACAGCGTGCGAAGGAAAGAGTATTGCGCGCTCACCAGGCCGGCCATATTGCTCAGCTACCGCGGCGGCAAATTGTTCAATCGCCTTGTGAATGAAGAACCTTGAAAGATCAGCCAACGGTGAAGCACTGACGGAACCGGTTGCCGCAGGTACCTTGGGTAGCCTGTTTTCATCTTGCTCAAGACCCACTCTTCGCCTTCTTCGTACCCTACATTGGCTCTCCACGTCGGTAGCGAGACGCTCACAGCCTGGTACCGTCAGCGAGGCATTGGTGGAGGAAAAGATGAATGAATGGTGACTCACGTGCGCCGTCATGGGCGGAATGGTCTCGCCGACCTCGACGTCATTCTCAAGTGGAATGGGCACCGTCATTGGAGTTCAGGATGGCCGTTGTATGCAACGTCCAAGTTGACCACACGACAGCAAGCAGTCTAGGAAAATGAGACTGAGGGGCGGCGCCACGAAAACGATGATGGGCACTGCAGGCCGAAGTGTGTTTAGTCCAGTTCCGACTTCGGCTTTTTAAGATTTAAGGTAAGCGCACCAGCCACGCGCACGGGCCTAGCGCCACACGATTTTGTTCAGTCCCCAGCGAAATTTTCGAGGCGACGATCTCAGACTTCACGAAACTAATGGCGCCGCTCGCAGTCAAGCGCAGGAAACTAAGTCACGACGACGAGAGCGACAATAGCGAAGGAAGCTTTGCAGAGCAGCATACAAACGAGTCAGGCTCGAGCGACGAGAGCCTGGCAGAGAATGGAGCCGCCGATGGCGAAGGATCTATGGACCAAGCGGCGGAGCACAGCGACGCAGATAGCTCGAGCGATGACGGACCTGTAGCCACGGAAGACAAGGAGTCCAATCTCAGCGCGAACAAGCGGACCGCAGCTCCCAAAGTAGCAGACGAAGCAAAGCTACAGAAGAGACGCGACCCGCAGCTTCAGGATGGGGTATACACGGCGGAGACGTTCAAGTCGAATGTGTTCAAGCTGCAGGTAGACGAGCTCCTCGAGCAGGTGAAGCCAAAATATGGGAAGAAAGAGGCTCCGGCGGAGAATGCGATGCGGACCCTCAAGAGCTTGATCGAACGGCTCCCCAGCCGCGCGCCATTGTCTGTAAGTGGTGCACCGGAAGCGAATGGAGCTGCTCGTTTCTGACAACTCCTAGGTTAATGAAGCCGAGGAATCCCTCAAAGCAATCGGAGTCGCCATCCCTTTCCCGAGCCCCCGCCCGCCGAAAGACGCAAAGTACAAATTGCAGTATGAGCGACCCTCCAGTATAAATGCGACCGGCAGCTATCCACTGAGGACTGCAACCCGCACAGATGGCGAGTTGGCAATTGACCTGGTGGTAACAATGCCGAAGGCCATCTTCCAGGAAAAGGATTACCTCAACCATCGGTACTTCTACAAGCGCGCATATTACTTAGCTTGCCTCGCAGCTGGGATCAAGAACTCCAAAGAACATGATTTCCGGCTCTCATTTGACTGCTTGAACGGAAATCAACTCCAACCCATAATCGTCGTTCGACCAAGCGGTGACGGTCGTCCTGCGGACTTCTCTCCCTCGAAGTGTCGCATACATATCCTTCTCGCTCTTCCAGAAGGCACTTTTTCAGAGATTAAATTGCTCCCGAAAGCAAACTGCGTACGACCTAAAGAGAGCGGGGGAGACGGAGCAAGCAAGTTCCTTCCCCCTACCCCTTTCTACAATAGCTCAGTGCAATCCGATGCCACGATCACCGCTTATCTCAAACTACTTCACGCTGCATCTGGGAAGTGCGACGCCTTCAAAGATGCTTGCACACTCGGTCGCATTTGGCTGAGGCAGCGTGGCTTCGGAAGTCGGTTGCGCAAAGGGGGCTTCGGCAACTTCGAATGGGCTGCTATAATGGCACTTCTCTTACAGCCAAACCCGGGAGCTGGGACACCACCTCTTTCCCCGGGTTACAGCAGCTATCAGCTTTTCAAAGCGACGCTCCAGTTCTTAGCGCGCCATGATCTATCCAAGAAACCGTTCGCCTTCCAAGCCCGCGATGCCACGTTTCCACGAGCAAAGGCTTGCCCAATGTTCTTTGATGGGCCAAGAGGCTTGAACCTCCTTTTCAAGATGACGTCGTGGTCTTATGTGAGGCTTCAGCTTGAAGCGAAGGTAGCTGTTGAGGCGCTCGGAAATTCGACATTCGACCAATTTGATGCCACCTTCATCCTAAAGACAAATCTCTTGAGGTATTGCTACGATGCTACCTTGGAATTGCCTTTGTCCGGATTCGGATTTGACCCTGCAAACGAGGACTACGATGCGAGCCTCGACGAAACATGCTATAGGATTTACAGTACGCTTGTTCGAGCCCTTACAGACCGTGTCACGGTCGTGACCTTCTCACTGCCGGATAGCAGTGACTGGTCCATTTCTTCGCCTAGGCCATTCGAACGTCAGCAGAAGCGCATTCTTGTCAACATGGCAACCGATCCAGCCAACGCCAATCGCACGGTCGACCACGGACCCGCTGCCGAGAACAAACAAGAGGCTGCGTCTTTCCGCAAGTTTTGGGGAGACAAGGCCGAACTCAGACGTTTTAAGGATGGTAGTATTCTCGAAAGCGTGGTATGGACAACCAAAAACACGACTGCCCCTGTATTAGAGCAGATCGTTCTATACATTCTAAGAAGACATATTGGTACACCCGTAGCAGACAAGGCTAAATTCATGAGCGACACGTTCGCTTCCCTTGTCCCGTCTGGTCGCATCCAGGGTCAATCCGGGGTTTCAGGATTCACGCCAGTTATGAATGCCTTGGCGGTTGTTGAGAAAGACATTCGTAATCTGGAGGGTCTCCCGCTGCAAATTCGCCATATCCGGGCGGCCGACGCGCAGTTGCGTTACTCATCCGTTGAACTACCGCAGAGTGCACCAGCATCTGTTGTACTCCGGTTTGAAGGATCTGCTCGATGGCCAGACGACCTATGCGCAATCCAGCGGACAAAGATTGCCTTCCTTCTCAAGCTTACCGAATTACTGCCCGCTGCGCAATCAGGTTATGTCACTCGCGTTGGCCTTGAAAACGCCTCGCAGCCATCGCAGAATCAGGCATACATTGACATAACTACACCGTCCGCTTTTACGTTCCGTCTTCGCATCCATCATGATCGCGAGGCTACTCTTCTTGAACGGCAGCTCAAAGACAAATGCTTGGATGCACAGTCCCGAGAGTCGGCCGCTGCAGGCCTTGCTCTATACAAGCGTGACTTTTTTCGAATTCCATCTCATACGCAGACGATGCAGACGCTATGCACTCGGTATCCAGCCCTTTCGCCTGCCATAAGGTTGACAAAACGTTGGTTTGCTTCGCACCTCCTCTCGCCTCATTTCGCACCAGAACTTATCGAGCTACTGGTTGTGCGGACCTTTTTGCAACCACATCCATGGGCCGTACCCTCATGCGCCACGACTGGATTTCTACGGACACTAGCATGGATTAGCCGGTGGGACTGGAGACATGTTCCCCTCATAGTCGACTTCTCTTCCGCCGCTTCTAGCGATCCGCCAGAATCTGCTAGTACTGGACCAAAAGGGATGAAATTCCAGGATGTTGAACAGATTCAGTTACGTTTTGAGGCATGGCGACGAATTGACCCCGCAATGAACCGTGTCGTGCTCTTTGCGGCCACAAGCATGGATACAGATGGCAATACGTGGACGGACAAGGGGACACCGGAGAAGGTCGTCGCAGCGAGGATGACAGCGCTAGCAACAGCCGCGACGAAGGCTGTTCGTGCTGCAGATGACCGTTTATTGTCCTCGCAGGACGGGGAGGACTTTGGCGACGATAGCACGTTCAGCCCGCAATCCCTTTTCGTCTCCCAAGCTCAGGACTACGACTTTGTCATCCAGCTTTCCCCAAAGTACGCAACGACGGAGAGGAAGAACCTGCAGCCCAGGTATAAGAATGTCGAAATTCAAAAGGCTATAGGCGATTGGCAAAACTCCGGAACCGAGCTTGCACGATTGTTCGTAGAAGACTTGCAGAACGTGTACGGTGATGCTATCCTCTTCTTCTACGATGCTGAATCACTGGATCGGATTGCTGGGTTGTTCAATCCGGTAGTCACAGGGCAAAGAGCTTGGAAGGTCAAAGCTGGGTGGAACAGCCTTCCGTTCAAGAGCCGAGACGAGAAGCGATCCGAAGTGATTGGGGAGAAGGAGGGTCGAGGAATGGACATTCAGGTCAACAAGGGCGCGATTTGTAACGAGATGCGGAGATTGGGCGGTGACCTGATTAGCAGGATTGATGTGAAGAGGTGATGTGCAGGCCTAGATCGAAATGTCTGCCAATGCCATAGTTTCTGCTCTCTTCCAGACAGAGATACAGCGCGGTCCAGTCAACGTGACCCCTGAAAAGGCACTGGGCACCTTTCAGAATCATGGATTACTCAAATCCTAAGAGTTCGTGCCAAGGTGCAAATGTCGTTAAGTCCTGGAGTTCCGCCGATTCCGGTGGCTGGGGTTCCCCACCACCCACTTCCCAGATTTCACTCTTCTCTTCCCGTGCACAAGAGGGCATCTATGGCCGACAAGCTACCAGCAATGGATCGCTCAACTCCCACACATTGTCCTTGCCTCTACCAGCGGTCTTGTCGATCGCAAGTACCACCCAATCCGTCGCCGACATGGTTGGGGTGACGCACCTCGGCAGTTGATCTAGCCCTGGAGCAGCCGTTCTCACGCCGAAGCCCGAGCCCGCACCTGACTAGACGGCGCATTTCATTGGCCTCCCCGCAAACCGCTGCTCCACAATTCCTCCGCTTGGGAGCTCGGCATGGAGAATCCTTGTGCGCCTGGAGCGCACCTTCGGCTGTGGATCGTCACCTCTGCGGGCAGCGCAACGCTGCCGACTTCCTCTACGTTGCTGAGGTCGACAGTGCTCACTTGCGCCGGTATATCCCCTTATCATGGCTACCGATGTCTTTCAGATCGTTCCGGAGCCGGCATTCGATGTGAGCGCTCCTGTGAGGCGAGGCGGGAGGACGAAACGTACGTATCGTTGTCGCCATTGCGCGCGCATCTTCAAGCGCAGCGAGCATTGCGCGAGGCATGAGAGGGTCCATACGCAGGAGAAGCCGTTCCCTTGTGCGTTTTGTGACCGGAGATATGCGAGAAAGTCCGTAACCTATCCGTCAAGTGTCCGTGGCACTCTACGACGCCAGTCGCTAACATTATTACAGAGACCTGGTCAAGAGGCATGGTGAGTGTCTACCGACTCACGAATGTACGTGATGCTTCTTCGAAACTCGCTGACCTTCATAGAGCGCACGCTCCACGCTGAAGAATACCGTAAAGCACATCCGGAAGAGTTCGGAGCGAGCTCGATTCACGAGAACAGCGTGTCTGGTGAGGACGAATATACTGCGTCTTCCAACGCCACCCAGCGTCCTGTGTCGCCGCTGACACCTCCTACTGATATCAATCCCAACCACGCAAACGACCTCCCGGGACTCAGTCACGTCATCAATATTGACCCAGATTTCGCACACGCTGTGCAGACCCCTTCGGGATTCTCGCCACCTCTGTCTGCAAATGAGGAGTCACGCGGCTTGCTGGATCATTCATTGGGCAATCCAGCCACCCCGGCCTGTTTTCCGCTCGATATAGGTTTGCAGTCCACCCAGATAGCCACGCTGTCTACCCCGTACGCATTTGAATTAGGAGAAGTCGGTTTCGGATCACCCCACAAGCGACGGCGAATTGAAATAGATCCACGGTTGATGACAGATCCGGCGCCTGTGGAAGTTTCGATGCATCACCCACCAGCGTACTCTTCGGCCAATGTTACCTGTACCGATGCTATAGACCCAGCTCTAAATGATGTTCATTTTTCCCAAGCATCGGATCGGCGACAGTCCTTCGAATGCGACGTTCCCCCAGTGCCGTTTTGGGACATATCGGCCCATTGTTCAGCGTTTTTCGAGACAGATATCTCTGCTGCAATCAGATCAGGGCACAATACGCAAACCCAAGGGGTCGCGCCCCAGGTGCGAAGAGAAAGGTACCCCAAACCGCCGGAATTCAGGTTTGACGAAGAGATCTACGCCAAAGTCTGCGAGGACGCCAGATCAAGAATGGAATCGGGCCAACTCTCTGAAGCACTCCTGCCTACGGTGAACGATCTCGATCGCTTCTTTTCAGGCTATTTAGAGTGTTTCCACCCTCACTTTCCCATCATCCACTTACCCTCCCTTGATTTGAGGGAAACGCCAAGTCCGTTGATATTCGCCATGTGCAGTATCGGAGCACAGTACCGTCTTTCCAGGCAGAAGGCCAAGAATCTGTTCGCTCTTGCTGGCACTATGAGCTCTTATGCTCTCCGTGCAGGGTTGCCAATCCTTTGTGGGACTCCAAAGCCGGTTGCTCTATGGATCATGCAGACACGAGTACTGCTTTCGCTGTGTGGAATGTTCAGCGGGAAAACCAGCGTTGTTTTACGGACGGTGGAGAATCTCGGTCTATTTGCGATCGACTACCGGCTACGGACATCGCTCTTGACTCACACTTCCGACGGGCATCTTGCGTGGGAGCCATGGGTCAGTCGAGAGTCGAGCAAGCGGCTACTCTGCGGGATGTTCATCGTGGTACGTACGCATACTACACACGCTAGCATGTCTCGGTTACCCCTGACTGAAGAAACTCTTTCTTGGAGGTCTTCAGCAGGTGAAGACTTGGCATGCTTGAAAGTGGTCTTTAATACAGGCCATTTGCTAATCTAGATTCGCAGTCTAACCTCATATCAACAACCTTTGGAATAACTCCTGGATTCTCCCATATCCACGACTTAGAATTCGAGGTCCTCGATGAGGAGAGGCTCTGGAATGCTCGAACCGCGCAGGAGTGGATAGACCTGAGAGGATCGAACGTACTTGGAAAACGGCCCACCGTTCGTGAAACCTTGTCCTATGTGGTTTCCGACGAGCGAAGTCGCAACGGCAGCCCACCAGAAGAAATATCCGGCCTCACTATGCTTCTGATAATGCACGCCGTCAATATTCACATGGGGAGCTTGCGGCAGGTAATGAGTCTCTCTGGAGGCATGAACTCAGAGCACTCGCCGCTTCCAACAGTTCATTCCATACTCTTGGAAGACGCATTTTCTACCCTCGCGAAATGCCACGAAATCATCAGCAACACACGAGAAAATGGAGATCAAACGGCAACATGGACTGAAGCCGAAGGCCCACTTATGTTCAACTGCCAAGGCCTCCTGTTGATGTCCTTCATGAGACTCTTCTCAGATACTAGCGCGTTTAACCGGCTAGCATTGCTCTCCGATAACTCGGATGATATTGCATCTGCCGTTCGATCGTATACGGAAGCACCACAGTGGCGGAGCCCAAACTTGACGAAGGTAGTCAGGAAAGCGTACGAAAGGCTGCTAGCGACCGTGCGCATCGGACATCTGCTACTTAGGAAGACCGCAGCACTGAGTTGGAGCCTTGAGCACGCTGTTGCCGGATGGGATGCAAGTAAGTAACTGAATTCTGCTTATGGCAGTACTTAGCTGACCACTGTGCAGCATTACTCCTCACCAAGTGGATTCATACTATGGAAACGGATACGCTTGTTGACCCGCCAGATGTCGAAGAGCTGGAGATCCTCGATGGGCTGAAACAGCTCCTAGCGGAAACAGACTCTGAATATGGTGGCAATTCTCTCGCTGCCGCTGTCGCCCATTTCTGCTCGACTACTCTGAACGATGTCTGGGTTTGGGGTGTTACACCGAAGATGGGAAATCTTCTCCAGCAGCTGGCACTTGCGTACGAAGAGCGGCATCAAACTCTGCAACTGGGGCCCTTCGGATACGTCGTCAATTAAGGAGGCGGTTGATCAAAGCTCTTAGGGATATCTACTCTATTGCGATTGCGGGTTACGGTACACCTCTATATCCCTTCAGCGCTTCAGCTTCTCCAGAAAATCCAGAAAATTGGCCTGACACTTCTCCGGCTGCGTAACGTAAATCTCATGCCCCGGCCCTTCGATAATCTCCAACCTGGCCCCCGGAACTTGCTCCGCCAGCTTCTTCTGTTCCTCCACGCTAGTCGCGGCACTCTGGCTAGGACCTAATATCAGCATTGGCACCTTGATCTCACTCAAATACGGCCGTGCATCCAGCGTGGACAGAAACTCAGCATACTGCGCTAGACCCTCGCCAGAGCTTGTGCTGATGGTCTCGAGGTACCAGGGAAGATAGTCCGGGTCGGAGATAGGGATCGTGCCGGGGATTTTGGAAAGCGCTTCGGCCCAGCCTCGGGAACCCAGGATGCGGCAGGCGGTTGGCCAGTCGGGGTGGTTGAAGGCGAAGAGTTTCAGAGCTGGTGGTGGGAGGTGGGTTGGCGTTGAGCAGACTGTCAGCGAGTGTAGTCGCTCTGGATATCTTTGCCACAAAAGTTAGCCTTGTTCAACACTGCTTTAGAAGTGCTTCAGAGAGAGCATTGTAGGTAGTCACCTACTTCGCTGCCATTATCTCGCCCAACATCCCACCCGTACTCTCGCCTAGAAAATGCACCTTCTGCACGCCCAGCTGATCCAGCGTATCCACTATCTCTCCCAATATCGTGTCCATATTATATTCATATTTCTCGCCTTCTCGGGGGTAGCTGGAGTAGCCGTGACCGCGCAGATCCCGCCGGATTACGCGGTACTTCCGCGACAGGACGGGAATCCAATGGTACCAGAACTTTCCGTGGCGCCCGAATCCATGCTGGATTAGAATTGTTTCGTGGGGTTTCCAAGAATCGGTGAAGTTGTTTGATATGTAGTGCGAGCGCTGGCCGTTGGGATGGCGGACGTAAGTACGGCCGGCAGAGTCGCGTTCGAGCGGCATGGCTGCCCTACTTCGAAGCCTAGGTATGTTGGGTGTGTAAACGTCTCTGGTTGATGAAGGTTTGAATTCGCAAGTTTGTTTTATTTCCAACGCCTTTGCTGTATTGACTAGCCAATGGTTCCCCGCATTGCCCCACAATCTAGGAATGCTGCTCTCAAGAAGCCTGTGCCACACTGTTATCTAGCCACTCAGTCCGAGGATTCAAACACGATGCGGTTCGCAACACTGTTCGGCCGAGCACTTCGGGGGCAATGGAGGGGGGTGGTTTGGGAAAGAAGAGGGAGCTCTATTTAGGTTGAAGGAGGGAGGGAAGTTGGATCTTGATGAGTTGAGTGCGGCATTCGTTCCTGGGCTGTAGATAGACGACGATGCAAGATCGTTAGACATGGTTGAGCATAGTGCAGGGCTTTAGACACAGTGATGTATTATCTTGACCCGCTTACGAGCTATATCCAGCCTTCTCAGGCACCTTCGCATACGCCTCATCCCAAATGCTCAAGCTCTCCGTCCCAATCCATTTCTGGCTCTCATTCGCCCACTCCACCGGCTTCCTAAAGTAGATTGTATCTTGACTCAGTTCCACAGTCTCCCCGCTCATTGCATCATCGCCCAAAAACGCATCAATAGCTTTAATAGCGGTCGACATCGGCGTGATATGCTCCTTCGGCCAGACCTTCAGGATCTGCGGCGGGCAGAGGTTCGTGGGTATGAAGCCGGGGCAGATCGCGTTCACCGTAATACCCTCCTTAACCATGACGGGGCCAGCAGCGCGCACGAAACCCACAACGCCGTATTTCGACGCTGTATACAGCGGGTTCTGCGTCATGAAACTATCCCAAGTCAGCACTCCCCATCTCAAAATTCACCGCCGAAGCCCTCCAGGAACGACTCACTACAACCCGGCTGCACTACTCGTCGCAACAAACTTCCCCTTTCCCCCACCCGCCTCCTTGCTCCTCCTAACGTAATACTTAAACAACCACAGCCCCTGGATCACCGCCTCGAGATTGACCTGCATGCTCTTCGTATTCAGCGGCTTCACCAGACCCTCCTCATCCACCTCCTCTTTCTCCATCGGGTCATACAGCAGCTGCCTGTCGTCAATCCCAGCATTTGCATGGCAGAAGTCGAGCCGGTTGCCGCCCCATTCGTAGGCGCGCTTGAATAGGCGGGCCTGCGAGGCGTATGACGCGACGTCGACTTGAACGAAGAGCGCGTCTGGGCCTAGTGAGCGCGCAGCTTCCTCGCCTGTTTTGGGGTTCAGGTCGGCGATGACGACTTTGTAGCCTTTGCTGTAGAGGTGGGTGGCTACGCCGAGGCCTATGCCGGAACCGGCACCGGTGACGATGGCGACGGGTTTGGACATGTTGACGGGCCTTCGGGTTGGGTTATCGTTCGATGGTCAGGTCATGTCAATTTGGAGGTGACGGAGCTCGCTAGATAGAGCGAGACTGACTTGGGTTGCAGCCATTGCGGCTCTGGCTGGGCTGGTGGTTTCCCGCATCGTGCAGGCGGGAGTTGTGTGGAGATGCAGAGTGACCCCACATTGGGACGGAACTGTACCGCACGCCCCTCACTTAACCCTTTTTGATATGTGCGGGGTAAGGACGCTCTCGGAGCAGGGGTTTGGGGTAACACAACAGACGCCATACCTCACCATCTGCTCCCAAGTCGAACTACAGGTCTCACCATTCTGTTACGTACCTACGATGCCGTCGCCGAAAGAAATCGAACAGGCGCACAAGACCCTTTTCGAAGAAGGCATCAAAATTCGGCGGGAAGTCGCTGGAGACGCCTACGTGGACGCGTCATTGAAGAGGCATTCTTCGGAATTCTCCAAGCCTTTACAAGATATCGTGACTGGCGTCGGATGGGGATGGATATGGAGCAGACTCGGGCTGGATCGCAAGCAGAGGAGCTTGATTAATCTGGGGATGTTGTGCGCCCTAAACAGGAGCACAGAGCTAGGCGTACATGTCAGAGGTGCGCTGAGGAACGGCGTTACCGAGGTTGAGATTAGAGAGACGCTGCTTCAAGTAGGAGGGTATTGTGGATTGCCAGCCGGTAAGTAGCATTCAGAAAGTTTCATCTAGGCTGGGTACTGACGATGATTGGTAGCGATTGAGGGGTTCAGAGTGGCCGAAAGGGTCATTGAGGAGTACAAGAAAGAGGAGGCACAAGTCAAGTCAAAGCTTTGAGACACTTTCAATTCTCTGAAGAACCTGAGGTTCTATAATTAAAAGTCGATCCCCTCCTTCTCCGCCTTCGTGAACTCTTCCCTCATGATCCCCTCATGCTTCGCAGACCTTGGCGTAATCTCGCACTCGAACGGTATTGGAACGGAAAAGAAACCCTTAATCATTTCTTGCGTCGGCTCAATCAACTTCCCATCTGGTCCCTTCTTCTTGCTGATATTGAAACCCCACAACACTCGAGAAATGTTGATATACAAAGAGCGCTCCGCAACATGAACTCCGGGGCATACTCGCCTTCCTGCACCGTACGCGAAGTGGTCGCGCTCGTAAGGGTCCGTGGAATTGATGTAGTCGGCGGCGGAGAGGGGCTTGTCAAGATATCGAGAAGGGTTGAAGTCATCGGGGTTCTTCCAGATCTTCGGGTCACGGTGGATGGCCCTGGATGTTTCTCAGCCCTGCTTGATTGTAGAAATTTTGCCAACTTACCACCAGTTCAACACCGCAACGGACCCTTTTGGAATGAAGTGACCCTCATACCAGTCATCTTCCGATGTCGCATGTGTCATACCGAACTTATTCGCTGGTCGCCACCTTAGAACTTCCTTGATCAGACTCCGGACATAGGGCAAATCTTTCTCATCTTCCCAATCTGGTAAACGATCCTGCCCAACCACTCTATCTAGCTCTTCTTGCGCCTTTTTCTGGGCTTCTGGAAATAGCGTCATGCACAGCATGAAATTGTTCAACGCGGTCGCGGTCGTCTCCGAGCCTGCTTCAATCAGACCGCCACAGGTATATGCAGCCGCCAAGTCGTCAATTCCGCTCTTCGCGGGGTCGTTGAGGTAAAAGGTCTTAGTAAAACAGTTTCGAGCCTCGCCGCTATCCGTTTCGCGCTTGAGACGGTTCCAAAGGTCGAGATATACCTTGCTGTCGTGCGCGAATGCGCGTTTTCCATGGGTCCGCCAGTTGCCCAATAGCCACTCCGGGAGGAACGTAAGGGAAGGAAAGCTGTCGATCGCATACGCACCAGGAGCCCTGTGCTATCTTAGCATTCTTCATTTATGACCTAGGAAGTCGTATGGACGCACGTCATGTCGGTAAAGTTTTCGAGAACAGTGTATATCTTCTTGATGAGTGGATCCTCCCACGACGGTATCCGATAGCCGTATGTTACTAGCATGATTACGCTTGCGCTATACCTCCTATTCATCATGTAAAAATCCTTCGGGCTGTTTAAAAAATCCACCAGCAACTGTTTGCTTTCGAAGTTCTGGACGGGTTGATACTTGACGCTCGTGGTCAGGTTCAGTAATGCATGGCTGTGCTTTCGAATCGATCGCCAGCGAGGTCCATAAGGCATGAAAAGCTGTCGCCGTCCTGCACTCATTACATCCTGTGCTAAGGGGAAGGGGGCGCGTGAGGAGTAGACGCTAGACTTCTTATCCATGAGATCCTTCACGATTTTGGGCGAGGAAAGCCAGACATAGTCTGTGCCACCGATCTTCGTGTAAAACAGGTCACCGTATTGCTTGTGCCATTCGGTCACTTTGCCGCGAACCGTCTCGCTGTCGGCGAAGTCGAACATGTTGCCCACGAAAGGAAGGCCTTTAGGGCCGGGCGGAAGCTTGCGTCTGCGCGGATCCTAGCTAAATGTCAGCCGGTAGAAGGCAAGCGCATCTCTAATGAAATATACCTTGAAGACATTGGGAACGAGGTAGAAGTACACTGTCGCGCTTAGGAGAAACGGCGTAGAAGCGAGTAGGACGAGCTTCAAAAGGAAGGGCGATACAGGCAGGCGTTGCAGTGTGTCCAGGGCCGCCATAGCGACGAAGCAATCGCGGTTGAAATTCTAATGAGATACGTAAGTTTCGAGGCCGAAAACTTGAAGATAATCAAATGGGAGGGATGATGTCTGAGCAGCTTTCATATGCCAGAAGTTGATTAGCGTGCCAGTTGAAGGTTGGGGAGCTGCTGCCCCTGCTCATGGACGCCCCTCATGCTTCCCCGCAACGTGAATTGCCCCACACCACATCTCTTCCGCCAGCTCGATTGGTCTGGAACGAGATTGCCACAGTAGAGGCCCTTCAAGCCCTGCAGTTCTGGAGAACATCCGAAAGGAGATGCGAAATGCCAGGAAAAGTTTGTGGGGTGAAGGTGTCAAGGAAACATGTCTGCGTGGGATGGCTAGAGATATGTCGAGCCTTCTAGAGGAATGTGGGAAGCAAAAGATCAGTCACCGCCATTTGCGCATGATATAGAAAAAGAAGACGACTGAGAGTAACGTATTCTAGAACCTGAGACGTGGTGTTGTGTGGTCGTCACGGGGGAGTGGTCTGATGTGGCGATCGTCGGCCGGTCCCGCCAGAGCATGCGATACCACAGTACATGCGCACTGCCACAGGCCCGGAAAATCGCATCCAGCTCGTGAAAGAAGTAGTGGGACTCGTGGGGGTCTGTTCCGCGAGCGTGATGAAGCAGCGCCCTGAAGTCAAGAGAAGATGTGAAGTCGATAGAATTCGGGAGGCGATGAAATCGCATCCTTCACGCAAAAGCGCAGTCACCCTACCAGTCGCCCTCTGATTGGCTGAGTGCGCAACCGTGCCACCCTTCCTTTCTATCAATTTTATCAATCGATAAGCCAAATGAAGGCTGCTCAGCTGCCTTCGCAAGTGATCAGCGGTCTTTGCAGCTTTGTTGAGCGGTGAGGCGTCCTTTCGCTGCCACAGAAGCTTCGAGCCAAGGTGGCGCCACACCAGAATCTGTCGACTTGTGACTTGACCATAGCCCCCAAACAACACCACATCGCATCTGCAATCTCGTGATTGTTCGTACTAGTGATATTTTTCGCATGCAACGTAAGGAGACAACACTTTTTCTATCTTAACTTTCCTATATAAGACCCTCAGCTATGGCGATGCTTCAGCCTACTTCTTCCCATCACCAGCACAAACCACAAGCACATCGAAAGCCAATCGGTTCAACTACCCACCACTCATCGACATCAACATCAGAATTTCGGTTCGACCAAATCCAAACATCCAATCAATGACGGGCCACGAAGATCAAAAGCACGCTGGCTCATGCTTGGGCCACTGCCGAGCCCAACGACTCGCCATGGACTACTACTGCTCTGAGCAGTACGAGAAGGAGAAGGCTGCTATCACATCCTACGAGGAAGGCTGGGACCGCTGGGACGGGCCTGTCTGGCCATGGCGACATACGAACCAACTCGAAGTCCAAGAGGAGCACTGGCAAGGGTGCTGCTGCGAGGAGGAGCACGAGGAAACAGGTATGTCTCATGCGGTCGACGTACACAGCGTCCATGGCTAACAGCTTCCGCAGCAGAAGCACTGCCAAAGCCGAGCGATGCTCAGCAGCATGTGCGATCGTCGAGTTCCGCCAGCAACAGCAGCGCAAGTACTGTGAGCTCAGGGCTCTGGAATCTCAGGGCCCGGTCGCCATGCTCGGTATGTGGAAGAACAGGAGCGCCGCCCCATCTTTGAATGGAGTTAGCTTCGAATTTCTCCTCTTCGCGTCATCGTCGGCGGTCAAAGCCCGACGTTCAGGGCATCAACCGGCTAGATTGGGATAATGGCGTTTTGGGACATCATAGTCATGTGCGGTCATGGCTGGAGAAGATTAGATATTAGAATTAATGGGTCACCGTACCTTCATGCCTTTTAGAATTGCCTTGGCTCCGATCTCGTGCATGTTCGCTCTTAGCCTACAGATCATTTTGCGTGATTCCATCCTGTAGGCCATTGCGTCCTATTAGGTCGAATCAGCTCACACTACCAAAGCCGCTGAATGACCCACTCATTCGCGAGTCCATCCTTGGAGAGCGAACTTGAGAGCTCAATTCACAATCACTGTTCGGCGAAGGTTGCCTTCGCGAAGGGAGTCGTAGGCCGGAACGTCGGCAAGTCGGACACTTCAAAGGTTCCATGCCCCGCGCGCGTGTGAACGCGTGGAGAAGATGACGGAAAAGCTCCCAGGCGCAAGTTTTGATACTGTGTCGAAATGTGTTTGAGAGAGGAGGATGCGGCGTCCAGAGACACGGAGAGAGTTACCGCAGACCTACGAAACCGAAGCTCGGACCACTGACAGGTCTCGGCGCTCACCACGTGACAAATATATTCTGTCGGAACCGCATCGGGGACGGGGAAAGGCCCTGCTCAAAAGCTCCAGGCGCCCGACCATGACTCGGCATCAAACCCAACCCCACGGCACAGCACACACCCAAAATCTGTCCTTCTCCGTCAGAAGGACCTAATATTATCGCAATTAAGCCCTCTTTGGTCCAATTGCGTCTTTATCAATCCTCCGCCTTACCTACTCGCCTTGCAGTCTCTTCCCTGGTTACGATTCTACAAGCCTTCCTGGTTAAGCACGTCGTCGCTGTGCCGCTTTCCATCGCCGCATTCAGCTGGCAGCCATGGACGCAGCCGACAAAAAGCTCTCGGTTCTGTCTAACGGCAGCGAGGACTTCTCCGTGCAGCGGCAGAGCATGCTCTTGCGTGAGCTCGAACTGCTCCTGGATCTGAACCCGAGGGAATTGAGCTCGAGTCTCTTGGCGCTTCCACGAGAGCTCAGAGATCATATCTTCGACTTTGTCTTACCAGACACCCCCGATGACAGCCGACCGGAACTTCACACATGTTTATGGGGAGCGGATATGACGCATGAGCCATGGAGACATGATATCTTCGGATATGGGCACCTAGTGCCGAAAGAGCAGCGGTTGCATCCAAAGCTCCTCCTCATCAATCGGCAACTGCGCAACGAAATCCTGCAGAACTATTTTCGCAGAAGCAAGCTCACACTTCACGCCGAACTTCGAAACTCGCGAGGGAACAACTGGCATTTCGACTACTCACCGCACATTCTGCAGCTTCCGATGCTCAAGTTCGTTACACACGTCCGGTTCTACGTTGAATGGAATTACACCATCCTCTCTAAGAACGACCGAATCGAAGATCAAGTAAGAATGACCAAGGACCTCATGCAAGCTGTGGACACTCTGCTAGCGCCACTTCAAGCCGTGGAGAACATCGAGCTATCCGTCCTTTTCTTCTGGAGATTTCGATCAGGGAAATACTACCCTCTTTCGATGCAGGATCTGTTCGACCTGGAAGACGTCTTCAAACGGCACGCGGAGTCTCGCTGGCTGCGCATTCTACGAACCAACAAGTCCACCGTCACCTCTCCGAATCCCTCTGCTGGCGTTGGGTACAAGCTCTCTTCGGAAAACAAGGGGACTGAGCAGAGTGGCGGAATGGAAATCTTCGTGTCGCAGGATTTGGAAGATGCGATGCGACTCCGGCGAAAGAGTGATGTGGATTTCTATGGCAACTATGGCATCTCAGATCCTCTACCTCAACCATCGTACGAGCATGGAAAGATGATTTGAATCAACCTGCATTGACGCAGAAGGAAGGGTATGGCACGCCGCCGGCAGTCGAGTTTCTCAGGTGACTGCGATCTCTAGACGGCTATTTTACAACATAAGCGAATTACGATTTTATTCAAGTATGACCCTTCCAAGAGCACCTCCATAGTCAAATCGATGGCCATCTAAGCTCCAAATCCTGCGACTCTTCCGAGGAACGCTGAAACAAGGTCCTCAGGCACCTGTTTTCCAATTCCCGGTGACTATTTGTAACAGCTCTCTCACCAGGGTTTCTCCCCTCGGCTCCAGCGCCCCTAATCTCCACCGGCCTTGGTACTCTTCGAAGAGGGATCATACATGCATAGGTGCAATATATCCCGCTTCCCTTAGGACCGCGACCAGGATATCCAGAGGACAACCACTTGAGAGCCTCGTGAAATTTAGTCCCACACCATGCGAATCTTCAGTATAGACATAAGAACATATAGTCCTTCTGCTAGCTGGGTATGCACATCCGCCCCATCAAGGCCTATCTTATGCTGACTCCACTTTAGATGTCATTTACATCTCAGAAATGTGCATATATTCCCACATGCCGCCCCAGACGGTCACTGGGAATCAGTGCCCCATTCTCGCAACAGCGGGAATGGGGCTCGTACGTTTGACCATATTTTCTCTGCTTGCTGCAATTGCGCAAGACAGCGCGATCAGCAGGGATGGCTCTGCACTGAGGATCACTGCGGAGGGAAAGGATTGCTCTTGCAGATGTTACAATAGATGATGGCTACTGGTCTTCCACCGAATCATGGCCCAAACTCAAAGACACCGTAGCTGGCAACCTGCTGGCAGTTATTCCGATCGGCGACGTCTGCTACAGACCTTTGAGGCAGGCCAACCCTACAATGCCCAGCAATGCGCGCAGGTCACCGCGAATATGCACCTTGGATGTAAGAGCTACCTTTCCAGAGAATAAACCTCTCATTACCGACGAGAAACACCGGCAAAAATCCGGCACATGTTATGTGGCCCTTCTATAAAAATAACACGTGCGATGCAGCAGCAGATAAACAGGAGCAAGAATGCACAAGAGGCTACTATCCTGACTCATCACGGCGAAATCGAAGGAGCACATCATTTTCGGCGTGAACATCGCTCGAGGAAGCAACATCCGCCTCGTTATCCGAAACAAGCAGCTGACAGCAGCGGAGAGAATGTCTGCAGAGGGCACCGTGACGTATGAGCTGGGACACCCGCGGAAGGATGCGAGCCCCGATTCTGCCAGCTATGTGAATGAAGGAGACGTCAATGAGCCGGATTGGCAGGAGAGACATTGGGGGTCGCACTATCCCAAGCGACTCGAGATCAAGAAGAAGTGTGACCTTGAGGGAGTGTTCTATGCGAAAGCTACACCGGGAACGGAGAATTGGGAGCTAGATGGCAAGCTCTGTAAGAAAAGGCGTGAGTACGTATTGAGCGCAGGAGGGACTTTGGACGGGCCAGTTACTAAGCTAACCCACCTTATCTTCACATCCTGAAGCCATTCACGATTAACATTCCAGCGCCACCGAGTCAAATAAACTCATCGGTGGAAATAGCAATATACAAAGATCGCCCTCTGAGACACTTCAGCCCTACGCTCTCGTCTCGCGCGGCCCGCATACACGTCAGCACACTCGCGCAGGGCCTGAAACCTGGACAATGGAAACCCCAACTGCCCGTCACGCATCTCCCAACTCTCGCCGAACCTCACATCACGAGGTCCATACCGCTAGCCAGGGTCCTTCTCACGCTTTCAAAATACCATCCTTCAGGCTTTCGGCTCAATGTGCTGCTGCTCCGCGGACCAGCCTAGCCATGCGTATTCCCGGCGCGGGGCGCGCTACGCATGCACCTCGGCCGAGGCTAGCGATCCTATCCGCACACTTTTGTGGAGCTTGACCTTGGGTGTTTGACCGCCCAACTGGTTCTTCGTGCAAAAAGAAACCCGAGAGGGGTGGCCCACGGGGATGGGGCCCCGAAATGCTGCTGCTGTGCGACTTCGGCAGGTGTGTGCATTTGTGGGAATTGGAGGGAGGCGCGCGGTGTGGCGCTTTGGGTGGATGCAGTGGGCTAAACGAAGACTGGGGAACGAGCGCCGGGAGGTTCGTTTTGAGGGCTTTCCGGACGATCGGTATGATGCCATGAAATCCCTACAGTATGCTCTGCCATCATGAGCCGCCCCTCCAAACGCCTAGCTTAGGGCGGGGACCACAGGTCAAGCACCTTTTCTTACCCACCATCCTAAATCTCAGCAACCAAACCCCTGCCGACGACCTTCTTAGTAGACGCCTTAAAGAGCGGTGACTCGCACAATGTGGCTTGATATGGCGGACTTTACGGTGTTAGGTGCCCATGCGGGTGCATCTTTCGTCGTAGCGGCAGAGCCGGCTAACCCATGACCACTAACGCCTGTGGAGCCCAGGTAGGTACCTTCTCGTTATTAATAATGTTATCCCTCCTTCTCTACGGCTGTTGATAGGGCTGCCTGTCTTCCCTTTCAGCTCTCTTCCCCTCATTACGCCCATCCCCTCTCGATCACGCAGTCGTCGTCGATTCCTGACAGCCAGCTCTTCCTCGTCCCTCCCCAGCTTTCAGACCGGTCGATTCGAGCGCGGTTCTTAAGCCCAGGTATTCCGGTGGAGATGCGCTGAGAAAGTCTTTTTCGGAACTCCGCAGTACTCGTCCCACAATTTCCTAAACGGGAAACCGCATAATCTGCACGTTAATAAACAGCCGCCACATCTTCCAAAAAGAACTACCGTTCGCATAGCGTCATCTCCTCATCATGGGCAAAGACTCCTTGTATCAGCACCCAACAAGAAGTGAAATTATCGAACTGGCTGTAGCCGAGGGTCACGATGCAGACATCCCCAGCAATGCAGGATCCTTAGGCCATCTCCCGAGCAACTCGCCGGCGCCGCCTCAGAAACACCTGCGCGATAAGGACGACCCGGAGAAGCCAGCGCCGCTATTTATGGACAAGGATCTCGAAAAGGATCTGGAGAAGGGCGAGCGGCCGGAATCAGTGTCCAGTGAAGAGGAGGAAGTCGTTGAGGAAGTAAGCGAAAATGATCCGAATGTAGTGTGGTGGGATGGCCCCGACGACCCTCAGAACCCGATGAACTGGCCGTTTCCCAAGAAATGGGGTACCGTGATACTCGTCTCGGCCATCACGTTCCTTACGCCGTTGGCTTCGTCGATGTTTGCTCCAGGCGTGCCAGAGGTTATGCAGACTTTTCAATCGACGAATGATATGCTGCAGGGCTTCATGGTGTCCGTTTACGTGCTAGGCTTTGCTTTTGGACCGATGAGTATGATCTTCCTTCGATCAATGGTCCCTGAGATGCTAATCATCGCAGTCATCGCGCCACTGTCTGAGATGTACGGTCGGCTACCGTTGTATCACAGCTGCAACACTATGTTCGTGGTATTCTGTATCGCGGCCGCCGTGTCTTCGAATATGGGCATGTTCATTGTTTTCCGATTTTTCATGGGCTGCTTTGGAGGCGCGCCTCTGGTGCTGGGTGGTGGAACGATTGCGGACTTAATATCCCGCGAGCAACGCGGAACCGCCATGGTCGTCTGGATGATGGGACCAACAGTAGGACCTTGTGTCGGCCCTATCATCGGCGGCTTTCTCACTGCCGCGCGTGGCTGGCGATGGAACTTCTGGTTCGTTGCCATCTTGGTACGCTGCAGCACCTTCCCTGACATAAACTTTCGCGACTAATCCGCTCACTCAGGCCGGCGCCTTCACCATGATGTCCATGATCCTCATGAACGAGACGTCTGCGCCAATAATCCTCGAACGCAAAGCCAAGCGCCTCCGCGCCGAGACAGGCAACTTAAAACTCCGCTCGAAGCTCGCCAGCGACCTTTCTCCGCGGGACCTCTTTACATTCTCTATCGTGCGTCCTGTGAGGATGCTCACGCGCTCGGCGATTTGCGCTGCAATGTCCGTTTATGTGGCTATCACGTATGCGTACCTTTATATCCTCTTCACTACGTTTACGGCCGTGTTCGAGAACCAGTACCACTGGCACGGCGGCATGGTAGGCCTGTCCTTCCTGGGTCTGGGCCTGGGTTCCCTGATCGGCCAGTTTGTCTTCACGCGCTACGGGAACAAGACTGCGAACAAGCATCTCGCGCGCGGAGACTTCAAGCCCGAGCACCGGCTCTACATCATGTGTGGAGGCGGCTTCTTCCTTCCCGTCGGCCTGTTCTGGTACGGATGGTCCGTGCAAGCGCAGACTCACTACATGGTCCCTATCGTGGGCACTGGAGTCATTGGATTTGGCCTAGTACGTTCATCCTTAATACCCCCTGCCGAGGTTTGACTACTACATACTTACCACGACCAACAGCTTATGACCTTCATGCCCGCTAACGTCTACCTGGTGGATGTTTTCACGGTGCACGCGGCCAGTGCGATGGCGGCGAACACCGTGCTGAGGAGTTTGTGCGCTGCGCTGATTCCGCTGAGCAGCCAGAAGATGTATGCGGCAATGGGGTACGGGTGGGGCAATAGCTTGCTCGGTTTCGTCGCCTTATTCCTGGTGCCGATTCCGTTTCTTTTCCTGAGATATGGGGAGCGCATCAGGATGAGGAGTACAGTGAATCTGTAGGGTAGGGGAGCTGAATACATGCAGGGGTCAAACGCTGGAAAGTGACATCCTCGTTAGCCCAAAAGTTATTGAAGCCCTTAAGGATCGGCTGTCCTAACTCGCGGTTCCCTTTTTGAAGCCGGAGTATCGCTCCAGTTGTTCACGGATGGGCTATGAGTCGGCGAAGATTCACTGTCAGAAAGACATGACTCGTGCAGTCCGGACCTCGCACGCTTTTTCCACCCCACTATTTCCGGCCCTTGCGAGCGCGGGGTATCAATTCGCCTACGTAGTGGCGCCATAAGCAGAGAGCAAGTCGGGCCATTGACGAATCGCATTTGCTGGACGGCGGAATACTGCATCTGGTAGGTATCTGCTCCTTGCCCAACAACGCTATCAAATCCGTCGTGTGGCTATCCACATATTCCTTCAACAAACATTCCCTTACTCAAAATCTCCCCCTGTCTCGGAAGCGCAAATCAAAGAAACTTTTCCATTCCTTCTCTAACACATCCACGTCCAGACTTCGCCATGTCTTCCTCCCCACTCCCCTCGTCCAACACATCCCTAACCTACACGCAACCCTCCACCCCACCACACCTAACCCACTCGCCCCTTGCAAACCCCTCTCCCAACGAACTCCTCATCCGAGTCCACGCCGCAGCCATAAACCCCGTCGACATCCAGCTCTGGAACAACGTGCTCATCGGGCTCCTCGCGGGCCGCAAAGAAAAAGGCATAGGCAGAGACTACGTGGGGGAATCGTTGCCGTCGGCAAAGTCTTGCAAGGGAAGTGGGAAGTTGGCGAGAAGGTATTCGGGCTGGTTAGTCGGCCGGTATGCCACTCTACGCATGCTGGGATGGGAACGTCGGAACTAACGAGCAGCGAGCGCATAGACAGGCGAAGGGACCTTCGCCCAGTATCTCTCCGTCAACGCCTCCACCGACCCCATTGCACGGAAACCGGCATGCTGGTCCTACGAAGAAGCCGCTGCTGTCCCGCTGGTTGTCCTAACACCATTCGCCTGTCTGGACTGGCTACCCCCTGAGAACGAGCACAATAAAAAGAGACGAGTCGTAGTAACGGGTGCGAGTGGAGGCGTGGGCATGTGGTGCGTGCAGCTAGCCAAAAAGCTGTACAACTGCCATGTTATCGGCATCTGCTCTGGGCGCAACGCAGATTTTGTGCGCAGAATGGGCGCAGACGAAATCATCGATTACACTGCGCAGAATGTTGCGCAGACATTGCTGGACGGGCGGCCGGGAGGGAGAAAGTACGATTTGTATATCGACTGCGTGGGCGGCGTGGAGATGTTCAGGTACTGGGTAAGTGTCAAAACAGCTTTCTGGCTTACACGGGTCAATTGCTGACATACCCGCCCCAGCATGATCTCCTCCACAAAAACGGCGCCTACATAACTATCGTTGGCGACAAAACAAGCCGCACAGCCATGGGTGGGCCTTTCACCTACCTTACCTACCCTTCACAGATACTTCATTTCCTCTACGGCTACCTGTTCGGTCCGCGGTACGCTAATGTGATCCTGTATCAAAAAAGCGAACTACTAGAGAAGACGGTGGAACTAGCGGAGAAGGGCCGAGTGGAGGTCGTGGTGCAGGAGGTAGTGAACGGGATTCTGAGCGAGGAAGAGTATAAGGAAGCATGGGAAAGGGTCCGCAGGTTAATGGAAGAGGGAAGGGTTAGGGGGAAAGTCGTTGTGAGCAATGGATAGCCGAGGCGGGGAGTGGGTTTGGTGTGTATGATTAGATAATGTGAGGTAAATTTAACGCCTTGAGATGCCTCAAATGACGGAATGATGCAGACTATGGTGATAATGAATGGCAAGCTGCGCAATTCGCCTTTATCGTCTTGTTCCCGCTTATGCGGTTTCTCTCCCCGGGACACACCGACTTAAACCCCAGGCTTTTTCGTCTAGCACTGAAGGACCGCAGGTCCAGGGATCTGGTACGGCTTTCCGCCACCGTTTGGCTGTCCCTTGGTGTCGTAGATGTTAACCAGAATTCCCGGATCTTGCGCAGAGTACGCGCCCGGGAAGCTGACGGTTTGGCTGCCAGTGCTAGTCCCAGAGCCGGATACCTTGATTTGAGCGCATCCCTAGATTACTATCAGCGGGTTGTTTCTTTGTGAGAGAGCACTGCATTGCTGGTGAGAGCGTTGTCGGGTGACGTACAACGTAGAACTGAGCCTGGCTGGGCTTAGTTGCGCTGTGCAATGCGATGATTTCTGCGCGGAGAAGGTACTGGCCAGGAGCGACGCAGCTCGGCATGGTGAAGTCCACCCAACCGCCGCTCGAAATCATCCTGTCGACGCCCCATTTGCCAGAGCCATCCAAACCGTCTTGTGCTACCTGCAATGTGGTAATACCGTTAGTGGATGTCTCTCATATGATGGCTGTACCCTGATAACACCCACCTTGAACCACTTGAGCCCTTTGCCATCTGCCTTGGCCGCGTCGTCGACTTTAGCCATGTAGAAGATGGTAGGGCCCTTGTGCGAGGCAGCGATGGGATTGTCCTTATCATTCGCAAACTGCGCACCGCCGATGACATGGCCCCACATGACGCCCACCTTGTCACCGCCCTTAACGTCGATGACTTTGGTTGACACCGGGGTCTTGAAGCCGCTGTTACAGGCAAAGTTCCCGTCATTGACGTTCTGAATGGGATTGTTGGATGTCGGCGTTCGGATACCGACTAGTTCGCCGTTATCCTTTGATCAAGTTAGCGAAGGAAGTCTAGCAGGGCTTAGCATGCGTGGATTACCTGGCCGTTGACGCGGACGCGCTGAGCAACGCAGTGAGCGGAGGTCAGGGCGGGAAGGAGGGAGAGGACTGCTGCGGCGAGGAACTTCATCGTGGCGAATGAACGATACCGTTGCGGTCTCAGATGTGCTAAAGCGATGGACTGGTCGACTTCGATGCCGATGCAGCAGAACACTCCGGGGCCGACCTGGTTGGTGTTTATATACTCCGACTCTTCCTCTTTCCAGGCTTTCGGACGAGCCATAGCATAGCATTCATGACGATCCCACACTCTATTCCGCGCCTGGCATTCGTGCAGAATCTCCCACTTCAATAAACACGGTGCAGTCACCTCCTGGACATGTCTGGGCATGCTCCCCGCATTTTACTCTCTGCAATGCCGCCCAAGTACCGTCTCTTGACGATCCTCAGCGACCACTAAGAATGTGATCAAGCTTAATTCAACTGGCGAGGGCCAAGGATGCTCGTTTCAAGGAGGAATATTGATTGGACGAAATACCTCAGGATGGGTTGCGCATGGGAATTCTGATATTAATGTTTCATATAACCTGCCGGGCCGTGTACCGACAGACAGGCGGATAATATGGCCGTGCCGCCCTAGAAAACACATAGAAACAGTGAGGTTGACTCTTGGGAAGCGTATAGCTAGGGCAGCTATATGAGCGGTTACAGCTGAAGGTCTCGCTGTTTATATGAAGGAGAGGTGGGATGGCGTCCAAGACGTAGATCAAGGTCGAAAGCTGGAGAGTCAGCAATTGACGAGGACCAGCTGCTCTATCTTCGGCATGATTCTGTTGCATCAGTGATGTCTGCGAGTACGGTCAATCCCGATAAGGGCCCGATTTCGAGTCGCGGTGTTTGTTAATGCCAACGATGGCACAGAGACTGCTCGTTTCCATCGCAACTCACGACCCTTCGTTTTCCCCGGACGATATCCGTAAATACGGTGGAACCGTCAGCTGCCGGCAGTGTCTGCATGCACTTTCTGTGTGATGCCTGATTGCAGCTTGGCGGCTTTCTCGGGGCCTTGGCCAGATCCGGAAAGCTCTTGGTGAAGGGCTTCGTAACCTCTTTAGCTGTCGAAGTATCACAGAGGTCGCATCGACCCCGTAGCAGCGTAGACTGGAGAAAGTTCGGACGTCCCAACGCGTGTAGCTCCGGGGGGTTATGTTAGTGAAGAGCCGGCTTGTGGCAGTGCACCCGTGCCAAGCAGCGATGGTGGCAGCGAGTGCAACATTAGGCCCGCAAACTGGACTTTCAAGCGCTTACAAAGGTTATGGAAGACAGCGGTTCCTCGTCTACACGAACGGCAGCCTCGAGCTTCGTCGGCTCCATTCGTCAGACTATCGGAAGGGCCGGCAGATCGTCTCCACACACCAGATCCGGCACGTGCAGCGATCTCTGCGGGCTGCAGCTCGGGTGTTTCTGATGTGGATAATGGTGAAGGGCCCACAAGATGCCGCCGTTCAATAGCTCGTCGGGTGCGCTGTGCCGAAAAGAGGCACGGAAGGTGTGGCAGGCTGGCAGGGTCGTTCAGTGGCTGGCAGGATGGCGATCTGGTGTTGAGGGCACGCCAAGAGCACGAATCAAGCCCGGCCGGCTCCGTGAAGGGAAACAATGACATCACCTCATCCTAACGCCGTCGCCGCAGCTCGCCGACGACAAAAGCCCTTGTCCGGCGCCGCCTGTCTTGCATTTGCGTGTCATCTTTAGGCCGCCGCCCTCATCTCAACATCTCAAGCGTGCAGTTATTTTCTTGGGGCCTCAAGGTCGGTGCACGGCGGCCTTCTCTGCGAGACCCCCTTCCGCGCACCTCAACACGTCATTCCCGAGCCACTCCGCCTCCACGCCCGCAGCACTAGCTTTCTCCGCAAACACCACGAACGCCAGCTCACGATCCTCTGAGCAAGCAAAACGGCCTGCACCGTCCCCCGCGGTCGGACAGACATGGCGACCCCCCGGCCCGTGACGCCCTCGGCGGGCTACAACGGCGTCCCGACGCCTCACGACCCCTCGCACCTGAGCAGAGGCTACGGCGCCTCGTCGCAGCTCGCCGTCGACGCCAATGACTTCGCGACCACTCCCGCGAACCCCGTCGACGCTTCTCCGCTCTCACAGTCGCTGCAGCGCCAGCCGAGCGAACGACTAGGCAGATTTGAAGAGGACTTTGACGCACGGACACGCGGTTCGTCGATCCTCGCCGATGGCGACCTGCCTCAGCGGTCCGCGTCGCGAGCCTCAACCTTGAACCAGGGCGCCGCTCCCTCGCGCAGCGGAACCCTGAAGAAGCGCTCGTCGGTGAAGAGGACCGGGAGCTTGAAGCGCAGCGGTAGCAGAAGAAGCTTGCACGCCGGGAGCATACGCGGCGTGAGCATCGACGACGAGGAGCGCGGCTCAGGCAGGCACAACAGCGTCTTTTACACCCCAGTCCCGACCTCAGGCTCCCCCACGGAGATACTGGCCAACCGCTTCCAAGGCGAGTATAACCCACCATCTCCACACTAGCCGTGCCTTTACTTACATGTCCGCAGCTTGGCGAAAGCTCCTGAAGGACCTCATTACCTATTTTCGCGAGGTTGCGACGTCCTACGAGCACCGCTCCAAGGCCCTACTCAAGGTCTCAAACGTGATCAACAACACCAATGCGCCATCCATCTTTATGCTCGAGGGTGGTTTGAACGATGCGAACCGCATTCTACGCGACTATCACAAGCAAGCGGTAACGGAATCGAACAAAGCAAAGGAAATCGAAAGCGAGGTGATCAACCAGCTCTCCGGCCTTAGAGCGGATCTGGGTCAGAAGATCAAGGAGATCAAGTCATTGAGCGGAGACTTCAAGAACTCGGTCGAAAAGGAGAAAGAGACCACGCGGAAGTGCGTCGCAGCTCTAGAAGAGTCTCTGTCTCTGGTGGACTCCGATCCCTCTGCCATTGCCGGCAAAGGAGATCCGTTCGTGGTCCGATTAGGAGTCGATCGCCAAGTAGAGCGCCAAATCGACGAAGAGAACTACTTGCATAGAGCCTATCTCAACCTCGAAAACTCTGGCCGCGAACTGGAGTCTATCGTGGTGGGCGAGATTCAAAAGGCTTACAATGCGCTGGCAAGCATTCTCAAGCGCGAGGCGGATGAAAGCTACTCGACCATTGAGAGGCTCCGAAATGGTCCCGTTGGAATGCCGAGGGACCTGGAGTGGAATCAATTTGTTACCAACGACCCGCATTTCGTCAACCCGAATCTTCCGCTGAGGAGGCTAGAGGGTCAGTATAATGTCTGTGGAAACATGTAGATCCGGCTAACCTTGTGCAGACATCGAATATCCTGGCAAGAATCACCCCGCTGCCGCCGAGGTAAGAGCAGGCATGTTGGAGCGCAAGTCAAAGTACCTAAAGAGCTACACCCCTGGATGGTGAGTACAGCCCTCTGACGCTTGCTAGGAGTTTTGTCTTACTGACCGCTTCTAGGTACGTCCTCAGCCCAACTCATCTCCACGAATTCAAATCCGCCGATCGAATTTACACTCAGCCACCCGTCATGTCTTTACTGTTGTCCGATCAAAAGCTTGGCAGCCACTCGCAACCCGGAAGCAGTTCCCACAAGTTCGGTAAGTGCTAGTCTCAGCTCACAAACGACCTAGCTTACTGATGCTTCTCAGTCCTCAAGGGCCGACAGACCGGGTCCATGCACAGGGGGCATACTTGGGTTTTCAGGTATTTAAACCCCTCTTGCTGAAATCACTGTGTTGATGATCCACAGGGCCGAGACGTACGACACTATGTTGGCTTGGTATGATGATATCAAAAATCTCATAGACAAGACCGGCGCCGAGCGGAATGCTTTTGTACGTCGCCATGCGCGCAGCGTCAGCGCTGGAAGTGCGCGCTCAGTAAGCTCCGACGGCGCCCTAGAAGAGGACGAGGCCGATGAGGTTCCGTTTTCCGCGAATCAGTCGATGACAAACGAAGCCCCGAAAGAGAACTCTGGGCCGCCTGAACGACCTTCTCCAGGTGGGCGTTTTCCAAGCGATGTCCAGATCAGTCGTAACTTACAAGCTGCTTCCTCCAGTCGCAGCTCATCGGAGGTCGGTCATGATATAACCACCGCGTCTGGAGGATTACAAGGTGCATATCCGCCTTATCCCACCGATTCCAAAGCCTACCAACAGGTTCAGCAGCCTCAGCAAAGTCAAGCCGCGTACGCTAATCATGATGCCTACGGATACAACGCAGAGAATGCGTATCAAAGCCCACCGCCTGCACTGGCGCCAATGCAGACCCAGACATCCTACTATGCGAACAACAATCCCCCGGCCAATCCTGTCAAGAATAATTGTGAGCCAGCGCCGAACCCGTATCAAGCTCCTATTCAAGCGCAGGCATATGAACCCCAGCAATATGTGCAGCGACACGATAGCACTTACGGGGACTGGATGGCTCCCGCTGTCGGCGGAGCAGCCGCAGGGGCCTTGGGCGCCGAAGCATACCATCAATATGAACAGGGTCAACAACAGCAGCAACCTGTTCTAGTCAACGACTTCGCCCAAGACCACCTGACTCCAGAAGCAGTCCCTGAACGTCACCCTGAGCACACAGCTGCTCCAGTAGCCGTGCCCGTCTCAGCACCTGCTCCAATTATGGTTGAACCCGACAGCCTCGCTACGACCCCTGCGACAACCGACAAGTCTTTTTTAGACGAACCTGAGGCGGTTCCCGTCGCCGCCTCATCCAGGGTTGCGAATGGCGGAACGGTCTCTTCAGACACGAGCAAGGGGTTTCCCAGGATGACGAGGAACAACACGGACATTAGTGTTAGTGACCTACATGTTCCGGGCGAGTATCCGCGTGTCAATGGCGCATAAGCTGGCCTCTGATCAAAACCGACGGGAAAGCCGCCGAGAATAGTTTTTTTTTGGGTCCAAGTTCCTTGCTGTTCGTGGCTTTTATGACCGAGTATCCTGGATGGTTGGGAAGGGTTCTATACTATCGCTCGGGATCTGATGGGCGAATGTTTAGTCTTTGTACGGATGAGATGGGATACATGTGGGGATGCGCCTCTGTCTTCTTCCTCTTGCTGGGTCGTTTATCACTATTTATACCTTTTCCCTCTTCCTTTTCCCTTTTCCCTTCTCTGCGCTCGTTTAGCGTGGGCGGCATTTTCTGGCTCTCTTCCTTTTTTTTTTCTTCGGTATCATGCTGGCCACTGAAGGCCTTCGGCAGCGTGTTTGTAGGAATATCTAGCCGGAAACAGAATGCAAGAACTGGTCGAATCTATCATGCACGGAAGGAATTTTGAAAGGCCTCTTTGTCTGAGTGTGGTCGGGACGAAGGAATTTCATCCCAACATGAATGAGACAACACGGTCCATCTCTTCAGAGGCGAGACGATTGCTCTTTGGATTCCTCCTAGCCTATGTATTACAACAGCAGCGAACAGCCCTGCCACTTGTTCTGTGCCTGCCTGTACAAGATAACCTGAGATAATGAGCATGATTCAATTCTAATGGTCCGTCCCGCAAATGGTGGACTGTGTCTATTCGAAGGGGGTGGGGTATCTACTGCCATAGCCGCCTGGTGCTGCTAACGATGATGCTGGGGGTGCTTCGCTACCAAATGCCCATCCCGATGCCAATGCGATGCCTATGCCATATTCACACAGCGTCCCAAAACGCATTCACAATCCAAGCCTGACCCTGCCCATATGAACACCACCGTTCTCGCGATGCCGAATAAAGAATGTCCAGCGCTATGTATGTATGAAAGCCCGAAACGCAATCAATCCCTATTCCGACAGAGGGCAATCCGGCAGCTCGCTCCCAAAGAACTCCTCGTCGGGGAGGGATATACAATCGGTCTCAGATCCCGACCCCACCCACCGTCCCGGCGATTGCAAACCCGTTTCCGGATCGGCCGTGTGTCCGGAATCACCTGGCTTTTGTCTCAACACCAGGTTTTCTCGTGGGGGCATCCACCTGATCAGCGCGCTTCCTCTTACCAAGAATCTTCAAGTCCGTGACGCCAGTCTCCGTACTGACTTGGACGAGTTCGATGTGCTCCACTGAAGGGCTTCCTCTGTGATACACACATGCGATCAGCACTCTTTTCCTCTCTTCAAGCGTGCTGCAACGAAGCCAAGCGCTAGTCTGCATAACCTCCATAGGTTGCTGACTCAAAACGAGAGAAAATCAATCATGCAAAGATTCAGCGCGCGTGTCTTACTCCTTCTCAACCCCGTTGATGACCTCCAGGTTCTTATACATATCATCCATATTGACCACCGCCGGTTGGGTCTCTGCAGTCACGTCCTTCATCTCGACATCGGTGTGCGGTGGGGAGGTTTCCTGTGGATTGCGGTGCACGGCTTCGGTGTACTCGTGCACGACATCCTCGCGGACGTAGATGATACCCGTGCTTGTAGCTGGGTTCTTCTCCTCTCGCTTGAACACCTCCTCTTCCGACATAAGGTCCACATAATCGTCGTTGTACTTGCGCCAGAGATCGTTCTGGAAGTCGTAAATGTAGATCCAGTAGTGACCGCCGGCAGCGCTGCCGCGATGCATGAAGATAGCGTGGAGTCGGTAAGGGTGATCCATGCAGCCTTCGAAGACTGAGTCTATCTCTTGCTCCAGCTTTGCCATTTCGGCGTCCATTTCGGCGATTTCCTTAACCAGCTGATCAGCACGAGCTTTCACTTTACCAGCAAGCTCATCATCGATAGCCACCGAGTCTTCAGCTACATCGATAAGCTGTTCATCCTGCGCCTTCTTGAGATCGTCAATGAAGCAAGCAGTCTCCTCGAGTACATCAGGCATTTCTACCTTTTCAAACTCGGTCTTTTTGAGATTCTCTCGGCTGGCGTCCAATAATCGTAGTTCCTTTTGTTTCGCCCACTGCGTCTCGCGCAGCTGCAGGAGCTCATTCTCGGAAAGAGATTTCGTCTCTTGGAGATACCGATCCAGGTATAGGACCTTGTCCAGAACCAGGTGGGATTCATCCTTCCTGACGTTGCCACCTTCGAACTGCAGCCGGCGAACGTTGATAATCTGGAAGGGAGAGGCTTTCCCGATGTACTCAAACTTTTGGGTACCGTCTTCCAGCTCCGTCTGGCCGAACTCGTCATCCAACGCAGCACAGAGCGAGCGGTCGCGGTTCTTGGTAGAGACGAGGATATTGTCCTGGAGGTCGCTCTTGGGTGTGAACTTGCCCTGCGTATTACGAACGTTTGTCACATCAGAGAAGAAAAGCCGCTTTATCAGATCGAGCTGTTCACCGTCGCGCAATGTGGACTCTCCTTTGATCGCGCAGGATATCAAGTCGAACGCGTTATTGAGTATTTCTGCTGCGTCCTGTTGTTGGGCGATGCTCTCCACCCTTTTGAAAGTGGTGTCGGCGGAAGCTTGCGGCCGCGGAGGCACCGGAGGGGGACGTGATGGAGGTTCGGGCTGGGTGGCAGTGGCACCGTTGGGCTCGTCTGACGTCGTCAAATCCATGTCTTTCGTAGATTCATTGTCGCCCATAACTGAGTCGGCGGGGGATGCTGGTTTTGATTCTTTAGTACCATTTGGTGGAAGTATTGGGCCACTTATGGGGAGACCACCGATATTACCAAGGCCTGAATGTGGCGTGTTGTTCTCAACTGGGGTGCTGTTGTCGGTACCGGACCTAGTAAGGGCCAGTATAGCGAGCTCTCTCTCCGGCCGAATATTGGTGGTGGAGGCGGTGATCATGCTTTCGAAAAGCTTCCGCAGCTCGCGTACAACTTGGTCCGTTAGTTTCCTGTTCACTATCTGTAATACCTTTCAGACTCACATCTCTGAGCTGTCGCGACCTTCTCGGAGGAGATAGCCGTACGCCCTACTCGCTTTGATCCCAGAGCCTCCGGCGTCAGCTCCTCCAGATGGTCTTCGCAATTTAGGACCATCTCTCGCAACGGCTTGACCGTGAACAGGAACTGCAGGACACTGTTCAGATAGCAGGTGTTGCCGATATTGTCAAGGCCAACAGGCCAACTCTCCAAGGGGTATGTCTTCCTTGGTGCACCATAGTAGTCATTTGATTTGCCGTGGGTGTCTTCCTGGTCTCGCCGGACCTTTTCAAACGCTTCTTGGTACTTCGCCGCACTCTCGGGGTTGCTCTCAGCCATAACCCTGAGCTGTGCCTCCAGCACGTTCAGATCGAGCTTCGCGGATCTATGTTCTACGGCGAGGAGAGCGTATGCTTCGGCCACATCCATGTCCGCAGCTGCCATGCTGCCCTTTTCCAAGAAGTCTATCAATCGCCGGCTATTGCGATGTTCTGCAATAATTTGGACCGCCTTCCTTGCAGTCTCTAAGCTGGAAGGGTTGTCGCTCGTCTTGATGCCGAACATGGTCGGTACAAAGTCGTCCGGTTGATCCTTGTCCAGGTCGAGCCAGGAGAGGGCTTGCTCGTAAGTCTCGATTGCATCAGAGGCTTCTTGCCTAATTCTATCGCTGTTGCGCGCATTGCCGATGATTCGGAGTTGTCTACGAGTTTCCTCGATCATGCTGGGGCTGATATCCGACAGACGGGACCTGAATACGCCTATGATGTGGTCGTCGGCGATGAAAGCAACGTGCTCTATTTGTATGCCGAAATATCGGTATGCAGCTGTGACTTCGCGTCGGTTATAGGAGCCCTGAGACGCCAGCATGGCGACCTCCTGCTGGAGATATTCGCTTTTCCTGCCAACGGAAAGGTCTTGTAGACACTCGAAATAGTAAGGCGCCCTCTCGCCGTCGACGGCGGTCTGGCGCTGATATGCGAACAATAGCAGGCGGTCGTCAAAGTCTCCGACTGCGCCTAGGCCTGCATAATAGGGATGATCCTCCTCGTGATTGGTACTTCGGGTCTCCATCCGCCCCTTGGCCTTTTCGTAGTCGTGGCACCCTAATGCCCTCTCCATATCGTTTCGGGAAGGCGGCGGGTACATGGGGATGTGGCGAGCACCGGACCGCTCAGGCTCAGAAAAGTTGAGGATGATGGCGTTGAGCTCGTACCGCGCGTCCTCTATTACGTTCCTTTCCGTCGGCTCTATTTTCTCCAGGGGATGGCCGGCTGGTGGCGGCTTTGGAAGATACCAGACATCGACAGCGGATCCATCGTCTTCTGTCTCCACGGAGCTTGTAAAGCCGAGGCGCTTGAGGATACTATCGCAGTCTTTGCCGAACGTCTTGAGGAACTTCCGATTCATCAGGGGTATCCGCGACTTTCCTTTCTGTGGGTTCAAGCTGTCCTGCAGGTAGGTGTTCAGGAAATCGGGCGCATCGACGGGCCGCGCCATGCTGGTGTCGGCACGGTCTCCGGCTATTTGTTTCGCAGCCTCCCATCGCCGCCTTAGAAGGGAACGATTCGTCAGAGTGTTGACATCGGCGTCACTGAAGCGGGGCGGGGTTAGACGTATTCGCAGCGCGACCGGGCATTTGGAGGCCGAACAAGAGAAGATGAAGGTTCGAGATTTGGCCTGGCTTCCGACAACACTCTGCTCCTCCGGCTCTTCTTCGTCCCGGAACAGGAAATGGTGGAGGGGGTAGTTGGGATGTGACTTGCGGCAGGGATCGTTCTTGGAGCCATCATCGCGGAAGTCGACGATCAAGTCGAAGTGCCAGTGACACGACTGACAGAACGACGCAATTTTGTAGACAGTGGTGTGATCGGGCTCCTCTCCTGCCCTGGGCAGTACGCACTGCTCGCTCTTGTTCAGAAACCGGTGCCGACAGTTCCTAGCTGGCACGGCAGGGACGGGTTTTGAGTCTGGGTTGTGCTCGGGCGGCGCTGACGTAAGGAGGTTGCGGCCTGCTCGCTCTTCGTAGCGCGGGTCGTAGGTTGACAGATCTTGCAGCAGCCGGGGCGCTGTCTTGCCTGTAGCGGGCTACATGTCAGCTACTCTCGTAGGATGGAGCTGTTAGACGCTCACCGGGTTTGCTCGCCATGGGGGCGGTAGAAGTGCCGTGGAAAGGATATTGTTGATGTCTATTGGGTATGGAGCTGTAGCGTCGTGTACCGCGGTCGGTGAGGGCTGGCAGAGGAGAGCAGAGGACCGGGCGGGCGTCTCGCGGGCGGAGAGGAAGGAGGAAGTGAAGGCAGGCGGAGCTCCCAGGCGGCAGCGACGAAGCTATATGATGCGGCGAGCCCGGCTAGCAGACACCGCGCAGGTCCGACCAAGCCCACAGCCGGCACGCGTGTGGGAAGCCGAAGGAGCAATCAGCTTGGTTTGCAAATGGAGCAAAGAAGGTGAATAAAACAGTCTCTGGGAGGCGCGACACAATTGCGGCGCCAAGAAATGCAGCTTGGCGCCGCGCTAACGCAGCCCTGCCGCAGCCAACTTCGACGTCTCTGCAGCTCTCCAGACCACTCCCACGCCCATTGCGCCCGCCATGGCCGACGAACACGAGACCTTCCACCCGCGAGACACGCTCGCGAACACGGCGAGCACGACGCTCAAGCTCACGGCCTGCGGTGCCATCTTTGCCGGCGTGCAGAACACGCTGCGGAAGCAGAATGTCGGAGCCATGGGCATCTTCACCCGGTCGGGAGGCATAATCGCCCTTTATGGTCCGTCAATACGCCTCAGGCGTGCATTGAAATCTGGACGGAGCTAATTGCGTGTAGCCGGCGTGGGCGCAACCTACCAGTTCACCAAGGACGCGACCTCCAACCTACGGCAAAAGGACGACTGCTACAGCGAGGCACTTGCGGGCTTCGTGGGCGGTGCAACACTCGGTGTGGCCAGTATGTCTCTAAATGCTGTTTGGGGGGAACAAGGCTGATGTGCACAGAGCGAAGTATACCCTACATGCTGGGTGCCGGCGCTTGCTTTGGCACCGCTATGGCAGCATTCAGATACACCAACGGGCTGAGTGGTTTCCGGCAAATCGAGACGGACGAGGATGAAGTAGAACGGAAAGAGATGCTGAGGAAGATGCGGAGGCGGCCGCTGCAGGAGACCATCGAACAGCTGGGCGAAGGCCGAGGTGAGCGATGTATGAAGTCATTTACGAATGCCGATATTAACGTTGCCAGGCATCTATGCTCCCGGCTACGAAGAGCGGAGGCGTGAGCGGTTACTAGCGAAGTACGGCATTGACGTAGCGGCAGCGCAAGAGACGTTTAAGAAGGATAATGTGGATCCGACGGTGAGCCTCTGAGCCATGTGAGCTCGTGTGTATATATCAATCAGAGCCCGCTCGCTGGCACGGCGACCTTTCCTTGCTGAATTGGTCTTATTGTATTCCTACATGTCTCCTGCGTACGACATCTGGCTGGCCTCTTCATAACAGACCCAGGTATGGCCGACAAGACTCCCATGTCGAGCCGATCTCAATTCTCTCCAAACGCCTACCTGAGTGCATTACCCGCGTGACCTGCCCATAGGATTCGAAGGATGACAGCTGGGAAGTTGAGCTGGATGTCAAGGGAAGCATGCAACAGTGTTCCGTTTCAAGTACCAAATACAGTCCTTCTACAATGGACAGCAATTTTCTCTTCACGTTTGACCTTTTCGGATGTAGTCCCAGCGCCAGAAATATGCAGTATCCGCGCTGAACGCGCACCCCGGAGAATCGAGCACCAAATGCGGGGTAGCTCCGGCAGTCTGGTTCCCCCAAGACTGTCTAGCTTGCAGAAAGGCAGCTCCCGCCCGCCCTTCACATCGTCATGGAGTGATCGGAGGGTCAGCCGACATCGCGCTCACGCGGCTGTGCCCCAACCTCTCATCCGAGCATAAACTTCAATGTTTACGGCGATGATGCGTGCCGATCAGATCCATGCTTGGGTCCCGCATTCTTTTACCCCTCCCCAAGAACCCCACCCTCGTGGGCTACCCATCCACTTCCACTTTTCACGCGCTAGCAAATCTCTCCGGCGCGACTGAAGGTGTTAGATGTGCATTGAAAGCTTTTGTAAAGCTTGATCACTCCTTTTTTTGCGTTGAACACTCACCATGGCAAACCCCACAGCCGCTCCGGCGCTTCAGGGGGAGGTGGGATTGAAAGAGCGCTTCTTCCGCTACTTTCAGCATGAAGTTACTGGTATACGCCCAATCGATGGTTTGCAAGACCCAGCTGACGAGGGCAGCCCTTCAGGAGCAAATGGCGCGCTTAGACTCCACGGCCTACACGGGCGGCGAGCGCAACGACGCGGTAGACCACTGCCTGGCAGGCATAGACCGCCTCTCCCACGAAGTCAAAGACGCGTCAAGCTACATTCCGGCCTATGATCAGCGAACATACAGCGAGGTACGGCGCTCGACCTTCCATGCAGGCGCGACAGGCAGCTAACCGGGCCTAGGCCATCAAAGCGCTCTCCGAAAAGCTCCAAAACATCCGCGACACCTTCAACCCACCCAAGAAATTCCAATTCAAAACCGCGCGCAAGAACCCGTCCGCCATCTCGCTCTCCGACGCCGCCGAACTCGCAAAGCAGAACAAGCTCCGCGTCCCGGGCTACTACAGCTCCGACATCTCAACCGCCACATCTTCGTTTGCTCCGACGCCGCTCGACAAGCTATCACCGAGCGAGGAGAAGAGAGAACAGGAGTTGATAGAGAAGAATGAAGCATTGGGTGCCATGGAGAACGAGGATGCGGGGGCCAGTGCAGTGATTCGGAAACCCTCGTTCTCGAACGCGAGCAGCGTGACGATTTCGAATCACAGTGGGTTGCACATCATACTGCCTACTTCAGCATCGCATGCCACAAGCTCAGGAACGGTGTCAAATCTCCGGCACTGCGTCGTCGACCTCTCACCGCCCACGACCAACGGTGGCCCCTTCGCGAGCCTCGTGCTCAAGAACATCAAGACCTCGCTCATCGTATGCGGGCGAGTTTCGGGGCCCATACACATCACGGGCATCGAAGATTGTGTTGTTGTAACGGCATGTCGGCAGTTCCGTATGCATGGCTCAAAGAACGTGGATGTTTACCTGCACTGCTCGAGCCGACCCATTATTGAAGACTGCGAACAGATTCGATTTGCGCCGTTACCAGAGACATATGTAAGTACTACTTCCCAGATGACCTCGGAATCCATACTAAACCATGTTGTTCAGAGTACTCCCGAGATCTCAACAACGGCGAATCAATGGGATCAGATCGACGACTTCAAATGGCTCAAATCCGAACCAAGCCCCCACTACAGTATTCTGTCGGAAGAAGACCGCGTCAGCGAGGGAGTTTGGAAGGACACCGTTCCGGGTGGGCATAATGTGAGTCTGGACGACGTGCTGAGAGCTGTCACAGTGCTTCATTAAGCTCTTACGGCGTAGGGAGCGCTTCACAAAGCCTTTGACATAGAGTCATGATTTCGGCATGCTGAGAGGTCTATGTCCGTTAAGCGTTATGCATAGGGCAAGTAGCCTGGTGTTTGACTTACACAGTACGTTCTGGCCGGTCTGGATAGCTTGGTAGAATCAACCAGGTATAAACTGTAGGTGCAGTACAGCACCAAGATGGAGCCTTAGAGATGAATTGTTCGCTGCGCCGATAAAAGTATCAGACAACGCGAGATCTGTTCGAAACGTTCAGCACTTTGCGCGTTGCTAACACTCTGACTTCCCAAGAGTGCCAATCCGCCCGGAATTCATCTCGCTTTGACTGATCATGTATGCTCAACCATTGCGCCACAAAATCAAGGCTAGGCGTATCAGCTACTCACTTCATCGGTTCCTCGTCCACTTGTCGTAGTTTGAGGCTGGCCCTTCCCATGCCTTTGCTGTTTGTACCGAAGTCCTTTTCTTGCTCTCCCCCCTAAATAGCACATTTCTTTTGTTACCCTTTGTTGAGCCTTCACCGCCTAAAAAGCCGCGAAAAGATCATAAGACAGTGAGTGGCTAGTGTTTTCCGGCCTTGGAAGACGGCGACATCTATGGCACGGAGTACTGGGGTCCAACGCTAGGGCGACCGTTTTGACTTTCATATAGCCTGGTCGCAAGAACGGGGTTTCACGTCTTTGACTTCGAGAACATTGGGGGATTAGATAGGGAGGCCTTCATGCTGGAGGTGTGTCTAGTTGAGATATTATGAGTGAAAAGCGACCACGGTTATCAGGATCGTTCTGGTGGATGACTCTGATCTTCTTGCTGCATTTGACGAAACATCGTCTAGAGACCCGGAGCTAGGCTCGTTACGCTGCATGCGTTCTGATATGGCTAAGAGTCTTCGCCCGGCGGCGTAACGGGCCCCGTTCCATAAATATGCGAGAGGTCGAAGTGTCAGAGCGATTTTTGACTTAAGGTTGCCCGTCTCATATTTGCTCAGGGAGGGCAAGGCCTTATAGCCTCAAGCGGGCGCGGTAAGCAATTCCGCCAGGAACCCAGCTCACCTGGTGCTTCAACCACAAGCTACTGGAGTGGCCCAGTACGATAGCTTGATGTCCAATCCTAGGACCAAGTCAAGCACCAAGCTGCCTAGGTAATCTCTGCTCGCTATGCCATCTAGGAGTAGCGTGTATTCCAGAGAAGTACTCTCATACGGCCTGCCTCTTTCTCCCTCCACCTCTCCGCCAATTCCACAGGGCCTCTTGAGCATATGTCTTTGCCGTCAAATGGCCCTTCTCTCTTCCCGCCTCCTCCGTCAATGTTTCGATCACCCTTCCCTCCTCAACGCAATGCCACAGCCCCGCCGCCATAGCGCTACCCGCATCCTCCATATCTATCTCCACCTCATCCTCATCCTCTTCCTCGTCCTGATTCGGATCCTTAGCCACCTTAACTGGTCCATCAGCCTGCCTTTTCTCCTTCTCCCAGCCAAACTCTCCCTGACCTAGCCGATACAATATCCTTCCCAAGGTCTGATACGCCACGCATCGCTGCGCCGGCACCGCACTCCTAGCCATGACCGCCAACTCCGGTATTGTATATCCCGCAGCTTCAGGCGCATCCGCATGATGATGCAGACCCTTGTTCACCGGTATCTCTCGTGCTACGCTCGGCGCGAGCAAGCTTCCCTTGAAATCGAAGCGTAGGTCTGAGGCGTTGAATGCGATCTGTGAGGGGTGGTAGGGGGAGGACTTGTCGGCGGGGTCGATGGGCGCCATCCAGGAGAGGGATGATGGGTCGTAAGGAAGGTTGGGGAAGTATTTTTCGTGGAGGTTCTTGAGGAAGCCGGGGTCGTCGGGGTCGAGGTCGGGGGGTTGAGGTGATTTAGGGAAGTGTATTGAGTCAGAGTCGGGTTGGATTGAAGTGGCTACGTCTGACTCCGTGGATGCTGGCGTGGACGAAGCGACGGGTGTAGGTTCTAGCTGCTGAGAGGGTGGAGACTCTGAAGTGTCTACTTCTTGAGCTGCAAAAGAAACCTTCTTTGAGCGCGAAGGCTTCGTTTCTGGTTCGATGTCGTCAGTCGCAGGCGCAGCAGGCAGCTCCAGGCCAAGATCCCGCTCATTGCTTCCCTCGTCAATGTTCGCTCTATTGAGCAGCTTCTGGATCAATGAAGGACTAAGACTCGAAAGCAGGTCGTTGCGCTCCTGCTCAATCTCAGCGGCTGACATTCCAGCTAGTCTCTGCCTATTCTCTTCATCGATCTGGCTCCTCTCTTCGCTCGCATTCATATGTGCGCCAGGCGGTTCCGAAGCTCCATTTGCTTGCGCACCCCGGCCCGTTGCGGCTCGCTGTTGCTTGAAAGCCGAGACTCTAGGGACGCGCTTCTTGTGCGCCGGAAATCCTGTGGTGTTGGCCTTTGGCATCGGCGCTACCGGCGGACTAGCTGCTGCAGGGCGTTCCAAGATATCGCCAACGAAGGCGGTGGAAGCTGGCGCAGGAGGTCTACCATCCTCCGAATCGACTTTGTCGACCACTCCTGAGTCGAAGTCAAAGTGTACGCGCTCTCCCCTTGCGAAAGACATAATGTGGTTGTGTTGTGGCAAATAGATGATTCAGAACGAAGTCGTGGTTGAAGTACAAAAGCTAAAGCCCGCGCTCACACTAGCGCTCGGTTAAAGTTGCTACTAACTGGAAGACATGCATCGTACGGTGCTATATTTTTTTGAATGAAATGAATTTTCAATCTAGGTCAGAAGCCGAGAGAAGAGAGCGCGGGACGGTGCGCGGTGTTGTGAGTCTTCGAATTTTCAGACCACGCGATTTCTGAGAGCTTGATGTTTAGAGCTATTTACAACTGCTGCCCTTGAGACTTCGACACCCCCCAGACAAGACGCTGCCACATGTGTTCAGAGGAGTGTGCTTATCCATGGATAGCGGTCTGTAATGAAATAAAGCTGCAAATCGGCAAAGGAGGAATAACGTAATCAGACACCGCCGAAGCTATTGCATAATTTCACAGGTATAAAGGTGGAAATGGAATGTACATCCAGAAAACCGTAAACCATGCCTTGTCGCTCCAAGGCCCCATTTTCCATGCTTTGTTCGCGCAGGCATTGACCGAGCGTGCCGCGGAAAGCCTTTCGATGCGCCTGAACCCCTCCGATCCTCTTGAATTGGTATACAACAATGCTTAACTCTCAGCCAGATATCCGAGCCCGCAGAATTGCCTCAGCGATCTAGGATCCAGAGTGGACATGAGTAGTGCCCCCAGCACCGTCTCCTTCTTTGGCAGAATATCCGCCTTGACCTTCCAGGTGCTGCCTCCAAAGTCGAACGTCTCCATATTATCGTCGTCGTCCTCTTCGTCATGGTTCACCCCATTCGGTTGCACACTCTTCACCAGCGGCTCTGCGCCCTTGGCCTTGTCGCCCAATCGTTTTAGCATCGAAAGAGCCCGATGTACGATTACTTGAAAGCCTTCGCGATCCTGTTCCAGAGGTCGCTGACCGCGGTGGTTCTGTTGGGGCGGTGGATGTGGCATAGTAGCATCGGTAGAACAGAGAGACATGGCGAATTTGAGCAGACTGCATGCCCATCCATCCTCGGCCTCCAACCAAGAACGGCAGATGCCGGTTTCTGAGCCAGGGGCCAGGCTAGCGAGGATATCCGCAGCGAGCATCCCTTGCATGAGATATGGTTTCCTTGCTTCCGCAAGGCGCGCCTCGTAAACCCGGACGTCTTTCGGTCTGGTCTCGGCTATGTCGTACAATGTACCTTCAGTGCGGTCGGGAACAACGGCGATGGCGAGCGCGAACGCGCGTGTTAGGAGATCGTAAGGAGGATCGGATGAAGCTTCGTTGATGAAAATCTGTTTGTAGTACGTCCGATTAGGGTCATCGCGGGCAAGCAGTTTCGCGAGACTGTCCACGGCTGACGGAAGGTAGCGGTGGATTTTGGGATTGTATGATGTGAATCTGACCGGTATTCCGGGGCGTGGGCACGGCGCAAACGCGCAGAGAAAATGCAAAATAGAATACGCATCTTCTCGGGAAGGCAGCGTAATTTTGGTGCTTGTGTTGGAGAAGAAGGTGACGAGATCTTTCATGAAGTCGAGAGTATTGGTATGCGATCGAAGTAGGAGCACCCGCGTGCCAACGAGCCGTATCGCGTTTGAGAGGAACTTTAGCACTGGAGGAGTGGATAGGCGCGCGTGGTTAATTTCCAGAAATGACAGGTTCCGGAATATTGTCGTTATTGCAAGTAATCGGTCCGCAGTACGATCTAGGTCGTATTCTTTCGTGCCGAACTGCGCAAGTTCCTGGAGAGTATTGACCTCCGCTTGACAGTTGTGGAGCACGTCCTCGTACTGCGTGAGGTCCAGGATGTCGGTGACTTCAGGGTTGTCGTTGGCAAGGATGTCCAGCTGATCCTCAGCATAATCCACTAATACTTCAACGAGGTCCTCGCACTGTTCCAGCTCCACCTGGAGATTGTGTTCGTGCGTCAGCTTCGAAAGGACATCCAAAGCCAACCTGGTTTCCGCAAGCAGGCCGGATCGGAGGCTCATAGTGAGCGCTCGTATATCGACTATGCCTATTTCCCTGAATTCCGGCACGTTCGGCATTAGTTGCACCTTCTCCTCAATCAGGATCCGCAAATCCTTCCCAAAGGAGAGGCTACCCCAAGTGTCGATAAGAGTGGACGTGAGTGGTTTGTAAAATATTGAGCCGTCCTTTTCCTCGTACTGAGTGATCTTTCCCGAATCATCCTTTTGATCTGACACGTCCGGCTTGGAAGGGGACATGGTCGCCCTGCTAGACTCCTGCCCCGGAGCTGGTGTCCCTTCGAGAGTCCTACTCATGCTTTTCCGATGCTGATTCAGGGCGTTTCCGTCTGTTTGTGGGGTACTTCGGCCGTTGACATTGGCAAGGATGGCGTTGTTTTGCACAGGCGTCGACTGCTGCTGCGGCTGCGTAGAAGGTTCAAATTGTTGCTGCTGTTGCATGGCCGGATCCGGCTGCTGTCGCTGCTGCTGCTGTTGCTGCTGCTGCTGTTGTTGCTGCTGCTGTTGCTGCTGCATTGCAGCTTTCCTTTGCAGTTGTTGAAGATACTCCTGTTGCGCTGCAGTAGGGTTCTGTGTGCCCGGCACTGCATTCCTCGTAGGTGACATCTGCTGGCCCATTCGTCCCATCTGCGCTTGCATCGCGTTCATACCCTTCATCTGCTGCTTCTGTAGATAAGCTGTCTCGTAGAGCCCAAGATTATGTTCATACGTTATCCGTAACTCTTCGGGTGCGCTGGGGAATTGCTGGGGATTTATCCCCATCATATGTGCAACCTGGGGCCAAAGATTCCCTTGGGTGACGGACCGACAACCCTTGAACTTCATCATGACGACCATGTACAGGTTCTGCAGGTTGATCACACGGCCGGCGACCTGCGGACGGGGATTGAAGGGCCGGCGATTCTGATCCATCAGGGCTTTCACGTTGTTGATGAAGGCCTGCGCCTGCATTTGCTGCTGGTTCTGCATCTGTCCCTGCATCATGTGTGCCTGCATGCCGGGATGTTGTTGCCCAGCGGCGCCGGGCATTTGTCCAGCTTGATGCCGCTGTTGTGCAGCCATGTTGCTCGCGGCCAAGTTGCCCAGCTGTTGTTGCTGAGCCTGGAGCCGCATGGCATACTGTCTCTGCGCCTCCTGCTGCCGACTCTGGAGATTTTGGGACAGTTGGACTGATTGCACTGGAAACTGGCCGGTCGCATTGGGGTCGAATCCTTGGGCCATTGGGGAGGCTTGCGCGAAGGCCATGGGGGACATCTGCGGCGCGTGGGGATTTTGCGCGGGCGAGGCAGTCTGCATCCTTTGCGGCGGCATCTGGCCGGGTCTGAAGTGCTGGTTCTGCATTGTGGGGGACGGCGTATGGGAGAAGCCTTGCTGGAAGCCGAACTGAGCCTGTTGCGACGGCGTCTGGGAGCGCGAGAGGGTCGCGCCTGTGGAATCGCGCTTCTGGGGTATTGACGACATTGGGTATGATCGCGTGCCATTCATCTGGTTGTTCGCGATGGCGCTGGGGTCAATGAAGCTCGAGGGATCGTACATGCCGTTCTGCGGCGACGAGAAGTCCATGGTGCGCGGCTACCCGGGGGGGATTTGCAGGCGGCCAAAACAGGGACGTGACGGGGGCGACGGTGAGGGAGATTGGCGAGCTAGGTACGCGGGCGCATTCGATCCACCTATACAGCGGCCCATTAGCAACCATGTTGATGTTCGGGCAGACGCGACCAGGCACACCGCATGTCGGCGCTGGCCCAGGGCGGACGGAGTGTGGGAGGCACGGGGATGGGGGATACACACCGCGTGACGACAGACGGGCGCTACAGGCGTCCTCTCATCAGGGCAGCACGGGGAACGGGTCGGTATGGGACGCGGGCGACAGGTACACGTTACCGCACGATCTTGGACGCGATTTGCGGCGGCTATGGGGGTCGTTGGAGGCGGAGATTCAGAATGGCGAGCAGCCGCACACTAAGCAGCCCACTAGCCTCATTTTCAGCGATCACGGGACCGTCCCGGCGCGCAGCAGCAGCGCAGAGCAGGGCGGCAGCAACAGCAGCAATCGGCCGTCGCAACTCTCACAATTTCTCAGAGGCACGCCGACGTCTGCATAAGGATCAAAACACGCGTTCGCGCCTCGCGCCAGTCAGTGGCTGCTTTGCCCGGCACTCAAGCCTAGTCTAACCCTAATTTGAACCACTCCGGGTCATTTGGCCGCTGTAACACGAGTAACACCTGCCTCTCTCCACTTATTACATCACTGCAGCTTGCGGCCGTTGTGCTGTTATCTTTCGCTGGGCCGCCTGGAGTGGCCGAGACCCCTCGCCCGTTGGCTCTTCACTCCGCATCTGGACCCGATTTCGATCTGGGAGCGCGCCTCGTCGAACTCCCCACCACATCACCATCAAGCTGAATCGTCTTCCCCCGGCCCATTTAAAAGTGACAGCACTCTCCACACGGCTCCGGCCCGTCCCTCTGCTTTCCTGGATTCCGCGAGGCTTACCCAGCTCGGCACCCTGCAGCATCCTAGAGTGGTGAGCGCGTAGTGGTAGGCTCCAGCAGCGAGACGCTCGAGCCTCTCTTCCGGTAAGATATGCTCATTGACGGCTGACTGGCGATGTTTCTCGAACATGTCCAGGGCGGAAAGGAAAAGACAACGCCGGCGGGTGGTCCGGATTCGCTCTGTTTGAGCACGCCGATAAATGACCAGGGTGTGACCGTTTATTGCATGCATCTCCCCATCATCATCCGCGACTGTGGGGTACTGTATGAAGCTGGTCAGGCCAGACAGTCCCTTGGTCATTGCCTGCTTGACGCATGCCGGGAAGAAATAGCACAATGAATGAAGTGGTTGGTGGCTGCCAAGAATCCAGCATCCGAGTCGCTTCGAGTTGGTGGTGACAGGATGTGCAGGTCATCGAAAACCACCGCCTCTCGCCGTCGATCAGATGCTTGTCATGTCTCTCTTGGTCTGCCATGGCAGTGGTCAACCTTCGTAAGCCCGGAAGGTAGCGCGGGATGGGAGCCGACGGACAGAAGCGAGTATCGCCGGCATTCGTCAAGCCTTTGGTGCATGAAGGGTGCCAGGATCCCTTTCGCGGGTCCAACCACTGGGTCATGCTTTTTGGTTGGGGACGAAAGGATGACGATACATCCTTTCTTTGGGCCGGGACAGAGCGGTGAAACACGTCGAACGATGTGGGCTTCTCCGAGGTGTCGTGCATTGCGGCTGCGCTCGGACCAGAGCCAATAATTGAGGGTGTCGGCGGACTGAGAGTACTCGTGGGGGCAAATGTATGGATCTTGAACACTGTTCCATACCATCTGTCTCGCCTACGCGAAGCCTGTATCCAGGATGTGTTTAACGCTGTCCTGTTGTTTCCGTTATCTTGCCGGATCGTCGTTGAACGCTTGCCCAGGTGGGTGAGTTAGTCTTCACGTGACCTCGGGCTTGGCGACTAGGGCTTCCGCCGACGACAACTTGAGCTCCAGCAACCGCGCAGGCGAACAACACACGCGCTTCCCACCCTCACCAATCTCTATCTGCAGACGACCGTCGTTGCACCACCCATACCACCGGAAGCTCTATCGCATACCTAATTCCCCTCGAACAAGGTCTATCATCATGGCTGACGCCGCCGTCGAGAACCCAGCCAACACAGTTCCGCCTCACAAGAAGCAGCTCCCTTCGTCAATACCCAACTTCGACTCGCTGGAGGGCTTCTCAACCGATGGCAATGATGACTACTCTACATTCAAGAAGCTTCAGCGGCAACTGGAGTACGTACAAGCTCCAACAGTTAGGTTCGGCCTCAGCGGCTAACTCGCTCTAGGTATATCCACCTCCAAGAAGAGTACATTAAAGACGAGCAGCGGAGTTTGAAGAGGGAACTAGTGCGCGCGCAGGAAGAGATTAAGCGCATTCAGAGCGTGCCCCTGGTGATAGGGCAATTCATGGAGGCGATCGACCAAAAGTAAGCGCTTCGCAGACAAACATCTCCCCTTGTGTGAGGCTAACTTCTTCAGCACCGGCATCGTCCAGTCATCAACAGGGTCAAACTACGTCGTCCGCATCCTCTCCACCCTGGACCGCGAGCTGCTCAAGCCCTCGTCCTCCGTCGCCCTCCACCGGCACTCAAATGCGCTCGTCGACATCCTCCCCCCGGAGGCCGACTCCTCCATCGCCATGCTCGGCGCAGACGAGAAGCCGGACGTGACATACGCCGATGTCGGAGGCTTGGACATGCAGAAGCAGGAAATCCGGGAGGCCGTTGAGCTGCCTCTAACGCACTTTGACCTCTACAAGCAGATCGGCATCGACCCGCCGCGCGGCGTGTTACTGTACGGGCCACCGGGGACAGGAAAGACCATGCTGGTGAAGGCGGTGGCAAATAGTACAACAGCGTCCTTCATCCGAGTAGTGGGCTCAGAATTCGTGCAAAAGTACCTCGGCGAGGGACCGCGTATGGTGCGTGACGTGTTTAGGATGGCCCGCGAAAACTCACCCTCCATCATCTTCATCGACGAGATCGACGCGATTGCCACGAAGCGATTCGACGCGCAGACGGGCGCCGACCGAGAAGTCCAGCGTATCCTGCTTGAGCTGCTCAACCAGATGGACGGCTTCGATCAGACATCCAACGTCAAGGTCATCATGGCGACCAACCGTGCAGATACTCTCGATCCCGCGCTTCTCCGACCAGGTCGTCTGGACCGAAAAATCGAGTTCCCTTCGCTCCGGGATCGCCGTGAGCGCCGTCTCATCTTTAGCACAATCGCCTCAAAGATGAGCTTGTCACCGGAGGTCGACCTAGACAGCTTGATTGTGCGGAACGATCCCTTATCAGGTGCTGTTATCGCAGCTATCATGCAAGAGGCGGGTTTGAGAGCTGTGCGGAAGAACAGGTACAACATCATCCAGAGTGATCTGGAGGACGCATATGCAAGCCAGGTCAAGGGTGCCACCGAGGCAGACAAGTTCGACTTCTACAGATAGAGCTGTTGCGTTGAGGGCTTGGAAGTGGGTGGAGGGTGGAGCGAAGGGTGGCACTATACCAAAATAATAGAAATGCACTAAACAAGTTTGGTCTACTATTGGCGGCGCTCGCATCAAACTCTAAAAGTGACTTGATTAAGCTGCTATGTATCCTGCCTCTCCTATGGACACGTTAGGTTAACAGCCATGTCGGTCGGAGAGAGCCCATCTTTACCTTTTGATACACAATACAGAGTGGTAGATTCGAGAAGGAGCCAACAACCTTATTTTTAAGTATACCTACCAAGCATACCCGCAGCCTGAAAAGTTTCCTCCTCATTTTCAGCTCCACCGGGTTCATCATCGAAGTGCTAACGTGCTTCGCCCAGCAATGTGAGGGAGAGAGAAAGCGTGTCATGAAAGCACAGTGGGTCGGCAGATAAGCCGTTTCCTGCAGTGGGAGATGTTTTAGCTACTGTGGTACCCGACCAGGAGCGGATGACATGTTGTTGGTAAGCAAGCATGGTAATACATCTCAGTTTCCCCATACTTCACCAAGCGACCGATCTAGGTAAGGACTCGCACTCTAACATTGCCTGGCAAAGAAAAGTAACCTCACATCATGACATACGCAGACAGACAGCAGACAGCACCACGAACGCGCTCAATTCGATGCATACGATGCGATTCTTTCGATTCCGTCTATCTATGGCCCTCCGTAGCTGGACCGATTGATTCATCCTCCGCCGCCCACCTAGCTCTCCAGGCACCGCTCCAAGCGCACCAATCCATCCAACAAAAATACATTCACCGTGTCTCTAGCTCTTCGAGCTAGTTAAAATTATCCTACAAGAAGGGGGAAGCGAAAATATAGAGGGGAAGCTTAACCATTCCCTTCCTTTAAGACGACGCAGTGACTGTAGCCGTCGGTCTGCTTGACAAAAGGAGAAGAAAGATTCTATATGACGTCGTACTCGCGGCAGCACCCATCGATCGGGGCATGCTCACCGAGCGATTATGAAGACGATAATGGGTTTCAGGAGCAAAAGGAAAAGTGTTGAATTCAGAAGACAAACGCTGCCGCCTCGCCATCCCGTTACAATCAAAAATACAACAAAGGAAACGTGGCAGGCAGCTTCTATGCCCGCCATTGGTATCATGCATAGCACAATCAGAGTCGCTTCTTGCCAAAACGCAAAACAAAGGAAAAGCAAAAGAAAAGTAATATGCAGATCCAGCACGAGATTTTTCCGGATGTAGTAGTAAGCATTGAGAAAGAAGAACAAGAATGCGTGTGTGCAGGGGGAAAATGGGCTACGGGGACCCCTAGTTCACCCGTACGACCTTCTCCATGGGCGGCGGGAGCGGGAGCTCCTTGTCACGCCCTCGCCCTCGCTCCTCCTTGGGTGGTGTGGGCGGCCCGGAGTGACGGTTTGCGTATTGGGCATCTTTGGGAGGAGTAGGTGGGCGTTCTTCGTTGGTTCCAGTGCCGGAGTCCTTAGGTGGGGTGGGTGGTGGACGACCATGTGAGTGCTCCCTCGATCTATCCTCCTCTTTCAACGGTGGCGGAGGTCTGATCTCCGCTTCAGTGCTCCTGGCGCTTCTGCCTCCCGTACTCGAAGACTCGGCCGCTTCCTCTACCACAGGAAGCGTAGTCCCCAACTCACCTCGCTCAGCCGACGGGCTTCGTATCATGCGCATCTCGCGGTTTGGGACATCTTCCTCGGATGCACCTTTCCGTCTTGAGCGCTCAGCCTGACCTTCTGCCTTCTCAATCACCCTGTCCGTGGACTCCCTGTCTCTTTGCGTCATATTGACACCGGAGAGCAGAGGGTCGTTTAGCGCATTTGCAGCTTCTTCGGCCTTTTCGCGCTCGGCGGCTTCCCGCGTCTTCGTAACGGCGCTGATGAACTTAACAAACCGGTCGCCATATCTCTCCGGGGGAATAGCCGAGATCTGCGACTCTTCGTTCATGAGGCCTTTGATGAAATGCTCCATGCGTTTGATGAACGAGTACTACGGCTGTCAGCATAATATTGTGGTCGTGCCGACTAGTGTACTTGCATGTGTCAGGCAGTCAATGATCCCTAGGTAGTAGATCTCCTCCCCGGGTGTATCATCCTCATGTGTAGCCTGGAAACCACCGTCGTCCGTGTAAAAGTAGTTGTTCCTCTGGTGGTCATGCAACTCATTGGGCATCTTGCTCGACGTCTGCTCCATGGGAACCGGTTTCTGAGTCTTGATCATGTGCCTTAACTCCTTCGCCTTCCGCGCGCTCTCTAGCTTCGACGGGGTACGCATGAGCATGTTCGGCTGGGGTTCTTCTGCGTTGTCTCCACCTGGTTGAAAAACTTGCAGTGTTTTGTCCCGCAAATTCTCTTCGTTCCCCTTTTCAAGGTCGTGTATGCCGATGAGCAGAGAATAATCCATGATGTGTAACCTCTGGAGGAGCTTCACGTCTTTCTGCATTTGCTCAATGAACGCCTTCTTCTTGGTGGGCCCAAACTCTAGATGTAGGTTCCTTCGTAACCAGTTAAGGTCCTTCAGAGTTGCGCGCGGGTTTGCTTCCAGTTCCTCTTCTCGGAAATCTCTCCCAATCGTGGAGCCCTTCAGGTCGAAAGTACGATGAATATCTCGATGCGGCGGAAATAGATTGTTCATGACAACGAAATGAATCTTGCGTCCGTAGGGTATCTTTACACGATGAAGGCCGTAAAATTGCGAGAGAAGCGTGTTCGGGTTGGCTTGGACGTGGTTGTAGTAGTCCTTCAGGATCTTCCGAAGAAACTTGTGTTCGGCATGATGGATCGTTTTAATAATATACTTGTAGTCGCGAGAGAAATAGAAAAAGCTGCCGCTCTTTCCAGGCGACCCGAGCTCGGAAAGGATGTACTTGCTCGTTAGTGATACTAGGTAGTCGGCGGGATCTAGCTTGAAGATGGTACGGAGATGACGGAAGACCCATGGCGCGTAGTCCTTGAACTTGAAGTCGTACTTGGCGGATGGAGTCAACTCGTTACCCGTTCTGCAATCATGTCAGCATCAATCTAGGAGTTTGCAGACCTTGGACAACCACACGAGAAATTGAATAATGAAAAGCTAGAGAATGAGAGTTCGGATGGCACGTACATGTCAAACGAGAACTTGTGCTTGGCCTCGAAGTCGGCATCGGTGAGCTCCCGATCCATTTTCGCATTCGTCCTGGACACGGTAAACCGAATGCCAGTCAACATGTTGTAGGCCGTGACCCAATTGACGTGATTCTGGTCCACCTTTGTGCCAACAACGACGCGGTCATCGTCTTCGTCTTCTTTCCGCTTCCTCTTGCTGGCTCGCTTTTGCCGGATATGCTCTGCCCACCGCGCCGCATCCTCGTCTTGTGGCACCTCATCGAGGTGCATATCAGAGTGTATGGACCGTGTAGCGCGCCGCGCCAGAGACATTGACCCTCTCCGGCGCGTGGGGGTGTTCGGGGAGAATCTCCCGCTGGCGGTCGCTACGTCATCGGCGTTGTTCTGGCTCTGCATGTCGCGGGCGCGCGACGTCGAAACCTTGGGCACCTCCAAGGTATGGCGGTGCTGTAAGCGGTACGGCTGCTGGGCCGGGTCGGGGCTGCTGTGGTTGAAGGCCGGTGGGGAGGACACGCGGTATGTCGAAGGAGCATTGGGGATCTGCAGGTTGGTCTGATTGGCTTGCGGGTTCGGCGGCTGCGCATTCTTTAAGTCCGAATCGTACTTTAGAGGGTTGAAGTCCCTGCGAGCCTCTTTGGTGCCGTCGGTCGAACTCAGGGTGCCGAGCTTGACGTGAGTGGTTCTGCAGCCGTCCTGCATCTCACTGCTGTACACCGACGCGAAGTAGCCATCGTCCCTGCTAGATCGCTCGCCCGAGTTGCCCCGGCTCTCTGGCGATTTGTATGGGCTCTGAGAATCCACGCTCCAGCGTTTGGGAGCGTTCGCAGGGCCATCGGTCTGCGATATCCGCTTATCAGAGGCTGATGGCTGGATAGGACGCCCGTTCGGCACCGACTGCATTACCGGCCCGTTTGCGAGCTTGCCGTTCATAGTCGCTATGTCTCCATTCGGCTGCTTCTCTGCATACTCCCGCCCTGCCGGCGGCTTGTCCGCTGAGGTTCGCGTGGGCAAGCTGAAAGGTGCGTGCGTGTGTCCGAAGATGGAATTATCGCTGCTGTCGGCGGCGAACGCTGGCATTATCCGAGGAGCGAGGACAGTCGCGCTCATCAACGAGGGAGGCTGCACTCCTGGGGATTCCCGAGGAGCAGTAGTCGAGACGTCCGCAGCCGGGGCCCTCGTTAGTGGCAGTCGTGGTTGCGATGGATGTCCCGCGAATTGCGTGCAGTGGAGGCGGCTGCGGTGCGGTCGAAGGGGGGATAAGTCGACGGCAGCACGCGGAGTTCCGTGCCCGGTGGAAGCGGTCGCGGCGGTGCAAGAATGCGTTGGTGGTGGGCGAGGTTGGCGTGAGTGTGAGTGAGGATGGCTTCTGGAGTTGTCGGAGAGACAAAGCAAGGTCAGCTTCGCAGGGGTCCGTGCCGCGCCGGCAAGCGGATCCAGAATCACCCACTCTCGCGGCGGCACTCCAACTCCCAAGCCCCGAAGCAATAGCGTGCAGACCGACGCGCAATCAATTGACAGAGAGCCTCGACGGCGACGCTGCTGCAGTCTGTCCCAATCTCGCGTGTTCAGATGCTGGAACGACGTCTGCTGGATGCCCGAATGGACTCCATTCACTCGTGCTCAGGGGAACGGGGAGCACGGCACTCAGAGATTGGGCTGAGCAGCGCCGCCTGTTCGGGGATAGGCCAAGCAGCAAAACGTGTTCCACGGGGCGGGTTCAGCCTCAGCCACACTGGGCTTGCAGGCCACCAATTCCAGCGCGCGGGAATGGCGTATTGGTCCGGATACGCGTATGTCAGCGTATAGGTAAGAATAGATACGTCTCCGTTCCCCATTTCAGCCAGCGTCCTGCGCAGTCGTGGAACCTTCACTCAGCTGCAGCATGTACATATTCATCGTACGTTTCTCCGTCTGGAGGGATGCTGCATGCGGGCTGCTGCGTGCATTTCATTGCAGCGTTTCAGCAGAACTGTTTATTTCGGTCTGTTATGCGACGAAACCTTAGAACTCCATGCTCGGATGAAAGATATTCCCGGATTACTAAGCAGCCGCGCATCCAACGAGAGTCTACGAAAGTACTCATACACCTTCCATTGCCCTTCCGCGCTCCAACACCCCGGCCTTTAACCTCTCCAATACCTCTCTACCGAGCCATCGCAACCGTCCGTCACCCCTACTGGCTGCGCCTTCAGCCCACTCAAACACGCTCTTGAGCTCCCAAAGATCTTGCGCTTTCCAACTGCTGCATAGAGTCCTTAGCGCCAACCTGTGGTCCACGATCGTTGCACCAGGGTCGAGGAATGTCGACGAAAACGGATCGGTAGGTAGTATCAGTCCAATGTCGGCCTTGTCGAACTCAGACAGAGAGGGAAGAGAAAATAGCCAGTCCCACATAAGCCGCGACGTGCGGCTCGATTGCGCATCGTTGAGCGCAACAAGGGCGGCAGAGAAGGCATTCGCATACTGGTCATGCGGGGAGCGGCGCCGCACATGCATAGTCTGATTGCGCTGGAAAGCCTGTAGGTGCAGTGGATTCAGCACGAAGTCGAGTGTCGTAGGCCAGTATCCTGGATCCGCAGTCTCCACGCGCGCAATGGTACCGAGTTCTGGGAGGAGACATGGCGTCGTCATCTCCTTTTCGGCACCGCCACCTTTAAAATGCACCCTGATGGAGGTGGAGAAGGCCCGGCCCGTATCTACATCACGGACGACGAGACAGCGGGGTTCGGCCGCGAGGACCCAGAAGTGGCGGAGGGCTTGTAAATGAGCGCGAGAGTCGTGGACGTCGAGCGGAAAGAGCGGGTAGAAGGCGCAGATGAGCGACGCGATAGCTTTGTTCGACGTGCTGAACGTGTAAGTTCCGCCAGCAATGAAGAGGGTGCCGAGGGCCATATGGGCCGCTAGGTGGGAGCCGTATGGTGTCTCTGGGCCGACGCGCCCGTGAAGGCCACGCAGGCGGCGGAAGAGCTCTAGGTCACCGGTGCCTGCCATTACTGTGGCCACGGAAAGAGCAATGAGATCTTGACAGTTGCGAACAGTGTTGCGGACGAGTTTGGAGTCGTAGCGCAGCGCGGGAAGCTTGCAAATGCGGATGAACTGGTCGAGGTATTTGATAAGGAAGTCGCGGACTTGAATGTCGCCCGTGCCTGCATGCTTGAGAGAGACACTCCACAAAAGGCCGGCGAGGATGTTGAAGAAAGGCATTTGTTCGCTGCGGAGTTTCGTAATGCTCTTCAGGCTGTACTCTCCGCGATATTCGGGAGGCAGGTTCTTGATGACCCAGGCGTTGTCCGCTTGGATCCTGTCCCACATGATGATATGCTTCGCTAGCGTGCGTAGTAGGAATATGTCCGGCCGTACGTAGTCGAACTGTGGGAGTGTGTCGGGGACGTCGATCTTGCGAGCAACAGTTTCGTCGTGCGTTTTCATGAAGATGAGCGCAAGGGCGATGACTGCGCCCGCAGTTGCTTGATCAAGTATGTGAACAATGCCCGCCAGCTTAGGAGCAACCGCAACAGAGAGAAGGCGCTCAACGATTCGCATGTCGTGGAGACCTCGGAGATCCTTCCCTTTCCCTAGATTGATCAATCCCAAAGCAAAACCTGCAGCAAGCCTATACGCCTCATCGCGAAGGCTGTCCGGAGGCTCAGAGGGGTCCGGTTCGTCTACGTGCTCAATTTCCGAGAGCATCACTTCGCTCATTCGCCGATGCTGGGTATTGTAGTACAGGAGGCCGATGCCCATTAGTCCGGTGGCCTGGGTATATGGCGAGAGGTTGAGTTCTGCTGCTCCAGGTGGCAGCATTCGGGTGACGTGAACTGATAGTAGCCGCGTGACCAGTGTATCCATTGTGCCCATGTAGGACGCAGACAAGCCGAGAAGCAGCCCAACAGAAGTCATCGTGTGCTTCGGCGTAAGATACTTGAAAGAGAGCCACTTTGCAATGTTTTTCAGGTGTCCATTCAGACCAAGGCCGAGCAAAAGTCCTGCATGTCTGTTGGTCAATTCAGGCGGTTTGTTGTACATGATCCAGGACGTGTCTATGCCTTGCGCATCGCGAGATATGCTCAGACCAGCTGAAACTCCCGCGTGGAAGAAGGCCCAAAAGAACTTCTCTTCCGAGTAAGTCGCACGGTCAGCTGTGACGACATTGCCCATAGGCTTCATAAGGCAAGAGGACGAGAAGCCGTACATTGGAAACTTCTCAGTCAGAAGAGGTCTCTTGCTGTTGAACTTCACCATTGAGCTTCCCGCAGGTAGCGAGAGTTGGCGCACCATGACCCATTGTATCAGAATCTTTTGTGCTTCTAACACGGCAGCCTCCTCGGATCTGTTGTCGTGGGCATAGTAGGCGACCGCAGGCTTGGCGGGCTCTAGAAGAGTGTAAGCCTCCATAAAACGACGATCTTCTTTGAATATGAGCCGTGTGATGTTGTGGCGATCCGCTTCAGCCATGGTCCCAACTGATTCTGAGCGGTCGACCGCTTGGCATATCGTGTGAACATCCCGCGAAGCCACAGGGGAATGTGAAGCTGACAGTATAGCCATCGTCCCGTAGCCGTGGCTTTGAGGGGTATCCTGATTGGAGTCGTCCATTGAAGCTAGGCTCAAGTCGAGATCTTCTCTTTGCACAAGCTTCAGCAGCGATCTAGACCAGGTCGTAGGCGGGTTGGCCTGGCATCTGGTGATTGCTTCCATGAGAGGCGCTTTCGCTGCTTCCGGTAACGTTGAGAGCATTTGTGTGCTGATTCCACATTTTTCAACAAGCTCCACCGTCTTCCGCGGGTCGGCACCGTGATCGATGTCGCGGAAGAATTTGTGCAATGCGATCGTCCGGGGCGTGGTGTCTGATATGACCTCGTCTATGTTGACTGATGAGTGCGGGGATGCCTTGGACTTCCGTATGCGCATGGCTAGCGTAGGAAAGGGCGCGTAGGTCTGATTGCCTACTACCATACTGATCCATTCAAGAATCGAAGGAGGAGTCTCCCATGGCTGAGAATGCAACCGCACGTTAGAGTTAAACTGCGAGTCTTCATAAGTGCATTCTTCGGTTGATCCGCCATCGAGATCATAATAGCTTCCCTGTCTCCAACCACATGCATCCCAACGGAGCCAGTGCCCCAACTGTGCAAGCACTAATGCGAGATTCCCCGCATTCGGTGAGGAGAAGTTCGGCGAGAGGACATCTAGCTTGCACTCTTCACGAAATAGATGGAGCGTCACGACAATCTCCGAAAGGGTGGAAATACGGAGGTCCTGCTTCTCGGACGGTGAGAGCCGTCTCCAGTGGTCGTTCGCGGCTTTTCCAATTGGAGATTGACTGAACTGACGGGCAAGGTCTGCGCAAGAGGTAAGCGCCACCTGCTTGCCGTCGATCTGTTGGGCGATTGGCGGTGTTGGCTCGGTTGAGGAGCGTTTGGATGGCGGACTCATGGTAGTGGACGAAGGGCGTGATTGCAGGACCCATTGCCAAGGTACAGACTCCCAGCTCTTTGCGTGTGGCCGAGCAGAGTGCCGACTACACATTAACCGCCATGCTGAAGTTTCTGCATCTGGGTTTTCAACGACCTTGGTATGGACTGCTTTACGTCCGGTACTTCGTCGTTGGGTGGCTGTCCCGCGCTGGGAAGGCTTTCTGCTATTTTCGTCTACGAACGGAACCGCTAGGGTGAACAGCGTAGTTACGAAAGCAGTCCAGTCTGCATCGGCTTTATGGTTCTGTTCGGCCACCAACAATTTGCGGACATTCCACCAAATCTCCAGCAGGAAATTCCCGGAATGGTTCGGAAGGATGGTTGCTAATACCCGGAATAGGTTCGCCACGATTGGGTTTGAGGGCAAAAGTTGGATCTGGAGGCGGTGTCGGCGGGACTCTCCATCCACGAGCTCGAATGCTCCGCTAAGGCTGGGGGACTGAAGACCCTGAAGCGGTTTGTGTGCAGCGATAGTCCTTTTGAGCCCTGCAGTCGCCCTTGAATGCTCGTCGTGGGTGATGCTATAAGGGCTAAACAATCTCAACGGCCCAATGGAGAACTTTGTCGGGAGGTGTGTGCCCCAGCCGGCTGTGAGGGAGAGGCATGGCTCGCTAGGGTCAACTGAAGCGAGACAAGCAAGCCTCTCAACATGACCATCAACTAGCTTGATCGCATCTATGGTGCCGCTCAATTGCTTCACTCCGACAAACTTTGGAACACAGGCATATCGCGGGCTTGGACCATGTGCACTTGATTGCGACATTGAGACGGACGGCGATAGGCGTTTGCGCGTTATTGAAAGTTCGCATTCCAATGGAACACCCAGAGATGAATGCATGATGTAGAGGTAGAGCTTCCGTTCATGGAGCGTAGCCGAGTTGAAGGGCGCCGCTAATGAGAAAACTTTCGACAGGTCCTGTTTATATGGGTCAGGCGTGGATCTAAGGCCACAGGAGAAGGCAAGACGTACGTGTATGTTTGAACTGGGGTCATCCAAAGCAAAGTGTCCGCTCTTTAGGTACTTCTGGACTGAGATCTCAGCGACTACGCTCATGACCAGCTCCTTGCGGAGCCCTTCCATGGGTTCTTGCTCAGCGCCTGCCTCAGGTGGGGCGAAAAGGTCATCGAGCTCATCGTAATCCTCCAACGTGTCGAATGTATCATCCATCATCTCATCTAGGTTATCGTCCATGGAAGCACCGCCCAAACTCATTCGCGAGGTGATGCTACCAGGCGTCGAGGCTCGATTGCGGGACTGCGAAAACCCGCCTAAACTTGTCCTATCGTTGCCAAGCGAATGTCGACTCCGCTGGCCTGCTCCAAAGCTCGCCGAGAAGCTCCCACCTAGACTATGACGATGGGTTGCGAGATCCTGGAATGCAGACTTGTCGAAGCTGGTGGAAAGCTCAGCCCGCGAGAGCAGTGAGCTAACACGTCGTGATTCTTTCGGTTGCCGTGTCATATCGTAATCAGGGTTCAGCTGTGAAGCGAGCGCATCTTCGACTGCCTGGTCCGAGAGCCGCTCTTTAGACTGCGCGGGAGCACTGAAAGACGATGGATGTGTCTTGCTCCGCATGGCACCACCGAAACTTTCCCTCATTCTATCAGCCCCTCGAACGGCTGGAGTGGTCGCGCCTGTGCCAGGAGCAGTCGGGCCATACGAGCTCCGGCGTCGCGATTTACTCCCTGAAAGTGAAGCGTGGTGTTTTCGAGAAGATGAGATTGATTTGGGTTCAAGATAAGCTGCGGACCAGATCGTAAATACATTGGTCTCACGATTAGCCGTGATGACCAAGAGTAGCGGTTTGTCACTTCCGCTCCGATCGAAGAGTATTTCGTTTTGTGGAGACACATATATGATCTTTTCAGCCCTGTCAATGGCTTCCAATCTTCGATGGCCATAACCATTTGCGGCCAATAAGCCACTTCGTTCGTTACCCGTCACCACATTGACTACTAGACCAAGCTCGGCAAGAGGATCGGTGAATGAGAAAAGTCTTGGCAGGCCGTCGGAGCTGGGAACTGCTGTACTTTTGAGCAGCTCTTCCAGGAACAGAGGACTAGCAGGCCCAGGCTTAAGACCTTTGCTCGCTCTTGAAGGGCCCAGAGAGGACCCATGGCGATGGTGAGGTTGAGAGAAGGTCTGAGAAAACGTCTGAGACAGGAATGACTGGGGATTGGTGAGGAAAGAATTAGGCGGAGCTGATGGCGGTTGCGGACTGAGAGGGCCAGGCTTTGGAGCGGATAATTTCCTCTGCAATATAACGCCGCGAGCAGCGGGAAATGCCTTATCGACCTCAAATGGAAGATTAACCACGTGTGTTGTGCCGGAGAGGTAGAAGACGTGTGCTTGCGATTTGAGGAAGACGACTAATGCGCGAGACTTGACCTCGACGGTGCGCGGGGCATGGTCGACAGGTGCGTTTGGGTCGGTCGCCGGCTGCGTTCCCTGGGTGAGGAAGGTCCGGGACGGGTCGATGTCGGTCCCGGATGGTAAGACGTGCGAGGAAGCAGTCGAAGGCTCCTCAGTGGGAAACCAGGTGAGCAATGCCTGTATAACCTTCTCTTGCTCAATCTCGAAGTTGAAGACCTTGCGCACAACACCGCCACGGGACCACACAACGTGATATTCGGTGGTCACCACCTCCTCAGGAGGGCTCTCGGGTCCTCCGTCATGGTATGTATCCCAGGTGTAGTCGCGCTCGGTGCAGTCGTCGCGGAGGATGGATTCAGCGATCAGGTATTGCAGCGCCGCAGGCTTGTGAACCCCGATTGAGCGTAAGGTTGCCATGCGGAGGCTCGTTTCGCGGCATCAGGAAATCTGGGTTGCGCGATGGCTGGCTTGGGGTCAGTTGTGGCGGGGTCAGCGAGGTGGTGGTTGAAGGTCGACGCGCTTGTTTTGCGTCGCGGGTCGCGCCAGCCCAGAATTTCCTCCGCAGCACCTCCGAGCTCTCTACGTCCACCTCACCTTGACCGCTCAACGACGACTGGGGGCTAGGACGTCCACGGCTCTTAAATTCCCCCACGAAGCTTCCTTGTAAAGCTTGCCTGCAGTGCTGAGTAATATGTGCCGGGAATCTCTCCTGCAGAGGCTAACTCGCTCCCAGGCTCACCAGCTGCTCGCGACAAACATGAAGCCCGCCATCTCGATTAGAGGCAAATTGGCACAGCTGAGGTACGCTACCGCTGCTACGCCAGTTTCAGAATGCAAAGATTGAACTCGGTTTAGGTATGAGCTGCCGCATCGAGTGCACGACGCAAAGATCTACCCCGTCAAAGCTCCAAACGGCTCGACTGTCATACTGTACGGCCACGAGAACGGCGTCGGCATACTGTGGAGAGGAGGACGCCCTCTAAAGAAAGCCGCGCCGCTGCCCAAGCAACCTGCAAAGCCGCCACCTAAGGTAAACGGGACCAACGATGCCATCGTGATAATCGATTCGGACGACGAGGAGCCCGCAAAAGCCGCTCCGCAACCGCTACCACAAGCTGAATTTGAGGAAGAGGAGGAAGAATTGGACCCAGACCAGCCGTACCCATCCATTATCCAGCAGCTGCGCTTACCTCTGAACACCGAGGTCCTGCACATCGCGGTGCCGCAGGTGCCGGCGACTTCGGAGGTTAGTCCTGGAGATACAGTGCCGCCAATATTCAGCAAGAAGATGGTATTTGCGGTGGCTTGCACAGACTATAGTGTTCGCGTCATCACTTTGCCACTGAATCCTCCGCCAAATACAGCAAAAGAGAGGCTTTTAAGCGCCAAGTCACCGTATGGGGAGGAGGTTATCAAGATTCCCACCTATGCTGGTCATCAAACCATCCCAAGGGGGGTGAGTGTGACCTGGACTGCGCGAGGTGAACCAAGTCACAAGCACGTGTCCGAGGACGAGATGGACGTCGACGGAGATGAACGTACGGCTACCACTTCCGGTAGGCGAAGTCCCCGTAAGAGGCAGAGTCGTTCCCGTTCCGCCCATCGTAGCGACGGCGAGGGCTTTGACTTGCTCATTGCGTCCCACTCTACCGAGCTCGGTGGCCTTCTGAAATTCTGGCGTTTCGGCCTCACTGACAAGTCGATAACGGCCACAAATCCTGTCTCGGCGTACCAGACGCTCACCCTACGAAACCCAGCATCGAAAATAGCGTTCAACACTGCGCAATATCCCAAGCGTCGCCATTCGCAGCTTCTCATCACGGACCAGTTGGGCATTGCGCGCATCTATGACCCTTTCGCGCTACGTAAAGGACGCACAGAGCCTGGTGCATTTATCGCTTTGTTTAGGACATCCTTTGCAAACGCCAAGACCACTACACCTACTCCACCGATACTCGCCGCTCGCAAGGCCATCATTGACGCTACTTGGGTGTCCGATGGCCACCATATCCTCGCATTGCTGGCGGATGGCGAGTGGGGCCTCTGGGACGTCGACCGAACAGGCCCGAGTCCTCCAGCCGATCCGTCCGCATTTTCTATGCGCGGTTTCGTGGGGACTTCAGACAACGAGCGAGCTAGCAGCGGTGCTTCTAGCCCGAAATCTCGCGGGGGCCGTGGCTCATTGGTGCCGATGACACCAAACACGCGACGTAGGAAGGAGGAGACCCTGTTCCATGGTAGCTCATCTAGTAGTTCCATACCTACTCGTGGCGGCATTTGCGCAGCCTCGCTGTCCTCTGCGGATGGAGGGACACTAGCAGACTCTATCATCATTTGGTACGGCACTGAGGTCTACAGAATTTCAGATCTCGCCAAGTTCTGGTCCCGCACCGTGTCAAGCAGCAGTGGGAGCTCTCTGTCAGGACCTGGGCCATCACAGCTACACGACATTCCTTTCCTTGGAGAGTCGATCACATCCATTGATCAATTCGACACTACTGCTAGGGACGCAAGAATGGCTACTCCTAGGGATGCGCTTATAGCAGCAGAGCACAGGTTGATTATTACAGCAAGCACGAAAGAGCCGCTCGGAAGAGATCTGAACGCTGCATTCGAGAGCGAGCAGGCGGTAGAGGAGCAGATGAGGAGGACCGACCAGGCGCTATTGGCTCGCGGTGAGCTTGATTTGGGCGGAATGGACAGGCTGCTGGAGAATATGGAAGAAAGCGGAAGCGGGTCACACAGCTTGGTGCTTGGTAACCCTCGAAAGGTCCTGTTTGCTTCGTCGACGTCTTGATAAAGTACGAGATGACTTACTGTTACAGCGCCGCGCATCGGTATCCCTCGTCAGATCCTTCGATTCCTTGATGAGAACCCCGAAGAGGTTGTGGAGGCAGTACGTGAATGGTCGCTAAGCCAATTTCTTTCCTTCCCTTGGTCTCCAAAGGAATCCGCCAGGGCTCTGAGATTTAGACAAGGACTGGGAACGAGAGTCACAGGGTGCGATTGCAGGGTCCCTTTGTACATGATATCCCGATTTTCACTATCTTCAGTCGTGTCCGAAGGCATGCCGATTTCGGCATTAGCGTCCCGAAGACTGCCCGACACTCGTGCTGATGTAACCCGGTTCAAGACTTCGATGCTTATCTTCTTCTTGCTCTTTCCGTTCTTCCCTCCTTCAACTGGGATTCTTCGCGGCCTAAGGTGGAGCTCAGCGAACAGACCCATTCCTGCTGCTCAGTATAGCCTCGCGAAAGATTGAACTGCATCGCCCAGTCGCCGACATTCCGCCTAGTACATCGTGAGGTGGAAAAGTGGAGGTTGTCTGGATAGCTGTGGGGTGCGTGCACTATATACCCGCCCTCCCTGAGCCGTTACTCGAGCCAGTGCCCTAAAAGGGAGCTGCGTGAGGACGGTGCGGCGATGGGCACTTGCGGCATCGTTGCTCCCCTGGGGGTATGGTGGCGTAAGTAGGAGGGATACGTGCGACATTCCGTGTGTGCAAACTAGGCTTGAGCGACTGCGTGTACCTATAGCTGTCAATCGCTGCAGTCAAGCGGGTCTACCATGCATGCTTTCGCCGAAAGGTCACATCATAGGTGTCCTCCGCTTATCTACGAATACCGTCGGAGGGCTCCTCCTTGCAACTATTTTGATGTTGCTAGATTAAGCGTCAACGTATTCTGCCAGTCGATGTGTGTCAACGCGATGGCACGTGATTAGTGCAAGGGTCCGGTGGATGTCTGGGCATGCAATACCGCATGGATGAGAGAGAAATAGAGGCAGAGCACAACCTCGCTATAGAATAGTAAGCAAATCAACATGCAGAGACTGGTCCATCAATGGTGAGAGTAAAAGTGGTGAAAGTGATAGTCTGGGCGCAGGGTTGCCCCTCCAGAAAGGGTCTAGACTAGCGCGACGCGTCCAGGGACCGCTGAGGTCCAGGGCAAAAGTGACGACCTCATCCCCACGCTCCACGCTGTACATTTCGCGTGCTCCACCGCAACTCGCTTGCGGCAACACCACGCCATGGCGCAAGTGTTGCCCGCGAAGCGCCCTCGAGCGTCGATAGACCATCGGCCGTCCATAAACGGGGTCGCAGGACCAAGCAGGGCGAGCAATCCCAGTTACTGTAGGCATGGCTGGCTCCTAACCTTGCCATAGAGCAAACGACCGCGTCACTCCACCATAGAGCCCAGCGAACGAGACGAACGAGATTATTCCGAGGACGTAGAGTCTCGGCACCCCCAAGACGAAGAAGCATCCTCGAACGAACCGGACGACGCCGAAGATGATGAGGCCGTCTACGTGCGGGCTACTCAGATGGTACAGAAGAGCCTTCGGAAAACGGCAGAATTGAAAAATACCCCGGCTGAGGCAGGAATCGTTGAGGAGATACGATGCACAAACTTCATGTGTCACGAACAACTCACGGTGACACTGGGGCCGCTGATCAACTTCATAATCGGCCACAATGGTAGCGGGAAGAGTGCAGTTCTTACGGCTCTCACCTTGTGTCTTGGCGGCAAAGCTACAGCCACCAACCGCGGACAGAACCTTAAGAGCTTTATCAAGGAGGGCAGAGAGTGAGTATTCGACAGACATACCGTCAGTCGGTACACTAACACTCTTTGGAGCTACTCTATTCTATCGGTCAAGATCAAGAATCAAGGCTCCACTGCGTACAAGCCTGACCAATACGGCGATTCGATAATCGTCGAGCGACACTTCAACAGGTCCGGCGCATCGGGTTTCAAATTGAAGGATCGGAATGGCCGAATCGTCTCCACCAAGAAGGCGGATCTAGAGGACATCATCGACGCGTTTGCTATGCAGATCGACAATCCGATGAACGTTCTCACGCAGGATATGGCCCGACAGTTTCTGAACGATTCCAACCCAAAGGAGAAGTACAAGTTCTTCCTGAGAGGCACCCAGCTTGAGACACTCAATAGGGATTATCTGCAAATTTCGCAGGAGCTCGAAGAGCAAGAATCCAGGGCTCAGACCTTGCAAGGTGACCTTGACGTGTATCGGAAGAAGCTCGAACACGCAGTCGAGAAAGCCAAGCGTGCAAGTAACCTTGAGACCATGCGAGCCAAGGAGATGAAACTCGCACATCAAGCTGCATGGGCACAGGTCGAGGGTGAAGAAAGGGTTGGTTCGACACAAGCCTGGTCGCATTCATTCCGGTTGTTGATATCTTGCAGGAATTAGCCGACATTGACGCCGAGCTCGGACGGATTTCTAATGTTATTGCGCAGAGAAAGGCAGAAGCAGACGCTCATTCTGAGCAATTCGAGCGTGCTGATCAAGCATTGGAGGATGCACAGGCAGAGGTCCAAGAGCTTCAAGCCCAGATAGAACCTGCCGAACAAGTGGTGGCGGACCGTAAGGCTCAATGGCACGCTACAAAGAAGAGCGTATTGGACCTGAAGGTATGCTGCTACGCTAGCGTTTCTTGAACGCCCACTAATTTGCTTATTAGATGACTGAACGTAATATCATAACGGGGATCAAGACCAGCGAGCAGTCCATCAAGAACACGCAGTCTCAGATCCAAGACCACCGACAACGTCAAGCAGAGGCCGACAATGGGCTCTATGCCCAAAGATTAAGTGAGCTAGAGGACGCCAAAGCTACATGCGAGCAGGACAAAGCGGCATGGGAAAACTCCGATAACGACCTCCCTGCAAAGAGCGAGCACTTGAAGTCAGCACGCGAGCAAAAGCTGCGGGCCGACGAGAGGCGACAACAGAAGCGAGAGGAGGAACAGCGGTCTAGGGCGAAACTCCGCGACTTGGAGCAAGGGCATCGTAAGTGGGTCGAATCCTATCCCAACCCTGCCGGCCTGGAGAAATTGCTTCACGCAATCGAAAACGAAAGGAGATTCCGAGAGCGACCAGTTGGTCCTATGGGACGCTACGTTGAGCTGAAGAAGCCCGAATGGGGATATATCCTTGAGAAGTCCTTTGGCGCAGCCCTAAGCGCTTTCGTTGTGACAAGCAAAGCGGATCAGAGTACCCTTTCCGAGTTGATGAGGAGGTACAACTAGTGAGTGTTTACTCTGCCCTGTAAAGATGATAGAAATTGACCCGACCAGCCAAGTTCCAATTTACATAGGCAAAAAGGATCGAATCAATACGTCTGATCATGAGCCAGACGAACGGCTTGTCACCTGGATGCGGGTTCTGGAAGTATGACCCGCCTGATGATTCTTTTGCTTCAAGAAGTTAACGAAACACACAGATCAAAAATGACCTTGTCCGGAATCAGTTGATCATTAACCAGAACATCGATCAGATCGTGCTCATCCAGAAGCGGAGTGAAGCTCACGACTTCATGCTCCGACATGGCCCAGAACGAAGGAACGTGAAAGCTTGTTTCGCCATGTCTGACGGCAGTCGGAGATTAGGACATCTCATTCACATGAACCAACAGAGCGGTGCCGTCAGGCTTGAACCGATCAACGAATATCAAGGATCCTTTCGAATGCAAGCGGACAAGGGTCGACAAATACAAGAGGAAAAAGACAATCTCGCGCGAATTCAGCGAGAAACGCGGGATGTCGAAGCAGCAGTTCGAGCGGCCCAAGACCAACTCAATGCGTGCCAAGCCGCGATGCAGGATCACAAAAACACGAAACTGGACCTCAAAGTGAAGTTTCAACGCGCTCAAGACGTCGTGGAGGCCCTAGAATCGGCACTAAGTGCGGCAACGCCCGATGCAGACGTGATCGAGATTCTAGAAAAGGAACTGGCCGATGCCCAACACCAATTGGAACTGGATCAAGAACAGTACAAGGACATGGTGGTGGAACTCGACAACCAAAATGACGAAGCACGCTTACACAAGACCCGCCTCGATGACGCCGAAAAAGCGCTTGAGGAGCTTAGATTCCAGCTCGAGAAACACAGTGCCAAAGTTCAGACGCTTACGCAGCGACGAGAACAGGCGTTACGACGCAAAAATGCTGCTCTGGAAGATGTGCAGGCCGCAGAAACCAACAAAGCCGACTGGGAGCAGAGGCGTGCGGAGCAAGAAGCACAGGTTGATACCTCTGGAAGAGACGCCGAATCGATATGCGCGCGCATAGAAGTCCCTCCCAATGAAACGTTCGAGTCGCTAAAGCGCAGGTTGGACAGGATGGCGAAAGAAAGGGAACGGAGCGAGAAGGAGCTTGGTGGATCAGAAGAAGAGCTGTTGAGGCAGGCTAATGATGCCAAGAAGACGTACTATGACGCCAAAAAGGAGATGGAAGGCACCCAGCATGTGCGAACGGTAAGTCAGTCGCCGGGAATGACGTACCTCGCAGCTGACTCTAGTACAGGTCCTGAAGGTTGCTCTGCAAACGCGCCAGGAGCGTTGGAGAAGATTCCGGCAGGAAATCTCAGTGCGAGCCCGCGTCACTTTCAACTATCTTCTTAGCGAGCGCCAATTCCGCGGTAGTCTCAGCGTCGATCACACAAATTCGCGGCTGGACATCCATGTACGTCAACCAAAGGTCCGGTAGCATATACAAGCTAATGGGTCTGTGTCTAGGTTCAACCAGATATTACGGTCAACAGTGCCGCGGGGAGGCAAACGAAGACGCTGTCGGGAGGTGAGAAATCGTTTTCGACGATTTGCTTGTTGCTCTCGCTCTGGGACGCCATGGGCTCTCCAATACGCTGCCTTGACGAGTTGTGAGTTGCAAGCCCAAATACGGTTCTGCCACGCATACTAATAGCCGTAGTGACGTGTTCATGGACAGCGTGAACCGCGACATTAGCATGACGATGATGATTGGAGCTGCTCGACGCGCCGTGGGCCGTCAGTACATCTTGATCACGCCGCAGGCCATGAACAACAAGAGCATCCACAGCATGGACGACGTGAGGATTATTCGGTGAGTCTGTCCCAGACACGACCCCCTTCTGCCATGGCTAACGGAAATCTAGCATGGATGATCCGGAACGAGGCCAGACGGCGTTGAACTTCGGTAGATGAGTTACTGGTGGAGCAGGACTGCGTTTGTTCTTTTGAAAGCCCAAAGCGTGGCGCTGTACAGTCACGCATTGCATGCCTAGGTATTGGGAGGGCGTTTGAAAATTTATGACCGGATACCCGCGGGCGTTGAGGGAAGGAGGAGATGTTACATACATACTTAATGTATGCGGTATTGATGGTGTCTCGCATGCCCGTGTGCGGCACGTAGCTGGAGGCGCAACAGCGACAGGGCCGTCACCTGCTTTTAGACCGCGCCAGACAATTTACAGTATTTGGTTCCTGCTTTAGAGCAATTACTTAGTACCTTAAACAGCGTGCGAGAGTGCTGGTGTAGACACGTCGGCTACGGTGGGGCCCATTCACACGGACTACTTATACGACCGGTTGCTGCTGTGATCGGCCACAGGGACTTGCGGGATCCCATTGGCCGGGGCAAAAGTGGGCCCGCGTCGGTTGCTGGTTGGTTGCTCACGACGAGACTCAGCACCTCTCACGTCTCTCCACACAAAACACACCAACGAGAACCGCACTCTGCTGCGCTGTCAACCGCCCGGTTCGCTCGCTCCCTATGAGGGTGCATGTCTTCACGCCTCCCGTGAGACGCTCCCGTCTCTGAACAGCATGGACTCCTCGCCGCCCTCGCCCGGCACTCCCAGCCCATCCTCGCCCTCGCCCTCCGACGATGGGCTGACCCGGCCCGCGTCGCCTTTGCAGGACGATGCGCGCATGATTCCGGCCCAGGAAGACGCCGACAACGACGGGGAGAGTGGCTCGGGCGGCGCGGCCTCAAGCGCACCGCATCCGGCTGAGGAGACCGTCAACAGATCACTCAAAGGAAAAGAGAAGGCGAGGAAGGGGCCGTTGCGACTGCTGGACCTCCCGGTGGATATTCTCAAAGAGATCATACACCAGGTAAGCATATGACCGAAGGGTGCCGTGCGCACGACGGCGCGAAGCCAAACTGCGGGCTGACCAGAGAAACCCCCACAGCTTCCGCATACCAACGACCTCACATCGCTCGCGCTCTGCCATTCGGCCCTCCACCGTCTCACGATCCCATGCATATACTCACGCTTTGATATTGTCTGGCCCGACGAAAGCACGCATGCCGAGCCCCGATCTGGCGTGGATGCCCTCACTTATGGATTGGCGACTCTAGTCATGGGCGACGACTGCTTTCCGCACCAGAACAGACTCCGCCACCAGTCCAGCGCGGCGAGCAACTCAAGCACGCCTTCTACGACCCCATATCCCATTCCACGGCGGCGATTTGGAAACTACTATGCCCAGTTCACGAAGAAGTTCTCCTTGGGCAACGGGCCGGCAGCATGGGTGCAGGAGTACATGATAACAAAAGAGGGCGGCAAAATGCTCGGCACTTTGGTCGCGCTTGCGATTGCCCGGATGATCAACCTCGAAACTTTTGTATGGGATATGCCGACCGGCGTTCTCCGCGACGTATGGCTAGCACTCTCGAGCCTGGCTGACCGCTCCGATGGCGACGAGTGCCGGCTTGAACGCCTCTGGATCCGATGGCACGACAATACTATAGACGCTCCTGTTCCTGCGCCTCCGCCTCCGATGATCCTGAACAACGTAAACGTACCACCTCCCCCGGGCACTACGCATCCCAGCGGAGTGGGCGCCGTTCAAGCGCCTGTCGTCGTCCCTCAGCCGTTCCAGTCACCTCTGGCTTCAGCAATAGATCGGGTTGAGTATCCTACCTTCTCCGTGATACCCCCGCTGAAGAGCTTGAGCGTCCTAGATGTCGACGAACTACCTTATCTGGACGAGATGAGCATCTTAATAGCCAGGTCTCAGAAGAAGCTGCGAGAACTCAGGGTTGGCATTGCTCCGCACGCACAACAGCGGGACTGGGTCACTGCATGGGAAGGCGACGGGATCCAACAAGTCGACTATAATGCCCCATGGACTGGCGCCAGTTCAATAGGAGAAAAGAGATTGGGCGGTGTCCTTGGCATACTCGTAGGAAGGATTCATAACCTGCGTCATACCGAGGAGCAACCCAGCCACCGCCCCAACGCGGCCGGATTGCTGGATCGGCAAACGGAGACAACCGCCCTCAAAGTTGGAACACCAGACTCGATGCCCGCCCACGCAACGCCATTACATGACCGAGAGCCTGAACATGGTATCGAGCATTATGAGCATATATTGGACGAACCAACTGTACCGGAAGGGGTCAGTCTCATCGATGACATCCAATCGCTCGGCATCAACCCAACCGTCCAACCACCCAACAACGCGGAGAACGACCCGGAACCACTGCTTTCGAATCCTCTAGTCATGCCAGTGCCAAAGCATGGAAGCGCCGACGTTCCTCATGAGTCTGATAAAATGACCGAGCCTATATTGAACGGAAAGCTGAAATTAGAGGTCCTGGAGCTCGAGCGTGTTCCGCTCTCAGTCTCGGTGTTACTAAGGGCTTTCGATTGGTCGATGTTATCGACTCTGACACTATTGAACTGCAGCAACCACGAGCAATTGTGGAAATCCCTTCGACGCACCTACACCCCGCGCTCTGCATATCCCGCCGGCTCACCGTCTTCATCAAAGGCGTATAAGGCTTCATATACCCTCCGATCAGAGTATAGCCTGAACCTCAAGAAGATTCACACGAACACGGTCTCTCCATCCCTAATATCCTTCCTAAAGGAGACACTCGCACCCAACAGCCTGGAAGTGCTCTTCCTGCAAGAAGGGAGGTCGTACACATCTGCAGTGACAGTGGATGCGATATACCGAGGACCCTTGCGGCGACATCGATCAAGCCTAAAGAAGTTGATGATCGACAGCAGTGAGAAAGGTCCCGATGGACATGCTACAAATAGCTCGAGGTGGAGGAGGTGGATGCTGAACCGCGAGATTCTCACCTTCATCACCAGCGGACGCATGAGCAGTCTCCGAGAACTCGCAGTATCGATCGACTACAAAGACTGGGTGAGTATATTATTTAGCGAAAGATTGACTGAAGCTAACCTCGACACTAGCATCACTTCCTACAGCGCCTCCCTCTAATCCCCCACATCCGCTCCCTTTACATCCCCTTCATCGCCGACCACGCCCACGGCAACAACATCGACCCGCGAGAACTTGCCTACCAAATCCTCGACATCGTGCACCTCCGCCCCGAAATCGAGCTCTGCTACATGGGGCTCTCGACAAAGTGCTTCGAGATCCTAGAAAACCGCCCCTCAAACTACGATCTCCGCCACGGCGGCGACGGTATCAACGTCGGCGATGGCACGGGCGTCGGCTACGTCGGTGCGCACGACCCTATGATGTCGGACGATGAGTCCGATGCGACCGAGGATGAAGACGATGACGAACTTGATGGCGGGATGGGCGGGCCTGTGGGAGAGAGCGAAGAGACGGAGAGTGAGGTCGAGGAGGATGCGAATGATGACTCGGATGATGAGTCCTTCTTGCAAGATTCGCAGAAGGGTCCGAAGCTGAGGGTACGCGAGATTCTCTTCTACGAGGAGCGGGTTGAAGCTTTCCGGAGGCGGCATGGGGTTCTCAGGCCGTAAGCGGATGATTAGACTACACAGGCGATGTAATGCGGTTGAAAGGGGAAGAAGAAATGTCGACTGCATTTTCACAGGTTCGAGCGGGGAAAACTCCGGTGCTGGACGGATGGCGATGGCGCATTTAGTGGGATAACCCTGGGAGTTTTTTTGGTATTTTTCCTTGCGAGGTCATCATCATTCAATCCTTGGGCGTGGTTAGGATCATAAGATATCTCTCTCGGTCATAAGCGAGCTAGTGGCAGCTTTAAAGCAACTTTACTTTACGGGAAACTGTAGTTTAGATATAGTTCGAGTGCGTTGGGAACGCCCGGTAAAGGAATGAATGCAATTAGAATTGCGGAGCGGACCTGTTGGTTACCTATGCCTACGTACGTACGCTATTCAATGGGGTGTTGAGCTTGAAGCCATTCAGAATGCGAGGCTTTGACTCGGGGAGGGGGGCATTCAGCCAAGGCCATTCATTGCTGGTTAAGCAGCAACCGGCTTATACTCATAAAGCGGAGTTGATCGTACAAAAACGTCCAGGATCGTCAACTCATTCTAACCCTCTTCTCTTTCCCGTGTCAAATCGTGTTGAATATGCCAGTATCAGAGCCGACTTTTGTTGAAAGATCCCGCTCACAGCCCATTCCTAAACGCCAAGCAAAAACGCCGCCCATATTCCACTTGCATGTACCTTAGACAGGCAGTGGGAATGTGCTGGCCCAAGCCGCAATCTCCTTCTTGAGGCTGTTGATCTCGTCCACCTCGCCAGAGGCAACCTTCGCCTTGAAATCCTTCAGCTTATTCGCCTCTTTGGGCAGCTCGCCCTGGACCTTCTTGCACAGCTTGATGCACGTATCAATGTATCCGGCAATCTTCTTGAAATCCTCCTCTCCGAGACCACGGCTCGTCATAGCCGGCGCTCCGATACGGATACCCATGGGCGTGAGGGCCGACTTGTCTCCGGGGGTGGTATTCTTATTGCAGGCGATATTGGCCTGTTCGAGAACCGCTTCGACACGCGCACCGTCGAGGGAGAGCGGCTTCAGGTCGATCAGCACCATGTGGTTGTCCGTACCGTCGGTGACGAGCTTGTAGCCGAGCTCTTTGAAAGCGAATTCGAGGGTTTTGGCGTTCTTGATGACTTGCCGCTGGTAGGCTTTGAAGTCATCGGTCTGGGCCTGCTTAAGCGCGACAGCGAGCGCGGTAATGGTATGGTTGTGGGGTCCGCCCTGATGGCCAGGGAAGACAGAGAAGTTGATAGGTCCCTCAAGGTCATACAGCGTCTCCTTACCCGTCTTAGGATCTGTCTTGCGCACGCCCTTGCGGAAGAAGATCATCGCGCCGCGGGGTCCACGCAGCGACTTGTGCGTCGTGGTGGTGACGATGTCGCAGTAGGGGAAGGGGGACTTGTTCACGCCGGCGGCGATGAGGCCCGAGATATGCGCCATGTCCATCATGAGGTAGCAGCCAACTTTGTCTGCAATCTCGCGCATGCGGGCGTAGTCTATTTCGCGGCAGTAGGCTGAGGTGCCGGCGACGATGACCTTGGGGCGGTACATGAGCGCGTTCTGCTCGAGCTGGTCGTAGTCGATGAGGCCGGTGTCGAGGTTAACGCGGTAGGGGAAGGTCTCGAAGTAGGTTGACACTGCGGAGATCCTACAAGGCATCAGTCCTCTCTTCTTTCCACTGAAACCGCGTGGGCTGAACGTACTTCTTCTGCGGCGTCTGATAACCATGGCTCAAATGCCCACCATGGGGAAGATCCAAGCCCATCAACCTCTCGTGCGGCCTCATGATGGCTTGGTATGTCTGCAGGTTCGCCGGGCTACCACTCAAGCACTGTACATTGACACCCCACTTCTCCGGATCCAGTCCAAAAGTCTCTAGCGCGCGCTTCTGGCAGAGCAGCTCTACTGCGTCAATATTCTCGTTTCCACCATAGTAACGTGCGCCGGGGTAGCCCTCAGAGTACTTGTTCGACATGGGCGAGCCAAGGGCATCGAAAACGGCGCGGGAGGTGACATTCTCGGAGGCAATGAGCAGGATGGATTCACGCTGGCGCTTGATTTCTTTTTCCTGTGCTCAATCAGCAGGTTGCACTTTGAAACAAGCAGTTCGAAGCGTACCATTATCTTAGCGACCTCAGGATCCGTCTCCACCAAGGACTTCTCCATAAGCTGCCATGAGTCAATATCATACATCCATTGTCGTTCCAAGTCTGGGGTCATACCTCCTTGTGGGACTGAGGGAGCGCGTAGTGAGACATGGTGGGCCAATTGATTCTAAAGCTGGTATATAGAAGAAGACAAGTTGTGGAGGGGAGAACTTTTGAAGTGTTCAAGAGAGAATTGCGCGATCGAGCTGCCGTGGAGACTTTGAAAACCACGCGACGCTCACACTAAACTTTTTTGCGAGGGGCACTTCATACTAGTCCCAATCTGGGTTAGTATAACATCGTTCGAGCCGTCATCGGACTCCGACCCACGACGGAACGGAACGAAAATGCGAAGGCCCGAAGATTAGATAACTCACTGCACTACACCATACCTCATTACTATGGTCATCTGGCTTCAGAGACGACTGCTTGAGGCTCTTGTTTTGTTTCCGATATTCCCGAACACTTAGCAAATGAGCACAAGACGATGGTATTCCATCAACACCATGTCGGAACAGCACAGTTATTGGCTTTGATATTGTTTGAAGGCTTTGGCTGTTTCATTCTACATACGTACAGTCCATTCCATCAACCGCAGTTCGGTTCATCCTCCCATTCCGTCCATGATATGCATTCCTCGCTCTGTCGTTCGCTTTGCAAGAATCCAACACTTCCCAACGCCGAAGTATGCCATGTGTCGTAGTGAGCAGCACGCTGCCAATCGCTTTGCAAAAGGGTATGTAATCGATTTGAACCGAAGAATCAAAGCCGAGTACCCTCGGCGCCAAATATCGACAATCTCTTTCCTCGCATGCCCGCCTCTTATCATTAACCCCCCATGAAAGCTTTTCCAAGTGCGACCTTAGTCGTTGTCGGTCAACCGATCCAGCACGATGATACTCAGTATCATGACTAGCAACCCGATGGTTACTATTATGAGTAGCACGAAGCCGAACCAGCCGAGTACCATCGCGCTTGTCCCGACGCCCGACTTCACGCTACCGTTTCCCAGGTCTTGCACGATTGTCGCTGCGGCTACGGATGCGGTATGCTGCCATAGCACGGAAACGAGCACGAAGATGGATGCGATGAAGATGAGCGCGAGCGCAACCTGCGAGACTGGTCTTGACGGGAAGGGCTTGACATCGACGTCCGAACCGGTATGCTCGTCTCTCTCTTCGTGCCAGCCGGGGAATGTCGCGAGGAGGATGAATGTGAAGAAGGCGAGAATGATGGCGACGATGAGAAGGTAGGGGAATACGACGGCATCCTTGAAAGTTGAGGCGACCCACACCAGGTTGAGCGGGTCTTGGTCGACCGACACACCGTCGACAAGCGCAGTTGCGTTGTTCGAGCAGATGTAGTCGCCGCCATCCTTATTTATGCAAATGCCGAAGTACCCAACGCGCACTGCGAGCTGCGCATTGCCGACAATATTCGCGATTGCTGCGGTGACACCGGGATCGACTTGTTCGGTGGAGTAGGTGGGTGTGTACTTTTCGTACCACATTGAAATGAGGAAGATGCCCGGTATTAGCGGGGAGGTAGACGAGCAGCCTGCTAGTAGTAATGCTGTGGATCGTTAGCGCTCGATCACTCATTCCAGGCAGTTTCGGAGCGACTCACATAGTAGGATTATAGCAATGGCTATCAGGATCATGAGCACATGGTGGTAGCCCAGAAACGGTATCAACCCTGGAATGAGGTCAGCTTCCATTCCTTCCATGAACGAATGTCAAACCCACGTTGCATGCTAACCGCGAACCGTAGATTCGCCATGATGTGTATGCGCCCCCTTCAGCTTCTTCCGGAATGTCTGTGGGAATCTCCAGCGGCTCCCGAAGGGCCCGGAGAAGCTTGTGATGGAATGCAGTCGGAGAGGCTGCGGGTGGTATGTTTCTCTGCAAAGAATGTAGGAGCGAGCGGGCAGGCGGCTTTGTCCTAAGAATGCGCCGGTGGAGAATGCAGAAGTGGTCGGTTTTCGAGATGCGGTGTGGTCGCTATGGAGCTCTTGAAGCTTCCGTCGGAACTCAACTGCGACCAACGACTGTCAGAGTGTCTCCTTTGCAGCAGAGATAATTTGCAGAGGGTGTAAGGAGAGAGTGTTTAGCTTAGTGTGAGTCTTCGTCCCTTAGTTCCAGCCCGAGTACTTTTGCTGTGGGCAAAATTGTGAGGTTGGGGTACTTTGGTGTGGCTGGGCGACGAGGCTGGGAACACGCACACAAACAAGCCGGTGCCGGGCAACCAACCGCGTGGAACGTCATCCCGGCCGCCAGCCAATCACGCCGCGCCTCGCAATAATCGGACAATTTAATTCAGGGATGCGTCCGTCGGTTCCTGCAGGGTCGAGACTTTGACGGCCGCTTCGACGATGCTTTCTCCAACCTCTTCCTTTTGCGCTGCGACGTGGCACCGCGGCTGCGAGACAGCTCTTATTATTTGCATGACCCTCATATCGCTCGACTGGCATCGCTTGCTTCCCATATGCCCCGGTCTCGCGCCTTCTTGCGCTCGGTCCCGTCTACTGCGTGACTCCAGCGCTCGACGGCTGGACGACTGCTGTCCTCTTCACTCTCGGCATGCCAATGAGTCCTTCATTATGTCGCCGTGCGATATATCTCCGTTATTCAAGCCTGGCATCGCTTTCTCCGTCTCGGTTCGCCCGAGCGCGCTGCAGTGTATCCAGCCTATTGAAAAGGCTCTCCAGCAACCTGAGGCTATCTGAGGCACGCGGCAAGGACGAGGTAACTTCCCGGTTATGTAATGGCGGCGTCGCAGCCGAGCGTGAGCTCCGGAAGCTCTTCTGGACGAATCGGTATGGTGGTAGTGAGGAGCCTGTCTGTTCAGCGGTAAGGCTAGCTGCGGCCCCGCTGCAAACTGCAGCCGCTCAGAAGTCGATGGCTTTGCTGCTGACTGTTCGACGTCTCTCGGAGACTCCTCCATGTGTTCGTAGTCGGCTTGCCAGAGCGTTTGACGTGCCCGCGCTTGCTGCAAGCTGGCCATTCGGGCATGCGGACATGTAAAGAAGCGCATTTCCGAAAAGCACTCGGATCGGGCGTGTCCCATACAGAGCCTCGATGCCCAGGGACGTCAGCAGTCAGCTGCGCGTTTACGTGCAAGCATCGGCAGCTGGCAGTCAGATGCGAAAGCCCAACGCGGGCAGCATCGGAATGACACAAAAATCCCACCCAGTTGAAACTGGATTGCGCTTCGGGCTCACATGGAGCATCTGTCCGAGACCTGATCTACGATGCCGATTCCCTTATTCGACCTCTGCAAACAGGTGGGCATCCGCGCACCGCCGCAAAGCTCGGGCCACACATGGCTCGTGCGAGGCTATGACATCACGTCCCTCCACGCCTTTGGATCGTTAGCTGCTTGCAATAACGGGGCACCAATGCAGACGCGACAAAGAACCAATTGAAACAAGCCCGCAATCTCGATGAAAGACACAGCCTAGGCTCCATTGCCCCTCGCTAAAGAAACGATGACGATTTCACTACGTAGGCGGGGTCATGCGGTTGCAAAGGAGCTCCAGTGTTTGCCAATTCCCACGATGAATGCTTGCGGCGAGGAAAGAGGGACATGACGTAGCTGCCTCACAAGCTCTCGCTCTCAGCAGTACATAAACCTCTGCCGCCCGCTACTCTAGAGCCCTCATCCACATCCACACTGCAACTCCTACAATCCACTTCAACCACACACCCAACAAACCAAACCCCAAACACACCACCAAATCACCAACATGTCTGACGCCGGCCGCAAGGATTTCTCCACCAAGGCTAAGGAGGAGATGACCCCCGATTCCTCCAAGTCCACCCAGCAGAAGATGAAAGAGGCCTTCACCGACACTGGCGACAAAGTCGCTCGGTACGTTCCTCCTAAGTCCCCTTCTACCATAGCACCATAACTAACAATTACCGCAGTGGCGCCCAGCCCGACTCGGATAAGTCTACCGGCCAGTCCTTGACCGACAAGATGGGCCGCTCCAAGGACCGCGAGGTTCACGGCAGCACCGGCGGCTCCATCATCGACAAGACCAAGAACGCTCTCGGCATGGGCGACAAGCACTAGGCTGCTCGTTACGACTACAACAATGACGGACGATAATGGGACGGAGTTTCATGATATCGGAGGTTTGGGACGGGAGCTTGTTTCCTGTTCCTGCTTTATGGCCCGAGATAATGCCTTTGTATGAGTATGATACCATGCCTGATGGCGATTGAATGAGGAAACTCTTATTTCGATATCGACAATTTGTACCTGCTTTGATGTGTGATTTGTGATGGTTGGTGGATTCTTCATTGAACACGTCAAACGTTTTGCGTGGTTATGATAAATGGCATTGGTATAGATTCCCATGTACTGTTTCCACCTGACCTTCGCTAAAGCGTCATGGTGACTCTAACGTTGGATAATGAGGCAGCATCCGTCAGACACACGTTGTTTGCACCCAGTAACCGTAACGAGAACAAGAAGATCGCATTGAAAAAGAATAGCGCGATACCAGCATTCTATCAGTCCCAAGAACCCTTCGTATCTCCCTTCGTATCCCCCTAAGCCAACCCTGACTATACACAACCTGTTCGCACTCAATCATCGGCCTTCCTGGGCCGCCGGTCCATGGTCCCTCCGAGCCAGAAGCAAATTCCACCCCCTGTGCTCGAGCCATGGACCAATCCCAGTAGACACCCCAAAGAGCTCATTAATAAATAAAACGGCCCCAGTTGCCAAAGGTATAGCTTGCCCCGGCGAGGCGAGATCCGAGGCCGGCGATAGGTCAATGGACCTGATAGTGGCTTCTATGAGGCAGACACCGAAGATCCAGATGAACGAACCTGCGTACACCGCGGTGGTCGCGAATAATTCGAGAAACATCTCGTCCTTGTTCTCGATATCGGACTCTTGCAATACTGGCTCTCCTTGAAACCAAACTCGTAATCCGATCTTGGCGAAGCTATGCAAGTAGCCGCTAAGAATACATATGCCGAGGACAGCGAGCAAGCTTCCGAATATGAGAGATCCGGGACGGAATCCGGCTTCCAACTTTGCAAGCATTTCGGAGAGCCAAGCTGCATCGTTGGGATCGCGTGGCGGAAGTGTCCTGTACAAGCTCGCCTAGAACCAGATGAAGGCGCCGATATTCCAGAACGCCGCCAGGAATAGAGAAAGTACGGCCGCCGGCTCATAGAGGATGGCGTGAATGGTAGAGATAGCGCCAAGTGCTGGGAGATAAAGCATAGTGACGAGGGCGATTATTATGAATGCTTCGACCAGGCAGAAGTCGTGTCGTAACGCAAGTAGTGTCCATGATGTAAGGATAGCGAGCATAGAAGCCGCGCAAGCCAGTTTGAGTCCACTCGCCTTCCTGCTTACGTCGTGGGGGGCAGTGCGGAAGTTGTAGAGGAGCAAGGTGGCCGCCTGTAGATAGGTGCCAATGCGGACGCCGTTGCCATAAAGTTGTTCCGCTGTGGTGTCGTTTCCGGGAGCCATGATTCGAAAAGGAAGTGAGACGGAGACTAGATGCTGTCAGTACAATTCAATGGATTTGTGAATGGGTACTCCGCTTGCCTTGTATTGATGTATGATAACGAAAGCTAGTGATGCCGAAGCTGTAGACCGGGAGAAGGTTGTGCGTCTGCGAATGGAGCGATGGTTGGGTAATTCGAGAATGAGACAAACACCATTGAAAGTAATGACATGACCAGCGGGTAGGGACTTTCTAGTTCTCCCCAGATGGCCTCTTACCTTCTTTGACATGCCCAGACTTCTCTTTCCATTACAGACACTCTTCCAGGAATACAGTCCTGACGTCCTACTGTGGGCAAAGCCCTCGCGGACAAGATTATAATTTGTCACTCCATCGACAGACATTGTATTAGGCTAGCTTTCGGCAGCTGCACTGTGATGTTCCCTATCATTGACGCTAGCATGCACATTCATGACTGAGCCTGAGTTTGGTCGAAGTGAGGGAAAGTGGGTTCGGGCCATGGCTGGCGGCGCAACATCGGTGAGCTGAAGCTGCAGTGCGCATATGTATCCTGGCTTCCTCTTACACTGCAATCGGCCAACCCTCCCGAAGGAACCTTCAAACACCAGAGGTTACTTCCTGTTGCGAATCGGTCATAGCGGCAGACCGCCGTCGGAGTTGAGCGAAGGGTTTCCGGTGTAGAAAATCTTATCACGAACGGGCTCTCGGTTCCTCTAGTGCGATGGGAATGTGTGTGGTTCGGACCAACCTGGGGAGTGGGCTGGAAGGAATATCCTCGAGCCATAATAGCGGCAGTTCAGCGCAAGGCGTTTACTTAAGAAAAAAAAAAAGGGTTTCATATTAAATCCGCGAGGTGGGTGGTGGCAGCTCATTACTTCCCTAAGATAGAGGAGTGTGATGTAGAAACAGAAGATGGATGACGATGGATGATGTAGCACCAAGAGAATAAAACGCGATAGCAAGACCGAAAGGGAAGGAACGAGAAAGTAGAACCATAAAGCAAAAAGAGAGCGGTTACGACGTAGACAAGATTCGAACTTGCGAGGCCGAAGCCATTAGATGACATGAATTAGGTAATTCAAGTCTAACCCATTAACCACTCTGGCACTACGTCTTCGATCGAAGCCGATAATACCCTTTTTCTGCCGGTAGTATGTTTATATCAGACATCAAAAACCGCTCAGGCTTCACAGAGGGTTGAAAATTGGGGCGTCATTCGTGTGGGCTGTGTCAGAGGAAGGCGCGGGGCACAACCACTCAAGGCCCTTATCGGTGTCATCATTAGTGCACCTTTTGATTGGTTGACTAGAGGGTGGACTTTCCGCTCAGCGACCACGTCCCTTTCTGCTCATTGTGCACCACCTTCCCTTCCTTCTGCAGCTTCTCGAGAATCTGCAGGATGCCTTTCTCTGCTGGTGCCCACAGATTCTCCGGATAGTCTTTGTAAATAACCTTGACAATTTCCATCGACGTCCAACCGCCCTCCCTCTCCTGAGCCAGCACGTCCAAGACCTGCTTCTCGCGCATTTTCCGATGCTTGATGTACTCTAGCACTTTTCCTGACCCATCCTCGATGACTGGTCCATGGCCCGGATATGCGCGCCCCTTGAACTGCGTCGACATGCCGTCGAGGCTCTTCATGTACGTCGCGTAATCCTCGAACACCGCAGTACCTTGGCCGAGCACGTTGTCGCCCGTGAACATGGCATCCTCCTCCTCTAGGACGAGCGCCATATGGTCAGTAGTGTGGCCCGGACAGAAGAACGCCCGGAGCGTCGCGCCTTCCGTCTCGAACTTCTGCCCATCGCTTATGTCCAGCCATCCCTCCTTTGGATCCTTCTTGTACACCTTTGTATTCGAGGAATGCTTCAAGAGGTCGGGTACTCCTTCAATATGGTCATGATGCCAATGAGTCAGGATTGTCTTCTCAATTGTGATCTTCTCCTCGTTCAGCACCGACTTAAGCGCCTTTATCCATTCGGGCTTGCCTTCGCCGGTGTCGATCAACAATCGTTTCGAGCCTTGACCCACGATATACGTGTTCGTTCCTGCGCGCTTTAGTTTCGATCGAGAAAGATGGAAGGCGATGCGGACCTTGCAGTGTGAACTGGGAGATTATCAGCGCTCACTGTTGCAGACAAACAAGCGCTCCAACCTACCTTTCCCGGATTCCCGCCGAGCACGCGTATAACCCGGCTGCTAACCTTCTCAACCACTGGGAGAGGTACCAAAGGCTCTGCCATGGTCGAATAGAGTTTGTGAAACGTGAAGTGAGCACGTAATCGCCATAACGAGTGCATGTTCACTCACTGGAGAGATCCCGAGGTCCGGAGTTTAGATGCCCGCTTATCGATACCGCCGACGTCAGGACAAACTATCACTTTTCGGGGTGCTCCCGCCAACGCGTACACTCGGAAAAGTTAACATGGCGCCAAGCGATGAGGATGACGATATGCCGTGAGTATGTCCTGTTGTGAGGCAATCTCATCACTAATCAGCGAAGACAGCTCTCCGCTGGGGCCTTGGATGCCTTGAAAGATTTTTATGGCGAACGAGATGCCCGACAGAAACAATTTGAAGATCTGAAAGCTCAGGCTGAAGATAATTTTGAGGGCAAAGGAAGGCTGAGCATGGAGGCCTTCGCCGAGGATTGGAATGCAAGTCAATTCTGGGTATGGCTGGCGTAGCAAGGAACGGGGAACGAATGCTCATCACAATGTAGTACAACGACGAGACCGCTACAACCCTTGCTCGGCAACTTTTAGATGGAGCTACAGACGAGACTCGGATAGCTGTCGTATCTGCTCCAAGCGCATTCATTCAGCTGAAGAATCTTCTGGTAAGCCCACCTGTCCTCCTCTGCCACATCACTAACCAATATTTCAGTCGTCCGGAGAGTACACGTGCAGACCGCAACTCACCCTCTTCGAATACGATGAGCGATTTGCTGTCTTCAAAGAGTTCGTCCGATACGACTTTGAGCAGCCCATGAAACTCCCTGCCGAGCTGAAAAGCTCTTTCGACCGGATCGTTTGCGATCCACCATTTCTAAGCCAGGATTGCCAGACTAAAGGTAGGGCGTTAGCGACCATATCCACGTCTAATAAACTGACAGAATGCAGCGGCTTTGACTGTCCGCTGGCTCGCAGAGTCTTGGACGCCTCAGGATCCAGCGAACAAGACGGGCTCGTTCCATTTGATCGTTTGCACCGGAGAACGTATGGAAACTCTCATCGAGAAACTGTACTCCAAAGTCGGCATACACACTACCGACTTCGCGGTGAAGCATGCCAAAGGACTCAGCAACGAGTTCAGGTGCTATGCCAATTTCGAGTGCCATGACTGGAAGTGGGCTAAGCAAAGCTGATGTGCCTTACCCATCCTCTACTTTCGTGTCCATGGTAACTTTCAATATACCCATTAGACCTCGTATACTTAAGTGCTCCTGATGTTCTCAATCTTGCTGCTCGGCAAAACTTGCCTTCCCCTGCCGCGGAGCTACCCCACATTAGTTGCCCCTCCATTCCTCGGCCAGCACCTCAAGAGCTCCGAAACTCACGACATCACGTCACAGCAAACCAACTTTGAGCACCATAATGGCCGCCTGCATCTTCTGCAAGATCATCCGGGGTTAGTGCGCCTTAATGCCACCTCTCAATGCCTCCTAATTCGCCCTCTAGGTGAAATCCCCTCGATGAAGATCTTCGAGAGCGAGAAGACGCTCGCATTCCTTGACATCAGTCCATTGTCGAAAGGACACTCTGTACGTCCTCTCTATACAATTTTTTGCGCTCTTCCGCGTATCAGCAGTACAATTGCTAACAACGGGTTACACAGCTCATCATCCCGAAATTCCACGGCGCAAAACTCCACGACATCCCCGACGAGCACCTGCACGAAGTGCTCTCGGTAACCAAGAAAATCGCGCTTGCGCAGGGCATCCAGGACTACAATGTGCTTCAGAACAATGGAAAGATTGCGCACCAGGTTGTAGATCATGTGCACTTCCATTTGATCCCGAAGCCGAATGAGCAGGAGGGGTTGGGCATTGGCTGGCCGACGAAGGAGGCGGATAAAGGGGAGTTGCAGAAGCTGTTAGAGGAGATTAAGTCGAAGATGTGAGGGACTAGGTTCGGGAGGCTAGGTGCCTGGAGGGAGGGGGCGGCGGAGGGAGACATTGGAAGAAATACTACAAATGCGCAAATGGTCACATTGCAATCCCGTCCCTGGGAACCGGAGTGATGCATGAAGTCCGTCGGATGTATACGATTCTTTTGGTTTACTCATCGGCCCTTGAAAACCGGCTTCCTCTTCTCCTTGAAAGCCAACAGCGCCTCATCGCGGTCCTGCGTGTTGACCACCATATCATAGGCCATATTCTCCGCCGCCTCGCCTACAGCACAGCCCGCGACCGCTGCCATCGCAGCCTGTATCGCAATCGGCCCACCCTCACAGATCTCTCGAGCAAGCTTCACAGCCTCCTCGAGCACTTTCTTCCTGGCGGCGCCCGGCTCTTGTGCCTCTTCCGCTGTCACTTGTACCAGTCTATCGCAGAGCCCCAAAAAGTACGCTTCGGGTGCGCCAACTCTTCGTCCCGTAAGAATCAGGTCTCGCGCCCGAGATTGCCCAATCAGTGCTGGCAGGCGATACGTCCCTCCTGCGCCTGGTATGATCGCTAAACGCGTTTCAGGGAGCGCGACGGTCGTTGTGGAGGCGAAGACGCGCATGTGGGTTGTCAGAGCGAGCTCAAGGCCGCCGCCGAACGCGGGAGCCGCAAGGGCGGAGATCGTGGGGAGGGGTAGATTTGAGATAGAATTAAAGGTCTTCCGGAGAGATTTGAGAAAGTTAGCTGTACTAGAGGTCTTGTTAGCTTCAATACCAGATGGTGGAAACACTGCGCCTACTCTTGGGGAGTAAAGGAAGCGCGCTCCTTGAGATCTGCGCCCGCGCAAAAGCTGGAGTCCACATCGCTAGCTAATATTAGAGCCCTTGTAGGTCCTCTGCTTCCTTCATCGTGTACGCTCTTTATTTGGTGCTTCAATTCGGCGAGCAATTCTGTTGAAATGGCGTTGCGTGCGGCGGGGCGGTTGAGCGAGAGTATGCGGATGCTGCCGCAATGGGGCGCGGGAATGTTGGTGACATTTAGGACTTTCGACGGCGCGGTTGAGTACGCACAGCGCTGGATCTGGCGCAGAAATAGCTGTGACGTGGGCCGGAAGAGAAGAGGCATGCTTGCAGGGGATTCGGAGGTCGAAGAATTGCGGGTTAAATGGACAGTTCGATATCTCCGAGAACGATTGGAGGCAGGGTGAGCCTTGGAGGGAGAGAAGGGTTCTCTGGACTCCCTTTGCAATATTACGAACCGAACGCGTCGGGATGGAGGCCGAGAGCCATGTGGCGGCTATCTTCGGGGTAGGGAGCTATGACCGCCATGATGATTTTGGATAACTAAGCGAGTATCATCGTTGCCTGCCTCATTCATTCAGAAGGGAACTCTCTCCAGAAGTCTTCCCGGGGGCCCCGACAAGCGAAAATAGGACAACGATATTGAACGCCTTGCCATTGCCAGAGCACTTAGCCTTCCGGTGCTTGCTATTGCGTATCTCGATGGACGACTCACCACCTCCGCCTCTCAATGGCACAATGTCTCATACTACCAAACCGGCCCCTACACTAGACACTCTACCATCAGAGCTTCGAAGGCTTATTGTTGCTCATCTGGCACCATCAGGACCCGAAGAACTGCGTCCAGGATGCAAGGCTCCTCTCAAGAGTGCTAACCTTGCACATCCTTGTCTCCGCGAATGGGTGCCGGAATTCATGTTTCGTGACATGGCCCTCGAACATGTCATTGTTGGCATGGCAAGCTTTCTAGAGCGTTTCGCTGTTAACGAAGACAACGCTGGGCTCCTGAAACACGTCAAGACAATCCAAGTCAAGGTCAGCTACTACCCACAGTCCGGGCGTCCACCGGCTGACTCTCGTAGGTGCCGCCAGCGATTCGATGGGAAGTTGACACTGAGCACGACTTTGATACTATCGAAGACATAACGATGCGGCGTCTGTGCCATAATTACGACGCGGAGACGCCGGATGATTTGACCAACGAACAACGCCAGTACTGCGGGCATTACCATAGAGCCTTGGTCGAGCCGTTCGTCGACAACCGCCGATGGTACGTCTTACTCAGGAACGCGCAACAGTCGTGGGGTCAGGTCTTTCACTACTTTCCGAACTTGCAGCATATAGGAGTTGGGTGCTGCGAGCGAGTGGATCATCCAACCGGCACGTACACTAATGTCTTCGTTTCTCAATTCGGGAGACACGTTACATGTGAAGCCGAACCGCCGTTCGTCGAGGATCCGACGATCAACATGGCTTGGGCAAGCGCCCTTGTTCTAGAAGGTGCACCGCAGACCGTTCGATCGCTCCAGCTGTCCATGGCAAATATGGACAATTTCAACTCTTTCGCGACCGTAAATCGTCTGCTGAGCATCGTGTACAGAAATTCCCAGTTCCTATCACTTCAGCCGCCTCTTGGAGTAACCGAACTCTCAATAACTCTCCGAGGTGTGGACGGTCTGCATGGGGAACTCGAGTGGACTGGTGATACCGGAAGCGCAGGTCTGCTTCGTTACTGGAAGAAAGTCCTCGGTGCATTAAGAAACTTAAGGTATCTGGAATTCCGCGAGGAAGTCGGCGACTCGCCAAATCTTGCCTTCACTAGTGGAGAGGAAACGGACTCCAACGACAACGTTGTGGTCTGGCTGCTGCACCATCTCAAACACAACAGGCTTGAGACCTTACGCCTCCGCGATTTTTTTCTCGATCCGGATTGGTTTCGCGACATGTTCTTCACCGACTGGCCGAACCTTAAGAACATTATCCTCGATAACACCTCCCTCAGGTGGTCGACCGAAGATAAAGGCCAAGAAGAACACGAGCAGCCGAGCGAAATAACTGTTCGAGATCACCATAACGAGAAGGCATGGATGCGAATCTGTCAATTCCTCTCCAACGAATACCCTAGTGTGAACATCCACATCAACCAACCTGCATCGTGGGGCGAAATTGGCGGGAACTACATTCTACTCTCCAAGGACGTGGAGGAGTTGCAGCGACTGCCTCGCGTCAAACTCAATGTCCGTCCATCTTACCCCTTCACGGACAACCGGCCACCTGAAAACCTTGTCCTGGTTCATGGCCCTGCTTCCCGACCCCCTCTGCCGAGCAATGGACCCAAATCGGAAGAGTAGCGATGTTAGTTGCTTTGAAGGAAGACAAAGAGAAGGCAAGGATTAGGTTCGATTTGCAGCTAAATGGAGAGAATGTTGCGGCCGCGGATGAGCGGCAATTCGCTGTACGAAGCCCGCCACTACGTCTTTAAGCGTCATCCCCGAAAGGCATGGTCCTAGACGGCTGGCCTCTACGCCACTGGCTCTACTTCCGCCGTCCTCACTTCCACTCCCTCGGTCGCCTCCTTCAACTTCCTCAACCTATCCTCCTCCTTCCTCTTCATCTCCTGCTGAATCCTCATTCTCTCGGGCACGATTCTCCTCCTGTCACCCTGAATCCTCCACCCCTCAAGCCTCCCCTTCCCCAGCGCCTTCAGCGTCTTCCTCTCCACAACACTATACGCGCCATCTTCCCTATCGAAACAGAATGGCTCTCGAACGCTCACAGGCGGATTTGTAATCACCCGCACCTTGCGCAGCTGGTTATTGCTCGCTGAGTGCAGCATCAGTGGGTGCAGCAGGTACACGTCGCCGACGACACCAGTCGCTTCGACGAACGCCTCATCAGGCATAGCGCTGGCAAGTTCGTTGAACCATTTCAGGCCTTGGGCTTCTTGTTTGAACTCGGGGTTCTGCGCCCGCGGCGACATGCGCGGACTCACGCCCTCAGGATGCTCGTACAGATGCTTCGCCACAACATCAATCGCCCTTGGGCAGATCATCGTCCCACCTCCTCCGGGAACAATGTCGCTCCACAGCGGGATGACGAGCAGTGCCTGCTCAGGCGAGTCCAGATAGTGCACGAAGAAATCGCCGTCGACGTGCCAGCCGGTGAGCTCCTGCGGGTTTACGACTTTGTCGTGACCGGCGGGCGTGCCGAGGTTGACGATGAAGCTGTCTTTCCAGCTGGATGCTTCGGGGTCTACGCGCGAGGAGCCGCCGAGGAGAGAGCAGATGCCAGCCCAGGCTTTGGGGGCAAGGTCCGCGACGTTGAAGGCGTTGTGCCAGGGCATGTTTGTGCGTTCGGTTGTCCTGGGGCATGTTAAAACTGGATTATTAAGGAGATCGCAGGAAACATGAGCCGTAAGCGGGATGAGGAATTACCATGTCGACATGTCATTAGGGTCCATTCCTAAGCGCGTCCATAATGTCGATTGGAGCTCTTCGGCTTGTTCGCGGGTGAAGCAGTTAGACAGCTTGAGCCAGCCATGCTCGAGGAAGTGATTGATTTGCTCCTGCGAGAGCGTGTATTGTTCTTCCGCCATTTTCTTATTTCATCCAAAAATATTTCCCCAAATGCAACTGTCTCTGCTTCGTGCCTTAGATCTTCTGTAGTGCCGGTCAATAGGTGGATCGAGTCTCAAATACAACAGATGCACGATGCTACAGGCAACCAGGTTGCGGGAATTTATATATTACATCCAACTGGACATAACAGCATCATGCTTTCTTATTTCCACTGCTGCCGGCTTCGAATGGGCATTCTTCCAATTTACCCGGTCGCACGAGAGACCAGTACACACGTGGTGGGGGAAGGCAATGCGGGGTGAGCTGTTCAGGAAAGCCGATGCAGCAGCAACACGCGGGGATCTAGGCTGGTATTCCGCGGCGCGGAATGCACGTTGACGGAGGAAAGTAAGATGCATTGGTGGTGTTTTATCTACTATACAAGCAGGACAAGAGCGATCGAGGCGCCTTTTCGGAAGCCGGGCCTAGTTTCCAGTCCACCATGTGTAGTTGTTAGTCTGTTCGGACGTGTCGAATACGAGCTGGCTGCTTGAGTTCAACGGCCTGTCTGGGAAGATGTTCGCGAGGCCGGTCCAGACGGTGAGGCCAGAGACTTCGACGCTTGCACCGTCGCCGACGTAGATGCCGAAGCCTGTGCTGTCGGTTCGAGATGGATAGATGCGCGTTGTGAGCCAGAAGCGGTCCTAATTGCATTAGTATCGAGCGTATTCTGAGACGATTAGAGATACTTACATTGACGTAAAGCTCCAGCAGGGAACCGTCAACGTAGACGTGCATCTCCACATCCTCTGTGCCCGTTTGCGCGAAGGTGTACGGATAGAAATACCCGACAACGGTATAGTTCGCAAACTCACCGATAGTCGACGAGTGCGACCTATCAACGTTGATGGTATAATTCGCCGGGTCGAAGGAAATCGTGGTATACTCTTCGCCCCCAGGAGACGCAGCGACTGTCAAACCGGCAGAACCCGTCAAGTTTCTGAATGTAGCCATGAGCTCCATGTGGCTGCTGCCCGTGCCGGCCATGCTGCTGGAGGTGGAAGTCCCGTTGGTTGCGATGTTCCGCTGGGTGGTACCGTTTCGGATACCGGACACCACCTCCGGAAGAGGGCGAGCAGCGAGCGTATACCCTGTAAAGGTACCATCACTCTGCTCGACTACGCGTGTATTACCAAGCGACGTCAAACTACCATTGACATTGATCAATCCTTTCGTCTTCATCACGTACATCTCGCGGGGTAGACCAAAGCAGCCTTGGAAACCTTGCTGAGTGAGGCCAAAATTGTTACTTTCCTCGTTCGCCCAGCCCCATTGCACGCGGCGGTTGTTCTTCGTGTCGTCGAAGCTCGTTACGGCGTAGAGAAGGCCGGAGTCGATAGCGCCTCCCGCCACTGGTGTGAAGCGAGCGGACCCATTTTCGCGTCTGGTTACGGTGCCTTCATTCCAGAGGCCTGATGATGCGCGCGGGTAGAAGGTGGTGTTACCGCCTTCCGCGCCCATCATAACGTAGTAGTGGACCTCGCCATCTTCGTCCGTCAACGAAAAGAAGTTAGACCTAGTGCAATAAATAACGGCTCTATGGCTTGTGGCGCATGAACTCACACTTCAAAGTTAAAGGCGTAGGATCCAGTTTCGAGCGCGCTACCCAGGCTCTCGTTTGCAGAAGGCTCCCAGAGAGCGCCTAAGAAAGTCCAGTTCGTCAAGTCATTCGCGGGAGCGCTGTAGAACGGAACGCGGGGCCCGACACCTTTGATACCAGACCCAAACACGGCGTAGTAATGGGGTTCGGATTGGCCGAGGATCGAATCCATTTCCGGCCAGGGCTCGAAGAACGGATCGCGCCATCCGGTTATATTCCATCCCTCCGGCGGATGACGAATGACTGGATTATTCTCATACTCCTCCCACGTCTCTCCGCCGTCGGTTGAGATGGCGAGACTCTGAGTTTCCGTCTCATCCTGATACGGAATCCGCCAGTTCGTTGGTAGGTGTGAGACGGAAGTATAGAAAGCCAAGAGGGTGCCATCTTGCTCGCCCTGGATGTTGACGGGCTGCGCAGTACCTGAGAAGATGCCGAGACCATTATAAGATCCGACCGGTCCAGTGACGATGGCTTCGGCGTCATTGCCTTCCCAGCCTCCCATGTCGGTCCAAGTGATGAGGTCCTTGGAAGTAGCATGTCTGCTCTAGATTAGCGCGGATATTGTCCCCGGGAACAACTGAATTACCCCCAAGAAATGTTTCCTATTCAGAGTTAGCTGACCTTCTGTTCTACGTTCAAACCGAGCTGAAGGCGAGCTGGAGACGTACCCCAATTGATGTGATATGGGTGCCATTGGTACATGAGATGGTAGGTATCTCTTGTTGGATCGTACATCATACCGCAAGGGTCCTAGAAATAGGTCAACATATGGCGGGAGGCAGTCAACGCGCAGAGGACAATACTTACGTTCATCCATCCGGCAGGTGCAATGAAGTGCGATGTAGGTCGCCATCTAGTAAAGAGACTGTTGTTTCCCAGCGACTCTATTGTTGACGCATCTAAGACATCTGGGAGCGTGGTCGTGTTTGTGCCGCTCTGGGCAATGGCACTGCGACTTGCGAAGAGCAGAATGCTCAAGACTGAGACAGACGACAACATCTTCTGTCGATGAAAGACCTGGGTTGGTTCTGGTGATTCCGAACGAAATACAAGTACCAGAAATGGTCAAGGTTACCAGGGTGCCCTGGGTCTTTTATATAGCATTTAGAGCGATGCAGGGGAAAATAGAGCTTGTCAATTACCCAATGCCGTGAATGTGGAGGTCTTGGAGAACAGGCATCGGAACGCACAAAAAGGTTGCCATGGCTAGTAGGTATTAGTTTTCGGTTGATCCTGGCAACTCCCATGCAACGTTCCTAACCTTCCCCGCAAAAAAAACACGAGGGGCGGGACCGGATGCACCAGCGAGTGAGCGGTCATAGCACGGAGGGAGGTGATGACGCAGGTGTGCACAACCGGAGAGAATAACAACGGCTTGGAAAGCGGGGGAGGTCTGGCGAGCTTGCTCTAAAGGCCGCGCCGGATACTGCTCCGCCTGGATCCAGCTAGATTTGGTAGGTACGGTAGTTAGGCTATTTCGTAGAGTATTCGGCTCAGTATTGTCTCCGAGTATTCGACCGAGCAGCGGAAGATTCTTCGGCTTGACTGAAGCCCGTAGATCTGGATCTTGGGATTGTTAGCGGCCATTCCACCGCCCTTAAATACCTCGGAAATGACGGAAGTGTTAAGGTGAGAAAAAGCGTTTGGAACATGCAAGGTGACTTGAATCCATGACAGGCGAAGGTTGTTGTGCCACGCGAGGTGCGGTGGGCTTGGCGTGTTCGTCATCGGCAGTCGCGGTCACGTGAGCGCCGGAGCTTCCCCGGATAAGCAAACGTGTCAAAGAACTACGCCGCGACCAAACAATCCACAACTTCTCTGCTGTCTGAGGCCCTTCACTCCCTCAGATGGAGATCGCCGCTCCCTTGTTGACCTCGTCGTAGCATCGCTCTTGCGCCATGGGCAGGTTACAGATATACATCGCGGTACGTCTCTCCCGCGTCGATACTCATTCGAAATGTTCATAGCTCCTAGGGATCGGCCGTCCTGGCTAACGTCGTGCTTCTGCGCGCATACTATGAGCGGCCAAACTTCTATTCAGCCGCCGTATACATCTCGCAGAGCACCGGCTCTCTTATGGTAGGCTTTCTGACCCTCCGTGACTATGGCTACATGCTAACGATGCGCCAGTTCCTGATCAACCTTGCGCTCATCGTCACAGCAAGCTTCGGATATGGACTCCAACGACTCTTTTACGGGCCGCTCCGCCCGATCGAAACTGAGCAGCTATATGATAAGGCGTGGTTCGCTGTCAGCGAGACGTTGCTGGCAATGACCATCTTCCGAGATGACATTGGCATGTGGTTCTTCACCATGTTCCTGTGTCTCCTGGCTGGGAAAGTGTGGCAGTGGATAGGAGAAGGACGAGTCGAGTTCCTCGAGCAGCAACCACCGGCGAATCCGAGACTTTTCCACACTCGCTTGATGAGCTCCCTGCTCCTCTCCGTGGCCTTCGACGTTTTCATGACGCGATACTGCGTGGATGCAATACTACAAGATGCGCGACCAGGTGTCATGGTCATGTTCGGGTTTGAATACGTGCTATTAGCGATTGCGTCCGTTTCGACTCTATTGCGGTACACCCTCTCGCTTGTGGAGCTTGTCATCACCCACCGTCAAGAGAAGGCTCGGGAAGAAGCTCGAAGGATAGCTAGGGAACAAGCCAGGGAACAGGCGCGGGAGCGGGTAAACACAGAGGAAGGCGCAGCTGAGCTTGCGGTGGAGGAAGAAGAAGAAGACGACGACGACGACGACGACGACGACGACGACGACGACGGAGATGTGCCCGGCTGGGAAGAGAAGGGCCGGTGGGTCTTTTATCTTGATCTCACTACCGACTTCATCAAGTCCGTGGTGTATCTGGGCTTCTTCATGATCCTCATGGCCTTCTACGGCATTCCTATCCATATCATGAGAGACCTCTTCATGACCATCCGCTCTTTCATCAAGAGGATTAACGACTTTATTCAATACCGAAACGCCACCAGAGACATGAACGCCCGCTACCCTGATGCCACGGCTGAGGAACTCGACCGGGAAAACACCTGCATCGTTTGCCGCGAAGAGATGCGGCCATGGGCGGAGCCAGGAGCGGACGGAGCACAACCAGGCCGACGCGTCGATGAGCGACAGAGAGCGAAGAAGCTACCCTGTGGACACATCTTGCACTTTAGCTGCTTAAGGAGCTGGCTTGAGAGGCAACAAGTCTGCCCTACTTGTCGACGACCTGTGCTTGCCCAAGCATCCCCACAGAACAATCAGCAGAATGCACCAGCCCAGGGGCCGCAGAACCAACAGAACCAAGCACCACTCGGAGGCGGCTTTCGAGGAATATTTCCCGGTAATCTAAGAAATGCCCAACCAGGCCCAGGGGCCCAACCAGGACAGGCTGCACAGGCGGGGCAACCGGCTCCGCAAGGAGTACAACCAAACCGACCCGCAGGCAACGTGCGGGTCTTCAACTTGGGTCCTATTCGTATTGCTCTGGGCAATCTCCGTTTACCTCCTCCTAATCAACAGGGCAACGCCAACAACATCAACAACAACAATAACGTCATCGCGAATCTCGCTCAACAGCTTGTCCAAAACCAAAACCAGAACCAGCCCTTCCATCCAGGCCAAAATCAAGCAGTTCCTCAGCTGCCGGTCCTCAACCTTCCGGGTCCTCCCGCTCCTGGAGCGGTCCCTCAGCATCCGGCCGATATTCAATCCGATATATTGCGTCTACAGCAGAACATCATCGAGTCACTTCGTCAACTCAATGCACAGCACGATCAACTCGAGTATATCCATGCTCTCCTGGGCGAATTGAATCGCCTTCAGCAAGCGTCTGGCGTCACGGCTGCTACTGGTCAGGAGCTGCCCCCTATCGCTCCCTTGAACACGCAATCCGCATTCACTCCAATGACCCCGCAAGCATACTTCGCGAGCGGCTCGGTTCTACGCCAGGGTGACGCTGGCTTGCCGGAAGGATTGGTGCTCCCTGAGGGATGGACGTTGAGACCGATGGCGTTAGCACCTAGGCTGGGGAATGGCCAGTCCCAAGCGTCCACGGAAGCTGCACCTTCGGCATCCCCGCCGGCCAACGCTCACCCTCAAGTTGAGTCCTCAGCACCAAGGCCTTCTTCATCTGGAGCTCCAGCGGCTTTTAGCCCCATAGCGGATTCATCCTCAAAACCTGCTGAACCGAGCTCGCTGGAGTCTAGCTGGAGTTTTGGGAACGTTCCGGGGAACAGCGAGGCCGAAGGATCGAGCTCTGCGATTGCGCGAAGTAGCTCCAATGGCCAGAATGTGACCAGGCGGGCAGCTACGGTGGAAGACGCGGAGGACAGCGGTTAGGAATACTACAACAAGCATTTTCGGTCTGCACTGCATAGCGAGGCGTTTGGGATTCATGCATAGAAGGTCATCCTCGGAGACGTGTAAGCTGTACTGAGGTGGATATGGTCCAGAGCACTTGTCAATATTGAACAAGAAATTCTTCCCCTGACACATACTGACAGTGTATTGGCGAATTCGTCCGTAAAGGCCAACTGGCTTTGCATTGCGTGGGGTGCATGCATACACAGCGTGTGCTCGACCGGGCATAGGGCATTGAAATGAAGCCATCAGGGCCAACTCACCACCAGCGATCAACAACCCTCGCCCTCCAGGGCTGCATATGGTGTCGCTTTATCATCCCACTCCACTCGCCATCTAGACAAACGGCGACTGGACCACTTTATAGCATTGCTTGGTGCGGGGAGCTTACCGAGCAAGCAGCCCGCCGTGCCCTAGCACCCCAATTGGGCGCTTGTGCAGGGATTTGCGGGAGTTTCGCGAAACACCGCCACCACTCAGAGCCCAGAAGTCGTCCAAGACAATGTCTCGGGGCGGCTATCTGCGCACGAGGAAGACACAAGGGCGACCGCAATGCGTCTCGCCAGTCACAGATGCAGGAACCAGGGCGTACTTTGTCGAGGGACCGAGCTAAGCCTCTCGTCTGGCCGGGATGGGGATAACGGATAACTATGGAGCGGTGCCCAGGCTGCTCCCCGCTAGACACTTGTGACTCCTACCTACCTTGTTCTCTCGTTTGCTCGCGGACTAAACTTCACTTCGCACACTGTATTTTTGAATCAAAATGACCGCCATGGATTTGGCGAAAAGTGAGGGTGCGAGAGCAGACGGTGAGGTCTCGAATTGTGTGTCTAATCTGATTCATGCGTTTACGAATGGACTCAATATCTTTAAGCGGCTGAGGGAGAGGAGGAGACGAAGGAAGAAGAAGAGTAGGAGGGTAGACGGAGAGGAAGCAAGCAGTGCGGAGTTGCAGTTGAGTAACTCATTGAGGAGAGGGCCGAAGGATATTCAGAATAGCTATGAGAGCCATTATGGGAGGGCCGGGGAACGGTTTGCGAAAGGTGATGGTGAGTTCTATACCACAATTCTAGCTTCATGGTTGTTCCTGGAAAGATGGCGCTGATCAGGGTGTCCGAGCAGCGATCGCACATGCCTCCCTCGCGGAGACGCTGATAAAGTTGAATACTGGGCTCGTTGGCATCATTGCGACGTTCCTAAATCACGACACAAAGCACAGCCATCTCAATCTGGACTACAAGTCCTTGACGAATCTGTCTGAGGCTTCAAGGATGGAGGCTATCAGTTCTCTGAGCCAGCTGTATCAGCGATTGAGCCAGTCGCAGCTGCAAGTCCATCGCATTGGTGGGTGTCCGCGATGCGGGAGCATGAAGCATCAGGACTGCTCTAGAGCTGCTAGTCGGAGTGGAAGCCCTGAGAAGAGGAAGCAGTCTAGTTCACGGCAGCGATCGAATGGGCCTGTGATAACACGGGTGCCTATTAAATCGTCGAATCAGACGCAACTCGTCGTCGTGCGACCGAAGACGACGCGGAAAGGCTCGGCGAGCAGCTCTAGTTCGACGAAGTCGCACTCGACCGTGGCGAGCCCACCGTACACGCCGCCGCTGGCGTCTCCGCTGCCTCAATATGCTCCCATAGATCCGTATCCGACTGCAAAGCCACCAACTACGAAAGCACATGCACCTCCTCACTCTGGGAGAAGACGAGCAGGCTCCTTCGACGGACCTCGTCCCACAACATGGCCACACATGCTCCCAGACCCCATTCCTCCCATGGATCTCCGACTCCCACCGCCCAAGGCCCACGTTCCTCGGAAAAGCCCACCACCTCGGGAGAAGCGCACATCTCCTCCTCCCGTCAGCCCTGTCAAGCGAAGGATCGATAAGGCTACGCCGTCAACCTATACATTTGCCTCTGATAGCACCAAGCTGGGCGAAATTCCCCAACGGAACTGGACGACCCCATGGAACTACCAGGAAGCTGAGCGCTTGAATGCAGAGGCGGCTGTGAACGGCTATCCGATGCCGGCTGTGGAGAACAGGCCCAAGGCGAAGAAAGGATTTTTCGGGTTTCTGAGGCGTGGGTCGGCGCAGGCTTCTTGAGCTCACGACTTGCCCTGCTCGGTACTGAAAGGAGGTAGGAAAGACGAGGGAAGGGGTGGCGTCAGGTTGGTTTACTGCGAATGCCTTCAATAGGTCACGACTTATGTTTCCTTATGATTTACGACTCTCATTTCCTACCATTGCTATAGCATATACCCGTTTGGAATTAGCGATCAAGGAGTTAGGTCGGAGAAGTGATATTCACATTGGAGGTTATTTATGCTTGTTTGCGGGGGTGGATGCATAGTCTTCACTATACTTCAATGGCACTTGAATAACATATCAATAACAAAGGCTTTGTCCGCGACTATTCTGAACTTCTGATCTACAGGCTCGCAACACGGCGCCTTACCGAGATGGTCTTCCCTCGCGGCTTCGCGGTCGCACTCCCTGATCCCGGCTCCAATCATACGCGTCAATGCTCCCCGCAGCTGCCTCCACCAACAGGCGTATATCTCACCACCAATTTCTCGCGCAATGGACTAAGCAGTCTGCTCCAGTGCTATCCAGCCATTCTCGTACATATTTCTACAGCAGCAACCCTCAATTTTCCAGAAGATGCTTCTGAATACTCTCGCTGTTTCGCTTCTGCTGCCCCTCTCTCAAGCTCTCCGCAGCAGCGGGAACGGCGTGCTGGCTGAGCCTGAGATGGCGCCGAAGCGAGTCGCTATCATCGGTAAGAGGCCTCCAAGCTTCCAATTGCTCTAGTAGCCCTCCTTGAAACCCACAATTCAAATTATTGAGCGTCTAAGCATAATGCTAACAATTCCGCAGGCGCCGGCGCGGCAGGCTCATCCGCCGCGTACCATCTCTCCCAGTCCGCCCAGGATGCCGGCATCCCCACGCAAATCCACGTCTTCGAACGATCCTCACATATCGGCGGCCGCTGCACCACTGTGCACGCGTGGTCGGACCCAAAGCAACCCGTCGAGCTCGGCGCGTCCATCTTCGTCGAAGTCAACCACATCCTCGTCTCCGCCTCCAAAACCTTCAACCTCACGACTGCGGCCCACGAGCTCGAAAAGCCTCGTGAGGGTACACCAGAGCTGGGCGTATGGAATGGCAAGGAGTTCGTTTTCATTAGCTCGGGTGATAATGGTTGGTGGGATCTGGCGAAACTGCTTTGGAGATATGGATATAGTCCGATCAAGACGAATGGCCTGATGAAGAGCACGGTGGCGAGGTTCTTGAAGATGTACGAGAAGCCCCTGTTTCCGTGGAGCAGTCTCAGCGAGGCTGTTCAGGAGGCGGGCTTGCTAGAGGTTACGGGCGTTACTGGGGAGCAGTTTCTGAAAGAGAAGGGGGTTAGCGATAAGTTCGCGACTGAGATCGTGCAGGCGAGGTGAGTCGATGAGAGAAGATGCAGAATACATGTTTGCTAACGGTGGCACAGTACGCGGGTCAACTACGCGCAGAACCTGGGCCTGATACACGGTCTCGAGACCATGGTATGCATGGCCGCCAACGGTGCGATGTCAATTACCGGCGGAAATTGGCAGATATTTTCTCGCATGCTGCACTCGTCGTCTGCCATCTCAACGCATCTCAACACCACGATCGCTCAGATCTCCAAGCAACCAGATAACACCTACAATCTCACTACCTCTTCGGGCGAGGTTTCGACCTTCGACGATATCGTCCTTGCTGCACCTCTCCAGTCCTCCAGCCTCGTTATTGAGCCCCAGCCGAAGCATACACCGGACCAGATCCCTTACGTAAAACTCCACGTAACGCTCTTTGCATCGCCATTCAAGCTCGACCCCGCAGCATTCGGGATGAAAGACGGCAGCGAAGTCCCCCAATACGTCCTAACCACCCTCCCACCCAGTGAAAGCCACGGCTCCGACCCCAACGGCTGCGGCAGCCCCGGCTTCTTCAGCGTCTCTATCGTCGGCAATGGCGTGAACCCTCTCTTACCCGAACCTCGTCCCGAAATCGTCTACAAGATCTTTTCGCCACACCGTATAAACTCCACCTTCCTCTCTAACATCCTTGGCCGCAAGGTCACCGACGACGAAGCGGAGGACGGCGACCCAAATGGCGCCGTTAGCTGGATATATCACAAAGTCTGGCACTCGTATCCCTACGAGTTCCCGCGCGTAACATTCGATGAGATCAAGCTAGATGAGGGGCTGTGGTATACCAGCGGCATCGAGAGCTTCATCAGCACGATGGAGACGAGCGCGCTGATGGGGAAGAACGTCGCGCAGCTCATTGTTGACGAGTGGACGAGCGCCGGGGAGCCAGAACCTAAGCAAGACGGTGAGACCCTGAAAGTACAGGGTGATGACGCAGCATGGCAATTCAAACCTCTCGACAACGCACAGGGGCAGCAGAAACCGCTCAAAGCAAAGCTTTGAGTCCCATTACTGCTAGCTAATATCCACACTTTACACAGATGTCCCGCGGCCCTCCTCTTTGCTATGGTTGTCATGCCCTAGTTGGAAGTCGTCCTGCTTCCGCTGGCGCTTGCTCGCTGGCTGGTTTGGCATCATCTGTCTGTACGCCACGGTGCTGCGCGTCTTCTCATACCGGTTGGCCGGCGCGTGGATGGGCTGGCGGTCGGCGTGCTGCTGGCGATTTGAGGTTTTCGGGAGAGGCGCAGGATTTCGGCCAGGTTCGTCGCGGGGTAAGGGTAGGGCAATGGCAAGGGCTGGTGGGATTAGAGGAGCACCTCATCGTTAGGAAAGTACGGGCCTGATTCATGAACCCGTGAGGCTGACTGGTGGCGACGAATCCAATAAACAATTGGAAATGCTTGCAATTTGTGATATGGTATCTGGCGCTCGCTATCTACGCATGGATGAAATGGAGTGTCTTGCCCTGCATCCGCAGAGAAGATGAGTGGATTACAAACGGCGTAATTCATCATGGAAAGACCCCGAGCCTGCCCCTTAGCATCGGAAAACGCCATCCTTGAGAAATCTTCATGACACCAGAACCCTCACCAGCCTCCTCGCATCCGTCGAACCTTCTCCTTCCCACCGATCCGGCCCCCAGTAACGCGCCGCACCCACCGCCTGATCGCCCATCCCCTGGCCAGAGCCTGAAACCTCATCACATCTTCCTCCATCTGTACCTTCCTGCTCTCCAAAATGTCTCTCCACCTTCGCTGTATCACCACAGCGGCGCCCACCAACCTCTCCCTCGTTTGTGCGACGGCCGCACAGTCAGCGGCAAGTCGCATGAGCATGATGTGCCTATGGATGTGCTGCCGCAGTAGGCGGCGCCGGTAGAAGCGTTGGATCGTAGCAGCGGCGCGGTGCGTAAGGCTGAGCGGGAGGAGCCGAGACGCGAGAAAAGACAGAGTGAGGAGGGTGAAGTCTTTCGAGGGGATGGTCTTCGCTGATGTATGCTGGGGCGTGAAGAGCGCGATGAAGGAGGTGGAGCAGCCCGTTGCTTTCAACTTCGCAGCTAGGCTGAGACGAGAGGACGTTGTGGCGGAGATAAGAGTAGACGGAAGATATGTATCGACGATTGCTTCGAGGACCTTCGGGTTGGAGAAGGAGGTTGTGAGGTTCGTGACGCGCAGTCCATGCAGACGCGCGATGCAGCGGGACCAGGAGAGTAGGAGCCGCTTGTGGTATTCTAGTCCATCCAGCTCCGTCGTTGCTTCATCGTCATCTGAATCCAATTCTCGCTTCTCGTAGTTGTCGCGCTTGGTGTACCACATTTCTCTGAAGCGCTCGATCTCTTTAACGATCTGCGGCCAGTCGACCAAGGATCCGAGACCGTATTTCCCAACCAGCGACCAGAGCAGACTGAGCGTCTTCTCACGGTGTCCGTCGACGATATCCTCTGCTTTGATACCGCCGACGGCTTGGACTGGGATCCCACGCATGCCGCTCAGGGCTGACAGCGCGACCTGCACATTGTACAGTTTCTGAGCGCGGCCAATAGAAGGGAACTTGAGATGTTGCGAGAGAACCCAGCTTTCCTTTTGCGCAAAGTCGAAAGTACTGGTCAGAACGTCGCCGGTGGGCATGGTGATAGTGACGGTGGCTTCCTGCAGCGCGATGAGCGTGGAAGGCGGGTAGAGCAGGAGCTCCACAAGACGGGTTAAAATGACGCCATCACGAAGGTCGATGGCGATGTTGTCAATATGGTAAGTATACTCTTGCAAGGGATACTGGGCGTGCTCGACTTTGTAGTTGAGATGGCCTAGCGGACGTGTGATGTCGCCATGAGAAGGGAGGAGCATGTTGGATAGGGCGTGGAGCACGTCTGTGGAAGCCTTGTACGACGATGTAGACTGGAAGAGGCAGCCCGGAAGAATGTCTGCGGTTTTCGCCTTGTCTAGGAGGTAGATTAGCATCAGGCTTCGCAGAGCCGTTCGCCTCCAGGACCAGCCTTGCGAGCCGAAGTCGTCGGCTTGGTGATCGCCTCGCGCGATGCTGGCGATGCTTCCCACTCCACTCTTCGGGCGAGCAGCATCCTCGTTGCGGATCAGGAACGTATCCAAGAAGCTCTCGATAGCTCTTCGCTCAGCTCGCATTGAACGAGATCCGTCATCTGAGCTGGTGCTACCGCTCGAAAGCCTTGATGGAATGGTGATCTGGCGTCCAATGACAGTTTCGGCGGCCACTCGAAGCGATGCGAGGTCGTACGATTTGACCCACAGGTTCAGGAACCTCTTCCGGAGGCCGACATCGTCTTTGAGCCTAAGTGTCTGAGCCAGCAGATCTTTTGGTATGCTCAACGCGCCATACTGTAGGGAAGCCTGCAGTCGCTTATGCATTAGGGGGATCGCAGGGTCGTGATACAGCCCAAGCAGCTTCTTCCTCAGCTCCTCGGGGCTCTGCTCCGCGTTCGGATCCTTGCTGGCTGAGTCGAACATACAGTTCAGTAGCTGGGTAATGGCTACCTCTTGATAGGTAAGCCAATTGTCTTCGTAGAGCTCGGGCCGCGCCAGATCCTCCGCAAGGACAGGGTACTTCTCCTTGGGCACTTGGGTCTGCGGCTTACCGACCTCGTGCATCAAAGTAATCTTCGTTGGCGCTCGTTCTGCCCTCTGGCGACGCAGTGCTGTAGGTGGAGATCTATCCGTGTGGAATGGCGAGGACGAAAGAGGGCCTCGATCGACCTTGGATACCCGACTCTTGACAGTCTTGATGCTAGGCTTCGTGCTAGTTGTACGTAGTGTAGATGCAATGCTGTCCGCCTTCGCTTTGATGGACTTCGCTGGCGATCCGTCGTAGCTGAGCTGGGACCGCAATCGCTTTTGAGTGCCCTCCGACTTTGTCTTCGCTTGTGGTTTCGTGTCAGATGACGACGTATTGAAGTGGACCTTAGCAGGCTTCACCGCGGGCCTCTTCGCTTCCTCTTTGCCAAAGTTGAACTCGATATGCGTGCCGGACTTGCTCTCAAATACCTGCATGCCCGGCGGAACATTCTCCTTACCCCCGCCCTGACCAAACACATCGCTAGCAAAAGAGACGCTTTGCCGCGATGAATGCTGCAGAGGCACGCGCTTCGGCGGAACAGCCAGCGATTTGCGTGGAGCTTTCTTCTCCTTCTTCAGCACGGGTACCAGGTTCTCCGGCTCCTCTTCCGACAGAGTGACCAGATCCAATCCAATATCCGGCGACTTCTCTCTGGGATTCCGCGGCCTCTGCGTAGGCTGCCCGGGATGAATGGTCATGATGGTTGTATCGTCGGATGGAACGTAGATGGTCCTTCGGCGCGGATCCTTCTTCGGGCCTTGCTTCCTCAGCTCCCACTGCTCGAGGACATCCTCTCGCAGCTGCACTGTAGCATTGCTCTCTTGGGCCTGCCTGTCTACAAGCAGCTGCGACACACGTCTGCGCTGCGGCTTGTGTAGCTGCGGCTCCTGAACCTGCGGCGCAGGGAGATGAATCTTCTGCGCCTTCTGCGCCAATATCGTGCTCTTCTTCTCAAGACCTCCCTGAGGTATAATCGAAGTTCTGCTTGCCCGTTTCATTTCCACAGTTGTCTGCTGTTGCTGCTCCTCCTCTTGCGCCACATCCTCAAATATATCCAGCGACGGGTTAAACGCTGACTTGCGCATGCCGCGCGCCGGCCGCCTAGGCTTTGCATTCCTCAAATTCGCCTGTATTTCTGTCGTGTATTCTATGTTCGTGGTAGTATCATCTGTCGAATAGCTGCTTGGCGCGTAGAGGGACGAGCGGCGCGTGTATTCGTTATAGCGACTGCTAGAGAAAGATAGGTTCGGCGCAGGGCATGGCGTTGCCTCTGCGTAGCGGCGCATGATGGGTTCGGTAGGATGGCGCGCGCCGTAGGGGCGTTTTTGGAGATGATACTGCGATCGAGGGAGGTCTGAGTTGGGTCTCCGCTGGCGCTTAACCGACTGGGAAGGCACGGACGCGACGCGATGTTGATAGGAACGTTGCGGGGGGCAACCGCCTTGAAACATCAACACTTGAAACATTGGCACTTATCCGTGGGTGGAACACGAGTTCGCAGAGACTCCACGTCAAAAGCGTAGGAAACGATTTAGTCCTTTATATACGTTCGAGGGGTCGAATGGTACTTGAATAACCTGCATTCCATTGGGCCACAATCGCGCTCACCCCTTGCTGAAGGCTTGTTGAACACCTATCCGCTCCTTTCTTTCGGACTGTTTCTCCAATGACGATAGATACACGTCTTGGGTCGGCGGAACGCATTTTAAACCGCGAACTTACTTGCTGCTACTACAATATCGCTGGGCGCCACAGGCACGTTGACGATGCAGAAACACCATGGCATTTTTGATCAGATATGGTAACCGCAGAAATGTGGGTCCTCTGCATGTGCTCCCGGAACATGACATCAACCACCACAGCAGATGACATCACACGCCCCAAAGGATCTGTACCAGGCATATTTCAACGCTCTCCATCAAATCAAAGAATTTAAGAATACTTTTTCGAACCGACTGCAAGCGTCGCATTCTAACATCATTTGCACCTCCAATCCACAGCACCACCTTTCCGAAGCACACCCCAAAATGCCACACTCCAAAACCCCCGGCCAGTCCAACGCCGCCGCGCCCTCGTTCCTCAAGAAGGACGCTGAAGGTACACTATCCATGAGCCCTCTCTGGCCCTCTTCGCCTCCCCTCTGGATAAACACGGATTGCTAATAATTGATTACAGCCCATGGCCTCGGTGCACCCAACGCCCCTGCTCACAAAGAGCAGCCCGCGCCCGGCGAGCGGCCCGTAGCATCAGACAGTGGGAACGCGAATGTCGGCGTGGATGCGGGTGCGAATCAGAGGGGCGAGAAGAGGATTGGAGGACCGAACTACGGGTCTCGATAGAGGAATTAAAGTCCGGGAGGGGATGGGAAGAGCACATGCACTTCGAGAGCAACCAGAATGACCCGAGGTTTGATCAGCGGTCATTATAGAAAGTTTACGGGTTAGATGTTAAGAGAAGAACAACAATAAGGGATCTGATCATGGGCTAAGGAGAGGCTGTTCAGTGGATTTAACATAGGTAACAAGCTCGCTTTACAAAAGTCCCATCCCATCAGACAGGGAGAAAGGTACCACTTCGTTTCCAACCCATGTCGCGACTTTGCTACTAGAATCTAAAAGCCCAACAATGCTTCAGAGACCACCTTTGCACCGGGATAACGCGATTAGGCAAAGCCACTCTTCGCATCTGCGAACGCCGCCCTATTGCCTTATGAGCGGAGCAGAGCGATGGATCTGGTATTCTTTAGAGCCCCCGGTGCATCCCGGTGAGGGATTTAAGATCTCGAGCTAAGACTCCAGGGACAGCTGCAGTACGCGTTCCATGCGAGGAGGCAAGGGGATACTGTGGTCTCTGGTTGGTTCACGATGTACGACACTGACCGTACAACTGTGAGCAAGCACCCGAAGGCTATATGCAGTCCGTTATGCTCGCAGCGTGAGTGTGTCCGTGTGCAATCGAACATTCAAACACGAAACATCCTCCCTGCTATAGCCGACCGACTGCAAGCCACTTCCTTTCCGAAGGACCTAGAATGCCTATCCGTCTATATCAGCACAAGATACTGACTAGCCTACGTGTCGAATACAGAGTCTCGCACAACGCCGCGAAGCACTACTAACTAACTATACTCCAGGACGCGGCGTGCGTTTTTAAACTAGGCCATGCCTAAAAGACACATTCATTCCCTGAGAATAGACGAGACCGCCCACAAGCTCGATCGCGCATGCTCTCGCTCCAATAACGGTCCCGAACGCTAAGTGGTTCCGGAAATTTCGTAGTCTAGTCGCACGCTCTAACCTAACACCTATGTGTTGCGGAGTGAGGTACGAGGATTACTAGGCTTATGCAGTATATTGCGCTCTTAACTTTTGGAACGACGCTGTGTATCATCGCGGTGCAGCGTTCTCCGCGCAAGTTCCAGAACACCAAGTGGCGCCTCCACTATCTCTCTCACGCTTGCAGCCCTAGCCGGACTCATAATCCATCGGGATCAACACCGACGGCCTTTGGTGACGGTACAGCCTAGTAATTAGCATGCTCGGGACCGCCATCCGCTTGTATAAAGCAGCCGAACGACTCCGCAGACACTTCACTGGCCTACGCACAGATCCAGGCCTCGTGTCTCACTCCATCCTGTACTCCGCCCTGTGCTCTGCGAGCTCGGGCGCCCTTCTGTACCACGCGTCTCTCATCCCGTACTTCCAGGGCGCTGCTCTCGCCGAACCCATGTTGTACAGATGGGCAGCACGGGTTGCACGCGTGGCACGTGGGCCGCGAGCTGCATTCCCGGCGCTTTGGGGTCGGTGCGATGGGAGCGGAAGGGCGATGGGGTACGGGAGGGTGACGAGGCTTGTTTGAAGGGAGAAGTGGCGAGGATTTTGTGGGAAAATGTCTTGCAGGAGATGTCGAGAAGGTTGCTTTTTGGCGTAGTTGGTATCGTCGGTGCACGAGTGCTGATGGCGTTACTCGATTAGGACGGAAGGCGCGAATGTCCATTACAGGGCGGGGGCAGCGAACGGGTAGAAGATAAAACAGACGGACGAACCTTGCTGAGCTGTATGGGTTAGTAAACAGCGTTAAGAGTGGATTGCTAGCAGAGGCTACGGCAATAGAACTCTGAATAATAATCAGGAGACCCGAGAGTAAGATCAGGAGACCAGCAAAAAGCCAGCTCGAAGTATGTATAAATATTGACTATTGATATACGTACTCCACCGCACGCAGTGCGGTTTCGCAGCATTACATACGCACCATCAACGCGTCGCTCCATTGCATCGTCCCAACATGCCGCCGTATCCAACCATTACGCATTATTCCGGAGGGTGAGAAGTCCGCACCTAGGCCATAGACTTGGGTTCGACGTTCTCGGTGCCGACGGGCACCTCGATGTGCTTCTCCGCAAGGTGCATGTCGGCGGCGAAAGTCGAGTGAGGCTTCCACTTGCGAGAGGTGCGCGGGGTAGTCTCCTCCAGCATCTTGTCGACCTGCTCGAGGGTGAGGCCCTTGGTCTCGGGGACGAAGAAGAAGGCAAAGAGGACTGGATACAGTGTTAGCTGTCAAACTCAATGCTATAGGGGCATCAAGGACACTTACAGGAGATGCAGCAAAGACCGCCCCACATGAAGAAGACGTTGGAGCCCAACTTGGCGGAGTGCGGCTGGTCGGCAACGAGGTACGGCGTGATGACACCGATGATGCAATTCCAGAACCAATTGGAGGCGGTGGAGAGACCGACACCACGGGAACGGATGGTCAGAGGGAAGATCTCACCAATGACGATCCAGGCAGCGGGACCCCAAGTCATAGCGAACGAGGAGATGTTCAAGCAGATGAAGGCGATCATGGCCTTGACGGCGGCCGGGTTGTGTTCGCTAGACTTGCCAGCGGTGGCACCAATGATACCGACGATGAACTGGAAGATGACCATGAGAGCGGCACCCCAGATGAGGATCATGCGGCGACCGAGCTTCTCAACCATGACGAAGGAAAATGGAGTCGACAGCACGTTGACGAGAGTGGTAACTAGGGAGATGAGGAAGGGGTTGTCGATGGTGCCGAGCTGCTGGAAGAAGACGGTACCAAAGTAGAAGATGAAGTTGATACCAGTCAGCTGCTGCATCATCTGCATGAAGATACCGAGGACGGTACGGCGGACGTTGGACGAGGGTTGGGAGATCTTGCCCTCAAAGCAAGCCATCCAGGAACCGAGATAGCTAGTCTGGGGAATGATGGACATCTCGTACTCGTGGTTAGCGATGATTTCAGCGAGTTCGTCCTGGATGTATTCAGAGTCGACGGGCTGGCCACGGACGCGGGCGAGCGCCTTGGCCGCCTTGTCGAGCTTGCCCTTCTTGACAAACCAACGTGGAGATTCAGGGAGGAGGGCAAGACCGGTACCAAGGATGATAGCCCACAGGAACTGGACGGCGATCGGGATGCGGTAGGAGCCAGTGTCGCGGCGGTTCTGGGTTGCATATACGACACAGTTGGCCAGCAAGATACCGATGGTGATGCAGAACTGGTAGCCGGCAACGACGGCACCACGGACCTTACGAGGAGCGATCTCAGACATGTACCTTCGAACTGTTAGCGGCAGGCCAAAGCAAATGCTTCTGGAAACCAAGGCGGCACTCACAGGATGACAATAGCTGAGATGAAACCAACACCGAAACCGGCAATAAGACGACCACCGACCATGACATTGAGGCCGGTCGAAGCAGTCTCGAGGATGCCACCGACAATGAAAATCAAGCAGCCGAGAATGATGGTCAGTCTGCGACCGATGAAGTCTGCGATGTCACCAGCCATGATGGCGCCGAAGAAGGTACCAGCAGACAGAATCGAAGTGGTCAGGGACTGCTGCCATTGCGGGACAACGAAGGTGTGTTTCCTGTAGTCCTTGATTTGTTGGCTGTCAGAGGCGAGGCCGGGGAACAGGACGTCTGGGTACTCGTTGCCGGTGTACTGCTTGATGAAGTAGTCCATTCCGAGAACACCTCCCATCCAGCCAGTGTCGTAGCCGAAGAAGATGCCACCAAAGGCCGCGAACGCGACGATGAGGTAGGCGCGGACGGTAACGGGGGCTTCGACGCGATTGACATCGGTCGTGCCGGTCACGGCGACAACGGCTCCACCAGGCATGATTGTAGATGTTCAATGAAGGAATAAGTGACGACAAAAAGGAAGCTCGACGCCGCGAACGAGGGCCCGCGTCGGGGGAAAAGATCAAGAAGAGCTGGGGATGCCTTCGACACAGAGGCAGAAGACGCGGAGCTCCAGCTTTTAATATCAGGACCCCCCGGGTTGGTGATACTGCAGCTCGGTGGCTTCTGGTCCATGGGTACAGTAACATTGTCGGCATCAGCCTAGCCGGATCTGGGCGCCCTCCGTGTCTAGTGCTTCTAGAAGGATTCAGTCCCGCCCTCAGCAGCGGTTCGCGGCAACCCTTTCCTGGCGTCTGGACATCTGCACGCCGCGCTGGAACACGGATCAGCGCTCTGCCGAGGGCGTTCCGCTGTGGTTGTGGTTGTGGTTGCGATGGCCCGGCGCCGCGCATCTTGCGAGCAATCGTGGACTTTGCCAGCAGTCCAGGCCGGCGCGGGCTCCAGCAGCGTCGGCCATGCTGCTCAGAGGGGAAATCCAACAGGTGGTCCGAGTGAGATGGGGGGCGCCTGGGGAGGCGCAACCTGGGGTGCCAAGCTTTGGGCAAGCATCGCCAGGAGGTGGTCTTAGCGTTTCTTGCTGCAGGATTTTTCCCATATTTTGATCCCTGCCCGAAGCCGTGGCCGCAATCTTGGGCGAATTGCAAGGAGATTACGCTCCGCGTTGGTTGGCGCTAACTGGCTCTGTTAAGATCACGGGCTCGACGTGCTCCGTGCCGCGTACTGTGTCGAAGCCAGCCGCCGCCGCTATGCCTCGCGCGCACATCACGCTGGGTTGACAGGAAAAGACGCAGCGTAACGGGCATGTACACATGACAGTAGGGTTCAGCTAGCTCTGCACCCGCCATGACCGGTCGTACATCCTTGGAACGGGGACGGCCGTTTGCCCCAAACATCGGCCCAGGCTGCTCGTTTGCAGCGGTAAGGTGTCGTGCTCTGGCTGTGTTTCGAGGAGGTTGCTCTCTATATTGATAGAGTAAAGGGAATATACGCGCGTCGAAACAGCCTCAACAAAAGGAATACGCAGATCCGGGATTCGAGCGTCTCCTTCCGGATTTCGCTCTGCACAACAGTCGGATCGACTCCGTTGGCCGTAGCGAGGCGGTATCCCGCGTGCAGTGTTCGCCTGCATAATCGCCCACCAAAACGGCAGTCCAATATAGAAAGGCCGAGTGATTGGACTACACCTCCGCGTGCCAGATGTCTGGAAGAGTGCGGCGGGCAGATCCTCTTCCAATGATGGCCGCTACACAGGGCGCCGGGCTTGTGCCACATGCCTTTCTCAGGACCCCTTTCAGGAGGCCACAGTAGCTGACACCATGTCATTCGCCTTTCTTTCGTAGCACCGAGGATGTTGATGTCTCAGGAGGAGGTGAACTCGGTCAAGGCGATGATTTGTCTTGCGTGCATCAGCACTAGTGGCGTCGCTAGCACTGTCACCATTCCCCTTTGCTAGCCACACCCGCTGCGGCACATCTGGAGAACCCTGCCGTGGGGCGTTTTGCTCGTCTTCTTCACATGCGTGTCAAGCCCGTCGTGCTTCTGCTATCCTTTGTTTGGGCTGGGACGCTGCGCGCGTGCAGGCTTCGCCAGCCCGTCGTAACCTCATCGCGACACGCGATGCAGCCAGCGATACGTTAGCGAGCCCTGCCGAATGAGTTACTGGACCCTGTATCGACCTGACGGCTCCCCAATCCGCGGACGTTTCGCCTCTTAACCGGCCTATACCTCGAAACGGCAGGACTTCATTCATCGGTTGGCCTTCCAATCAGCTATACCAGCTGCCCGGCCACTGCCAACACGAAAACACGATGTTACCGTGAGTCGCGCCACGCGCGTAGAAACTTCATACAAAGGGCAAGGTAAATAACTCTGTCCGTCACGTGTGCGCAGGGGTAGGGACATCAACTCAACGGTATGCGCGCTAAAATTAACGTGGGGCACAGCATGCACGTGCTCTAATTGGATGAACGTCGGGCCGACTTGCACGTGACGGACAGGGTTTTTGACCTTGCTCTTTGTACCCAGATAGACTTGGGACGGATGGGAAAGCTGCGTCCGGAGGTCGAATACGAGCCTTCCCGCAATGCAGTCTCCACGGGGACTCCGCTAGTAGTTCGTTAGCACTGTGTAGGCGCAGTACTTTAGAGTTAAAGGAGTATGGAATCCGTACCGGGTACCTTGCCATAAACTGCAGTATCTCCTCGTCTCCGCGTGGAGACTAAAGAACCTTTCAAATCATCTCGGTGCTGTCGCGCCGATGCGCTTTTGCGGCGACCTAGACGTTTGAAAACCGAACCAGAAAAGTTCTTCGCACGTCTCCACGGTGGGGAATGGCGCGTCTCGGCGTCCACAAGGCTAGTGGAAGTTCGCGTCGACTCTCCGCAGAATATCTTAACCCCATGATCAAGTAGATTCTCCACCAAATACAGTCAGACCGACTTCGACTCTTGGACTAGCTGCGGGACGTCTCAGAAAATTCATCGTCCGATGGCGGTCGAAAATGCTCAATCAGATCTGGCATTCGGTCGAGAAGCAGTCAATTTCCGACCTGTCGCGAGCCTCGAACGGCTCCGATTTTTCAAAGATCCACTTAGTTGCTCCGAGATGTCAACATCTCGGCGGCAATCGCCCGAATAACGACGGCGCTCGACACTGCGGCTCTCTGCCTCGGTTGACTCGCTGCTTCTTGAAGTCCCCGTCCGGCCACGCGAGGTCCCCACTCGCTGGTTGCACGACGATGCTCGTGGGCTGACCGTGGTGGTGGGATTTGAGAGACCTGGCTGTCGGAGCCGACCACTTCAAGCCAAAATGGGAATCTTAGTCGAAGCAAGGCCAGAGGTACGCAGGTAGTCGGCGTCTAATATTGGGTTATAGCTCGTTCGAAATCGCCGAGTCTCGCACCTTGCGCCGCAGCATGTTAACATTCCGCTGCTGTCGTAAGGAGGCCTAGTTCTGGCGTTTAGCAGAACCCACGAACAGACTCGGATGCGGGTGAAAACCGGTCTAAGGTACGGCGCTGGGAGAATCGAGGTCGCCTCTATTCGGCAGGCAACCTGGGCCAACAATGGCGGCCCATGCCTTCGACGAAGTGCTCACATACGAGGGACGTTCTCAATGAGGACAAGGAGCTCTGATGCAGGTGGCAGGTGGAGAGTGGGCGGCATGGTATGCATTGATCTGAGAATCCATTTCTATAGAGGAATTATCCCCTACATTATGCTATTAGAATGCTGAGTACGTCAGCTCTCTACCTAGCTACATAGCAGTCTAACGCTGTAGTAGTCTGCCTAAAGCAAACCAAGGTCTTCTTAATAAGCCTCTAATCGCGCTTCTTTTTGTTGGCACCCACTCCTAGGTGAGCAAGCACTTCAATGAATATTACGGCGGCTGCGCTGCAGGCTTGGTCGAGATCATATATCTGAGGGAACACTGCCAGAGACGACGAACCTCCCAAGCTACCAAGGAGAAGGCTACAAGGCCCTTAAATAAAGATATCAGGTTGTATATCAGCATTCAACAGTCTGATTAGTGTATATTCTTCCAACTCTTCCAACAGGATTCTTGAAATCTAGGGCGATGACCTCGATCGCCTCTCCCTAGCTATCCAGTATATCGCGAAAGTTGCTAGAACATTGAAAAGGACGTAAACCGTCAAATAGGCAAAATTATGCCATCGATCTCCCGTGCTAATCCCAATGTTGCTAAGCAAAATATTGGTATCAGATACTTGACAATACTCGCAGTCATGAGTTGCAGCCGGATTTTCCACGTATCCACCAGCCATATCGATCCAACGGTTCAAGTAATCTCCACAAGTTCTTCCGGTAGGAGGGCTGATGTGCAGCATTTCAACATCTGAGCACCTGATCGCGGTATTTGCAAGGCCTGCGACTACCGTGCCGTCGATGAAGTACGTCAGCGGAGATGCTCTATACACAAAGTGCCAGAACTGTGGCAGATCCTTCGAGGGTACTAGGACTCTACGTTCAAGATCAGATCCCGCACTCACGCAATGAGGACAATCCTACTTACCCACAGAATACTAGGGACAGCCAGAAGAACAGGACAGAAGCAATCGTTTGCCAGAACAGCTCAACCAGTACGTTGGCTGCAATGAAGACGGTCCACGAGTACGACTTGGATCTTCGCTCTCGAGCTTCAAAGAGCGACCGTCCGGCTATGAGACGGGGAATCACTTGTTGATCGATGGTGCTGAACAGTTGTGTGAACAAGAAGACGGAGAAGAAAATGTTCGTGATCCAATTTTGCATTGAAAATTGATATACCATTCAACAAGGCCTGCATCATGTCAGTGTAGGCTTTCCATGGGGCAAATGTTTTGCTCACAGTAACCGCACATAAGGCTCCTTTGCAATACAGGTAAACTGGATCACGCCAATATTCTTGGAATACTCGTCGTGTCGCTACGCGGAATTGAGTCGTAAAGGACGCGGCGTACTGACGCTCATGCGACAAGGCACTGACGTTTTTGCTTCCTGCTGGTGATTGCTTGAATGCGGCTATCTGACGCAGTACGTCTTGTCTTTCGGTGCTCTGAGCCCATTTTTCGTTCCACGCGGTCGCCCGATCACGTGAAGCGCTTCCAGCATCCTTAGCATTGCTGGTCACGTTTAAAATCCACTCTGCGGGGTTTTTGTAGCCATCGCATTTGACGGAGCCGTCGCGCTCGAAGTACTCAATCACGGTCGATGCATCGTTTCCAATGTCTCCAAAGTATGCGACTCTTCCAAGATGATCCAGGAGCAGAAGTCGGTCAAAGAGCTCAAAGAGTTGAGAAGATGGCTGGTGAATGGTGATGAGGATAGCTTGGCCACTGTTTGCCAGCTTGCGAAGCAACATGCATATCGACCACGCCGTCTGACTATCAAGTCCAGACGTTGCCTCGTCTACCAACACCGTGAGTAACAAGGTCCAGTGTGTGATGAGCCTGTGGTCTCTTACCTAAGAAGAGTAGCAATTGTAGCTTCGCCACCATTTCTACTGCGATGCTAAGTCATTTGCGTTGTTCCACGTTGAGGCCTTACTCGTCAGCTTCGCCACCAACATATCACAGCGACCATACCTTCGCCAGGAACACCAACTACTGCATCAACATATGACGTCATCTCCAACAGCTCAAGAATACGCCGAATGTCGTCCGGCCCATTGTCCGGCCGTCGTAGTCTAGCACTAAATTCTAGTGCTTCGCGGACCGTTGTTGTCGGGACATGTATATCCTCCTGTTGCACATAGCCAACCTTTCGCTGGAAGTTGGCGTCTGGTACCTCGCTTCCGAGATATATGTCTCCTTTCACTTCTCCTACCATAGTGCGATAGGCCAGGGAATCGAGAAGACTGGTCTTACCTGCTCCAGTCACTCCCTAAGTTTACAAATTAGTAGACTTGGAATCTAGAGATAAGAGATCTTACCATCAAGGCTGTTAGACTTCCCGGGCGAACCCATCCTTCAACGTTCTGCAGAATTTTCCGTGTATTCTTCTTAATCTGGATCGAGTAGTCGACTCTGCTCCAGTGGAAAACAGCTCGGCGTTCCTGCAGCTGTGATCGGGTACTAGTAACGCAGCCGTCTTCTTTTCCGTCGACATCCACCATCTCGGTGGCTGTATCTTGCGGAGAATCTGAATACCCGGCCTCTGCATCGTTTTCTAGTTTCGTGTGCGTTTTCCTTCCTCTCTGATACAGAAGGACTTCTCCACGCGAGCATTGCGCTGGAATGTATTCAGTGGCAACGAGATGGATTCCGCAGAATATTATAAGCATCGCCAGTATTATTCCCAAGTTTCTACATTGTCAGTATATGGGACACTTCTAAAGCAACAAGACTTACCTCCACAGGTGGGCTGCATGGTAACTATATATCCTAGCGATGTAAGCGGAGCCATTGATGTCGATCTGACCCGGCACCGCTCCAATCACTGCGCAGATCTTGCCGTTCATATCGCCCTCGCTGTAGCCGACTCCGAATGGGATAATGCGCGCACAGGGAAATCTCCGATTGGCAAACTACTCTCGTCAAGAAAGCTCCGTTTCGTAGAATTTGTGTTTCACAAACCTCATTGATCATCAAACTTTCGTAGGCGAAAGCGATTGGGTTCAGTCGTCGTAGCCAAGCCAGCCAGGGCACCATGTCTTTGGCAGGAATAATGTAGCCTGTATATGCACTGAAGATCAGAATAACCATCGAGCTAGGAACCATTGACTGCTCCACTGTTTTGGAAAGCGACCCCACCGTGCGGAAAAACATCGACATGGTCAATATTGTAGCGATCAGAAACACCAAGTAGGTAAATAAAGCGCCGGCAGATCTCCGCAGGTTGGTCATGAAGTACAGAGGGACGTTGAACATGATCGCGGTCGCTAGCTTAGTTGGGAGGTCGCATATTATGGAAGCGATACTGTCGGTAAATGGTCGGTAGAAGGCGTATCGATGGCGTTTCTCGACGATGGGTCGTTGCGCCCACATTGCGAGGACCTTGAGTCTCGATCAACTCGAGGTGCTTATATAGGGTCAATCCAACTTACGTCAAACGCTGGCGCATACGCGTTGATCATGAGTGAAAAGAAAAGGAGGACAGCTCGCTTATCCATGCCATCTGTGCCTTCGGGAAGGTCGTAGTAGACACTGCCAATTACTATGGCTATGATTGTGTTTCCGATGATCGCTGCAAGCGGTGGGACATAATGATTCCGCAGCCTTTGGCATCCCAGTTGTATGCACAGACCGATCTGGGAGCGAATCGGTATCTTGTACGCATTATTTTGCGACCTGAAACGGTTAGGTCATTGCCATTGAATGAAGAATTCGGCAGACCTACTGTGGCTCTGCGGTATCATGCCTTCGCTGACCATGCTGACCAGTTTCTTCGGCGCTGGTGATTTGTTCCAGAAGCGCTTTCGCCATGTCGCTACGCGTCTAAGCATCCGCAAATTCTCTGGCAGACCGGGGCACACGATCTTCATACCCTTCACGTATGCGGCGTTCAGCTGGGTGGGTGACGGACGTGAGAAAATCAGCCGTCGTGGCACGAGCCGGTTTCTCAAAGCCCAAGTCAAAGAAATATCCTACCGCGAGCTCGGTTGGGCCAAAATAGATCTGATAGCCTTCGTGCAATAGCATAACCTTGTCGAAATTCTAGGGTGTCCGATCAGAGACGCTTGTAATCCATTTGGGGGTATTGATCCTACCTCGTATATAGCATTGGACGCCTGATAAATGCTCATCATAACTGCTGCCTGCGTATTGATCGTGCAACTCCTCAGCAGCTGAACGAAGGAAAGTGCTGTTGAGCTATCTAATCCCCGTGTGCTATTATCCCAGCACTGGAGCCGACTCTCACTGATGAAAACTTCAGCGATGCTCGTGCGACGCTTTTCCCCGCCGCTAAGGCCTCTTATCATGGCATTACCGATGGGAGAATTGTACGCGGCGTTTAGGTTGAATTTCGCAGCCACCTCGCGCCCAACTTCGCGTGCGTCTGAACTCATGCTCGATCTTGTTCCCTGGGTAGCCGCAGCGAATGTCAACGTCTGCCCCAGGGTTAATTCCGGAAAATGCACGTCGAGCTCTGAGAGATAGATGGCGTTCCCTTCTAAACCGCCTCGGGTGTGAGGGAATCCTACAACCAGAAGTCAGTCGTGAGTCATAAAATTAGCCCTCTCTAACTCACCATCGCATAGAACTCTCGACCATGCGGCAACATGCAGCCCAGGTAGCTCGCCAGCTAATACTTTTAGAAAGGTAGAGCATCCACTTCCAGGCCTCCCCAGCACTAGTATCATCCCCCCATGCTGCACTTTGCCGGAGAAGTCGTGCAAAATATGTGCCCTGGTGGTATCTCGCCGTCGGAAAAGACGTGCAATGCTCTTGGGAACTGCGAGCAGGTACGAGGCTGCAGTGTGTTGGTACTCGTCCACTGAGCTGAGTCCAAACACGTTGAGGTTGTGAAAAGTCACGCCGGGCCTTGCGGAGGGGTTGTCGTCCATGGACTCCTTGCCAGACAAATGCTCTTTAGTCGAATGTTTTGCGGGTAGATACAAGAAAGTGATGGCATTTCCCAAACGTTTTTACTGACTGCGCTGCGCCGCACGGGCGGTCCCAACACTGTGTGCAACACACATGCATATTCTAAAAGTGGCACGGACTCTGCAGATCCGCTTCAGAATATCAAGCCCCTTAGAAATGAGTGCTTCCGTTCGTCTTTGCCGTTTGCCTTTTTTTTCAAAAGCACGACATCTGACATTGCAGGGATACGCCTACGTAAATGCAGCGCCTCCCCGATCATTTCGGCCGAATCATGCTTGATTGATTGATTGATTTTTCTCGTTTTAAGTCACCAACCTATAGATGTTATGCTAACTAACAGCAAAGCAGAGCTTCTGCCTACACATAAAAGGACTTAAAAGACGCTAAAATTGAGAGAAAGGAACAGGGTATTATAGAACTATAGGCAGGTAGTATAAGTTAACAGAAAAGAACAGTTTAGGCGCAGATAATAAGGGCGTAGCTTACTACGGCGCTGCGAACTATAGCACGAAGCTGCCAACAAAAAATGAGCCCTAGAAAGCTCCTCAATAACGACGATGGTCATCGAAAAGGGCGCAAACAACACCCCGTATCATGCTGTCAGCCTAACTGCATGCGATGCAGTCCTACTCGAGAAGGACGCACATATTATAGACTAGTAACTCCAAGTCTATGGCGGCTAAAATAGACCAACGCAGCGATAATACGCGAATGCCAACAAATTCAATCTCAATCTAAACACCAGCCCTCTTTCTGATGCGGAATGGTATCGGCTTCTTTGGTTTGTCCGCCCCCATGCCAAACTTCAAAGATCCCAATTAGATGGAGTCATTCAAAATTTCGATATCAAATTTCCTCGTCATCAAGGCAATGGTAAAGAGAGTCACTCTTTTTGCGAGAAGTCGTCCGGGACAAATAGCATTACCACCTGTTCTGTGTCAGCGCTCGTCTACTCGGGAAAGTATCACACTCGCCTCCATACGGCATCCACGATGCCTCCAGACCCCTGAGCGAAAACGATGGTTTCCCATCCTTGTTGTGGTTGTGGCGCAGAGCGGAGTCTCGGGTGGGCCCGCTGCTCGGATCTGCAGGGTCGGTGATGAAGCGGTCAGCCCAGAATGAGCTTACAGGATGGACGCCGTCTTTGGTGTTCCAGAACCTCTCGTCCTTGTGCGTGATACCGGAACCGACCAATCCCACTGTGCCTTTGGGCATCCACCATCGACTGAGGGAGACATCAGCGTAAGGCGAGCTCAACATGACGCAGACATTGACGTATAGCCGCAGTGTTTCCGCTTGAATAGAGGGTAATAGGGGATCCTGAACAAGTTGGCTCGGATCTATCTCTGAAACTGGTACATCGCCATAAGTGTCTTCGAGATTATGACGTACTCGCTGGAGGAGAGAGGCGTCCTTAAATACGTGGTAGACAGATAGCATTGTCGTAGGGATCGCTTTTCCAAGAGTACTGTAAACGTCAATATCACGCATGGTTTCTGGGGGAATATAGGAACTTACCCCCACACAAGACCTAGATCGGCAGCCGCAAGCGCATCATCATCATCATAACCGTCAGCTTGAAGGTACATCCTCTGATGATATCGTATCAACGCCGAGCTCCAGTACGGATCTCCATCGCCATCCTCACTAACGCAACACTCTGAAAAAATTTCCCGCGCATAGGCGCACCACCGCTTAAACTGGTTGTGGAAACTGGTTGTGGAGACTCTTGCGTACTCGGTAGGGTTCTGGAAAGAGGAGCGAAGGTATAAGCCTGGCGAGCAGCGGAACAGAATCGTCAAACTGCCATACATCTTGCAGGAATGTTGGGTTGACTCTAGTCAAAGATGGACCGAAGACAACTTCAAGCAGCGCCGCGCCATAGACCATCCGGAAGAACTGTAGCAGGTCGGGCACATCCGTCCACTCGGTTGAAAAGGCTAATCCGTCTATTTTTGGCTCCAGAATGCTCATATAACGCTGAGTCATAGGAGCAAGACCCGGTCTGCTGAATGCTCTTTTGAACCCTTCGTGGGTCAAATGGTCGATTCGATTCTTGTCCATGACATTACTGCCAGGGAAATGCTTGGCGAATGGTCCCGAGTTATCCGCTTTATAGGTTGCAATGGCACGCTCGTGCATTCCAAAAAAGTGCCTAAGCACGTGGACGTAGAAATCGATGGGGCTAGACAGCGACCGTGACTTTCCAGAGCTTCCTCACGGTTTCTCGATCCCCAAACAGGTAGAGGTTTTTTCCAAAAACATGGATCCTGGATGAACAAAGCTTTCCAGCATAGGTTCTAGCAACGTTCTTAGTATGCTGTTTGCATAAGATGATTGGGAATTTTGCATGACTTACGTGGCACGGCGTAAGAATCTGGCATTATCGAATATGAATGGGATAGTGTTGCCTACGAAAGGAAGAAATTGCGGATTGACAGGAGGGAGTTGTTGTTCTGTGGCACGAGAATGGTCTCGATGGTAACGAAGCTGTCCGAGGACATAATAGATAATGACAGGAACGAGTGACAAGACCAGGGCATTTGAGATTCTTGAATTGCTCTCAGTCTATGGAGACCATGCTGGAATGGACTGATTCAATGCACAAAAATCGTCAGAGAAGTCCATTGTAGAGCAAGTACGGAAGATTATCGTCCGATCAAACAAGACGTCTGATAATAGGAGGTCACTCTTCTCTTTGAAAGATGATGTGGGCTACACTGTGCCGTCACCTAAAGCAGCCACAGGAGTCATTAGAAATCAGCTAGAAGACAAATGTCTCATCCTCGGACCCATGACTACGTTCTTGGAAGCCGTAGCTCGGATGGAATAGATGAAATGGTCGGACCCTTCGCCAGGCTTCCAAACTCTAAGGATATTGCCCCCAATCGCTGATATTCTGGGATCTTGGTTGACACGAAGTAATTTCCCATCCGTTCATTTGGAATGAATGTGGTGTGTTGTACGACTAAGGTAGGCGGCATGCGGCCTTGAAATTGCCTGTCATACGATGCTGACTTGCTTGCAAACCTGTACGCATCAAACCCAACGTTGGGTCTACGCCATGTCGTGATAGATGCTAAAACATGCTAGGCACCGAGAGGCAATGCTCAAGGCAGATAGGGTAATCAATCTTCGGAGACCGGTGTAGATTTATCGACTTTTACGTGCTCTTGGTATATTGCGGGTAGACTTTTCTATCCAATTGATTCGCCACATGTGAGGCACGCAGCGGCTCGGAACGGGGTGGTTCCTGTTGGCTGCTCACTTGGCGTTCGGCTGAGCCGTATAGTGGGCAGGTTATTACTAAACTATAAGGAGTTAGCATAAATTAATAGAAAAGAACCATTCGGGCGCGGACGGCGAGGGCGTAGCCCACGATGGTGCCGCGAACCATGGCACGAAGCTGCAGAGTTGTCTTCTACTAAGTCTCAATTCAGAATAGGATGAGCACTGAGATTCTACGCTACATTATTCCCATGCCGAACCCGAGCATGCAAATACGACGAGGCATAATCAGCAAAGCAAGGCTACTATGTGCCGTCTGCGTCCGCGTTTGGCTACCAAATCCAGCTACTTGATGGAGAGCGCTGAAGAGACTACCACGTTTCTAGGTAGATAGATAGGTAGGCTATAGACCATGCGGAAACAGTCTCATGCTATCCGTCCCAATCAACCCGAACTCCGTGTTCTTGGTCGTTCACAAGACAACATGTGTGACCATTCTTGCTCTCACCCACAGAATGGCCTTGACTTCTTAGTATCTCGCGCCAATCAAAGTAAATGTTACTTACAAGTACTACTATACACAGCCCTTATCCGTATCAGCTCATGACCGAATCGAAGGCTCAATGTCACTTACTATTAGTCCATGGTGACTTCAGGCCAAATAATGAGCTAGCAATGAGCTAGCAGGCAGCGAAGGCGATGCTAATTGTGTTGACTTTGCCCGGCTGGTGGGGACCTTGAACGAGATGAAGAGATCGTTGAGGCCCAGGTGACATTATGCTTGGGGCTTGGAGATGCGCAGTCAAACGAAAGCTGAATGCAACTGATGGAAAGACTTGGTACTTGAAAATCAACGTGACTGGATAGTTGTAGAGGAGGCTTTTGCATTTACGAATGGGCTCAAGCGGACGAGGACTACTGTACGTTTATTTCTACATTGCTATATCTGCCTGGTGTCTCTGGCCCCAATGTCGTGACATGGGCATCGTGATTTCTTTCAGGCAGTGAGACCTGAGCTGGTTTCCCTTCGGGACATGACGGACTCGGGGGTCCAGGGAGGATGGTGGGGGCGAATTGTCAAGCGCATACAGTGGGCTGAATGCGGAGTTCAGCTTCTCGAGGCATGGTCGGATTAATCTATCGCCTAGTAACGTGCCCGCGGTCCGCATTCTGCAGTATCCTATCCCAGCATTCAACCAACTCGGCGAGAAACGGTCACGGGATTGGACTAGCTCTCATTCGTCATTTTCCACGATACTTCGTTACCTACCGATTGAGTGGACATAATTCACATCTAGAGCCAATAAAGCCTGTGGCAAATAAGGCGGAAGGGTGTCTAATCTTGAGTGAATTGGGTCCGTGCCTTTCTTCAAGTTCGCCTTCCTAGGCTTCCGAGGCTGCCTTCTTCGCTTCGAAGTCTACTGGATATCCTCCACTGAGAGCTCTATTCCCTTATCTGACCCAGACAGTACCACATTCCACTTCTTACCTGCCAGTTCACCGGTTGCCGGAGCAATTTGAACCTTGACATCTTCATTGGGCGGTGCGATAGTACCTTGCATTCCGGCCTTGTCCGTCTTCGGACAGATCCATTCGCCTTTGGTCGGCTCGAAATCAAACCGGACAATCATCAAAGCCACGAAAGTGAGAACTTCAGTGGTAGCAAAGTGCCGACCAGGGCAGAGCGTGGATCCTCCTCCGAAACCTCGAAACGCTATCGGAGTTGGCCGCTTACGTTCTGGCGATCGTACGAAGCGCTTGTGCTGGAATTCGCCCACATTTTCCCCGTATGCCGGTTTTGAACTATGCTGCACTGGTCCTGGAATCATGACCATGCCGCCCTACTTCAGAAGATATTTCCCGTCCAAGACATGATCCTGGGTTACGACACGAACGGAAGTGCCAATTCCGTGGAACCGCAGTGACTCTTTCAGTATAGACAGCAGAATCGGGCAGGATGCTTTCACTTCAGTAATGTCGAGAGTGCATATGTCGCCATCGACTCTGCAACAAGCGATGATTTCTCGTCTGCACTCTTCCAACGCGGTAGCATCCGAGATGGCGTGGTACAGTACCCAGAACGCGGCTGGGGTTGTGTTGCTCAGGATAGCAATTATGCCTCCGATCTCGAATCTGGCGACATCCTTGCCCGTAACTCCCTGATCAATCTTGTGCCGATGATGTGCTTGGACAAAGGCTGAGCCTTGTTCGTGGCCACGAGACACAAAGTAATCGTTGAATGCATCAACAATGTCTTTGCGCGCTTGCACGCTCTCTCGAGCGAGCAGATTCGGATATAAATCCAACAAGAGCGTTATGATTCCTGGTTCGAATTTCCTGGCAATTGTCAGCTCGCACCACTAACCTTGAGGCAGGAATTGCTTACCAGTAGGCTTCTTGGATCTTTGCATCGCTGAATGGGTTCTTGGGACCGTATACGGCTTCCGTGGTTGCGAACGTAATCTCCTTCTTCACCCATTCGAACAATCTCAAAGGCCTTGGAGCTTGGGACGCGAGCGTCTCCAGTGCTTCCGACACTTTCTGGACGGACAACTTGTTCATGGCGTCTAGCTGCGGACCCGGCGTCACTGCTGGATGTATCGCCTTGTCGAACATGATTGCATAGCTAAAGTCCTCCACACCATTCTGATCCCGGACCAGAATTTTTCTGCCATCGGGACTGGCGCCCATAACATTCATAGCCACTTTGGCCTTCATCGGAGCGAAGTCCAGTGTGCGGACTTGTCGCTGGGCAATCGGGATTAATTCGGTTGAGTTGATGATGTAGAGTCGGATTAAAGGGATTCGCAGGGTGTAGATTGGGAGATTGAACTTGTCGCTAACAGTCCGTCAGTACAAGTTTTGGCCAGGTAACGAAGGCATCTTCTTTTGCACTCACCGCAGGTCTACGTAGAATTTGCCCTTTTTTCTCATGCCAATCATGGGACTCAGGAATGGGATTGCCGTTTCCAATGCTGGCGGCTCTTTCGCATCTTGGGTGAAGGTGAGCAGAAAGCGTAGAAAGACATAGGTCGCGGCCAAGCCGGAGATGACCAGGAGAATGCTCGAGGGTATGGTTGTCATCGTGATGCAACCAGAGCAGAATTGTCGCTGAGTGTGTACGTGAAGGGCGGCAAGCTCTGCGTCCTTCTCCTAGGTGAGGTAGAGGAGCTAGCGTGGGGGATGGACGAACGGGTGGCGCGTTGAAGGGGAAATGAAGTGCACTGCTGCACATCATCGGCTAATTTCCACAATTCCTGGGATGACCGTTGGCTTTTAATGTGATTCATGTGGGCAAGAGACACAGTGCTCCTTGGTGCGGAGTGGCGCGGGAGGTCGCGTGATCACGTGCAACAAACCACGCCACGCCACCTGCGCACAATCTGTGCGAGGTCTCGATAACACCAACATCTCGCAACACACCGCAAAAACCCCCATCGCCAGCATGTCGGTGAGTACAATAGAAGCGCGTGGAAAGGCGAGTACTTAGATTAGCAGCCCAGGGAGACCGTCGTCATCGAAGCCGCACCGCCCGCGTATCCAGGTAGCTATGGCGCCATCGAAGTCCACCACCATCACCATACTGTCCGTGCTCGCACGCCTCGAGGCGCTTGCTGTAGGGCACTCCTCGTCTGCCTTCTCATCCTCCTCATCATGGCTGCCTTCGGTGTTGTCGCGTTCGTTGCGTGGAACTTCTACAACTTGTCCCAATGCGAGAAGAACAGAATGCCCTGGGAGAAGCCTTGCAAGGATTGGCTAGGAAAGGACTCGGTTATTTGAATAATAATTGGGCATCCCAGCACACCACCGGTATGGTACTTCCCCAACCTTCGGGTTGCGCACACGTCTTCGTCAGGCTCGGCTGACTTCACGACTCTACACGGCCATAGATCGTTATCAGCGTTCCCTACGTGCCTGCAGCTAGCTAACCGGACGTCTACAGCGACGGAGGACTAGGAGATATGTCAGGTCATTTTGAGCCACCGAGGCTCTTTCGACACTTTCAGGTCACCATTCTTTACCCTCCGCATGCATCAGCATGATATAGATACCCGAATTCCACAATTCCCTCAGTTCAGTCACCCTCCTTCGTATTTCCTCTTTATTGACTGCAGCTCTTCAGTTGTAGCTTGTGACGCGGCGTCGTATCGACGTCGGCCCTCTTCAGGAACAAGCAAAAGCCCACTCCGCGGTAGAAGACATCATTGCATCTACTAATACAACTGCACCATACCAGAATCCATGCAAGTATACAGTCAATAAGTGTTACACCATCCCATTCGTTGGTCTCCTTTGGTTGTGACCTACCGCATGTGTTGTTGGGATACAGAACCAAACTCGAACAAATACCCCTCTCCGGTAGCTCGCCGACACCCTTGGGACGGGGATGGTCTCCCAACTAATAGTCGAAAGCTCAAGGCTGGAGCTTTATTGATAGCCTTCGGGGCCCCAACTGTTCGCTTTCCCCTCAACTTTGCGTCACCAAATTTCTTCCGCAAGATGTTTCCAAACGCCTGTTCAAATATAACAACCCTAGCTTCTCGTCGTGACAATCCGCTGAGTAGAGAATCCACCCTCTACAGCGAAGTTGTACAGCGACGGGATGAACCGGATGCGCCAGGAAACTGCGAGAAAGGCGAACTGCGCGCTGAGACGCGGCCCACCGAAGATGAACTCCGTCGACTTCGCCGAGTGCCAGGGAGAATCCCATGGTCAGCCTGTACTATCACGATCATAGAGCTGTTCGAACGATTCTCTTTCAACGGAACCTTCGTGGTTTGTACGTATGTACCATGTTAGTACGTCCTCCGCTAATCCCTCGCAACAGTCGTGAACTTCCTCCAGCAGCCCTTACCGCCAAACTCAAAAACTGGGGCTGGGTTCCGAGGCCAATCAGGTGCTCTTAATATGGGCCAGCGAGTGTCAACTGCTATATCATTGTGTCAGTATTAGCCTCTTTATGGAGACGACCAGCTCACGTTCCTCGACCGTAGCAAACAGCTTATGGATGTCCACGGCGCCTCTGTTCGGTGCGTTCATAGCGGACCAATATCTTGGGCGCTACAAGACGCTTCAATGGTCGAACGTCATAACGATCGTAGGACATTTTATCCTCATCATCTCTGCTTTGCCCCGGGTGATTGTTCATTCCCTAACTGCGCTGATTCCGTTCCTTGTTGGGGTTATTCTGATGGGGATTGGTTTCGGTGGCATAAAGTCAGTATCTACGTATCGTCATCTCTGCGTTGCTACTTACACTCGTCGTATAGGCCCAACATTGCAACACTCGTTGTCGAGCAACTTCCAGATACCGAACTTAGAGTCGCCATTGACAGGAAAGGCCGCCGTGTGATCATCGATCCCGAAGCCACCCGGTCGCGTATACTTTTGTACTTCTACGGCTTTATCAATGTCGGTTCTATTACTGGCATGATTGCCATGGTATATGCGGTGAGATTACCCGATTTGTGGCCTCTCGAAGTCGCTTCAGGTGATGAGGCTAACGCCTCAACTTAGGAGAAATATGTTGGCTTCTGGCTCTCTTTCACTGTACCATCGGTCACATTCTTGATATGCCCTCTGATCCTGTTCGGATTTCGCAAGAAATACGCAAGCGCGCCACCGTCGGGCTCTGTATTAGGCAAAGCATTCAGGTTATGCTTGCTTTCTATGAAGGGACAGTGGTCCTGGAACCCGGCCACAGTGTAAGAGCCTTGTCCACCTTAATCTAGACATACCACTTAATCATTTGGTAGCTACCGCAACATCCATCATCCAGATTTCTGGAACCGAGTCAAGCCATCTCGCATCACGGAGCGGCCTGCATGGATGACCCACGACGACTCGTGGGTAGACGAAGTGAGCCGTGGCATACGAGCTTGCCGATGCTTCTGCTGGTACCCATTATACTGTGCGTTTTCTGTTCTTGGAAGCGCTTCATGATTTGAAAATCTAATCGTGAGCAGGGCCTGCACTGCGCCAAATGGGTAGCAACATGATGTCCCAAGCAGCTACGCTCAACCTAGGCGGTCTGCCAAACGACCTCCTTATCAATCTGAATCCTCTCTTCTGCATTCTTCTCGCACCATTTTACGCACACATCGTTTACCCAGTCCTTGCGAGAATCGGCCTTCGTTTCTGTCCCATCCATCGCATCTCCGCCGGCTTCCTCTGTGCCGCTCTCGGAATGGCCATGTGCACCGTAGTGCAACATCTCATCTACAGCAGCTCCGCCTGCGGGAAACATGCCAATCACTGCCCCGCCGACCGTTTGTATCCCAAACCCTCTGTCTGGCTCCAGCTCCCCGTCTACCTCCTCCTAGCGAACAGCGAGATTCTAGCAAACGTTACCGGAATCGAATACGCGTACTCCCAAGCACCGAGCAATATGCGCAGCTTGGTCATGGCGCTGTTCTACTTCACCGGCGCTTTTGGGAGTGCGATCTCGCAAGCTCTAGTTCCACTGAGCGAGGATCCCGATCTGGTGTGGAATTACGCGACTGTCTCGGTATTGAGCTTGGTTGCTAGTGTGGGAGTATGGTGGAGCAATCGGAAGCCGAAGAAAACTGAGGGCATGGAGGAGGAGACGGAGAATGAAACCGAGGAGGAGAGGGGGCGTAATGTTCGCGACTTGGATTCGAATAGGAGTTGGTGATGGCTCTACAAGAGTTGGGTTTGAAGTTCGTGAGTTAGTATGGAGCTAGTTATGTTGGAGATCAATCGCCAAGCTTCCAAATCGGGCACTAGCGCCACAGAGATTTCTTCGATTTCTCGGAGCTATATACACTCAATACAATACACTCACCACCCACATGATGTATTCCTCAATTTCCTACTTTAACAAGTTATAGTAGCTTTCTTGTGCGAAAATGCGATGCCTTTGGATCAGAATAGACTTGGTTTATAACGCTGTGGCCGATGCGGGATTTGATGCCGAGATATTGCGACGCATAGGTAGTTTATCAGGTCAAACAGAATAAAGCGATCTACCCATTCCAATAGGCCTTAAATGGCGTTAATATAAGCCATGCCCGTTTCGCCGCTGTCCGATCCACACCACCTCGACTTGTTGGACTCTGCAAACCAGCCCGCAGGCTTCTTTGGTCCACTGAGCTCTGTCTGTGAATGAGGACACCGTGCCGGAGCGACGGTTGCAGTAGTGCCTCCTCCTTTCCCTTGCATCTCCGCACGGTGGGATGTGGTAGGCTAGTCCGATGCAGGCTAGGCTTCCCGCCCACCAATGAGCTTATTCTTGTCTGCCCCGCCATCCCCCGCTTGATTGTCTGTCAAACTGTTAGTGCGAAGCTTGCGACGACGTCCTTCGTGACTGTTCTCCCACCACATCAACAGTATCGACATATTTGTGATCCTGGAAACGGTACGACGGATACGTATGAGCTGCAACAGATCCCTTTTGGTCTGAGGGTTTCTGGAAAGTGGGCATCGCGGCCCGATCGAGGGAAGTGCATGAACGGGAAGGACCGAGGGCTATACGGTTGAGTTAGTGGATGGAGAGGGCGGTGTGGACCCTGAAGAGCATATAACATTTCCCTTGAAGGCCAGCGACCTTATTCTGATAGAGTGCCATCGTTGTACTGGTGTATCACCTTCTGGAGGAGCTTCGTGCTATCGTATGCGATCACGCTGTCGATAGGTGTACCGGCAGGAGACAGGCGTGTTCGGATATGAGTTTGGATATGAAGAATTGCCGGCAAGGATGGCTTGAGACTTGCGTATAGAGTCAAGGCAAGGCTAGCTGGATTTTCATTCGAGTCGGCCTCCTTCAGTCAGCTTTCTTGGTATAAGTTGCGAAAAGAGATGGATACATTTGAGCCTGGTGCCTGGGTCGTCTGAGAATTCGCTTTGATGCGTTTCTCCTGCGCCAGCTGCTCGCATTGCCTGCTGGAATGCCCGGACAGGCCACCTCCACGCCGGAACGATATCGTCCGCCGTGCCGTATGTGTCGCATCGCTGCAGGATATCGGAAGACTAGGAAATCAACCGGTCGAGAACGAAAGAGTTGCGGTGTCGTTGAGAACCAGTCACTCAGGAAAGGAAGCACCAGTATGTCTTGTCAATAGTCTGGTGGAGTGGGCAGTCGTTGCAGTCCACGCAAGGCGGCTGGTGGAAGCGCCCTTGCACCTAGAACTGGAAGCAGCGACAGGAGACCGACCCTACGTGACTAATATGCTCTTGCAAGCATACAGGGTACCTAGACTCGTACTTGCACTGGTTGGCATACGTCGTGCAGGAGCGCAAATTCAGAGACCCGAAAAATTTGCAGGAGCGACTATGCCACAGTTGGAATCCTGTTCGCTCGATCCTGCGAGCACGGCCAATGACTGCAATGGAGGCTGGGTGGCAAGCGCAGGTTTGCTTGGGTTCCAGGGTTCGATTCGAAGTACCGCTGGATCCTCTGTCACTTATCACTTAGTTCCGCGTTGGTGCACATAATGGCATGATATTGGCGTTATCGGCGACTTCAAGCTTGGTTCGATGTCCGTGCTATGGCCGCTACCGAAGAGACTCGTTCAACACCCAGCCATCTGCATTCATGATGTTTGTCTTGTTTTACCCGCTGAGTAACGTGTGCACGGTGCTGCCTGGCCGTCCTGAAAAGCCGTCCATTTCGGTGGTTCCTTCTCTTCTTCTTCTTTCTTCTTCACCTGCATCATTCTGTGTCTCATGCTACTGCCTACGTCAAGTTCTTCAGCAAGCACAACTCAGACGATGTATCAGCTCAGAGTACCTCCTGCCAACCACAAGATGGTCTCTACAAGCTCTCCTTCGCGCCTTCGGCGTGTTGACAATGTTGTCACTCGACCTCGCGGCCGCCACCCGACTAGAGCCAGACACACACCTTCTCTCTCTCCTACCCCCACTCCTCCAAAGGCGACAGTCATTCGAGTCCTCGCCAACCTGGGTCCTCGGACTCTCGGTCAACGACCGGCCCCTTCCCCACCAGCGGCTGCTGCAGTAAGTGCTCCCCAGCCGCGACGTCTACCTGCGCCCTGCTAACTCCCCACAGAAGACAAGCACCATCAGCAAGCCTGCTGCTGCTGCTCCTAAGCGGGCGGCGTGGGAAGTACCAGAGCCACTGCCCTATGGGGTGAGTCTCCTGGCCTCAGTCGTGGCTGCCCTATGAGACTAACACGCAACCAGTCGCGGTTCAGGATACGCCCTGTGCAGAGTTCAGCCAGGGACGCTGCTAAGACAGTCGAGAACAAGGTATGTTCCAGTGCTCGCCGCAGTCGTTGATGGTATGCTAACCATATGTAGGCCCGCCAGCCAAAGCGTTCTCCGACTCTACCCGTGCGTGCTCGACAAGGACCTGCAAGCGTAGCCAGTCAAGTTTCACAACTGCGCGAGCAAGCCCGAGCGAGAGCACGGAATGCCAGCCGTCAAGCCCAGATCGTGCCGACGAAAATCGAGCCAAAGCCTCGGCCCAAGCTGCGGATCACCCGCGATGCACCTGCACCGGCCCCGCCAGCTGTCACGCCAGCGCCTAGGCGCCCGAGGTTACGGATCACTCGTTTTCCGACGCCGGTCAAGCCGTCCGCGACCGAGCAGCCGCCGCCGCCACGGCGAGCTCTGAAGTCAGCACTCAAGCAACCCGGTACCGCCAAGTCAAGCAAGTCGGTTCGATTCGCCACAGTCGCAGCAGTTCGCCGGTTCGAGGCAACTGTCCAAGACAAGTCAACACTGTGGTTCGAGCCAACTATCGGTCACCGGATGCCAGTCGCTTGGAAACAAGGCACTCTCCACCCTCCCACTATCGTTAATACCCATGGCTCTTACGCCAAGATGTGGAAGAGTGTCCTTTTCGAAGACGGCACCAAACTTCTCCCAGGCTTTCGTTCAGAAACGATTCGTTCGCGACTCTGCCAAGTACAATCTTTCTACAGAGAGCAAGCCAAGTGCTTCCGATCCATTGTCGATCCCAGCTTCGTCGAAGTCAAACAGTCAATTCCTGGCTTCTACGGACGGAGAGTGGACGACAAGACATGGAGAGGATTTCTTCTCAAGCACCCTGGCGAGCGCGGACTGCCTGATGAGGCGTACGGCACTGTCCACTGGACAGACGACGGCATATGGCTATATCGCAGCGAAGCATTCCAATCGGGGACTCATCCATGTCCCCGTGATGGTCGCTGTTGGCGGTTTTATAAGAACAAGCTTTGCTTCTGCGATGGCAGATGGTTCCGGAGAACCTTTGAGATTTGGAAGGGATATACCACTCCTTTGAAGACCGATTTTTCGGCTCCTCCCGACCACCTCACTGGCGAGGTCAGGGTTCGCAACCCCACTCTTTACGGCGCGGCCCGAGGGGTTACTGTTCATTCAACTTGTTCAGACCCCAAGTCACTCGTTACAGACACCTCAGTTCCTCCGGTTTTCCAGTCACTCGTTAAGCCATCGGAAGCACAGACGCTTGCTTCAATTCAGCGAAGGCGGGAATGCAGGGCAGAGATTCAAGCAGAAGTCAGAGCCGAAGTTCTTAGGTTCATAGCCTTCATCGGAGCGCCCGCTGCTTGCTCTCGTTCAGACTCTCACGGTCAGCCACTCGTTTCTCAGCGACCAGAGTCAATCTCTCCCTCCCGTGATCGCTTGCAGTCTAACGTTCGCACGACGCTCGAGCCACTCCTTCATTCTTCCCGAGCTAAGTCGAAGGTTTCACGGACTGCACCAGCACCCCCATCCCTAGACCGTTCCATTCTTTCAAAGCCACTCATTCGGTCTCAGACCAAGTCACTCTCTAATACTTCAAATGAGTCGGTCACTTCTCGCACTTCTCGCACCCGATCAACAGCCAAGCAGTCACTCGCTCCTGCTCGCCACCGGTTGAGTCTCTCGGCCTGGTTGGAAAAGGTTGAGAGAGAGGGTCGCGTATAAAAGTGCATTGCAGTACTTTTTTGCTCTGCTGGCTAGGATGGGCGGTTTGCTCTTTTCCTCGAGTTCGTTACGATCCCGATATGGCACGGGTGCTTCACTCTTTCAGCACACCACAGCCTCTGGTTGGTCGCTTTCGATCTCCCCATTCTCGCGATTGGAGTGTTTCTATCATTACACACCCACTCCATGGTCCTAGCGCCCTTTTCGACCTGCGCACGGCCGAGTGTTTCGCTCTTTTCACATCCACTCGCGCCAACGCCAGCGTTCGCTCGTTCTTTTACCGCGACTGGAGTGTTTCTCTCTTTACACACACACTCCAGGGTCCTCCTTCTCCCCAATGGGCAGTGTTTCTCTCTTTACAACCCACTGCCCGGTCCTTGCTTCCATCCCCCGAGAGGAGTGCTTCATTCATTGCACATTCACTCCTCAGTACTTTCGTTTCCCGCGTGGGCAGTGTTTCTCTCTTTACACATCCACTGCCCGGTCCTTGCTTCCTTTCCCGCGTGAGCAGTGCTTCACTCATTGCACATCCACTGCTCGGTACTTTCGTTTCCCGCGAGAGCAGTGTTTCTATCATTACACATCCGCTGCTCGGTTTTTGCTTCCGGCGATAGGAGTGTGTCTCTCGTTACATACGTCCACTCCTTAGTCCTTCCCTTTTTCCGCGAAAGGAGTGTTTCAGTCATTTAACACCCACTCCTCGGTACTTTCGTTTTCCCGCGAGAATAGTGTTTCCCTCATTACACATCCACTGCTCGGCTCTTACTTTTTGCGATAGGAGTGTGTCTTCGTTACATACGTCCACTCCTTAGTTTCTGTTCGGTCTTTGACCCCACACATTCATTATCCCGGTCGAAGAGTGTTTCTCTCTCTTTTTCACCCACTCGACGACTTCGGGCACATCACTATACAAGCGACCAGGCGACGGTATGCTCCTTCGATCAGTCAATCACCAGAAGTCGAGCCAGAGCCTCAGCCAGCGTCAGCTTTTTTACGGTTGTGTGTTAGCCTAAAACACTTCCCAGTGCGGCAAGGTGTCCTGGGTAACCAAAAGCCTCCACTTCTTCATGGTTGTGTGTTAGCCATATCAAAACGCTCCCCAGTGTACACGGTGTCCTGGGTAAACAAAAGCCTGTGTTTATGCGACCCGGCGACGGCGCGCTCCTTCACTTGTCAATTTCCGAAGTGCAGCAAAGGCCTCAACCGCGAGTCAGCTTTTGTGGTTGTGTGTTAGCCAAAAACGCTCCCCAGTGCGGCAAGGTGTCCTGGGAAAACAAAAGCCTCCATCAGCGGCCTGGTGACGGTAGCTCCTTCTGTGGCGGCAGATGAGCGAAGACCTAACCGGTGTCTGCATACTTTTTGTGGTTGTGTGTTAGCCAGTCAAAACACTCCCCAGTGTGCATGGTGTCCTGGGTAAACAAAAACCTGCACTTCAAAGCGACCCAGTAACGGTTATGCTCCTCCCGGTGGCGGCCGGTTGAGCGAGAAAGGGCCTCAGCTGCGAGTCTGCTATGGTTGGGTGTTCGTCCTAAAACACTCCCCAGTGAGGTCAGGGGTCCTGGGAAATCAAAACCCTCCACGGCGGCCGCAATAGCGACGGTATGCTCCTCCGGGTGGCGGCCTGTGAGTAGAGCGGGGATCTCGCTGCGTGCCTGCTCTTGGACGGATCGAGTCGAGTCGAGTCGAATCGGTGTCGATGCGAGTCGAGTCGAGCGGACGATGTCGGTCAAGCGGTGCGGCGAAGAGGCTCTATTGGGTCATACAACAGCGGCCGCGAGACTGACAACGACTGCGAGACGAGACGAGACGGTTCGATCGGAGTCGGACGGTAACGGAGTCACGGTTCGAGTCGGGTGAGCGACAACGACCGAGACGACGAAGCCGTGCGACGCCGCATTCGAAGCGGGAAGGGAGGTTTTCTTTTGTTTTGGGTTGGGTTTTCTTTTTTCAATGCTTTTTTCTTTGTTTCTTTTGTTTTTCTTTTTGGGTTTTGATTTATGCCCCTTGTGGCATTTATATTTACTTTTTACTTCTTATACTTTGCTGTTGGTTGCTACTAAGGTACACAGGCTCGATGACACCGAACGGTTCGATGCGAGTCGGAGTCGAGGTCGACAACGGACGAGCAGTGCGGCGAAGAGGCTCTATTGAGTCATACAACAGCGGCTGCGAGACCGACGACGACCGAGACGACGACGAGCCGAACGGTTCGGGTCGACACACGGCTTAGGCCTTAGATCAACCGGCTAAGTATTCCCCTTCCCTCTGTATCTGAGTCACATGCTAACGTTCTACAGGATTTTGTATATACGAGCACACCAATCGGCTAAGTATTTCCTCCTTTTGATTTGTCTTATTTGCTGACACTCTCGCAGGATCCATTGCCTTCACGTATACCTCTAACGGCATACCCGCGTAGATTATACGGCTAAGTAACCCCATTCCCTGTCTCTGGGCCCCGCTGACATTCCAGGATCATGAAGGACTTTAATGCCTGAAGTGAAATGCAGAACTGGCTGAGTGCTCCTCCTCAGTCTGTTTTGTCGATGCTTACACTATCGCAGGTTCGTCAGGGTATACCTACGAAGACGGACATCAATCTGCTAAGTATCCTCTTTCCCCAGAGTATTTTCCTCACTAACGACTCTAGTGCCGTGCGAAGATTGTCTGTGTCCGAGCACGAGTGCAAAACTGGCTGAGTCTCCCTCTCAGTCTTCTTTTGTACGTGCTCACCTTTTCACAATGTGGCTGCGTACGAGAGGTAGAGCATGGTTCAGACCGGCTAAGTCCCCAGTCACCTCCCCTGAGCTCGTGGTGCTGATAAACTTGCAGGAATCCAATGTATCGGCAATACCTCATTCCTGTCTCTGAATTGGCTAAGTATCCCTTTCCCCGTTCACCTTTCGCCGCTGACGCATTCGCAGGAGCAGACTCAAGCACTCCCCCCCTTTTTTTATAAGTGTCCCCATTCCCTTTTTGATAAGCTTTATGTTAATACACAGGATCCGGAGCATCAGTGCACGATCTTTGACGGCCAACAGGATAGATCCGATCTGCTAAGTGCCTTCCGAGTGACTCCAGGTGTACCTGCTGATGCCTCGCAGGGTCGTGCGCGTAGCTGCGGCCCTTCCTTTCTTTATAAGTGTCCCCTTCCATTTCTTACCAGGCTTCATGTTAATGCACAGGATGCGGGGTCCTGGCGAGCACGAGCGACCGCAAGTAGCCTTGGTTTCAGTTTGGCTCGGCATTATTTCCCTTGCGATATCCCATTTATGGCTGGCTATCTGGGAGATACCGCTTACTTCAAGCCCACTTGTTTCTCGGTATCCCACCCATTCTCGCAGAGTCCTGGATCAATGCACGCCATCCAGTTTGCCGTTCAGCATATCCGAAGGGCCCTCGTCACGCTGCCCTTCCGCTCCGACAGAAAGTTTCCTACTCTATTGTGGCTCGTCTCCCCATGATGCGTACTCCTACCCGTACCCTCGTGCAAGGGGGTCTGTGCTGACGCTCAGATTTTTGAGCGTATCACACACACATGCTAGACGACGAGCTCCCGCCTTCCCGCGGTGTCCGGCGTCAGTATCTTCGACCGACCGAATTCGTTATCGAGCGGTTCGATCGAAGAGAAGCCAAGCGGAGCTCATGGTATAGGAACGTTTATCTGACTCAGGGAGAGTTCACATAGTGGATTGGTAGTTCGTGGACATAATCACTAAGACCCTTTGTTCTGGAATGCTGTACTCTTTGATTTCATCCGGGAACTGCATGCCCCGATTTTCGATAGAGGCTAATGCCGGCCCTTTGCATGTCCCACTCGAGGCAGCACGCAGCGGGAGGTTCCGGCCTTCATCATCGCCCACATGATGTTCAATCTTCGAATGCAACGTCACTCAGAATGCTCGATCTGGCCACCTCCTCAGATGCAGTCGAGCCAGGAGGATTGAGGAGCGTTAGCGTCCGGCTCGCGAAACCGGTGGTTCCCGAGGTCCCTTTTGGGATCTTGGCACGCCAGGCTATGTTGAGCCTAGCACTCAGAAGCCCGGGCTTAAGCTTCACAAAGTCGTGAGAGGCCTTCCACGCGGCAAAAGCCGACATTCTCCCTCGCCTTGGTCTATCGACCCTCTTCCATTTCTGATGAGAGGCCGCATACGTTCCGTCCTACCGCGACATCTCTGCCAACGCTGCGCAACGGCTCAATGGCAGACTTCACCTCGAAACTACGCTACAAAGCGAGGCGGAAGACCGTCCAAGGCGCTGAGCGGGACCCAGTTGAATCCGGCGAAGCTGGGAGGTACCAGCAAGTACCCGTTATCGGCGCAGTTGAGCAAGAATCCTGAGCCGGCGTTGGATTCCCTCCAAAGCACGAAAGGGCATGCCTATTATAGATCGCAGATTGTAAGTCCAAGCCTATGCGGTACGTTGAATCCTGGGGTTTACACAGAAGGCATGGTTTCTGACTCTGACTCGTCTCTCACTAGATGATATCCTGAAATACATCGGCCCCACGCTAGAAAAGCACAAAGGATGCGACATCCTCGACGTGCATCCCGGCGTCGGTCTCTGGTCACAGAAGATCCACGAGTTCCTGCAGCCACGGAGCCATGTCCTCCTTGAACCATCGGCCGCGAAGTTTGACGAATACCTCAAGCCGCTATTGGAGAAGCCGGGGTCGAAGTACAGGTTGCACACGGGGAACATAGGCGACTTCGAGACGATCAGATCCCTGATAGACGGTGGAGCGTTTCCGGACCAGAAGCGAGTGCGTCCCGAGGACCCTTCTTCGCGGCAACAGAATACCTTGCTCTTGGTCACGGGCTCGCTAATGTGGGATCCGAAACTCCCGGGTATCGCCTTCGACTCTATGGCTAAGCAACTCTTCATACAGTTCACCAAGATGGCTGTGCAGAATGATGGCTTTCATGCATTTGGCCCCGTGCGGATGCTTCTTTGGATGGACCATAACGATTTCAAGGGTATCCTCCCTAGGTCGATGAACCAGCACAACAAAGCCAGCTTTTACATGGACACATTAGCGAAGATGACGGAGGTTGTAGCGGCCGGCCACGAACCGCGCTTAGCTGGAAAAGTATCTGTTGGGCGCGAACCCCAGTATGAGCTCGAAAGCATTATACGAGCCATGAGGGCGGGAAAGGAGAAAGGCATGGAGCTCCCGGCACACCGACGCGAAAACGTGCACGACTTCGCCGAGGATGTAGAGCGGATGACGCAGGGCAAGCGCGTCATGAAATCGGCTGACATGTATCAATACTTGAAAGAGCAGGAAATGGCCGGAAAGTCTACGGTGGGACTCAGTTCGCAGGCAGCCATTGACAGCTACAAGGTGGACATGGTCTTGAAAGAGAACCCGAAAATGTATCGGATGGATAATCTCTCGGTGAAAGGAAATCACAAGAGAGTCTCACAAGAGGGCAAACAAGCCAACATCATACGAGCAAGCATCAGTCAACAAACCCGTCAGAAACAGCAGATTGAGCGAGCCGCTGATATCGGCGAGGAGATCTACCATGCCGAGTGCAAAATTCTTGGCATGCAGGACGGCGCGGATAAAGAAGCTGCGCTCAAGAAGTTACAGAGTTTGGAAGACGACTTCGCCGCCGCCGTCGGCAAGATACCAAAAAACCTCAAATCTGCGGTATACTCGGATCTGGACGACCGGCAAACCCTATACTCGCCAGTGCCGCGCCTCCAATGGGACGCGCGCCCGTTTGAACCACTTGTCATGCAGCCAGACGAAGTGTTCCCCGCAAACCGTGTCTCGCTCGTCGACTGCGAGCCGCGACCTGCAATTGAAGGCCGCACAGCCGACTGGTTCGAATGGGTGCAGGACTTTCTATACGGGCTCTTCCAGCACAGCAGCACTGGGTCGGTCGTCTCGGCTTTGGAGAACATGCAGCCTGGGGCTTCAGAGATCATCGCGAATGCGCCGAGCCTGAAGGATCCGGCGAAGGGGGGCAGACTTGAAATGAAGAACTTGAGGGTGAGGATGCTGACTCCGGAGATGGTGGTTGAACTTTGCGCTGCGTATAAGGAGTGGCCTTTTAGGTCGCCGAACTCGGATCACACCAGGTATTTCCGGTTGAGGTTCGGGAAACCCCCGACATGATGCGGCGCTGGAGGGTTACGAAGACGTCTGCGAGGATACTCGAGATAGCAATTCGCCGTCTTTACGGTCGGAATTCTTCCATTGCGGATGGATATTGTACACTATTGTAACACGCGGTGTAGTTGCGCCTGCAATGCATAACCAGCCAGTCCCATCGGCACCCGTCCCGTCCTACCTTCCTCACTTCTTCTTCGCAGCCGCTGGCGCTCCTTTCGCTGGTTCTGGCTTCGATCCTGCGGGTGCAGCTTTCCCCTGGCCTGAGCCTTGGCCACTTATAAGATCCATCAGATGATCTGACTTCGCTCCTTTGCCCTATACCAAAGTGTCAGGCATGCAAGCTCAATTGCCCTACGCAAAGCTTATGTCCTTAACCGCCACCAGTCGGGAAACAACATACCTGCTCAGCATCCCATCCGCGCCCGAACTTGGCTCTAAAGCCCGCCAATTTCCCCGCCTCATCCTCCTCCACATTCAATAGCTTCTGGCTACTCGGATTCCACAGCGGCGTATTCCTTGTGTCCTTCGTAGACTTGTATATCGGGGCGGGCGACGTCGTGCGGTGCAAAAAGGTGCTGCCGTCGGAGAGCGTGACGAGCTGTGTGAAGGTGTAGGGCCGTTTAGGGCGCCGGAGAAGGGTTGCGTGCCGGACTTGCGATCGAGCTGCGTGGCGGGAAATGACGGGTGTGGGGGAGTGAATAGAACGCCGCAGGACGCGCAGGGCGCTGGAGGAGGGAATTGGGGTTGCCATCGGGCGGTATAAGAGCGTGTTGGGCTGGGGGAGAAGATATCGAAGGGTGGAGGTGATGAGATGGGAGAGGTGCGCCCGGCAGATCTTCGGCAGAACTTTTTTTCGACCGGGGACGGGAAATGGATGCGGGTTGACACCAAGCGTCAATCCCATCTTTTGCTTCGACTATCGTCTCTCTTGGATTCGATCGAGCGGTACTTTGTCCCACATGATACGGCAATAGATTCTGCTGCGTCTACAAGCTCAATGGCGCTCAGCCGGCGCCCAGCCGCCCGCTTCTTCTCCGCCTTCTATCGCTGGAGCTGCTATACGCGTAAGATTCTGTACCGCTCCTTGATGGATCATCAGTAGCTGACCTACTGTGCTTAGAGCGACCGGTACCATGTAGCGAGGTTCTCCGTTATCGTCAGAATGGCTTTGGGCGTCGTCTTGACCTGCAAAGCTCCCGAGGCTATCTTGCGACGAGACCGTACCGCCAGATTGAAGGGGCTGCAACACATACGAATGATGAGGAGATACAGGTAGCTGCAGAGGATACATTGAGGCGTACCCATTCTCGGGTGGACGAATCCGAGGCAGGCCGATTAGAGAGCTCTGCCAGCCAGCCAGAGGAAGAGCTCAAGCAAGAGCAGCTTCAGCACGAAGAGGAAAGCGTGAATGAAGACGAGATATCGACAGCCGGCTTCTCGCTGGAAGGCATGCACACGAATGCGTTGCGCGACGGGGTGCGCCATGTCATGCGCCATGTCCCTAGCTCTGTCGTCGTTATCACAGCTGCCGCTCGCGAAGACGGACAGCCCATTCCCCTTGGCAGTGCCATCTCCTCCTTCAACACCGTCACACTGGACCCGCCTACCGTATCGTTCAATATCCGATACCCATCGAGAACGTTGGATGCTATCCGGGCTGCCCACGGCCTCTTCCGCGTCCACTTCCTAGAAGGCCAGAAGAGGGGTGGCAGGATAGCAGAAGTATTTACTCTGGCGAACACTACAGAGAACTTCAAGATCCGGCGTCAGGAAGTACGTGTGCATTTGCCTCCAAGACGGGACATATCAAATGCGACCGACTCCATGGCACCCCAGATCCAAGATACCGCCGTGGTAGCGGCGATGGAGTGCGAGATGACGCAAGAGATGACAGTGGCCGATCACATTATTCTTGTTGCAAGAATCAACAGTTTGGAGAAAAACCCGGAACTCGAGTCTACAATTCTGTATCATGACGGGAAGTACAAAAGGAACGACGGCGCCGTGGTCTTTCAGCACCTTGGCTCTCATCGCGTCTTGCCCGCAAATGAGGCTAAAGAGGTGGGCATATACTGGAAGTATCCGCTGTTTCACGGAGAGGCGGAAAGACAGGATATGAAAGAGCAGCTCAAGTCTTACATCAAGAGCAATCCCCATTTACTCAAAATGGACCTTACAGATGCCGCAGTCGAGCTGCATAGCAGCCTATTAATTCCCCGTGGTGCGTTCGGTTTCAACATGGCGCTTCTGGTCGCCGAATGCAGGGCTGATCTTGGACTCGAGCCGGGCTTCCAAAGAGACTGGGAAAAGGACGCACCCGTAGTGAATGAGTTCTATGGTCGCCTCACCCCGGGTGCTATAAAGTCTATTGTCGAGCGTGTGCGGAAGCTGGCTAGGATTGATGCCAGCTGCTTGGATTTGGATCTCATCATCTTGCTCTCCGCTCTAGGGGTTCATCCTACCTGCACCGGTTATCTTGCTAGCGAAATACTGGAGCCCTTGCGAGATGAAGGCTTCGTGGCTCCATTCGAAGCTAAAGCCAGACCCCCGGCTATACGCAGAGTTTATACTGCAGCCACTCTCGAGGATACAGAACAACTCGAGTTCCGTCTTCGCGAATTCCTCCGCACGCGAACATATAACGATATCCGGAGGATGACACCCGAAGATCTTGAGAAACAGGTGGGTGGTCCGGGTCCGAAGGCACGGAGGATCGCGCACATCAAACGTGTACGCGACCGCATCATCACCGAGGTCTTTCCGGCTGTTTTCGCTGCACCCAATATCGATATAGGTCCAAGCGAAGTGTACCAGGAGGAAGCGCGCGTTGTCGTTGCTCGTATCATCGATTTCTTCGGATTCAATAAGCTACTCTTGTTTCGCAGGAACATCTCTCTGCCCACCATTGAGATCCTGCGAAGGGTTGGCGTACATCCCATGGTCTCAGGCGTCGATGTCGAGTTCCTTATAGGCAAGCTTGTGTACATGCACCGTTTCGAACGGGACCCCGATGCACTCCTTTCTGCAGTCCAAGAAATGCTGAACCGCCACTTCACGCGCAGTGTGTCGTTGAGCGACCTCGAGTCGCGCGTCAAGCAGCTTGTGCAAAAAGCACCCCTCCGCGTGGTTAAATGGGGACCGGCAGATCTCCTTGCGGCAATGGGTCTCCGCCACGGAGCTAGAGCTAAGACGCCGGTGGCGCGCGATAGACCACAGCGGCTCCGCGACGGGCACATACTCCCCATGCTCATTGCTAAGGAGCTCAAGAACTTCTACGGGAAAGGGACGGATGAGGAAAACGCGGCTATCGCTGACTTCCTCAAGACGCAGTACAAGTACGATGTCCATATGCCCCAGCCAATCCGAGACACCTCGGAGCCGGACGAAAAGTCGAGAAGCAGCGACGAGGAGATGGAGGAGGCGATGCAGCAGAGTCTCAACGTGCATGTCATGCATAGTGAGAAGGCTATGCAGCAGCTCGAGGAGGCGAGGAGGGAAGGGCCTCCCGCGACGAGCGGTAGGCAGAACGGCACGCGGTGGAAGAGGATAAGGATGAATGGGTCTGGCAAGGAGGCGGATGACAATCAGTGGACCGATTGGGGAAAGGAGACGGCGAATAAGGAGGCGAACAAGCCGCTTGTCACCCAATGGACGGCTTACCGGATTGATGGGGAAAAGAAAAATGTCGCTCAGTCCTTCAGATTCTAGTTTTATATTGGGGCGGTGGTTAGAGTGGGCGCCCCGGCCCCCCCTCCGTGTATAAACTGTATGATATCCAACCAAGCGTTTCGGCTACGTAACGCCAATTTTATCTAAAAGCATTTCCCCGTGGTAGAACTTTATCTGCAATATACGTCGTCGGCGACAGGCTCTCCAGTCCGTGTGTTTGACGCTTCTCGTCTCGATAGCTAGCCCGTAGAAAGCACTCTCATGGCGCAGGAACCGGTCATCGAGGCAAGCAGAGTATGAGTATATATCGTCATGCCCGTCCAGAGCATTATCAAGGCTATATTGTGATTTTATTTTTCAGAGTAGTAACTCGATCCACAGGATATCTTATCATCACCGTACCTTATCCTGACATATCCGCTGGACAAGGGAAAGCCTGCAAGTTGAAGCAAAAGAGGCTGCGTCAGACACACTACCCACGCCTAACGCTGCTCAAGCAAGAATGCAAATCACAAAGTACCGCCGGTTCGCTCGCATCGTGGAAGAAAGCACGCCGCCGCCAATGCACCACCCGTGTTCATACATGACCTCCCTATGACTTTAAACGCCATGCCCTAAGGTGGCGATTGTACGATTAGCAGATGCTCGGTATTCGATCCACAACGTTGGCCTCTCACTTCTGACTCGCATATCCCGCTCTCGTCAACCTCCTCCGCAGCTCCTCCCTCGCAGTCGGCGCGCGCTCCTCCGTCCCCGACATCTGGCTATCCCCGCTCATGCGTGGGACCGGGTTCGGCAGATCCGACGCGGGCAGATCTAGGTTAGGTATCCCTTGCATAGGCAGATTATTCCCCGCAGACAAGAACGGCGAGGGAGGGAGGTCTTCGAGATTCATCGTCTGGTGCACGTCGTCCATGAGCGCGGGGTCGACGGGCATGTCGTAGCTATTGTGTTGGGCCGGAAAGGTTGGGAACTGGGGTTGGTGCTGAGCGGCTTCTATTTGGAGTTGATTGCTGGGTGAGTCTGCGCGGTCGAGGGCACGAGGATGCTGCTCTTGCTGTTGGAGAGGTGAAGGATATGGCTGTTGAGCCGGCGTGGGGGTCGAAGGGTGTGAGCCTGGATGCTGCTGCTGCAGCATGTAGCGCGATTGCTGGGCACGAAGTGCAGAGAGACCCTTGTTCATCTCGCTGCATTCAGGGCAGTTGCGGATTACCTGGCTGACGGTTTCCTTGATGCGGACCCAGTGGTAGTTTTCGGCGATTGACGCCGTGGTCTTGTTGATGCCACCGTGGGACTTGTGGTGCACATCTCGCGCGATCTCGTATTGACGCTGGGGATCTGATATCACTTCTTTGCCTTTGAGCATCAGCTTCTCCGGTTGAGTAGCTGTGGCGGGGTAGAGCTTGTAGTGGGTTGCTGCACTGCGTAGACGGCTATAGACGGGGGCACATGTCAGCAGATATCCTCGCCAGAGAGGCTCTGGGAAAGAAGGGATGGAACAGGGCAAGCAGGTCGTAAAGGGCCTCAGTGGACAAAGGCAGTACGTACCTCTTCTCCGCTCGATCGGCTCCATTTGGGTACTTTCCATTCTTGAGATAGAAGCGGATCTTGTCGAAGCGCTCTTCTGAGACAAAATCATCGTCTTGGCCGAGGTCTCGACCGTAGATGATGGCATCGACGAGCTCGCCGGGGTAGGACTTCAGATTGCCGCAGCCTTTGACACGTCCTATGCGCTTAAAGCCAAGTGCATCCCATATCCGGCAAGAAGCGACGTTTGTCTCATACACGAGGTTGAAGACGGAATATGTATAGCCCTATGAACGTTAGATTCTTACCGATGAAATTGAGTGCGCTCCAAATCCGGTGGGATTACCCGAACGGGCAAACATAGCACGGTCCAACCCATACTCCCAACCACAGGCCAAATGCCCACGCGGGCCGGGTAGGGTGTCCCGCCAGGGCTGGCAGCGTCAAGATCAATACTTACAAGCTTCGGCGCCCAGTCAAGGTACGTCTCGCCCATCAGACGGCCTACGCCTCGGTTTCGCGACGCATCAGTGACCAAAAAGCCGCCGTTGCAGACGTGGCTCGACCGCCCCGGGTAGTTTGGCTTGATGTAGAAGCTACCCAGACACTCCCGCTCCCAATCGCAGCCGCGGCGCGCCATTTCATGTATCTCTCTGCCGTCGTGTATCTCACCCAACAGCATAATAGCGCCGAAGACGCCGAACCAGTACGGACCGAAGTTCTCGAGCGGCAGCGGGTCGACCATGGGGTATGTATCGCCCTTCTCGATCTCGCGACCGAGCTGATCGCACAGGTAGGCAAGCAGTGTGAGGGGTACCTGGTTCGGCGCCGAAAAGGGTACGATGGTGGCGACGGTTACTCGATCGCGCAAGGTAACTTGGCGCGGCGCAATGCCTGGAGGGAGAGGGTCGCCGGGCGGAGGATAGGGCGTGTCGCCTGAAGTGCGGTAGACGACGGGCGCAGTGGGATCCTCGAGCATTGCAGGCATAGCGGGCAGTAGAGGTAGAGTGTCTGCGATTAGCTATTTCTGCGTGTTAGCGTCGAGAAACGGGAATGATGGTAGCAAGTGAGATGAAGTCTTCGGGGGCGCGCACGCAGCGATGGCTCGGCCCGAAGGCCGTCAACGCATTGTGTGCGCGGCTGCGAGGACATGGCCTTGTTCAGGATGAGGATGATGGAAGTTAGATGCACTTACTCGCGCTTTTGTGCTGGGGCTTTCGTGCTGAGAACTGAGCACCGTTCTGAGAAGACACAGCGACGAGCGCCGACACCGTGCCGTGTGGGCGGGGCTAGACTAGGCTGCGGGCTGGGGTGCGGCGCTTGGCAGGCGGACGCTCGCCTGGCCAATGAGAAGGGTGGCGTCGTCTTTGCGACACCCTTTTCCTGGTGCTTGGTGGTTTTGAAAGGGAGGCCGAAAGGGAGGCCGAAAGGGAGGCCGAAAGGGAGGCCGAAAGGGAGGCCAGCTCTCCGGGCGCAGAGCTGAGCTGGAAAAGTCGTCCTGTCACTTTCCACTTTTCGGGGCAGTCGCGATCGGAGGCGCCAAGACCTTATCGATAGTGTACCTCTCTCTACCTTGACCTCCAGAACACCACCAAGCCTTTCACATCCGAACGACCTGGGAACGTTATATCCGCATCACAAGCATCTCCTCCGTCCTTGTAGCACCCGAGCAGACGAGAATACACGACAAGCGTCCGGCGTCTTTCATCGTAATATTGGGTCGGAAAGGCCGAGGGGGGGTTACGCGGAACATGGTAGGCTTCGGGAGAGGATGCATTCAACGTGACGTGATGGCTGGACAGGCCGTTGTTGGAGCTTGCTCCTCTTCCTTCGAAATGCCAACGTTCCGGCACCGGCAAGGATCAACACATGCCAGCGGCCGTAACCAAAAGCGAAAAGCTGAAAGATGATCAGATAAAGACGGGTGGCCAGAGCTCACAAGCGAAAGATCGTCGCAGGGATGCCTAGGGGATCGATCATCCCCAGCTCCTGAAGGTGCACATGAAGAATGCCTACGATTCTTTCAAAGGAACTGGAAAGACAATCGCCTTGCACTTTTGAGCATTACCCCGCGCTTTCAAATCACGACAGCTCCCATTTTCCGCGCAGACAAGTTGGTGCGCTCGTCACTGGATTAGACTTTCTTGGTCAGCGCATTAGCCTGTGAAGTCATCGCCGAGCCCTGCCAATTTGTTATTCCAGGGATCGCGACAAGGCCTGGAAGCTGCAAGGAAACCAACGCGACCATCTTTTCCCATGAAACACTTTCATGCCCCAGAACACTCGACTCCCGCTCCACCGCCGCGATTCGAGACACAGTTATGGACAAGCTGAAGGTGAAGGCGAGGTCTGCGCGCAACAGGGTTGCCGAACAAGCATCGCGAGGTTCCGGCAGCGCCTCGCTTTCGGTTCCACACTCGGCGCTTCCTCCGGAAGACAACGCGAGCGTGAGAGCAGTCAACGAAGGCTTCATAGGACCTCAGCCTGGAACGACAGCGCGCGACTTCGCCGACACCCCAGCACCGCAGCCAGCCATCGAGCCTCCTACCTCGTTGCAGTCGTCTGTAGACGCGGGAAAGCCGGTCCCTGTCCCGCCCAAGAATGGCAGTCGCTCAAAGGCGTCGTCGAGGTATGTCCAGGTACAGACATAAACAGAGGGTACAGTAGCTGACAACCGCTTTGCAGTCTCCAGGTGCCGACCCCAGGGCGGGCGAGGAGCAATTCGGCTCCTAACGCACCACCACCGCCTGCGCAACGCCGCCCCTCTGCTGGCGTTCGCCAGTCCAGTATCGGGATTAGACGAGTGCCCTCGGCGGGCGCGCTGCGACAAGTCGCCTTGAGTCCGAACGCGTCCACACATCAACTATCAGGAAGCACTTCACGCCTACCGGCTTTGGAGGAGGAATGCCAGTTAGAGCCTGTCTCGACGGGTTCAACGAGCACCACGGAATCAGATACACCACGGCCAGAGCCTAGCCGGTTGAGGAAGGTCAGCAGTGCTATTCAGACAAGGCTGCCGTTCTGGAAGGGTAAGGAGAAGGATGAGGAAGGCGAGAAGGCGCCTATGCCAGCGGCAGCGGCGGAACCGCCCATGCAGTATTCTTCGAACATGGTTGACGTGCTCGACACCCTCGGTATGTGCATGCTGAGAAGAAGGAGTAGATCAATGGCTGACCTGCACAGATCCCGAAGTGCAAACCCTGACGTCCCTTACCAATATACAAAACTCCCTCTTCGTGCCCAATCTGGGTCGGTTCGTGAATCGCAGACCTACCTACAACATACAGCGCCCACCTAGCGAGGTTCAGAGCTTGGAAGAGATCAATTCGATCTTGGCGCCCGCGCAACAAGCTCAGTCGGAGGCTGCGCCGACGTTGACGCGGACACAGACCGGCGGTACAATGGCCACTCTAGCCACCATTGACTCGCGAATGAGCGATAGCCGATACGCTGTGCTTCCTCACGGTGCATCGCTGGAAGGCTGGACCAAAGAAGACAAGAAGGAGCTCAATGATCACGTCCGTCACATGTTACATTCGAGGAGATCCAAGTTCAAGCGTTCTATGAGGGGTTTCGGGCAGTATGTCAAGCGACGTAAGTATTCCTTTTTGATGTTAAGTCACTCTATCTAACGGCTTCGCAGCCTTGGGATTCTTAGTCACCCTCTATGCGACTCTGATCACCCTATTCGGTCTCGCATGGGTGCTCTTCCTGATCGGCTGGATCAACGTTGGCGGGAAGCAGATCTACGTCGTCCACATTATCGACAGTGTTTTAGTCGCCCTGTTTGCCATCGTTGGTGACGGTCTTGCTCCCTTCCGCGCGATTGACACATACCACATGATCTATATCGCTCATTACCACCACTATACGTGGTCGCGTCGGAAGAAAGATTTACTGCCGGAACTCCGCGATCATAACGATTTACCAACCGGGAATGCCCCGATGTCCGGACGGAACGGCGATTCTGACCTTGAGGACCCGGAGAAGCAGTGGGAGTTCACCGTTCTCACGCCGAAACAGCAGGCCAAGCTTGAACACCATGAATCAAAGTTCTGCAAATCGCACTCCTTTTATAAGCCGCATGAGACAGAAACGCATTACGCTTTCCCACTACGCCTGCTAATCGCCATTGTCGTACTCCTGGACTGCCATTCCTTGCTCCAGATCTCCCTCGGCGCTTGTACCTGGGGCATCTACTACAAGGTTCGGCCCTTCGCACTCACGACTGTAATTCTGTGCTGTTCGATTACATGTAATGCAACCGCAGGCCTGCTGATCATGATTGGCGATCGGAGGACGAGGAAGAAGGATGTGCTAGAGCGCATGAACAGGCAGGACCTGACTGAGGAGGCTATGCATAAGGTAGAGAAGAAAAAAGACCGCGAAAGCGAGAGCGAACGGGAGGACGGGGATTCAAGCAAAAAGCAAAGTAGGAGCAGCTTGGATATTTTGCGGAAACCGTATTCTCACCGCAGCGGGAAGGAGAAGGAGAAGGAGAAGGCAGTGGAAAGTGCATATCCATGAGCGATTGAGCGTGTAGACTTTTGCCATACTTTTCTGCATATAGCGTAGCGTAGGACTATTCCTAAGTCACAACGGACTAACTTCACCTTTCCCTACACTGAATGTCTGTACGATGCGGATGAATAAGCAGCCCGCGCTAAGAATATCAACGCTAGCGCCATTTCGGTCTTTCGGTCGTGTTCCGCGGTTCGTCTTGAACGTCAAATCTGTCGAGCGAACCCTTTCAGCACAAAGATAATATGGTCGCGTTTATTGGCAAATCTCACCCAAAGTAATAGTTCAGTCGAGCTTGCCGTCAAAAGCCGCGCATTACCAGGTGCCCCAACAAAATCGCCTCTCGGAACAAGCGCCAACCTGCTTAATACACCGGGTTTCCCTCGCGACAGGACCAAGCAGTCGCTCATGGGGCTTTCCCTCGCTGCGTAAACAACGATCTGGATACAAGAGCTACGTTTTAGGGCCTAACACCTGTCATGGCCGATCTGACGTTGACGTTCGGGTCGAGCTTCGGGCCCGGACCGCCGGCGAAGAGAAAGAGGCTCGAATTCTCCGGCGACACGCAGACACCATCGACTATTGTCGATAGACGCTGTACTGTCTCGCAAGCTTTGAGGTAAGTTTCAGAGGCTACGTTGGGCCAGGAGCTGTAGAAGAGGAAGTTCCAGAAATCCAGATCCCGTTCGGGTATTCTTGCTTCTGCTTTACACACGTCTACCAGCCACCTCGACCTTCTATACAATCGGCCTTCCAATCTTCGGCATTAGCTTACACAATGCACCGCGCTAATGGGACGCATAGATTAGACTGCGACTTCATCACAGTAGCAGTCGGCCAAGACGAGCTCAAAGTCAGCTTCAAAGTGCACGAGCACGCCATCTGCGACCGTTCCGAGTTTTTCCGCAATAGCATGAAGCCCGAATGGTCCTCGATGCGCGCCGATCCCCGCGTGATTGAATTACCGGAGGACGACCCGGACGCCTTCTCGCTGTATCGCACATGGGTCTACAGCGGCAAACTTGCCATCCTACCCGACAAAGACTGCGATCTCAACTCCACGACGGAGCGCTACCACACGCTGGCGTATGCGTACGTGCTCGGGGAACGCCTCTTGGATACGGATTTCAAGAACGCGATTGCCGATGCGTATGTGCTGTACGCGCGGGGGATTCCGCCATCGAGACGGTACTACCCGAGTAACGAGGAGATTCGGATTATTTATGAGGGAACGAGGGAGGAGAGCCCGATTCGCCAGCTGCTGGTGGATATTTGGTATTGCAGGGGCAAGGCGGAGTGGCTCGAGAAGGATGCGGATTTGCCGAGGGAGTTTTTGACTAATGTGGTGAGGGAGTTGCTCAGAGTGAGGGTGAGTGTGGAGAATTTGAGTCGGCCGTGGAAGAATAGTCATGAGCAGTATCATGAGAAATGAGGAGGGTTATGGAAAGTATGGGGCACAGGGTGGGGCAGGAGCAGCGTAGAAACAATGCCGGACCCGAAGGCGTAATGAAGTGGCGGAGGATGTGGAAAAGAGAAGTCTCGGCCGGGACGGGAGCCGAAAACCTGGATACAGTCGGATATTATAGGATGGACACGAGCACTTGGTGATTGGGCCAAGGCACGCTAGGGACGTGTATGGATAGACGAAGGCGTGGATGAGGAGAGCGGTACGATAGTTCAGGCAAGCCCCTTTCCCATTCCCTTCACCGCTCACGTTCACGGTATGAATTTCTCGCTGCTTCCTTTGTCAGACTTCACCGGCCGAATGTCTTACATAAAACCGTTGCGGGGGAGCTTCCCGCACCAAACCTTCGGCGCTTGACAAGTTTGGAGGTTATTACGTCGCAGTATTCCAATCCACGAGGTCCTACTCTGCAACACGTCACCGTTCTTCACAGCGTGTCACAAAGACCGAACGAGCGCAGATACGCGAAAACCCAAGTGCTGTCACCCTACCAGAGGATGGCACCGAAGCCTTTGCCGTGTGCATCGACTGGTGCTATACTCTTGCGCTTACGACATAATTTGGTTCTGCTCCGTCACCGCGGAAAAGGAATTTACTGGCGAGATGTTACCATCTTGGGAGAAACACTTCCCGATGTCGCGTTCAAGAATACGGAATTGGCGGGTTTGTTGCTCCGGGCGTGCCACGTGAGGTTTGACTCACCTGCACACCAACATAGTTGCCACGCTATGACCACTTTCAAGAGACCCTACGAGTCACGCCGTTCGTCCGTCCAACATTTCACGCACTACTTCACCATTCATGCTCGACGAACCCGTACTTCACTTTCACTTCCTGTCCCGCTCAGCCCCCGTCTTTATCGCAACCGCCAAACTCTAACCCAAAAAGACTCAGCAGATTAATCGCAATGGAACCTGACCCTCGCGTCCCGGTGTCCGGCAGCAAGATTGATTCGTAGGTAACTCCCTCGAACCAAGTCATCAGTAGGGACTGACTCTCATTAGCTTAACCAGCGATGTTATCAAGATCTCCGTAGGAGAATCTGGTCAAATCTTCCATGTACACCGAAGCCTGCTCTGCTCGACCTCCGATTTCTTCCAGAAGGCCATAAAGCAAGAGTGGGACACACTTCGAGCGGAAAGTGGCCTGATTACCCTAGCCGAGGACAACCCTGCCGACTTCAAGCTCTACGTCCATTGGATATACTACAAAACGTTGCCAACGACGATCGGCGTGAAGGCATCAGACGAAGAGGTGTCCACACTGGTCCGCGCGTACGCCTTGGGGGAAGCAATCATGGACATCGAGTTCAAGAACACTGTAATCGAAGCCTTGATTTCTATCTTCGCTCAGGAGGATCAATCCGCCCGATGCTTCCCGAGTGGCGATGATGTCTCCTTCATCTGTGAGGCTTTACCTACATCTTCACTGCTGCGGAAGCTGGCTGTGGATGCTTATGTATATATTGGTTTTTTCACTGAATTCGGTTATTGGACCAAGCGGATCGAGAAGTGCCCTAAGGAGTTCCTCGTAGATGTCGCTACGGCGCTATTCAAACGACCGAAGCCGTCTTACGAGGAACGTCCGTGGGTAGCCTCCAAGCAGCAATACCTTGAGGCAAATGCGCGAGACGGGGGAAAAGATCATGAATAAGTCTGCTTCGCAGACGACACTGGCGAGCTATCAAGGGGGCGGAGGAATTGCGTTTGGCCATGTGCGCCAGCTAATGAACATCACGCAGTCGGGACCCCCCCTGTATGGACTTGGACCGGAGTACACTTATGGTTCGTGTTTCTCCTTTCATAGCTAGGCTTTGTTCGGAATCTAAATGCGATTTGTGGAGTCAGAACTGAGAGTGCTAAGTTTACCCATCTAAGTGTTCCTTTTCACGACCTTTCTCGATTTGGAAGGACATAATGCCACTTTGTTTGCTTCGCTCTGCGCATGTGATCGCATGCCCATGGCCCACTTCTATGCGTGCGAAATGATGGAGATCAAATGTGGAGGGACAATGTCGAGCAGTGTGGGAAGGACTTCTTGGTGGATGTGGTCAAGAAGATAGCGGTGGTATGTCCTACCAACGGCGCGGCTAGTGAACCACTTCTACACCGTTCGAGAGCTTCTTTCTGGAAGCACAGCGTCGGCTTGTTATGGTGTGAATGTTTTACCACCTTTGTGGCTGGAAGTGATGTTGACGTCCGCATTCACGTTTGCGTCGCGCCTTCCGCTTTAGTACGAGCTCTCCTCTCCTCTTCTACAGTAACAACACTCCCACTCCCACTGCAACATCAACACCCACACCGCGAAACTAGACAGTCAAGCGGAACCATCAGCAATGTCTGAGCCGAGGGATACCCGCATCCCCAACTCCGACGCTGCAGAGTACGTTCACAGCACTGTACCGTTATCATTGCTAACCCGTGATAGTCTCTGGGGACCAGTCGTCAAAATCATCATTAAATCAGGGGACAACAAGCAAATTATCAATGTCCACAAGGCTCTCCTATGCTCGAGCTCAGCCTTCTTCCAGAAAGCCACAAAACCAGAATGGGCGAGCTCTCGCGACGACCCCGACGCCATCGAAGTTGAATCCGCGCTAGACATCTTCCAGAGTTACGTGCACTGGTTTTACAAGGGAACTATTCCCCGCCCATCGACCAGGTTTCGGTACACAGATCATGTGTTCCTAGCAGCGCTCTATACACTGGGCGAAGAGCTCACGGACACTAAGTTCAAGAACGCTGTTGTTGACACCATGATCTACGCCACTGACAAATAGGGGTGGTATCCTATCGGAGAAGCAGTCACTATCATCTACGATGGCACTACAATCGGCTCACCGGCGCGGCGTCTCATGGTAGACTTCTGTGCCCATATGGCTAGCTACACAGAGGCCACAAAGATCTGGGACGATGAGTTTGAAACTGTCCGAACGAGTTCCTCGTCGACGCTATGAAGGCTATAGTTTGAGTGCGTGAAATGCCCACTCAGGAGGGGCCATGGCGGAAGGCGCGTCAATTGTATCATGAAAAGGAGTCGAATTGAGCTTGGCGCCTTTCTTCGATATGCTCAACTTTTGCGAGGACCTAACGAGCGTAATCTCTAGCCGGATGCATCAATCGAGCGGGTTCTGCATTTTCGATAGGACGGAGGATGATTGGGTGCGCGTAGAAAGTACCAGGCGGAATTCCGGCAATTTGCTTCCTCAAAAGGTCTCCGCCTGCAGGTGCAGTCCGTAATAGTCGAAAACATTTGGAATACGCAAATGATGATCTTCTCGCCCAGCTATCGCGATGTGATATCTTGAACGAGGCTGCAGCTATCCATGAAGAGGTTCAAAATCGGTGAGGTGCTGGACTAGACTTGGCCCGTGCACAGGTCCACGCTAACCGAGGCCGGCTGTGACGCCTTCCGAACGTCAACCGTCTCACCCTCTTCACGACCTCTTTTTCCTCGCGATGTTTCTATTACGACCATTACCCCCGAATGTTTTCCCGCGAGTCAAGAGCGCAAACAGAGGGCCACGTACTACTCGTTCAAACAGGAGCGTTTGGAACAACATTACTACTCGAAAGACGCTTCATTGCTCTAAGACTTTCCAAGGACTCGTTGCCAACGTTGCCAACATGCCAAGCGGCCTTGCGGATGATCAACTCCGCCTCATGCTAGAGGGGAGAAGGAATCTCACTGCATCTCTCTGCCTGCAATTGTTATCCTGGCTGCCTACAGCCCATTTAGCCTACCGTGACTACAGCACCGCCATCGAAACCGCGCAGGGCGAGAGACCCATCGCACTTCGTGTCCGGGACCACGGGGCGCTCGCCGAATTACCCCAGGACCTTTTTTCACCTCGGCACGCCTATGCAATGCCGCGTTTGAGGCCTGTCGCCCGCATGAACGACTACGCGTTTAGGTAGGTCAGCTCCTCGATGGAACATAGCAGTCGCAGAACCAGGCCCGCCCGCTCGATCTGTTCATGCACAGGAACCGACTACCGACCCGCCGCAGGGGTCCCGACGGGAACTTACGTTTTCGATATGGCTCGAGCTCTATACCTACACAGTAGGCGAATGTGCGACGAGGGCCTTCTAGAAGCCATGAAAGCTGGTTTTTCGGGTTCTCATACGACTCTTATCTTAGGACGGCACACCTCAGACAGTGAGGTGTCTCTGGTGGTGGCTATGGCAGGAGTGTACCGCGATTTTGGGCTTGCGCTTGCCTGGTGAGGCGCCATGAGCCAGTCGCGACCTTTCCATTTTCAGACGTCTCTCTTCTTCACTCCCGTGTCGAACCCATCCATCTTCCTTGCATCGCGATATACGCAATACAAACCAATTGCCTCATCGCTGTCCCGTAATCTAAAGCGCCGCTGGATCGTCACCTCGAACGTTCTGCGAAGATTCCACCTAAGTTTGGCACCGTATAGCGTCCTACACGCGGGGAGTAAAGGTCGAAGGAGACTGGTAGGTCAAAGGAATGAAGGGGAATACAGCTAAATGTATAGCCAGGCAATCCTCGGAAGCAGCACCCGCACGTCAGGCTGGTGACACGGGATCGGTATTAGCATCAGCAGTGACCCTTTCGCTTGTACAACAACTCGCCCGTTTCAGGATCCGTACCCCAGGCCCCCAGGATTCTGGATGCACATCATCCCTGCGGGCATCGCTCTTTGACTTCCTGTGGGAACGTTTTCGGAAGGCTGCACAATGCTGCCATTGTGAGCACACGGATGGACCTGGCGCATCTGCGTGGCTTGCCACCCCTCCGCAACTCCCCTACGCATATTTGGATGAGAGCCGCCGCAACCTGCATCGGTACGCGCGCTCTCGTTTTATTGCGATTTCTCTATGTGCGGCTCTGGAAGCCAGACTCTGGTAGTCATTTAGACTCTTCAGGCTCTGGCAGTCTTCACGTTCGTTACCTAACTTAATCACGATGGCTACGTTTTCGCTCAATATGTCTTCGCTGGCGGCGCAAGACTCCCCGGAGTTCCTGGCCGAGGACGTCGGCCCTACGATCATTGCGACTGCGTCTTTGATGATGATTTTCTGCACGCTCTTTGTTGGACTGAGATACTGGGCGCGATACTTAACCCAGACGAGATTCGGAGCCGAAGATGTAATTATACCCTTCGCCTGGCTGGCGGAGATGGGTTTGTGCGTTGTGGGTATTGGTATGTCGTGGAATCCTTTGATACGTGAATGCAGACCTAACTCAATTATAGTAATGGTCAAGAAGGCGGGAACAGGTCGTCATATGGACTACATCCTTATGACTGACCCCGGAAAAATCACCGAACACTACAAGGGGATCATGATTAACGAAGTCCTACACCCAGCCGCGGTCGCCTTCCCAAAACTTGTCGTGGTCCTCTTGTTCCTGCGAGTCTTCACCAACAGGCTGGAACGATATGCCGCCTGGACTCTAGTCGCTGCAGTTGGCGCAACCTGGTTCTCCTTCACAGTTGCCTCTTGCTTCCAGTGCACGCCGTTTGCTTATAACTGGGACAAGACCATTCCTGGGGGAAAGTGCTTCAACGTCATCGCCTTCGCATACAGCAGCAGTGTGCCGAACATTGTGACCGACGTTGCGGTTCTGTTCTTGCCAATTAGGACGGTTTTAGATTTAAAGGTTTCGATAGGGAGGAGAATTGGACTGCTGCTTATCTTCCTCACCGGCAGCATGTAAGTTCTATGTGCCCAAGTTAAAGCGAAACCGGCTAACAGCAACAAGCGGAATCATCGCTTCCATCATCCGCACGGTAGTCTTCGCTCGCACCGACCCTCTTGTGGACATTACCTGTACGTCTTCCCTATCACTTGCTCTCCATACTGCTCGCTAACGCCCACGCCTCCAGTCACAAACACCGCCCTCGTAAACTGGACAATCATAGAACCTGGCATGTACCTTCTAGCCGCTTGCGCCCTGTCCTTTAAACCTCTCTTCCGCATGGTCGCCAAAGCCCTCCGTCTCCAATCGCTCATCACGCACACGAAATCTGCCCTCGGCCGTACAACGCACACCAACAAGACTGGCAACCCCACGCAGAAAGACGTCCACATGGAGACGTTTAAGTCGGGTTCCAGCGGCGGCTTTACCAAGCTGAGTGATGGAAAGGACGTCGAGATGGCAGGCGCGGAGGAAGTGGAGAAGGGCTTCGGGCATAAGAAGGTGGATAGTGAGGGCGGGATTAGGGTTATGGTTACAAGGACGGTGGAGATGGAGAGTGAGAGGATGAGTGGGGAGGAAGACAGGTATAATGCGGCGGATCAGGATGAGTTTAAGCGGGGTGTTGCACTTCGTGTCTAGTTATTCTAGTTGATACCCTTTTCATTCGGAGACTTTTTGGTTGTGCGAAAGAAAACGAGCCGCGAGGCATGCTGCACATTGGCTTCCTCTAGTAAAACAAACCCTTTTTTGAGGTCGACACTGTAGCTGTTCAGCTCATGTCAAAAGGACCAACCAGTCCTTTGCTTTGCTCTTCCTCAGTACAGTTAGTTACCAGGGATAAGAGACGCCTCGCCATAGGTGACGACAAGTGGTAGGTAATGCATGACACCGACCACACCCGTTTATATTGGTTCATGCCCATGCGGGCTAAAGAACCAGCAGCCAACAGCATCACACAGAGCACACGGTACAGCGAATCAGAACAAGTCCAAACCCCCGAACTCCGTTAAAGCTACTTGAGCTACCATAACCATTGATCAAGGACCAAAACCAAGCCGTAAATGAAAAGGACTCCTCCCCCGCATCTTGCGTCCATGTATCATAACATTTTATCTTATCTCATGCGATAGCCGGCCCGAACCCAATAGCTGCGTGAAACTATGGAAGCCATGGAGCGATGACGGAAGACGAGGTAGGAAGACACGAAAACCGGGGGTGTATCATGATGCAGCAAGCCAAGCTAATTTACAATTCGTCGTGCTCCTCAGTCGCGCTCTTGGCCGACTCGGTAGCCTCCGAAGCCGCCGACTTAACGCTCTCGGTAACCTCCTCAGCCTTCTCAGAGGCCTTCTCCGAAGCGGCGGCAGCCTGCTCGGGCATCGATCCCTCACTCTGCTCAGCCTCCTGGGGCTTCTCGAACGAAGCCTCAGCCTTGTGCGAACCGTTCTCGGTGATGAACTTGGCGAGGTCCTCGACGGTGCGGGCGCCCTGGTAGTCGACGGGCGAGTCCTTCTTGCCGGCTGGGAAGAGCTTGATGGTGGGGAAGCCCTGGATCTCGTCGGGCACGTCGTTGGCGGTGGCGTCGACCTTGGCGACGGTGACGAGCTTGGAGAGCTCGGGCGAGGCGAAGAGGGCGCCGAGCTCCTCGTACTTGGGAGCAAGAGCCTTGCAGTGACCGCACCAGGGGGCGTAGAACTCGAGGAGGACGTCCTTGTCGTTGTCGATGACGAGCTTGTCGTATGTCTTAGCGACGACGACTGTGACGGGGCCGTCGTTGGATTCGGGGATAGGCTCAGACTTGATGCTAGGCTCGACCTTGCCGGCGACAAAGTCATCGACAAAAGCGCCAATGTCCTTCTCGGTGATCTTCTTCTCCTGGTCGTAGGGGAACTTCTGGTTCTTGTCCGTCTTCTGGATGGCGAAGGCGGGGAACTTGCCGATCTCGAGGTTCAGGTTGCCCGCGTGCTGGCCGAAAGCCTTGGCGTCGATGGTAGCGAAGTTGATAATGCCCTTGTGCTTCTGAGCGAGGGGCTTCAACTCCTTGGCGAGCGTCTCGCGCTCCTCGGGAGTCTCGGCGAATATGTAGGCAAGCGGGATGCCGGCAGCCATGTAGCCGCTGTAGGTTTCCGGGCCGACCTCGCCAACCAGAGGAGTCGAGGCAACCTTGGCGAACGACTCGATAGCCTCCTTATCGAACTTCTCGGTGAAGACGTCCTTGCCATCATCGAAAGACTTGTAGAGGACGAGACCGGGCTGCTTGACGCCCTCCTTCTCGGCGAGCTCGGCGTCATTGGTAGCACCGAAGAGGTAGTTGTCGCGGAGGCCGTTGGCGACAGAGGTGAACGTCTCGTTGGAGGTCTTGTCATCGGCAGCGAAGAAAGCGACGAGGACGACCTTGTCGGCGGTCTTGAACTCCTCGATAGTGTCCTTGTTGATATCCGAGACAGCGGGGAGGGCCTGCTTGGTCATGTACGAGACGATGGCGTCTGCTTTCCGCTGGCCGGTGTAGGGCGAAATGTTGTCGGGGCCGCGGAAGACCTTGAGGGTTGGGTAGCCCTCGACGCCATACTTCTGGCACAGCTCCTGCTCCTCTGTGCAGTCGACCTTGGCCAGCGGGATCTCCTTCTCCTTCAGTGTCGTGGCGGCGGACTCGTACTCGGGCGCGAGCGCCTTGCAGTGGCCGCACCAGGGCGCGAAGACTGCGGGGTGAGTTAGCTTTGAAACGCAAGTAGCAAGCTCAATTGAGCAGTGATAGACTTACACTCTATCAGCGCGAGGTCGTGCTCCTCGACGAAGCCCTGGAGCGTGTCCGTCTTGAGCTCCGCGACATCTGAGGCGAGGGCCAGGGAGGCCAGAAGGCCGCTGAGGGCGATGCTGTAGCGCATTGTGGAAGAGGAAAAAAGATTGAGGAGAGAGAAAAGGAAGGGCTTCGGGGTTGTCCTCGACTCGTGCGTGGAGGAGAGTTTGTGCGGTCGCGGGAAGGGAGGGGGTTTTATTCCTGGCTGTTCCGTGGCGGGAGCTGGTGCTGGGGAAGGGAACAGGTGTCTACTTGGAGAAAATAGGCGGTGCTCAGCCGCCAAGCACGGGGGCTGCGGTGACCCCCGGCTCCAACTTCACCTCTTGACTGGACACGTAGAGCTCCAGTTGCCCTATACAATTCACTAGCAATATGCGCACCGCCTCTAGACCCGGGATTACTCACTGTGTCGCCAGATCTATCCACCATTGCCTGCGAGCTCCTGCCTCTATCCTCGGCCCTATGCGGCTAGCCCTCTCACCCCTGGACGACCCCTGCACATCACCGAACCACAACCACATTATTAATATACTTGGAGACCATTCACTTTACGAGTTACGAGTTACGGGAAACCAGCTCTCCAACGCCAGGTGGTCTTATGCGGCTGCTGTTGCCGCTCGAACCGTTGTCTGTGATGAGGCTGAAGCAGACACATCGGTCATTTTACCAATCACAGTGTGGCGCGTGCTGATCCCCACCTGCATCTTTGGATCCATGGATCAAGCCACATGTGCAGGTTAAGCGTGAACTTGATGAGAAATACAGACTCCGGGTGTGCACGGCGACGATTGAACGACATAGCTCAGGTAGGCTAGGATGACGCCGACGAAGATTCCCACCGCGAAGTCAACCAAATCTTTGCACCGCATCTCAGATCACGCGACCATTCTCACGCCCACCAACACAGGGAGTATTAAGGACCGTTAAGGATCGATTCCTCGCATTGCAAAGCTACGAACTGATACTGACAACAGCCAGTAACCCATGATGCTAGATCCACGCCTTCCTACCGACAGCCTAAGCCATCGAAATGCGCCTTCCAGCCAGAACCATGCTTTCCATCCGTGGCCGTCCAATCATGTCCCTAAAATCTTTTTCTCGTTTTCTGATCTGATATGTCGTTTTGTGTTTTCTTTCTACCAGGCTGCTGGATCTGGTGCCGCCGTTCAGGCGTGAATTCGCGATCAAACGGCGAACGAGCTAGAGATAGCTCGAGGTCAGAGCCCAGACTGATCTGGTCCTCAAGTCCAGGGGAGAAGAGGATGATCAACAATGAGGTGAGCCGAAAAGTAGCGCTCGAATGTGCGGTATCCGATATGAGGGAGAGGATCCGCAGAAATTTGCGTGTAGTTGCTGACTTACGAAGGGCGTAAGTCACCGTTCCGGTGGGGGAAGACAAGAGTCGGATGGCTGATGAGAGCCGAGAAATACCTTTAGGGGAATTCCGAGGGGGATAGGATACAGGTGATGTGTGGAAGAGTCGTGTGTAGCCCAACTGAGCTAGTCGTATCCAGCCGTGTCGAGAATACCGGGCCATGGACCTAGAGAGCAAAGAGACCCGTAGAATCCTCTAATCGTAAAATGGATCCCGCTTTTGATAATAGACCCGCCAGCGTCCAATGCGGTAATTGAAAGAGTGTGTGAAATGCAGGGAAAAGGCGGAATGGAAGTAGCGATCCCGCCAAATAGGAGAGAGACCGCCGAGAAGTGAAGCCAGCGAGACCAACCAGGCCCACGGTATATAATACAGAGATGAACGGACCGAAATCGCAGACTCCGGTGGCGCCGATGGCTCGATTCGTTATGCCCGAGGAAGAAAAATCAGGTATCCCGTATCGATTCGTCGACAAACCGCTCGTGTTATCGTAAAAAAGGAAACAACGCAAGAACTATGTGCAGTCGCGACGGACAGCCCAAATGCAACTAACTGGCTCCTGGGCAAAGAGAGATCGTGACATAAATCTGGAAGGCTCGCGAACGCCAACGAAAACTGCTCAGGCAACCCACAACCCCCTATCGCCGTGCACCGTCCAGCCACTATGCTGGCCCGGCGGGCTGGGGTCGCGTGTTGCGCTGCGGGTTATGTCCATTCTGGCGATTCTGCTGGCCCTGAGGAGGACCCCGGCGTTGACCTTGGAAATGACCACCGCCTCGCTGGTTACGGTTGTAATTCCCACGGTTGTTCTGCAGAGGGTTGCGCGCCACGGTGTTGTCTTGGTCCTGGTTCTGGTTCTGGCCTTGAGGGCGCTGCGGGTTCGAGATGGGTCGGGGAATGTTCTCGGGGGACTCATAGACATACAACTTCTTCTCGATGACCTGCGGGATGGGCTGGATCTCAGTACCCAACTCTTGCTCAATTCGATATAGGTTGAACCGATCATCCCAGTTGATCAGGTTGATCGCCAGACCAAGATGACCAAAACGACCTGAGCGGCCGATACGATGGAGATATGTCTCGGCATTCTTCGGGAAGTCGAAATTGATGACAACATTGACGGCCTGAATATCGATACCACGGGTTAGCAGATCAGAGCAAACGAGATTGCGGCAAACACCGTTGCGGAAATCGTGGAAGACGCGATTGCGGTTGTGCTGCAACATGCGCGCGTGCGAATAGAAGCAGGAATAACCAAGCTCAGTGATCTTCTTAGCAAGAAGCTCAACTCGGTTCGTGGAGTTGCAGAAGATGATGGACTGGTTGATCTGCAATTTGTTGAAGAGGGTGTTCAAGCAGTGCACTTTCTGCTTCTCTTCGACAAACGCATAGTATTGAGTGATACCGCGAAGCGTCAGTTCATCCATCAGGTTGATCTCGTACGGAGAGTTCATGTGCTTGTCCTAGAAGATGTTAGCATGAACTTGGTTCAGCCTAGGGGAAGGATGGTTACCTTGAAGCTCTTAACTACAATAGGGAACGTGGCACTGAAGAGCATGACCTGCCGGTCCTTGGGATGGAAGCCTAGCAGCTGTTCAACAACGGGTGTGAATTCGGGAGACAAGAGCTTGTCAGCCTCGTCCATAACGAATGTCTGGCAGGCTGAGAGGTCGGCTACACCTTTGCCTGCCAAATCCAGAATCCTGCCCGGTGTGCCAACAATAATGTGGACGGGATCAGACAACCGAATGATGTCATCCTTCAGGCCGGTGCCTCCCGTTGAGACCATAACGTTGATGCCAAGGTGTTTGCCCAGCTGCTTGCACACCTGTGATGTCTGCAGAGCGAGTTCTCGGGTGGGGACGAGAATCAGCGCTTGCGTCTTCGGGCTCTTCGGGTTTACGCGCTCGAGTGTGGGTATCACGAACGCGGCGGTCTTTCCCGTGCCATTCTTCGCTCGTGCGAGGATGTCTCGGCCGGTCAGAGCGACGGGGATAGTCTCTTCCTGAATCGGCGACGGCTTCTCGAAGCCCGCCTCGAATATGCCCATCATCAACTCGCGCTTAATGAAGAAGTCTTCAAATTCGAGGCCCTTTGTTGCCGTCACATCCTAGACGAAGGAGTTAGTCCAAACGTGCCAGCCGTGTGTGCATGAAGTTGCCGCGCGTACCTCGGTCTGTACTCGGGTGTCTTTGGAGGGAATCTTCAGGCCGTCTTTCCAGTCGGCGCCTGCTGAGGGTGAAGCTTCGCTGTTAGGCTCGTTAGTAGGGCGCGACTGATGGGGGAGGGCGGTCGACCAACCTGAGCTTCGTCGCTGCTAGCTGGTTCGTGATTTCGGTCGTCATTGTGGGGACGTCCACCAGCGGTGGGAGAGTCTAAGCAAGAATCGGAGTCTCGCTGTAGGCAAATATGTGCGCGGTCGAGCTATGCGACGGCGACGGCGAGCGTGTGTAGCAGCGCGACGGCCAGTAATCTGGGAGTCCGGTTTGGAGAGAGTGTGGTTGTGCCGTCGACGGTGGTGAGGTTTCAGGTGAGGTGAGGGGTCCAAGAGTGCCTCTAGCGGGTGTGGTCGCTCTCAAATAGCGCGCTGTAGCGGGGCTCGAGTGCTCTGCGCCGTCGAGAGGAACGTCGCACAGTTTGAGACAATAGCCGACGACGACGTATTTCGGCTGGGGAGCTCCTGCAGCGTGGGCTGAGTCTGTGGGGTGTGAGGAGCCTGCGCGCGGGCGATATTAGCAGAGTTGTGCAAGTGTAGAGCGTGAGGCGGTAGGAGGAGGAGGCAAGCACTGTGGTGTGGTGGTGTTGTGGAAACCGGGCGAAGCTCTTTATGAGGATTCGAAGTTGAGGGTGGGAAGTCCCGGTGGCACCGCGCCTCTGATTGGCCACTCCGACGTCGGCCCCTTCCCGAAGCAAACAGACACGGCAGGAGCTCTATCAAACACGCTCGGCTACATTTCACAACCCTCGAGCCCGCCACCAGAACCCCGCTTCACCGGCGGTGTACGATATCTGCGTCGTCGTCGTCGTCTTCACCGGTTCGTTCCTCGCAGCATTTCCTGGTCGAGAAATCTCTCCATTGCGCAGAGTGGGTGATATAAAAATCGCCGAACCGTAGCTCAGGCCGTTCGCTGACTATGATTAAGGCTCTTATATCAGGCCGACGACTTCGCATCGTCTCCTCTTCACATTCCCTTGGCTTAGTCTGGATCCCTTTGGCCCGAGGAGCTCACGAACGACGCTCAAAGGCATAGATCCACGTGTAACAAACCTTGGACCGCCTTTGACCGGCCCTGTACCACTTTAGGATTCTTGAACTTGCATTCCGCAAGAATTTAGCGTGCGAAGAAGGGATAGAGGTCCCTGTTAAGACACGACATGTCCTTCTTCCGCCTAACCAGGACCTTTCGACCCGGGACCCTCACCCCACTCCGCCAAACTACCGCCTCCCCTAACAAATCAAAAATGCCATCCTCCTTCTTCACACCCTCTCCCGGCACCCACCGCATCGGTCTAGGCCACCGCTTCTACTCCCGGCCCTCTCCCCACGCCCCGCGCAGCACCGAACGCCTCAACAACCGACTCCTCTGGTCTTTCATCGCACTCAACTGCGGCGTCTTCGGCTACGCGCAGTACCTCAAAGCGCAAGCAGTACAGGGCTACCAACAGCCGCTGATCAAGTTCATGCAGAACTTCACGCTCAACCTGGACGGCGTGCTGAAAGAGGGACGGTGGTGGACCATGATTACGAGCGTGTTTACGCATCTGTCGCCGATGCATTTGCTGGCGAACATGCTGAGTATCTATTATATAGGGGGCATGTTGGCCTCGACGCCCGGATTTGGCCCGGGGAGGTTCATCGCGCTGGTTCTGGGGTCGGGACTCTCGGGGAGCCTGGGCTACCTCTGGTTGAGGGCGCGGAATGCGCAAGGCCGACCCGATTTCATGCGCGGTCTGGGATTCTCGGGCGCGGTTATGGGGGTTGGTGCGGTGACGGCGTTCATGTACCCCAGGACGCAGATGATGATTTATGGGATTGTGCCGGTGCCGCTGTGGGCTCTGATGGCTGGGTATGCTGTGTACGATGGGTATTATTTGAATGATGAGCGGAGTCGGGTTGGGCATGCGGGACATATTGGAGGATTGGCTTTTGGCGTGCTGTACTACTTTGCGAGGATGAGAGGGTTAGGCTTCTGAGTGTAGAGACGTAGAGGCGTCGAGCGCGTGGGAAGGGTCCTGTAAGATAGGAAGAACGAGGGGTGGGTTTGTATCCGTAGTTGCTTGTATTTGGTATCAAGAAAAGCATAAGCGTGAGTCGATTGAGATCGTAAAGAGATCATAAAATAAATATACTCCAAGGTTTTGTGTGCATACTCTGTCCAAAAGAAACATACCCTAGATGAGCAGTCATCACCCCATACCTTAGCGATGAGCATATGCCGCATAGCTATGAAGATGAGAAACACAGCGCCGGGTAATATGTCACTCGCATCCCGTCCACTGAGGTCCTCGCCACTCGCGAGCTCATAAAGGCTTCTGAATGCCCAGAGCATCCAAACTTAGAGAAACTTTCTCGTTCACCACCGAAGGCGCTCCATGCCTCACTCTCCCTCTTCATTCCTCCTAGAGCGCCCCCTGCAGCATACCACCCCTCTGAGTCCCTTTATCTGACCTGTTATGCCAACTCAAATGCTGCCGATACTCTGCATACAGCGTGAACTGTTGCCCGCAATGAGGGCACGTCCAAGTCGCCCCAATGCCATGCTTGTCTCTCCGATGTACCTTGAAGGTGCTGAACTTCTTGAAGGATGTAGTTTGCCCGTCCATGGCGCAGATATTGCACCGCAACTTGGCATATGGGTGCTTCTCTTTGAGATGCGAGTCGAACTGGCGGTCGGAGTTGAATGACGGTTTGTCCGAGCAGGTTGGCAGCGTGCATGTGAGGGTATCCTTGTTGGTATGGTGCGTGTTGACGTGGTGATCGGCCACGGCGTGGTACGAGGTAGCGGTGAACGTGCCTAGACGCTACGAAGTTAGTTCAGCGCACACAGAGTGTAGGAGTGTACGTCTATGTATTGGTCTAGTATCTGCATAGCACTAAACGCTCCCTAGGCGGCATTCCGCACACTCTTTGGTGAGAAATCAGACTTCGCGCCGGGACCTTACGTACACTTTCGGAACCAGCAATGAAACAGGTTGGGAGGAGGCATGAGCTCTGGAGAACCGCCTGCTGGCTCCTCGTGAATGGAGGTTTCGAATTCATTCGAGATTGGTGAGCCAGGGCCTTCGAAGGACGCATTGGCTGGTCTGACGTTGATTGATAACGGCGGCATCTTTCCGTTGTGATTTGGTGGATTATTTGTCGCTGTCCTCGTTGCCGCCACCTGGGCAGTTATGAGTTGTGTCGGGGAGACTAGATTGGAGGGGGTGGATCCATGGTTTATATACTGGTTGGAGGCGGCGAAGGTGAGAGGGAAGGCACGAACGACTACGTCTGGGGGAAAGAGGGGTGAGATGACGAGATAACGAAGGTTTCAGGCGCAAGATAAAAGTACTCGAACAGAGAAGTAGGTGAGAGGATGGTATTCGAGAACAGAAATGTGAAGTAAAGTGGATATGGTAAGGCACGTTGAATGAACACATGCATTGATTGCCGTCCGTAAACTGACGCCCGAAGGTGCGACATGCCTATACGCCTTGAACGGTCCATAGTCAGAACAATTCCCGATATGCTACCAGAACAGAATAGAACAATTGCCATGCCTAAGGAAAATAAAGCAAGATGCTGAAAGGCCGTTCAATCATGCCCTCTTCTATTTAAGTTAGTTCGCCAGGCATGCGCATGCGGTTAGGAGAAGTACTTACAGCGACCTCCATCTGAGCCCAGGCTCTGCCTCTTCCGCATCTTCCGCAGAGGCGTGACCATGTCTTGCTCATTCTCCTGGAACTCGATATCGCCCATCTTATCTTCTGGCGTCTCTCCAAGAGATATAATGGAGCCCCTCGTCTTCCTTGGCTTCCCCTTCGGCGTCAGCTTCTTGTAGCCAGGAGTATACTCTTCTTCTTCTTCGTCGCTGTCAATGGAGCCCTTGGAGGCAATGCTCGGATAAGTCTTCGTCACCCTTCCTTTTGGTTTTGGTGTCTTTTGGACGATGGGCGCTACAATAGGCTGCTGCTCCTCCTGCGGCTCCTCCATGTCCGAATCGGAGTCGTCTCTAACGAACTCCTCGGATAAATGGTGGGATTTCCTCGGTCGTCTGCCTTTCGGCTTTGGCGCATGCTGGGCAGGGCTCTCAACCGCCGGCTCCTCCAGGGGCTCTTCCGCTCCCGAAACGACTTCGTCCCCAACGTAAGAATCTGACCGCTGTATTGACTTCCTTGGCTTGGTCTTTCGTTTAGGCGCATTCGATCCCTTGGTCTTTACCGGTGATTTGTAGTCTTGATCCTCATCCTCTTCGGCCTTTTTCCAAGCCCGACCTTTACCCTTATAGTGGCGCTTGGCGGAGGTCTGTGGAGGTCTCTCCTGACGTACAGCGATTGTATCCTCCTCTTCATCAAGCAGGTTGTCTTCCTCGTCGGGATACGAGACCTGCGCGAGCTTTGTTGGCTTTGCTTTAGGCGACCGCTTTGCGTCGTTCCCGCCATTTTGCTCAGCCCATTCTGCCTCTTCGAACAATTTCGCATGATGTAAATAAGGTCGCTGTTGAGCGGGAGTTCGCGTGCGTAGCCCTCGTCTCGTGGCTGACGATGTGCTTGGACCTTCAGGTGAAGCAGCGGCAGTGTTGGGGGTGGCAGTACCAGCATCAGCAACAGGGGCGGAATCATCGTCGTCATCCAGCGGGACGATCTCTTCAGACTGCACTTGTTAGATTTCGGTCGTGCGAATAGCGTCATGGAACAAATACCAAATATTGCTTCCTTGGCTTTCTTCCCGACTTTGTCTTGGGAGTCTTAGCTTTCGGCGTAGTCAGCGGGGTTTCGCGCGGTGATTCTATGTTGGTCAGCTATTTGATGCTGTCAAAGCCCAAATACGAGAGCGACTAAAACCCAAGGTGGGATGCAGCGGTGATGCACGCCTTGATGATGTTGCGATACTCCACAGGTGGGGCAAAAACCACCTCGACAATGCGGGAGTGGGACGTACCAGGTGAGCTGGGCACAGGCGCAGCAGCGGCAAGGACAGCAACCTCGTCGATGGACATGGCATCGTCCTCCAAGTCTTCTGGCGCGATGGTCTCTTCAGACTACACAGGCGCGTGAGTGATATATACGTTGACAGTGGGATCGTGGGAAGCTTACGAGGAACTGCTTCTTCCTCCGCCCACCTGACTTGCGTCGTCCATTGGTAGTAGCTGCTGAAGTGGGTGCTGCAGGTGCCGCGACTTCGACAATTGGGGTGGGTTCGTCGATGTCGTCACTGTCGTCGGACGCTACGATTTCCTCCGACTAAGACAATTAGCAGTGCGCAAAAGAAATCGGAACGAAAGCTATTACGAGATATTTCTTCCTGGGCCTCCTTCTCTTTTTAGCCGAGGCCGTCTCTTCGCCTGGTTTCGCTCGTGCGGATGATGCTGAAGCATTGGTGGTATGCGGCATTCCGTGGCCGTTGGCCGTCCGTTTCTTGTTCGGTTCGCGCTGCGGTAAGCCACGCGAAACGAGTTTTGGTGCTTCCACCTCGGATTCCTCATCCTGTCCTCATCAGAATTGATTCCAACGCGACAAAGTCGTGATTGAAAGACGAACACTTGACGACACTTCCTCCCAGACATCCAAAGTAGCGTGCCACAGGTAGGGACCGAGAACGTGTTCAGAAGCGGCCCACTCTTCGTAGCTTAGATGCGAAGGTGCATTGTTCCTCTTCCAGACGGCATACTCGGCGTTGCCATAGACTTTCAGCCATGCCTGAAGAGAGTCGAATCTGGCACAGGAGCCGTCATAGTCGCCGTTGACGGTCGCTGTTTGTTTGATCGGTGCCATTGAAATGCGATTTGTGACGAGTGAATGAACCGTGAGATGCAGTAGAAAACAAGCACAGACGGCCGAAAACCTCAGCTGCTCAATAAGAAATGGCGAGGAAAAAGTGCAATGACAGAGGAAATATATCGGAAGTTAGAATCAAGGGCGCGCAGGCAGGCGCGCAAACGATGTCGGTGGTGGAAAGGTTGTGGAGTGAAGTGACAGAAAGGTCAAAGTCCATTAGACATGATCCGTGTCTCGTCCCACGTTAGCTCATAACTCAAGACCGAATTATCGACCAGAGCCGAGAAGATGAGCACCACGACTTACCGACACGCTAGAATCCTTCAATGAAAACAACGGTCGCTGGACGAGAAGATGGGCCAGCGGGAATTCGGGTGTAAGAGAATTGAAAGGTCGGGGCGCAGGGACTGTCGGGCGCTATTTGACCTCGCCTATCGAAGCTGGGCATATCAGATCACGGCTTCGCAATTTCCAAATGCCTCGTTACGGTGGATACGCCAGATAGCAGCTTGTACTCTCCCTTCTTTCGACCGCTTGACCCAGGCATTCACTAGCCTCAGGTTATGCTTCTTCACCTCAGTGCCATAGCGCCAATGGTCCGATCCTTCCTTCCACATACATGTCTGCTTGCTCCTTCGCAATGCCCTGCTGCGCCCATCAATTACGGACTATTGAAACCCCCCGTGCAGCCTAAAACGTCGTTAGGTACACCGCCACCCACGCTCCTGTCGCACAGCATTGTCCTCACCCAGGCCTCGCGTATTCACCAATTATCGCTTCTTATTGACAAACTATGATTACTCTCACGCGGAGAGTTGTCGCCTTGGCCCTGATCGTCCACTATATACAAGGAATCATGAAAGCCAATCTAGCTCTCGCCGCCGTTTCCACCGCCCACCACCCACCACCCACCATGCGATCGAACTGCAAGAGAGTACCAAGACCTGGGGTATACAACCGCAAACCGAATCCTTCCCGCCCAGGATGATATTGCCCATAAATCACCAAACGGCGACGGATAACAGAACGCCAAAACTGCCCGAGTGAGCACCGAACGATACCTTTCCCGCTCGTGGCTCCAGATTCCAAGCCATTGAGCGAAGCTCGAAGTTGAAAAGATACGAGATGGAGATATGAAAGAAGTTTGGGAGAAGACTTCCGTTCACCCGCCCTCCGCGAGAAGTCAAAAAGAAGCTAAACCGAAAACCCGACCCGGAAGCACCTGTCTGGCCCTGCTCTGCGATGTACTCCGAACAAGTGGAATGCAATGCGATGATGAGAAATGTGCTCGATGGGTAAAAATGAGAGAGCTCAGGCAGCTAAGATGCTCTCGGGACTTATCATCCCAACTGCGCTGCCGTCGTCCTTTTCTGGCTCGGCGATGCCCTGGTTCTCTTTCTGTGGCATCTCGAGCTTCAACTTACCAACTGGTTTACCAAGCCCTTTCATGAGGCCACCGTTGACTCCAGATCCGTTGGCGTTGGCGCCATTCTCTTCCCTTTCCTCGTCCAGCCTGCGCTTCTTCCGCGCCATTTGCTGTTGTTCTCGCAATGGGCGCTTGCGAGGACTAGAAATCTTGCCTGTCGGAGGCAGACGAGGCTTGGGGAAACGCTGTTTCGGGGGTAGATCTTCATCCTCAACGAGGGCTTCGTTGCTGTTATCCTGTAGCTTGGAAAGAAGCCAGTCTTGCATGAGGCCAATTTGGCTTGTGACATTTTGCATGGTGACGGGCTCGAATTTCGGTGGCTCCTCCATGAGAACGCCCGTTGTAGCAACGTTGCTGCTGAATGGTCAGTCACTATCTCGATCAAATAGAATGGGCTAACATACTTGGTGTTCTGCGCAGCGTAGGCATTGTGCATCCTGTTCTGCAACAGATGCAACGGAACGCTGAAAGAGACACCGAACTCCTTATCCAGACCAAGTTCCTTGAAACCGAAGAAGTCTTCTCCGATGTCTTCAGCAAAGTCGCCGCCAACGAACTGCTCACTGCCGTCATTGAACGCACCGGCTCCGTCTGTGCCAGCATTGTCCAGGGCAGGACGAAGCAGTTCGGCGTAGTAAGACCGCATGCGATCATGCATGCCGGCGAGTTTGGTACCTAGTCGCTCAACGTCGTCTTTAACGTACGTGTCTAGAGTCTCGAGATCAACTCCGTTTACTTGCAAAGCATGGAGAACAGCTTCTTCCTGATTGAATCGGGGAACCCAGTGTGTGGTAGTGCCGTTTTGTGCGGTCACAGGAATGTCAGACTTCATCTTCGGTGTTTCTCGGTAGAGGCCTAGACTTGCTACTAGCTTCTGGAAGAAGTCCCCTGCGATGTCCGTAATTGCGTCAAGAGCGGAAGGCTGGAACTCTTCAAAGCCGGCATGGTAGAATATCTTGCCAACGCTTCGTTGCAGCGCGGCGCGGCAAACGTATGGAGCCATGACAGGGCCTTCTTCAGATACGACCATTGGCTCGATATCCGCCTCAATAAATGGCCGGGGATCGTACTTTTGGAACTGGTTTTGGTACATCTAGAATGGGATTAGCAAATGCACTCGAAGAAGCCCAGAGCCTAGCTCACCTGCGATTGGAGTTGCATCTGTTTGACAATTCCAATCTTCGCGCAGATTTTCCTCGTCTCCTGCATTTGTCTCATGTTGGACTCCATTTTCTTGGTCAGCGCGCTTTCCGGCGCAGTGAACTGGCCTCTAGGCACGATCCTCATGTACTCTTCGAACTGTTGGATGACATGGCCTTCGGCATCCTCAACCCATTGAAGACGTTCATTTAGATCCGGGATTGCGCAGACTGGGTCATAGTAGTCGGGAATCTGGCGTTCTTCTTCACCCTCCATACCTTCAGCGAGGGTTTCGCCGGCTGTTGTTTGCACACCATCCTTGCCGTCGGGCGCAGAGGCTGAGCCACCCATAGACTCTTCCTCGTTGGCCTGTTTTCGATGACGGAGCCATCGTCTCATCCCAGCTCTGGTCCGCAGAATTGCCGGCTCGTCTACGTGAAGCTCATCGTTCCGGAACAAACGGTGGCGTTCAGCGGCGATGATTGCTCTGTCCTTCTTGGTGATCTGCTTCCAAGTTTTGTATTCGAGGTCATCTAGATCAGCGTCGTCCTCAAAAGCAAAACCGCTCACAGAAGCGCCGGTGCCATCTGCCTCGGATACATCTGCTTGGCTACCGTGCGCGCCGCTGCGGAGAATGCCGTTAGGTCCCAAAGGGGTCAGTGTCCCAGGTGGAGGTGTTGAGAAGCCATTGATGGAACCTTCCATTTCCGAGTCGGCGCGGAGGAACTCATTCTTCAAATTGGACACCGCGCTGTTGATGGACGGGACAGTGGCCTTGTTTTCAGGACCAGGCGTGCCTTCCAGGCCTGCTGGGGGCGCTTTTCTAGCTGTGCTTGTGCCTTTCCCGCCTTTGCTGGGCGCTTTGCGTCCGCGGGAAGCCATGATCGGTTCCTCTGATGGGATCATTAGCTAGGTCGGTTGCGGATTGAATTAATCAAGAACGTACCGTCTTCACTGTCCTCAGCGCCATCTGCGTCTGCATCTCCGTTTCTCATGCGCCTTTCCTCAGCCTCGACTTCCGCACGATCACGGACAGTGATATCAGGGATTAAGGGAACTAGCTTCTCCGTCTCTTTCTTCATGTAGAGCGCTTTCTTGCGATACAAATGGCCGGGGTCGGAGTTGTACTTCAAGCAATTGGCCCAGATGAGCATGAGATCCTCCACAAATTCCTTCTTCGATTTGTACACCAACTGCTTGAGTTTCTTCATCATGGTGCCGATATCCATGGGCTGCTTGATTATGTTGTAATAGTCGGGCGCTTCTCGCTTGTTGACGCGCTGCAAGAAGGGATGGGCATGCTCGCCGGCCTTGAGCTCCATGAGAACCTTCTCCATGCTCTCATACAGCTCCTCTTGGCCAACGCGGTCTTCATTCGCCCACTTGCTCCGGTTTTTCCTCACTTCGCTGATCAGATTTCGTAGCTGGGCATCGCTTGCGTGCACTTTGTCTCTCTGCGCATCTATGCGGGCAATAAGATGCTTCAAGGTCAGACTGGAGGCTCCGAGATTGGTCGTGCTCAGGGTTCCTTGCTGAGGTGCAGCTGGCGCCCCGGCTGCGGGAGCACTGGCTGGCTGCCCGGACATCTCGGTTTCCACTTGCCGGTCCAGTTCGTCAAGCTTCTGTTGTTCCAGCATAGCATCACGATCGCTCTCCAAGGTGTAGAACAGGGTATAGAAACTGCGCTTAGCTGCATCTTCGGCAGCCTTTTTGTCCTGTTGCAGCTTTTTCCGCACGTCATCGGATGACTTGACCTGCTCCGAGCTCGGTGTGCTTGTGCGTTCAATGCCCAGCTTGTTCGACAACGAAGATATCCGAAGGCTTGGCGTATCGAGGGCACTAGCGGAGATGCCGTTCGGAGCGCTCTTCGAAAGCAACGGCGAGGTGCGGGTGTCATCTTCCTCTTCGGCATCATCATCGTCGCCGTAGTCATCCTCGTCAATGGCCCTGACTGGTTTCTTGGGCGTCGCGGTCGGGCGCGCGTCATGCGCTGCCGGGGCGACGTCGGCGGAGGGCTTCATCCCACTTTCCTCCGCATCAAGAACATCATGCTTGTTCCCGCCTCCCAAGACAGCGGCGAGACGCGCTTCGGTGCGCAGATAGTGTTCTCGCCAGCGCGCCGCCCGGGGGTCCTCCTCCGCCATGGAGTCTACCCCCTCCCCCAGATTGTGATTGTTGGAGCCGTTCGACATGGCTTCATCGCTCAGCGTCGCATTCGGAGTGCGCAAGCGAATCGCATTCGGTAGTTGGCTGGGGAAGCGTGCATAGTGTTGGCGCTCTCTTGATGATGGGCGATGTAATGATGGAGCGAGCGACATGTCGCTGCTGTGGGGAGTCTTGGCGGGACCTCCTCACAACGCAGCGAAGCCTTTCGGGCGGCCTCCGACCTCGTGCAGGTGTCGCGACGGGGTAAAACCAAGCATGGAAGAAGCCCTGCGGCGTGCAAGTCGAATGCCGATGGTTTCGAGATGGAATACGTCGTTGGGGGGCAGGCCTTGATGGCCGAAGGTGCAGTCGGTCGCTCTTGCTTGCGTTGCGGAGCGAATGTCCTGAGCGAGGGCGCGGTTGACTTAAGGTAATCGCGCTAAACCCGCAACGGCTCGCCTCTTGCTCGGCTGACCACTAAGACCTCGCCCTCCACACACACCCGCAGTCTCCAATATCAACTTCCTCTCTCCAGCAGCGCTGGGCCCGTTAGATGGCCTTTTTCAATATCCGACCCGAAAGATTGATGCCTTTCTCTCACTTCTATCAACTTTTCCTTTTGCGACCATCCCCGCTGCGCTTCTACAGTCTGGCACCGTGGACGTCCAGTGGAAATGAGAGTAGCGACCTATGAAATAGTTCGTGCAGCTTGCTGTTCGAATCATTCCGCGCAAACAGAAATGTAAAAGCCGTGCCATCCAGAAACCGACTCCTGGATGATGCTACCCGTCCTTCTGCATGGTCAACGTCCACGGGTAGGCGCTGCAAACCAATATCTTCCACATAGAGGCAGATGCCAGGTATATGTAGAGGGTCGCAGCTCACCACTCTTCTGTTTTGGTGGCTGCAGCAGATCTTTCCATGCTTTTGCCAGAAGGTCTGACTCGCTAGGCGAGGTCTCGATTCGCCATCATCCGGATGGAATTGAGGTTCATTACCTTCTCCTTTTGGAATAGTTTCGACTAGTTGCACTAGATGGGCTCTTTGGGTTAATATTCCTACCACGGACACCTTCATGACCTGGGTCGTCCCGCGGTATGCGGGCCGACGTGAATACACCATCACGTGATAGCCTTCCCGAAAGCGGCTAAGCGTCCTTGAGCTCCGCCAACACGAGCGTTCGAAGGAACAGCTCACAACGTAACGCTTCCAACCACCTGTCCTAATCTAACAAGCTTCTCATATAATGCACCTCACCCGGTGATCCGGACATCCATCCGAAGCCATAACAAAATGCGCATTCGGAAACCTTTCGCCGGTAGGTCTACGCTCGTTTATGCCGTCATACCTTACCTGGCCAAGCTACCTCTGGTCACTGCGGTACGGCTTTACGCCAGCATGGTACCTCTACCCTGGCTCGAGGCGCTTTCCTACTGCGACAGTCTAGGATGATGGCCTCAAGTCTCTTCTACCTTCTACTGCCTCCAAACCACCTTCTAGCCGTGCCGACACAGCGCCGCACACGATCTCAGCTGTCACATAGCTAACCACCACAACAGCGGCCTTCGTCGCCGTAATCCTCATCTCCGCCGCCGCCGGCTTCTCCCCACCCGACTACAAAATCCCAACCTACAAGCAATCCGACAAAGTCCTGCATTTCGTCGCCTTCTTCGCCCTCACCGTAGCATTCTACTGGATCGTCGAGACGTCACGGCGGAAGGTCCTCCAGTTGACCTTCACCGTCTGCACAATCGGGCTTGGGTTCGCGAGCGAGATCGTCCAGGGCCTCCTCCCGGTAAGCGGAGACACGTGTCGTGGATACGGCAGAGTTTTGGGTTAGGCTGAGGATTGAGGGATTGTAGAATGCGGCGTCGGGACACTTCGCTAATGTGCAATTAGATTCACCGCGAGTTCGACTACTATGATATCCTTGCGAATGTGTTGGGTTCGGTGAGCGCTTTAGCGCTGTGTAATTGGTATCACAAGCGCATGCTGGAAAGGAAGCGGGCTGCGCGTGGATACGGAGCTGTAGCGGGCGACGATCATGACAATGATGTGGAGCTTGGTGAGGGTATCGGTGGGCAGGAAACGGGCGTTGTGAGGCCCACCGTTGAACAGGAGCTGGATCATTGGGACGAGAACGCGGAGGATTGGGACACCACAGAGCCTACGGACACCAATGGACAAGCTAGTGGGGATCTGGGCGAAGGGACCAAGAAGCGTAGCGATTGAGGGGACGCGGGATTTCATGACTGTACGATTGCAAATGATCATGGCGGTGGCGCTCACCGGCTCTTGGATGCCCGGGTTGGAGCTGAATCGGATATTCGTTTTTACAAGCTCGTAGCTAGCCCTTAGTGCTCATTGCGGCCCATTGTGAGCCAACTTGCGACCATAAATCGTCACATCGGCCTGCCTCAACTTCCATGGATTCATGTATTTCTTGGAGTATGAGATTCTGAAAGAACTCGTTAACCCAGACCAAGCACCATGGCCGAATCACCGTACCCCAAGCCCATCATCCCTCTACTGGGCAGCCTTAGCGGTCTGCTGGGGGGTAATCTTCTTTCCGTCCTTGTTGTACCTGACCCTTGGCGGCGGGGCACGGTTGCGGCGACCCTCTCGCGAGCGGACACTAGTAGTATATTAAAAAAAGTCATCCTCCGCGGGTAGCTATGCAATCGAAACGTACCGGACGATCTTGCCGTGGATAGCGCAGGAGACACAGTACTGGAGCTTCAGGTACATCTTGGGGACGGTGTACTCTGGGAAGACGGAGGCATCGGAGATATCACCTTTAGGGTCGTTAGCCCGCGAAAGATGAAGGACCCATCACTGTCGCAGTGTTTTCGTGCGCGAGTGCGGAGGACGTACGGATGGCGGCCGACTCGACCATGTTCCGGATGGTGAACCTCTTGATAGCCTTGTCCTTTGGGGTGCATCGGGAACAGTTGGAGCAGCGGATCGGCTTGACGTGGCCGCGACCCTTCTTGTTGCGGCCGCTGTGGGCTGTTAGCTCTTCCACATTCGCGAGGGCAGGCATTTCGAGGTTGCATACTTGGATGCTCGCTTCTTGACCATGGTGGGCTGATTCTATTTACATTAGCATCGAGGATTAAGAGTTCCGCGAAGAGGTCTGCGCACCGAAGATGGAGAATCTAAGAGTCAGCGATGGGGGTTGTCGATGTGGTGTCGTTGCTTGCGCGGAGCTTCGAGGAGCCAAATTCAATGTGGGCGTAGCGAGCCTTTGTCCCCCGAAATTGATCCGATCTTATCTTATCACTTGGCACTTCACGTAACCATTCAAGTCGGCAGCGGCTTCTCGGAGGAGTCCGCAATGGGGGTTTGCCGCATTCAGAATTCAGAGTTTCTTCCTAGTCTCACCTCAATTGATCTGGACACATCGTCTCCGCGGTACTTTCGAGTGTTATCATATCGCGTTGTCCTTGTGACCGGAGATCAAGCCTGCGCCTTCCCTAATACGGGTCCCGGCTGGGCACGCGTTGTTTTGTTGGTTGCTACGGTCGCTAGGATCTTTCATCTGCAACGCTAGAGACGCTCGAATAGGAACACTCCTCCTTGGTCCGCACCTGCGAACAACTGTTCTCTGACCGCCAACGAGGCCTGCGTCTCCGTCTGAAATAGCAACCATGTCTGCCGCCGGCACCTACAGAGGCACCCCGAAGCAGGTGCGCAACCAAGCACAGTTCGCCAACAGTCCCTCCGGCATCCCACGTCCAGCGCTCGACCAGCATGCGTCACAAAGCGATGCCGGTACATCAACGCTCAGTGCCAGTCGGCAGAAAATGTCGAAACGAGACGAGGTGAGTGCCTTCCAGGGGTCAGGCTACGAAGCTCAGCTTATCCTAATAACAACAGGCCATCCGTCGCAAGATCGAGACCGACTTGAACAAGAAGAAGAACCCCGGTGGGCGCGTCCGTCCGACGAGGAAAGCTCCTCCAGGCACCGTTCTCGCCCTCAAACCCAGCCCGGCATTGCAGATTAAGCCCAACACGACCGTCGCCGAAGCCGCGCAATTGATGGCCGCGAAGAGGGAGGACTGCGTTCTCGTTACCGACGACGATGACCGAATTGCCGGTATCTTCACCGCGAAGGATCTTGCTTTCCGAGTTGTTGGAGCTGGAATCAAGGCACGGGACGTTACTATCGAGGAGATCATGACAAAGAACCCGCTCTGTGCGAAGACCGATACGAGCGCGACGGATGCTTTGGACCTCATGGTACGGAAAGGTTTCCGTCATCTGCCGGTCATGGACGAGAACCATGACATTTCTGGTATCTTGGATATCACAAAATGCTTCTACGATGCTATGGAGAAGCTGGAGCGGGCCTATAGCTCCTCGCGGAAGCTCTACGATGCGTTAGAGGGCGTGCAGGCGGAACTCGGAGCGAGCCAGCCGCAACAGATCATACAATATGTAGAAGCCATCCGAACGAAGATGTCCGGTCCCACGTTGGAGTCAGTATTGACTGGACTGCCACCGACTACGGTCTCTGTTCGCACATCGGTCAAGGAGGCAGCTGCGTTGATGAAGGAGAACCACACCACGGCAGTGTTGGTGCAGGATCAAGGATCAATCACCGGTATTTTCACCAGCAAAGACGTAGTGCTTCGCGTCATCGCTGCTGGTCTTGACCCTGCTACCTGCAGCGTTGTGAGGGTAATGACGCCCCACCCCGATTTTGCGCCGATGGACATGAGCATCCAGGCAGCTCTTCGCAAAATGCATGGTGAGTAACGGGCCGAAATAAGGATAATGCTGAGGCTGATCAATATTCAGACGGCCACTACCTCAACCTGCCTGTCATGAGCGAGGCTGGAGAGATTGTGGGCATGGTCGATGTCCTCAAGCTGACATACGCTACTCTGGACCAGGTAGGATCTACGACGCCTTCTCTAGCTGGTTTTTAACATTGTCTAGATCAACAACATTAATACTGGCGATTCGGAAGGTCCCGCCTGGAACAAGTTCTGGCTTTCGCTGGACAACGAGACAGAATCCATGATGTCCGGAGAAGGCGGAAGCAGAGTGCCCGGCACTCCGGATCACCGGTCAATGATGTCGCATGATATGCATCGTCCAGGCCTTATTGACCGTGGAGACAGTGTGCTACCGAATGAGTCGGCATCCCATCACGGCGACTCACCATCTGCCTCGGCTTTAGCTGGCGCGCCCCATACGGCCTTCGAAGATATGCCATTCCCCTTCAAGTTCAAGGCTCCCAGCGGACGCGTGCATCGCCTGCAGGTGGTCGCCTCCGCCGGGATTGAGGAGCTTGTCACAAATGTCGCTGCCAAGCTCGGATCTGAGGTCGATGCTATAGGAGGTGCACCGACCTTTGAAGACGGGAAGATGACCAAATCCGGCTTCGCACTCAGCTACCTCGACAATGAGGGTGACACCGTCTCTATTACCACAAACCATGATCTAATTGAGGCAATCAGCCTCTCGCGCCTAGCCCACCGAGAGAAAGTCGACCTTTTTGTACACGACCCGGACAAGGCTCCGCTCTCAGCAACCGTTGAGCCTCAGCCCGCATTGGCAAAACCGCCGACTCCTCCCGAATCTGTGCTCCGCGAACGCAAGCAATTCTTCGATGACGATGAGGAGGAGACTCGCTCCAGACACCGAGGTCAGTCATCGGCACAAGCCAAGCAGGAAGAGATTATTGCTGGGGTTCCCAATGATCTACTGCTCCCAGGAGCGATTGTGACCTTGGCGGTTGTTGTAGTGGCCGTCTTCGCTCTCGGCCGCGCCTCAAACCGGTAGACGCGGCGAGACGCCAATTTTGATTTAGTTTTGGCGGTGTGTAAGAAGACCAGGTTGTTGGATTGCTGTTCCCCGTTTTGATATCCCTAGATGCGGTAGAGATGGCGTGTATTCTAGGCTTTAGCAGTAGTATTATAATGCTATAGGGCATGGCAGGATTCCTTGCTCACACTAGTCTCTCCAACCGTGAAGTACCGCCCGTCGGGTGCGAAACTTGCACGACCGATCATGAAAACAAGCAGCTTGCCCGTTTGAGTCCGCCGCGGTAGTCTTCGCGTCTGAGGCGTCCGTGCTCTGTTGTGAAGGAGCGTGACATGTCCACGTCGCCCGCACCCTGGTCAGCTCAGCATTCCCACATTTTTTTGGAGAGCGCGCCGCCTCGCCAACCAAGCGCACCCCACCAAAACAACCACCGCCCGCCAATTTTCTGCAACAGACCCTGGAAACGCAAGATCCTGCAGCGTGCCGAGACTGTGAAAGAAGGCTCCCTCTTTGCACCTCTTATTGCTGCGCCGCGCTTTCCTAAGGTCTCTCGCGCGCGGGCAGCCCCGCCATTCAGCTTCATCCGTCCCTAGCTCCACCGCGAACGACATCCTACCGCGATTCCGGGGACGCACCCCAGGACACCACGACGCACGCCCACCATGTCCGTCCTGCCCGCCGAAGTCCACACGGCTTTGGCCAATCTGTTGAAGGGCCTCCAGTCGCCGGACAATGTGGAGCGCACGGCCGCGGAGGAGCAGTTGAACCAGGAATGGTTTGGACAGAGGCCGGATGTGCTCTTGATGGGCCTTTCTGAGCAGATTGAGCTCGCGCAGGACTCGTCGGTGAGTAACAGGCGAGATACGCAAAGGAGGCGCATATGCTCACCAGGGACTGCGCGCAGACTCGAACATTCGCGGCCGTAATTTTCAGGCGGCAGTCCTCGAAACCGAAGAAGACAGCCCAGGGCCAGACGGCAGACCTGTTCTTGACCCTCGCCGAAGCCGAGCGAGAGGCAATACGCGCAAAGCTGCTACAATGTCTGGCCAAGGAGTCGGACCCCTCTGTGAGAGGCAAGGTTGCGGATGCCGTGGCAGAACTTGCGCGACAGCACACAGACGAGAGTAGGCCTCTGCCTCGCCCCTCGCGTCAATATGGGTACTGATGGATACAGATGTGCCATGGCCGGAACTCCTGGGAGCGCTGTTCCAGGCCAGCCAGTCGAGCGACCCAGGCCAGCGGGAAACGGCGTTCCGGATATTTTCTACGACCCCGGGCATAATAGAAAAGCAGCATGAAGAAGTCGTTATGACTGCGTTCAAAGGCGGCTTTGCAGATAGCAACACTGCGGTAAGGCTCTGTCGCTTCGCTAGCAGAGCAACTACTCACGCTTTATCCAGGTCCGAATAGCCGCTGTCGAGGCCTTTGCCTCATTTTTCCGCTCCATCACGAAAAAGGCACAACCAAAATACTTCCAGCTCATTCCAGAGATACTTAACATACTCCCGCCGATTAAGGAGTCCGGGGACGGCGATCTGCTCACGAAGGCTCTCATCTCGTTGATTGACCTAGCCGAAATCGCACCGAAGATGTTCAAGCCTCTGTTCAATAGCCTTGTGCAATTCAGCGTCTCGGTCATTCAAGACAAAGACCTCGGGGATACACCTCGTCAGAATGCGCTTGAGCTTATGGCGACTTTTGCAGACTGCGCGCCGCAAATGTGCAGGAAGGACCCGAACTTCACCAATGACATGGTCACTCAATGCTTATCCCTGATGACCGATGTTGGCATTGACGATGATGAGGCCAAGGAATGGAATGCCTCCGAAGATGTAAGGAACTCCGTCTTCATGGCTCTTGTTGCGCTAACTTTGCGTAGCTCGAACAAGATGAGAGCGATTCAAATCACGTCGCAGGAGAGCAATGCATGGATCGTCTCGCCAACAAGCTCGGTGGCCAGACGATTCTCCCTCCAACCTTCAACTGGCTCCCGCGGATGATGACTTCTAATTCGTGGCGCGACAGACATGCCGCTCTCATGGCTATCTCAGCTATCTCTGAGGGCTGCCGCGAATTGATGGTCGGTGAACTTGACAAGGTCCTTGATCTCGTCCTTCCAGCATTGCGAGATCAGCACCCTCGAGTGCGATGGGCAGGCTGTAATGCAGTTGGTCAAATGAGCACCGATTTCGCCGGCACGATGCAGGAAAAGTACCACCAAGTTGTATTGCCAAACATCATTCCCGTCTTGGAGTCATCGGAACCACGCGTACAAGCTCATGCCGCGGCCGCCCTCGTCAACTTCTGTGAAGAGGCGGAAAAGAATATCCTCGAACCCTACCTGGACCAGTTGCTCAGCCATCTGCTCATGCTTTTGCAGAGCCCCAAGCGCTTCGTTCAAGAGCAAGCCCTTTCGACAATCGCCACAGTGGCCGATTCAGCCGAGGCGGCATTCTCAAAGTATTATGATACTTTGATGCCTCTTCTTTTCAACGTTCTCAATGAGGAGCAATCAAAGGAGTATCGACTACTCCGGGCAAAAGCTATGGAGTGCGCCACTCTTATTGCGCTTGCGGTGGGCAAGGACCGTATGGGCCAGGATGCACTTTCGCTGGTGCAGCTCTTGGGTCACATCCAGAACACGGTGTCGGACGCGGATGATCCACAGGCTTCCTATCTTCTGCACTGCTGGGGTCGCATGTGCCGAGTCCTGGGGAAGGAGTTCGTTCCGTTCCTTGCTGGAGTCATTCCACCTTTGACCGAGCTTGCCGGTGCGAAAGCCGATATCCAACTTCTGGATGATGAAGACCAGGTCGCACAAGTCCAAGAGGAGGACGGCTGGGAACTTGTGCCTTTGAAGGGCAAAGTCATCGGTATCAAAACTAGCACGTTGGATGACAAGCACATGGCTATCGAACTGATTGTCATCTACGCGCAAGTCCTAGAAGACGCGTTCGAGCCGTATGTCAACGACATTATGGACAAGATTGCTCTTCCTGGATTGGCCTTCTTTTTCCACGACCCGGTACGTGTGGCGTCGGCGAAGTGTGTACCGGCGCTCCTCAATGCCTACAAGAAGGCCCACGGACCTCAGTCGACGCAGCTCGGCCAACTGTGGGAGCGGACAGTCGAGCGTGTACTTGAGGTTCTCAGCACCGAGCCTGCCATTGATACCCTGGCAGAGATGTATCAGTGCTTCTACGAATGCCTTGAGTGCATAGGAAAGAACTGCTTGACCAGCACGCACATGGCCACCTTCATCGAATCCGCTCGTAGCGTTCTGAAGGACTATCAGGATCGTGTGAAGGAACGTCTAGAAGAGCAGGCCGAAAATGAAGATGGTGAGGAGGCTAACGAAGAGACCCTCTTCGCCATCGAGGACGATCAGACTCTCCTGTCCGATATGAACAAGGCTTTCCACACCATCTTCAAAAACATGGGCACCAGTTTCCTCCCGTATTGGGAACAACTTATGGACTTTTACAAGATGGCCGCGGCCAACCAGGATCCTACGCAGCGGCAGTGGGCCATCTGTATCTTCGATGACGTTCTCGAATTCTGCGGTCCGCAGTCCTGGAGCTACCACGAGCATATCATCCAGCCACTGGTTGCTGGTATGCAAGATAGTGTACCTGCCAATCGGCAAGCAGCAGCCTATGGCGTGGGCGTCGCTGCTCACAAAGGCGGTGAATCGTGGTCAGACTTTGCAGCAGCGAGCTTGCCGACGCTGTTCGCAATTACGCAGCGCTCGAATGCTCGTGAGGATGACGATGTATTCGCTACGGAGAACGCTTGCGCAAGTATTGCGAAGATACTCCATTACAGCCCCGCCAAAGTGCAGAACTGGCAGGATGTCGCTACTGAATGGGTGCATACGCTGCCGGTTACGAACGACGAGGAGGCCGCGCCGTTCGCGTACGCATTCTTGGCCCAGTTGATCGAACAGTAAGTCTGCACATCTTCATTCTGCTAATTGATATGGTCTTAACGTGCATAGACAAAACCCCGCTGTCTTCGGCCACCCAGTCAAGTGCTTCGTCTCCGTCGTCCAGGCACTTGAAGCCGAGACCCTGCAAGGCCAGACGGCCTCCCGTGTCGTCAACTCCATCAAAGCGCTCGTCCAGGCCACCAACACAAACCTCGCACAGGTAGCCGGCAGCCTGACGCCCGAGCAGCAGAGGACTGTACAAGTGTACTTCAGCTAGGTACCCAGTACGCTGGTGAAACTCGTGAATACAGTGCAGGGGAGCGCTTTTGGCTTTCCGAACCGATGAGCGCGATGGCGATGATGCATGGCTACAAGGTTTCGAGCATACTGGAGGAATGGTCTTCGCGAGGTAAGGCTGAACTCTTCATTTTCATTCTTGTTTGGCGATTATTACACGATTCCCCCCTTCCCCCCTTCCCCATCCCCTATGTCACCGCTGCCACATCGTCTGTTTAATGATTGGGATAGACCGACGGTGGATGGGATCATGTCAAGTACGGCTGGATGGCCAGCCTACTTTGTTCATCTGCGTAGAGAACAAATCATTCAGTGAATGCTCCCTCTTGAATCGCGTGATCGTTCCTGTAAGTTCGTCCAATATGCACCCCTTGCGTTCCCGTCATATTCAGTAGATTTCTGTCGAACGGTTTGGAACGCCTGAAGCCTTCTCTTGACGTATGGTGACAGACGAACCCTTGGGCTACTGGGCAAGTCGATTCCGCACTTGCTTCATCATTTCCCTCTTGCCATCCCAAAGAACCCTTTCTTGTACTCACATACGCCTATGCCGCTATATCTTTCTCTCTCCACGTTCATCAATCTTTTAAAGGCACCACCGGTCGCCGGCAGCGTTCTCGTTACGTCTTGCCTCCAAAGGATATTCTGAGCTACTTACTTAGCAAGTCTCTATATCCTCCCCGTTTCGACCTCTACACTGCGGAGCGAGCTCGGAGGGGTAGAAAGGTATTTAGTGCTCTCAAAGCGCGTATAAGTGCATACGGTTCTTGTACTCGATTGTTGCCCATCATTGTGCCATTTGTAACTTTCTCTAGCACTGATATCCACACGCATGGCGACTATGCTAGCTAGTTACCGCAGGCCATCAGCCTATGTAGTTCCAGCTCCAGCTCCAGCTCCAGCATTTGACGTCATCCCACCCATACACCTGTTCACGTTCTACCCTCCCGACCTCAATGCAAAAGCAGTGAGCGTGGGCACTCACTCATAATATATCCGCCGCCACCCGACCTCCTTCATCATTCACATTCTGAGGAATTCCATCCAAGACTAAACAAACGCATTGCTCTGAAGCGTTCGGAAGGATCCAATACCAGCCGGGTATTCCTTTGGTGGATACTCGGAAATTATCGAGAGGGAAAGGACCCGTGTATGCCTTTGCGCATTCAACGCCGCCAACAAACATGTTGTGCTAGTTAGGCTGTGCGGCGCAGGCTTATCTTCAATTTCGCAAGCATATCCCTTTCAGACATGCAGGACGCCTGACTAAGAAAGGAACCCTGGTGATATCCTCGCCTGTGAGCTAACAAACACTCGTGCGTTATGGTGAATAACTTGCAAGTCACGCGTTTCCTGTACTGGGGAATTTGTGGTTACGCGGAGAGTCACAGCAGCAAATGATAGGGCAAATGTTTTATCCACACCAAAAGAATACACAATCACATTGGAAAAGCCACTATCTAGAGACCGTAAACCACTTATCGACCGCTGATCGGACTCGCCACCCCATTGCTACCACTTGTCGGACTCCTCGCCATGACCGGCTTGACGTTCGGAAGGGGACTCATTGGATCACGCTGGCTCGAGCTTTGACTCGACGTTCCCGAGCTAAGACTGCCACTGCCGTGACTTCCCTTGCGACCGTTGAGTAAAGCAGACGTATTCCACGGGTTGCCGATGACATTGCCTGAGGGAGAGGCTTGCTCGTCGTAGCCGTCGGTGAAACCAGACACATTGGACAGCATGGACGAAGAGCGACCTCGTCCACCACGGACGGAGCCGGGAGTGCTGTTGACATGCGTGTTGAGGGGTGGGAACGTGAAGCTGGTAAAGGGATGAGCGTGAGGGGACATGCCGTTGACGCTGGTGCCAGGAAGGGGACCGTCGGGGGTGGCAGGAACTGAAATTGACTGGTGCGACTGCTGCATGAGAAGGGCCTCGAAGTGCTGAATCGTCTGCATGATCTGCGTCGTAGAGACGTTGAACTCGTTTGCGCGGCGTTCATAGCTGTTGATGTTGCTGCGGTACTGATTCTCAACGGTGATCCGCTCCTGCTGCAGTGCGAGGCGTTCCTGCTCCTTCCGTTGCTTGGCAGTGTAGCCCTCCTTGTTGGCTGTGATGAGACGGTCGTGCTGGTCATTGAGTCTTGCCTGGCGCTGAAGGAGGCGTTCCCTCTTCTGGAGGACAGTAGCAATGTCCGACTCAATGCTGCGGACTTGGCGCTCCACTTCAGCTTTGGCGTCCTCGAACTCAGTTGAGACAGAATTCTTGTTGTCCCGCTCCTTCTGCCACTCCCGCTTCTTGGCGGCAGCCTCCCCAGCTTGGTCACTCGGGATCTCTCCAAGGGCGTCAATCTTGAGGGCAAAGTCGGCGGCAGCGTCATCAGCTTGGCGAATATTCTGAGTGAACTGGAGAACTCGTTGACGTTGACGCTCATCACTACCTCCGGCATTAGCAAGTCGGCCACCGAGAGTATCCACCTCTTTCTTAATAGCAGTGATGGCAGCTTTGTGGTCCTTCTTATTCCGTTTCAGCCGATTGCGTTGTTCTTGGAGTTGTTGATCTGCAGCGGCAATGGAGTTCTTTAGGGTCGTAGTGGGCGACGAGGGCCGCAAGGTTTGGTGGGCTGGAGGCGAGGCGATGGAGGCTGAGGTCCTTGTAAGCTCTGAAGAAAAATGCACACCTGCCTCTTTGCTCACCTTGTTCAGCAACCGGGCCCGCCGAGGTAATAAGGCTTGCCGTGTAGAAGACTTCCCGGTCCCTAGTCCGGACAAACTCGCAGTAGTAGTTTGACAAGGCCGTAAGACCGAATATCTCTCCTACCCAGGTGCCGTTTCCCTCCTCACCCATATATCCCTGCGGATTGCATGGTCGAATCCGGGTCGAGCTCCAATCAGCACCGTTGACACGGATGTAGAAAGGCTTCGACTTGTCAATCCCAGACCCGGCACTCCCGTTCTGGTCCTCCTGCACACCATCATACTCCCCGTCACTGAAAAATCTAACACGAAATGAAATGTCAGAATGGCCGACTTCCGAAATCCAAACACGGTCCTCCTCCGATCTCCAAACAGCGTTTCCAATGTGATTTGCATCTTTTGCGTTAGCCTCCTCGGCGTCGTTCGCCGCTCGGCTACTTTCCATCTCTTTCAAAACTGTAACTTTTGTACTTGCAAGTGCAGCCCAAAACGGCTGCTGACTCCGAACATGAGTAGCCTGCTTCCTCTTCCTTCTGCTGCTACTCGCCTTCTCCTTCTGCGCGTGTGCTGCGGGCGACGGCCCTGGTGGGCGGCCGTCGGTGCTCGACGAACTCGGCAGTTCGGCGTTCGAGTCGATATTGGCAGTGTTAGAGCGCTGGAGGTGGACGCCGGCTTCGGGGTCAGACTTCTTGCCGGTCGGCAGCGACTGGGCTGCCTCGCGTCTTGAAAGAGATCGCCGAATAATACGAACGACACCTTGTGCTAAAATGTGGATACCCAAGAGGCTCCGAGGCCAACCATGCGGCGTCGAAAAGCTCTCCAGGTAGGTAGGGGTACTGGGCGGGCTCGACAGAAATTCCAGGCCTCCCCGGGCGAGCCCGGTATAGACAAAGTGCAGGAGGTGTTGCCGGAGAGGCCTGAATCTGAAGATGTGATTGGAAAGAATGATGATGAAACAGATGAATATGCTGTTCGTGGTGCCATTCTTCCCTGCCGCGGCGCCCCCAAGCGCGATTGCAATGACGGCCTGGGCCAGGTCCAGGAAGAAGTTCTGCACAGGGACCCAGAGCACCAGCCAGATGAGCAGTATGAGGGCATCGGCGAAAATGATGGTGAAGAGGGAGGGCGTGCCGCCGGAGCCCTGGAAGATGTCGGTGAAGGACGGAAAGGCAGAGAGGGCCGAGAGGGGGGTTCCGGCCTGGGGGGGAACGAAGGTGAGGGTTGCGAAGAGGAACTGGACTACGGTGAGCACGGTAGGGGGCAGCTGGAGCAAGATGATGAGGATGGCGAGGACGTCCCGCAGAGGACAGGACGAGAGAATGGTAGCGGTGACGGTGAGCATGTTGGCCTTGTAGACGGGCGGGGTCTTTTGGCCATTGGCAGCAGCATCCGCGCGGCGGAGCGAGCTGGAGGGCGCAGGGTCGAGGGGCCCGGCGCCGTCGTACGGGCGGCAGGCCTCGAGGCCGTCGAGCGAGACGTCCGAGGCGGCGCGAGCCCGCTCGTCCGCGCTGGTAGACGCAGTCCCGGCCATGCTGGGGGGTGTAGCACTCGCGCCCTGGGCGGAGTCGAGGGCGCTGGCGGGCTGCGTCATAAGCTCGTTTACATTGCTCGCGGGCGACGGCGGCGGCGGCTGGGGCTTCCCATTTGCGTGGCCGTTGAGGTGCGGGTTGCTCTTCTGCCGGGAGATGCGCTTGCCGGGTGCTGCGAGGCCATTCTCGTGTCGCTTGTCGTGCTGGTTCGCCGCGTTCCTCTTGCCCTTCGCTACCATGTACGCGGCGGGCGGTCGGCAACGAGGGCGGAGTCCCCGGCTGGGCTCGACTGCTGCACAGGACGAGCCAGGCTGGAGAACGGGGCCGCTGCTGTCGGGGGGAGGAGGGTGTCGTGTGCGGCAGTCGGGTGGTGTTGCAGAAAGAGCGGAGCGGAGGGTGTGGTCGACGGCGGATTTGGTTTGGCAGGCTTGGACGGTTAGGTAAGGCACCACTGGCGCCGTCCGACACATCAGATGGCAGGCGCACTACCACGGTTCACGCTCTCCAGGCCCTTTTGAAAGCTCGCTGCTTCGAGCTAGTGGCTCTTCCGAGGCGCGCTGCCGTTTCTCCCCCAAGGTTTCATGTGTATCCGCCGCAATCCGCCGCCTCAGCAGCAGCAGCAGCAGCAGCAGCAGCAGCACTCTCTCAGCGCTCTGGCACCGCGCAGCCAGCGCACGACAAACGCACAGAATCGCCCGCGGCCCCCCGGCTCGCCCACAGCAGCAGCTCCCTCATGTACCGTCGATCCCAGCGCCGAAAGAGGCTCCGGCGCCAGGGATCGCCGTTCGCAGGCCCGGATGAGGACTGACCGCATGAGGGCCTTTGGCCAGAAAGATGCTTTCACGCTGCGGATGCCGACTGCTCATCCCGTCTTCGGCGTCCTACAACGATAATCCCCTCACTATCTCGCCCTCAGCGCCCTCACGATGCCCTCACGCCTGCGCTCCGCCGCGCGATCGCACAAACACTGCAGATGCAAACAAACGCTGCACACGCCGGGAGCCAATCACCGCGCGCCGGACACCGTTTTAGCCCATCTTATTCATTTGCGCGCACCAGGACCCCCTGAGTAAGACGCTTCGTTTTCTCTGCGCTGACAGGATCAGCAGCGAATAGAGGCCTGCCATATCCTCTACACCGCATTGCCCGCACAGCTGCATCTACCGACTGCAAATGGGAAAATACTGCAACCCCGCCGCTGCCTTACTCACTCTGCCCTCACTGCTCTGGCCCTGCCGTCAGACGCAGATTGATTCCTCGCCCTGTAAGAAGTGAAGCGCGTGAACGCAGCAATCTATCTCAATATCGGCATCTTGGACCATGGGGGAAATCGCTCGGCTCTTCACTGCTCGGAGCTTTTCCTCGCCGTTAGAGTTCCCTGGAAACAATCCCGCCCCTCCATCAACTGTCGCAGCCCCTCCCGTTGATGGTGCCATCGAAGCTTGATGGACTAGGCCAATTGCATCAATCTGTGACGTACGAATTAGGAAATTCCGGAAGGTCACGCGTCAACGGCCATGCAGATCCTCTAGGAAAGACGTTGCTGCCTCCTCCCAGCCGCCACAGTCGATCACATCGTGAGATGCGGGTGAGAGAAGAAGCTTTAAGGATTCGTCGCGCTACCGAAATCTTCTTTAGCGCCTGGCCTGTCCCAGCTGTTTTGCTCCAATTTCCGAACTCGCCTGATCAAGTCCTGCACCTTATTTCCGTACGTCTCCTTGGCTTGCTCTTGCAGTGCGAACATGTCTTGGAACTTTTTGACCATGAACGGCCTTAGCGGCGCCTTTCGTGCCGCCTTGTAGTCGTAGACCACGATATCCTCCACACAACGGGCCGCCGGTCGGCGATGCAGCTCCGACAGTATTAACACATCGAGGATAAAGTGGTCGATATCCGACTCTGGCTTGTTCCTTAGCTTATGCAGCACCGTTACCCGATCTGGATATGCTGCCCAAGGGGAGACACATTAGCCAACGTCCAGGATTCGTACCGGCGAAGTCTTACTCATCGGCTATAGTCTCATAGTCAGCAAAGCTCTTCCTATAATTTACCACCACAGCTATTCATATTTTCGCGGGGCTGGTGCTCTGTTTCACAGGGCCTAGACCTCTTGATGGAAGCTATGCCGCTCTACTAGACAGCGGGCCATCGGCAGGTGGAGGGATTGGCGACTTGCTAAGGCGTACGTACAAACTTGTAGTCTGTCCGGATGCTTCGAAGAATGAGGCCAATGCTGTTGGGTGTCATCAGCTCCATCCATTGGGCTGCATGGGCGGGATCAGTCGCCGCGAAGTTGAGAGCCCAGTTAACTCGGGCGCTCTCGGCGTAACGGTTGTACACTACGTTGTTGACATGTCCTGCGACACAGTCAATGTTTGCTCCGATGCTCGAAGACTTAGGTCGAATCAATACCCTTGCTATAGTTAGCTCTATGCATTACTCTGTAGGAGGACCGTTCTGTCCATGTGTCTTACCATGCTATCCTTATCAATGCGAAGACTGCATTAGCCGTCGTACCGCAATATTGTAGAGGAAGGCGCTACCATTTCTCCCCACACGACCCGATGCCGATAGAGCCCTCTCTGCTCATTTCCCGTGAGGAAGCCCTCGCTGCCCGCCACCAGCTCTCGCCAATCCACTGCTATCTCTTGCAATATCGACCCAGCTTCCTTTGTCTGGACGGGATCAAGGCCAAACATGATGCACTTTCCAATCTTCGCTTTCAGGTCGGACAGCCATCGCGGGCTCAGCGAGGCTGTTGCAGGTTCATCGCTGCTTGCAGCCGTAGACTGGTATCGCGCAAGACGCGCTGCCCGTTGACAACCCGGAAGAAGAGAGATCGAGGCGGGATTGAGCAGCGCGGGGCGCGCCAGATGTCGCATGTTGTTTACGCGATGCTTCCGAAAGAGTTCAGGAAGCCTCCAGTGAGGACGTAGCTGGGTGGTTTCGAGGTTGGTTGTTCCAATGCTGGCGTTTGGCTAATGGCGCGACTAGGACCGAGGTTCGCAGCTTCCAAATATTCCGCAGCACTACGTCAAGACCGGTCCAAGCTTCCAAGCTTCTCCCCACCATCACAATCTCTGTCTAACACACATGTTCAACCAAACTCCAATTACTTCACGTTGATCCCTCATATTACCGCAGCGTTCTCTTGCAGTTGGCAGTTTTTCTTTCCGAAGTATGACATCCCCCAACCCAGCGCTCCGGCATCAAGTCATTCGGATATATAAAGGTAGGCCCGCGGTTCTTACGCTTCATTCTGAAAGACATTGGGTTGACACCGCGTAGAATTGTTGTTTCTCGGACGAGAATATCCCCTGGGCTATGATTACTTCAGAACTCGCCTGCACAAGGCCTTCGCCAGCCAACAACACCTCACGGACGAAGTGCAAATCAAGAAGGGTATCCAGAGGGCCGAGTTTGTAAAGAAAGGTGGGCTTCCTTCCTCTGCTTGCAATGATCACTGTGTTGATATCACGTTCAGAAATTGAAGCCTTGTATGTGCAGCCACTCGAAACCAGCGAAGTGGAATTATTCCTTAACCATGCTTTCCAGGTACTACTTAAAGCGTTACCGAACCCTTCGACAACGATATGAAAAGACTTGAGTTTCCGTCTCTGGAAAAGCCATGACATGCAAAGCGGCCGTAACAATGGGATATCACAAGACGAAACGGTATGCAACTCGAATCTCAGACCTTCCGACACCACCATACTCCAACTTCCAGACATTCACCACTCGAAGCACCTTTCTGTTCTAGCAAGTTTGACATCATCCATCCCCACCACCGCTGCCACTCCTCTTGGTTCTTTCCGCTGACTTCTTTTAAGAGTGGTTCCAGGCTTTCGATCATCTGGATGACCACGAGTAACGCCGTATATCTGAGCGCTGCCTGCTCCTCCGTTAGAGTTGAGCTGTCAAGTGTGTGGCTTCCCTTCTTGCCCCGCGCGGCCTCGCTGCCACGCCGTTTCGCCGGATTCTTTTCCGCCGCTGCTTCGCGTTCCCACCGCAATTCTCCAAGCGGGATAGCCACTCTCCGGTTTTCCACATCGCGCAGAGCCTCCGTCTCCTGAAGCAGCATCTGCGATATACGCGCGCAAGGTGTAGGTGACAGCTTTCGTCTGTCTAAAGCATCCTGTATCCAAGAATTCGAATCTCGCAGAAACTGGTTATGCACTTCTGTAAATGGTGTAATCGATGGCGATATTAGGAAGGTTCCTGTCGAGACTGCGCAGGCGTACTCGTGCGGGTTCTTGCCTGGCGGAGGGGGTGGGTGAGGTAAGATGGATCGTATGATATGGTCCGTTTCCCATATCTCCAATGTGCCACCTGATTTCAATATCCGCGTCGCCTCATCGAGTATCCTCTGGGAAGGTGAGCCGAATGGTACTACCATGCTGAGATCCTTCATTACAACAATGTCGAACTCTGCGTCATCGAATGGCAACGGCACTTTGCGCAGATCGTGCTGCACAAATCTCCAATCTATCCCCTGCTTCCGAAGGTCTCCCGCCAAGGGGACGATGTCCAACCCGGTGAACGCGACATCCTCATAACCCAGTCCGCTCAGATAGTCATGGCACAGCGACGACCAGTATCCGGTGCCGCATGCGATCTCGAGAACCTTTTTCGGCGGGCGTTGCGGAGATGGCGTTGAACCTAGGGCTCGACCAAATACCGAGGTTGCGAGGAGGGTATGGAGGTTCTGCCGCTGAAGCTCTGGCAGGTCGCAGGGCAGCGGGTAGGGCAGGTCTCGAAGGTATCGACGTCCGTGCCGCAGCGCAAACGGGTTGGAGAAGCCTGTACCGTCATCTTTGGTGCTCTGGGTCGATGTGCTCGAGATGGAGCCCCGCGTTGCGTCCATCGCGTTGCTTGGGACGGGCGCGGGTGAATTCGAGCTCGATGCTGATATCGTTCGTCCGAGCGCATCAGTTGTGGTCAGATCCCATTGCTTCGCCTCTGCAGTCTTGGGTCGTAAGGGCGTGCCGTTGGCGTTGCCGCCAGTATAGCGATACTGAGTTTCAGAGTTAGCAGAGCTACATCAGACGGAATGTTACAGGACGAGCACACCATCATCCACTCGGCCATTTTGACACCCTTGCCCCACTGTTTTTTAGCGTGAGCTTCGATATTAGGCCTTTCCTAAGTCGTCCGATAAGCACGTGTGGCTCGGGACATCGGGGAGCGAGAGATATGAATGATGATGTGCAGCGGGACGAGAGGCGGGAGGGGTGGCTCAGCGGGCAGGAAGGACGTTGAAAAAGCACGGCATGGCGAATGGCGAAGGAAGACAAAATTGCACGGGCGTGCCCGCACAGAGTCCGGGTGTTTAGAGCCTGGTGGTGGACGCCTCAGGTGAGCAGGTGAACAGCTTTAAAGCCTTCTCTCTGGAGCTACAACCGAGGGGTTTTCCAATCACACAGTGCGGCTGCACATCCTCCCCAGATTTCAATAATATAGCTGGGCAAAATATGCCCGCTTGGGCAGCGGGCAGCTCTGGCGCAAGAGATGTGGCGTCTCGTTTCTGCAGAGGCGGAGGTAGCCGCAGCAGCTTGTGATGAGGGGTTGAAAGCTGGGGCGGATGCTGATCAGAGATTCACGTGATCTAAGCTCGTAAAGTACTGTCACGCAAGATGGCGCGACTGCGTGCAAAGGACCTGTAGGAGTTGTTACCAATGCGGCGGAATGTGGTGATGCTCTATGATGGCCAAAGCGGCATGGCCAAAGGCAGACGCGCACGTGACTGCACGGACTCCATGGATGTCAAGCATGGCTTGGAGTCGGACATACATCACTACACCCTCTATTCTTCCTCCGCGCTCCAGTTGGAACAGCGAACGACCAGTCCGGCACAATTGAGACTGCTTGTATAGCTGCACTGCCTTCAGCTCCTCCAGCTGGTGTACGTGCGCGCCTTCGATCCCGCTTCCGTCGTCGTCGATTGCGGCTTCAACCCATCCTGTCCCCACTGGAGTGACTAACGGCGGTGAAAACAGGCGCCAGGAATATCCATAGATACCAAACACTCACCCTCTCTTCCACGTCGACTCTCCTGCGACCCGAGCTTCGCGCCCACACTCGTTCTTCCCCGCTCGCACACGACCGCAGCTTGCAAATCCGAACGGCAGCGCAATATATGCCACTCGGCGATAGGCTCAGGCAGCGCAGCACATGACGGCGTGTTGTACACTTGCCCATGTTAAAACGAAGAAAAGCGCGCTCCCGAACCCTTCCACCGACCTGACACAAACCCTTACCGCGCCGTCCCCGGGCCCTCACCTTCGTCCCCCGCCTCTGCCCCGGGGCTTCTCGCCATCTTTCACGCCGATACCCTTAGATGGCCGATTATTCGGCCTACCAGAGGGGAGCCGGCCAGACCTTTTACCCACAACACGCGCAAAACAACCTCCACCGCAACCTCCCCAGCCGTGTACGGTCGCCGACAACTAGCGGCCGGATACCCTTCAACCCCGACACACCCTCTCCCTCGCGATCGCCCGGACCGCAGTCGCCGCAGCAGTTCAGCATGTTCAACCAGGGCCATGGACAACAGGGCCACAATGTCATGATGAATGGCGGGACGGGCCATCAGCGATACATGCACATGAACCTGGGCAAGCCTTTCCAACACAATCAGAATCATCAGCATCATGCGCACGGCCACCAGCAGCATCAGGAGCATTCTGGGAACACGCACGGTGGACAGTACAACCACCAACACAATGTCTCGAGCGGGGGAATTACAAATGTGCAACCTCACTTTGCGCCTAGTCACCTTCAGAACGGCACACCGGGAAGTGTACACAGTGGGCTGAGCAAGCCGCCGAATGAGCACTGGGCAGAGCAGTTGCAGCTGGCACAACGGGCGCGTGAGATGACCCAATCACACTCTCATGCTAGGAATCATCCGAGTGTGAACAAGAACGTCGTGGCTGGCACAAGCAATGGCATACAGAAAGAGCCGGAGAAGGAGGAGAGGAACAGGCCTGGCATGCAGGCAACCCAGGACGCCAAAGAGCACCACGTATGGACTATCCTCGACTTTGGGGGCCAAAATCTGAAGGTCATTACACCCACCTTGTTCCAGTATACCTTCTTGACGAAGCTCTACCTCAATTGCAACAAGCTCCAAGTCCTTCCGCGTGGAATTGGCCTATTGAGATGTCTCACGCACCTCGATATCTCGCTCAACGAATTGCGGTATTTGCCCCCAGAAATCGGCATGCTCGTGCACCTAAAGCAGCTCCTCCTCTTCGACAACCACCTTGACAACCTGCCATACGAGCTTGGGTCGTTATACCAGTTAGAAATGCTTGGTATCGAAGGCAATCCACTTCCCGACGATCTTAAGTCAATCATTGTAGAGCACGGAACCACGGAACTCATCAAACATTTCCGCGAAAACGCTCCAGGTAAGCGATACATTTGTAATGTGTATGTAGATCATGATAATAACTTCAACAGGCCCGGACCCGCCGCCTGAGCGAGACTGGATTGTTCTTGATGAGATATCGGATCCTACGCAAGAGACTGTGACGGCTCTCAGCTACAATATCTTGTGCGACAAATACTGCACTCAATCGCAATACGGATATACACCAAGTGGAGCATTAGCCTGGGAACACCGAAGAGAGACAATTCTTGCAGAGCTGCGGGAACGAGATGCTGATATCTTATGTCTGCAGGAGATCGATCAGGATAGCTTCAATGACTACTTCCGCGCAGCTCTCGCCCACAATGACTACAAGGGCGTCTTCTGGCCGAAATCTAGGGCGAGGACCATGGCAGAGAAGGAAGCTAAGCTTGTCGATGGGTGCGCAATCTTCTACAAGAACAGCAAGTGAGTATTACATTGAGATTGCTTGCGGGAATAAAGCTAATGGCTCTAGGTACGTTTTGCTGGACAAGCAACTCATCGACTTTGCGAACACTGCCATCAACCGGCCGGACATGAAGGGTGAGCATGACATCTTCAATCGTGTTATGCCCCGGGACGATATTGCCGTCATTGCCTTCTTAGAGAATCGCGCAACAGGATCGAGGTTGATTGTCGGAAACGTACACGTCTTCTGGAACCCCGCATTCACGGACGTGAAGCTCGTACAAGTGGCCATTCTCATGGAGTCGATCACCAAGTTCGCCAATAAATGGGCCAAGATGCCTGCTTGTACCGATAAGGTAGTCTATCGTTTCACGAATGGCGACAGTGAAGACGAGAACCCCACACCGGATGCGACCCAGGAACCAGGTCCGTCGATGGAATACGCAGACGGTGCCCAGATCCCTCTCCTGCTTTGCGGTGACTTCAACTCGCTCCCTCATTCCGGCATCTACGACCTGATCGTGCAGGGCAATCTCTCGAATTCGCACGAAGATCTAGGAAGTCGAAAGTACGGTAACTTCACAAGAGATGGAATCTCGCATCCTTTCAGCCTCAAGTCTAGCTACTCGGCGATCGGAGAACTGTCATTCACCAACTATGTACCGCACTTCCAAGGCGTGCTGGACTATATCTGGTACTCGACAAACACGCTGCAGGTCGTTGGACTGCTCGGAGATATTGACAAAGGCTATCTCGAGCGTGTGCCCGGATTCCCCAACTATCACTTCCCTAGCGATCACATCGCGTTGTACGCTCAGTACCTAGTCAAGAGCCGGAAGGAGAAGAAGGTAGTTGAGCCGGATTTCGGACAAGGCCGGGACCGGGATCGTCGGTCGTAATCACGACGCCGAAAGCAAAGCCCCTCAGACGTCCTCAGCGACCTTTCCAGTTATCCTTCTCTCGATGCTCGCTTGGAACTTGTCAATAGGCGCGTTTGTGGGAGTTTACGTCGTGTTTGGCGTCATTTCTCGGTGTTTGGTTGTTTTTCAGTCTCATCTCGTCGGTTCATGGGATCAATGGTGGGCAGGCCGGTTGGTCGAGGGCAGCCGGGGAGGACAGGGCTCAGGGCGGGTTAGTACACAGGAATCTCTCAAATCATGTCTGTTGTTCTGCGTCTGGCCTTGGGATCATTCTTGCGCTGGAACTATCTCGACTCTCTTTTATCTCCGAAGCGTTGAATGGTTTGGCGGACTCTGAGCCCAGATGTAGCAGTGGTTGTGGTGTTTGGCGGCCATTGTTTTTGCGCCAAGGCCTGATTTCTCTATGCGGCTCTCTTTCTTGCGATGTATGAGTTAGATAGTCCCGTAAAATGGGCCGTGTCCCCGTCTCCGTCTGCGGTATTGGGTTGACTGAGGCTTCATAGTTCATCTCGTAGCCCGTTTCCGTGCGCTGTGAAATGAATGATGAGGATATGAATGCTGCATCAGTGAATCATGTTCGTCATGCGGCCGCCGTGATTCGGACAGGATGATGCTGTATCTCGCCCCTCGCTTGACTGCTCCACGTGCTCTCCGCCTAGACCAGAACTTCGTCATTCTCAACATCACCACCCGCACTTCGACCACCCCCGCTCTCCAGCCCGCGCCTACAGTCCCTCTCTGCCCATATAGTATCCTTACATCTTCGCTGAAAATGGCTGCCGCTGGAGGGAAAGAGCTGCCGCTGGACCCCAAATACGACGATTACGACTACCCCACAACCGCCCCGACCCCTCAGAACGGCCACCCCGGCCATACGACGCCCGAGCAGGATGCCCAGGTCTTTCAGCTGCGGAGTATACTGGAGCAGGCGGGATACACTAAGAACTTGGACACTTTGACTATGGTACGCTTTCTGTGGCCTGCGGAGTCCATTGGCGTTTCAGCTGGCTAAGTTGTTTACAGCTGCGGTTCCTCCGCGCACGGAAATTTAATGTCGAGCTGTCGAAGCAGATGTGAGCAGCTACAAGCGGGCAGAAAGCAGAGGAAGATAATTGACACCGCGGCAGGTTCATCGACAGCGAAAAGTGGCGGGACGAGTATGCGGGCGTTGGCGTCGAGGAGCTAGTCCGCACCTTCGACTACAAGGAGAGGCCCGAGGTCTTCAAATACTACCCGCAATACTACCACAAGACCGACAAAGTACGCTTCAACTGCCCTACTGCTTCGCGCTAGAGACTCCTCAGAGTTCTTCGGATGCGTAGAGTTACAGGTGCTGACCGCAGCGCAGGATGGCCGGCCAGTCTACATCGAGCAGCTTGGCAACGTCGACCTCACGGCTCTCCAGAAAATCACTACACAAGAACGCATGATCCAGAACCTAGTGTGCGAATACGAGAAGATGGCCGATCCCCGCCTCCCTGCCTGCTCCCGCAAGTCGGGCTACCTCCTCGAAACCTCCTGCACAATCATGGACCTCAAGGGCGTCGGCATCGCAAAGGCCACCTCCGTCTACGGCTATCTGCAAGCTGTTAGCGCCATCTCGCAGAACTACTACCCGGAGCGGCTCGGCAAGCTGTACGTTATCAATGCACCATGGGGCTTCGCCGGCGTCTTCGGCGTCGTCAAGCGATTCCTCGACCCCGTCACCGTAGCCAAGATACATATTCTGGGAAGTGGATACAAGACCGAGCTGCTTGCTCAAGTTCCCGCAGAGAACCTGCCCAAGGAGTTTGGCGGCGAATGCGAGTGCGAGGGTGGATGCCAGCTCAGCGATGCCGGGCCATGGGATGACCCACAGTGGGTTACGCCGCCGAAGTGGGCTAAGAGGGAGGACGGCGACGCGAATGCTATCGACAATACGAAGCAGCCGGCGCCAACAGAAGGGGGTGAGAATGAGCCTAATCAGGCAGCTGCGGGTGTTGAGCCTGCCGCAGCACCGGCTGCGGCGCCGCATACCCAAACCATGACCTAAGGACCATCGAGGCGATCTCTGACGGACATCATGTGTGCATTAGGGGAGTAGCGGAGTAGGGGAGAATGGTCGGGTGGGCAGACGTGTTTCCTAGTCATGCTTTCTTGCTGATTGTCTCTCGAATGCTTCTCATAGACATCCGTGGTCGATCCCTTAGGTCCCACGGTAGGTAGGTGGAAAACGATCGCATTGGTATAGGTTTTGAGCCTAGTCTTAGAAAACGACCCTGTCTCACCCGGTCTTCGTCTTTGTTCCTCCCAGTACTGTTCTTGGCCTCTCCACAGAGCTCTGTGGAGGCTATCCGCACACGTTTTCTTTGTTCTCCTAATCACCCGAGGTTTTGTGCGATGCCTTTGCATCTCCTTTCCCATATTATCGCATGACACATGTCGCTCGTCCAGTGACTTGATTCAATCACCGCCCCGCTATCATCAACAACCTACCTCCGCACTTGAAAAGTTACTCTTCATAACCCGGTCTCGCTAAAATGGCAACATTGCTATCCCCATCCGCGCAAGATTCCCGTATTCTATCCCCCAGAGCCTTTGAGCCTGGCTCCTCCGGGCCGACCTTTACCCTTCAACTCCCATTCGTACTGCTCGGGCGGAAAGGCCTCAATGCGGCGCTCGACAAGCACTCGCAGCGCCACGCCAAAAGGCTGGAGGTCGTATATAATGCGCTACAGCAATTTTGCGCGGAGGTGCCCGTGCAGGTGTGGGTTGCTAGGCGCTTTGACGAGGATGACGGGAAGACCAGGACGGTGAGGACGGAAGAGGAGAGGAGGGCGTTGAGGAGGGAGGTTGAGCAGAGGAGGAAAGTGTGGTTAAGGGAGGAGCAAGAGCGGTGGAGAGGCTATGAACAGAGCGGTGCGTGGGTCCTCAGGGCTACGGATACGGGCAGTGAACCTAGTGTGGGGATTCTGGGGGGTTGGAAAGAAAGCGATGGATTGCTTACGGAGCAAGAGCAAGACTTGAAGGGGAATAGGATATGGGCGGCTGCTTTTACACTGCAGAGGTGCGCGGTTGGGAGGAATGATATGGAGAGGTTGGGGAGGGAGGTGGAGAGTCTGCTGGGGGTGTTTGGGCAGACGATTAATGGGTTTGAGCACCCTGAGCATGGAGCTATGTTTAAGGTTGTTGTGGGAGAGCGGTGCGAGGTTAAGATTGCGTTTCTGCCTGGCGGTGGCGCGCAAGGAGAGGAGCGGGATTGGGAGGAGGCCGTGGTTGGGAATCTGCTTCTTCTGCTCACGGCTTTTGAGCGCGAACTGCTCGTCCTCTCCTCGCCTACTAATCTGCTCGCGTATTGGCCCCTGTCTCGCTGGCTTACGCATCGTGCGGTTTGTCAGCTGGAGAGGGAGAGGAAGGGGTTATGGAGAAGTTTGAGGGGTGGAGAGGTGGGTGGGGACAAGCGGAGGCGGAGGGAGTGGGGTCGCGTTGTGGAGACGTGGGTGAGGAATCTAGAGCGGGAGGATGAGGGGGCTGGGGAGTTGAAGAGGTTGCTTGAGGAGGAGAGAAAGTGGTGGTGGGAAGAAGTCGATGATGTTATCAAGAAAGAAGAGGGACTAGGTGTGTTGGTGAGGGATATGGTGGGGTTTGAGAGGAGAGGCCGGAGGGTGGCGGTTAGGTTTTGCGTTGTCGAGGGGCAGGAGGAGGATGAGTCTTCCGGGGCGAAGAAAGAAAAGGGTGGAACGGATGGCTATGAAATTGAGGAAGCACAGAATGAGGACGGAGCTGAAGATGTTGTCGATGAGATTTCTCTCCCGCCTACACCTCCACCAGAGCTGCCGCAAGCCTTCCCACAGATACGCAGCATCGTGTTCAACACTCCCTTACGCACGCTGTCCGCTCCTCCCATCAAAGCATACATCGAGCTCCTGTGCCGACTCGTTGGCTTCAGCTGCGAAAAGCCATACGGGGAAGTGCGCAAGAAAGTCAAGGGGCTACGGGAAGCAGCGGGGGAGATGGAGGAAGCTCCGCTAGAAACCTTGTCAAAGCTAGCGGATATGATCGGTGTGAGCGCGAAGACCATTAGGCATTTAGAACGGCATTGGGATCCTCCTGGACAAGTCCACGGGAAGGAGAAAGAGAAGCCCGAAGCGAAGGAAGACTTATTTGCTCCGTTGCTGAAGCATATAGTGAGGTCCTACGAGGAGGAGAAAGCATATATGCCAACGTTTACCGAGCGGTACGAAAGCGTAGGGGGCTTTCAGGTGCCGGCTAGGACAAAGGTCTATGCGTTGATGATGGCCGAGGAGGAAGCTAGGAAGGACGAGCGACAAGATCAGAGGGAAGAAGCGGATGAAGACGAATTCGCAAAGCACTTCAAAGGAGGACGTCAATGATAGCCACGGAATGCGCTGTGCATCATTCGATGATGCTGATTATTTCATTTGTATTGTTTGATCCCAAAAAAGCAAATTCGGTAGTCTATAACCAAGACCCCAAAAGAAGTTGCCCGTAGGCAGACATGTCGAAATGCGCCGGTCCCAAAAATTTGTCATGTGAACGTGTGGATTGGCTTGTAGTTCACATAATGCTCAACAGCAGCTTGAGTTCCCTTCCCTCACATCATCCCCACACATCCTTTCGTTCTGGTTGGTGGATACGTCTAGCAGTCGGTGATCTGGGTGACGGTTCCGCCCGAGCCACTGACGCACATGCCGTGGTTTTGGCGAACTGCAACGTCTTGATCCAAGTCAGCATCCATCCGAGGATATTATCTGGAAGTGAGAATAACATACCCTCAGCGGCGGGAGCAGCAACGGGAGCGGCAATGCCAAAGGCAGCCATGGAGAGGACAGCAGCGACGACGGTAGTGAACTTCATTTTGACTAGACTTTAGGATATACGGCGGTGGAACGCGGGTATCGAAGGAGCTTTCTGTGAGAGAATGTAGGTCGCCCGGCGACAAAGGAGTGTGTCTGTTAAGGAAGAAGGGAATTAAAAAAACTGGAAGACTTGGCGTTGAAGAAGAGAGCGGTTGAATGAACTAAGAGCGAGCCTCAGCAGGCCTGCTTCCTGCTTTAATACGATGCCCAGCCCGCGCATTGCAGTGCCCGCGTGGCGTTGTCCAAGCAAGCGACCGCCTGGCACCGTGCTACTATGTCTGTATCGCGGGTCTTGGCCTGAAACCGGATGCCCGCTGTTCCTGAGGATCGCGGCTGCGGCATGAGGGGAGTACATGAGGATGCGCGCTGGGGAAGGGCCCGCCTTGGCCTGTTTGCGGTAGGTGCTGGGCGAGGATTGGTCGGAGGGTGGAGGGGGGGGAAAGCTTGGTTAGATGTGACGTGTGGGGCTGTATCAGGATGGTGTGCGAGCCTCTGCGAGGCGTGCCTCAGGTAACCGGAAAGAGAGGGCGAGACGCGCAAGAAGGGATTTGGAATCTCAGCCACATGGATGGGATTGCGGTTCGGAGATTTTTGGGGGACTGGTAATGGGTGTTTGAAGCAGGCATTAGGACGGGGTGCATATGCCATGGTGATACGGAAACCTCTTCTTCGTCATCCACTTCTCTTTCACCATTAAAAAGACCCTTCATCTCCTCGCTCTTCATCTTCGACAGAAAGAATAGTGCGAACATGCGTTTGCTGTTGTTCTGGAGATCGAAGCGGATTGGGTTGGGATGAAACCGGGCTCAAACCGAGGCGAAACGCGAGTCGCAACGTGGGCTTCGTACCAAGGGCCTGGGCTGAAGATCGAATATCACGTGCCTGCGAAGTCCGAAAATCAAGGCTCGGTGTGACGAGGCCTACGAATCATAAGAAAAAGATGGTGGTTGTTGTGAGACGGCGCTGGAAGAATCGTGGAAGGAGTGAGGTTATACTCTGCTCTAGTCCCTGCCTGGAAAGTAGCTTGGTTTTCCTCGACGACGGTCTCATTGGGTGCAGAACAACCTTCATGCCCTTCAGAATTCTTAGAGGCCGTTGGCAATTGAAGCTGGCATCAAAGATTAGGCACAGGTATCATTCCTGCGAGCAATCTTGCGGATACGAGATTCTCCGCCGAGGCTTGCGTCATCCATCGCGCACCGTGCATGCTGCCCAAGTTTTCCCACTAACGACAGTGGTCGAGCCTAGATTTAATCTGTATTCTCCGTTCCTCGAATTCTATTGTGTCTGATTTTCAGTCTCCTATTCTATTATAAGTAGCATCTCTCGTTTTCCTTCGTCGTTTCAATCGCAATTCTACCCCATTCCAACCTGGGATAATTGCGCAGTTGGTCGAACCGCTCCGTTTTCTACTATCGTGCAGGTGTACATTTCCTACGAGGTGAACCTTTCCTGGAATCCCTGGTTAGCTGTGCAATGGCTCCGTTAATATGAGAGAACAAGAGGATGGAAAAGCGCTCAGATGCTTGCGGTTGGCCACAGCATCCTCTCTACGAACGGCGAAGAGAAGCGACACCCATCGTCAGTATGCCTCTACCTACTAAGGCTCCCATTGCGGCCTGATATTAGCACTTCCAGTGAATGCGACTCTTTTGGAATTTCACGAACTGGTATTGTATCTTCTATTCGGATCCATGGGTACGACTCAACTCAAGTCACCGGATCCACAAGCTTGAGGTACACTGCATCTGCATCAGCCGTTCTGATAGCCGTCTTCTCGCTTATATCCCTATCTGTCCGAACTTGCTCTGGAGTAGAGAAAATGGGTGTTATTGGTAGTGGGGCTGGTCTCGTACAAAGGGTAGGACGAGCGACAGTGAAGGCTCTGGAGAAAGAGAAGGTGGCAAATCAGTTCGAAGGCTTTCCGGCGGTGTATTTCGAAATGACGTTGAACGTCGAGTGAAGGCCTCTTGCGGTCAGGTCGCGCCTGCCGCTTGTGAAGAGCAACACGTCTTTGGCAGCTACAACACTCCGTTTGACAACAACAGCATCACCTCGCCACCACCCTCCGCCTCACCCGTGCCTGACGTCGCAATGCCAGATTTTGGCCTATCGCGCTGTAAGTAATAACCCCCCAAATACAGAATCTCTAGAATTACCCGCAACTTTCAAGTACGCGCTCTCAGCGACGTCATGCCGGACAAAACGACTGGCTGGCGTAAGAAGATACACGCCCGCCCGAAGGAGCTGAAGCTCGCCGAGGATGAGTCTGCGCCCGTCGAAGACTCCGGTGACCGTCGACGTCGCCACTCTGACAAGAGTGGCTGGCGTTTAGGAAGTCGACCGGCCACGCCCACCATCGTCACCACGCCTACTTTTCTGCAGAATGACACCGAAGACGCCCGGAGCGAGGCAAACTCTGAAGCTACCACGCCGCGTCGGGTAACAAAGCCCAAGCTTGCACGTTACCTCTCCGGCTACCGCTCCCTGAAGGATGCATCTAAGGAAGTGGAGTTCGGAGAGCCCTGGGGCGATGTAGCTCCGCCACTGGTGCCGTTGGTCGATCCGCTGGTGGCATTGCAGTCTGTGTATACACACATGAACACTCTTCCGAGCCGGCCCATCCCTGTTGACCATTATAGTGGCCTCTTTAGGATTTTCGAAGACTATCGGAAAGTGCGGGAGGAGAAAGAGCGATTGGATGCTCTGCAGCAAGAGACAATGGAGGGTTTCAGGCAGGCGGAGGACTCTTGGGCAGATGCTGAGGGTCGCTTTCAAGCTGAGATACGTCGCCTCGAACTTCTCATTGCAAACAGCGCGTCTGGGATGGCCGGGTAAGTTCGAGACCAGGAGTATCATATCCTGAACTAACTGACTCTCTTAGGCTTATGAATGCGAGGCAGGGTAGCGTCGTGGATCGACGACGGACAGTCCGAAAGACGGTGACAAGCGATCGACCCGGCACTATTCCTAGGTATATGTCCCCAGAGCAGCTGGATGAGCAGATTCGATTACGAAGCCAGAAAGGTACGTCCTGATTGAGACAGAATCACCCGGGTTTTCCTGACATGTTTCCTCAGTCCTTCTCCATCGTCCATCCTCGCCGTCCGGTAAGATGGCCGCTCTGTCCAGACAGCTTTCCAGCACCGGCTCCGAGGACCTCCCTGTAGGGACTCCACCCAACGAGGACCACAATATGACCCTCACGAGGAAGGTGAAGAGCGAGCTGGACCTAGCTAAGCTTGGGGAACCCGCGGTTTCGAACTCACACTCTCTCGAATCTGAATTTTCCCTGAAGGGAGATTCACTGCCGGATGAAATGGCCCCCCTTCCAGCTTCTCTGGACCCTGCCATCGATTGTGAGGCCCTCGTCGCTCTTCAAGAACTAGGTATACTTGTTGCGCGTAAGAAGGGGATTAATACGGATAATTTTCTCAACGGCCTCATGCAGCTCTTCACAACCCAGACCAATCAGAACGGAGGCATTGATGAAGAGCGAGTCCAAAAGGGAGAGGATACCGCTTCGCTTGAACAGTCCAGCGATGAGTATGAGGCGGAGTCGCTGGTCTTGACACCAAACCGTCGCCTGCGACAAATCCGGTCGCAGCCGCTGCTGGGTTCAGAACAGCGGCGCCGACGACACTTCTCCTTTGAGCCTGGAGATGACCAACTCGCAACCCTGGAGGAGGGCTTGAAGTCATATGAGCTGGGAGAGGACACTGGAACGGACTCACAAACAGTGCAGTCGGTCGCAGCCCGTGCTCTAGCACTTGATTTAGAGTCGGATGACTCTCGAACCCCACCACAGTCTCTGCACGTCGACCTCCAGAAGCCCTCTAAGATTCCCAGCCCGGTCTCGCGGCCTGGGTATGGAAGCGTTCGTAGAGGGGACTCCACTTCGAGCCTTCAGACTGTCTACGCTAGGCAATATCCGGAGGAACGAAGGAATTCCAGGTCGAGCGTCATCACTGCATATCGTGAGAATTCCACAGGTACTCTGCGGCCTGTCCCGAACAGCAGGAGCAGCTCCGTGGGCAATCTTCGTCACGAGGAAAGCCAACAAGCAGACCAGTCCGGAAGCCCCCCGGTACGAAGCGACGTCGCCGCCGTAGCTGCATCACTGATCCGGCCAGAGAAGGGCACCAAGGACAATCCGTCTGCGGGCTCGTCGATCCACACAATCCGCACCGGAAAGGTCAAGCCCGAGAACGAGTCCCCGCAATGACTGCGACATATCGGGAGGCTGTGAATTGCTTCAGAAAGATATGTCCCGATTCCTGCTGTGATGACACATAGAAGGAAAGTCAAAGTCGGTCGACGGTGTGGGCTTCACGTTCTTGGTTGAGGACATCCTAATATTTACCTAGTCCCAGACGCAACCATGGAACGACAACGCCGAGCGCTATATCGCCTACCATGCCTCCGGTGGCTCCCTTTTGCTCGACTCTTTTTCACTCCATTCTCACCGATCTCTGTAGTTGTTATTGCAAGGGGTCGACACTATATTTCTGGGGAAGGTTTGATGGCGAATAGAACTTGGGGGAAGGCGACGTTGGTCTAATTTCGTTGCGCGAAAGGTGCAGGATGCCCCGGGAAGCGTAATTGACAGATCGGTCTGCCTCACTCAACGAGAAATGAGAAATGAAACTCGCCAAATCGCGCACACATGACATCTCACATCAGCACCCTCGATTACGACGCTATTGCTGCCCCGTTTGCTAACAGTGAGCAGAATCTGCGATCGAGCCTATCCGCTACTTGTAGCACTTTGAGGTCACATTCGAGTCAATCTGTCGACTAACGCATCTTTCAGCTGGCGTGCCAATCTGCTAAACATCACCAGGGCCAGAAAACGAGCCCAATTCGTGGGCGGCACTTGAGCGTCGCTGTCCCACGAGGCATACGCGTCTTTTCGCCCGCCACGAATCATGCAAAGAAAAAGTACGAATCCGAAGTTCCCTTGTCAGTTGCGCCACCGTTCCCGTCGCAGATCGCCACAGGTGTGGCGCAGACAGTCGGTAAAAGGCTCGGCATGGGTAATCGGCGAGACTGAGCCAAAGAGCCGGACGCTGGTTTGTCTAAGGGACTTTGCAGCGCTGTATCGCGTGATGATGTGCAACAGATCCCGCTCATCGATCCATCCCAAAGATCGTTTTGTAACCGAAAGTGCCGCCACATTTATTTTACGACTTACAGGCACGCTCGGCCCTTTCTCCGCTGCCTGACCGGATGAAGGTCCCCTCCTCCTCGTATCGGCGGAGGTTGCCGAAGCCTCTACAGCGTGCGGGTCTTTGTGAACGATTTCCGGCGGGCGGCAGTCAGGCGTTTCCTCATGCGATTTCTGAATCACGGTAGCACGAAAGCCATCACGATGACGATAAGACTGCCGATGGCTAAAGCAGCATGGCGACCGTTGCTCGTGCATTGAGGTGGGAAAGGCGCCCGTTTCAAAGCTCCTTGTAATCTCGGCTCGATACGTGTGAGGAATAAATATCGAGGGCTACGTCTGACCAGGCGGGCAGCGGGCGAGTTGGAATTTCCCAAGCGATATGGCTGATTTAGTTTCAACTCGAGCAAGCCACAGGATTGGCTATCGAGCCCTCGTTTTGGCCGCGGAAGGGCGGGGCATCCCCTCGACGCTCTTCCGCCACTCATCCGCAGGGGAAATTGGCCGGAAGCGTAATTGAAGGGTCGGCGGTAGGGTCGTACGCTGTTCTGCTGGGCGACTGGCAGCGGCAGAAGGGCACGCGTGGAGGCTGCAGAAATGGCATGGGCAAATGCAGTTGATCGGGGACGCAGGATGGAAATGAGGTCTGCCCGGCGGCGATGGCACCAGATGTCGTCTGTGCCAGCGCACACGGTACGCGGCGCCTGGGTACGTACCGCGCGCTCAAAGACGGTCTAGCGGGCGTTTGGGTGGTCTTTTTGGGACGTTAATTACCGGGGGCGCGCCCGGGTGTGTCACTGCTTTACAGTACATACGAGCCACAGACGCCTCGCGCGAACGCCGGTGGTGTGGCAGTTGAAGGGTGGATTCGAGAAACGACCGGCTGGAACCGCGTGGCACAGGCACCCTTGGAGCGAGTGACGGCGGCCGCGCGGGTTGGCGATGGATGCAGCGACAATCCCATCCCGTTTAGGCAGCGCAGAGCTTCTGGCGGGATCGCGGAAGACGTAGAGCCGTGGCTGTGCACGCAACCCTGCCGCCCGCTACACCGGTGATGCGGTGGTGGACCGGTGGTGTCTCGCAGAGAGTACTGTCGTCCAGCGGACGCGGCGCGCAGAATAGCAGCGGCCGGCGCGCGCAGGGAGCCCAGACCTCTTCTGACTGCTCCTCGCTGCGCGCCGCTCTTGCACTAAGCGTTCCCATCCCATGCGGCCTCCTCCACCACACGCGCGATGACCGGGCCCCCAAGCGCTGCCGTTTAACCCAGCCAGAGCTCGGTCGCTAGCCCGATAAAAGACGCCTGACCTCTCGCTGCATACGCCGGCCCTGGCACCTGTGGCTTGACTCTGTGGCATCACTCCCCGTTTCATCAAGTCACCTTGGAGCCTCCCCATCTTCCGACCTCACTCTCTCTCGATGCTCTTGGACACCCAGCACCTCTGCTTGGAGCTTCCCAGCGATGTTTCGAAATCGGTATGCGCTCCCCTCCCGTCGCCTGCCCGTGGACTGCATGCTGTGATCTGCGCGTCGCGCGCAACTCGCAGCAGAGCTCCGGTACCGAAGCTGACCGCTCTGCAGGGCCAATTCGCAGAAGCCGAATGAAGAGCTGCTCGAGAACTTCAGGGCTACCTTTCCGCACCTCGCGCAGACCACGCGCTCGCAATCCCTCAACAATCCGACGGGCACCTCCCTCACCGATGCGCTCGATGTAGCTCATACCACCCGGTATGTTCTTTGCTCTCGCTCCCTTCGCGTCTGCTCCCGCTTGCGATGCGCTGGCGGAGCGCGCCATTTTTCGCATACGCACCCATCTGAGCTTGGGAGGAGCGTCGCGGCCCCTCGAATAACAGTACTGATATATCTTCTCCTCTAGGCATTTCGGCGATCATGAAGATATCAAGGACGCCGACCCTACACCGCGCGGGAATAACGAGCCATGGCGCTTCACGCCCTCTCTCCTCGATCCCAATAGCTTCGCCTTCTCGTCTTTCGCTAATCAACCGCCTGGATACTACACTCCCACCCCAGGCGGAACTAATACCCTCTATCATAGTCAGGCTGGAGACCTGCACACCCCGGGCTTCAGCTTCGGCCTAGGAACTCCACTGTCATTACCCACCTCCGAAGGCGGCGTGCATGCTGGACAAACCGCGCCTACGACCCACCTCCATGGCTTCAATCCCCACGCTCTCGGAACCCACCATCATTTCCACAACCAGAACCCGTTCGCGCTTCAGCCTCAGCATGCGCCGTCCTTCGCGCCGCACCAGTTTACCCATCAGCCCTCAGCTTTTGAGCACGCACCTCTGGCGCAGACCCACGAGAATTCCCCGATGGACAACATGGTTCCCGAGGTTGAAATGCAGGAGCAGTCACCATTGGTTGGCTTCGCACCTCAGACTTTTGAGGAGAACGTTCCGCCTCCCATGGCCCAACCCGCTGGCGAAAAGTAAGTCGACTGGTCGCTCATCCGAATTGCGTTCAGGCGCCATTGGCTTGAAAAATGCTCACGCCTTGCAGTTTCCGATATCACGTTACTTTGAATGCGCCTACAGCTATGATCAAGCATGCCGACGAGATTCCAGTCACGTATCTCAATAAAGGCCAGGCTTACACTATTTCCTTGGTGGACACCGCGCCTATTCAACCCACGTCCGTCCCTGTCAAATATCGGACGTACATCCGCATCTCCTTCGAAGACGAGCAACAGCGACAGCGTCCCGCGGGCTGTTGGCAGTTGTGGAAGGAGGGTCGGGGCACTAACGAAGCGCATCAACGGGGTGGTCGCCTGCAGGCTGTTGAATTCGTCGATCCGAGCCAGGTCGGCGGTGGTGAAGTGCAAGGACGGCCCAAGGTAGAGCTGGACATAGCCTCTTTCGACGGCTTTGCCGTAACTTGGATACCCGTTCACAACGCCGTTCCGGAGTGCTCTATCGCTGTGCGGTTCAACTTTCTCTCGACAGACTTCAGCCACTCGAAGGGCGTCAAAGGCATACCAGTTCGCCTGTGCGCTAAAACGGAACTACTCACGAGCATTCCTGGATCTCCCGAAGAAGGCTCGAAGGCCGAACTCTGCTATTGCAAAGTGAAGCTTTTCCGAGATCACGGCGCTGAGCGGAAGCTGTCCAACGATGTCGCACACGTCAAGAAGACTATCGACAAATTGAAGCAACAAATCGCTCAGGTAGAGTCTGGCATGAAAGATTTTGGAAAGCGGAAGCGCAGCGGCTCTATATCCAAGTCCACACCCAGTTCGAGGCCAGGAAAAGTTCCCAAGCACAAGAGGACATGGTCAATGTCTTCGGCAAGCTCGGCTTCGGGTACCCGCGCTCCAGCCGAAGAGGACCTGCATCTGAAGCTCGCAAGTCTACAGGACATGTTCAGCTCCACAAGACCCGTGAGCGTTCTGTATCTCAAGGGAGACGAGCAAGATGACCCGGACCTCCATCCCGTGCAGCTGTCCGGTACACCTCAGGATCTGTCCAAGATTGATACGAACGTGGATGCAACAATGTGGGAGCGACAAAGCTCTCACACAGGGGCGACCTCGTCGATTGTATCGCCAACGCCGAGTTCACAATCTTTACATTCCGACCAGCGTCGGGGCTCTAGCTTCCAGCAGCCAGCGCCGTTCCAGCCGCCCTCCCGAATGTCATCAAACGAATGGCGAAACCTGCCCCAGACAGCGACAGGAGACCTCAAACCGCACAGCGGCATTCCCGCTATCTCGGGCGTCCCAACGAAAGTTCAAAGACCGTACAGCGACGATCATGCCCTTTCTGGGTGGATCGAAGCCTTAGGCGTCGATCAGACATATCAACCGCCACCGGAACCAATGTTGAAGCCAGGTACGCTCCCCCCTTGTCGTAAATACATCATATGCTAATTTTGGTACCGTCGCAGTCGCGTGTTTCTTCGTTCAACCAAGGATCGCCGGTAAACAGCCCGAAGACAATTACTTCAGGGCCGTGTACCTGATAGAGCGAACCGTAAAAGCACTCATTGGCGGCATCGCAATGAAGATCGATATTGAACCCACAAAAGTCACCCGGGCTATTCGGATCAACCAGAAGGGGCTGCAAATCCTAATGGATGACGACGCCGTTCAGGAGATCCCCGAACAACAAGATATGACCGCCGAATTCCACGAGATTATCCCGCCGCAACAACCCATGAAGCGAGAATGGGACGCAGGCCCTACGGACATACAGGTGGATGGCGACATAGGCATAATCGAGAACGTGAACTCTACAGGCTATGAGCTCCGGCTCCTCTACTGAAAAGCCAGACGCGTCACATCCACCTCTTTCGGGCCCCTATCAACAATTTAATGACCCTACGTAATGATATTGTACTATTCGTACACACAAAGCGCAGGCAGGACGCTTTCCGGAGAAGATGAACATGTTCCACATACTGGTCGATTCGGTTCACCACACATTCGGCGTTTACATCCTCTTCTTCAAAGATACCACTGCTCCACACGAGCCATTTGTTTGATTTCCTTTCCTTCTGTCGATTGTTTCTACGATACCCATTACACACTTTTTGGATGAAGACTGGTTGGATGATATGAGACAGCAGGTACACATGGGAATTTGCGCGCAGAGTTGTTTGACACAAAATATTTCACGTACACACGACACGACCATTTGCGGAGGTAATTGACGGGAACCTACATGCTTGGATGGGAGAAAACGGGTGGCTGGCCTTTGATGCGAAATGGCATCTCCCATTTTTTTTGGGCAGAGATGGATGCTAATCCAAGACACAATATCCAAATACCTTGACTTCTACATTTTCTTTTTTTCCCTTGTCTTCTACTTCCATATTGTCGCGCGGGAAGCTGCGCTTCCGATATTTGTCGCTTTCCTTTCCTTTTTTGCATTTTATTCGATACTCATCTCTCTAACAGTCGCAGCCACAGTTCTCCGATACCCCCACTGACCTATTCGCCCACAACGTCGCACCTGCCGCGCGCAATATACATCCCCCATCGGCGGTCGTCTCAAAAACAGAACCACCTCAATATCCCCCTGCGTTAGACACGCACGAGTCAGCCGCCACCCCGGCCTCTCGAAATCTCCGTCAATAGCGCCATCCAATCGATCAGGAACACCAAGGCGCTTCTCCTATCAATCCTAGCCCTACACATACAAATTCAGCTCTTCTGCTCCGCGGCTAGGGACGTTGGGAGAAGCTGTTACCGTCCTTCCGTCCGCCGTTTCTACACCATTCTGTCGTCCCGAGGATGTTGGAGTTGGCGCAATCCTTCTCGGCCCGTTTCGAGAGCGTGCTAGCGTGCCTTTTCCGCATCGGGAAATCGAGGTGGCTGGAGAGGCATTTCTAGCGCGCCACCAACGAGGAACAAGTGCCCGGGCGTCTAGATAGTCTAGCAATTGGGCTTGGAGCTTGTCCTGCTCTGCTGTGGCTTTGGAACAACCTAGTGCCACGGCTACATGGTCTTGTTTGAGGTGCAAGCGAAACTATGTTTTGGCGGCCGAGGCTTGTCGTCATTGTGCGTGGGCGCTGTGTCCAACCACAAGCACCATACACTACATTCATGAAGAGCACGTTTTGAGGGAGATATGGAGAAGGGGGATGTGCTGGCACCGTTGGCACGTTAGCACGCGCCTGGCCGACGGGTGGGCGTCTGGCGTGGGCGAAAGACGATGGTGTTCCTGATGGTCTGGATTGAATGATCCGCAATGAGCCCTATAGCCCTGGCAGATGGCTTGTTTCATAGCACCATAGGGGTGGTAGCTGGATTGGATGCGACAGCTGTCACGTTAGTTCTCACCGCATGTTGCCTTCGTTGTCGCCTTCGTTGTCGCGGGCTGTGTAGAAGTAGGCGGGTCAGAGAACCATCCAATTGTGTGTATACTCAATTGCTTCCTGTACGAGTATGACCTCAGTATCGAACGATCGGATTGCGAATGTGGACCATGCAATTAACGCCAGCGGAAATGGAACGACGAATTGTTGTGGTGATTGCAACGCCCGCTCGGAATAGTCAAGCCACAGTTCCTGCAAGGATGGTCTGATCTAAGGGAGTTTAATGTAGGACAAGAGATCTTAGCCCTTTTCTCATTCGGGCCTTGGAGCGGGCGCTTTCGGTCCCTGGGCCTCATGGGATGTCTGTCTTCCGTGCCGTCTCCGGCCGTGACCAGAGTACAGTAACTTCTCCGTCGTCATACCGAAGTGCGGCCGGTCGTACCTCGGGAGGTAGCCTACTGTTTCCAATTCAAAGACCTTCGGAATCAGTATTCTGGAGGGGTTTTCTCCAATTGATTGATAGTCGCCACGGCGTGACTAACACTACACTCTGCCATCGTCTACTCCGAACCCGTCTCCGGAAGATAGGTACCGAGCCAATCCCATTCGACCGCTCAAAAAGGACACCTTGTCCAGTACTTCTATGATTAGAAGACTCGGCTCGCTTCACCGAACGCGCATCAACGATCTGCAAGATCGGCAGGTCGATTTGCTTCATCGAGGAAGCGGCACGGAAGCGTGAGCCACAGATACCACGAGCTTTCGCCACATGTGCGTTGCAGTTGTGGCGGGTGGCATGTCACACTCGCCACAGCGGCACGGGAAGCTGTGCCTCGTGACGGGGTTGCGGGGAGGCGTTTGGTGGAGCGTTCGGCTGGGCTTTCAGACTGCTGCAGCTTCTGCAACGCTGGATGCCGAGTTAGCCTGAAGTGTACGTGTACAATTTGCCACATAGGTAATGATGAGATCTTTTACGCGAAGGCGGACTTGCATTCAGCTGGACAGGGCGGTGTGTGTTGGAGTGACTTGGTATCTCGCACTGCCGCTTTTGGATAGCGTGGGTCATTGGTCCGGGACGCCTCGACGCGTAGACGTGGGGTTAAGCTCAAATCTGGTCTAACTCGCAGGGGCAAGAGACCTGGGGAAAGATACCTAGTACGGGGCGAGTACAGTTCTCTGCACTGCCACAGGTTGTCTAGCTCTCCGTCGGCCATCGACCTGCAGTAATCTCACCTGAGCGAGGGGAAAGCGGAAGCTTGGTGATTGCTCGGGACCCTCTGCCGCCATCATTGATACCGCATCTACCTTCGCGCATGCGCAGGTGCATGTTGGCCGCTGCAAGTTGCCCTAGGCTTATCGACGCAGGCCAAAGTAAGGGTCCGGAAGATGCTACCGATCCCAGCCTAATGCCCGAATCCTGGAAAGGTCGTGAAGGAGGGGAATCCCAGAAACACTGTTTAACCGAATCCTTTTGAATTGTGACGGAAGGGTCCCGTGACTGCGGCCTTCACCCTGGGCAAACCGATTGCAAAGGGCTTCGTCAGCGGATTCTTCTCGCCTCGGCGAAACATACATCAGACCATGTCCCCCAGCCGTCTGCCTCAGAAATGAGGATACAATGCCGCTTCGGCGGTTCGGCAAGGAATGCGAACCCGAATTCTGCTCTGGAGATTGCCCGAGCATAATAAACAGCTCGTATGTCTGACTGCAGAAAGCTGCAGGCCAGCTCACTTCGGCTACAGATCGTTTCCTGGGCGAAAAGTGTTTCAGACCCAATATCACACCGGATGATAAGTGACGTCAGAGTTAAAGTAGCCCCAAGCTCCCAAGGTCGTGTTTCGAAAACTTAACAATTCCACGAATAATGATTCTCCGCTATTATGCTAGAGTTTTAACGTGGCCGCATTTGGCGAATGCAATCCGTATGCCTATCAGTAGAGCGGCGACCTGCACATGCGGCGCAGACGTACAGGATGTGCCGGAAAGCTGCCGGTTGGATGATGCATGTTAAAGGAAGAGGCGAAAACAATGATGCCCATGTAACCTGGATCCTTGGAAGTGGCTGATTTGAGACTTTGGGATTGGGCCGGGTCAGCATACCATACCGTCATGCTCGTTGGCACCGATGTCCCTGTCGTCTTCAAGCTCAATAATTGAAATCACCTTTTGTGATAATGAAAAGAGATAGCGTAGGTTGAATTTGTTAAAAGCTCCGAAACTGAGGCGCTTTGCGCTTCCGTATGGAGTTGAGCCGTCAATGTGCTAGCCTGTCAACGGTACCGGAGTCTTGACTTTTCCCCGCTGTCGTCACTCCGCATGAAAGCCGTTCCGGACGTGCGCACTGCTACCCAGCTTTCGCCTCCAAAAAAGGCGCCGAAGAGCTTCTTGGAGGACGTTCCTCATGCGGAATGCCTCCGAAGTCAAGCAGTGGTCGTTGCTTTTGGGATCGGAATTCGCGGCAAAGTGAGGCTTGTCCCGACGCATGCCATGACCTTCGACGATCCGGAACCGAAGGATCAGGCAGCGGTGCCCGGCTTCCTGGTGGGACGGAGGTGTGGCTGGTGTGTTGGTAGCAGATTTTTGATACGTGAATGATACGAATGACAAGATGCGTTCGGGACATGTGGGGGATAGACCGCTTTTGTGGCGCACCGCCACAGATTGGGTATCAAGACATGAAACCGTCAGAAAGGAACAGAGACTCGTCGAGATATCAGAAAACAGACAGTCACATCAGCATCTTCCAAAGGGGCTGGCGCATACGAGCCGTGACGGCTATCAATCATCGAGCTCTCTCCCAAAGTCTACCAGCCGCAGCTTTCTCGCATCTTTTGGATGGAACTGTGCGATCTTCGCCCTGACGAGGAATCTCGACGCTGCCGAATCTCTGTCCAGCTCATAGTAAGCCCTGCCCCCTCCAGGGCCTGTCAAAGTTGCGAAGAGGTTCTCAATTAGCTGGCGCATCTCATTATCAGCAGCTTCGGCCTCTGTCAGCGGCTCCTCCTCTTCATCAATAGCAGCCTTGTCGCCCCAAATCTGATCAATTCTTCGCTGCCTTGTCTTGTCGGACACCGGCTTCTTCGTGGATTTGACCTTGCCCTTCTTCGTAAAGCCAGCTGCGAGCGTGTCGGTCTCAACGTCCAACATGTCGCCAACAACAGGACCGCCCAGCTCTTCGGCAGCAAGCATGGCGGATAAGTAGTCGTTGATGAAATCATTCAGAGCTCCCCCGAGCTGCTTCATCTCCTCATCGTAGCCCTCCTTCTGGGCGCGCTTGGTAGCAATCAGCTCCTTCGCAAGCTGGGCAGGCGTCTTCTGCGATCGATCTTCGTGCTGCGCCCGGAGTCTCTGGATCCTCTTCTCCATGGCTTGCGCGATCAGATGCGCATCATGCAGGTTCGTTTCCTCGTTTCGGAGCGCAGCTTCCGTTTTCGCGACTTGCTCCTGAGTGCTAGAGACCGCATCCTTCGTCCCCTGGATGTTCTCCTTCAAAGTGCGAGCAGCCAGGAGAGCCGGAAGAACTGAGCCTTGAGAGGGAAGAAAGGGCGCCGTCGAAGTCAGTCGAGTATACGCGTTCTTGACTGCGAGCAGCTGCCTCAGCTTCTCTCTGGGATCCTCGGATGCATAGGCGGCCTTTTCCACGTCTATGCTAGAGGCAGCGCGTAACTAGACGTGTGATCAGCGCGCGTTCAGCTTCAAGTAGGGATACACGCACCTTTTCCAGCGCAGCTTGTTGTTCCTGCACGCGAGCTTGCAGTTCCCTCACAGTCTGCTCCAGTCGCGCCTCAGTGCGAGACGCGTCAAAATCCATTGGATCGTCTTGCAGCTCGCGAGCTTCGGCAGCGTATTTCCGGATGTTGGCAAGTGTCTCATCCTGCGGTGGTGCCATGGCAGGTGTTGAGGCCACCGAAGTAGAAGACAGTAGTACGTTCCCTTCTGTGCTCCTTCCACAGGTGGTACGCGATATCAATGTTGCGCGGTGCCGACGCGGCGCGGTACAAATAAAGCGCTGTGAGACGCGATTACGCGCAGTGGACTCGCAGAAAGAGCGGCTCACGTGACCAGATCCACCGCCAAGGCGCCAAGGCTTCTCCACTTCCTATTTGGCAGCCGCGACCGCAACGACTGCACACCTTCTCCCTCACGCAACACCACCTTCTCTTCTACTGACACCCCCCACCCGAAGCACATCCACTGCTCCTTCTCTCTCAGCTATTCCTGTCGCGCTGAGGAAGGTGCGCGCACCCGAGCCTGCCTTCTAGATCTGAGACGCCGGCTTGCTCCTCAAAAAGGTTTGACGAGCGAGCTTTCTTTGCTTGGGCCATTTCTTCTCTCCTCAACGCCTCCTCCACCCAGGTAGCACACTCTCTCCGACACCCTCGCTCCACCTGCACCAGCACCAGCGGCACCTCGCTCATCGAGAGGCTGCTTTTCCGACCACTCCATCACCTCCACGCTCCAAGCCCAGCCCAGCTTCCGACGACCCTGCCTCTACGTCCTTTCCAACCGCACACTCGCAGTTCCACCCCAACCGCCCGCACCAGCACGTTTTCCTTGACAGCCCCCGCTGTACGTAACGTGTCAAAGAATCGAATCAATTCAGTCTCGCAGCAGTCCGCTTGAGCCATTGCCTGGACCGTGAAGAGATATACTAGTGTTTCAAGACTCATCGAGCAGGAAAACATGTCCGCATCACCGACCATCGCCACTTCTTCGGCCAAGCGGCCTCTGGAGGAACCCTCCTCGCCCGCTGGCCCCAATGACCAGCCAGATGCTAAACGGCCCGCGCTGGATAAGATGGTGAAGGAGGACCCGACCGCAGAGGACATCGACACGGCGCAGCCAGTCAAGGGTGAAGGCATCGCGGCCGACGACATCAAACCCGACGACGTGAAGCCGGCCCCAACTGCAGAGGAGACCATCGCGGCTCAGAATGGTGCTAAGGACACCGAGACGGACATTGTAGTTCCAGACGCACCGGCCATCCTCGAGACTCAGCCCATCCAGTCCACATCTGGCGCCAACGGCCGGTCTCTCCCGCACAACCAACACCAAGACGAGACCAACTGGCTGCACCTGCGCGCATGCATTGGTACGAGCGAGGCCGCGACCATCATCGGCAAAGGCGGCGAGAATGTCACCCAGATTCGCCGTCTCTCTGGCGCAAAGTGCACCGTCAGTGACTATTCTCGAGGCGCTGTCGAGCGCATCTTGACGGTGAGCGGCCAAGTAGACGCTGTGTCTAAGGTACGTTGGTCATATCTTGATGACAGTTGACAGCAACGCTAACTTGCGCAGGCGTTTGGTCTCATCGTCCGCACCCTCAACCAGGAGGACCTCGAGACGCCTTCTACGTCACAATCCAAGGCCTACCCTATGCGCTTGCTGATTCCCCACATCCTCATCGGCTCAATTATCGGCAAAGGGGGCGTCCGCATCCGAGAGATCCAAGAGGCATCGAATGCTAAACTGAATGCATCGGACACCATGCTTCCGAACTCTGGCGAGCGCTCGCTCGTCGTGCTTGGTGTAGCAGATGCTGTTCATATCGCTGTTTACTACGTCGCTCAGACCCTGGTGGAGCAGCTCACGGAGCGGTTCGGTGGCCCAGCTGCTTCGCAATACGCGACTCGTAGCGGTACCGCGGCGAACGTCGTACCGGGTGGCATGTCTGTTCAGCCTTACGTCCCCCAACCCGCTGGAGGCCAATATGCTTATCCTGACAACTACCGCCGACATGCCAACCAAGCACAGCGCACCCCGGTTCATACACATGCTACTCCGTACATGCATGGACAGCCGCCGCATCAAGGCTATGGACAGCCCAACATGCCTTACGGAGCCGGCTCGCCTGCGCGCGCTCACTACGGTGCCCCTGGACCTCAGCCGACTCCCTATGGAGCTCACCACGCTGCTGCACCAGTTGCACATGGCGCAGCCCCGAATCAGCCGCCTGTGCAACTTCCTGGACAGGTAAGTCAGACCAGGTCGATGTCAGGCCAAAGTCGAGTGCTATGGCGGAGCCGCAACGGTTGCACCACGATATTGGTGTAAGTTGCAGTAGCCACACGCTCGAGGCAGGCACACCATCGCATCCATCCCTATTTTTTTTTCTGCGAATCGTGCTGACTCTATCTCTTGAAGCCACTCACGCAGCAGATCTTCATCCCGAACGACATGGTCGGCGCAATTATCGGTAAGGGTGGTGCAAAGATCAACGAGATTCGGCAATTGAGTGGCAGTGTCATCAAGATCAACGAGCCTACTGACAACAGCAACGAGCGCCTCGTCACTATCACCGGCACCCAAGAATGCAATCAGATGGCCTTGTATATGCTGTATTCACGACTCGGTGAGTTGCCTGGATCGCGCCAAGGAAACTTCGGAATGCTAACATGACGCAGAGTCGGAGAAGCATCGCATCTGAGCGCGAAGCTCATTCTCTACCGTTCGCTCAACCACCAACGGTATATCGGTATTAGATTGAACGCGCCTTTCCACCCGGCTCTCCCAATTCTGAATGCATTCGGCCGCACGGCGTATACGGTTAGGGATCTCGGCTTCACGATTTGTATTCTACAAAACATACATAAGTTTCATGGAGACCGTTCGGCAAGTATGCGCGAAGCAGGTGGTCTTGGATTCTAGACTTCGAAGGGGTGGGGTATGCGATGCTGCCTTGCCAGTATCTGCCCTGGGAAGCTATGAGTCGGGCGATTAGTGACTCATAGGTTGGCCCGCTACTTTCCTCGGTAATTTGACAAAAAGCTTTCTAACAAATTTCATATGACAAACTTCACTCTGGTCCCTTTTGCGCTGCGTTTGAAGGTGGTGTGTTGGCGTGCTTTCCGCTTCCGGCACCATGTTTGCTTGCGCGGAAACAAAGAATTGTCAGTGGTTAGGCTGCGCGCGTCCGCCACGCAGTGTCTGAGGCTCCATTTTGGATATGTATATTTGGAGGTGCATTCCAAGTATGACTCCACCTCAAAGGCTAACGCATGCGGCGAGCTCTATCAGAACATCAAATGAGGACGGGAGGCCTGCAATTCTTCACCCTAGAATAGCATCTTGAGCGCAACTCGTGCGTTCTAGCTACCCGCTCTCATCACTGTCGTTCCTGTCGCCGCCGTGGGTTCGTATTTTTATGAAGGTCCGGGAAAGAGTGATTTGCGGCCAGGATAGAGGAAGAGAAGGATGACGCGCGACGACGACGACAATAATAGAATGGCTCGCATTCCCGCAACCCTCCCGCCACCTTATACGACGACTGGCACGCGGGCCGCTTCGCTGAGGTACGTACATGACACAAACACGCAAGGGAGCGAGACGCCATTCCATGCAAGATGCTGTATCTGGGATCTACTTCTTTAACACCATCCACGTTACGCAATAGACACAGTAACAAATGCTAACAGCAACCCCAGAACCAATGCCTCCGACTTCAGCACCACGGCCGAAATCCTCGTCGGCCCCGATCGCACGCGCTACCTCATCCACACCTCCCTCCTGACCAAGCAATCTCCTTACTTCCGCGCCGCCCTCACCTCCTCCTTCCTCGAAGCATCTACGCAATCCATCTCCCTCCCGGACATCCACCCAGAAACCTTCACCCTCCTCGTCGAGTGGCTCTACAACGCGACCCTCAAACCACTCCCCTTCAAAGAAGACAAGCCAGCCTATTACACCCTGCTACACTTGTACATCCTCGCGGACCGGCTGTGCTTCGAGGGCCTGCGCAACCACATTGTCGACGCGATATCCGACCTCGCGGAGTCGACGAACTCGGTGCTGACGCCGAGCGATACGCGATTGCTATACGAAGGCGTGCGGGAGGATGCGAAGATACGGGAGCTTGTGCTCGACCTGTTCGCGTTCAAGAAGACGGACAAGCTGATCGATACGCATCCGGATCGCTGGCACGCAGGCTTTCTCCGCGACCTCATCGTGCGGCTAAAGCGGCCCTGCAAGCAGGCCATGCAGCGCCACACCCAGCGTATGTGGCTGCCCAAGAGCTGGGAGTCGACGCGCGCGTGCGACAACTGCCGCGTTATCCTGCCACCGCTACAGGGCGCGATCGCGTGCGACGAATGCTGTTGCGCGTGGTGCATACCGTGTGCCGGGGAGGGCGTTGCGGTGGCGAGTTGGGAGGATGGGCGGCCGTCGATGAGCTACGGCGCGGAGGCGGGGAAGAAGGCGTATGGGGCGCCGAGGAAGTGGGAGAGTTGTAGGCCGTGGAAGGGGAGTCGGTGTATGGTTTATCATGAGCATCGCGAGACGGAGGCGTGTTGGGAGGTGTTTATGGGGAGGTGACTGTATGGTTCTGACGGTGCGGATGCGGATGCGGAGAAGGGCGCGAGGCAAATGAAGAGGAGGTTAGTTTGGTGGGCGGGGTGGCTGTAGGGGAAGGTGCAATGGAGCGGAACAGGGAGAGACCATATATCAGAGTCGTTGTCGTCATTTTGGATTTGGGCGAATGTATCATAGCGCTTCGCGTTTCGGTTGTTTTGGTCTCAGTACGAACTCGCGATTCAGCAAACATCACCTGAGGCTTAGTTTCTGCATGCTATCAGTAGGTGCTGTCTGCACTAGAGTGGACGAATCGAGGGAGACTTGAGACCAACCGCTAATAATGACAAGGTGAGGATGGCAGTTGCCGAGTGCTTGGAATCAGAGTGGAAACACGCTCTTGCGCTATTTCGATACTTGGGTAATACGGTCCTACCCGCTAGACCTCATGTTGGAAACCTCTCCAAATATCTATTTTACACAGCCATTAGACGCCCAAACCTCCAAGAAGTTACTAGAGGACGAGAGATAATACAAAGGAGAAGAGTCTCCAAGAACCATTAGCACCTAACATGGCATCTTACTCAACGAAGCCCTTGACGTCTACAAGAGTGTTAGCATGGGAAGCTAATCTATGGGATGGATGAACTTACTATTCAACCACCTAATGTACTCCTTCTGCTCCTTGTGGTCAATGTAATCGGGGATGAACAGCGCCATACGGGTGTTGATGCCACGCTCCTCAAGGTACTTCTCGAGCAGGATCTGGAGGTCCTCGTCCAAGTTGCTGAATGGAGGGCCAGTGTACAGCGTCCGCCGTTGCCAGTCCTTCTCTGCGGTCGCAGGGTCGGCGAGGTCGGACGACGGGAAGTACCAGAGGTCCTCAATTAAGAAGTCGCCGTCCTGAGCAGTAGCCTCGATCGCAAGGGCACCCTTGCCGGGCCGCTCGATACGGATGGTGGCATGGGCGGGGAAACCTTGCTGCTGGCCTCCCTCATCGTACTCGTCATCCAGCTCCTCGCGGTCCGCCGGCGCAATCTGGTCCTCGGGCGCGACGCGAATATTGCCATCCTGTGTTTTCCCCTGGTTGATTGCGCCCTTAGTGTTGGCTCCGCCGGACTGGGTGTCGCCGATGACATCGTCAACATCGTTGTCGTACATGGCAGAGTCGGTCATCTCTTCACTGGGGGCGTTGCTGTTCAGGTCGGCGGTGGTGAATGTGATGCGGATCTTCTCGTCACCGAAGGTTCGGGTCAGGATGACTTCCTGGTGGCCGGGCTTGTCCTCGATCTGGGAGCCGTTAGCTCTGGGCTTAGAGATCCGGGGACGGAGAGTATTGCAGTACCTCGTAGGGGCTGTTCTCGAGATATTCCTTGATGTTGGCAGAAAGATCCTCGTCCTCCTTCATATCCTCCTCCATGGTGATCTCATTCTGAAGCTTTGCGACGAGCTCCTCTTTGACTGCGGCCGGGTCAGCGAATGCTCCATGACTATCCGTCCATACAATTCGTACCATCTGATTCTTGTCTCCGCACAGCCGAGAGGTGGAAAGAAGCTGCAAGACGGGGAACTGACTGCGCCCACGACGGCTGGAGCGCTGCGACTGGCCTGAATAGGGAGAGTTGCGGGCGGATAGCTTTCGTAGATAGACGTGCGGCAGACCGCGGAGCGGAGCGGGCAAGGTTTCGCAGGGCAAGCATGGCGGATGTGGAAGGGGGTATCTCAATGAAATCGGAAAGTAATCGAAAGGAAGGATTGAGGATGAATAGAGGAGTTGTGATGGGACTTCTCGAAAAGTTTCGATGGTCTGAGCTCCGCTGCCAATGATTTCGTCAGAATCACGTGCATCGCGGCGGAGACTTAAGCTCCGAATAATTTCATGCACAGCTCCGCCGCTATCGGCTTGTGACGACTCTCGGAGCTTTACAGCTTTCTCCTGGGTGACCGCTCCAAGTACTTATACCGGCGCATGGGATTGGAGCTTCTTCTGACTTTGGAGTTTTGTTTTCCAGTCCCTTCCGGCCTGTCCATTTCCCGCGAAGAAGCTCCGAGTCATTCAGTTCACGAGCACCGATTGAAGCACGAGATACCGCGGGAGCTCCGTTCCACGCGTAGAAGTTCGGTTTCTTTCGTGAAGAAAGCCCATAGTGCTCAATCGCCATGGCTGCGACAACAACAGAGAAGAAGAAGAAGGTATTGCGCGCAAGCAGAAACCAGAGTGACGACAGTAACTGAAATGCGATAGCCGAGTGCTCTGCGGTCAATCATAGCGGGCGCAACAGCTGGAGCAGTGGAGATTTGTAACTATCCCTCGAAGTCATGCTTCTAACCATAACTGACTATCACTGCAGCAATAACATACCCCGCCGAATGTACACGATCAAGACCTCTTCCTCCACCGTGAATCCCATTCCTGACCAACATACACAGTCGCGAAGACCAGATCCCAACTCAACCGAAGATTACCAGACGGAAAGAAGCTCCCATGGCCGCCATTCGGCAAGCAATGGTACGCTGGCTGCACAACGCTGATAATCGGGAACTCGCTGAAGGCTGGGATACGTACGCGACCTGCGATCCAATAGCTAGAATCCACCTCTGACACGGACACAGGATTCGTCGCATTCGACATGTACAAAGCGCTCCTCATGGACGCTGAAGGCAGAGTCTCGGGCCCCGCAACCGTAATAGCAGGCTTCGGAGCCGGCGCCACTGAATCACTCCTCGCCGTGACACCCTTCGAGAGCATAAAGACGCAACTCATCGACGACCGTAAATCTGCAAATCCCCGCATGCGAGGCTTCCTCCACGGCTCGAAGATAATAGCGCGGGAGAAGGGCATACGGGGTTTCTTCCAAGGCTTTGTTCCGACAACTGCGCGACAAGCTGCCAATTCTGCGGTGCGCTTCTCCAGCTATACCGCACTAAGGCAGATGGCACAATCGTATGTAGCGCCCGGCGAGAAGCTCGGTGCTGTAAGCACTTTCGGACTAGGCGGGATGGCGGGCATAATAACGGTATACACCACGATGCCCATCGACACAATTAAAACGCGGATGCAGTCGATAGAAGCACGGAGCCTCTACAAGAACAGCTTCCACTGCACCGCTAAGATATTCAAGGAAGAAGGTCTTCTTACGTTCTGGTCTGGTGCGCTCCCACGGCTGGGGCGGCTCATTCTCAGCGGCGGTATTGTGTTTACCATGTAAGTATTTACCCCATTCTGTTCGATGTCCGCGCCATTGCTCACATAATCGCAGGTACGAGAAATCAATGGAGTTCATGGAGAAGATGGATCCGGAGGGTCGATATATATGATGTCGGACTCTCGGTCCTCCGTACTCGTTGGCCGCTCACCATTTTCGAGCCGAACCACTACGTTTTACGAGCCAAGCGGAGCTGAGGCAGGTTACCAAGGGAGCATAATCTAGGGTACGTGGTATTGTAAGATATATCGTAAATCATACAACAGGCTGGAAGAGAAGGAAAGGGGATATCCAACGCTATAACCCCGGGCGATCAATAAGCAAATACCCTGCATAGTTCATATTTGCCTCCGATCTTGAGGACTGCCTTGATTAGATACCGCCCGATTCCAAAGGCTTTTTCCCACCACCAGCTATCTAGCCCTGTACAGGCATTCGTACCAACAGACTATTTTCTCCATCCGCCGTAGCCTTCCTCCTTGCGCACGAAAAAGTCTTACTGATGCATCCCTCCTTCCTGCGACAGCCACTGCAAATCCGAGGGCTCGAATTGCGGGAAGGTAAATGGCGGGATGAACATTTGGTCTTCACCAACTGATGCGCTGCCGAAGAGTTGTTCCCATTCGTTCTATCACGCATGCGTTAGCCTCGTTCACACAAATCAAACTCCTTGCTCGACTCACCCAGTCAATATCATTAATCGCAGCATCCATAGGACTACCACCAATCCCACTGCCGCTTCCGCTCCCTCCGCCCATACCAACCATTGCTGGATTGTTGCTGGTGTCACTACCTCCGCCGGGAGTCATACTCGCAAGGCCTGGCGGTGGGACGGTGGGCGCAAAGCCGCCGAAGCTGTAGGGTGTTTGCGTGGTTGACATGGGTGGTGGTGGTGCGGCGTTGTTAGTGGTCGCCATGTCGAAGGAGCCCCAGTCTACACTGGGAATTGCGCCTAGAGGTCCTTTCATTGGGAGCGAGGTCTGCAGGTAGTGCTGTTGCTGTGGTTGTTGATGCTGAGGATGGGATGAGTAGGATTGCTGTCCTTGCCCGCTGCTACTCATGGTGAAGGTGCTGGTCCCTGATTGCATCGAACTGCTTCGTTCACGCTCCTCCCGGCCTATGGCTTGCTCCTGCTGCTGCGGCTTCTTGCTTGTAGCTAGCTCCCGCGGTCCAGCATGCGGCATATTGGACGGAGCGCGCATACGTCGTATTGTGGCGTACGTTCCAGTCCGCTCAACTAACTCACGCAGCAACATTCTTGCCTTCTCAGAAGGGGGAAGAGCGGCAGGAAGATCGAACGCAAAGTCCATGCATCGCCAAATACGCGCCTCGATCGCCGGGTCTGGGGTAGTCACATACATCTCGTTGAGCAGGAGCAGCGCAGTGTGGTACTGATGCAGAGCGCCCACGTACCACGACCATTGCGCCAAGGCGGGTTGTTGTTCGATGGTCATGCTGTGCTCGAGGATCATGATGCAGCAGGAGATCATGATCTGGCGGAGCCGCTCCGGCATCTTGCGTTTATCGTTTGAGGCGAAGGTGTGCAGAACCATAATGTAGAGTCGAGTGCTTAGAATGCCGTACATTTCCATCGCGACGACGTGCTGCGGGTTACTTTTGCTCATCATGGGAAGGTAGGTCCTCTCCATTGCGGCTTTGAATCCTTGGATCCGGCTGAGAAGCGAGGTTATCGTGACTTTCTTTTCGCCCTTCTCGACTTTTCGCTGCAACTTTGGTCGCTCGATCCACATCAGCCGTATCATTTCGTAGCACTCAAAGCGCATCCGCGTTATGGTCATGTCGGTAAAAGACGTGCTGTCCTTCATCATGTACACACCTATTGAGGCGGCGGCATCGAGGTCCTCATCGTTGACATTGAGAGGGAACCGAGTATCATATTCTTCACGGCGGATCTGGGGCCGTGGTCCGGTTGCCTCGCATGTGCGAATGTCTAAGAAGCAAATCTGGTACCAGATCAGGCGGCGAATGTGGATTTCAATAGGGTCGGTTGAATAGCTGATGGGATCGCGGTGTAGCCCCATGCACTCAGCAAGACGTATGCATGTGCCTGTGAGGGCGGAGTGTGCGCGAGACACTTCGGCGCGGCAGAGAGGAAGCTAGGTGGTTGTGGTGAGCAGGATGTAGTCAGGGGTTGTTATCACGGATTCTCCGGTAAATGCCGGCACGTGGAGAGAGTAGGGAGCTAGGAAGTAGTCTGACACGAAGACAGAGAAAGTACTCTTACCAGATACATGACGAATGCCTGAAGTGTCTCCAGCTTAGTGGTTCGTAGGAAGTTGGCCCGTGCCAATGCGGACTCCGTTCCCTGCCTGAAATTATCGACTAGGCTTTGCTTGTCGACACCAAAATCTTGTTGTACTCTCTCCTCAGACATAGAGACAATCGCGCTCAGAAGCGCCGCGAAAAGCACAGCTTGGAACGATATTCGGGGCTCGATCCCAGCGCCGATATTCCTCCAGAGTGTGTCGTATTGGCGTTCGAACGATGGTCTGTGAACTGTTCGAATTATGGCATGGACCGCTTGCCAGTAATGCGCCAACAGTTTGTCAACAAGGACTTTTGAAGGCAGATATGTCATCATCGAAGTCTTCTCAACGCCCGGGGCGAAGAAGAAACTCGACGAAGGAGCGACATAGTCTGACGAAGGAGACATCCATGAGCCCGGCGACTGGTTTGAAAATGGATTCCGGTCGTCGCTATTGGGCACTTCTTTGAGGGCTTGAGCAAGCTGTATCTTTGTTAGTCTTGCGTCCTTTCTAAAGCGCTTCAGGATACCCCATACCTCTTCAGAAAATCGAGGCCTGACCAGGCCGCCGATCCTCTCAGTGATCCTCAATCTTCCCATTGAGATACCGAGGTCGACAATGTCATCATTCCCCTCATTCTCGTAATACATGGCATCCTCTGTTACGAGATCTGTGGACTCCAGACCCTTTGCATCCTCTTCCTCCTCCTGGTCGCTGTGGCCCGCTTCTTGACCTGGTAACGTAGGCGCTGATGAACTCGGAGAAGATTTCGACTTGGAGCTCTCTCGTCGTCCTCTTGCTACGTCCTCTTCCAAAGTCCTCTCCAGCATGCCCATCTTCTCCTTGACCTCGGCCAGTTTAGCCTGCGCGTCAGGATCTAGTCCCTGCGCGATGAACACACAGAGACGGGAAAACTTAGTACAATTGGTACATGGGTTCTGCTTGTCGCACTTGAGCTTGCGCCGGCGGCACTCCAAGCAGGAGGTGATCAGGCGGTTCCTCCGGCGGATCCGAGGCTGCTCCTTGTGCGCCTTCTTCTCGCCTGTCGTGGCTGGTGAAGCAGCGATTGGGGTCCCCTGGGGCGGAGATGTCGTCGGAAGCAAATCGGACATTTTCCCGAGTGCAGATTCTCGTCGCAGCCACGGCTACGCAGAGCGACGTGTTGGGCGCAATCCTTACGGACGTAGGAGCAGCGAGGAGCAACCCTATTAATAAGTCCGTGGAATGGTCGGTAAGTGGGACTAACGATGAGATATATAGCGTCGGAGGCCCTCACTGCTCTTCCAAATACCCAGCTCAGCACGACGTAGGCTCAGTCCCGATAATGTCGATACAGGTAAGGTGGTGGCGCCGGCAGGCAGCAACGGCTTCCGACTGCGAAGCTGCACAGTTTCCTATAGCTGTACGGTCTTGGTAGTGACGCGGCTGACGTTTGCTACAGATGAGGATCGTCCGATTATTCGTTGATGGCCGTCCGCAGTGATGGTTTTCGGGGTCGTTGGAGTCGTTCTCTCCGCCAAGTATTGTCCGAATTGGGATGGCGATGCGAGCAACGCCTGAGGCTATCGTCGAACTTGGCCCCTTCCTTTGTCAGCGACGCGCAGCTTACCTTATACGTCTCCTTCAGGCCTTTTACCTACCGGCGGCTGTCTTTGCGCTTCTCCCTCGACTCTGGGGAGCGGTCTGGATAGATTGCGCTTGCGGTGCGGTACGCCCGGGCTCGCCGGACAAAGACACCGTCTCCTCTTCATCGTCTCCTCGGGCACGCAGCCTTCTCGCCGTTCCTAGCACAAGGGACGTAGCACCAATATTGTGCCCGAAGCCGCGATAGGCACGGCTTCCCTGAGAGCAACCTTCAAGCAAACTTCACCCGTCGCTGACCGCACCTTCGTAGCGATGATGGTTTGAGCGCCCTTGGATGATCGAACGGTAGACCGCTTGACTGCCAATCAACAGTGTCGCAGCTCTCCGCGTTCGGCGACAATGGATTGCCGCGTCGAACGAATGTGTAGAGCAACAGGACTCGTCAAGGGCTTCGACAGTGCTTGCGCAAGCTGTTGTTTCACGAAGGCATCATGTCCCATCCCAACGCTACCCCACAATCTATCCGATGGCTTCGCTTGACGTCTCTGTATGCATGCGATCTATCGTTCACCAACGCCAAACGAAGACGACTTCTGCCATGTTCTGGCGTTCAAGTCTTCGGCGGGTGTCCAGGATGAACCGTATTCATCGATTGGCGGGGGAAAAGAGATGGGACTAGACGCTGGAACTTGACCTTCACAGCTCAAAGGCACGCAATTCAAGGAAACGCAGGTGTGCTGTGGTACAGTGAAAAGAGCACGCATGCCGCGGCGTGGATGTACGAGCAGCTAAACAGGTGCGATCGTCTCTCAAGTATTACATTCACGCCGTCTTCCCCGTTGCAACGTGCGAGCCGCGCAAGCTCAGGTGTCAAATGATGAGCGGGCCACGTACGGCCATCGAAATTGGCAGATAATTCATCATCATTTCCTCTTCGGGCGTCGTCAGATTGAAATCCCGCTCTCCAAGCTCCGCTCATACTTACGCTTCCGACCGCGGACAGCTGTCACGGATCAAAAGGGCAATCCCACGGTGACAGCCACTGATGATTCCATATCAAACTTACATCTGTCCCCCGAAGGCTTCCGGATCAGATCGGCAAAGAACGCTTCAGGGAGCATCGGTCCGAAAGCATTCGAGGGCTGTAAGGCATAGCAATGGGGGCACATCCGTAATTCCCGACCGTCAGCCGGCTCGCAACCTGGACACTCCGCCCCGAAGGAACTGCGAAGCGTTGAGTCGCATGTTCCGACAGTTCTCCTGGCATCGTCAGCGTATGCCCCACCATGGAGGTGGGGTAGCTCCGGCTGCTCACATCATGCGGAATCTCACGAAACTCCACCACCCCATTTCTGAACTCTCGTCTTATATATTCGTACTTCCAGGCTCCCAATCACTCTATCTTTATCCGTACTTGCAAGAGAACCTCCAACATGTCTGAGCAAGCCACTGAAGTAGCATACCTATCCATAGTTCCCGGCACCGACCTCTCCACCGGCGATAACAAGGACATATGGGAGGCTACGTTAGGTACAATCACCTCCCAACCAGGCTGCAAGTCTTTATTTTGGGGTCGGCAGGTAGAGCACCCGGATGTGGTTCAACTGGTGATTGGTACGTCCTTCCACGCTCTCCTCTGCCACCTACACATCTCATGACAAATCACTATACATTCTCGCTGGATTCCTACTAATAGCGCGCTCCAGACTGGGAAAGTTTCGAGTCTCACAAACAGTTCATGGCCTCCACCGACTACAAACCGTTCCTCGAGCGCGTAAAGCCGCTACTCACCGGTCCGCCCAAGCTCTTCCACGTCAAGCTTCCCCCTCAGATGCCCTTCTCGCAACCCGGCTCCGCGCCTGCAACAGAGTGCCTCTCTATATACTTCGAGCCGGACCACTCCACCTCGGAGTACGACGACAACTTTGCGAAGTTCATTGAGGCGGTGGGCAAGGTTCCGAACGAGACACAGGGTCTGACCGGAGGCTGGGGCATCGAGGAGCAGAAGCACGAGAAGCTCGGCAAGGAGGGAGAAGAAGGCCCAGCGAAATTATTCGGCGCGTTTATTGGCTGGCCGAGCGTCGAGAGCCACATGAAGTTTCGGGAGCATGAGAAGTTCCCCGAGGTTGTCAAATACCTGAGGGATGGGGCAAAGGCGATCGCCGTGCACCATGTGCATTTCCGGAAGTTCTAGACGGTGCCGTCAAACAGCACATCAAGCGATGCCTACGGATACACTACGAAAGGCAATACTTGGTGCCCCTTCGCGAAGAAAAGAGAAGCCAAGTACAAAGGATAGACTTGTTCCCAATCCATCCAGAAACTTCCTCAATCCAATTTGCTACGCAAATATGTTTGCCCTGCCCTGCGAGAGCCTTCATACCCCACCGTCCGCATCTTGATAGCATATCTCCCATCGCTCTCCCAACCCCCTCCAAGTCCAACACCATGAGTCTACCGTGTACATACAAAGACTCCATCCTCTGTAAGACCCCCTCCTTCTCCCCCTCGCCCGCCCACACTTTCCTCTATTACTAACCTTGCCGCCAGCGAACGCAAAAGCACTGTACGGACGACACCGCGACTACGACGTCGTCACCGCCGCGAACAGCGACAACCAGAATAAGCAAACGAACGCCTCTCTCGTCGAATACGTCTCTCCGGGAGATACACGGGCGGAGAGACTTGGCTTCAGAGTCATAAGAGATCAAGTAGCGTCCGGCTGGGATGATGACTTGGCGCTGGAGAGGTTGCTGCACATGCTGAAGCGGGATCTGTACAAGGAGCTGGTGGAGAGGGACTGAGGTGGATGTGATGGGGGTTAACGGCAAGGCAGGGGTTGAGCTTATGGCATGGTACCGTGAGAAGTGAATAGACATGTTGTTTCTGGTTGGTTGGAGGGGTGGAGATATCCAGGCTACCTGGGTAGTCTACTGCCAATCCTGACTTAGGAGACTCCCATATCCGCGGGAAGGCACCCCTTCACTAGCCGTACGTAAGTGGTCCCGAATGGTGGATTGTAAGGCAGACCTTTTGCCGGTGTAATGGCACTATGCATTGACAAGACGCTCAGTAGACTTGTGCAGCAGATAGGCGTATACTTTATCCCTGGGATGAAAAGCCTTTGAATGTAGATCTATACAACTGCAAGAAAGTGGCAATGGCACCGGGCCAAAAGTCCAAAAGAAAAAAAGGGGGAAAAACAACAAGAAGAAACCGCAAACCCCCTACCTCAAGCTCACGTCCACCCGCTCCGCCCGCCCCGCCCCATCCACCACCTCACCTCACCTCACACTCTTCCTAACCTTCCACATACTATGCATCCTCCTCGCCTGCCCATCCGAAAACCCCGTCCAACAACTCGTCGGCGTATAATCTACCACGCGTCAGCCCAGTCCACCAAAAACCCCGCTCCCCCACCTCCCCCCAACAAGATCAAATCACTCACTCATATAATTATGCACCGGATCGCTGCCCTTCCCAGGACACGTACTAACCCTCCCACACCCCAGCCCCTTCGGCCTCAAATGGATCGGCGTATCCTTAACGCGATCACCATGCCCCGTCGTGCACGTCGGATTTACCACGCCCTCCTGGAACGTATGCAGCAAGCCGAGCCAATGCCCAATCTCGTGGATCACGACGCGGCCATTGGACCGCGGCGGCAGGGTGTCCCAGTTGAAGCGGCAGCCGTCGTTGGGGAAGGCTGGGCCCGGGTTGGGCACGGGGAAGGTGCAGTCGCCGGCGACGTTGCCGGGCATGTCCTTCACGATGTACAGATTCAGCGCGTCGTAGCCGCCCTGGCGCAGCTGGGTGCCTAGTCTGCTGATTGGCTCGCCGGCGGTGATGATGGCAAGGTCTTTGCTGAGCGTGTGCGTTGTGCCGGCGTGGGTGAAGTGTAGGCCGCGCTTGGCGAAGGCGGCGTTGATGACGTGCATTTGCTGGGTGATGCTTTCGTCCTGGGTGGGTCCATGATGTTAGCTACGAGTTACTACTTTGACCGACTCCACGGTTTGAGAAGGGGGAGAGATGGGAGGAGAGACAAACCGAAACCCATCCATCTTCTACTTTCTTCCCCGCGGCAATGACGTGGATATATGTTTCGATCTCGACGTCTGCTCTGGGCACGAGTGCGGTCCCGTCCCCTTCCTCAGCTTCTAATTGCTCAGTCAGTTGGAGGAAAGCGTCGTCGGGCTGCTGGCAGTTTTTCAGTTCTCTGGTGCTGTTTCCGCCGAGATGTGTGGTCTGGCGGGGGAACACCATAGCGGAGGATGCGCTTAGAAGCGCGTTGAGAAGAAGGAGGGGTTTCATCTCGGAGTGGTTCGAAGCGAAGGAAAGAGTTCGGTAAGGACAGTGGACTGGACGGTGGAAGGAGTGTGTGTGGATGTGGATGCGCTGCTTGCTTGATGGTCTATCTCCATTGCGTTGAAGGGAGGTTTATATGCTCGCGAGCATTGTAGGGTTCAGGACTGCCACCCGGAGTTGACCTTCTCCTACCCTCCGCTCAATTTCCTCCTCTTCCGCGTACATAGAGTCCGTACAAGGCGACTCGTAGACACCAATACTACTGCTCTGGTGTCCAGGGCCTTGCAATGTCGCCGATGTATGAGCGCCTGGAGGCCTCTGCATTCGAACCGCCATGTCCGTCACATATCAGCGAGAACAGATCCCAAAGCCAACCCGCCCAGCGCACCCAAAGTCCAACAGCCGTCCCCAAGATAGAGCAGTTGTTCCATCGCGAAACAATGCCACAACCTTCAAACAAACTATTTAAGAAAATGTCCGTAGCGTCCGTTCAGGCCCAAGACAGCCTAGTACGTGGATGGTGGCCTGAAAGCTGTGATTACCTTTTTGAGCAGCCTTGCATGATGAGGCTGAACATTAGTGCTATATTTATCTGTTTCTCAATCATAGGGATAGTGGTGTGTAGGCAAGTGATTACCTGAGTCCGAAAGTGCGGAAATGGCTGTTGTCTTTCCCTGGGCCGGTGTTCCCATCTTGATCGGCTCAGCTGGGGAGCGCGGAGAAGGATGTGCGAAGTGTCAAGGTGGAGCTGAGCAACTTTTGACACAGCAAGTTCTGTGATAGTGTAGGGTGTGGCTACGGCCCGGTACTGCGCTGTATCTGCTGGTCAATCTCACTATTAGCAGGACTCGTGAGCTTGAGGGGAGTAACTTACCTCGACCCGTAACACCTCTCCGCCCAAACAACTAACTCTACTCTTCACGTTGCAGAAGCTAATAGGTTACCATTGTCTATACTCTATTCTTTTCCTGTTGTTGCCCATGCCATGCATGCTATGAAAAAGCCTCCTTTTTGCGCCCCCACGAGGGCTGGGCTGGACGAAAAACACTGTACACGTGCGGAGGCACAACACACCTCAGATAAAGAAAGGCTACCTACTACTTTCCCACTTCATATCGTGGATTGCTACCTTGCGATCATATGATCCCGCGCAGGACCGACGCCAATCCACTTCACCTTGACGCCCACGAAGTTCTCGATGAACTCGACGTACTTTCTCGCTTGAACGGGGAGGTCGTAGAAGCTCTTCGCGCCAGTTGTAGGCTTCTTCCAGCCAGGCAAGGTCTCGTAGTGCACGTCGACGTTGGATAGCATCTCGGGATTCGCGGGGAGACCGTCAAGCTTCTGGCCACCATAAGAGTAAGATGTCGCGACCTTGAGCTCATCAAAGTCGTCTAGAACATCGAGTTTCGTGAGATTGATTGCCGTGTAGTCGTTACAAGCGTGTGAGTGCTTGATTACGACAAGATCGAGCCAGCCACAGCGCCGCTTACGTCCGGTGGTAACGCCGACCTCGTGGCCGACTTGCTGGAGCTTCTCGCCTACTTCGTTGAGTTGTTCTGTCGGGAAGGGGCCCCTAAAAGCCGTCAGGTGCGCACGCTGTACGGAGAAAGGAAGCCTTACGATCCGACCCGTGTAGTGTATGCCTTGACCACGCCGATGACCTCCTTGAGTGATCGCCATCCCAGACTCAGACCCGTAAGGACGCCTCCCATACCGGTGTTCGACGAGGTAACAAAGGGGTATGTTCCGTAGTCGACGTCCAGCATTATCGCGTTGGCGCCCTCGACAAGGATCTTTGAGCCCTTCTCTTTCGCGGACGCGAGGAGCGGAACCTGGTCGATCACGTAGTCCTGGAGCTTAACGCGGTATTCCTAAAATGCTCGTATAAGCGGCGCACCGTGTCATTGTGCCGTGTGCTCTTGCCTTGAACTTCGCAATCTCCTCCTCCGGGTCATACTTCAACAGGTCTCCGAACCGTTTCTGGTATCCCATTACCAATCTCCTGAGCTTCTTCTCGAAGATCTCCTCGTCAAAGATGTCGCACATGCGCACACCGCTGCGCGTCATCTTGGTGCTGTACGTTGGGCCTTGTGCAAGTCAGTGCCCTGTTTTCCCGTAGCTCCCGAGAGATTTGACTGACCAATGCCCTTCTTCGTAGTACCTGTCCCCAAAAGCCGTCAGTCTCTCTCCGCTCAACCATATAGATGGACGCCCGACCTATGAAGCTCCCTCCCAACTCCACTTCCTCCAGCCCATCCACCAGCTGATGGATATCAAACACCACATGCGCACGATCAGAGATGAACACCCTGCCCTCAGTCTTCAGCCCCTTCTGATCCAGCGCCTCCAGTTCTTTGAAGAAGCTCGGGATATGCACCACGCAGCCACTCCCAATGACATTCACACAAGCCGGATTGACGAGCCCAGACGGCAGGATGTGGAAATCGTACGTGACGCCGTTCGCGACGATGGTGTGGCCGGCATTGTTACCGCCCTGCGCGCGACAGCAGAGCTGCGACTCGTGGGCAAGGATATCGGCGAGCTTTCCTTTGCCTTCGTCGCCCCACTGGGCGCCGAGGACGACGGTGACGGACATGTTCCGCTGGGAGGGAAGGGAGACGGGAGAACGGGGGAGGAGCAGCAGCGCGGCCGGCAGGCTGTATTTCAATTGCTCATGGAAATGCGGCGACGCGGACTTGGCCGAAAGCGCGCCTTTTTTTTCACCGTCAGCCTTGTGTCCAATTAGAATGTTTTCGCGACGATGGATGTCGCGAGACCGTTGACCGGGTATCGGAGGAGGGTGAGGTATGACACGAAGGGGAGAATTTTTGCACTCACGGTAAGCAGGTGATTTCTAGCTGTCGATGTGGTACGGGGGTACCTTTGAGAAAGCAATTGAGTATGCAAAGGCTGCTATTGAGGACCCAGGACGTTGTTGAGGCGTCAGAGGCAGCGCCTTTCTCCCGACTGCCCCGCGATCTGACTGCCCCGCTACCGAACGCAGCATGCAAGACCGATTTCGCAATGCCGCCCGCAGTAGCCGCGGCAGCCAATCAGGGCGCGGGAAATAGCCCTACATTGGATCTCTGCTCCCATCCATCCTTCCCCCATGGCAGCTGCAATCACACGGCGCCTTGAGACGTTCGACAACAAGTCTTCCTTGAATATGAAATATGAAATATGAAAGTGTTGATGTCCCTGAGGATGCTCACTGCATATGGACCCCTTATGACCATGAAAGATGACTTTCTTTGACCTGTACACTGGAAACCGAACACCGAATCTACCCATGCCACCGCTCTTATATCTCCATCATCACCCTTGATCCCCCCTCTACAGCGCAACCGCCATAACCCCCGCCAACACCGCAGTCCCCACGACCGCCCACCCCATCCTATCCCCCAACCCCAAGCCCGCCGCACCCCCAGGACTCGCAACCGGCGTACTACTACTCCCATTCCCGGGCGTCGCACTCGGGCTCCTCGGCGGCGGGAAGCTCTGCGTCGGCGTCCCCGTCAAATTCTGCACCCTAAAGTAATTCGCGGCAACCGGCTCCAGCAGCCCAGCCGCCGCCACAAACGCACTCGTGTCAAAGAACACCCTGCTCTGCAGGACGTCGGCGAACTGGCTGGGCACGCTGAAGTTCGCGGGCTGCGCGAAGAGCAGGATGGTGTAGGCGTGCGGGGTGTCGCCGACGGGCGGCGAGGGCTGGCGGTACGACGCTTCGCCGGGGGAGGGGATCGAGAGCGTGGTGTTGTCGTTGCTGGAGGAGGAGAGGGTGACGTTGGAGACGAGCCAGTGGAGCAATTGCACTCGCGTCCCGTTCCGCGGAACGTCCATGTCGACCATCATCACTACGGCTTTGCCGGCAGATGTCCATACTGGCGTTGTGATGTTCGGTGGGCTCGCTGTGTCTGTTCGTTCCCGTCGATCAGCTCGATTGCTCTATAGAACACGGTATGGAAAAGGAAGGAAGCTCACCAGGTCGCGGGATCAGCTCGCCAGCCGGAGACACATTATTCGTGCCGAAAGTGAGTGTGAGGTTTGCATTGGCGGTTTCTTGGATAGGAAAGCCAGGCGCGACCACCGCGGTCGCCACACCCAGCAGCGCAAGCAGCGCGACGAAGCTCCAATTGACCATTTTATCGTTTGAGCAATAAGGGGGATGGATAGCAGTGAGCTTCCCAGAGGTGTTGGAGCTGCATTGATATAGCGCGACGTGATATTCTTGACCTGCTGTCACAGCGTTTCAGGCCCGGCTTAGGAAACGTCATCGACTCCGCGCGGAGGGGGGCCTTCGGATCGGCATTCGAGCGAGACCGGAGAGAAGGCCTGGGACGCCGTTTTTCCATCGCATTTCGTGGAGCATGGTGCCTGTCATCGAGAGAAGCAGGTTGCAATGGTGGAGGGAAGTCGTGATGGTCGGATCTGAGTTTCCGAGACACGGATGTTCGTGTTACGCGACCGCCTGCATCTCATCGTCTGATCATCTGATCGCATTACATCACGCACGGCGATGGGAAACCGGCCTACTTCATACCCCCGAAGGTATGGGGCTTCGATAATTGCAGCAAGAAGCTCTTCAGCGAGCAAAGAAAGATCAATTGAAGCTCAATGGCTCTCCAACCCTATACTCCGAAAACGACGATGAGTACTCCGATCACCAACACTCCTATCCGACAATAATACAGCATTGACATAAGAAAAGCTTTTGAAGAAGTCATCTAGCACCCGTCGTCCTCGGTCCGTTACTAGTCTCCTAGGTAGTAACTTCAGCAACCCTCATCTCCTCAATGCTCTCACGTGCGTCGCCCTTCGGCAGATCCCTCCTCACCACATCCTCCTCCTCTACTAACGTCTCGCTATCCGCCCTCCTCCTCTCTACCTTCACCGGTGTGACAACCTGACAAGTCGCCCGTCTATTCGCCTGATCATACAAGTTCGGCGTCGATGGGCTAAGCTGTATCGACCCGCGTTTTGCCAATGAAAGGCGTACCCTTGATGCCCTCCGACTCTTCGGGCTCGACGGCGCCGCCGATATCGTTGTTGTAATCGTATTGATGGGTGTGATGGCCGCCATTTGCTCGGTCGTTGCGTAGTAGTTCGCCGGTGCGGTGTTTCTCCGAGAGAGAAGATGCTGTTTCTTGAGCGTGCCGGCTGGAGAAGCGGAGGGGGAGCGGTTTCTCGGGTCTAGGGGGGACGAGATGACGGTCTGCGTCGTGGGTGTGAAGAGCGCTCCTGGTTGGGGAGGAGGAGGCGGTGATGTGGCCGAAGAATTCGTCGTCGGTCGAGTGTTCGGAGTCGCAATTGGAGCTTTCTTGCCGTCCCGCTTCCATTTCTCCCTCCACCTCCTCAATGTATTCCTAAACCCACCACTCCTCCCAATCGTCCCATCATTCGCAGTCTGTGTTTGCGTTTCCATCGTTCATGCCAACCTCAAACAGGTCTTGCTCAATTCAACCCATTTCGCACGGACAGAAAACCAGCCGTAGTCCCGCCAGCGAAGAGAAAGCGAAAGCGGGCCTACGCCGCATTATCAACGACTTAGGATATCCGCCCCAGGGGATCGTTTAACTCTCGGGGAACTTAGGTTCCTGGGGCGTGGCGCCACGACCCGTTAATGCAGGGGCCCAGGGCCGCTGGGGCCACTCGGTTAAACGCTTCTGGAAGTTTTTGGAGTCTGGGGCGTTCGGTCTGGGTACGTGCATGCCGAAATGGTCTGAGGCGGGCATTGGCAAATGCAGACGCGGGACGTGGGAACAAATTGGTTGGGGCGCTGAAGGCAATCAAGCGGAAAAATGAACAGGCAAGACGCGTGTAGATCGCTAATGAATTCCACAAGTTGCAGCGGTTGATTGGGTGTAGAGAAGAAAAGGCGCAGGAGGAATCCAGCCATTTTTGACAGCAGTTTATTATTCACGGGTGAGGGTGACGAAATGCATTGCTTGCATGCTCGCGTGCGGAGGCCCTGTGCAAGCTTGCCGACTTGGGCTATCGACGTCCGGAAGGATGCTTGTGCCACTGTAAGCGGCCTCCGGAGAGGCTGGCTTCATGGTGTAAAAGCAGTTGGATATTGAACGGGAGTCCGTTCTGGATATGCATCGTTGTGGCATGCGCAGATCTCTCCCTTGTCTATCGAGAGGTGCGTCTGTAGAGCCTTCCTACGCTCTGCATCGCTCCGATTGCGTGGTTCTCGAACCTCTCGTCCGAATGCGTTGAGCATCCGGGCACCATCTACAGCCCTCCTCTTAATTGATCAATCTCATCGTGAGTTCGACGCTGCAAGCCATTAGTCTCTTCATTTAGAAAGGATAAACGGTATACTTACGTAGCGAAAGTACCCGCACTGACAGGCATAGCCCTGAGTAGCGTCGGTCCAATACCTTTCCAAAAACCTCCCATACCCTCGGCCCTCCACGTCTTCGCGAAGCAGTCCCTCATAGTCTTGTATTTTTGGTTCTCGTGGAAGCCATCGCTCTGCATCTTGCTCTTCACCACATCAAAGGGATAACTAGCAATCCAGAGTGCTTCGCCGGCAAGACCGCCGTAGAAGGCGACTTTGAGGGTGCTGACATCGTCGCGCTTGATGCCGTTCCGTTTAGCATCCGCGTTCATGAGGTACTCAAAGGTGGTAAACCAGACGCCGTAAGCTTGTGCCTCACGGAGAAAGGTGACGGCTGTACCGCGGTAGAGGCCGGCTAAGACTCCCTCGTGTGCGGAAAGCTTCCGCATGCAGTCAATCGGGCCGGTGTAGAGACGGTTTGCGCCATGAGGTTGAGTTTGTAACCGGATACGAATATGTTCGATGGGACTGGAGAGGGCGGTATTCGCTATTCCGGCAAAGGCCCCGGATGCGTAGTACTGCCCGTAAGAGAGCTCGTGGGTATTCTTCTTCAGCGTGTTCTGTGTTTCGAAAGCTCGACGAGCCCAATGGAATGCGCCGAATTGAACAGAGACCTACGCAGACTGTAAGAAGAAGTCAAGTCGCGCAATTGGATTACTCACGCAAGCACCGATCCCCACTAGCGGAGTTAGAGTGCCCTTGTAGAAAGCTAGAGCCCCCTCGTTCTTGTAGATCTTGCTCGCCGCATCCAGAGCACTTGAGTAATGTTGCGTAGTCTGTAACCTGACCTTGACAATATCAAACGGTTGACCTATTCGCCATCAGCTCACGCTCGTTCACCCGACATCGGAGTCCAGCGCGTTTGCGGCGTATACAAACGAGGAGTCAAAGCCACCACGAGAGGCGAAAATGTCAAGAACAACTCGAATCCCGAAGTCCAACGAGCGAAGGAGCTCATCTAGGCGCCAGGCCATCGAAGAGATTTCAGAGGTAAACATACCTAGGAGCACCTGCGCAACACCCCCCACAGCACCCGCAAACAGATCCTTCAGCGTCCTCTTGAGTCCATGCTCCGGGAGCTCTAGCTCTTTCTCAACGCCCATCTTTCGCCCTCAATCCCCCAAATCCGCAGCTCTTCACCGCCCGTCTCTCCTTCTCTTATCAGCGCACGAGCCCAACGGCGGGGCAGCGCAGGGACAATGGACAGTGATCAATCCGCAATTGCTGGGAGCTCTGGGAATGAGTCTCGTCGAACAGTTCAGGTGTAGAGTTGAGAGAAGAATGAGAATATGGTGTAGAAGATTGAGAGCAGTTGGCAATGTTTCGAGGAACCAGTTGACGAAGCTGCAATTTCTTTGGTTGACGTGCTAGCGCCAAGCCGCACTTGCATGCCGTCATGCGGGTGATAGCCGATGCAGAGCGCTTTCCAAGCCTCTTTTTAGACATGTATTCCAGCTTAATGTATCAGAGTGTCTCTAAACGAACCATAAACTGGACTCAGGTCAAAGATCGCAGTAGGGAATATACATTACTTTACTAGCTATGTACAAGAAGCCAAAGAAACAGCCAAACCTGCGACAATCCAAGAACGACAGTAGGCATAACGATGCCAGGGATATCCAAAATACTTGTACAACGGGAGCATGCATGAACGAACAAGCATGCATCCCTTTTGAACACCCGCAATCCAATGTAAAAGCAAACTCATACTCCCTAACCCGCAGATAGAGTATCCAAAACAGGTATTGCCGAAGCAGAAAAGCTCTCCTAGAACACACATTCAACATGCAGGTCATCGACCCATGCAACCATGTCCCCTGGTCTTACAAACCTCGACTGCTGACTTCGATGTCCTTCCCGCGTTTTTGGAGGTATCTGCCGATTACCAGCACCGCAGCTTCCTCCAAAAGCTCCCTCTCGTGAACCCGTCGCCCTTCTCGTTCGCTGCGGTCGAATAAGAGGCATCCTTTTCGTTCATGGGAGGCAGGGCAGCGGTTCGAATCGGGTGCGCCGCAGCACCACCAGAAGCATGTAATTGGCGGGCCTCGACGACACGACGGACGAGCACTATGCAACGTGTCAGCCCAAGAATTTCCCAAAATGCTCTCCTCTATGTCAAATACTCACGCGCAAAAGTCTCCTCAATGTTTACCATCTCTCTCGCACTCGTCTCCATGAATCCACACCTGTGTCTCCTCGCCCACTCCAGCCCCTGCGGCGACTTAATCTGCCGCGCAGCCTGCAAATCGCACTTATTGCCAGCTACAATCTTCACCGGCGGCACGGCGCCGTTGTCTATCCGGTTTTCCTCTTCCATGTCGATCATCTCGGTGAAGTATTCCAGGCCATCGAGCGAGTGCGGGTTCGTTATGTCGTAGACGAGCAGAAAGGCATCGGATTTGAGGTTCGAGGCGGCCCATAGCCCGCGGTATTCTTCTTGTCCCGCCGTGTCGGTGAGCATGAGGAAGTAGTTTTGGCCGTCGATGGTGCGCGTTACGGAGTAGGAGTCTTCTGCGAGGGGGGTTAGTGTATGCGTTGATGTCTGAAGCCGGCGCATGGGTGGTCGCATGTCCGCAATGTTGCTCCAGAAAGCAATTGGTACAGCTCCGGTCGCATCACGAGTCGCAACCTGGGTATTCGTAATGGACGGCACACGCACCTATCGTTGGATCATACCTAGGCAACCCCAAAGTCAGCGCATCCGCTCTTACTCCTACCACACAATTGCCAAACTTGCACTTACTCATGTGTCCACTGACTCCTAACCAGCCTGAGCGTAATCGAAGACTTGCCTGTCCTACGCATCAGCGCCTCCTTCAACCCTCCAGTCAAAACACCCCCACGTACCGCATCCCCCATCGCCGCACACCGTAATCGTTATCCTATTATTCTCGTCCATGTCGCTGCCTCCTCACCCTCGTCGCGGTAACAAAAGGAAGGCAGACTCGTTCAGGTCGTGCGCGGTCGCGTTGCTCAGCTCCGTGTCCGGTAGGGTAGCGCGTGCCGATGGTCGGTATCGGAGCGCACAGCGTCGATATCGGAGAGCGATCGAAAATCTTGGTCGACGTCAGGAGGGAACGTTAGCGCAGAAGAGAGCGTGTCCGGCAAGCGGCAGATAAAACTCAAGAGGGAAAGGGAAAGGGAACGTTAGTGCAGAAACGAAAGGAAGGCGTGGTCTGTGGTAGCAGACGGGTCGTTGCGACGGGACGGGTCAACCCTTGCGCCTTTCCATCGTGCACCTCGCCGCTCGCTTGAAGAACAACTTTAATTTCGCCAATACGTGCCCTATCTGCGCCGCCCGCAGCGCCTTTATCTGAAACACATTTGACTCGAGCCCTCTTCCTACATTCGTCCACCGAGCCGATGGGCATCGATTCGCATCTTCGCCCAACCCAAATAACCTTCAAAGACGTTTCAACAACGGCAAGGCTACCTATCAACAAGCCCAAAACAGCGCCCCTTGCCCGCCCAACGCAGGGGCCAAACGGACTTCAGACGTCTGCAAGTGCCGTCGTTCACGCAAGATGATATGCGCCAAGCCCATGCTCGTCACTCCAATCGCGTGCACCTCTCCATGCCACATCGTATCATTTCGCTATTCCCTGAGCTCGCTCATATTTCCTATTAAGAAAACGTCCCCACAGGAGCATTTCTGCGTCGTAGTGTGTGGATGGCGGGAGTTGGAGTCATCAAAAAATGATATAAAAATGCGTCTAAGCATCCTAGCTAACTGCTCAACGCCTTCCGCTTTGCAATCATCGGCAATGCCTAGATATATACAATAGCTAAGAAACGCCTCTGCGCCGCAAATCCGGGGTCATTTACGCCCTTTTCTCTCACGCCCCACATAGCTAAAATTAGGTATACTGTAGATCGGGGAACATCTTCGCTGTCAAGCCTCCCATGACATTCCCCAGTACCTCATGTCCTAGTGAGATTTCGTGATTAAGTATGCTGAAAGACACGTGTAAAGTGCGCAGGAAGCCGCCTGACGTCAAAGGCAATTTGGGGTGCAGGGGAGGAGATAACAGATCCGTCGTTCTATCGTAGATCGTGACTACGGGTCTCGTTAAAGAATCTGGCGAGAAGATAGAGGGAGAGATGAAAAGGGATATGAGAAATTGCGCAGAGGGTATCGTTCGTAGAGAAGGCCAAGGACTCGGAGCTATGAGCAGATCGGGAATGAGCGCTCAAACTGAGAGGTCCATCAAGGATTCTTTCAGTCGGGCTCAATGCCTTCATCGATCTTGGGAGGTATACCATATCCTTGAGACGCCGCTGCTTCCATTCGCGCCACTTTTGCAACATGAGGATCGTGACTGGTGTTTTGTGATGGGCTCTTGCTAGGTTGCGCACGCATCGAAGGGGTCGATGACTGTTGCCCTGTCTCTGGCATGACGTTGGGGAGGATAGTTGGGTGGGTTTGAATGTGACGAGGTGAGACACTCTTCTTGCTCTTGTCGCTTGCTGAATGCTGGGACGAGGTTCTTGGGGACACACGACCTTGCTATAAGGGAAAGGTCAGCCATTACTCTAAATTGATATGATTCACGGACATGAGCAGGGAGAAGGGACAGCGGAGCTTACCTGCTTAGCCCACCGCAACCCACAAGAATTGCACAAGTCTCTGTTCCCGGACGGACCTCTTCTCCATTCCGGCGTTGTCCTCGTGTGACAGTTCGCACAATCCTTCTGCAGCTGACCCGCGCCCTTTCTCCGCTTCCTCTTCTTTTTCGCAGCCAACAGACTCTGAACTTCTTCTGCAAGATACCTGTTCCGCTTCTCCATTTGCCGTAGCTCATATTGCCAGCTTGTGCTCCTCGTTGTCTTGAGCTCATCGAATACGTTATCATCCGAGGCTAGCGTATGGTCCTGGTGCCCGATCTGAAGACCGTTTGAGCCAGCAAAGGTCGCTGCGGATTCTTCCGTCGTCGCGAATCGTGGATCGGTCGTAGTCGTACGTGGGGTTGTTGAGCCAGTGTTTCCGGACATGGATGCGTGAGCCGGCGAGGTCCCAGACTGCACTGACGGTAGGGAATGGTGCAAGTCCCCGGAATTGCGTTCTTTCTGCGTGTACATGGACGGTCGTTGAGCCGCACTGTTCCTTGAATACTTGAGCAGTCGGGTTTGTCCAAGGAGGAAAGTCGGCTTGTGCCCCTCTGTGGCGTCACCAGGATATATGGTTGTGAAAGCCTGGAGTACTTGGCCTCGTTTGTTGATCATCTCATGCTTAACTTCGCCTTTCCTTCCGGTCCTTGCAAGCTCGAGTATTCTCCCAAACTGTTGCTTTGATTCTTGTCGCATGAGGGCTTGAATGCTGGTCCCTACCATGTCTTCCGGTTGCTTATCTAGCAATGAGCGGACATTGGAAGACACGAACAAGAACATCCCGGAAGTCGACATCTTCGTCCACAGTTCGTTATCTCCAATACCACCTGACGCGCGAACGATAGCCTTGCTGAGAGTGTATACGGGCCGCTCTCGTCCGACTAGAATGATGCATTTGCGCCCTTTGCCTTGTTCTGTGTGTAAGGAACCATGGCCTTCGAACCACATGTAGCCGCTCTTCTTCCGCCTTATCCTAAACACTACGTTGACGGATGAGCCATTACCCGTCTCTTTCAGTTCCCGGGTAACGGGGACAATGTCACTAGGATGGCACACCGACGATAGAGCTGTACCAACCAGCTCGCTCGGATCGTATTCCAAAATCCTGTTACTAGATGGTGAGAGATATAGGAACAGTCCTTTCAGTGAAAGCACGTGGACAACATCGTCGGTATTTTCGAGGAGAACTTTGTCCCAGACGCGCCTCGTAATTTCGGAATCGCCAGTGGAACCGTAAGTGGCGAGTACGTTGGACACTTCATCCTTGGAGATAGTCTGACCTTGTTCGGGTTGCGGTCTATGGTCTGTGAAGACGTAGCTCGGCATGGATATGCCGCGTTGGTAATTCACGCGATAGGACCCATCTATTCACATTTAGCATCACGACGCGGGTTGTTCTTGAGTACACATACCTGGATTCTTGTTGGTCATGGACCCTGGCTGCTCCACGAGATCGACCTGGAACCCAACAAAGAACTTGATGTTTCCATTAGGTTCCCAGGATATAGGGATCATAGTCAGAAGATTCATGAATGGCTGACCACCACGACGGTAGTTGATCAAGCTAATCTGCGCTTCTTGCCTGGTTTTGATCATGTTCTTCAGGTACAGGACCGAATCGTCGTCAACGTATCTTCGCTTAATGCCGGGCTCGACCTTGCCGTCGGGAGATTGAAGGAATCGGCAGTTTCTGCCGAGAATCATGTGCTTGCTGTAACCAGTAAGTCGCTCAAAATTCTCCGAGCAGTATACGATGGGTACGTCATCCATTTCGGCATCGCAAACGACGAAAGCACATGACAAGTCTACAGAGCCGATGTCGATCTGAGGATTTGGTCTCGTTGCCACTCGCATCTACTCACAGTATCAGTCATATCCCCGAACAGCCGTCTTGATTAACGTACAAGCACGCCAAGCATATCGAAGCCAGTGGACGAATAGGCATTCTTGAACTGTGTGTTCACGTGAGGATTCGAGTGCATGGTAGAGGGAAAGCCTCCCGGAGGTGTGGTCCACGGGAACTTGATGGGGCTAAACGCTTCTGGAGCGATGTTTTGCCCTGTAGGTAGTGCTATTGGCTCCTGTGCTTTGAGTGAGGCGCTGCTCATCTGTGTCGGGACGCTATTCGACGAGGTCTGGTTTTCGCTCTTGGGGCGAGAGTTGGATCGTACACTACTCTGCTCCTGGCTGCCAGCCCGGGTAGGTACCCCCGATCGGACGTCGGGCGTCGTGCTGGAAGACGCACTTCTAAACTGATCCGGGGGCTGCATAGAGGGGCTGGGATCCGGCGGTGGTGGAGGGCTAACAAAGTCCTGGTTGACGGGAGAATCCATCATGGGGGTTGCAAACTGGGCGTTGGAGAACAGATTCATATCCGTCGGGATCATGTTCAGCGAGTCGTTCATGTCCATGGACATGGACATGGCGTTTGGGTACGGTGTTGTCATGTCCATGTCCAGCGAAGCGTTTGGGTGCAGCGGAGAGGCATAGGAAGATGCAGGGTCGGCCATATTCGAGAATGCGGGGTTTTGGTTTGGAAACTGCGTGTTTATCGCGAGGTCGCGGGGCGGGATCCTGTCGTTTTGCATGTCGGCGGTCGTTCGGGGGAAGGTGCCGCTGCGCATGACGCCGTCCATGCCAGTTCCGGCCGACAGGTCGAACCGGAAGTCGTCCATGTCGTTGCTGCCGGGGTCGCCAAAGTTCATCATGGACAAGCGCCTCGAGTCTGGGCTGCCCATGGCCATCTGTGCACCGCCGTACACGGGCATGCTCCGCCTCCTGCTTGCTTTTTCATTCTGGGAGACGATATCGTCGAGCGACTGGCCGTCGACCAGGTCGAAAGCGCTGATGCCATCGGCGGACAGGTCCATCATGCTATGCCCATTGTTCGCGGGCTGAAAGGGCCGCTGCGGGTAGGGGTACCCGTTCATGGCGAGTGGAGGCGTCCTGAGAGGCCTCGGCACAACTCAGGGAAAAGTCTGGACGATGGAGGCAGGCATCTGCTGGCCGGCATGGAGAGTCGCAGCGCCCAAGGGCGTGGGCGGGAACGAGACGGTATCGAGGGCGGGCTTGGAGAGCAGTCGGTGTGTTGCGGCGGCGGGGGGACAAGGAGGAGCAACAGCTAGCATAAAAGGCGGCGGAACGAATTCGCCTGCAGCTCAATCCAGCTAGGCCGGCGAGTGGCAACAGTCTGTTCAGGTGCGCGCGGCTAGCTGGGGGGATGCGGGAGGAGGAGGAGGAGGTTCCTCAAGAACCAAGAGGAGCGGGCGGGCGTGGAAAATGGACTAAGGGCCACTCGCCCAGGCTGGCGGCTCGCGGTCCGCGAGAAAAGGAAAACTCGCAAGCAGCAGCGCGTCAAGGCAGAGGGCAGAAGGCAGCGAGAGGAGCTGTTCGAACGGCGCAGGTGGGGCGCGGCTAGGCGAATGCCATGCCATTGTGCATTTGTCCGTCCAGCAAATTCGATCCGACACCAAAACGGCTTGCTTGCCGGGTTGAAGCGTGACGCAGGGAAACAGGGACCACGCCATGGGCCGCGGGATTATCTCAGCCTCATGCAGCAAACGATGTTGACGTTGCTTAGACGACCCTGTCTGGTTCCCGGATCACGGCAGTGTGGCAGGCTGGGACGGAGCCTCTCACATCGAGCGCAAACCAGCGGGCATAATCCCCTTCGTACCGTGGGCACTCGCACCTGCGTGCTTGGCGGCGCGTTCCGTGCCAAGGCCCGCGCCGACTTTTCGTGAGCGCCTCTCCTCCAGCAGCATCGAGGAATACACCACCGCCATGATTATACGGCACCTTGTTGCGCGCAATGGTAGCATCTATCCCCTTGGACTCTAGATACCCAGCTAATGGCTCCCCCAGGCCCTCGAGCCGCCGCGCGCATGTCCGTCCAGTGCCCCAGGCGCTTTCTATCAGCCGCGGTCGACTCGATCGAAGCATCCGCCGACAACAGCTTAAAGCAGCTCCAATCTCTCGAGGCCCAGCTCAATTCCCAGTCTGCCCAGCCAATACCCTCCGCCAACCCCGAAACGCATGTGACGTCCCCTTCAGCACTATCAAACTCCGTCGCAGAGCAGTACTACATATACAAGCAGCAGCGTGAGCGAGACCGTTGAGCCCCGATGGAGCTCTTTTGACACACCACAGAAAAGCAGATTGGGAAGCTAGGCTCAGACATCACCCCCCACTACCAGCCACACACGCTCCTGAACAATCCCCCTTCGCCTGCCGACGTCACCCTCGAGCTCCTCCTTGCGTCTGAAGCCCACCAAGGCCATGCCACCTCGCTCTGGAACCCCGCAAACGCCCGCTACATCCACGGCATAAGACAAGGCATCCACATAATTTCTCTCGAGGTCACCGCCGCCCATCTGCGACGTGCTGCCAAGGTGGTTCAGGAGGTGTCAAGAAGAGGTGGCATGGTGCTGTTCGTTGGGACGCGCGATGGGCAAGACAGGGCTGTTGTACGAGCGGCGCAGCTGGCGAAGGGATACCACCTGTTTGAGCGTTGGATACCCGGCTCCATCACGAACGGACAGCAGATCCTCGGCCGGTGCCGGACAAAAGTCGTGAACGAGAAAGATGAAGAGATCCCTGGGTTTGAAGAACAGCTATATGAAAGGCCGGTGCTGAAGCCTGACCTAGTCGTCTGCCTCAACCCACTGGAGAACTACGTCCTGCTGCACGAGTGCGCCCTGAACAACATTCCCACTATTGGTGTCATTGACACGAATGCCGATCCTACATGGGTTACATATCCTATCCCTGCGAACGATGACAGGCATGGTTCCCCTCCACAATATCAAAGGAACTTTCCAAGCTAACTTTGGCAGTCTCCGTTGCATCCAAGTCATTGCCGGCGTCCTAGGCCGCGCCGGTGAAGCAGGCCAGAAGCAACGTCTCGCCGCCGCAGAAAGAGGCGAGATCACTTATCGCCCGGCCAAGAACCTCCACATGCCCGAGGAACAAGAAGCAGCAGAGAAGACACCCCTCGAAGTCCAGCAGCAAATCGCTAAGAATCTCGAAGAAGACGAGAGTCTGGAGGACGCAGACGAGATGGGAGAAAAACTCGACGAAGCGAAGAACCGCGAACGCAGTGGGAGAAGCATCAAGAAAATTGACTGAAGCGGTGTATATAAGTAAAGACTAGGATGTAAATGTATGTACAATACCATATTGGAGCATTGCAGCAGTCGCCGATTCTGCATTGCTGCGCTGCCAAATCCGCGCACGCTCGTCTCCTAGTTCATCTCTTCGTCAGCAAGTCACTCGGTTTTTCTCAGTGCCCGTCCCCACAAGTGATCTTCACCATCTGCCCCACACCCCCGATCGCCCTTCATCCCACAAAATGCTTACAGTACCACGCGATGCCACGGTCCATACGTAAAGCTACCATGCTCGTTTCTTCTCCCGACCGTCGTCGGCTCTCGAGACGCACGGCCCACGCCCCGAACGGACATTTTCCCTGCATTTCTTATTCATCGGGCAGGTACTGTGGTATAAACAGGGGCCTTATGACCTGTGCGTGTGGAGATTCCCCCAGCTTATGCAATCAACGATCATACATACATATATCGAGATCTAAGAAGTGGGCTGGCGGAAATACGACGAGCGCGGGTCAGCCAGCTTACAAAGCGCGGAATAGCTGTTGAGCGCAGCGTCTATGGTGAACCCCTACCCAGCTCGTGGTTGCATCTGAACAGAAGGGCACGTGATGGAATAGACTAAGAATTACTCGAGGCGCTCTCTAAGCCAAAGGTCGAGCGCTTCACTTCTAGATGAGTAGTAACCGATATGAATATCTTCCCGTCCGCTCTCGGGACTCATGTGCAAACCCGCTCTGCCAAAAATGCCGTTTCCTCATTATCATACCCCGTTCCCATGTACGCATGCATAGCCACGCTTAATCGAGATCATCCTCGCTCGTCTGCGGCACTCTGGCCGTCTCCTGCTGAGCCGCCGCCGGAGGGGCAAGATCCTTCTTCGCCTTGGGGTAAAAATTCAGCAAGCCGCCCTCCTCAATCATGCCTATCCTGTCGTACAGGGATCGTGCTCTGAGGTAAGGATCTAGCTTCCAATAATTCTGCCTCAGCTCTTCAGCAATAGTATCCCGTTCTTTTCTCCTTTCCTCCAGGCCCTCCGTCACCCCGGCCCCGTTGACCCACTCCAAAATCGTGGTCTCGTATCTCTTCACCATCTCTATCCTCTCGCTTTGCAGTGCCTCTCTTGGCTCTTCTTCTGCCATCTTCGCGTTCTCTCCTGCGATCGGTTCCACGTATGAGTACTCCCACTTCTCGTCTCCGCCGAGCTCAGCCGGTATCTGCGAGCGCGGCACGAACTTCTCGAGCTCGTCGACGTTCCTGGCGAAGTGGACTTTTCCGGCGACCACGGGGTCTAGCCAGCCGCGGATGATGTTCCAGATAGCGTTGAATATCCAGGGTGCTTTATACACGAGGACTGTGCCGAGGGACTCTGGGTAGTTTGCTTCAAAGCATTTTATCATGAACTTTACTGGCGAATAGTCCATGTTCGCCATTGAGAAGTCCGTCATGTCGAAGACGATGGTCTGGGAAGAATTGATCAGCGGGTGTACTTCACAGACCACAGCATTACGGAAGACTTACCGCGGTGTCGACAGGTGGCCTTAGCAGCATCCTAGCCGTCTCGATCGTGTAAACCGTGAATCTTTCAAGACTGGCTTCGGTCTGCTCGCCCGCCCTATGTAACCGCGCGCGGACAACGCACATTGGCCTGCCTTCGCCGTCAAGCCCATGAAGGTAGCTCTTTCCCATTCTTAACTGCGCCAGGAAATCTTCCCCCTCTTTCTTCGCTTTAGCGTCCCCACTCTTGCTATCTTGCAGAGCTGCTTCTTCGCCCTTCTTCACGATATCGTCATCGACATGCATTTGCTCCAACCGCCAGTGCATGGTCGATATCATCATCACCAGCGCCTTGTCCACGTCCCATTTCCGTGCGCGCAAGAAACGGAGGAGAAGCCCGTCCGGATGGTCATGCTTGACCATGGTCCAAAACGCCTGTCGCAGATCCTCAGGTGCGGTATTTGCTATCGCGGCCCTGAAGTCCTTCGTCTGGCCGTGCTTGTCGTCTTCGTCCGCTATCGACAACGAGCTGATATCTGAGGGCGTCGGTGTTGCAGTCCCAGACGTAGTAGTTGATTCAGAATCAGTACCTTTGTCACCCTTCTTCCGCCTGAAAACGTGAAGACGGCTTTTCTTCTCTTTCTTGCCGTCCTTTTCCGATATTTCGCTTGCCGCAATGGAAGATGGCGTTTCGGTGCCATTAATCTCGACCATAGGGGGCTCATATGTCCCGAATATTCTCATTGTCATTGCCCACATTTCGCGCAACTTCACTTCTTGTTCGGGTGTGAGCGTGCCGGGCCGCCCGGCGGGCATGTTCGGAGGCATGACGAGGTAGGAATCTGTAAAATCCGAGTAATTGAACGTCGCGCGTTTCTCAATATCCTCTTCTGGGGTGTTTGTGACGAGAGGAAAGAGTAGCGCGCTGCCAACCGCAATGCCCAAAATGACTACAGCCGCGAATAGTCCTGACCCGCTCTTCTTATGGAACGGCGCTGCACTGTTAGGCGCGCAACGGTGTACTCGGCGATGAGACGGGGACCGGTAGACGTTGGCTGTGAAACGTAACTGAGACTGCCCTGTAAAATGTCCGGATGGTCGATACTTGGAGGAAGCCGATGCTAAGCTGTGAGATACTTCTCTAATTGTACGGGCGCGGAAGCACATATAGGAAGGGAGAAGAAGAGAAGCGCGGCTGAGGCCCAAGACGTCAGCGTGAATGCGCGCCGCTTATGGAAGGCACAGCTCCGTCGCCTTTAGTAACAGCTTCCAAGGTCGGGCTGAGATGCCGGGACAGGGCGGAGGGGCGGAGTAACCGGTAGGCCCGTATGCGGTGGCCGAACAGCGAGGCGGCGCGTTTGAAGCTGGCGACGAACTTGCGTAACCGGAAATGCATGCGACGGCCCGCCAGCAACTATCCGAAGCGTGCTGTGCGAGCGCTGGGTGAAGAAATACGTACTTCATTGGGCACGAGGGCGTCCTTCGTCTTTGGACGGGCGCTCTTGGCGTAGCCCCTCCATCAAAACATTGGGAAACGCGCGCCGATGAACCACAAATCTCCCACATTATTGTCACTCCCAATTGACAACTTGACAATCCGAGTACGAGATTCGTCTCTCTGCTCAATCCCACGCGTTGGCACTCCTCGTATCGGAGTCAATCGACTTCCTCGCGCGAGCAACCCCCGGACCCGACAGCGCACAGTACCCGACGCCATAAACAACCCTCACGTCCACGATGACATCCACAACACCCACGGCTGAACCCCCCTCCTACCACCGGCGCACACGCTCCAAATCCCCGCGCTCCCGACCTACCACTCCTCTCCGCCCCTCCTCGCGCAGCTCGCTCCGCGACAGCGCGCAACGCGGTCGCGGTCCTTACGCCCACTCGACCAACCCACTCGAAGACCTGCAAGATGGATTCGGAGAACTTAGCGACGCAATGGCAGATCTGGAGCAGAACTTCATGCAGCTGCAGCTGATGCACGAGAGCTTGGCGCGGTTTTCAGAGAGCTTTGCGAGTTTTCTGTATGGGCTGAACATGAATGCTTTCTGTGTGGACTTCCCCGAGGTAAGCGCGGGCGCGATGAATTAGGAGCATTATTGCTGTGTGGGAGAAAAAAAACTAACGTTGGATAGGCACCGGTTTCAGAGTCCTTCAAGCGACCACAGAATAATCCGGAGTATGCCAACCTAAACCGCTCTCAAGGCCCTGAGCCGGATATCGAAGCTACTTTCCTCACCACTGACACATCATTCGTCGAGAACCCGCCTAGCAGCAAAGCAACTTCGAAGTTCCAGACACCGGTAACGCCAGCGCCAGCATCAAAGACGTCTGGGGCAGCGAGGGGTCGAGGTGGTATATCGCGAGTAGGAAGGGGAGGAGGGATCCCGACGCGTGGTGGCGCAACTAGAGGTACGAGAGGGGGAAGTGGGATTGCGAGAGGTGCAGGAAGAGGTAGAGGAGCCCGGTAAGGATCGGGGTATGTTGGGGGGTTGTAGCTATTTGAGAGTATGTCTGTATGGCCGGTTGTGAGTGTACGAATATATTTAATAGAGCCCAGCGAGAGGACCCTAGAAACTTCGCCGCATGCAATATCACTCGGAGGGTCGAAATTAACTCTTCGAATCGTAACGAGCGTATTCTCATTCGCATCACACATTAGAGCATCGACCGTTCTTTCAATCCAACCAAGTCCATCCAACTCAACCGTCAACTATCACAGCACCAGCGTCCTTGCGGCCTGGCTCCCTCAAATCCTATCCTCTCCTCATGTTATTACCTTCCATTACCACTACTCGACACAAAAAATGCAAATGCAGCAATCCAGGCCGTATCGCCTTCCGTGAGGCGAGGGGGTATCACTGCGGTGGTGGTATCATTAAATCTCAAAGTCGTAATGCCATGAAGGAATGAAGCGAAAATAAGGGGGCAACTCCTCGCAATGCTTGAAGACGAAGGAGTAGGAAACGTGGCGCTAAAGGTCGTGCAGCAGTCAAGCTGCGCACTGAGGATCTCCGATGGGTCGCACTGAGAGTGCATGTTCGCTCATGCCAGCACACCGGCGCTGGTCTTCGCGCAGACGCTGGAGTTCTCCTTCCGTACCGCCCAGCCTTTGATGGCGACCGTGAAGGTAGTCCATGCCATGATGAGAGCGGTGAGGCCCATAGTAACGGTAAAGGTGAACATGGCGTCAAGGTCGTAGGATTCAAGGGCGGCGACGGTGTCCTTGTTGCTCACCATGAACGTGATGCCGCCAGCAATGAGGCAGAAGGAAGTGATGAGCTCGGTCGGCGGGCGCGACGGGAGATAGGACGTCGGAGGCGAGATGTACAAGGTGATGTAGGTGAGCGCACGCGCAAGAGCAAAGCCCATGAACATGCCTCCCCACTGCGTGTGAATCATGGTAGAGAGCTGCGACGCTTGATGGTGGGAGCTCATCATCTTGCCAAGGAGGAGGATAATGAGGCCGGGTATCGGGTTCATGGAGCAGCGGTACTGTCGCGGTGGCTGCCATGTCTCATCGTGATGCTGTGACAGCGGTTGGCTAGAAACGACTGCGTTGTTGAGCAGATTCCGCATCTTCTGTGATTCGATAATCATGCCCAACTAGGAAGGCACAGTCAGTGAATGTTGCACCAAAAGGAGGAAAGAACTCTCAACTTACCAAACCGCCACCAAAGAACATCACCGAGATGGAAACATGCTCCAGATCTTGCGCCGTCCAGGCGTCGCCCCATGCTGCCAAATGTTCCAGGAAGACGTTAGTGCAGCCGTAGAGCCAGATGACAAAGGATTCGGTGAACTCGGCAGATGGTATAGCCGCCCGCCGACGACCCGCCACCTCCTTGGGCGGTTTCACATTCCAAGCCCAACCGAAATCAGCGAATGTGCCCATCCATCGACCGAGTGTAAGTAAACCGTATCCGAAGAAGATTCCGCCTTTGATGTAGTGTGCTAGCACATTGAAGACAGCACCTCCGTGCTGGACGGAGAGTCAGTTCACATTCACCTGCACGTTGACCTGAAATTACTTACGCCGATGCCTCCATACACAACGGTGCCGGTGCAAATGGCCACAAATCCGAGAACCAGGATCGTGCGATCGATTAAGACGTAAAGGAAGCGAAGGTACTTTAGCGGTCGGCCCACGGCAAACCGTGCCACGTTGCGCGACATGAATCTGTCCACGGCAGTGCCTCGCAGGAAGCCACGTTTCTCAGAGTCATCATCAAAGGCTTCCTCGTCATCATGCGTGTACCTGCGCGTCGGACCAGTGAACTGTTGGTCTTCCGATTCCACGCTAGGGGATCTAGAGTGGCTGTACAGTGACGCCGAATTTCGCTCAGTGCCTTGACCCGAGTCGTTTGACCACCTGGACGGTTCCGGAAGTTGCGCATCTTGCACGCGCTGGTATTGGGCCATGTTTGCCGCATTCAAGGGTTGGCCGGCATGGTTCTCCAAAGTGGGCGCCTTCGTCCGTGCCGTGTAGAGCTGGATGAGAGCCATCATGGTCCAGGCGGAGGCAACCCAGGTTATTATCCATCCGATCTTGCTATGTGCATTGTTCTCATATAGCTCCGGAGTCTGGTGGTTATAGACGACACCCAAGAGAAGTGCGAACGCATTAACGACGAGGAAGACGAACTGAGACGAGACGGCGAGGCGCGAACGGGCGATGCTCAGCATCACACCTTGACATGGTTAGCCTGGACCTCCAAGATGAGAAGGTCTACTACCCACCGATTGGCAGAATCACCACCCAGGCAAGCATCTCTAACGCAATGTGCCAGTACATTAAGGTGGAATGTTCGGAAAGGCTCCAGTAGCTCCGCGGCCGGCCGTCGTCCTGTACCTGCGGTCGCGGAGCATCGCCTATGTCCATATGACCTTCGCCGTGGTCATTGCCATGAGCGGCTACCAGGGGCAGGACCTCTAGTAGCAGTGCTGCAGTGACCAGAGTAAGAGCCCGAGGCTTCATATATACTGCCGGAATATGCGGATTAGGTCTGGGGGATGAGAAGGATGTTGTCCTAGGAGTGAGAGCGAGAGCCGAGAGAGAAGGCGTTATACGCGCTTATCCGAGAGCTTCTCAGGTGAGGAATTGGCGGGCAGGTCAAAGGATGGGAGGAGATGAGGCAGCCCACAAAGAAGAGCTATGGCAGTGCCACGAGCGTGGGGCGCAGCTGTTTAAGGATGTTATGCATGCCGGAATTATCGGAGAGCAGATGGAGGCCGGCATCTAGGCACATCACGAGAGAAGTTTGTCAGCACCGTGTTGCGATGTTTCGATCCGCGACTTCCTCAAATTCTTGTGACGGCGTGCGAGCTGTGGGTCCGGCTTGGCGCGGCGGCACGACGAGGTAATCAGCCTTAGCCTTCCGCCGGCCACCACCGCCTCGCCGGCACCCTATCCTAACGTCTACGGGCTTCTTGCCGATGCTAGGAGGTATGGAGAGCGATCCAGGATCTTGCGATTTGTTGTCTCGACAGGTCAACAACATCCGCATGCGGCGTCACGCCACGAAGGGTGCTACACACCGACACAAAGAAGGCGGGGAAGGGCGCATCTGGCACGCATCGCATCGGCCTCGGGCCTCGATTTCTGAAGCTTCTTGTCCTTCTTGTCCTTCTGCGCTAATTGTCTCGGTCGCTTCCCGTCAGGCAACACTTGCGAGGCAAAGCCTTGCGCTCTCAGGCGTTATTTGCGATCCCGATCCCGCTCTGCCCGCGATATCTCCAGCTTGTCCGAGCTGCAGCCCCTCCACTCAACTCGTTTCGTCAATGATCGACGTCATCTGTTGGCCTGTGATTTGGCGTTTAAGCTTTGTAGCGGCTTGGCAATCTGCAGAATCCCCGGACGGACGTTCATATGCAGGGCGCCTACTGATCGCGGCTTACATGCGCTGATTAAATTCGGCTGCCGGCGATAAGTCCTATCCGCCAGCTTCCGGACGATGCGTCACGTTGACGCTCTCACGCACATAAGAAAGCGTCCCCAACTCCAGACGAAAACAAAACGGGAAATTCGATTCGAACTCAGAAGCGAGAAACGAGACGTCGTCGCGAGCTCACCTGGGCTTGTTTCAGTCATGTCTGGAAACATCGCAAGAAACACCAAATACCGAGACCTCGTACGAGGCTGTGGAATGCATACTGTGGTATTGCGTTTCAGGGTTCTCATTGAGTCATCGTTCCAAAGAAAAAAAGCCTCGCAAATGTAACAGCTTGGATTAGCGCCGCAGCCCTTGCAGGTTGTCTCCATCGTTCAACCTCACTTCGGTTGCCTGGCCGGCATCGCCAACTGGCTTGCCGGCTCTTAGGGCTGACAGCTGTCACTCTGTCTTCTGGAATCCTATAGCTCATGCGACTGCAACCGTCGTTCCTGTCAGCAATATCGTCCCTTTCTACGGAAAGGCACCACGATCATAAAAAGCATGTCGACCCTTTTCCACCTTCGACTTGTTCGAATCGAAGTATGCGACCCACCTGCAGCCATGCTTGCCGGGATTTCGCAAATCGGTTTCCGTTCGCGCCGAACTTCGCTCCCGTAAAAGGTGCGGATCACGGACCAGTCGCTTTCCCGCCGCTTATCAGCGTTGGGTCATGCGACCGTCAGCTCGACATTATATGAGTTGGTTGCATTCGGAACTACCCCGCCTCAACCCGCGGAATGGGTTTTGCAGTCATTCCGGAGCCTCGGCGCGGACTGTCGGTCTTTTGACACCAAGAGCGCCAGCTTCATTTAGCCTTCGTTGCAAAAGGAAGCGGCCCGCCAAAAAGAAGTCTCGATATGTTCCTATCTGTCGAGCCGTGCCGCAAGTCTCCACTAACAGGCTGACGGGCATAATACTATACTTCTAGAGGTTGAGAGACAGACCACTTTAACCTTTTGGGGGATTCCTGCAGTAATTTCCGTCTCTCACAGAGACCTGCATTCCGTCTAACAGTGTCGATCGCAAATACCGCACAGACTCGGTATTCCGAGTACAATTTCTTCTCATTTTCCATGAGCCACTCGCAAATTATTCCTGCAGACGGTGAGAGCTCTCAGCCCACTTTCAAGACCACCTTCCCTTTAGCATGTCCTCCTTCAAGTCTCTCAAAGGCTTTCCCCCACTGTTCCAGTTCATAAACGCTATCCACCACCGCCCTGGCCTTTCCTTGTTCAATCAAACTTGTTACCTCTACCAGTTGGTTTCCATTCGCTTTCACAATGAACCACACTCCTTCAACGTCTTCCGCTGTGCCGTCTGCGGGCCTTTTCGGATCCGGTGGCTCAGCAACACTAATCACTTTTCCTCCTCTTCTCGCACATTTCCAAGAAGCTGACAGAGTCTGGCCACCGATGCAGTCGAGAATGACGTCGAAGCCGCGGGATTCTCTGCCTTGAGTGACCCACTCGAGCAAGTCGGTCTTGGTATAGTCGATGACTGTGTCCGCTCCCAGGCCCTTGACGAAGTCGATGTTGGCTGTGCTGCATGTACCGACCACCTCCGCGCCCGCTTCATGGGCGAGTTGTACTCCCCAGATGCCCACTCCTCCCGATGCTGCTGTCACTAGGACTCTTTTTCCCGAGTTCTCCCCTTGCTCTGGCGAATTCAATCCGCCATGAATGAACAAAGCTTGATATGCGCTCAACGCACTCAGGGGTACACTAGCAGCCTCTCCCCAATTCAGGTTCTTTGGCTTCAAGCTGAGCTCCTTCTCAGTCGCAAGGCTGAGCTCGCGTGCGTTGCCTTTCCATGTAAATGTAGTGAGCGCGTATACCTCGTCGCCAGGCTTGAATGCGTATTCCCCTGGTGCAATGGGGGTCGACACTACTTCCCCAGCAACGTCAAAGCCGGGGACGGGTATGTCTGGGAGGAGTGGCTCCGGCCATGTGAGCTCTCCTCTGGTAAGTGCTGTCGCTTTTACGCGGATGGTGTAGCACTCTGGGTATTCGGCGGGGTTTGGTTCAGGATGATTCGTGTCGTAGGTGAGGGTCTTCGGCGTGCCTGTTCGTATAAGGGCGCGCATTTTGGCAAGGCTTCTCTAGGGCGTTACGATTGCCCTGGTTGATGGCTTGTCGATCATCTACTGTGGTGCGTGAATCGCGCAATTTATACCTCACTTCCAATGCCCATGAAAGCCGTGATTCTCCTCTACAGCTTTGTGCTGAGTAACCCGCTCAGGCGTTCTACTGCATCGTACTCGTGCATCTCCGCGCTTCGCGGTCGGTCAGTCGGCAATTCGGTCTCCCAGCAGGGCGTTGAAGGCTGGAAGAGGCAGGTACAGCCAGGTTTCGCTGTGCAAAACGCGAAACAAGCTTTTTGTACGTTGTTTCTCCTTAACGGCCCGTTCGGCGCAGGCTCACTTCATCCCTGAAAATGTGGGCCGTTCCTGATGTGGGGATGAGCGAGGTGTTCGGGCAGCTTCCCCGCTTGCGTCATAACGAACCGCACATTTCGACGTCGTGACGCCGCGGCCATTACGATGACGGAATTGAGGGGCTCCTCGTGCCCGGCCACCTCTTACTTCCTTTTTCTTTATCACGGCAAACTCGACTTTCGACGTATCTGAGAAAGAAGATTACTGGAACTGAGCGAGACGCAAGCATGGGAGCAGATCATCCAGACGCAGACTTGCATCCCGAGGCTACGGGCCTCGCGGCGATGACCGTTAAGGTAAGGGGGCCGGTGCCCGCCCTGTTATTGTCCATGGTTGCTGACATTAACAGGCACACTCGGCCGAACATTCGCTGAAGCTGTACTCGGGCTGGTTCTGCCCGTTCGTCCAGCGCGCGTGGATCGCCCTGGAAGAGAAGGGCATCCAGTACCAGTACATCGAGGTCAATCCGTACCACAAGCCGAAATCGCTGCTCGACCTCAACCCGCGCGGTCTCGTCCCGACGCTTCAGTACCAGGGCAAGCCGCTTTACGAGAGCACAGTCCTTTGCGAGTTCTTCGAGGAAGCGTTCCCAAATCATAGCCCCCGTCTTATGCCTGAGGATCCGTACGATCGAGCGAGGACGAGGATCTGGACCGACTTTGTCACGAGCAGGATTATACCGAGCTTCCACCGTTTTCTGCAGCACCAGGGCGCGGAGGGGTTGAAGGAGAAACAACGGGAGTTTCTGGGGTATATTAAGCAGTTTACGAGGGAGATGCATGCTGAGGGTCCTTTCTTCATGGGCGAGGAGTTCGGTCTCATTGACATCGTCATCGCGCCGTGGGCTATTCGCCTGTGGGTGTTTGATCACTTCAAAGGTGGGCTGGGGATCCCGGAGAAGGGCCAAGGAGGCGAGGATGAGCAGGTCTGGGAGAGGTGGAGGAAGTGGCTAGAGGCTGTGGAGAAGAGGCGGAGCGTTAAGGAGACAATGAGCGATCGGGAGCATTATTTGCCTATTTACCAGGGGTATGCGGATGATAAGGCGCAGAGTGAGCTGGCGAAGGCTACGAGAGCAGGGAGGGGTGTGCCGTAAATCCAGCTTCGTCAGTTTAGCTCCAACTTGGCGAGCTTTGACGTCCTTCGTACTGAATTACTACGGAGCCTGACCCGAGATGCCATTTCCTAGACTGCTATAAGCTAACAGCTAAGCTAGGCTCGAGATTTCGAGGTGCTTCCAAATACATCTGCAAAATAGACTGCCCATAACAAAGGCGAGCGGTGGCCATAGTCCCAAGTACCAAGAGAAGCAGTTCATATAGCCAATCATATGGCCTAGCAAGCTGTCGTGGCACACTACATGCTCACATTTTCTAGCGAACATTGCCTAGAAAAACGTGGCCAAGTCGTTCTTCTTTGCCTAGGAGCTTCCGGGGACGCTTGCCTAGCTTGACGTTGACAGAGCCGCGATGTCCTCGACCTGGTTCTTTTCGTGGTATTGCTCCGGCGATTCCTCCCATGGTCGATTCTTCGGGAAAGGCCGTTTTCGCACAATGGCCTCCAATGCGTCTGCGATGAGCTCCGGCGTATGGAGTTTAACACTGCCCGCCCAGCCCTTGGAGTCATGGGCACAATATACCCAGAAGTCTACTATGAGGCGCCTCGCGGGCGAATTTGCTAGTGTTCCCTGGTAGAGGATGTTCATGGCCGTATGAGAAGGACAGTCGCCAAACTTGACAGTACACGCTATCATGCAGTCGATGATGGTGTCTTTGAATTGGTTGTCTATCACCTTCTCGCCGAAAACGTATGCCCTCGCTAGAAAAATCTGGGTCTCGTCCATTAGGTCATGGTTATCGTCAATCTTCGTCATGTCCTCATCCTCGCAATCAGCCTTGAAAGTTCCGTTTGCAAGCGAGTGTTCATCCGGGGTAGGAAGAGTTCGAAAGTATAGCCAGTTCGCATACGCCTTGACGACTGCCGGATGATCGTCTGTAAGGTCCATGGTGTCAGGATCGGGCCTTGACTCCGCCCATTCGGATTTGGTAGCCTTCTTGAAGAACTCGGACGTCGCGCAGAGTATCTTCTCGTGCACTTTGATAGTGTCTTGGCCCACGGACAACTTGATGATGCGGTCACTGAGACTGTGCTAATTAGTTCTCTAGGAACTTGGAGAGAGATTCCTGCGTCAATGAACTCACTCTACTGCGCTTGCCCATGGGACACGGGCGCCTGCGGGCTTCGAAATCTTCTCGATTGATGTTGTGTCGTGACTTGCCATGGTAGACTCGCACTGCTCTTGTTCTCGGGGGTTGTGGGATGCGGGAGGGACTTAAATGGGTGCGGGTTTGCGAAGAGCGTTCAGGAAAGCGATTTGGCACGGAGCACCACTGGCGTCGCTGTGAAAGTGGGCTTTCCCATATGTGGAACTCATTCACCCTGCGGATTCGTTCCCTTAAGACCTAGCTGAAGAGCAGACACTGCCTGGCTTTCTAGTCTTTGCTCATTATCTGGCCTCCGCTTCGGATGCGGTGAAGAATTTGGGAAAGTAAGCCATATCCATTGCAACCCCCCAAACTGAAAAGCTAATTTCCGACAATGTCCCATCTGTCTTGCTTTTGCTTATACACGTAGCGGTACATATACCAGCGTTGCTCATTTCCAGCCCTGGAAAGCCGCTCGTGGGGGCCTTTAGCAAACGCCTACCTCAAAGACTGCTTCCCCATGCCGTCATGTGTTCAGCTCAACACGTTTCACACATCCATCGTCGTCTACTCAAGGTGCATCACTCCGTACGCCCTACTAGTTACTTAATGCGGGGCTTTTGCTCTGTCCATGGTGTTCTGCTCCGCTGAAAATTTGCACCCGACTGCTTTCACACTTCTCGCGCTGCTCCTCGCGCACTTCTATAGCTTCTTCTCTTTACTACCCACTGCTTCTATACCAGCAACTCAGCACCATGGATACCTCGTCGAGACCCCCGAAGCCTGACCCACGCCTCCCAGAGACGGAAGCCATGGAGTAAGCCAGCAGTTCCCTTTGCTACTGGCCGCGGCAATGCTAATAGCTCACAGCCTCGAGGACTGCATTGTGAAGTTGAGCATCGGTCCCAGCAGTGTTACCGTCCTCGTCCACAAGAACGTCCTCACCAAGAGCTCGGCCTTCTTCCAGAGGGAAGCAAAGCGGGAATTGACCGGCATGAAGGACGAGCAGGAGACCATCATACTCCCGGACGAGGACCCCCACATCGTGAAGGGCTACATCCACTGGCTGTACTCCGGAAAGTTCCCCATGCCCGCCGTCGATAAAGGTGCTCCGCACTTCCGCCGGCTGTCGTACGCGTATATCTTCGGCGATCGGCGAATGGACCCAAAGTTCAAGAACGCCATCATCGATGCCTTCGTCGCTACCGCCGCCGAATTCTGCAGCTACCCTTCAGCGACCACGATGGCGATTGTGTACGAGGAGACTCCGGAGGGGTGCCCGGCTCGACAACTACTGGCCGACTTCATCGCCTACCGTGCTAAGAACACTCCGGACTGGAACACTGAGATGGGGCGGTACGACAAGGCGATGTTGGTCGATATTGCGAGGGCTATGATCCGAGTTCGTCCTCAAGTGGATTTCCTTCCGGCGCAGATGCTGAACCAGGCATATTACGAGAAGGAGAACTAGTTATGTAAGCTCTTATGAAGACAATGCAATGAATATTGCACCTTATGGAAGGCACTGAAGCTCCCAGTCCCGATGCTCTGCTACGGTGCCGCAATCCACGAATATGACTAGTAAAGGTGCGCAAAACAAGACGATAGCGCCTTCCTCCTTTTTTCGGCATTTTAGAAAAGGCGGATCCTGGATTATTTACAAAACGAACAAAACAACCTTGCCTATGATGTCTCGAGGATACAAAGTACTTTTCGACGCTCTCCCCTCCCTATTTTAGTGCAATTTCGCAAAAAAAAACGGCTTTCAACCCAGCTCCCCCCTTCTTTTCCCTCACGCTTATTTCCTTCCGCCACTTACACCTTCTTACATCCCATAATCCTGTAGCTGCCTATCCCCTCATTCGCGTTCAGATAAATCCTCTTATTCTTCCCATCACAAAACTGGCCCACACGGCGCTCCCCGCCGTCCAGTCTCCTACAGTAATGATTAACCCCATTACTGCTACCGTAGAGATGAAGGCAGCACCCAGTGTTCCTGTTCTCGTTGGGTAGCCAGACCAGGTAGCCCGGGGCTGGGACCTTTGCGGGCCGGTTCGAGTACTCAACGCGGAAATCTTGACATGCGTCCAGATTGGTGCTTCCCGCTCGGTGGTATTTTGGGACACCGGCGCTGTTGAGGGGCCCCCAGTTTAGTGACCAGGGGGAGACGAGCGGGGCGCTGGCGAGGAGGAGAAAGCTAGATAGCTTCATGGGTTAGAGACCTTGCTTGTTAATGAAGTACAAGCAAAGGATATGCTAGTTTTACCTGATCAACTATGGTTGTGAGTGGAGGGAGTGAGATCGATATCGAAGAAGCTGTTTCAGGGCGGATTGGAATGTGGGTTCCCGGGTTCTGGATAGAACATCAGTTCAGTCGGATCACTGCCTCCTCAAATATCTCCGTGCACTGTGAGGCTGGCTCCTCTGCTCCGAACTTTAAATACGCCCGAGCAGTTAGTGGAAGCAAGCCTTCAGCTCATGTCTGCATCTTGCCCATCCCAATGGCCGAATTGAGGTTGCTCTCGTATCGCCCAAGGCGCCATGAGCAGACATGTTAGCTTGCTAAGGACCAGGAAAGCGCAATTTAGCGAGTTCGGAAGACCTCAGAAGATACCGAGTCAAAGTCATAAGGGTGGTGAGTTGTACGTCAGGATATCTGTGTGTCAGGCCATCTGGGCGTGGCTCCCTCATCGCTGCCTCGTTGGGCGACTGTGGCTTAGCCGCAAGCTCTATCGAGAGCGTGCACGCGAAAGAATGGGCTACGACGTTCTGGGAGCTGTAGTGATAAATATGTCTTTGCTGGCACTCAGGTGATGTTCATCCCCCACTCGTGTGATGTGCCCTCGAATCAGCCTCATCACTACCCGGCCCTAACGGGCTAAAGCAACGCCACAAAGCCTCGCTAACAGTCCTTGGTCCAGGCACCTATCTGATGACCTCCTGGCGTGAAGGCGAGATCGATGGAGCTTGGAGATCGCTCGAAAGTGGAAGGCGCAGTGGTACTCGAGAGGTGTTTGTCCTTACTAGCCTTCGTCCTGTTCATAATACCGTCTCTTACTCTCTCCTCTTCCCACCGATACATTGCAACTCCTTTTATTGACCGCCGCTGCTCTGAACTGAACAACATGCTTCAGCATATCCACCAACGCCTCCTGACAATACCCCTCGATCTCGTCCTCTCAGACCGGATGGCAGCCCGCCCCAAACATCACGAAGCCCCTCACTAACCTTATCGCCGGACTCCCTACGCACAAGTTCCTTATAATTTATATTGACCGCTTGTGACCACGGAGACTCTTCTGTGCTCGTCATACGCTCGCTCATGGTATCCATGACTGCGATTTTGAAAGCAGTATCAAGAATCTTTCACCAACGACGTAGAGTGTGGCTGGGAAGACCATGTCGACTTTGGTTGTAGGGGCTTGGTGGCATTAGAGGGTGGTGCGGGACTGGGGCAGCCAGTAGATTTATGTTTCGACGATGGGGAGGAAGTCATCGCTTAGGATAATGGTATCGGGATCTGGAGAAGATGAGGCCCATTCGGATTCTGTGGCCTTTTTGGAGAACTCGGAGGACGAAAGGAGAAGATTCTGCGGCACTGTGAGAGTATATTCCTCGCCGAGAGATAGGTAAATTATTTCGGATTCTGATAGCGCAAAGTTAGACTCGAGGGGTTGATCGGGCAAGGTTGCCTCCTGTTTTACAGTAGCCGAGTACATGGTCGTTTTCATGGGCTGTGGTTTGCATAGGCTGTGGTCTGAGGACTTAGAGAGATTCAATCCTATAGGAAAGTAAAGAGGCGGACAAGAGGTGAAACTAGACCAGCTGGTTAAATCTTAAATGAACCGTGCTTAGGCCGGCCAGTTGTACTAGTATAACAGCACCTTTTTCTTGCGCACTTGTCCCTTCTCTCTATCCTCTTCATCCGATAATAGCGTGGCCACAACTATGACGTCCTCAACTAGGATTCGACGCAAGCAGTCGGCTGCGACACAAACCGGCCCCGAGGCAGAGCTTCTAGAGTAAGACATTAAGCTACGACATTCCCTCCATCAAACGGAAGCTGATTAGTACAGTCCGTCCGACAACATTATGAAGCTGGCTGTGGGCACAGACAAGACCATCCTCAACGTGCATCAGAAAATCCTGTGCACAAGTTCGAAGTTCTTCCAGAATGCGTCGAAGCCGGAATGGGCGTCTTCACGATCCGCGCCTGACACCATCGACCTGACTGACGAGTCCTTGGGAATTGTTAAATCATACGTCCGCTGGCTGTACCTTGGAGTCCTTCCAAAACCAGGGGGTTCGCTGGATTTAGACTTCAACAACTTGACGAACGCGTACTTGTTCGGGGAGAGGATGATGGATATAAAATACAAGAACGCCGTCCTTGATCAGCTCATAGCTGTTGTTGAGGACACTGGCAAGTTCTTGGATGCTGAGGGCATGAATAAATTTTACGAGGGCACTCTACCTGGATCTCCTGCCAGGCGCCTCATAGTTGACTTCTGCGCAGACCAAGCTGAAGCCGCGCCATCTTGGATGACTAATATCCCGGACTTTGAGCCAGAGCTTCTTGTAGACGTCTTGCAGGGGATGTTAAGGGCGCGGCCTCCTCCAATTAGACAGGCTTGGAAGAGGGACAACCAAACGTACCACGAGAAGGAAGCATAAGCATTTCTCTTTTCCAGGCGAGAAAGTTTGGCGACGGTCTTGTGTATGCGAGGCTTTCCCGCGGCTCAGTCGAATCACATGAGTGTTCGGGTGGATGAGGCTGCTTGAAATTTGCGACCGTGATCACGGGTTCGCCTTCGCAAAGGCAATCAATGTTGGAGATGCGCTTAAGGCATTCTTGACCTCTCGATCCTATCTTAGCCGTTAGCCTCTAGTAGTCTAGCAAATGGCATTCAAGAATGGGTCTCAAACTGACTTAGGTCCTGGGGAAATGTCTCTTTCACTAGATTAAACTTCGTATGTCCCCTAGGCGCTAGCCGATTCGAATTTGAGTGCACGTATGGTGCTTTTCCCACGGAGCTTGAGCACTTCCCCACACGTATATACTTTTGATTCTGAACACATACTTCGAAAACTCCTCATCCCTAACTTTGATACTTGGCACACCAGCAAGATGAACGGTACATCGAACTCGGGCCTACCTGTCCTCATTGGGACTTCCGAGGCCATGAAGTAAGTTTCTCGAACTCTTGGGCAACTGTTGCGATGTGGTGATGGTCGAAGGCGGCTCCAGTATGCCTTCAACACCCATAGCTGTGTCCAAGGGAAGCCGACTCGAACATGATCGTGCTACCGGCCGAGAACCCCCAAGTCGTCAAGGCATACGTCCACTGGCTATATGCATCCAGCCTTCCCATGCTGACCGAAACGGGCGATGCAACGTTCGAGCTCCTTGCTCAGGCCTACGTCTTCGGTGATGGTAGGATGGACGCAAAGTTCTGCAACGCAGTCATCCACAGCTCCGTCTCCGCGACGATCGAGCATAAGTGCTTGACGGCCGATGAGGCGTTCAAGATTGTCTTTGAGGGGTCAGCGCCTGGCTGCGGTGGTCGGCGCATCTTGGTGGAATTCATCGCTGCTCAAATTCAGGACGGCCCGGAGTTGGATCAGCAGATAGAGAGCGATACGGGGGAGATGATGACGGACGTCATGAAGGCGATCACCCGGCTTCGTCCTCAGCAGAAGACGTATCCGTGGATCCTCTCGACTGATACGTACCTCGAGAAACTGACTTAGTCATGTTAATATTCCAGCTTATTTGAAGATCGAAGCTAACCTTGACGCCCTAGGCTGGGGTGCTACTGGCGGGGTTGCGAAGTGTTTGCGACGCTCCCTTTTGGGGGCGTAATGCGTATTAAATCTACATTCAATAATTAAGGGACGGCCGTGGTAGACGGGTGTAAATAGACCGATGGTAAATGATGACCTTCCAAATATCCAAAGGCTTTTCTGCTCAATTAGGACTCTCTCGTGGCAAGCAGGTTTGATGGTGGTCGGGTGCGGCACATACTTCGGCGACTGACTAAGCTAAATGAGGTGACTGAAGAATGTTTGGATTGATGCCTGTGACTTGATCATAAGTTCGTCTCTGCCATTGGCAATCAATCTAGAACTCATACTTAAAGGTTCCGGGATCCCATCTCAGCTTAGCTATTCCCTCGCAAAGGCTGCGAGGGAAAACCAACACAGTGCTAAAATACAATCTCGTGGAGCAATGATAGTTTCACTCGGGTTGAGTTGTCGCTCTTTCCTTCCCAAGCATCAGGCTTGACTCAGGGTCCCGGCCGTCCTGCGATGGTTTCACTTTAGGACTTAGAATTTTTGCCCACATATAATTTCGCATCCAAAGACTTACCTCAACTTTTAACATCCGTCTCGAACATCCGTTAGCCCACACGATGAACGGCATATCGGCCTCGAATCAAGTTCCCTTCAACGTCATCTGGGACTCGGAGGCCGTTATGGAGTAAGCTACATCTCTCTCCGCCACCGCTGGCCATAGTCGACACAGACAAAGCTAACAACTTTCAGCCCCGCAGACACAATCATTAAGCTCAACGTCGGCGAGGCCCGCACCGAGTTCAACGTCCACGAGAGTATCCTAATTGCGAGTTCTGGAGACCTCAGGAACCAGATGAAGCCAGAGTGGATCCAGCAGCGCAAGGAGCGCAACATCATTGTCCTGCCCAGTGACGACCCCGAGATCGTAAGAGCCTACGTCCGATGGCTCTACAACCCTTCGAGGATTCCACTGCCGGATGACCGTCAGAGCGCTTCGGGCTACGTGCGCCTCGCCAAGATGTACGTCTTCGGCGAGGCGAGGATCGACGTCAAGTTCAAGAACGCGGTGATCGAGGCTTTCATCCTAGCAACTCCCAAGTACCAGTGTTATCCGCCGGCGGAAGCGTTGCGTGTCGTCTACAAGGGAACGTCTCCCGGATCCGGTGCTCGACGCTTACTGGCCGACTTCATAGCTTACAACGCCAAGGAGGATGACCCCGAGTGGAACCAGGAGATGGAGTCGTACAAGGGCGAGATGTGGATGGACGTTATGAAGGCGATGACTCGACTGCGCAAGCCGGAGCCAGGTTATCCTTGGATGATATCAAGTGCGCCTTACCGGCAGGACGAGTCCTAGGTTGGGAACCTTTGGGCGGTGGACTACTTGAGGATCAAGGAACTTATTCGGTCTTAGATCTCTTCTGGGAGCGGTTAGATGCATCGGACCTACGTGGACATAGAAGCAGGGTCTTGTGGATGGGTGTACATAGACGGATGGTAGATGGGACCTTCCAGACAGGCGAATGGCATTTGAACCTTTACAACTCCTAATTTCCTGGGCTGAAGGCCTTCGCGTAGCGCAACAGAGGACCGGGGAAATGCCGATTGTGTGCTGCGAACCCCCGGGATGCGTATCCCAGGTAAGGTATGCATGCATCTGAGGAAGACGAGAGGTTTGCGAAAGGAATGTACGGAGGCCCACGAGGGGTAATCCACCATTGGCACTCCCATTCGTGACGACCCCGAAAACTTAGGGTGAGAGATATTAGGTCCAGTAGCACCGGGACCTTGAGCTTAGGTTCCGGTATCATCTTACTCCACGGAGCTTGATGCGTGCTAGAACTCCTTGTCCCGGCTATGGCTGCCAGTGATATCGCGGTGGATACTCGTGCCGCTTCCAGTGTTGCAGGTACCTCCTCCTCTAGACTAGAGAGACCCAAGATGTGTTTTTCGCTCTTCATATAGCAGGATTACTTCCTACCCACTTTACTAGACCAGTGGACGCGATATCCGGTATTGAAGAGCTCCGGAAGGTAGCTTTGCAGTTAGTCATGAAATGGAACAATGGTATACACCGGTATGTAGATGTAGGAAAGCGAATTCAACAGGGTATCATTTTTTGTGAGCACGACTCCAGATCCCCTCAGGCCGCTGCCGCTTCTTGTTGCTGCTGTGCCGCTGTCTGCATTTGTATGATCTACGGATGCTATTAGACCGACGAAAGGATATTCGTGGAAGCGGACGCAGGAGACTTACGTCCATCTTGATCTTCTCACTCTTGTCCTGAACGTCCTTAATCTGCGACTCGATCCGCTTGCTAGTCGTTGTCAGCCTAAGGCCGCCCTTATACAACTCGGAACTCCCATTCTCACATCTCCTTGTCGATGTACTCCAATCGCGCGTTTACCGCCATGACAGCCTCCGTCTTATCCTGCTTCAGGAGCACCGGGCCGATCTGCTTGTAGATGTTCGCATCGTCGGCGAGGAGGTCGAATTCCTGCAGTTCCCCATTAGCCATGGCGATGCGATCTGGCTTCGTTCAAGCCAACCTTCTTCACGGTAGTGTTCTCCTGCTGCTGCGATTCTAGCTTCTGGCGTGCTTCCACCGCGGTGGAAAGCTCTGGACGTCATTAGCGGGTATCACAAATGCTTTCGGGATTGCACTACCTCCTTGCAGCTTCTGGTAGTCGTCGGAAAGATCCTGCAGCTTCTTCTGCACCTCACTCATCGCTCCGTAATGCTGACCGAAGCGTTCAGAAAGGGTTGCAACAAAGTCCGTGAGCTCCACGGCGGGAAGTCGACTTCGCTCTTTTTCCGGCCTAGCGCGAACGCGGGGCGTAGCGCGCACGTGATGTCGATAGTGACGGCACCTAGCAACCGCCGCCAAGGAAACACTCATCGACCACCACTCCCGATCCTACTGTGCCCGCGCCTTGTCCCGCATCTCACACTTCTCTGCCAGCTTTCAACCGTACTTTCTGCCCTTCTAGTGCTCGTATACACCGCCAACTTCGCTCGATCGCCGAGTACCTGCCCCGCTCCCACCTCCGCAGTAGCCCATTCAACCCCAACCCAACGCGAGCACGATTCCTTTGTATACATCACAGTATCCGGAGCGGCATTGTTCGCTCAGGGACTCACGATGAGTAACGTGGACTTCCTGGGCCGCGCCATTGAGACAGTCAAAAAGGCGATCGAGACAGACACAGCGGGCGAATATGAGAAAGCATACCAGATGTACTATAGTGCTCGTGAGTCGGGGCGTACGTACTGCATACAATAAACATAGGCTAACATAATTCAGTCGAGCTGTTCATGCTCGCCCTAAAATGTACGCTCCGCTCTCCACCTTCAGCGCGCCAAGCTCCGCCGTTCGCACAAATCCGAGAACTCGACTGACAATGAGTAGGGGAGAAGAATCAGAAGTCGAAGGACATGATCCGGGCCAAGGTGGCAGAGTATATGGAGCGCGCTGAGAAGCTCAAGCAACACTTAAACCAGACCGACGCGGGCAACCGCAAAAAACCCTCCGCTATGGGCGCAAATGGCAAGGCAGCAGGAGGCAGCGGCAGAGGCGCGAAGTATGTTTCTTCTCTCCTACCCTTGGTAGTATTATTGCTAAGACTAACACGGCGCTTTAGGGACGACGATGAAGAAGAACAAGACGCCGACTCCAAGAAGCTCCGCGGCGCACTCGCAGGCGCTATCCTCTCCGAGAAGCCCAACATTCGATGGGAAGACGTAGCGGGTCTGGACCAAGCGAAGGAGGCGCTGAAAGAAGCCGTCATATTACCCATCAAGTTTCCACACCTGTTTACCGGTAAGCGACAACCGTGGAAGGGTATATTACTGTATGGCCCGCCCGGTACGGGTAAGAGTTATCTGGCAAAGGCAGTGGCCACGGAGGCAAACAGCACTTTCTTCAGCGTATCAAGTTCAGATTTGGTGAGCAAGTGGATGGGCGAGTCTGAACGGTAAGAACCTGCCCTATGCTTTGGCAAAAAATGGTTCTGATGTCTAACAGGTTGGTAAAACAACTATTCGCCATGGCGCGCGAAAACAAGCCCTCTATCATATTCATCGATGAGATCGACGCTCTATGCGGACCCCGAGGCGAAGGCGAATCGGAAGCATCCCGACGTATCAAGACCGAGCTGCTGGTGCAAATGGACGGTGTGGGCAAGGACTCTCGTGGCGTACTCATCCTTGGCGCGACCAACATCCCATGGCAACTCGACGCAGCCATTCGACGTCGTTTCCAGCGAAGAGTGCACATCAGCTTGCCGGATTTTCCCGCACGGATGAAGATGTTTGAACTAGCGGTGGGGAGCACACCCTGCGAGCTAACTCAGGCCGACTATCGAAAGCTGGCGGAGATGAGCGACGGCTACTCTGGCTCTGATATTGCAATCGCTGTGCAGGATGCGCTGATGCAACCTGTACGATTGATCCAAACCGCAACACATTACAAGCCAGTACGTGTTTGCCACATCTTCTACGCACGCTCAAACATTTCGCAATACTAATGCTGCCTAGATTACGGTAGACGGCGTACAGAAATGGACCCCCTGCTCACCTGGCGACCCTCTAGCAAAGGAAATGTCCTGGACTGAACTGGACGGCGAACAGCTAGTGGAGCCGCCCCTCCGCGTCAAGGACTTCATGAAGGCAATCAAGGCCTCGAGACCGACGGTTAGCAAAGACGATCTCAACCGAAACGCACAATGGACGGCAGAGTTTGGTAGTGAGGGAGCGTAGTGGGAGAAGGCATGGTCGGGGGCATTTTCGCGTTTTCTTGGAGTTCCTCGTTGGCATAGCGGACCTTTGTGCTTATAGGGGACTACTCGGCGTCGAGGGTTCTGTTCAGCGACTCGATATGTGAGTCATTTGGAGCCAATATATCAGCAGTCCGCATGTGGATGCATCTTCAGCAAGTCTTTTATTTTCATTGCATCCCTCTATCTCATCTGGCAAAACCTCTCAGCGTACTACGCCCGCCCAGGAAAGGTATGCCGAAAGCGATGCGCCGCTTGCTGTTTCCCACCTTCACTATCCAAGTAAGCGATGCCTCCTCAGTACTTGACTTGCTTCATTGACTGAATATAGGAGAATATTGAAGATCCCCACGTGCATGTTTTGCATGTATGCACCTTAGACTATTCTCGATGTTGGACGTACGACGAGATACCGATTACCAGGTTCTTCAATATGTGAGTAGATAAGCTTCCTCCGCTGTTGCGGCTCATCTGTATAGCCGGTAACGAGCAACAAGTATGCCCTTCCCTTCGCGACAGCCGAATTGCAGCCAACTCTATAGATATCGTGAGATGGAAAACAAATCCTAGGTGAAGCCACACAAAGTCCCGCGGAAAGCCTTTCCATATGCCAGTGTTGGATCCTCGCCGCTATTCTCAAATTCTTAACTGCGACTCCTCAAACATCCGCATCTTTGCTCAAACCTTCTCCGGCTCGTTCAACTCACTCCGCTCCGTCGGCGTGAGCGTTCTCGGCCGAAACGGTCCTCGACGGCATCTCCATCGGCGGCGGTGACATCTGCACTTGCGAGGACCTCGTAGTCGTCGGCGACATGAGCGCAGCGTACTGCATAGCTAAGCACACCATTAGTCTCGCTAGGTCATCAAAATACATTCGATACGCGCACCTTTCATATCGCCTAGTCCTGTCTGGATCCCATCCCACAACATCTTCATCGCCGTACACATATCCTTGCACCTGCACCCCTCGTACAGCGCCGTCCAGGCCTTGCTGTCGCCAGGATTAGGGTACAGAATGAGAGTTGCTTGGTAGGCGCCGCCGTAGGTCGAGGTGATGACGTCGAGGGTGGCGGAGCGGTGGGTGAGGCCTCGCGCGGCGAAGAGGGCGCGGGCGTCGGCTGCAGAAGCATTAGTGCGTGGAGCTCATATACGAAGGATTTTCGAGGTGGACGTACTCAGGATCATGTCCTTTACGTCCTTGATGTAGGCAAGGGCTTCGCGCTGCTGGCGGACGTCTTCGGGGGACATGGTGGGCGCGGGTTGGGATTGGGATAGGAGATTGGAAACGCGGAATGGAAGGTCGAAGATTTGCGAGGACGGAAGCTGGAGAGGAGGAGAATGGAGATGGTGCGCTGGAGCGCAGCAAAAGGTGGTTGACGGTTAGCGCCGTCCTCGAGCTCGCGGTGAAAGAGAAATCGTTCACTTCAATTCCTCGCTAGCGGCGCGTAAACGTCCCGAAACCAGCTTGCCAGGCTACTAGGTCGTCGCAGAGTCGCAGGCTCAGATGTCGGTGGGGTGGTGGGTCTGCCACTGGCAGGCGTTAAAACCTTCCGTCGCTTGACGCTGCCTATACCGAACCGTGGATACCTGACCGTGGATCCATGGTCTACCAACTCGCTTCCGCCTGCGGAGGGTGGAACACAGCCTCTTTTTTTTTTCTAGTACTGCATATGGAGTATTGTTGCATCTTCAGTTTGACGGGAGAGGTCAGTGAATGCTGAGGTCAAGATGCGCAGTGCGGACACAGGTAACACTGGCGAGACCTTTCACTGTTCAATACGCCTCCTCTGCGTTGACATCCTTGTTACATTTGTTCCTCTTCCTACCCTCAAACATGTACTCTCAATGATACTAAGTCAGATATTCCACTCGCAGAAGGGGGTTGGGAGGCGAGCAGTTAGGAGGCATTGCCAGTTATTAATCCTAATGAATGCGGTGTGTAGCATGGTTGGAGGAATCGCTCTGAGATACGATTCAGCATCCTAAACTGGAGCATGCTGAGTAATTTCTCATTCGCAGAACTTGGGATAAAGAAGAATTGCGACAGTACTCTCACTGGATTAAACGTACCATCACCGTAAAAGGAGTGAAGATTTCTATGTCTTATATTGAGTGTAATTCCAAATCAGACCTTTCTAGCCGTGAACACTTCAAAGCCTTGCTCATCTTTCCACAGTGATGTCCTCCAATCTCCTCTCTGGCTCCTTGCTCCTCTACGGCTCAGACATCGTGGTGTCGGACTAGTCATCCCCACAGTAAGCGAAGCGACGCGGGTGGGAACGAATTGAAGAAGGATGGCAACACTGGTTCATGTGGCTGTGGAAGACGGCGTCGCCAGGAGCATCTTCGTACTACCCTAGCATTGCATATGCGCGTGGGTAGTTTGGCTCGGCATGTTATCTATGTACTTTTAGGGCATGTGGCGGTCCTGCCGGTGGAGCGTACAGCAAGTCACGGTTGAGCTGCTCAAGATCGTAAGGGTTGAGTGATCTTTCCCGATAGCCTTGGGCATGTTGTTTAGCTGGAAGCGGTTGTCCGTAGAATCCCCCACGGGTCGTGACGAATTTGAGCGCGAGCTGCAGCATACCAGTCCCGAGCGGCAGGAGCATAAGCTTCTCGAGCGGGAAACATACCACGCTGTCCTAGAACATCGGCTAGCCGGACCCGTGGCTGGAATTCCGGTGCATATGGCGGTGTCAAGTTAGCCGATCCCCCGTAGGACGTGCTTCCCATCGACGCAGGCTCGTGGAACTCCTCAAATTCGTCATCAACAACCGCGGCGCGCAAGCGCGGAGGCGAACTGGGCTTCTGACGCCGTACGCCATCGCGTATCGCGATCGGTTCTCCAACCGCAACATCTCCAAGGAGCCTATACGCTTCTTCATAGACGAACTCAAGCAGGTCGTGCATAGCGCCAATCTCTGAATCCATCCTCCCGCTTCGGCACAAGACCTTGCGATCGCCTAGACCCGGGCTTGTCATGGGGACGACGAGTACCTGGAGCGTGTTGTTGCGCCTATCGCGGCAAGTTGTCAGCTTGAGTGCCCTTGGAGCCGTGTGGCAGACAAATTCGGCGTGCGCTGCCAGAGTTAGTGGACGAATGCATGGTGTAGTATGGCAGTGGGACGGAGGATCCTCGATTCAAGATGCTCGGGGCTGAGAGTGGACGTCTTGACCGTTTTGAAGTGATGGTGCGAGAGAGACGAGGGTCAGAACTGTTGTGGTTATAGGGGTATCATGGGGATTGACTCTTTGTGTGATTGTTACTCTGAGGCATGCTGACCGCAATAGGTACAAATTATGCTTTGTTGCTGAAGCTCTCAATCCATTGTGTTGTTATCCTTTTAAGAATGTTCTTGGAGATGTTGCGGCTGGATGGCCGTGATCCAATGTTTGACATCCTTCTCTTCCCAGAAGTTACCCAACGTAGCTAGAAGGAGTAACATGTAATTTCTGACAGGCGGGAAAGGTGCAGTGGCTTCCGTAAGAGAAAACGGCACGACTCCGAGATATGGGTCCTAACGCCACTTAAGATCGCATCATGCGGTAAAAAGCTCTGTACCAGCGGTGGCATTGAGCATTCTGCAAGCGCCAAATACTGAACCTCTTCCCTGAGCGAGCCCTTTATCCAGAATTAGCCATTGTCTAACATGACCTAACACCCTCACCCGTGGCGAGCTTGTGGAGGCTGCCGATAGGGCCTATATCCTCTCTGTGGCGGCTCGGCCGGCATCCGGTATGCCTTATAGGCAAGTCGAGGTACAGGAGGCACCGGAGGTACTGGCTCTGCGAATCCTTGCGATCGTAGGTACTCCGTGGTAGCATGGTGAGATGTCGAGCGATCGCGAGAGGCATCTGGAATGATTTCTGGCGTGGAACGGGAGTGAGAGAGAGCTTTGCGGGGCACAGTCACAGTTCGCCGCTTCGCAGAAGCTTCCTGGTGTTCCGTCAGGTGCTGAGGAGAGTGACAAGCCTTGGGCGTCTGGTCGCCGTCCGCTTGAGTATGCCGATATCCGATCTTCTCGCCTGGTGCGCTCGACTGCAAGTAGTAGGCCATCTCCTTTTCCATTTCTGCAAGGAGAGAGTGCATGGCCTCGACTAAGCGCCCATGCGATCCCCCTTTGCGAAGGAGTGTTCCCTCTGTAGAGCCGCTAGGACCGGAATATGCTATTAGCGCGGCTCGAAATATGTCGCCCGCTGCGGAAACTTCACGGGAAGTTACCACGGTGTATCCATGATGAATTACGCGAGGCGACGCTCCATGAAGAACCGGAGCATTGTCTGCTATAGTCAGCTTTAGTATTGCCATTGCACATATCTACTCACGAAGGATTCTGGCGCGCAGGTTATCATACTCTGCGATTTCTACACGCGACATAGTGAGCCGTGGATGCTTTGCTATGTTTCGAGTGCAATTGAAGTATTCGGGCTAGAGCGGAAAAAATCTGCGCCGGAAATGGCCGAGCGGAGGTGAAAGTGCGAACGCACAGCACCAGGCGTTGTTGAGACAACGGGCAAACGAAGGAGATGCACCGCTACCAATGACGACTGTTGAGCGACGAGGGCAAGGTAAGTCATAGGGTTATATGGATGAGGATGGTCTGGAGATACTGCCTATCATGCTTGAGTGTGATATCGCAAGCCGTAGGGTACAGGAGTGGATGTCGTCTGAAAATTGGATGAACTCCTAGTTACGATGGCGTAAGGAAGACAGCTGCCTTCTCATTAGTGGCCGTCCGCAGATTCCTCCTTTGCCTTCCATCAACGAAATGGCAAGAGCATCTGAACTCCTTCATGGCGAGGTCGCGGCAGTGGTCAGGGCCGGAAGGGAGCGAAGGGAGCGAAGGGAGGGACCATAATAGGATAGGGATTGCATTACTCCTATGATCACCGCGTTATAGATCGCACGCATCGTAGGTTACGTATTAGAGATAAAGAATTGAATGCCTTGATGGAAGGACAGAGGTTTCCTCTGCGAGCCGCCGACGTCCAAGGTCTGGAGCTGCACCGAAAATCCACCAATCCACATTCAGCCTAGCCTCTCTAATCCCTGCCATCCGATCTCTGCACGTTAATCTTTCCACACCTCCTGCACCTTCTTCAAGAGGTCCTCCATGGCCTGATTCAAGCTCAATTTAATGCCACTCCGACTCAGCACCTTGTGCTCCACGTCGACCTTTCCAGTGCCTTTATGCGTTTCGTCGTAGCCGACCAGAATGACGCGATATTCGCCGCGACTCCGGGTGCGGCTGCTGGTGACGATGTCATAGGTCCGCGGCCTCCCGTTGATCGAGCCGCCGTGCAGGAGCTTCGCGTTCGCTGCGTGGGTTAGAAGGGGATGACGTCAGGGGCCGAACAGCGTTGATGACATACAAAGGATAAGAGATTTGATATGGAAGAAGACGTCAAGCGAGTCTCTCGTGTTTTGCGTGTTTGCGGACATGGCGACGGAAATAGATCTGAAAGTGTGGGTTCGGCTTTGAGGAAGAGAAGGGAGGTACTGGCGTGAAGCGTCGCTGCTTGGGAGGGATATATCTCTGCGCTTGTATGACGCAAAGGGCGGAGGCTCAATGGCGCATCTCAACCTGTTTTCGAGTTCTTTCAGGGTCCTGTCGACGCCTCCTACCAGTCGGGAGCTCCCAGCATCTTGAGGCTGGTTCTGGGAGATCTGCTTCTTTGTCTACAATCCGCTCGGAAGCCTCCGCACAGATGGTGCGCAACCGACCTAGTATCATGGAGCTAAGAGCGAGCCTCCATTTCTCATGCGCAGGCAAAAAGTCACCGTTGCACTGCATTTCACGAGTCAGAAACACCCTCTCAGTATGTCCTAGGAACATGCTTTGATTTCCCTCTTTTCTCTCGCAACCAATGTCGACTGAGACGTGGCGGCGTTACCATCCTCCATGTACATCCCCCGCCCTGGCTGGCTTCAGCAGTCTATCAATAATCTAACCAGCCTGCTTGTTCCGATCGTGGCCGCTTGTTGTTGAAGTCTCCACGCGGACCTTTCGGAGCGTCCTGGTACCGGCGGTGGAGAGTCTGGGTATCATCAACCGGGCCAGAATCCTTCACGGCGGACTTGTACTCGGCGAGCTCGAACTTGCCACTGTCGCCCCTAAAGCCCTGTTGACCGTAGAGCTGGTCACCGACGTCGAACTTCGCTGCTTACGATCAGCGGGCGGGTAAGGGTTGAAGAGCTTCGCCCTGGGCCTTACCGAACAGAAGCCCGGTATCCCTATGTAGGCCATCTACGATCGCGCGAGTAGCGGCCAGAGGGCAGGCAGCGACCTCCTTGCGCAGGATCTTGGACGCGCCGTCATAGGAGCAGACGAGGACTGCGCCATGCTTGCCCTCTTCTTCGTTGTAGCACGTAACGACATCTATAGATCTATCAGCGGGACCTCCGACAGATTACAGACAGAGGGAGCATGCCGAAGAATTTACTGCGCTCGCTGCCGTAGAGGAGGCGCGCGTTGCCGAGGGCCAGGTTCTTGAGGTTCAGAGCTTGCTCCACCTTGCGCTGTCAGTTGAATGAACCGGCAGGAAGCTGGTATGCATGCCTTGGCCGGATCGTTCAGCCAGCTATCCGGTTCGACGGTCTTGCCATTCTCCATAGCCTTGCAGATCATCAAGGCATTTGCGTTCATCATGCCGCTTGGTTCGGAGGGCTTGGGAAAACGGATAGAGTGGTGTTTTTGCTGTTGGGGTCCGGCGGTTGTGAAAGAGCGTCTCGCACCAATGAGGATTGCCAGCGGCTGGTAGTGAGGTGGAAGAAAGAGGAAGTATAGAGGGACGGGTTGGGGGTTATATACCTGACCTCTCCGAGTTCGGTGAGGCGGCGGGGGGGGGCCATCGAGTAAAAGACGGTGAGCTCGTCGAGCGCTCTATCACGCAAACTTGGCCATCCGAGACTTGAGATGACGCGATCTCTCACTTCCGCGCGTTCGAGCGTGTTTGACAAATGAGAGAGGCCGTCGTCTAGATCCCAAACGTGAGCGTTAGCAGGATGCTGTCCAACTTAGGGCGGAATGCCCTGAAAGAAGCTGGCTCGCGGTCACAGCTGGTAAGAGGCCTTCGGATACCCAAAGCGGGGTCAAGGGAAAGGACTTTATACCTTGAAGGACTCACGTTGTTGTGCATGTGCTCAGTCATCAGACCAGGTCATGAAGTTATATTGATTGTGCATGCTGATCAATGGCGTAGACACAAACAGCATTGCCGACAGCGACAATCACCAACCCATCATCGCGCCAACGGCCTCATCTCGACACGCCAATGCCGAGTCTATCCCAGGACTCGCGAGAACCCCAAAGCCCCATCAACTATGATAATTCGCGCCCTAGAACGTACCGCCGACTCGAAGATCAAGCGATCTAGTCTCGCCTCTCATTCATACCTCGCAATTCGACTTGCTTTTCACCCTCCTGGTCATTGTCTGGATCGGCGTCGCCATTAAGTGCATAGCCTCCACCTGGTCTTTGGCGGTGGTCTTGAGTACGATCTCACCTTGCTTCAAAATCCTCCCTAAGCCGGATATCTACTTCGGTCCCTATGCCACTCACAGAAGTCCATGAGGTCAAAGGGCTGAACGATGTTCTTGTATTGGTTCACGCACGGTAGATCTCTCACCGCGAACTCAAGAGTGTTTGGGAGTATGACGGTACATGGTTTACAATATACTACTGATACAGAGTGTAGTTTGGCCGCATCCTTTCCTGAATCGAATCGTTCTGCTAACGAGGTGACGTAGTTCGCATCATTTTCTCTTGATTGCGCTGACCAGGTCATCACTGCGACGGTCACGCAAAGACTCCCCCAAGAATTCTGGCGCCTGGACCATTCTGCAAACGCTTCGGTTGAAGCATGCCTATGTTTCATAGAGCGGCGTTGGTTGCCTAGCACATTGTCGAAAGATTGAACCTATCATACGTGCGGGACCCATGCGGTCACCTCACCGAGCTGCTCTTCGCCGACCTCTTATTGTTAGAACGCGATAAGATTATGGCAAGTCTTCTTCGCCATTTAGGGTGTTCATCCGCCGCATTACTCCCACCAGATAGGCCTCCAGTTGTTTTAGCCCCTAATGATTCCTTCACCGGGCGCAGAAAACCACGTTTTTATTCAACACTGACAGCAACTTGTTGAGAATGGTGCACCCGACGCTATGCGATCGCGTCCTGTCATAGTGATGCCTGCGGTATTTGCGCGTGGTCATCTTGTGCAGCGTCAAGCCACCGATGCACCGCCACTCCATCCATCATGCGCCACCCGCTGCAAATTACGCGCCTGGGCGTGACCGGTGAGAGTGCGCTCCTCAGCTGACGGCAATGCCTCGAACTCCCACATTTTCAAACAAGACATAAAAACTATTTTGCTTCGCCGCTGGCTGGAGTTTTCCTCTACATACCCAGCATCACTCTTCCTCGTTTCGAAGAACCGTATGGCATCGAAAGAAGAAGCGCTAGCCGCCTTTGCAAGCGAGAAACTCGTCTCATCGCATTCTTTCAACTTCATCGAAGGATGGATTGGTTCCGATCACCAGTTGCACACTCGAAAAGGCGAGGTGGCGTTCGATGATCTCCCTGACTTCCTCAACGGCAGCAAAATTACCGAGAAGCCACAAGAGCCAGGGAATTCTCACCGTTTTCGCGTCCTCTCCTTTCCGCGTCTGGAGAATGGCCGCCTAAAGATTGCATTTCCAAGAGAGACATACCAGCAGATTAAGCGCAGCTGGCGCCTGCACGACTTCACCCTGGAAGCCTTCCTCAACAACAATGGCATCCTATGCAGCTTCAACACTAAGGAAACCAAAAGCATTCTCATGAAGGTCACGGCCTCGCGATCTGTAGGGTTTGATACTGTCTCTATCGTACATCACCGCCCGCAAAACGTCACGTACGTGCTGTACCACAGCCTTGAAGACGAGGCGGGTATCTTCAACTCCCTGCTCGCGCATCCGGAGCGCTGCCTCCAGCCGGCTTTCTTCGCTGCGGTTCTTTACCGATGCCATCAACAGCGCGTGGAGCGCTTCCGCAATAAGCTCGATGACGAGATTGTTGCCATAGAGCGTGGCACCAAGCTCGGTGGACCTGGAAGACTATTCGGCCATCGCTACAAGCACGAGGAGCCGACTGTGAAGGTCGATTGCGACAGCACCACACAGAAACTGAGCTATGTGCAGACGGAGCTTGCAGTCGGCAGCCACACCGCGCGATCAAGCCTCAAATGTGGAGAGTGGCTTGTCAAACTTGCAGAGGATGATCATGCTGAATGGAAGAAAGCTGCGGGGACGCTTGAGGCAGGCAAAACCGAGCTGGAGATATTATCGGCGGACAATACAAGGAAGACTCTCGACGAAGCAGAATACGTGCGACGGCGTGCGGAAACCGTCCAGTCTCAGCTCGAAGCGGTAGGCGACCGCGTCCGAAGCCAAACAGCCTTCGTAAGTTCACCTCCCCCCCTTCTGCTCTCCCGCCTCCTACTATACTAAACTCTTCCTAGCTCCTCAACACAGCCGCTCAAACGCAATCCGACTACTCCGCCACCATCGCCCTCGAAACGCGCCGCGATAGTTCAGCTATGAAGACCATCGCCATCATGACCATTCTCTTCCTGCCCGGCACCTTTGTCGCTACCTTGTTCGGCATGGATATGTTTAGTTGGGGGAGTGAGGAAGGCGTTGGGGACCCTAAGGTGAGCAGGTTCTTCTGGGTATATTGGATTATTAGTGTGCCGTTGACGTTGTTCGTTGTGGTTACTTGGTTGCTGTGGACTAGGAGGGATTTGGGGCGGTGGGGGAGGGTGAAGAGTTGGAAGGACCTGGAATAGGGATAGGAGACCTTTGGGAAGGTTACGGAGGAACCCGTGACCGAGATATGAGGAGGGTCTGGAGTATATCAAGATAGCCCTTACGATAACATGAATATCCCGTTCCGTTCCTCCAGCGTCATCGGCATACTCTCTGCGAGATCCTCCGAGATGCGCGCACGGAACACCGTGCCGGAGAGAATTTCCCCACGTCCTGCACGGATGACCGATGACCGCTTTCCCTACTTACCTCACCTGCAAGCTAGCACGACCAGGTAAACATCCGTTTCTTAGCGTGCATTCTTTTTACAGACGATCTCGTACGTCGCCGACAGCGCCACTAAGATGCGACTCCCAGGCGTCCCACGGGGCGTCAGGACCGGTTAGGTGCGCTAGATATCTGATGTCAGCGCAGTCTTATATACCCATACAGAGGGGATTAAATAACACTAAATGCCGTGAATTGCAGGCCGGCGATTGGGGTAACTCAGGTGGAAAATTGAGGCAGAATCATACCGTAGGGCATCCAGCATCATACCCGGGCCTGCTTGGACTAGTAAAAGGACTACATGTATAGCAGCCTCCCCACCCATACTTCTTTCTTCCGATTTTCCACTAGCATCCAACTTATCTTTAAGTCCAAGACTAAATCCCTATCGCTACGATGGCCCAACCGAACAACAGCAGCAAAGATCTCCGTCCCATCTTCGTCTTTGACACAATGCGTGCAAGGTCCCACCTCTTCTTCCGCTATTTGTCGACAAGCCCGGAGCTAAAGGCCGTCTACCACCCGATACTCATGGCCGCCTTCCTGGGACCGGAACGCTGGGCGCAGCATAGCCGCAACTCGTCTGCAAGGACTAAAGAGCTGATGGAGGATATGTTGCCGTTTATCGGCGAGGAAACGTACGAGAGCGAGCAGAAGAGGTTCCTGGCCGATGTTGAGGGGGCGCGGAAAGAGGTAAGTTGAGTGTTGCAGGACTGCGCCCGGAAAGCTAGTAGAAGACCGACAGGCTCCCAAATGGAGTCCCCAAATCCAGCTTTGATCGAGCCCTTACGGTGCAGGAACAATGGGCTGACGAGCGTGTTTCGCAGGGCAAAATCGCCTTCGCAAACGAGCACATCTTCAACGTCCTGAAGCAGCCCATCGTCCACGGCATGAACCGGGACCCCACCTACTCCCTCACCGCCCTCGGTCCCAACCCAACATACATCCCAGACCCAATCTTCGCCGCCCTCAGACCCATGATCCTAATCCGGCACCCGGTGCCTCACATCAACTCCACCTATCGCAGCGTCATCGACATAGGCATGCAGATCCGCACCGGCGACGAGGACTTGGACATCCTCGTCTCGCACCGCTATTTCCGCTACTTGTTCGACATGTTCCGCGCGCAGGGGCGGCAGCCTGTAGTCGTTGACTCGGAGGATTTGCTGTGGAGGACCGGGGAGGTTACGGAGAGGATATGTGAGGAGTTGGGGGTGGATAGGGAGGGGTTGAGGGAGACGTGGACGCCTACGCCTGAGGAGGAGAGGCCGACGCATCCGATTTTGGCGCCGTTTACGATTACGATTCATGCGAGTAAGGGGATTGAGAGGCCGGAGAAGGTGGGTGCAGTTTCTTTCCCTTTGCTATTCTTCTTTTGAGACTGGGTGCTGATGATGCTGCTTCTAGCCTGATGATAAGGATTTGGGGAGGGCGTATGAGAAGTGGGTGGAGAGGTACGGCAAGGAAAGTGCAGACCACCTCAAGCATCTCGTGGAAGAGAACATGCCGCACTACGAGTATTTGAGTCAGTTCAAAGTCTGAGGCAGAGCTAGAAAGGATCGCGGCAGAGGAAGAGCATCTAGCCCCGATGGGTTGAGTGGAATCATGCTTGTAGAAATCTTTGTAGCAAAGCCCCTGACAAGCTTGTCCAATTCGAAAGCGGTTTCCCCTCATGAGGGAAGTTGGTGTCAGAGATCCATAGTTGATGTTCCATCGCTTCAGACGGATGAGTCAGCCCAAGCCTACTGGCGATCGTACGAGCTACACTCAACCACACCATCAACAACGTAATTCATGTATCAATTGCTCGTGTGACCTCTTTCCGCATCAATTCACATTATCAACCCCTTCCCTATCTCCTCCCAATCAGAACTGGCCTCAACAAGTGTCGTGTGCCGACTTACCTGTTCCTCTGCGTGCCAATACATCGCACCAGCTGCACGACACAAAAGCTCATGCCACATCGGCGCCTCAACCTGGAAAGCACCGCAAAGAAAATCTTTTCCCAACTAAGCACGCCCTCCCAAGCGCGCCAAGTCCGCTCTTGGGCAGCCATTCCGCCACATGGCTGCGTTCCGCTCCGGGTTCCTCGTCGCGTCGTTTCCCAACGTGGGTCATCCTCGCGATCTGATTGGTCGCGTTACACCTCAAACATGCCCCCACACATCGCGAACCTGCAGCTTCAGACCCTTGGGCTCGTGCGTTCTCGATCTAGGCTTGCAGAATGCTTCGGTACATGTCGTACTTTGGGATCTTGTGCTTTGCAGTTAACGAAAGGCGGGCGAGGGAAATGTCACCATAGCGGGGGCAAGTAAGAGATGCGGGCGAGCTGATTTGGCACAGTAGCACGCGAGCATGGGTGGAACGGCGGTACTTCGTGTGTGAGGCGCCGCAGAGATGCCTCGGAGAAGAGAGGGAAGGTGTTACGGGAGTGGGTCTGGGGTCTTCATAAACCCTTCAATCCCCCCGTTTTAGCGTTGCCTTCTCTTCAGGAAGGGTGATCTGTTGAGAGGGTACTACTTCGTAGCTGGGACCTCGCTGAATCCTAGGCACACGATCACTATGTCTCGAGTCGTGCACAAGTCAGTCTCTCCTTGATTCTACCTCGACGGTTTCCCAATGCTGACCTAATGGCAGGACCGCCGGCGGTAACGCTGCTTTCCACAACTTCCACAATGACTACGCACATATTGCCGATCCGAACGAGCGGCGACGTCTTGCTCTCGCTGAAATCGATAAGGCACCGTTCGGTTGGTATCATGTTCGCGCTATCGTGGTAGCCGGAATTGGCTTCTTTACTGGTATGTTCTGCAACGTACTACAATGATGAGGCATAGCTGACGGTGGTCATAGATGCCTACGATCTCTTCGCTGTCAACATGGTCACTTCCATGCTGGGAGTAGTCTTCTGGCAAAACGCCACCCACTCCCCTGGAAAGATCCCTTCAAACGCCGACACCGCCATCAAGGTCGCAACATCAACCGGTACCGTCATCGGTCAGGTCGGGTTCGGTATTATGGCAGATATCGTAGGACGCAAGAAGATGTACGGTCTCGAGCTCATCCTCATTATCTTCGCCACACTCGCTCAGGCACTCTCTGCTCACTCACCGGCTTGCTCCATCGTCGGCGTCATCGTTTTTTGGCGAGTACTAATGGGTATTGGTATTGGCGGTGACTACCCGTTGAGTTCGATCATTACCTCGGAATTCGCGACGACGAAATGGCGAGGCGCTATGATGGGCTCTGTGTTCGCCATGCAGGGTATCGGCCAGTTTGCTGCTGCTATGGTCGCTCTGATCGTCACGCAGGGGTACAAGGATTCTTTAATGCAAGCAAAGACCGTCGACCAGTGCGATGGTGCTTGCGGACTAGCTGTCGATAAAATGTGGCGCGTGGTCATCGGCTTCGGTGCCGTTCCCGGCTGCATCGCCCTCTACTACCGCCTCACGATTCCGGAGACCCCTCGGTATACATTCGACGTGGACCGCGACATCGTCCAAGCTGGCTCGGATGTGAAAGCGTTCAAAGCCGGCGCACCGAAGGGCCACCCTGACGAGATCACTCGTGTTCGCGCCAAGGAGAATGATGCCGCCCAGCTCGAGATCCCTAAGGCGTCTTGGGCCGATTTCTTCTCCTGGATCCGCAAGTGGAAGAATGGCAAAGTCCTACTCGGTACTGCTGGTTCTTGGTTCCTGCTCGACGTAGCCTTCTATGGTAAGTCAGGCCCGAATTGCCTTCATTAGGGGGAGCCATCTGCTCACACTTCATAGGTCTCGGTCTCAACAACTCCATCATCCTCACACAAATAGGCTACGCCAAAGGCGAGAACGTCTACAGGATCTTCTTCAACCAAGCCGTCGGCAATCTAATAATAACCTGTGCGGGTGCTATCCCCGGATACTGGGTACGCCAACCCCGTGCTACAAATTATCGCAGTGAGCATATGCTAACCGCAGCGCGTCCAGGTAACCGTCGCAACGGTAGACACAATCGGCCGCAAACCCATCCAGCTCGTCGGCTTCGTCATCCTCACCGCAATCTTCGTCGCAATCGGCTTCGCCTACCACATCCTGTCCGGCAAAGCCCTCCTCGCCCTCTACGTCCTCGCGCAGTTCTTCTTCAACTTCGGTCCCAATGCGACAACCTTCATCGTACCCGGCGAGTGCTACCCCACGCGCTACCGGTCCTCTGCCCACGGCCTCTCCGCCGCGAGCGGCAAAGTCGGCGCAATCATCGCCCAAGTCCTGATCGGCCCGCTGCGCACCCGCGGCGCGAAGCCCGGCTCGAGCGACTCGCCCTGGCTCAACCACGTCATGCAGATCTATAGCGTGTTCATGTTCGCGGGCATCTTCACGACTTTGCTGATCCCCGAGACCAAGAGGAAGACGCTGGAGCAGCTGGCGGGCGAGGTCGAGGGCACGCCCGAGTACGACCCTGAAAACGTGCGGAGGCGCGATTTCGAGAAGGCCGTCGAGGTTGCGCAGGATGCTGCAAAGATGGCTTGAGCTGTTGGACAAGTACACCTTGGAAATCAAGTGTGGAAGCGACATGCGTGTGAGGCGAACTACTCTAGAAGGAGGGGCGGGCGCATGTTGCGAATGAGATAGATAGAAATCGGATACCCATGTTTATTTATGTTTAACAAGAAGTCAGCAAATGCTAAGGTTTCAAGCGCTAAACCATGTATTAGTGAATGTTTTGGATGTCGTAACGTTCTCTGTTGTGCGTGGAAGTGAATGAAGCGCACGGGCCACTATGATGAAGATGAAAGTGAAGGTGAAAGTTCACCGTGCTATTGTAGTGCAGTAATCGACGGAAAAAAGACAACTTGCCCTTTTAGGAAGGTTGGGCTCCGGATAAAAATTCGCGCATGCTCCGTATCAAGTCAATATTTTACCAGAACAGGCACCCGCGCTCGCCCTCTATATCTCTAGTTGTCTCCAAGAGCTCTTTTAATACCTAAGAATTGTGTGCAAGGACTTGAAACTAAGAGTCCTTCTGTTGCGTTTAGCGTACTATGCATATCATCTGAGCGGTCTGCGATCGCTTTTGGCAACTTCTCTTTGATCAAGCTCGCGGACAGGTAATTATCGCTCAGTGAGATGCATTCCAGTAAAGACGAAGAAGTAGGTGTTTATGTATGGAAGAAAAATGCCCAAGCCGAGCCCATCCTATCCTATTCTACGCACGAACCATGCGTTCCAAAAATGCCAGGGGGATGCAGAAACAAAAACACTAGATATCGCAAAGGAAATAAATGCCGTACCAAGATGGTCTCGCAGGGTGAACCGAACTAAGCCAAAGATTAAAAAAACAACGCAAAATTTCGCGCAAGTATAATTATGCCTCCACTTTGCTCGTGTTCTGCTGTCGCAAGAAGCCCTCTACAGATGGCTCATCCTGCTCATCAATCTTCCTATCGAGCTCCTTCTCTTCGGGGCTTTTGACGCGCTTTGGAGTTTTCTCCTCGGCCTTTTCTTCAGACTTCTCCCCGCTTCCGCTGACGAGACTTGTTACGGTGCTGGCGGCTGTGCCGACTGTCGAGGATACGGCGGCGGTAGCCTGCGCGGCTACTTGCTTTGCTTGGTCGATGTAGCCCGGAGCAGGCGGCTCCTCGGGCTTCACGGAAACGTCCTTGGGTGCTTGGCCTACCGTGCTAGGCTCCATGGTCACGGTCTTGTCGCCGTGGCCATGGTCGTTGACGGCCGCGTGCGGTGTGCCGTCGGACAGTTGACCGGAAGCGTGCGTCATGTGCTGCTGTTCGTAGCGGGTATCGGAAGTGCCCTCGCGGAGAGGTAGTGCGGTCTCGTCGCGCTTGTCCGCCCTGGACTCCGCCCTCGACGCTGTGGTAGAGGTTGCCGGGGTTGTTGAAGATGTAGCCTGCGATTCTGGCGCAGGGGTAGCCGACGGGGTTGGTGTATCAGATGGCGGGGTCATGATGTCGAGATTGTTCTCGTCAGTGTCCGGTGGCTGAGTATCAGTACCGACTCCCAGCATTGCGAGCTCGGCCTCGTCGACCGGTGTATTGACAACAGCTGGACCGATGACTTTCGGAAGCACGGGGTTCGGGATGGTGAAAATGGTCTTTCTCCTCGGCTCGCCCTTCTCGCTACCCACCGCTACGGCCTTAATGACGCCGTTCTCGCCATCTTCCCACCTTATGGGTCCGATCGGCAGCGTGTTCTTGCCCTTCTGAGTTGAGGGGTTCTCCCACTGGATTGCTGCTTCTATCTCTGGTTCCAGATTGGGCATGTTGCCGAACTCAAAGTCAAGTTCTCCGCCATATTTCTTGGGGATGTTTTCGGGATCGATGTACTGGGAGAGTGTCGGGTAGACGTTGGAGGGAGAAAGGATGAAGATCTTGGAGACTGTAATCGGGTCAAACCAGCGCTTAATCCAGCCCCAAACGGTAGGAAAGAAGGCAGGCGCGCCGATGATGAATATCCTGTCCAGAGTCTCTGGATAATGTGCGGTTGCCAGCTGCGATGCATCTTGCATATGGTTCTTCAGGTTCCAGAACTGCTTCAGCCCCACACCGCTGATGTCCACAATATTGTTACTCTGCGATACAGGCGTCTCCGGATGCTTTCGGTCTATGGCGGAGCATAGGGGAAGTACAAATCTCGTCAGCGACTCGTACAGCGCGAACAGGCGGAGGTTCTTGGTAGCGGCTTTGGGAGACGTTGTTCGAGCTTTAGCAAGCTCCTTCTCGTAGGCTGATATGTTCTTCGAGTTGAGAGGCGCGACTTCGAATAGGAAGAGAGGAATTCCGCGCTTGTCGCGTCGACCGAGCCATTGGGGATACTGCGCGCAGCTGTCAGCGGTAGCTCCTTGTAGTGCCGAACATGGGTCGCAGTACCAAACGGCGCGTCTGCTCGAACTCTTCCACCTCGATTGTGTTGAATAGTTCGTCCAGCCCTTGATCTTTTCGCCAGTCTTCGGTGTCCTTGAACTGCTTGAAGGCCTCTTGGGGAACGAAACGTCGCGCGCGCAGGAACCGTCTGTGTATGATCAGTACCCCGCCCGTACCAAAGTTACAGAGCCTTACAGCAGCGTCTCGTCGTCATGGCTTGCTGGAGCCCCGCTGAATAGGTTTGGCGGTGTATAGTAGCCTGCCTGCTCGCATATTTTCTTGAATTCGTCGAGCTGCACTTGTTGATTCTCGCTGAGATGCGAGTAGTGGCCGGACGGGTACTGAAAGGACTCGACGCGCTTGAGGTCGGCCATGGTCGCCTGTAATAGAAATTATGCGATGTATTAGGAGGAGAGTAGAGACTCCAGGGGCGATGAGACTGGCTATAGAGTCTCTAGGGCGTCATGCTGTTGGTCTATTAGGCCTGCGGCGGATCGCAGTGATGCAATTAGTCTTAGCGCACCAGCCCGAGGCTGCGGCGTCGGTGTCTCGAAAAGTGCGGACTCTGCTTACGCCGATCGGACGAATGACTTCAGCTCAGTGAGCGGAATAGCTCGCGATACTGAAAGCGAGCAAGTCCCGTTATTCAAATGAGACATGAGAAGCGCCATGCTCACCCAAAGCGCCCTTTTGCCTCCGCGAAGAAGCTGGGAGCATTTCCGCACCGTTCCGAGGGCTTGCCAAGATGTAGCTGATTCGTTAGGCAGATTATACAGTACGGCCGAATGAATCATCGAGGTGAGCCTTCTTTTTGGTGCTGTTGAGGGAGTAAATCTTTGGACGCAGAAAACCCCTCTTAAGTGTGAGGCCATTATTTAAGGCACTATGCTTAGAAAGACTATCAGATTTGGTTCCAGATGTGCAGTATCGCGGTATCAGTTGCCGAGGCTGATTATGTCACCACTGACGACATCCCTCGACCATTGAGAATTCGATGACCGCGGCGATGAACTGCCGTCATTCACGCCTCAGCGTGCAACTATATTCTTAGAGGCGCTGCTCACTGAGAACACAGCATCAACGGCTTCAAACGACGATTCCGCCAGCGCCATGGCACCCTCCTTCACGACGCTGCCCACCGAGATCCTCGAGACCATATTCCTGCATCTCGACCCGCAGTCGCTTGTCTCGGTCTCGCAGACAAACAAATTCGTCAAGAAGATCACGAGCGAGCGGTCCATCATATGGCGCCATTTCTGCAAAACGCACTTCAATTCATGGGCGCCGCGCCACAACTTTACCGCCAAATTCGCCGGTCCGCTCTCTGACGTCGACTGGCGCGCCCTCTTTCTTTACCGCATCAACGTCAAGCGGGAGACGTTGCGGAAACTCGACCACATCCTAGGCACTCAACAGGGTCGCATACGGTACATCAATGAGATTGCGGACTTTGGCTATGATGCAAAAGAGACATTACTCAAGGAATGCGCATGTCCAGATGACGCGGAAGACGTGCTGGCGAGGCGGTATTATGCCAATGCTATACTGGAACGGATTCAGCGCGAGATGGCCATCAATGTTTGGAAAGACTTGTACAGCGGCAAGGACATCCCTATTGAAAAAGCTCTGGGCGCATACGACATGTTCGCCAGGACAGGCGGAGATGTAGATTTCGATGCCATAACCGAGGATCTAGACCGGATTCAGCAGGCGGTGTTGGAGCACCATCCCGACTTCAGAGATATGAGCACACGGACGAAGGCATCCACGTTAGCTAGCTCGCTCCGTGAACAAGGCTTTGAAGGCGTTCCGGATGCTGCCCGCAGCGCTCTACGAAACTCCTTCATTGGATTAGTGCTGCGCTCGCCGACCCATGATTCTCTCCCGCTGATTTCCGTGGCCATATACTGTGCCCTCGCACAGCGTCTCGGTCTGGATGCGCGTCCATGCGGCTTCCTCTTCCACGTGTACTGCTTGGTTTATGCACCTAAGGATTACACGCTAGATGGCGACTATAAGCCCACGAGCTCCTCAGACCTAGACTTCATGTACTTGGATCCATTCCGTTCCTCAGACGAGGTCCGTCAGGGCGACTTGCGACAAGTCCTGCGCGAAATGGGCGTCCCGTCCTCTGAGCACGCAAGCTTCCTCTCCGACACAAACACACGTGAGATGGTGCTCCGCACGGCACGCAACATCATGAACTCCGTGCAAACAATCCGCCAGACAGAAGCTGGTGTCTACGGCATTCACTCCACATGGCTCGACGCCTACCCAGACATGGACAACTCATTCTACGCCACCATCTGGGCAATGATGATGCTCGGCCCGCGGGAGGATGAAGCTGGCGGCCTATCTAACATCACCTCCCGTCGACGCCAATACCTGCCCTACCTGCTTGAGCACTTTCAAACGCACTATCCCTGGGATGTCACTCTCCTAGAACAATACGTGATCCCGCTGTTCTACAACCAGCCCGAGGGTCAGAGGCTGATGTCATTCGTGCACTCAATGCACACCTTGGACGGCATGCGCAACCCACAAAAACCCCGCCACTCTGGCAGAGAAGACGTGCCGTTCAAGGTTGGGCAGCTATTCGAGCACAAGCGGTATCACTACGAGGGTGTCATTACGGGCTGGGATGCGTCGTGCGAGGCGGGCGAAGACTGGATTCTCAACATGGGTGTTGACCGCTTGGCGCATGGGCGGAACCAGTCGTTTTACCATGTACTGTAAGTACCTGTTCACCCCCCTTCTTCGTTTTCCATCCTTTCAGCCAGCATCACCTTTCTCCCGGACTTATGCTAATGATGAGCAGCGTCTGCGACAAATCCGTCCGCTACGTAGCCGAAGAAAACATCCTCCCTGTTGACCCCTCCGTCAAGCCCTCAGAAGCCATGCTCAAGCTCGCCGGCCGCCACTTCAAGCGCTGGGACGACGAGAACCACGTCTTTGTGAGTAATGTCCGGGATGAGTATCCTGACGATTAGCTCACGCCTCCCGCGTCGCTGCAGACTGGATATGTAGGTGGAGCGAGTTTTACAGATGACTTCATCTTGTAGGATGAATGGAGCCTGTGTGGGGAGGGATGTCAGGGTGAACGGGTCAGGCGTGAGTCTAGGCAAAAGGCGTTCGATACCCACATTCGCTTCCAGAATCTATATTGCTATTAAAAATCAAACTCTTTTCCGTCCCTACATGCCTTCTCTCCGCCGTCGAGTACCTCTTCTACGCCTTCGACTGGCCCCGCCAACAGCAAACCTAGTGATACTAACATCTACTCTCTCTTACTTCACACCCTCTAGCTTGCCCTACCTTGCATGGCTTCCTGTAATGCACAGCCCTGATTCGCTGACCCGTTTCTTGTACCCGCGTTTCCGGTACCGCGTTTCTAGGCTGCCTCCGCTCCGGGGTTGCACTGCAATTCTTAGCGCGGACGAGCGGTCTGCACCTACACCTCATACGGAATAGTTCATTCCAAAGTGTTCAACACCTGGAATACTCGCCGATTGAATAACGTAAACGGAGTATATACAGTCTTTTCGAATCACGTCAACCCCACGCTAAGAGATGCCGTTGATAGAGCATTCCGGTGTTCATCGTTGAGCAAGGAATGCCGGCCACAGTGAGTGCGATGAGGTACCTACAAGAGAGTTGGCAAAAATAGGGGAGTGTACCAAGTGTGCGACAATGGGTATTCTCAGTTCATATTACACGCTGCGACAACGCCACATCTGTTGGATCCCAAAAGGATTTGGCGGGAAATAGAAAAAAAGAAACCAACAACCGTACCATTCAAACGCCCTGAAATGCTTTTCCCTATCCGCATCCCTTCTTTACCGCAAGCTTTCTCAATACGTCAATAGCTTCTGCGCCCCACCCCTACTCCCCCCGTCCACACCCTCAACCTGCTTCGCAAAGCTACACCACCGATCCTTAATACTCACAACCTCATATGTGCCCTCATCCTGCACGGCAATCTGCATACGATGCTCGTGGCTAATCTCCGTCCTAATCTCCAGCACCTTACTCTTCTTGCCGCGCACCGCATTCGTACTCCGCGTGTACGTAAACTCGAACGGCGCGGTGCCCCAGAATTCAAAGACTAGATCCGTGCCCCCGCCCTCGTGGATGTCGACTTCGGTGACTTCGCCGCCAGAGAGGCGGACGGAAGGGATGGGATGGATTTCCTTTGTCAAGTTGAGGCTGGCGAGACATTCGGAGGCGGAGTCGCGGAGGCCGGTTATGGTGAAGGTTCCGGGGAGTTCGGCGAGACGTCGGAAGGTGGTACCTGCATTGGAGGCTTTGCGTTCTTGGGCGTTGAAGGTGTAGTAAACGGTGAACGGGACCTGGCCGCCGAGCGCGAAGGAAAGGCGCTCGCCAACGCAAAAGTCTGTGCGGTCTTCTAGGGCGGTAGCAGTCGGCGCGTCGTGAACGCTAATCTGTACTCTCGGTCCACCAGGCGCGGGCTTGAAAGAGCAGTCTCGCGCGTCACGGATCTTGCGGATGGAAATAGCAGAGTGGCCGAGATGTAGTTTGCGGTGCTCAATCTTGAGGTCGTACTTATTGGTCGGGATGTTCTTGTGAATGCTGACTTCGGGTTTCGGCGTGCCGTAGTGCTTAATTTCGACTTCGAGATAGAATGGTGGGACGCCTTCCAGGGTCATGGGGATGACTTCTTCACCATCGGCTTCGCGTGAGCAGTAGCTGTACGTCTTGCCGGGATTGTTGAAGCGGGCGCTGGGGCGCGGGTTGACGGTTTGTTGCACTGTGAGGGGCGAGAAGTGCTTCTTGGAATGGTCGTAGCGGCTGTCGGCGAGCTTCATGAAGGTGTATTCGTATACACCAGACTTAGAAGTATCGGCGCGGATCGGCGCTATGGCGTTATGCACTCGGAGGTCCTTTTCGCTAACAGAGACAGTCTTTCCCTTCCTATCTTTATACTCTTGCCTGTAAGAGAGGTCGTAAGGCGCATTACCTATAGCTAGTCAGTGCAAGCTGTGCATGAAAGAAAGGGTTGGACTTACCAGTTAGAGACACGTCAAAGGAATCCTCGTCGCCCTCACAGACGGCGTCTTTGACGTACTTGCCATGCTCAAAGCGGATGGAAGAAGTCTCCGCAATGCTGATCTTCGGTCTGGGTATCCAGCCAACATTGAACTGGCTAGCTTCCTCCTCGACCAATCCCGGACACACAGAGTCGCGCACAGACAAGAGCTGATATGTACCTGCATCCTGCACGTTGAGGATTGAATTGGCGTCGCGAACCTCCACCTTCTGTTTCGCTCCCGAATCAAGATTCTCGAACTCCAAGCTCCACGGCCTGGTTCCAGTGAGGCGGAGAGGGAGACCCACTGTCCTCCCTTCAAGAGCCATAACAGCTTTCTTGCCCTCGATGTGGCCGAAGTACGCCTTCGGCCGCTCGTGGCGAACCTGAACTTTGACTTCCTCATCCTCAAGGAAGACTTTGCATCCCATCTTGTCGGTGACGCTGGTCAATGCCACAGAATATTCTCCGCCACTCCTCAGCTTCTGTGTCCTAATCATGTAGTGCTCTTCTTCAATGTCCACTGCGTGTCTTGTGCGCTTGCCGTTGTGCACGAGCTCATACTCCAGTTTCCATGGGCCTTCACCCTGCAGTGCTACATCAAAGTCGACAGAATCATCAATGCAGATTTGCTTGGGCCTCTTGCCTTCCACGAAATGTGCGGAAGCGGGTGGCTTAACGTCTTGCTGCAGTATGAGATTCTGCAGGGGCCGTTCCCTGTACACTGCGTCAGAGATGGTGTTGAAAGTGTACGTGTAGTGCCCAGCTTCGTCCGTCGGCGTAAGATCCATTGTGCCTCTAAGCGAGCCGAACTGCCTCGGGGGATGGTGGATTGGTTTTCGGTTATTTCTCTGCTCTGTATACGAGAGGTAGAAGGGAGGCGTTCCGATGAAGTCCAGGCCGACGCGAAGACCGATGGGGTTGCCCGCACACTTGTCGACAATATCTTCGCTAGACAACGATAGTTCTGGTTCTGGGGGATTCTGCAGCAAGCAAGATGTAGGCTCGAGCACCTCGCCTTCGCAGAATTCGGTCGAGATCGATTTGATGGTGTACAATCCGGGTGCAGCGATGAGCGGTTGCTCTCGGATGCTTCTCATGGTCTTCTTTTGGAGCTCTGCGCTGGGGCTATGATAACCCTCCGCAACGATGTCGGCCTCGTGCGTAAAGAGGTACGATATGGTATGCGCACCATCTATGGGCTTCTTTCCGGTTGAAAAGTACTCGACAGGAAGGCGCTTGCCCTCCCCTTTCGGGGCTTGCAAGGGATTCTGCGGGCCGCACCCTTTGAGAGAAGCTTTTGGACGTTCGTGCACGCGGAAGGATTGATGGAGACCTGTGGGCTTGGCTTTTGGTCGATCCTCCTCGTCCGTCGTAACGAAGGAAATGAAATTTCCAAGGGCGTCTCGTACTTCTTCCACTGCATACTCCCATCTGCCGCCCGTAGCAAGGATTTCATTCAATGGCACTGTTATCTTCTGTGAGCGTGCCCAGGAGATGTCCTCCTGTCCGCCTCGGATGAGCGCTTGCGACGTGGTTTTTGACAACGGCGAGTTGAAGTCGTCCGGCTGGAGGTTCTGGAACTCTGATCCACCACGCGGCCTATCGTCCACGGTCAACCGGTATTTGAGGTACAGAGGAGGAACTCCTTCAACCTCCAGCGCGACATTCGAGAGATCATTTCTGCAACGGTGGTCGCCAGTTGGTTTTACTCGCGCCTGCGGACATGTTGTGACGATCAGGCTCGATGCACGCGGCCGCACCTCCAGCTTTGACTGGTCCAGAACCTTTTTGAGAAGATATACACCTGTCTTCTTCACGGTGTACCGCAGTGTCAACGGGTCTGCAGGATCTGTTGTCTTCGCCAACTTCCGTGCCTTCCTCAACAGGCCCTTGAGCTCTCCCTTCTTGATTGTAATCGTCTCATTCTGGTTACTATCGATGTCGACGCGCTGGAGGTCGATTTCAATAGGCTCGGTCTGGTTAATGAGGATGGGAATATCCACGTGGGTGACGGAGGAATTAAGGCAGAAAGGCTCCTGGTTGGGGTTCAGAATCGCCGACCTAATCTGTTAGCAACGCCTGGATTGCATGGAAGTCCACATACCCTTCAGGGAGAATGTTGATGATCTTCTTCCCCAATATGAGAGATGCGTTGTGCAAGATGGGTCCGGGTTTAACGCTCCGCTCGCTGATAGCCATCTCGCTGTCCCACAAAAAGCCAGCGAGCGAGATCAGCCACGCTTGCAGGGGAAGACCAATCCGGAACATGAGGATGCCGTCCAAGGAAGCATGCAGAACAAACAGGAGGAAGGCCGTCGCATTGCTCCATTCCAGCCAGGGTATCTCCAGGAGCGGGACGCCAAAGATGAAGCACATATCCAAGAAGCACCATTTCAGACACAACACCAGCGACTCGTCCTCCTCAATTGCCAGCGTGTAGAAATCGTATAACCGCCACGCCCACAGGGCAACGTAGAATGCGAATACGTAGAAGCGCTGTTGCGCAGCGTCGAGGATGTCCGTCGGTATTAGAGGCCCCGAGCTCGCTGGTACGGTGGTTTTGGGTACATCGGGGAGTGGCGACCGCACGTTCGGACGGGTTGGAGTAGATCCATTGGGGCTCTTCACGCCGGGAGAGCGATTTGGTTGTTGCGGAGTCGCGGGAAACCCGCCGGGGCCTCGTCGAGGTGTGCTGTTCATGGCACCCAGTGGAAGCGGAGGATTGCGTTGTGGCCGGTCATGGGTTGCGAGAAACTGCGAACAGAGCAGGGGCGCAAGTAATGTCGCAGAAACGGGGGTGGGCGCTGAGGGGTGGGCGATGTTTCTGCGGTCAAACAAAACTTAGGCGCGTCGTGAATCGCGAGGTCATAGGGCTGGGCGCCGGCCAATCAGCGCCCGGCTGCCTAGGGAACGGCTGTGGCGCATATTACACAAACTCCATCACCGCCCTCTGCACGCTTTCACTTCCACCACTTTCACTCGCGTCCCGCAATCGCTCTCACGGAAACCTCGCTTAGTATTGTCGTGCCGCGCACAATAGCTTGAATAAGCGTCCTGTGTGCGCAAACTTTTCCAACCATGCTCCCTCGTCCTGATTTCCTCAATCCTCCACACAACCATCCTCAGACCTGAAGTCGAGCAATCTACATTTTCCCACTCTTCATCCAAAGCACTTTCTATCTATATACTCCCAATCAGTCACCATGGCCAAGAAGAACAGCCCGAAATCCAAGGCCAAGTCTATGCCTCCCCGAAAAGCGGTCGCCGGCGACCTCTCCAACGGAGGCAGTGCAGACGCGCCAATTGACATCTCATCAAGCCCCAAGAAAGAGGTAGCAGAGAAGGCTACTCGCTCCAAGGGATCTCCGGGACGCAAGAAGAAGGAGATGTCGCCGACTTCAAAGAAGCGAGCTCTTAAGGAGTCCGAGCTTGAGCAAGAGCAGGAGCCTACCAGCAAGAAGACCAAGGCGTCTCCAGCCCCCACCACCCCGAAAAAGGAGAAGAATGGTAGCCCAGCTACAGGCCGCTCGCCCAGCCCATCTGACCAGGCCGCAACCGTAGTCGACAAGGCCAACTGGCAAGGTTTCTGCGAGATCGAATCAGACCCAGCTTACTTCTCTGTCATCCTGCGCGAGATAGGCGTCCGCGGTATCACCGTGCGCGAGGTCCCCTTCCTTGACCCAGGCACCCTCAGTATGATCCCAAACCCAATCTTCGGCTTGATTCTGCTCTTCCGCCACCGAGAGTTCGATCTCGCCGCCCAGGAGAAAACCTGCCCGTCCAACGTCTGGTTCGCCAACCAAATGCCTGGTCAAAACAGCTGCGCGACCTTGGCCATGATCCACGCTCTCCTCAACGTCTCCAAGGAGGAGAATCCAGACGTCGACATCGGCGAGCACATGCGCCAATTCAAGCAGTTCACTTCAACCTTCACGCCCTTCCAGCGCGGCGAAGCCTTCGCCTCCTGGAACTACGTCAAGAAGATCCACAACTCCTTCGCCAAGGAAATGGACATCCTCGAAAACGACAAGCACCTCGCGCACAAAGTCAACAAGGCCAAAAAGGAAGGCAAACCCGCCAAGCCTGGCAAAGAGCGCCGCCACTCCGCCGACTCCAACGCGACCGATGACTCCGCCGACAGCTTCGAGGAGAACGCGCATCACTACATCGCTTTCGTCCCCATCGCCGGCTCCATCTGGAAGCTCGACGGCATGGACGCCCAGCCCACCCTCATGGGCAGCTACGACGCAGAGAACGGCGAGAACTGGCTCGACGCCATCAGCGACCGCATCATGGCGCTCATGGCCGCCGGCGACGACGACTACGGCGTCTACGCCATTGCGCAGTGTCCGCTCGCGCCTCTGCGCCGCCAGATCTGCGAGGGCCACAACACCTTCCGCCGCGTTGAGCGCCGCCTCGCGGCCATCAACACGGACTGGAAGTCGTTCGCGACCGAGGAGGAGACGCAGGAGCCGAGCAGCCCCAGCTTCCTGGCGGACATGGCGCCGGAGGAGCTGGCGGGGTTTCCGGTCCCGGAGGATGTCGAGGAGGAGATAGACGAGGAGGAGATGTCGGAGCTGGTTGTGCGCCGCACATGTCTGGTGCGCGAGATCACGGAGGCGACCATGCAGTACGTGGTCGAGGAGGCGCAGGTCAACCAGGAGAACCAGGCCGCTGAGGAGCGGAGGTGGGACTACGGTCCTGCCATCAAGAAGTGGATGGAGATGTTGGCGGAGAATGGGTTCTTGGAGGAGAACCTGCACCTGTTCCCCCTGGAGGACAGGAAGAAGAAGTGAAGTCACAAGGAGGTGGCATGAGTGGTTTGGGCCTGAGCGCCTTTAGATAGTCTGCTTGCTTACTATCTACTCTATACAAAAAATCATTGTGGCTTCGGCTTCGGTATCTTGAACGGATGCGCTTCCGTATTGAAGACGAAATCGTCCAGACTGATTGTGTTGGGCGGGCTGAAGATGAGGTAGAAATACTTGAGCGTTTCGGCCATCCAGAAACTCTGTTTCCATATCAGCAACAGTCGTATGCGAATTTGCTTTGAATAGGGTAAGCTTACCTCCATGGAATCCTGCCTGGGCGGCTTTTCCGCACTAACGTCCAACAGCGCCGAATTCCCAATATCCGTATCCGTGGCGCTCTGAATCGCCGTCCACATATCCCACGCGGCGGCCTGCCAGCTCTGCTCGCCGGTAATTCTGTACATTATGAACACGCTCTCGATCGCCTCCGGTCTCAGTATATACCGCCTATCATCAATTGACGTGAAGCCTTTTGGTAACCGCAGGTTTGCGATGTTCTTCAAGGGATCCTGGGTATTGTCTAGATCGGCCCTTTTCGCAACTTCCTCTTTCCACACCTGCTCGCTCCACGTGCACTCCGTCATGTTGGGGCACTTGTACAGGTGCGACACTTCGGGCATTATGCCTGCAGGCGAGGCTTTGTACGCCCAGACGCAGGTGTCGGTTAGTTTGCGGCCGACTGTGACGTGCTCAGGCTGCTCGAAGAGCTTCCCTCCAAGCGCAAACATGCCTCCTGCGTAGCAGGACAGATGCTGTAGTTCAGGGTTCAAATGCGCGGTGGAGCCTTCGGCGCGTACGAAGCCAGTACCTAACATGTCGGTGTTCTCGGGCGTCATGGGCCGGTAGAGCGTGTGCTTGATTGCGGTTTCCATGGCCTTCTCGTACAGCTTCTTATATACCGGCTCGAGGCCTCCGAGGAGAGCGAACGTCTTGGAGAAGTACTCGTACGTGCTGTCCGCCATCGAGGCAAGCGTGAAGCCAGAGTCCTTGGTCAGGTCGGGCTTCCTGGCGTTGACAACGATGGGCCACATGCCGGGCAGCTTTGTGCCCATTTGCTGCTTGTTTAGCAGCGCGGTGACGCGGTTGGCGGCATCGTACCATTTCGGGTCTCCGGTGAGCTGCGAAAGGCGCGTGAACTCCATGGTAAAAGATCCAAGTTCCGCGAGCAAGACGGTCTCATCAGCGGACTGCTTCTCCCCCTCGCCAGCGTTGTGGAAATCCCAGCGTGTAATGGGCATATGGTTCGGCGTGTCGAACGCATGATACAGCATCTCGCCAACCTCTTTCGCCTTCTTGAGCAGCCTCTCATCCCCACTCAATTCATATGCCGCCAATAGCCCACCCAAGTGCCTGATATTCGTCTCAAACATATTGACCTTCTCCAGCGGCGTGTATCCAAAATTGATCTTCTCGACATCCTTGATAGCGCTTGTGAATTCTTCCTTGAAGCCCATTATGTATAATGTATCCAGTGCATCGATCATCGTAGCTGCCCAGCCGCCGAACGGGTCCTCCGACCCGCCAGATATAGGCTTCAGTTCATCGTGCATCCACGCCTTCTTTCTGTAATTCCTCCAGCATTTCATAAACTGCTTCTTGACCTCTTCTTGCCTCGTCTCCCGTATGTTCTTCGATATGACGTCCTCGTCTTCGAACTTGTGCTGTATCCGTGGCAGAGGGGTCGGTTCGCTCGTAGGCAGCTGCGCCATTTCCGAAGTCGCAACGGGATAGTTCATAGCGACCTTGGCCCAGTCGTAGGACTTGAGCGGCGGTTTCTGTTTCGGTTTGTCCGGCTTCTTAGGCTCGCCTTTCTTGCCATCTTTCGGCGGTGGGCTAGTGTCGTACGGGAAGCTCAAAGAGTAGAGCATGTAAAGGAAAAAGGCTGCAATAGCCGTGTATAGGCCGTACCTCTTGATTAAGGCCATCGTGGAGGAGAATTAGAGTATAATGTACATGAAGAGAAGGGAAAGCACAGGGATGCGGGAGGCCGACGAGTGCGGCATCGAGAAGGTGAAATGGGCATAAGGCGCTGATGCACCGCCTGGATTTTTGGACCCTGCCAAGACGGGAAACATGGGAAAAGGTGGGAAAGTGGGCCCCTGAACGGCAGCACGAGCACTATCTCGACTCTTTGGATCTTGACAACACCACATTCTTTGATGGTGATACCGATACTCTGTGACACAGACTCGTGGTGCCCGACGACATGTCTCAGCAGTGGTAAATGGCGCTCAGTCGTGTCACTTTCAGCCAAGCCACGCTTACAGCAGCCTCGTCATTGTTTCTCCGCAGTGGACTCTAGATATGAATTTTCTATCCTCTTACTCCACTGGAGGTACCACTTTCTCCAACCATACGCACAGATCTCTCAACTCCACGCCGCTCATCACATGTCCCATACCTTCGTACTCTTTCACCGTCAATTTCTCCTCCTCGACGCCGCACTCCAGCACCTTATTTGCGCAGATTGTCAGATATCTTTTCGGCACCAGCATGTCCCTCGTGCCCCTTGCGAGGAAGACGCTAGTATGATCATTGGATGGCGCCGGCAGACCCACTTCATCCCTCAGTGCAGGTATCTTATCCGCCTGTGGCAGATAGCCGGACAGGCCGACTAACCAACCTAAGTGACCAGCATATTTGGTAGATGTCAGGCCGGTGAGCAGCGCCATTGCGTGACCTTGAGAGAAGCCGCCGAGGATGATTCGTTCTACCGGGATGCCCTCAAGTACCAGGCTGTCTACCAACGATACGATGTAGATCATGCTAGCTTTCATGCCCTCCTCGTCTTCCTCATCGTCGAGCTCAGGTCGTGTTGGCGGGAATGGCGAAAGTCTAGTCGGGGTGAACCAGGCCATTGTCATGGCGTCGCGATTCTCGAGCGCATTAGGGAGGACCCATTTCATGTAAGGTAGCTTCCCGGCGGCCTGAAATTGCTGTGCTATGTCTATGCTTGGGATTAGTTGTTCGAAGTTGCTAGTGAGAGCAACAGCCTATATACTGACTGGCGACCCCTGTTGCGTCATCTCCAAGACCGTGGATAAATATGAAGGCTGCGGACTTGGAGACGTGGCTCGGCGGCGCCAAGGGATGAAGGATGATCGGAGGCTTCTGTTCGGTAGACATTTGATCCACTGGAAATTCTCAGACAGACTGATCCAATGGCAAAGAGTGATTCGTCAACGCCTTTAGAAGGATAACCTGCGGCAGTGCCAGAGCAAAGCAAAAAGCGGGATGACCAACATTAGAGGTATACGCGTAGACAAGAAGCCCGGGCTGCATTATTTCGGCCGTTGTTGCCAGATAGTGCTAGCCACCGCTACCCCGCTCGCTTTCGGACATTCTGGTGAACGCGTCAGCACGTGATCGTGCATCTTCAAATTGATCGGAAGCTGCACCCTAGATTCTCAACACCAACATCAACACCATGCCGCACGTCGAAGTGCTCCCAAATTCAGCTGCATCCGTCGCTCCGGGATGGACGTATGTCGTTGACACCGGCTACGACCCTTCTAAAATCGCCATCAACCCGAAGAACAAAAAGCGCGTCGCAGCGCATCCCGGAGGTGCACGGGGCGAGCACGAGCTCACCTCGAGGCAACAGCTAGCTATCTCACGACGCATAGCGGAGCTGAATAAGGATAATGATCCCAAGCAGAACATACAGATACCGGGGAAGACGTGTACGTCGCATAATCGGTAAATTGCGACGTGGTTTGCTGACGAGCGCTCAAGCTACTCCGAAGACGCAGAACGCACGCAGAATTATACAATACCAGCGACAGATCAAACACTGGCTCGATGATGAGGAGGCACAGCTCTCTGCTCCCCCACCGAGGGGCGCGACGGCAGCGTCGCGAATAGCCGCACAACCATTGCGCAGATCAAGCACCATGCCTTCCATTCCTCCAACGCCTTCCGAAGCAACCCCAGGACCAGCGCCTTCGACAATACCGCGTCCAGTCCACAGAGAAACCGATGATGATATCCTGATGTCCATCGAGCGCTCTATGCCACCACCGCTGAACCCAGTCGAGCTTGAGGCTCTCCTCTCCGCACCTCCGCTCTCATACGCTGCATCACACGTCGGACCACCGCCTGCGAATGGCCCGCCGCCGCGACATTTCTGTGACAATTGTGGATATTGGGGCAAGATCAAGTGCTTGCGGTGCGGAGCTAGGGTTTGCGGTTTGGAGTGCAAAGACGCGCATGAGGCAACTCGCTGCTTAAAGTGGGCGTGATCGGGAATTGGTCCAGGATGGAATCCAATTCCGACGACTACAAGACTTGAAAAGGGGATAAGCAAAAGTATCAAGTGGCATTACTATCTTCGAGCGAAGGAAGCTTTTAAAGTTTCTTTTTGGCCAGATATCTATTCCTCGATTCGGTCCACCATCAGCCTATCCTGCTAGTACTGGAATGTCTGCCCTACCAGTTTCTCGCTGAGCTTCCACAGCTTCTCGACATCCTCCGGGTTCGTTGCAGTGGGTTTGACATTGTCGGACAGATTTCCGTCCTCGAGGTACGCGCCATTGTAGTCTAGAGCATCCGTCAGCAATGGTCCAAAATGTCATCGGAGCATGGTCCTACCCTCAAGCCTTGGGTCAAACGCTGCGACAACGTGCGTCGCTGAGCACTCATCGAGCGTTTTCAGATCGAAACTGGCGTCGTCTTCGCCGAGCGGATCGCCAATCTCCTTGTCTCGTGCCTTCAAGGCTGCAAAATCCGCCTCTCCCAGTCCAGGTCCCAGCGACGTCCCAAAGGTGACGCCAGGGTGAAGGGCATATGCGCGTAAGCCCTTCGACCCTAGCTTTTGCGCAAGAGCCTTCGTAAAGAGAATATTTGAGGCTTTGCTCTGCCCATAAGCCTGCCATTGGTCGTACGCCTTTCCGTCCTGAAAATTCCAATCATCAAACCGCACTGGGCCGAGCCGGTGGCCGTCGCTGCTCACGTTGACGATGCGTGGATTTTTCGAGGCTAAGATCTTCGACATGATCAGGTTCGTGAACAAAAAGTGGCCGATGTGGTTCGATCCAAACTGGTTCTCAATCCCTTCCTCCGTCGTCTTGTACGGTCCCGCCATGACACCCGCTGAATTCACAACGACATCGATATTCTCCGGATAAGCAAGGACCTCTTTCGCAGCTTCTCGGATCTGCTTTTGCGACGCCAGGTCCAAGGCTAGAACGCGCGTTTCTACGCCTGCGCTTGCGGGATCCGATTTTATCTTCTCAGCGGTGGCTTGGACTTTAGAAGGTGTGCGGCCTGCTAGGATGAGTAGGGTAGGCTTGTACTTTGCGATTGTTTCGACGAATTGGGCGCCCAACCCGCCAGGAGACACGCCCGTGGTTAGGACGACTTTGCCTGCTATGCTAGAGGCATTGTCGGCGGCGATGCCTGAAGCCGTAGCGTTCTGGCGGTTGTATGGAAGGGGTGATTGGGCTGCCATAGTGTAGTGGAGATTTGATGAAAGTTAAGAATGAAAAAGTCTCCGAAAGCTCGGAAAGGACTGCTATGGTGCAGGAACTGCGATCCTCATATATTCGACCCTGACCGAGCAGGTTTGTGAGGTCCTCTTACGCCCCACACATTCCGCAACGCCTAGCCGACGGATTTCGGAGCTTCACTAAACACCATTCTATCCAGGCAGCGGAACTCTGTCCAACGATGGAGGTAGACACGCCACTCTCGCGGATACGGAACATTTCGCATGTATGCCCGCGATCTGCACACGGTGATGTCACTAAACTCCGTCTAAGTCCGTCGAATGGGTTCACTCGTAGGCGGGTCATCAGACGCGCAACGTGTTGGCGCGTGAGGTTGGATTACAAGAAGCAGATGCATACCTTTAGCCAGGAGGATTGATATTGAAAAAAAGTCAAACAATCTGTTATCAGAGAGTGGAGATTGAGGTTGGCTTGCTGTGCTAGAGTGATACTGACGGGCGCCTTACTCAGCACATCCTTATCGATAACAGCATGAAGTACTACAACCAAACTTCCGCTTGCACACAATATCGCCACTATTCTCACCTCCGCACACGCAGCCTCCCAAACTCCTAAACCCGCAACTTCTAAGATGGTCCGCCACAAGAAAGACTTCAAATCAGGCAAAAAGTACACCAACCCGCCACGAACACGTCCGCCCCGCCCCGGCGACGAAGAAAATGGAGACGATGATACGTCCACCCCAGCCGCACCGAAAGCACCTAAGCCCGCATGTTGGGATCTCGGGCACTGCGACGCAAAGCGCTGCTCTGGGAAGCGCCTCATGCGTCTCGGGCTCCTACGAGAGCTCCACGTAGGGCAGAAATTCGCAGGCGTGGTTATCTCGCCCAAAGGCAAGAAGATTCTGAGCCGCGAGGATAACGAGCTGCTGGAGATGTACGGCGCGGCTGTCGTGGAAGCGAGCTGGAAGAGGATAGACGAGGTGCCGTTTGGGAAGATAGGTGGCAAGTGCGAGAGGTTGCTGCCGTATCTTGTGGCGGCGAATCCGACGAATTATGGGAAGCCGTGGCGGTTGAACTGTGTGGAGGCGCTGGCAGCGAGCTATTATATCTGCGGACACCCTGAGTGGGCCGAGGACATACTGAGCTCGTTCAGCTATGGTGAGGCGTTTCTGGACATTAACGCGGCGCTTCTGAAGAGGTACTCCGCGTGCCAGAATGAGGAGGAGATCAAGAAGGCGGAAGAGGTATGGTTGGCAAAGATTGAGAGGGAGTATGTGGATAATAGGGCCGAGAAGGAGGATGGGGGTGAAGAGGATGCTTGGGCAGGCGGGAACATGAATAGGAGGCAGATAGATTTCTCGGACGAGGAAGACGAAGACGGAGAGGACAAAGAAGGAGAAGAGAGCGAAGAGGAGATTGACCGCCGGAACCCGTACAACATTCCTGAACCCTCAGATGACGAAGAAGAGATGGCAGAACTACGTCGACGCGTTCTAGCTTCTAAGCCGTTCGTCAACCCAACGCCCAAAGCAGCGGATGACGAGAGGAAGCAGCCAGAGCGAATAGCACGGACGGAACCTATACCACCGAAGGATAAGGATGACGATGACGATGGATCTGGGTCTGCACCGGAACACGACGGGTTAGACGAGGAATTCGACAGCTTCATGGCTGCACAGCCGACCACCGACCGGACGGGGATCCAAGGGAAGCAGCGACAAAAGGCGATGGACAAGAAGGCGACTGCCACTTTTACTAGTGCGAGCTTAAAGGCGCCGAGCAGACGGCAGTAGCTTTTGGCCTACTCAAGCTTGCTGCTCTGCGAAGGGCACGGCGAACCTTGCCCATATACTATGACTCGCAGAACATAAGATGAGGGGGCCAAACACTTGGTCTCTACCTTTCTGAACATACGCATCAAGGCTATCGCATATGCAAGTTCACGGCTACTTTTAATGAATCTGTGACGTCGGCCTTGGCACTGATTCCTAATGAGACTGTGCCACATACCCTCCCTCTATATACATCAATTTAACCTAACTCCAATGAACTCCTGTGCCTCGCAACATCTTTGTAGATACTATCATCACGATGAGAATTTTCGCCTTTATAACGGCCGATATCACGCCCGAGGTACGTTCTCACGAAGCCCAATGCTCGCACTTGTAAACCTAGGCAGGTACCAAAAATACCAGTACTCACAGCATCAACTTCTAGGAATGGGCCGATTTTGCAACAACTGCCGCCGTTCCCCCTCAAATCCGATTCCCCGAACCCTTAGTCCCATACGTTCTCGTCCATTCCCCCTCGCAGCAAGATCTCACATCTGCGACCACTTCGATCAGCACCTCCATCACGACCTCCTTCAAAGGCACGCCATGGCTCGAAATCAAGGACATCTTCCTTACGCTCACCGCTCACCCAATCCACAACACGATATACACGGATTTCTTCCTCATTCTAGACGAGCAGTCGAAGAAAGACCGCAAGGTCATTCTTGTGCAATGCGAATTGGAGTACGCGGGGCCTGACGGCGCAGGGTACGCGGGTCCTAGCGATAAGGATGATATAGTGAAGTTCCTGGTGTGGAAGATGCACCGCGTGCCGTTTGAGATGGCGTGGCACACGTCCGACCTGTTGATGGAGCGTGATGGGCAGCTGGAGGAGCCGTGGCTGAAGGAGGTGGCTTGGGAGGAGCAGGAGAAGGAGGCTTGAGGAAGGCAATGGAATGGATGGGTGGGGATTGGGGGTGGTTTCGATGGCGTATGGTATGCCCTTTTTCGTTGGCTGGAAGTGCGGTTTGAAATGTGCATTTGGTACTTCGCGGGTGTTTTAAGCGGTCACCTTGCAGTTTGAATTTGGTGCTGCGCGCCTCTTACTCTGGGGGTTTTTCTTTTCACTTTCCAATGCCTCCTTTCATAAAAAAAATCACCGTGCTGCAATGCCAGAATATAGTAGTGCTGAACTTATCAAAGGAAAGTAAGACAAGAAAAGCCCACTCCACGCTGGAGCCTCCCCCATTCATCGAACCATTTGCAAAGATAGAGTAAATCCGAACCCCGCTTCATAGCGCGTTTCACGCAGCCCGTATTAAAAAAGGACAATTCTACTCAACTGCGATGCTTTTCTCCCGTACGTAGCGCTTGCCTTGACGATTTACTCAAGTAGTTCTTCGCGAATATGAGGAGAAAGGGGCATGGCGAGACAAAACGTATTTACTAGGACTTAGCTAGCTACACGGCGCGCGCTGACGAGAAGTTTGATAAAACGTGGACGTAGGCGATATGAGTGATCTGGAACAGGCCTGAAAAAGCATCCATGGAAGAACTGACGAGAACGTCATGCACCCGGCATCCTAGTAAAGAATATGACAGGTCATGACGGCTGAGGTACGCAGGAGGAACAGCGGCGAACTTGAAAGCCTCAAGATTATGCATTGCGAAGAAAACGCTAATCCCCGACGCCCGCGTGATTGTATGTATGATGAATGCCCCTGTTCTGAACGCCTAGAAATGCACCGCAAAATTTCACCAGAACACTACAGACACCAACCATACAACTCCCTATTTCCTAGTCCCTCAACCAACCCAACCTACACTCGCGCCCTCTCCCACAATCCCCTCTACTATTTATACACTAGAACCCCTCCAAACACTCCCCCACTACACTCTCCAACATCCTCAACCCATAAAACTCCGCCGCCCTCCCATAAACCCCCAACCTCTTCTTCATCTCCCCCTTCTGTCTCGTACCCACCCACTCACCCGCGCACGCACAATGCTCCATGAACTCATTACTCCGTAGCCTTCCACATTTCCCACACTTCAGATCCTGCGTCGTCCACTCGAGGACGAGTTTCTGCACCTCAGCGACCAGGTTTTCCTCAATGCGGAGCTTGTCGTAGGGCGAGGAGCAGGAGTCGCATTTCCATTTGGGTAAAGCGGCAGGGGTGGCGTCTGAGGATGGAGGCGGGAGCAGCGAGGAGTCCCGGCAGAGGTCCAGATCGCGCGTCGATGTGCACTCGTCGCAGATGACGCCGCGAACAAGGAGAGAGGCGCTGGGGTTTTGGAACGAGCCTTCGGCGCTGAATTCGCGGATGTCGAAGAGGTTCAGCAATTCCTTCCTTAGCAAGCGCACTTCGAGCGTGATTGCACGGTCTAGGCTGAGGACTTGCATGAGCGATTTGACGAGTTGGAGGGTGGCGTTTTGCAGGTCGAGGTGGCTGCCTGGGAGGGAGGGGAAGACGTAGTCGCCTGCTAGCTCGGGGTGCAAGATTTCTGTGTGCTGGCGCCGGAGGAGGGTGGATATTTGTTTGAATAGCGGTTTGGTGAAAGTCTTGGGTAGAATTTGCGTCATCTCGTTCGGGTCTATGGTTAAGGGGCGGAGCGGGATCTGCGTGAGCCGCGGCGTGCTGCCGTCCGCATTAGGAGGCGGACGTTTGCGAGCATGCATCAGCTCTATGAACTCGACGATCCAGTCATAGAAGACGGCCTGGAAAGTCGGCGGGAGAAATTGCGCGAGCTGCCAGTGCATGATACTTTCCAGCGTCTGATTCTCCTCTTCGACGATCTTCGGGCAGCCTATCCCACCGTAGTTGAATTCATCGTACCACACTAAGTAATCCCAATACTCTTTAATCTCCAGATCGAGGAAGTTGAAGAGCGGCTTGGCTTGGATGGTCTTCAAGATGTACTGGCTGTACGCGTACGCGTTTCCGACCTCAGCTTTGGTCGTTTGGAGCAGTAGGCGATTGGGTGACGCGAAGACGATGTGCGAGCCTACGCGCTTGAAGTCCGTCATGAGTTGCTGTAGCGCTTTCTTGGACATCATCTGCACGTAGTAGTGCAGGGAGCGGTCATACAGGAAGGAGCCTGGGCTGCTGACCCAGCGGACGAGGTGCTGGACCATGACGTCGGCCATGTAGTCACCATTGGCGGCCTGATTCCACCATGCTTTGACCATCTCGCGCAGAACGGTGATGCCTGCGGTGGCGAAAGCATTGTCGGAATAGATGACGTTGGTGCCGTCGTTGGCGGCGTCGTAGGAGGGTGCCGCGGGATTGAAGGAAACGGAGTCTGCGCCTTCGAGATCGTTGATCAGAGATGAGGAGAGGATGGTGTTGATAGCTAGGTGGCGGACGTTGAGGTCAATGCAGACGGATGAGTAGGTGCCTGGATTATTGATAGAAGGCATTTCGACCGTCTCCAATGGTGCAAGGATATCGTCTTTTTCGTAGCCAGCGTGGTCCGGTTTAGGCTGCGCTGACCACCAGAGAATAACCCTCTCCTTCTGAAGTCTCCTGGCATATGCCACGTCGATGAGGAACCGCGGATCGTTGCTCTCGAGATTGCAGAGTGGTATGTCCCCATATCGAGCGAGCTCCGTAAGGTGCGATACCCATGAGCCGAGATCAAGATAGTGACCCACCAAGCGTTTCGCGATGAATGACTGCCAACCCAGAGGTGGTAGTTGCTTGTCCGATTCGTCTGATTTCAGTGGGAGGACGGGGAGATCTTTGAGCAACGGAATGTCGTGGGACAGTAAGGCATGGTTTGGCGATTGGATGACCACAAGGACTGGCCCACCTTCTTCCGCCTTCATCTTCTTGATCGCATCGCCTATCTCGAGCAACGCCTTCCGCCGCGTTGTCACTGTCGTGGTGCGGAAGTGCACGTCATCTTGGTACTCCAAGGAGGTCTGCCACGGTTCGCCGCCATTATCCTCTAGCCGCCTCTGGAGTGCTTCGCTGTAAATGCGATCCACATTCGGCATTCCTTGAATATCCTTTGACTTATTCTGGATGATGATGTGCGCATAGCTCTTGGACGTGGAGAACAACGCATAGATGTTCCGATCTCCGCTGCTGACATGGTACAGGTAAAGATAGCTGATCGCCGCTTGTGAAAGGTACGGTTTCTGAGACGGTACCCTTCGCAGGGCAGACAAGTCAAAACCTTGCTCCAGACCCTTACCAAGGACGCCCTTCTGCGTCTCGTCGAAGGTGCAGATGCTGCCAAGCTCGAGAATTGCGCGCAGGTTCAGAGGAACTTGCTTTTCGTAGACGCCTTCCACGCTAGGATGGTTGAAAAGAGCAGCAATCTTCTTCGACTCGCGGACGTACGTCTCTTCGGACATCTGTAGCTTGAATAGATGTATGGAAGGGTGTCCATTCGGTAACGTATGGTTGATCAGCTTCTCCACGCTACACCCGCTAATGGACACATCGGGAAGGTCCTCGCTTCTCAGGTTTAAGTAAATCTGGCGCGGTACGATGATCTTTAGCGTGTGTATCTTCTTGTCGATAAGGACGAACGCCTTCACCTCTCCCGGCGTGTCTGTCGGACGAAGCTGGATGAGCTGCCATGTGCTGATAAAGAGCAGCTCGGCCTGGTTCCTGAAGAAGCTACCAATAGCATCAGAGGCATCGACAGGCTTCTCTCCAAACAGCTGTCGTCGACGTTTCCGAGCCTGCCTCTGGATCTTCCACTTCTGTTTCTGGTACATGAGCCATCCAGAGTAGTCTTCGGTGATCGAAGGCATAACTTTGGGAAGGGCGGCGTACGGATCTGTCTGAACGGGTACTGCTGGCTCGGGTTCCTTCCGCTTCGAGACCATCTTGGTGACGACGCCTCTTTTGACCTGCGATTTAGGAGATAGCTTCGATCCTCCAAAATCCTCCAGATCAACCGCTACCCTGTTGTTCAGAACATTTGTATCCGCGTCCGTGAGAGCTTTCTTGTCGAACATGTCCGTCATCTTCTTCTGCTGAAATTTGTCGTCCTTTTGCCGTATCCTTCGGTCAAGCCAATCCGGATGAGGCACCCTGGGGCAAGGATTCCGCACTTTCTGCAACGCCGCAGGAATGGTGATGAGCTTCTGGATGACAGATGCCAGACGCTCGCGATAGTAATCCCAGTCAAGGATCGTTCGAGGGTCCATATCCGCAGGGTCCTCTTTCAGCCACTTCCTCAGAAAGTAGCGTTTGACCGATTCTTCAGCGGAGAAGATAGCAATGGGGACGGCGCGCTCCGTGACCGGTGCATTCTTGGGACGAGCTGAGATGATGTACTTGCAGTTCAGCCCTTTATCCTTGACCATTTGTTCGCCCAAGAACTCAGCGAGACGTTTAGCGGTGGTGATAGCAGTGGACTTCTGCGCTCCGTACTCTTCCAGCGTCTTTGTCATGTTCTTATTCTCCACGATGAGATCGATCAGCTCCTCGTTGGCCAGGGTAGCTCCGCGAGTGTCGAGGATGTCGAGCCAACGGTTGGCGACATCTGCAACCGCGCCGTACGTCTCTGTGAGTGTGGTTCCCTCCAAGAAGAACTTGAATATCTGAGCTTGGAAGTTCTTGATGAGCTTCAGTTCACCACGCCGCTTCACCTCGAAACCTTTCAGCTCGGCTAAACTACCATCGTGGTTGAAGACCGCATATCGCTTCTTCAAGTTCTTGTCCTCCTCTTTCGAGGTGGGGAGGATCATAGCCTTATAAGGGCCATCGACTTCGAAGAAGATGGAATTGTCGCTGTGCTTCTCATATCGGAAAGTTCCGGAGTCTATCAACGTCTCGTATTGATGGTTCGTGAACTTGGCGTGAACCAGGTGGTTCAGCATGACGCAGGGGTACGAGATGGCGATCTTCTTCCCATTGTTCATCTTGAAGGCAAAGTTCTCCGGGAAAGTCGCAGGAAGGATACACCAGATACCATCAGTATCCAGTTCCAGCGGTCGTCCAATTCTCTCCACCAGCTGTCGAGCCATCTGAATAATCCTGGCGCCAGTCAAGCAAGTAACGCCGGCCATTTCCAAAGAATACCATCGGGAACCTTTTCGCATGACGTAGCCGTAGAAACTGTTCAAAATGACCTTGTGGGCGAGCTGCATAGAATCGAACAGAATGATCATTTTCTTGGCTTCATCAACCTCCGCGGCGGGAGCACCAGCGGACTTGAGCGCTTCTGTCTTGCCTTTCCACACCTTCTGCTTCCCCTTGTAGTCGTATCGACGGTCTCGGAAGTCTCTGACAGTGTTGATGTAGAAGGGATTCTCGCGCTGGCAGATGATGGCTTCTCGCTCTATAGTCTTAGCGTCGTGTATCTTGTGGTAGATCTTCTTGCTGTACTCGGCCAACCGTTTCTTGATCAGATTGGCTTGTTCCTCGGCTGACAGGTCTTGGAATGTTCTTGACGGTGCATTTGGATGCTTTCCGGGAAATCTCTCGTTCTCCAATGCATTACGAACCATGTTGTATTCGTCACGCTTCGCCGGGAGGAACTCTCCTCTCCAAGACCATGGCATCCTCCGATCGCACGTTTTTCCAGGGCGATTGAAATCGCACGCTGCGCAGTCTGATTCCTTGATCATGGAATCGGGCTGAAGGCGGTTCGTCGTCATGATGTTCGGATACATGGAAGCGACGTCCAAATGGTAGATCAAAGGCCTCTCGTTCCGGTTCGGCGTTGCTTTCAACTGCATCAGCTTCTCCGCAACCTGAGCCTTGACCTCATCGTAGTTCGCCACATCTTCCAGTTTTTTCTTTTCCTCCACCGTGATGCTGAACTTCAGCGCGGCGTCAAGATCGTTGAGGAGCTCGTCGATGGCTTTCGGGTCAACGGCGAAGTTGTATGGGATATCGCTGCGGAAAACTCCGGCTTCAATACTCTCGACATGTCCCCCGACGTAGGTCTCGGACTCCAGCAGGTGGCCTTCCCAGAACGCCTCTTTTGGAGTTTGATGCTTGTTTGGAAGCACGATGCCCTTCTGATATGCCTGGACCATGAGCAACATCTCGCAAAGAGTCCCCGTACCTTTCCGGAGTGTGTCGTCCGGTCCTAGCGGGAGAATAGTACACAAGGCGAAAATGAAGGGGTGCACATATTTCATATACAAGTAGTATGTAGCGACAGCATCTGAAACTGAATACTCTGCAAGTGTTTGGGGTCGCTCGCTCGCGTACCTATTTTTTGTTAGAATAGCTTTTCTAAGAGGCATGTAATACTCACGGTGTCATCAACTCGGGATCCAGCTCATCGGGATCATAGCCCAGCTTCGCCACTGTGACGGCTTTGAGACCGCGACTTCCTTGAGGGAGGTAACTGTCTCGATTGACCCATGCAAATGCATCCAGATGTGCGCAGTAATTGCACTGGTAGATGTCCTCACTGTTCTTTCGAAAGCCAATCTCCTGGTACATGTCGATACCCTGAACGCTCGCTCTCGCTTCAACAAATGGCCAATCGAAGAAGTCTCCGTTATAGGTCACCATAACCGTAGGTTTGGCTTCTTTGATATGCTCAAAGAACCGCTCTATCACCGCCTTCTCGTCTGGTTCATTGAAGATCATGAAGGGACCTTGGTATTCCGGCTTTGGCGTGTAGTCGAAGTCCTGGATGTCCTCCGATACGATCTCGCGGTTGGTGATCAGGAATCCTTGGCCTTCGATCATATAGGAAATCATCATGATCTGATCGATGATAGGGTCGGGAAATTTCAGGGGCAGTTTCGTCGTCTCGATATCGTACGCCATGACCACCGGATCCGCCGGTGTGAGACGGTCTTCTATGCAGGAGATGGATATTACGCCGTGCTTTGCTTCCACTGTGTACCACTTTCCAATTCGTATATCTAGTGTTGTCAGCACGAGCTTCCCAAGAACGATTTGCCAATTCACCTTTGTCGATAGCTACTCGTACATGGTAGGGAACGTCATATTCCCGGATATCTACAATGAAATCGCTGGCATCAATCGTGGCCGTAGGTCGTTTCTCATACTCTAGATCGTCATCGAAAATATCAAAGCCAGCATTCGTGCTGTATGCAGTTAGCACGCTCACCCTCCAACACTTTTCTGAATCACTTACCTGGCAACTTCGGCATATGTATCCATGGCATTAACATTCTTCTTGTTCTTCTCCACAATCGGGCTGACCACCTTCCTCACAGCCAGCAGGTCGCTCACATTAGCGAAACTCAGCTGCAAGAAAGTCCGCCGGTATCCCGTAAGATGATTCGGCATACTGAGGTCCTCCTTCTCCACCCTCTTTATGCTCTTGACGAGGCCCTCAAACGCTCTTCTACACCACTCCTCCACCTCTGGCTCTTTCCCCTTCTTCACAGCGAGCAGGAAGTAAGGATCGTACTCCAATGTCGCTTTGAACGTATCGCCGTCCTCGCCTATGAAGTAGTAGTCCACGCCCGCTTTCCCACCAGGCACGTTCTCATCCTCGACGGTTGTTGAATGCATGTTGCAGAGCCATCCTATTCGCTTCTTGCCGGACTCGTAGCGGGGAAAGCCCATGGACTCATCGATGCGATTTGCAAGACGTGTGGCTTCAATCTTTTCGTTCTGTGAGGTCGCTTCGGAGCTGCGCAGCGTAGAGGCGTCGACTGTCTTCGGCTTTCGAGGAGCGTATGAAGTATTGCTATGCTTGCCCACCCGGCGAAAGGGCTGGCCTGCTCGTCGAGGCGCCATGGTGTGAGGGAAGGGAGGTAAAGGTGGAATAAAGCGTGTTCTATGCAATTCGAGGTATCATTTGCGCGATCGAAGAACCGAAGGAACCCGGGTATCGAGAATTAGTGTCGTTGGTATGCGGTGGAAGATGTGGAGTTGAATTGAAGCGTGGGAACCTGGGACAGGAAAGCGCGTCGCGTGTTCGCGTACCGCGTCGTCCTCTCCCCTGTTAATTGATTTGTGGCTTGAGCTCCAGCCACGCACCGCCACGCGAAGTTGGGCCGAAAATAATCCATCCATGATGCGATCGTCCCCTTCGCGAATAATCGAACGATACATCCCACAGCGAATCCCTCCACGCTCCCTTAAGTTCCGGTCTGATACGTTTTCGGTCGAAGACCGCTCGGGAGAACCGTCCGTCTTCTTACACGCGTAAGAGGCTTCATCATCAAAGGCCTTCACAGTTGATTCTCCTCCCAATTCCACCAGGCCCAGAGCTCCGCAAGATCTATCACCACAATGGCGGACGACACAAGGCAGCCCTCCGACCAACCTCCTCGCCCCAAGGGCCCCGCAAATATCATGCCGGGCGGCACCGCCCACACCGCGGGCGGCGAGCGCGCCGACGCCCAAGGACCACGCTACATCGACGTAGTCCGGAGCCTGCCCGCAGACTACTATCTCCACTTCTACAAGCGGCCGTGCGTGCGAGACAGCCAATTGACGGGGATAGGCGCTGGCTTCGTGGGTGGAAGCGTTGCTGCAATAATGCGAAGTATGCTACCACCCCTCTTACGACCTCCGCTGGAGCTCAGATGCAGGAATAGATCAGATCGAAGAGGGCGGAGGCTAATGATACCGTAGAAAACGTACGAACCTGCTCCAACTACGCCGTAGCAACCTGGTGCGCCGCATCCTGCATCCACTACCAGATCTGCCAATACTACCGGTCGCGCGAGAAAGACGGCATGCGGCAAGCGCGGGAACTCATGGAGCGAAAACGCGCGACTATCGAAGCGAGGAAAGAAGCACGCAGAAGGGCAAGGGAAGAGCAGGAGCGTTTAGAGGAGGAGCGGAGGAAAGAGGAGGAGAGGAGAAAGTCGTGGGGGTACTGGATCAACAAGAATGTGAAGTTTTGGTAGAATGAATTGCCTGGGAGAGAAGGGTGATATTGCGGTAGAAAGCTATGTACAGAAACGTGTATGAAAAATTGTAGTATACGGAGTAACCCCCTGCGCTCCGAGCGTATCCAAGTTGAAGTAACCCCGTCGCTAAAGCGCAAAACATCATGATCATGGAGATTCCCGCAATGCGCCCTGCCCATGACCCCACGACCGTCCGGATGCCCGAGAGAGTACCCAATCGTTCGTATATCATAACAACATCGTAAACTCATTAAGGAATCGTCAGCGCTCCACCCAGTACTAGGATTACCTCCGCTTTCCGAATACTATATCGCGAACTTCACGGTCCTGCGAGCGCCACCCGCATCCATAGCAGGAACTTCTCTTTCCACAGTCGAATCCCGCGAGGCAGTACTCCCGATGCCTCTCCTGCGCCTTTCAGTCCTCTTGGCCCTCGCCTCCCGTGCCTCCCTCGCTTTCCACTCCAGGACCTGCTGCCTTCTCTTTTGCGCCCTTGCATAGGCAAGAGCGGGCGTCGGCTTAAATCCAATTCCATTTAAGCCAGTCCCGTCATCTTCAGGATCAATGGAGGGGTCGACAAGGTGGCCGGTGATTTCGTTGTCTTGCCACGTGAGCGCCGAAAGCGGGGGTGAAGGCGACTTCTTCCGTTGGCGGGGTTGCGATGCCGATGAGCGATTTTTTGATCTTGACCTTTGACCGGCGCTGGACGACTGTTGCATCGATATGCTGGAGGATGATGATGCGAAAACGGTGGGTTGCGCAAAAGAAACGATATCTGAAAATATGCGGGGCTGTTGTGTTCGTGCCTGAAGTGTCCCCAACGGGCTCCCCGACTTCGGCGTATTGCCAGCAATGGGGTCCTTGACATCGCGGTCATCCAAGGCCCTGAGCTGGGCCTTCACCACATCCTCATCCAACGATGTCCCGCTGTCCACTCTCATCGCCTCCAGCTTTGGCTTCTTCCGCACAACATCATCAGTGGGCGTAAGCGGCGACATTGGTATTGCCGAGATGGAGGTCAGTGTCATGCCACGCAGCTGGTCGGCGACTGCATTTCGGGGGCTGTCGGGTGTTGGACTGCCCCGTGGCGTTGTCGAGGACGGTGCTGGAGCGGGACGAAGGGCAGTGTTTAGGAGCGGGATAGGCGGCGGCTGATCGCGTTTGCGCTTCGGCGAGGGGTGGAACGCAGACAGCGTCGTGGGAGGCATGATACGCGCTGATGGCTGTTACATGAGGACGGTAATATTTGATCTGGTAAAAGGCTGGATGTAAGGTGCTGCGGTGTTGATGGGAAAGCGCAGACAAGCATGTTGCCATTTGGGGTGATCACCGTCTAGCGAATGTGGGGCTTGTGCTGCACGGGCCGCGTCGTAGGGCTGGACCCTGTTCGGATTGACATTCACATGACGGGAAGTATTTCACCGACCACTCAACCTTCACCAAGGCTGCCACGAATGCACCAGATCTAGTTCAGTTGAAAGCGTTTAGACGACGCGCTGATACAGGCTCGCCCATTGCTTTTTTCTCAATCGCGCACAGCCACCTTCACTGTTGCCTGAATTCGTGGCGCTCAATAACGGGATGCACCCCGTACTTTCATAGTCAACAGGCCCTTGAGGCCTCTTTCCTCCTCTTCAGTCCTCCCCTTCCTCCACACCACAATACCTCTTCCTCCTCTCAATCACCAAAATGCGACAGCAATCCCTCGAACAATCCTGGAAGTCGACCAGAGCCATGAACCGGCGTCTGCAACTCCGCCATGTCGCTGCAGAGACAGTATCTGTGTTGCCGGACCTCCTCGCTCAGCTCGCCGGCTTCGATGCCGCTGAGTCCACCTTGTACCATCTGAAGGACCTCGCGCCTCTTGATCCAAACGACTGTCCCGGAATCGCCTTCCCTAGTGGAAACCCGCTAGCAGGTCAAAAAGGAACGCGAATCCGAGTCTACAACAAGGATACTTTCGATACCGCGCTCCAGCTCCAACCGGGCACGAACTATACCACAGTTCACCCATCTCAGGGAGCGCCAGCTAGCTCAGATGGCCAGGAGAAGGCGGACGAGGGGGATACACCAGCGAAGATGACCGACTCCAACCCAGCGGATCCCTCCTCATCACCTCCCCAGCAACCACTCAAACCCGTATGCGTGCTCAATCTTGCCTCAGAAAAGCACGCCGGCGGCGGCTGGCTCAACGGCGCCCTCGCCCAAGAAGAAGCCCTCTGCTACCGCTCCTCTCTCTCCCTCTCCCTGCACAAAACTTACTACCCGCTCCCCACCCTCAGCGCCATCTTCTCCCCCTCTGTCCTGCTCCTCCGCACCTCGCTCTCCAGCGGCCACACCCTGCTGCACCCTTGGGACCCCGTCGCCTCCCTCCCCATTACCTCCGTGATCAGCGTCGCCGGCCTGCGCCACCCCGCGGTCACTTCCGAGGGAAAGTTCAAAGACGACGTGAACCGTGAGACGACGAAGTCCAAGATTAGACTAACGCTAAGGGTGGCGGCGAGGGAGGGGCACCGGAAGTTAGTGCTAGGCGCGCTGGGATGTGGCGTTTTTGGGAATCCATCCGGGGAGGTGGCCGAGTGCTTTCTGGAGGTGCTACGGGAGGAGGAGTTTCAGGGCGGATGGTGGGAGGATGTGGTGTTCGCGATCCTAGACAACGTGAGGGGCGCAGAGGGAGGGAAGGATGGGAGTGGGAATTATGGCGTGTTTTATAGGGCTCTGGATGGGCAGGTTGTGTAAGCCGTCCTGCGTTGGAACGACTACCACAGGTACGGCGGAATACCAGCTGGCCAGTTGGGGAGATGGGAAATATCCTACGGCCGACATTTTACGGACAGCCACTGCGTTGAAAATATTCTCACATCGGGCTAATATATTTAAGAAAAGACAAAGCTTATCATAGTAAAGAGGTATCGGCTCACCGGAGCCTTCGATGAATTTTTGATGCCAGAGGGTCTAGGAAGGTATCATAGTATGTACAAAGACTCCCCCATGCCCAGGATGACCAGTCCTGAAGACCGGCAATCGCTCATGACGTGAATGTCTTACTTCTCCCCGCACTCTCCTTCTGCGCCCTGGGCAGCCCCTTGGGCGCATCCGTGAGCTTTGAATAAGGATTGAAACCCTGATCCTTCTTCTTCTCTTTCTTATCCTTCTTCGTCTGTTTCTTTTCTGCGTCCCGGGCGTGTAGAACAGAGGGCGCATTCGCGTAATCGAATGGTTCGTCATCATAGTTTAGTCCTTCTGAAGCAGCAGCTTCTTGAGTCTTCCGCTCCTTCTTCGCCTTCCTGGCTGCTTTCTTGGCCTCCTTTTCTGTTCTCCAAGCAGCCACCGGGGTTTCTTCGAGCATGATCTCATCTTCTTGCATAGGATCCAGCTGAGGAGTAGACTCAGTCAAATCTTCTGCGGTCTCTGCACGCTTGCGCTTTCGTCCGCCGAGTTGCTTGACAACGAAGATGTCAGTACGCTCGTCCTCTGCTGGCCGCTCCTCCTTGGGGACGAAGGTATGCTCTGGCTTCTCGGTCATTGGGGTACCCCCTTCTGCGACTCCGTTCGTGTCAGCGAAAATTTCCGCAGTAAGCGGCGGCAAAGGCACTGCAAGGTTAATACTCAAGTTAGAAAGAGATCGTCGCTGTTCAACAGCTCCTGACCACAGCTTGCCCCAGAAGCTCGACCGAGAAGCACGGAGTGCAGGACTGTCTAGAGCCACAGGAAGGGGTACCTGTCGGACGATTGGTGCGAGAGGTGTGGGTGTCACTTGGACCGGTACAGTCTCAGGTTGTGCCCGTTCTTCCTTCCTGAGATCCGCAATCCTCTGAAGGGTCACGTAAAGATCAGGCCCATTTACGCCCTCCCCTTTCGCCTCTGCGATGAGTGTGACAAGCTCGTCCGCCCGCACGCGTAGGATATGCGATACATGCTGTACAGCATTGAACAGCGCCGCCTTATCCGAGGGGATCAATCGCGCGATGGAGAACACCGCGTGGTTGGGCATTATGAAGAGCGGGCTTTCATCCTCCTGGCGCGCCACGTCGTCTCTCCACTTGTGCACTGCCCTGAAAACCGCAAACTGTTCGGGCGTGAATTGCACCGGCGTTCTCGAGATAAGTCTATACCATCCCATCGGACCGAGACCAAGTTCTGTGTCGTATACGGGATGCTCGTATCGTTGCAGCGCCGTCTCCTTGGACTTGTTCAAGACGTCGAGAACTTTGTTCCTCTCCGGATCTCGGAAGTCCGACTTCTCAATGAGTTCATTCCGCATATTGTCGAATATGTAGAGCAGAAAATGGGTGTCTGCTCGCGCATATTCGAAGAGTTCTTTGGACAATGGCCTAAAACGCGTAAGCAGTCGGTTCGGGGATCTCCGATTGGGTGTAACTTACCGTGTCCGCCAATCTGCCAACTGATACTGTTTCTGCGCCTTGAAATTGACGAACTTGTCGAGAAGAAACGCCAGGCTTGCGCCTGGATATCCCAGTGTTCGAGCAGCATGATAGGTATCGAATAGTCCCACAATGTATAGTCCCAAGTCCCGTTGGAGCCATACTATGTCCATGTAGGAGCCGTGCAGTACCTTCACTATGTTTGGATCCGCGAAAACCTCGTTTAAGCATTCTAATCTCCGTCGCCAAGGTTTGAGAGTGTCAACTATCCAGTCCTTGTCGCGTGTGCTGATCTGCATTAATGATACGATACCAATGTAAGACCGGTTATCGTGATGCTCTAGATCGATGGCTATCTCTCTCGCAGTCTTTAATTCCGCAAGCATCATGGCCAAGGATTCCGGCGTGTCGACGAATGCGGCAGAGGTGGACTCAAAAGGCGGGTAGGGGTGCGGCTCGGTTTTCTCGTACATCGATGCGGGATATTCGTAGGATTCGACCTCGGTTTGGTAGGGATGGGAATATCTGTGCTATGTTTAGACTTAGGCCTTCCTGATATCAGAACAATATGCATACTGTTCGCGGCCGTTGCTGTCCTTGAATGTCTTCAAGCACACTTCAAGTGGGATTTTCGCATGCGGTTTCGACGACATCAGAGGCCGGAAACCACCAGTCTCTTTGTTCTTGGGAACATGCTCGAACGAAAGCTGAGGCTTCGGAATATGCTTCTGTGTGGCGAGATTGGGGCGGGGCTTCACAGCAATCGCGGCCTGGTAGCATGAGCAGATTTTCTCAAAAACGGGCGCCATTGATTCCTACCTGATCCGCGCCAGGACTCAAGCGCTTTATGACTCCAGTATACTCGTCCAGACTAGTGTCCGCCTTCTCAAGCAAGCTGTCGATGACATCAACAACCCCCCTCCAATTGCCGTCTATTGATTCGGCGTCGGGTAGCTTGGGACCTACAGCGTCCGAGCTCGCCGTAGCATTCTCGAAAAGACGCTCTGCCAGTTGGAGAAGCCGCGCATTTTGAGAGTCGAGCGCAGTAGCAATCTGTGGGTTGAGCGAGCGCTGGAAGGGTATGTCGGCGCCGCTGATGCGGGTCGCAGAGCGCGTGGTCGAAACGAGGGCGGCAGAGATGGTGTCCTGGAGCTCCTTGAATGAATCCATGGCTGATTTACCGGCGACCGACTACCATTGCGCGCTTCCGGAATTGAGGGTCAGTAGTCCGCCTCCTGCAAACGTGGGCGCGAGGTGAGGGTTTAAGACCGGGTTGCGATGCTTAAGAAAGAATTCGAAGTCACGAAGTCTTGGCATTTTCTTATCGATAAAAGCTCTCGGAAGTGACGACCTGCACTTTGCCATCCGGCTCACCAGGCTCCTGTTATCTCTAGAATCAGACAAACATGTCGGCATCACTAGCACCGGAGTGCAACGAGGTCAAAGAGTATGTGGGGATGCGCAGCTGAGGAACGCATAAGCTGATCGTCCGTCAGGCGGTATGACAGCTGTTTCCTGAAATGGTACAGCGAAAGTGAGGCCATGGCCTTCCCATATCATATCTCATCTGACTCTTCCTAGAGTTTCTGAGAGGGACCGCGAGGTCCGATGAGTGCGATCCGCTGTTCAAACAGTACGAACAGTGCCTATCCGTATGTATACCCTAACAGGAATAGACGTCTGGACTGACATCAGATGCAGAAAGCCCTAAAAGCCAAAGGCATCGATAATATGCTCAAGGAAGCACGCGAAGACAACCGGGAGAACGATGCTGAGCATATGCGACCTGTCAGTTGTCTTGTCCACGGTGATTTTGTTGATGCATCGAAGCTGATAGAAGGCGGCAGAAACGATAACTCCGTCCCATGTACTACATTCGAAAGGTGTCACTTTCTTCGTCTCCTTCATCCGTGCATTTTCGTGAGTATATATCCGGACTTTTTCTATGAGCTAGCGCTGAGCAGACTAACGCTGGGCTTACAGGTGCATAGCATAAGCGTTCACTATCGCGGGTATGGAGACCCGTATCCGCATCAGCATCTGCATCATCAGCAATTTTGTACTCTATTCAGCTGTATTATACGATCCATGTCTCCACATATGCCCGCGCGCCCCTTTTCGCCGGCGTCGGTTATGTTTTAGCTTGTCTGGAATGGAAGTTTAGACCCCCTAGTCCAGGGATTATGACATCAATCGGTTCCACTCCCTTAAATGCCGCCTGATCTTCTAACCTTCGCTTTCTTCATCCTGAGCAACGTAGCCCCATCCTCCCAGCACGTTTGTCGTGCCCTAACTCCACATTCGCAGTTCAATCATGTCTTCGATCCGTGTCGGTCTGCCAAAGGAGTTTATGCTCGCCCCTGCAACGGCAACATGGGCAGCTCCCTTTGCTGCTTACTACCTCTTTCTTCAGAATAGAGTTGTATACCATCGTCTCAAGACGGAAAAGTTCGTGTTCTTCTTGCTTCATCTGAAGTAAGAGTAACTTCTGACACGATTTCAGGTACATGGGCGACACAGCAAATGCCGCCGAGGGGACCAAAGATCCGCTCTACGTCGCTACTAGAGCTCAATTGAACTTTATCGAGAACGTTCCCATTGCTTTCCTCGTTGCTCTCCTCGCGGAGCTGAACGGAGCAAATAGGTAAATCCGAGTCGTTTCCACTCACTGTGAATGCTAATGCCTTCAGAAAATACATCAGCTACGGTCTAGCGGCTCTTCTGGCCTTCCGTGTCTCCCACGTAGAGCTTGGGATGATGAAAAAGGACAGCATCGGTCTTGGTAGACCTGCCGGCTACTATGGGACGCAGGCAGTTATTGCATCGCTGGCGGGATACGTTGCCTACCTTGTAAAGGACTACTGGATGTAGAGGAGGAGGTCGAGCTTAGAATGACAGAATCCTACTAGCAAATACGACGAAGAGAAGAAATATATGCTCCTTTCTCCCGAGGCCGAGGTCGCCTTCCTCGTCAAATTTCCGCTAGACCCTTTTTGGAAGTTTAGGGTTCCGAAGATTCCTCTCGCAAACCTCACGACTCGACCACTCTTCCGCCCTCCATCAGCGCGATCTCAGAATCATGTCCACTGTCGAAGGTTTCGTTGCCAATAACGATAGTCAGCTCGTCATTGACTTGGACGGTAACACCAACTCAACGAGCCGTCTTCTCTCTCGTCCGTTGAAACTTCTTTTCCCAAGTAGAGCCACGGTACACAGTAGTCGGAAAGCAGTCGCCCCACGTCTTCCAGCATACCGTCGAACCTTGATTATCAACTTAGCTAACGACTGTTCCTTTGAGGCCGCGTGCGTAGACAAGCCGCAATCTGCCAAGATATCTAGTAACAATGAACTGCCATTTCCGTCGCAACGCAATAAAGCCTGGGCACACCTCAGGACGTTTCATCATTTATTCTTATCTCTTCGATACTCCCCACTTGTCCACCTACCCTTCTCAAAAATGTTCGAGATTGGCGTCTGCCTTTCATCCCGGCTCCGTCTCTCCCCTGGTACCTCGAGCTCTTCGATCTCCATCTGCTTCGGATGCCTCTACTTCTCATGGACACCCACAGATACGTTGTCCGAGAAATCTCGAAAGAAATCCACTCCTTTTATGAGGGGAAGCGGCCGTTCCGAGTCTACCATGGGTCTACGCATTCCTCTCGCGCTATGCATGATCCGCGAGCGGTCGTCCACACAGCTGATCTGAGTCATATATTGGATATCAATACCAAGAGCAGGTTCGTTATGGCCGAGCCGAATGTACCTATGGACAGGCTCGTGAAGGAAGTGTTGAAGCATGGTTTAATACCCCCTGTGGTGCCTGCCTTCCCCGGAACCACTGTAGGAGGGACCTTCGCAGGTACGGCGGGGGGCAGCTCATCCTTCAAATACGGCTTCTTCGACCGGGCTGTGTCATGGATAGAGATCGTACTTCCGGACGGGAAGATCACGAGAGCCTCGCGAACGTGCAACCCGGAGCTCCTAACCGGTATGATTGGAACGTTGGGTACTATTGGCATCGCCACGCTCTTCCAGATCAAGTTGGTACCAGCAGCCGAATGGGTCGAATTGGCGTACCTACCAGTCGAATCTACGATCGAAGCTCACGATACGATTAACCGCTGCTCCCAAGACCAGGAGAACGATTTCGTAGAAGGTCTGGTCTACGGTCCGGAGGCTTCTACGTACGGAGTAGTTGCCGTTGGCAAACTCAGTACTATCAAAGACAACCCGCAATCTGGATTCAGTGGGGCTCGAGATGACTGGTTCTATGAGCATGCCCTCCAAGCGGTGGGCAAAACAGAAAGCGTGCCAATCATGGACTACCTCTTTCGATATGACCGCGGATCCTTCTGCCTGGGACGATATTGCTTTGGCAGAATTCCTTTGAACAAGTGGACGCGGTATCTCACAGACAGAGCCACACGCTCGCGCGCTCTGGCCCAGATGTCGCAGGCTATGCATTGGGCGGATCATTTCATCATACAGGACCTAGTCATCCCTCTAGAGTCGACTTACGCCATGCTACACTTCCTAGAGGAAGAATTGAAGATCTATCCCATCCGGCTGTGCCCTATCCGGCAATGGCCGGAGAGCAATGCCAGTATGTACCCCGACTAATCCGGCAGCCAACGAAAGTTAATTAGTAACCAGTCATGCGACCGAATCCCCGAAAGACAAGTCTCTTCATGGGCATAGGCATCCGCGGCTACACTCCGGATACGCTCCACAATCCCACTAAATTCAAAGAAAAGAACCGAGACATTGAAAGGACGGTGCACCGTCTGGGCGGTATCAAATGGCTGTACTCGCGCAATTACTACAGCGAAGAAGAGTTTTGGGATATCTACCCAAGGAAAGAGTATGGAGAGCTAAGGAAGAAGTATAAAGCGGAGTACATTGCAGATGTGTATGAGAAATCCAGGTCTAGTGACAGGCAGATCAGGGCTCCAAAGGTGAAGGGGTTTTGGAATAGCGTGCTCGCGAGGACGTCGGTGTTAGCTACGAAGCAAAGCCCAAAGCCGAATAGTCGTTAGACAGTGTAATTTGTATCTTACGCATGACTGCCATGGACTGTAACGCTCTTGCGACGGAGGCATTCATAGCTTGCCGGCTCATTACGGCTACCACATCCTCATCACCACCGTAGTCTAACTCAGAATATATCTACCTTCGGGTTCCGATAGCATTCCTGCTGGACAGTTTGCTTCTTGAATATTTGGAGGTGAAGATGGTGAAGATGGAGGAGACGGAATTCGGCACCGGTGCCTCAGCGACTTACGTAGTGACGCCAAGCTGTGGCTGTGAGCCCCACCAGAAATCAACCCAATACCCCGAGTATCCAGCACCACCAGCATTCATAGCTTTGCGCCCACCACTCTGCATTCCGAAATACCCAAATCAACAACATTATCCTCGTTCTGCACTTTTGCGCTCTTCTTGGCGGCGGCAATGGAGGCAGCGTCGGCGCGGATGGCCGCCCGAGACAGATATGGCGGATGGGGAGATGCGCCAACCTCACAGCTCCAGCGCTTCATATGTAGGAGCTCCAAAAATGGTCGGCCAGTCGGATACTGATTCTCTACCGTACAGTAAACGCCTGTGACCCCCAGAATTTCGAGCCCAACCTCGCGCTAAATCTCGAGATTACGGACCTGATCAATACGAAGAAGGGATCAGCGTAGGCACACGGGACCTCCCGCGCAAGGCACGGTAGCTAATTGCGTCCTACAGGCCTCGGGAAGCTGCAGTGACAATAGTGCACTACATCAACCACCGCAATCAGAACGTTGCCCTTCTCGCTCTCAACGTACGACCGCAAACCCCGCTTCTTCTAGGCACATAGCTCACGGTTTGATAGCTCCTCGACATTTGCGTTAAGAACTGCGGCTATCCTTTTCACCTTCAGATCAGCACCAAAGAATTCCTCAACGAGCTCGTCCGCCGCTTCCCCGAGCGGCCTCCGGTGCATGCGTCGCGTGTCCAGAACAGGATCCTCGAGCTTATCGAAGAATGGCGGCAGACAATATGCCAGACGTCGCGGTACAAGGAAGACCTGGGCTTTATAAGGGACATGCACAGGCTGCTGAGCTACAAGGGCTACATGTTCCCTGAGGTTCGGAAGGAAGATGCGGCCGTGCTAAACCCGAGCGATGTACGTTCACGAGGTGCAATTTGGAAGTTGGTATACTGATAGCATGGTAGAACCTTCGATCGGCAGAGGAAATGGAAGAGGAAGAGAGGGAAGCTCAGTCAGCCAAGCTCCAAGAACTGATTCGGCGCGGTGGTCCGCAAGACCTGCAGGAAGCAAACAAGCTAATGAAAGTCATGGCCGGATACGATACAAGGAATAAGACGGATTGGCGTGCGAAAGCCGCCGAGGAGGTCTCCAGGATTCAACAGAAAGCGAGAATACTCGAAGAGATGCTCCAGGGTTACAAACCCGGAGATCAGATAAAAGAAGGCGATGTCTTTGAGGTAATATTTGAAGGCGATGTCTTTGAGGTAATATTTGAAGGCGGTATCCTAGCGGACTTTAGTTGACCAGTTTTCAGGAGCTCGCGAATGCGTTACAGAGCGCCCAACCGAAGATCCAGAAGATGTGCGAAGAAGAATCAGAGGATCATGAGGCCGTAGCCAAGCTCTTTGAGATCAACGACAGCATACACCGAACGATAGAAAGATACAAGCTCTTCAAGAAAGGCGATATTGAGGGCGCAAACAAGATACCACAGGGTACACTTGGAAAGAGTGGTGCCGGCGTATCGAAAGGACCTGACGATTCGCTTAACCTGATCGATTTTGGGGACCCCGAACCCGCACCAGCAGCTAGGGAACCTCCCTCAGGAAGCACCGCACAACCAGCGCAAAAGGGCAATGCTTTGGAGGACGATCTGTTAGGATTATCATTAGGCGGTCCCAGCTTTGGTCAGACGGGCGGCATCTCCCTCGGCGGGCCTTCAATAGGCAGCTCGAATGGCTCAGGTAAGTACCCTAGCTTGCGTAATTCTACATGTGCTAAGTTCCGTCTAGTTCTCGGTCTGTCCGGTATGGCGGTTCCAAAATCCCCTCAACAGCAGCAAGCCGCTGTGCAATCGATCAACGACTTATTCGGAGCAGCCCCAAAATCAGGTCCGCCTTCCCAGGTTCCGTCTCCGCCTCCATCAGCATTTTCGCAACCTCCGCCTCAGCCGGCACGCTCGACCCCCGATCCCTTCGCTGCATTAGCCTCACCAGCACCCCGACAAGCTTCCCCGATGCACTTCCAGCATTCGATCAGGTCCCCAACGCCAAGTTCAGGAGTCGCCGACCTTCTCGGAGGCATCGCCCCTGCTCCCTCATCCAATTTAGCACAAAGTAGTGCAAGCGCTACAAATGACGATGATGAATGGACATTTGCATCCGCTGTACCAGACACCACCATGGAAGTAACAGTGACTAACACCAGCATCAATGTTGTTTTCACCGTTTCACGAGAGTCGGACACTGTTCTCCTGATCAAGTCGCGGGTGTCGAATAACACGCCCTTGCCAGTCTCAAATCTGACCTTCCAGGTCGCAGCTTCGAGAGTAAGCTCCTCTCCATGCAGACTTTTCTCCAAGCACTCGCTAACTCTGCGCAGGGCGCACAGCTACAATTAGAACCACAGTCCGGCGTCTCATTGTCCCCAAACCAACAGAACGGTATCACGCAGATGATCAGGCTCAATGGCGTCCAACGAGGTTCTGGCAACAACGTCAAGATGAGGTGGAAAGTGGCGTACACCTTGGGCGGCCAAACGAAGAACGACATGGGCGAGATTCCAAGTCTAGGCGTGTCATAACGACCAGCTGATTGAAGTAGGGAGAGGACCTGAGTGTTGGCTTCAACGTTCTTTGTGCATTTTCAGCGGCATGGTCGGATCGGAGTGGTTTGAAACGATCCAAGTGATTAGATTCCCGTGGTTGGCCAAAACACTGATACCTGCACTCCTTCGACGCCATCGCTCATAACTATTGCGCCAATCTCCAGTATTTCATAGCGTGTGAAAGATTACGCTCAGCGACGATGCTCTCTTGAGATCAATAGTGCAAGGTTAACTCCGCTTATATCCAACAGCGTGCGCCAGTGCCACCGTCCTGCCTTGGTTGTGCCTGCCGCTCTTCAAAGTTGTTTACACCTCACTTTCAGTAGCCGTTGCCAGCAGCATACCGCGCCTCCTCTAAAGCTTTCCCTCCAGCAAACCGAGTGTCAATGCGATATCGATCCATCGCTTCTTGCGAGCCGAAGAACTTGCCTACCTCTGACACAAGCCCACCCACTGCGACTGCTTCCTCTTTGGCACCGAGCGTCGCGTCCTGCAGAGAACGCGTCAGCGTCTTGAGCATTTGGGCCTGCAGGTCGATGCTCTGGAGGTGAGATTCAATAACAAAACCCAAGCTCTCAGTCACGTCCCCGAAGTCTGTTTCTGTGCTGGAGATGTGTCAGCTGATGCCTCTTGTCTCGTTGGGGGCCACTTACGCGTCTTCGGCATCATCAAAACTACCGAAACTATCATCAAGCAGGACCTGAGGAAGCGGTCCTATTTTGAGGTCCTTTGGCCTCGCTTTGCCACATGCTTCGCTTAAGTCTTCCACTCGACGGATCAAGCGATCCAGGATCCGCGATGCTGCTTCAGGGATCTGCGAATCCACCTTGACCTTGTCCTCGATGTTGGCGATATGACTCCAAATCTGCAGATCAAAAGCGACGCCCTTGACTTGCTCCGAGATCTTGGCAAAGGTTAGATCCTGCGGAGCGGCAGCTTCAACATCCAGGTACTTTGAGCAGGTCGTCTCGACGAAAGCGAGTTTGTCTTGGAGCTTCGAATACTTATATCGCAGCCGCGGATGCCCGGACGGCGACGTCGGGCTTGCCGTAGGACTCTTTTTTGGCGTCTCTTTCTCTTTCGCAGACGAGGGAGGGTCTTCCTGGTGTATCTCCACCTTGGGTATCTTGATGGTGGGCTTCCGTTCGCGTATCGGAAGCTCACCTGATACCACAGGCTTCCCAGCTAGCTCGTTTAACGCCTTCGGCTTGACTTCGCGCACATGGTAGTTGGGGGCCACTTCATCTTTCTTTTGGCTTCTCTCGGATGGCCGGGGTCTGCGCTGGGCTGCGTAGCCGACGTAGAGCAGGTCCGATCGCTCTTCTTGTCGCAATGAGTATCGACTGTTGTAGTATTCCTTCATCTCACGCTCACGCTCCCTTCTCTCTCGGTCGTCTTTCTCTTCAAGGTGGTCTGCATAGCCGCCAGACCGCGAGCGGTGCAGTTTGGGTGTTCGCTTAAACTCGACATCCTCAACTTCAAGGAATTCCGTAGAATTGTTCGGCATGATGGAAAATGGAATACGTGCGAAAGACGAAGAAAACGCTGGAAAGACAATACTCGAAGGTCAGTCTCATATATGGTTGGGTGTCAGGGCATTGCTGCGGGCGCCTGAGGCTGTGGGGGCTGAGTCGCATCAGGCCGTACCACCGTCCGCAAGGCAACTGTCCTGATGTCCAATCGCCCTACACCAGGGCTGATTATCAGCGTCAACATTTTCAGGTCAGGAGTCCGCCTCTTCCAGTTCATAAACTGCTTCAGCCTAATCCCTCCTGTCTGATTCACTCTCACTCCACTCTGCAAATCACGATCCCCCATCCTCTACGCATTACTCATCGTATTCCTCTATGGCCGAAGTCCTCGGCATCATCTCCGGCTTGTATGGGACAGGGCAGGCGCTTGGAAAATTCGCAAAGGAACTCCAGAACTGGCAGCTACTCTCCGAAAGGCTCTTCGACATAACGGAAGGACTTCACGTCGCAGAGTTAACGCTTGCCCATTGGCAACACAAGTACGACATCCAGGAGAGGCGGCATCCCATTTATACGGAAGTCCTTTTCGGACGAAAGGGCTGGGAGCGCATTCAAGGCACCCTCGGAAGCATTAAGATTACCTCCAGGACTATTCGCGATGACGTGGACTCCGTGGTTGGCCGAGCACTCAAAGCCAGCTCAATACCGGTTACCAGTTACGCCGATGCCTTGGACGACGAAGAGCTGGTAAAAGCCTGTCTGAGGAGGATCAGGAGGAACATGGCCTGGTCGAAGAAGTTCGTTTACAGTGTGCTCGGGAAAGCCGACGATCTAGAATTGCGGCTACGCCGACTGCATTGGAAGCTTTCTCTTCTTGAACGCCAGACGGAGCTGTACCTGGAGAAAGAACATCCCGAAGTCTACCAAACAATCAAGCGCCTGTCTGGTCGCCGGGTAATACTCAAAATCGACGACGGGCGTATGGACGCAATCCAACACAATATAGTCGATGCGCTCTCCGCCCGCAGAGACGCAGATCTACTTCATCGCGCTTCAGGCCATGGAAACCGCGTCCATCTTGGCCTGTCCGTCCCGCAAATTCATAAACGCGACTTCTCTTTCCTACTCTCACTCAACGGCCATACCCACGAGGTGCTCGTGCGTCCTGTTCGTATCAAAGCCATCTACGACCAGTCGCGCGTCCAGTCCGACATCTCCTCCGCCGCATCGTCTCTGATCCGGAACACGCATCAACCATGCTACTTACTCCCTTCGACCTCTCATTCCGCCGGGTTCGAGATCTCCATCCCCCCAACGGACATCCTAGCAGCCCTCGAGTACAAAGACTCCCTCTCCACCCTCATCCGAGCCCAAGACCCTCTCCTCAGCCAACAAGTCCTCTATCCCCAGGATCAATGCGCGCTAGCCGGCGGCATCGCCCAGGGCACTTTCCGCCTCATCGGCAGCCAGTGGCTACACTTCCTCGACTGCAAGAACATCCGCTGGCGCCGCAACGCCTCGGGCCAATGGACCACCATGATGGCGGCCGTCCCCGGCGACGGCTCCATCACGCGCACCCTGCGGCGCTGCCTCGACGCCGAGCAAGCGCGCCGCGTCCCGCGCGATCTCACCAAGCACATCCAGATCTTCCGCATTGGGCTCGTGCTCGCCGAGCTCGCGCTCAAAACGCCAATCAACTACATCGACTTCGACGCCGGCACGGCCACCGTCAAGATCCACATCCGCGGCCTGAACGAGGACGACGACGTCGTCGATGCGGAGGGCATCGCGGCGGAGGTCGAGAAGCAGACGAATATCCTGGTCGGCAATATGGTCTTCTTTTGCCTGTCGGTCCTGCAGGATAGGGATGTTATGGCGGATAGGAATGTGGAGAGCGGGTACTACAAGGATGTTGTGAGTCAGGCGGAGGAACTGAGGGGGTTCATTGAGAAGGAGAGGAGGAGGAGGATTGTTCCTGGGCCGTGACGGGACGGAATGGTAGTTGGATGAGCGATCGTCTCGTCCTTTAGTTAGCATCGGTAGAGTGGTTTTATCGCATATGCAAAGCGTGCGGCTATTCTTCCTCACAAGCCTAAAAAGTATTTCCTTCTACGCCAGTCAGTGTATGAGCAGTGTTCAGCGAGCTATAGCTCATTCATAGTCCGCGCTCCGAGAGCAACCTCACCACCCGCTAGCACTTTTCTTTTCACGATTCAGGCCCAACATCGATCAGCAGACCCTCCCCCAGCCTTCTTACATCCCTTCAGCCCTCAGCCTTCCTACATCCCTTCGGCCCTAATCGTCGTGGAATGAATCACACACAGATAGAGAGGCAAAACTACAAAGTGGCATGTTCACCGCGCCACACGTGTCGGAACGCAGTCAGTGGATGAAAGGAAGTCGTTCGGGTATGGCATTTCAGCTGATCTGATAGTGGAGTTATCCATCCCACGCTGGCTGTCCATGAAGCGAGCGAGCGAGCGATGTCGTGACTCGGCGGGTTCGGGTTCGGGTTCGGCCGAGGTAGATATCGGGCCCGCAAGCGGTTCGTGTCATGTCAGGTGATTTCGTTGCTTCGCTGGAGGGAGCAGAGCGGAGTGTTGTGGGGTGCGCGGTGCGTGGAAACAGGGAGGTTTCGAAGGGAATTTGGGGGATTTTGTGGATGGATGGATGGAGCGAGCAAGGCTGGCTGGCTGCCTGGTTGAAAGGCAGACGCATTTTGAATTTCTGGATCTGGAAGTGCGAGACCCTTCTCAGTGATACGGATGCCCGCCCCTCTTCTTGAGTGGAGATCGCGCGTTGGGTGTATGTATTGAGGTAGCAGTAGGCCCTGGCGTAGCGAACACTACCATGGCCCACCGCGATCGCTGCTCTCTGCCCTCTACGCAACGCCTTTATCACCTCTATATCCAAACCTCTATCCCGCCTTTAGCCCCTCTCTTAAGTAGCCAGCTTGAAATGCGGATGGTCGTCACCCAGGTTATCCGCATCGGGGTCCTCAAGCCTATGATCCCGCTCGCCCCTTGCCCTCTTCCTATTCTCGCTCTTCGCAAGCACATACAAAGCCGTGCACGCGCCGCCGCATATCCACAGCATGCCGAGCGAGACGCCGTATCCGGTCGGATACTTGGGGCTCTCGCTCGCGAGGAACACGTTCGAGGCGACGATGCCGCCGATGTTTCCGAGGCCGACCTGCATCGCCGAACTGACACTGCGCTTGTAGTGGCCCGACACGAGATTTGACATCCAGGCCAAAGTAATAGGCTGCGTGATGTATCCGCCGGGCACGATGAGGAAGAGTGCGAAGTACTTAACGCCCGAGGATAGATTGTTCTGCGCAAGCAGCAGGATATAGCCTGCGCTTGCGACAATCAGGCCAGCGATGCAGAACCAGTACCTGTGCCTGACGCGGTCGGAAGCCCACGCCGTGCAGAACGTGACCACGGTGGCGACGACGAAGATGGGGATGCTGCGGATCTGTGCGGCAGAGGAGGTGTAGCCGAGTTCCTTGACGATAGTCGGGATGAAGAAGGAACCCGCGTAACCCGTGTTTACGATGCCGAAGTACGCCAGGGTACCTAGATAGATCTTTGGGTCGCGGAAGACGCGACGGGCAGCGGCTTTATCGAAGCGGTTCATGACGGCATCGCCGCTGTCGTGGGACAGGCGGGCGATTAGGAGGGCGCGCTCGTCTTCTTTGAGGAATTTGGCGGTTTCGGGCCAGTCCGGGACCTGTAGGAAAGTCAGGAAATCATTTCGCAAGGGGGAATAAGGGACGAAGCTGGCTTACCCAGAATTTGGAGACTAAGCCAAAGACAACGGTAACCAGGCCCTCGATGATGAAGATCCAGCGCCAACCGCCATATCCGCGGATGCCATCCATCTTGGCGATGGCAAAGGCTAGTAACTGATGGCGTGGTTAGTGGAATGAATGATTTGGCTGGGGAGAGGTAGAATACGTACGCCACCGAAGGCGCCTGCGATAATACTAGCGGCGAAGAAGAGAGTCAGGCGCCACTGGAGTTCGTAGCGTTTGTAGTACCTGTGTTGGGGATACGGTCAGAACGACCTGCTCAACGAGTCTCGATTGATATAACACTTACATGCTAATGAGGTAGACGCAACCTGGTTGTGATTAGCTTTGCTTAACCAGTGTCAGGAAAAAATGGAGACGTACCTGGAAACAAGCCGGCCTCGAAGAAACCGATGAGAACACGCATGGCAACGAGTCCTGGATTCAGATTAGCTTAGTGACGCAGTCGGTTAGCTTATCAAGCCCCGACTGACCTTTAAAGTTGTTCACCAAGCCCATGCCTATTGTCGCTATGCCTGAGTCATGTGTTACTCGTTGTCCGGACATGTTCGCGCGCGAAGAACTGACCCCAAAGAACCATGATAAGAGACAACCAGGTCGAAGGAGCTAGTTTTTTCAGGACGAGGTTCGAGGGAACTTCAAACAGGATATACGGGACAACTAAAGGAGAATAGTGGCATTAGCGTAGTCCATCATGGAAGGGGCTTGGATCCTCGTTGTCTTGGATAAGGCTGGATTGCGAAGTGCCACCGGGGGTTATTTCAGACGGTAACCCGGGCACATTATCGAGAGAGGTGAGGGGAGGAGCGGGTTGTATCATACAAAAGATGAACAGGGCAATGTTGTAGTCGGAGCCGTGCATATCGAGCTCTTCCGTAAGCCCTTGGATCTTTGCATTGCCTAGCCATGCGTCAGTAGGCACCTAGGAGGCCTCAAGTGAGAGAATCATACCAATATTGGTTCGATCTAGGAAGGCCAGAAGGAACAGGACGAAGAGAGGCGGGAGGACGTAGAGGTCGCATTTCCGCAGCAGTTTCTTCTCTGCGACCGGGTCGATGCTCGCGCCCCGGGTGTCATTGATGACTTCGATCTTCTCGTCTGGTGGGAAGCTGGCTGCGTCTTTGATGTCTGCCATGGCGACGGTGGTCTCTGGGGGGGAAAGAGAGAGCGTTATCTTGATCCTTGCAGAAGGGCGCAGGTGAAGGTAAACTTCTTATACTCTGCACGCTCCATTACCACGTTGCCGGGCAGAGATACGGCCAATGATGCTGCAGGAGCACTACCCGACAATCCGCTCCGAACTACGTACCCGGCCGCTACCCCAGACCCCGGATTTGCGGGGAAGCGACGAAGACGCGCCTAGAGGAATTAATTCCGCCATTCATCCGCGTGCGAAAGACGCGTTGCGAGTAATGTAGCGGGCTGTTATCTTAAGACGCTTCAGTAAGTATTGGAGGGCGTGAAGGAGCGTCCACAGGCTGGGGGGATGGCGGTCTGCAACGCACTGGCCCTGGGCAGTCTACCAGGGTGCCGCTTCCGGGATACGGGCCTGTCCACATGCAAGTATGCAAGTCAGCCTGCGAGACCAGATGAATTGGATCGAAACGGATAAGGAGGAGGGCCGGTCGTTACAGAAGACGGAAAAGCGTGGGCGGATCGTGAGTGAGGCGTGATATGGAGCGGGCACGGTAGGCGGCCAATCAGACACGTCACATGTGTCTGCACCCCGACCCTGCGCCAACGTCAGTGCCAAGAGGACCGTCGCAAGGAGCAGTGAGGCTGCTGCTCGTAACTCAATTCGAGACAGCATCTGTATCTCTGCCCGCGTTCTTGAGGCTTCCAGAATCCCAGACGCAACCCCCTTTGGCTCCGCTGATCTTCGATGCCCGTGTGACTCGCCCTTGCATTCTTTGAGCGATCCTGGGCGCCGGGAGCGACGAGTGACGTAGCCCTGTAACTTCTCGTTTCTCGAGAACCGTACCACCTACGTCCACCCCTAAATCTCCTATCACCACGACTCTCAAAGAACACAACTCGAACAAGCACTCAGAAACCAAGTCGCCATGACTGCGAACCCGCCGACCCTTATCAACCTGCCTCCGCCGCAGTCGGATCCGACGACGCCCAACGACGCTCCGTAAGGCAGCCCTCCTACCGCAACTGTCCTTATGCATGAGATAACTGATACAACGCGCCTATAGGGGCACCCCAAACTCTGCGACCACGTCCATGTCCGAGCTCTCTACCGTCGCTATCAAGGACGGCCACCGCGGCCACTTTCCGCATCACCATCAGCCAGCCGAGGCCGAGCGCGCTGACCGTATTTCGCGCTTGGCAGGACTGGAGCGTGTAGCTGTCTCTGGGCGCAATCCGCACGGACTGGCCCCTGGCGCTGCAAACAATCCTCCGCCCGGCTACTTCGATGCGAACAACCAACCCCAGATCTTCCGCGAGCGCAGCACCGTCGGCAGCGCGAGCGCCACCGGAAGTGTGGGCGGCAGGACAACATGGGCTAGCGGTAGCGATGTGTACGACCCAGATCGGATGAGCGAGGACCAGGACCCCGAGACATCTAGCATGGGAGGCTTCAGTGACGAGGCGGCCTCCTTGGTCGGCTTCGGCGAGGGCGCGAGGACCCCAGCCCGACAGCACAGCCAGCTGGGAAGCCCGGCAATTGGCAAGGCAAGCGCGGTGCCTCAGTATCTGCGCGACCAACCGCCCGCTAGCCCGATGACTGGCGTGAGCATCCCGAGCAGCTCAGGCACGACGCAGACCACTTCAAGCGCAGAGCAACAGAAGCAGGAGACGAAGATGCTGGATGGCATGACCTATGATGAGGACGTCGTTGATACAACTAACCGCACGCCGCCATTGACTGGTCAGGGACCCGGAGGTGCTACCACTGCAGAGCAGGTCATCCGGGAGAGAATGCGTCAGCGTCAAGCCGGCCAAGCTGCGGCTCCGAGCCAGGAAGTCATGGAGGTCGAGCAGCATCGGGAGTATTAGCTGGGGGAAACTCATGTCGCTACCTCCACTGGGGTTGACTCTGGAGTTCGGATATGTTCCTTTAGTCTAGCGGGCTATGATGGCTATCCTTGGTTCCAAAAGGCGGCCGGGTCGCTCGATTGTTTGATATGGCTATTATCATGATATCAATGAATGCAAGAAGTCGAATTGGCGCGTTGGTGTCCAAGGAGAGGAATGGCCCTGAGGAATGAGTTGTTCGTCGGTCATTTCGCGCTAACCGCTTGTGGCTGCTAGCGTGCTTTTGCGGCTCGCTTGCGCCGCACTCACCAAATTCCGAGCTGCAAACCAACACCCAGCTCATCGTCAAATCGCCCAGCCAATTCGACACAAACCACCGTCGCCATGGCCAGTATGCTGCTTCCCGGTCCGCGGTAATGGGACAGATTCGCTGACGAAATTCGCAGAGTCAAAGAACTCGTCCCAGCACAACCAGTCGAAGAAAGCCCACAGGAACGGGTACGCATAACCCAGCGCCGCATCTCCACCGGCAGCGATATCATCTTACTCGCGCCGCTCTCCCCAATTCCCCGCGATAATACTGTTAGACATGGGATATATGGCTGCTAACTTGGGATATTCTACAGTATCAAGAAGCCTCTGACGCACCGATACCCGTCGCTCAAGGGTACCGACCCCAAGTTCCGGAGAAACCACAGGCATGCTCTTCACGGCACAATGAAGGCCCTGGTGCGTACTTGTTGCCGGTTCCGAGACATTGCACAAAGCTGACGGCCGTTGCAGAAGGAGGTCAAGGAGGGCAAGCGCGACGCGGCATGAGCGGAGGGCGACCACGAGCGAGCGAGCGACGAGGGCGGCTTTCCAGTTCTACCACGAGACATTTTGCTGGCGTCAATGGCATCCGGACTTTCTATGACGGCTCCGAGCTGATATCGGGACGCGGGTTCCTCACCATAGGCATGATGCGGCAATGAATAAGTCGAAAAGCCAGTTGGCTCGCTCAGTGATGCCAGCGTGGTGAACAATCGAGCACTGGTTCATCGTTTGTTGCGATCAACGGGTCCGTCTGCGATGACGAGGCTGCGGCCTCAAACGGCATTAGTGTGTACAGCACCAGAGCTTTCCCATGTTCGACCTGCTGAAGGATAATATTCGTGCCTAGATTGACACCCCATCATTACCAAACACCTGCCCTCTCTTCCGTGAGGTGCAGGTGCATGGAGATGGGGTTACATATTATGCCCTGAGTCTAGACTTTTGCTGTCATTCAGGAAGCTGACGGAACTGCCAACACGCGATCAGGCGCTCAAAGCACAGCGAGGCAGTGCCGGCCCGAAGCGTCATAGATCAATGCACAATTTTGTCAGCAGGCGAGGGCGTTTGCAGCTTGTCGCCGTTCAGGTGATGTCTCTTCATTCCACGTGCAGCTCTTTAAACCGGGCTGGGGAGCTCGGAGCTGTTGCGGTCCAACGTTCCAGCTTCGAGCACGTCGCGAAAGCCCGGCGGGGAACAAGCAGCACTCCAACTCCACCCAACCTCCTCAAACCCCACCCCACCACGTCCCACCCACACCTCTTCATCTCTCCGGAGGTGGTGCAAGAGCATCCGACGCAGCCAATTTTACCGACAACCCCCCTCATGCTCTTGCAGCGCTCACCCCGGACAGACTGAAGAAAGAGGAACCTGCGGGCCTCATTCCTGGCCAGAAACCAGCCTGCATTGCACAGCCTTAGCCTAGTTCTGAATCACTAAACGTACCTTTGACGCACGCTCCTAATTGCTGCCCTGCTTTTGCGCGTCGTCCCGCTTCTTTCGAAGCTCGCCGCTTCGCTTTCCTTCTTTCTCATTACTCTCCTCCTTGTCAAGCTCGCCGGAGCGACAACGCGTCCCAAGTCGCTCTTCCCAGGCGTCAGCAACAAGCACGCCGCCAACACGATGGCTACCCAAGCCCATTGCGCGTACTGCTTCGACACGCTCTCTGCCAGCCTGGAAAAGCGCCCGCCGCTCAACCTGCGCCAGTGCGAACTCCTCTGGAAGAGATACAACGCCGATCCCACCGCTGCGGACCCGAACGCACCCGAAGAAGACTTGGAGCCGCCCTCTGACTCGGAAGACTTCGACGAGAACTCGCCTCCCACTGCTGCTACTGCGAACGCGTCTTCGTATCGCCCGGCCGCGATATCCAGACTTCTTGCGCCCTCGCCGCAGAGTGCTAGCTCGAGCAGCGTGCAGAGCACGAGCTCGACGCCGAGCGGGGTTAGCGAGGCGAGCTCCGCGACGAGCAAGAGCAGTAGTCGGAGTAGCTTCTTCTCGCTCGGGAAGAGATTACACAAGGAGGCGGAGAAGGAGCGGGCTGAGGACGGGAGCCCGCTCTTCGTGACGTGGAATGTGATCTCGAGGAGCGGGGAGAAGCGGCTGCGTGGGTGCATCGGCACGTTCGAAGCGCAGGAGTTGGATGACGGGTTGAGATCCTATGCCCTGACTTCGTACGTTCCTTCCTCCCTTAGCTCTATTTCTACACGATATGCGACCGGCTCTGCAATGCAGGTTTGAAGAGCGATCCAGCTAACGCAAAGCCCTCAGTGCCTTCGAAGACACGCGCTTCCACCCCGTCTCCGCCCGCGAACTGCCCACCCTCGAATGCGGCGTTACGCTCCTCACGCACTTCGAATCCATCTCCGACCCACTCGACTGGGCCATCGGCACGCACGGCCTGCGCATCTCCTTCACCTACCACGGCCGCCGCTACGGCTCCACATACCTGCCCGACGTCGCGAAAGAGCAGGGCTGGACAAGGGAGGAGACCATGGTGAGCCTGATGCGGAAAGCGGGGTGGAGTGGACGCCGCGAAGACTGGAGGAAGGTAGAGTTGAACGTGGTGCGGTATCAGGGGCGGCAGGTCAGATTAGGGTACCGCGAGTGGAGGGAGTGGCGGGATTGGGTCGAGGAGGAGATGGAGGCGTAAAGGTTGGTAGGGGCTTAGTGGAGTTCAGGATATACGATGGCATGGGAATGGAATGATATCCACGATGGGCCTGGCGTCGTGGAGCGAGGGAATCTAATACGGGATCGGGATATATGGTACTGGTGTCATGACCAGGTATAGACGTCCCCAGGGACAACCAACAATCTACTCTTCAAACAAGACACCTCATGCACCTCTCACGCACTTCACAATTCTACTCGTCGAGTTTCTATTCCACGTTGCAAATCCACGCCTAGAGAAAGAAAAGCGTCACCATATGAACCGCACTCGTGACATACCTCGGAAAGTGCATTGCCACCTCAGGGACCCTTCAGCACATAATAAAGACTACGAGACTTGCTTGAGTTGGGCTTTCACTAGCTTTTAGCTCGCGACCAAGGTTGCACATAACACGTGAATATGTATATGTAAGTATACGAACTACAGTCGAGTAGATTGCCGTCTCTCTCAGTGAAGGGACCGCAGTCCCAGTATCCAATTCTCCGCATTTCTTCAGTCAGGCTTTCGTCCTATCTATCCTCCTCGTTCCGGGGTGTTGGCTAGTGGAGAACCGAACGCCCATCCATCCATCCATCCAGGATGATTCCAGCGTGCTTAAGACTCCTTACAACGGAATGCCAATGCTGCTCCAGCCGAGCGAACGGCTGCGCGCACGTATAAAAAAAAAAGGGCTGCGAAAAAGCCAAGAAAGAACGTAATAGCATTGCATGCATCAACTTAGCAGTTGCGCAAAGGCGGGGTATCTAGGAATAGAAATATAGGCCTGCGAGTAACAACGCACGATCAATCCAAAAAAAAGTACACAAAAGAGCAGCGAAAAAAAGGAAGATTGTGGAGCTATACATCGCGCCAGATACGCTCGCAGACGGGAAGAAGGATAATGGAAGAAGAGAAACTGGCGAGAAAGGACGTCCGCCCTTATCCATGCATTAGTTCCGGCAATTGTAGCACCTCGTACTGGAGGGAAGGTTGAACTAGGAGTGAGCAGACTGGTGCTGAAAGTAGACAAGAGCTAGCTCTTAGTATGAATTAGCGTCTGAACTCGTACGCGCGGGTAAGTCGACGTCGGACGTAGCGGTAGGCATACGTGTCCGCCTACGCGGTCGTTGGGCCGCTCCATAGTCTTCTGATTGTGGTGATGTCGGTGGCGAAGGAGCGTTGTAGGGCTGCGTGCCGGTGAGAAAGGCGTCTTCCACTCCCCCTGGAGATGTCTCGTGGTATCGACGACCGGATCGCGAAGTGGAGTACGAACTGTAAGGGTAGGTGTCGTGCTGCGGAGATCTGGATGGCGGAAACGGTGGCTCTGCAGGGATTCGGGTTCGTGATGGCGGAGATTTGCTCGAGGGCATTGCGTTTGTGGTCTTGGTGCTTCTCCGATGGGAGTCTGCGCTGTATCCGGTTTCAAATGGTCGAGGTAATGGTTTCCTTCTTGTTCTTGGTGAGTCTTTCTCAGTGACCTGAGGTTGTGAAACTGGCCTTCCCGAATGCTCTTGGCGGTCACGGCTGCTTCCTGATCGATTTGATCTCGAAGGTGAAGTTGTCTCGCCCCTCTGAGGTGATTCGCCGTTCAACAAGCCCTTCACGTTTGCTGAACGATTGACGTTTCTGTGAACTTTCTTGACGTCCGCCCCGTGCTTGACCATGATCTGGATCATGGCTTCAAGCTCTTGGGTCCGGGATTCCCTATCTTGTACGTCTTTTAAGTGTTCTAGCTGATACACCGCCAAGCCTAAGGCTGTAGAGCGATGCTTTCTATAGCGTGCTTCCATGTTGGCTCCCGCCTCCACCAGCTGCTGAACTACGGCCACAGAACCGCTCTTGATGGCAGTATGTAAAGGAGTATCATTCTCTTTGACTGACTGGCTAGGCGCTAAGAACGGGTTACTGAGTCGAGCTCGCATCTGTCGGGTAGCGTTCAAGTCGGCCCCTAAATCAGCAAGCAGTCCCGCGGTCTCTGCATCGCCCGAGATTCCGCAGTAGTGCAACGGCCTCAAGCCCCAATTATTCTGGACGTCTGGGTCTGCACCCATCTCTAGCAGATGAGCGGCAATTTCTGGCTTGCAGTCCTGGGTTGCGAAGTGCAGTGCAGCGCTACCGTTCCGGTCCTTAGCGTTGACATCAGCATTATAGTGAAGGAGGAGCTCGACCAGAGCTCGATCTCCAACCATCACTGCCTTGGTAAGTGGAGGACGGCCCTTTTCATCGCCCAAGTCTGCCCGCGGTGCATGCTCTAGGAGCATTTGTACAGTTTCCACCTTTTTGTTCTCGACGGCTCGGTACAAGGCAGTCTTCTTATTATCGTCTCGGAAATCGATGTTTGCGCCTGCAGCTAACAATTCTCGGCCCCTTTGCGTGTTTCCTTGGAAAGCGACATTTCCTAATTGCTGGGAGAGCCTTTTTTGGTTCCCGAGAGGCATTATAAATCGGCTGGAATGGTAGGAGTTGCTGTCCGCGCTACGCAGGGTAGATGATCCAATACTGGTCTTGCTATCGGCGACGGAAGGATCCTTCAGACTTCCCTCAATATCCCGCAATTCGGTGGCAGGCTCCCCGCTTCCTCTCGTCTTTGACATCATGCTTGCAAATGCAGCCTGGTATGCCTCACTGCTCGCCAGATCTGCCTCGTAACTGAGATCACCGATGGATGTGTCCGAGCTCCGTATCGTGGACGGTGGCCTTATGGAGGCATTGTCTCGCGCTGTATATATGGTGGCATCGTCCCGAGCCCGAGAGAGAATGGACCGTGTGACGGGATCCTGGCGAGCCTTCGTGCGCTCCTGCTGAGATCTGCATCGCATTAGTGAACTGGCGTAGCTAAGTCCTGACCAGAACATCATTACAAGCTGATAAGGGTCAGCAGCTGTTGCTGCGCCTCTAACTGCGTTTTGAGCCTCCCATGGTCCTCTCTGAGAAGGGATTCGTTCCAGATATGCTTTATCCTACGCAAGAAGCCCGTGTTCGGATTGCTCTTCGACGGATCGATATGTGCCCTTATCCGGACCAAGAGGCTATTACATTCCGCCAACGACAGACGCAAAGTGTTCGCTTCTTCGGCGTTAAGGGTCGCCGGGTTCTTGTCGAGCAAGGCCTGCAGTCGACCGGCGGTAGCATCCGTCATCTTTAATTGGACTAGCAAGGAGCGTACCACATTGGGCACGTCTTTGTATTTGGTGACGAGGGTGTGGATTTCGATGGCCGCACTCCCAGCCGCCCTGGCAATGGCTACGCAGCCAGTGGCCAACGACATTGGATCCATTTTCGTGTCCTGGCGGTAAGGCTTCGCAAGGCTGAGCCGACTTAATAGCAGCGTTTTGGAGAGGTGCTGGTGGTTAGGATGGCCTGGATGTCGAAGAATCTTTTGGGATGGGAAGCGCCCGGATACGCGCGGTGCGAGTGTTGCTATCGCAAGACGAGCTCTTGTGAGGTGGAGAAGAAGAGAACGAACCCCGCAGCAAGGCTGGATGATGTGGAAGTCGCGATCCTTCCCAGCTGCGCCTACAGGGCGCGCTAACCTAAAACGTAACCAAGCTGACATGCACCATGCAGTTAGATATCTATCCATGGATCGTGCCTTGTGTCTTCCCCGTGCTTGCGTTCCCCTACAGATGTCCATTAGCTCTCTCCTGCTTATGGTATTTGCGCGCCCGCGCTACATGCAACGCCCTTCAGTCGGGCCTCTAAATGCTACCCAACGCCTCGCTGTGCAAGACGAATATCATTCCCCCTTCATGATGTACATACCGTTAGTCGCTTGCGCGGCTAACTGCTTGGATCACTTCTTCGGCCGCATATCCAGCATCTCTAATGGTGCATTCCGCAATTCGACCACATGCCCCGGCTTCAAGGCCTCGGTATAGATATTTTCCACGCTATGGGGGTGAAAGATACCAGGTTGATTGCAGCTCAAGATTGCTTGCTTGCCTGGTGGATCCGTCAGGCGGAAGCAGCCCCAACTAGGCCGAGTGTTAGCCGCTGCTCGCTGCCGGAATTGCGGATGAAGAGGCTGAGGGATGAGATAGCATGGGCCTACATACCTAGGCTCCTTGCTCGGAGCACAGACGATCGCAATACTCTCCGGCATCATAACCTGATACCCAACATGCGTATGCAAATCCCTACTGCTCATGAAGCATGTCTGCGTAGGGTGTGTGTGAATCCAGCCCAGCACCATCAGCTCCTCCCTATCGCAATAGTCAAACAATTCCTGCTCGTTGACCGTCTCGCAGGTATCGCTTGTGCTTGTTTGTTCCGGGATTACTAGCCGTGTTATGAACAGGGCATTTGACTTCAGAATGCCGCAGAGAATACCGCAGGTTTCAAGATTCAGGCGCGTATTCTTCGATGCGGCGGATAAGAAGAGCGAGCGCAGCTGCGCGGGGAGGAAGATCGACCGCAGCGGCTCGCCATTTTCGAGGTAAGCGGAAGGCTTGAAGGTGAACTCATCGAGTTCGGTGGGCGGGGTGGCAGGGCGGGCCTCGGGAATTTTCCCTGGTATTGGGGGCGCGGAAGCCGTTGTTTCGGCGTATTTGCCTGGTATTGGTGGTGGCCTGGGTTGCTCGAAGATGGGGATGGACGTTGGCGGTTTGGGCGGTTTGGGTGGTAGAGCAGGGGGTAGTGGAGAGGAGTCGGAGGGACGGCGTAGGAGCTCCTTGGGTGGTCTGGCAGGTGCGGTGCCTTGAGTGGGTAATCTCAAGTCTGTGCCTGACCATCTCTCTTGGGCGGTGTGGTGCGGCACGGAGGGGTAGTGGTAGGCGGAGGGCGCATGTATGGACGTTGGACGCTATACCTGTCAGCATCGAACGCTCTACAAAGCGACCTCAGGAGACTTACCGAGAAGTTGGGCGGCTTATGCCCGTTCTGTTGCATGCGCGCAACCTCCTGGATCTGGCTCGAAAGCTCATTATCAATCTCACCGCTCTCCCTCTTCAGCTCTTTCTCCCAATCTACCCACACTCCCCCGGTCCTCCGCTCTTGCTCCTGCTCTTCCGAGACACCAGCCCGTCTAACACTCCTCCTTGCAGCATCCCTCCTTCGAACCTCCCTCTGCGCGAGCTTCGCCGCCAAAGTCTGATTGCCCTCGGCATCCAGCGTGGGTCGGTCATAGCTATTTCTCTTCGCAGCCGCTCGATCATTCAGGGACAGTCCATCTAACCCTTGACGAAGTCTCGGACCCTTTCCTTCTAATGATTGCAGTGCCTGCAACTGCGATTTGCGTCGCGCCTGATATTCCTCGTGCCTCTTCTTAATGCGCGGCCGGATTTCCTCGAGTTTCTTCAGATCGCTAGCGACGGCTGCTGTCGCAGCACTGAGCGCTTTGCGGTTCTCTGGTCTATTCTTCTCGGGGTGGTTCTGAAGGTGGTCGAGGACGAGATTTGCGTGCCGGTAGAGGAGGAGGTACGTTTGCGGGTCGTTGCCTTCTGCTTCGTAGACTTGCGCCTGTGTCGATGAGCGTGCGAAAGCTTGAGGTGACCGGGTGCCAAACCTCCTTCTGCATAGTACTGGCGGTGCGTAGCCAGTTCCTGAGGGGTATATAGACATTGTATTCATAGTTCTCAGCCTGGTCGGTGAGGTCCTGGACGCTCAGAGGAGCGCCGACGGATGCCATCGCGAAGCTAGGTGTATGTCGCGGGGCAAAGGTGGCAGGAAGGGTGAGGGGCGGGCGTTTGGCTAGGCCACGGTAGCCGTCACCGGTGAGGCAGCAAGCGGCGTTGTTTCATTTGTGTGAAGGGCAATTCACAGTTGTGATGGTTGTTTCGGGTGCCTGGGCTCTGTGATGTCTTCTGTCGCCGCCGCAGCCCGATTGGCATCACCGCGGGGCAGGCAAGCACGGTCCAGGATGTCAAGAGCAAAATTGGGCAGCACCCTTGGAATGATAATGCCTATGCCTGCAAGGAAAATAATGCTAGAAGCGTTCTGTTTCTTGGAAAGTGTGTATAGCAGCTCTTGCACTACAAAGTCAAGTCGTACACCTGGGTGGCCGCGCCGTCACGTGTTCAACCAGGCGAACTAGGACTCTCAATTGCAATACTTGAACTTGCGTAGCCGTCTAACATTGTGAATAGATATCAAAAGCTGGTAAAAGCAACAACCATCTAGCAAGACTTCTGCTTGGGGGTATCCATATCAAGATGTAGTAGCAGCAGCAGTCCATCATCTATCTCCAGAGTCCTGCGACAACTTCTCCCACTCACTATCCGTGCTCAATTCCCCCGTCGACTCTCCCATGCTCCTCCTCCTCTTGACGGCATCATCCACTATAGGCGCTAACTTCGTAGTCGCGCCCGTCGTGCTCGCCGCCGCCGGCCCAGCGCTCGTCTGAACCGGTGTGCTTCCCCTGCCACCACCACCAGCACCCTCCACGGGCGGCCTCTCCACAAACACCGTACTCTGCGTCTCGGGGCGCGGCGCACTCTTCGGCTTCGGCTTCGGCTTCGGCTTCACTCTCTGTTTCTCCTCCACCTCGGTCTCCACCTCGGTATCGTCCCCCGAGTCCATAGCCTCGACCTCGCTGCCCGCACCCCGCGTCTTCTTCTCCTTCTCCTTCTCGCGCCGCGCCTCGCGGATGCGCTTCGCCTCCTCCTCCTTCGCCTGCGCGGCGCGGATCTCGCCCGCGAACCAATTAATCGCCCACCAGAGGCCGGCGGTCAGACCAGAGAGGATGACAAAGTGTATGCTGTGGGTCGCGAGGAGGAGCGCGAAGAGCAGGAGCTGGAGGGCGGCGAAGGAGGCGTTTGTTGCGACGAGCAGGGTGGGCGTGGGGCCGGGCGTGAAGATGGATTGCCAGAGTTGCTCGAAGAAGGTGAGGAAGGACGCCATGCTTGATTCTCGTTGGCGCAGTGAAGTTGTGGTAAGTATGGTGGTTTCCGGAGGTTGGGCGTCGCTGCTTCGGGGAGCTACGAGCTTGTTATCGGTGACGTCTTGCGCAGCCCCGCGGGTGCCTAGCAATCAGGACAGCGTGTGCAGAATCGTTGATGCTACGTTGCGGAATCGCTGGTTTCTGCCTGCGAAGTCGTCGTAAGCTGTTTGGCGCGAAGATTGAGAGACGGGGGAGCGGAGTACGTGGGAGAAGAGCACTCCACGCTCCCTGACGTGTCTGGTGTTTCGCGGGGCTGGCTTCGTCGGCAACGCATTCCAAATGCCCGAGCGCGAGAGCCGCTCCTATTGGTGGGGCATGGTCACGTCCATGATTGTCATATTAAGTGGGCGAAATTCGGAGTCTGGCTCTCGTATATGAAATGTATTGACTCTTGAGCCGAGCATTACGATAGAGACACTGGATACCGCGCCAGACAGACAGGGAACCAGCATCTCCAACAGCTATCACACAGCAACACCATCCAGTCCAATCCGGCCACGCAAACCGTGAAGCAAATTGCTCCTGGTAAAGATTCCATCCGGGACACAGCGAAACCGTTCCTCATTGGTTCCGAAGACCGAATGCTCACATGACGACACACCCAGGTCCCGACCGGTAGCTCCTCCGGTATTCGCGGTAATGGTGAGTGCTCCTTCGACGTCTCCTCCTGCCATCGTAGCCATATAAACCATCATCCCATCCGCATCCATCGTCGTAAACGCCATCGCACATCAAGCGGCTGCTGCTCCCATACGGCCCAGAGAGCCTATAGTCGCCACACCAATCGCCGGGTATCATCGGACGCGGACCCCAGTGCTGCTGTTGGAGCTGCGCACCGCCCCAATATCCCGGAATCACCTCGCTGCCGCCCCAGTGACTTCTAATGAGTTGATTGCACCCCCAAGGACCTTGGATCATTTGCATAGTCTCCCCATCACAGAATCCGCCGTTGCACTGAGGGCAGGTCATCGGTGGTGCGATGAGAGTCTGGACAGTCTGTCGGCGAGGGCAATTGAGGAGGTCGCTGCAGAATCCGCAAGGTTGGCTCATGGAGATCCACGAATGACCGCAGGTTGCAGAATCGTACTGCGTACAGAGACACATATCAATCGAGCCTCGGGAGGAATAGCACAGCGTGCTGCCTGAATAGAGGGAAAATCTCGTGGATGCTCTTGGTGGTGCAGCTCTCCCACAATAGATGAAGGCAGTGTCGAGCCCTGGATAGTTGAACCTCTAGCTGTTTAGCGATAGAGACGATTGTGGTCCGGATAGGATATTGCGCCGTTATGGCGAAGTCCGGACGTTGGAAGAGAGGAAGCAGAGTCGTAGCGAACGACAAGTGGATGTTGAAGCTCCTATTCGTGGCTGGATGGGTTTTATATACCAGCTCCAAGATCGGCTATGCAGAGCACCGTGAACGCATTCACGTATCAAGATGCTTGGCAGATGCCTGGGTGGACTTCAATAGTCCTTGCATATTCAATATTGGCGACCCAGCCTCATGGACAAACCCCCGAAGCCGTGAAGCTACCGATACCCTGGGCGCGGAGCGTTGGCTGAGGTTTCAGAAGATTCAATTCTTCTGGGGGTTGAACTCAGGGTCATTCTCTTCTAGATCTTGCTTGCGAACCGCTTGCATGAGCTCATACAACTGGCCGATTTGTTGGTCTGTATTGAATGTTAAGGTGGTTGCTCTAAGAAGGGCGCTGTGAATTGCACGTAAACGGCGCTTACCACTCATCTTGTCAATCTTGGTCTTATCCATCTTCGCATCTTTCCAGGCGTCGCCCTCCAGCGTTTGGGCATACAGTTGCCATTCAGTGAGGAATCCGATCTGACAATCCGATTAGCCGACTTACCTCGCCGGGCACTCAGGACACTCACAATATGAACTGGATTGTCGATATCCTTGTGCGCTTTAAACTCAGATTTGACGTACATATCTCCGAGAAGGCGTTCTTCGCGGGGTAGTTTTCTCCGGTGGGCGCGCAGCAGACGTCGATATAAAGGGATCGGTGGTAGCAAAGCCATTGGAGCTGGTCGGAATGGCTTGGATGCGCCTGCATCCGTGGCGACAGCAAGGAGACGACTTGAGATCCTCATGATGATGACTGGCTATGCGAAGCGCTGCAGTGACGGATTGGAAGAGAGGAAAGATGCAATGGATTTCACGCGGCGAAAGTCATGATGACCTCGGTCCGCTTCTTATGTAAGCTAGTGGCGTCCATTCATTGGACAACTTCAACGTCGACTGACAATCCACATCAACCGACCGATCTCCACACCATGCTACCCACACCCTCAACATCCCACGTGTGTTTCGACCGCGTCTACGAGCCGGCGGAAGACTCGTTCCTGCTGCTTGACACTATCTCATCGTCCTCCGAGGCGGCGTTCCTGCGCGAGCGATTTCATGAAGCCTCAAGCACACCACCGTTGATTCTCGAGGTCGGCGTCGGATCCGGAGTCGTCCTAGCTTTCGCAGCTGCCAACGCGAGCAGCGTCCTTGGTCGCCATGATGTACTGACCCTCGGAACTGACATCAACAGCTTCGCCTGCAAAGCCGCGTCGCAGACTGTCGAATCCGCCATCAAGGACTTCGGTTGTAAGCCTTCCGTGTTCCTCGATATAGTGAACTGCGATCTGGCGTCCGCGGTCCGTTCACACTCCGTCGACGTCTTCATCTTCAATCCGCCATATGTGCCTGCCGAGCTTCCGGACCTCTCGCGTCACCAGAGCTTCAACACGCTCCCTGCGGGCAAAGAGTCGACCACTTTCGAGCAGGACTCATATCTTCTGGAGCTTTCGTACGCTGGTGGCGAAGACGGTATGGTGGTGGCGAATCGGATGTTGGAGCAAATACCGGAGATTCTGGATGAGGAGCGAGGAGTTGCGTATGTGCTTCTGTGCGCGCAGAACAAGCCGGAGGAAGTTAAGCGCCGGATTAGGGACTGGGGTCCGGGTTGGATGGTGGAGACTGTAGGCTCGAGCGGAAAGCAGGCTGGCTGGGAGAAGCTGCAGATCGTGAGGATATGGAAGACTGCAGCATAGGTCCGAAAAGAGATATGCTCAAGGTCCACTGTCGAAATCGAGGTCCGTAAGCGCTGCTTGGCCGCCGATCTGCTTCAGCAGATCTTTAGCCATCGGAGTCATGCTATTCAACAGTCTCTGCACCGTCGGTCGCCTGCCGGGAGTCGCTCTCAGGCATTGGGACATCCAGCCGTTGAGCTCGTCGCTGTATTGGTGGTTGTAGTCGGCTCTGTTTGGGTTGATGTACGGCGCGATACCGCGAGCGATCTGCTGTGTCGTGGACAGGTTGATGGGCGTGACTTCTCGCGGAACGCGGGTGGCATAGTAGCGCGCCGGAGGATTGTAGTTCTGTGCCGACGCTGGATGACCGTTGTTCTCGTTCCATCGCGCGATGGTGTATTGGGCAATGCTCTGTAGTGGCCCCTGGCCCGTCGCCAGAAAGTGGGTGCTCGCACCTAGAGCCCAGATGTCGGCAGCTCTTGTATTGATGACTGGGTTCTCCGGCGGCTGCCACTCGAACGTCCCACAGCGCGCAGGACGGCTGGCCTTCTGCCGCTGGTACAACAGCGCACAGCCGAAGTCTGCCAGCTTGAACGACGGATACGTCGTGCCGTTGTCGACGACTAGAATGTTGTTGGGCTTGATGTCTCGGTGGATCATGCAATGTCGCTCCTCACGCCTTGGTCCCAACTGGTTTTGGATGAACGCCAGTGCCTGGCTCATCTAGACGAAGAATCGCCAGATGAAGGACTCTGGCACTGGCTTGAGGTTCTTCTGGTCGAAGCACGCCGCTTTCCACGCCATGAGGTCACCGAGCGGAAGGTGCTCGAAGATTGCTGTGCCTTGGGCGGCATCGGGATCCGCAGGCGAAAAGAAGATGGGCTTCACGACCCGGTTGCAGTCCGGCAGCTGCGAAACAGCGCGGATCTCGAGCGGTCGCGGGTCGTTGGCGGAGTTGGGCGTCACCCGCATAACTTTCTTGACGACCAACCGCCCGCGGTTGGTCTTGCTCGCCAGGACAGATACCCGGTTGCTGATGGCTTTCTTCTCAGCCCAGTCCCGCGGCTTCCAGATGAACTCGGGCGTGCAGTTGGTGGTCTTGGAGCGCTTGCTGCGGCGACCAGCGCGCGCAGGAGGGGCAGTGGCTTTGCGCTTGGCCATGGTTGGGAGGAGAGAAGAGGAGAGGAGAATGGATGTCAAGACTCGGTGTACAGAAGTCAATCTGAGGGAGAATGAGGGATTCGGAAACTGGATTAGAAAAGGATCAGCAGATGAGTCGTCGTTGGGAACTGATGCTCTACTATTGTCTCAATTGTCTGAATACACTCTACAATAGCTGGAGAGGGGTCGCCATGCACGGCAATCTTCCTTATACTAGCTAATAATTGTTCTGGAACACAATAGCTGAATAGCCGCTCAGGTGAAATGGAAGGGCGGCCTGGTGAAAAGGTGCTGAAGGCCTTCAGGAGGACCAGTCCGTACGCGGTCCTATCGGGGCTATCAGTCTCCTCTGTTCAGCACTTACTACCTCTCTAGGTGTGCATCGTACCTTTTCATATCCCCTTGAGCGTTACCAGGGGCCTCCCGGGCTACAGTGAATGTTGACTCACGTGACTCATCCCGGAACATTGTTGTTCCACTAGCGCAAGCTTGCCTAATTTCGAGGTAACTGGAGCTTCCCGCCCGCATTACCTCAACACCACAACGCACGCTCTCTATAGACCGCCGCGCGGGTATTCGAATTTTTTAATACTCGCATACGCTTCAAAACCGCAAGCATGAAGCTTGTCAGGTCAGTTGCCGTGTCGAAAATGCTGAGGAGAAGCTAACAGATGCATATAGGTTTCTCATGAAGTGCCAGAACGAGACTGTCACGGTCGAGCTCAAGAATGGTGGGTTAACCCTTAACTAATTTTCGTTTTGCGATTCAGGCGCCGCCGGTCTGCCAGCCGTGCGGTGCTCGAGCCGCTGCTTTTGCCCATCTCGGCTGCCAACGAGCTTGCGCATGAGCTTCCCTCACGCTCTGAGTCTTTTCTCGGGTAGGTAAAGTGTGTCTTAACTCCAAGCAGGCACAATCGTCAACGGTACCATCGCCTCCGTCTCCCCGCTGATGAACGTCGCGCTCCGAACCGTCAAGTACACCCCCAGGGGCCGCGACACAGTTACGCTCGACACCATGACCGTCCGCGGCTCAACAGTCCGATACATCATTCTGCCTGACTCGCTCCCGCTCGACACTCTACTCATCGACGACTCGCCGAAGCCGAAGAACAAGGCCAGGAAGGAGGCAGATCGCGGCCGTGGTGGTGGGGGTGGTGGCGGCAGGGGTGGAGGTATGAGAGGCGGTCGCGGACGGGGTCGCGGCGGCGGCAGGGGACGAGGACGAGGAATGTGAGAAACATAGCTGCAGAAGAGGTCAAGGACTATCTACCGCAGGTTGGAAAGGTGCAATGACGGTTTCTCTGTTCAGGCGACAAAAGCACAGGGTAGGGGGACTCCATTCACTTCAACTACCCAAGATTGATGTCTATTAGGGTCGCCCTTAGATTCAACATTGGCATGCGAAATGCGGACGCATGATGCGGCGTTTGGCAAAATTGGGCTTGTGGATAGGTGAAGTAAAGTTAAAGCGCCAATGAAGGTTTTGATACCCTAAGTTGCTGACAACTCCTTTTCACATATGCACGATACGTCATTTCTAGATACATTGGTTGCAACCGTCTACATTGACGTCGGGGCGTCTACGGCGTTTGTGCGAAGTTTAGCCGTTGCATCGACTTCTCCAAACTAGGTACCCCACCTTCGGCCTCAATTCCGCCTTCAACCATACAGTGACTCTTATCGTGCAATGAACCACACGGCATTTTTCGATCGCCGAACGCGCACCCCAGCTAGCGTTACCAAGATTGTGCCTACATCAGAACAAAGGCGCTGATTTGCATGCTTGAGAGCGGGGTCAGAAACTTCAGGGTCTGCAAGCACGCAATTGGAGCTAGATATCACAACAGGAAGGCTAATAGTGCAGATACCGAGCATCCATGGGGATAGATGCTTGGTGTTGTGTAATGAATTGGCAAGGGTAGGTATAAATATGTCTCCTCGCCTCTTTCCGTTTCCGCATCTGAAAACTCGCCGATAAGACTATTTCAAAGCTTGCGCCTCACTCTTTGCTGGTTATAGAGCATCTCAATTCCGATCGGTACTATCCTCATTGACCTGTCTGAATTGATTGTCCATCCCCTCACATTCCTCCACAATGGCACCGTCTCTCACCTCCCCGGCTCCTACCGCTCCACATGAGCTTCCACAAACATTTCCTAACCACAAAGCTCCCAAGAACATCTACCCCGATGGTATTAAGACTTCGGGTCAACACCCACCTATCTACGATCGACTGCACCCCTACGAGGACTTCCCCAAGGAGATAACAGGCCCCACCGTCTGGCACGCAGAAGACTACAAGAACAACCCCGAACGCTGGACGCATCAGTTCTCCGATTCCGAGCTCCAAGAAATATCCGATGCGGCCGATAAATTCATCGCGGCCGGCACGCCGCTTACGGGAATTGCGCAGTCCAACTTCCCACTTCCAGAATTTGGCAAGTTTCTTGGCGTGCTGAGAAAGGAGTTGATTGATGGGAAGGGATTCATCTTGTTCAAAGGATTGCCCGTGCAGGCGTGGGGTCTCCACAAATCTGCCGTCGCGTACATGGGCCTCGGGACCTACCTCGGCTACTTCGTCAGTCAGAACTCGCGAGGCCATGTGCTGGGCCACGTCAAAGACCTGGGCGAAGACGCTACGCAGATCGATAAAGTGCGTATCTATCGGACGAATGCGCGGCAGTTTTTCCACGCCGACGATGCGGATCTGGTGGGGTTGCTGTGCGTGGCGAAGGCGCTGGAGGGCGGGGAGAGCGATTTGGTGAGCAGCCATGCGGTGTGGAATGAGCTGCAGAGGCAGGAGCCGGAAGTCGCGAGGCTGTTGACGGAGCCGGTTTGGTATTTTGATCGCAAGGGGGAGAAGAGTAGAGGAGAGGAGGACTGGATTCGGACGAGTGTGTTTTATCTCGAGACTGGGGAGAATCCTAGGGTCTATTCGAAGTACGTGCCCCTTCTGAGATGGGAAGCTTCAGCAGAAGAAGTGTTAATGGGTGCAATAGATGGGACCCCTACTACATCCGCAGCCTAACCCGCTTCTCCGACGCCGGACTCATTCCTCCTCTCTCAGACGCGCAGAAACGCGCCGCCGACGTGCTCGAAGCTACGTGTGTGCGCCTCGCACTGCACATGATTCTCGACGTCGGTGATATACAGTTCCTGTCGAATAATCATGTCTTTCATGCGAGGACCGCATATAAAGACTACCCGCCGCCGGCGCCAAGAAGGCATCTTATGAGGCTGTGGTTGAGCACGCCGGAGGATGAGGGCGGGTGGAGGCTGCCGTTTCACGATAGTAGGGAGAAGAAGAGGGGCGGGATTCAGGTCGATGAGACGAAGCCGGTGGCGCCTTTGGATGCAGAGTAGGGACGTGAGGTTAGGTGTATGTTGTGACTTGAGAAGAATGGATGTGGGCATATAAGAATACATAGAAAGTTCGACTAAGCGCCTTGAACCATTGTAACTAAATCAACGGCACATTTAGGCATCTACAGATGCAGTGGCACTTTCCGGTTCCGAATGTGGATGGCACACTAAGCCTGTCATGGGATGGCGCACTAGCTAACCGAGCCTTGATGTTGTTTTGAGCCCTGATCACTTTTCCTTTTCCTCACCGTCAGCCTTGCTGCGTAGTCTACACATATATAATGGAGCGAACGCTAGTCTCCGTTGACGATGCTATACACACATTCTTGTCACGCTGCTGCGCCCTTCGACCATGGCGACGGAAAACAATTTCGACGCCCAACTGTTCTTTTCAGACATGATGGATGACCCAGCCCTGGGCCCTTGGAATCCGTATGCTTCGTTCGACATTGCGACCCCTCCGCTTGATTCATCGCAATTCTTCAATGGGGAAGACTGGCGGGCCCTCGGACGCGATGAGCAATCCGCATTTGCAACTCAGTTCGGTGGAACTCTATGCATAGATCCGTCGTGGATTACCGGCATCGGCTTGGAGAACCTTGCGATGGCCCCAGCGCTGTTGCCGGTGCCTGACGCTGGCATGGAGTTGACGGAGACGCTTAATCCGGACATCCTGGGATCAGCCTCAGCACTTGAGCCTGCCATTGCCGGCCCAGAGACTGACGCATCCGCCGCGGTCAATGCCTCCATCGACCCGACATCAGTCACGCCCGGAGGCGGGGATGGCAGTACTTTTGCGCCGCAGCACGATCCAGACACGGCGAAGGACGGCAACGCTACCGAATCCGCGCCTGGGACAGGAGCACCGCCGGGTAAAGGAGTGCCGCGGCCGCGAATTTCGAAGAAGATTCGAGCACTATTAAGGGAACATTTGGCAAAGACACCCTATCCCACGACTAAGGAATACCGTGCAATCGCTCACGAGGTGAAAGAGGACGTAAAGCGGGTGCGAAACTGGTTCAACAGAACCAGGGGCCGAGAACCAACCTCAAGTAGGCTTCCATTCCTGTAAAACGCTCACAGGTTCAAATGCTTACTCAGGTTAGTAGAGAATGGGCATGTTTCGAGCATTCTGCCGTCATCTCCTGCTAGATTGTCGGAGAAAAGCCTTGAGGAGCTAGACAAAAGCCCGGATCAAAATTTGCAGCCACCGATGGAGGCCTTCCTCGCAGAGCCTCTCCGCCCGGGATTTGGACTAATCGAGACCCCCGCAAGTTCTGGAAACGAAAGTGGTCATACGTCGGCCCTGGCTTCGCCTTCGCCCGTGAGGGGTGCGCGACCGCCTTCAGTTGTTTCCTCCGCAGCTTCGTCTAGCAATTCTGTGCAGTCTACTTATAGCATCAGCTCACATGGAAGTAACACGTCGTGCTTTGGGCGGGAACGCCGACGGGGGAGAAGAAAGCAGGGTTGGCGGTCCTCTCCATATCCGCCCTCGCAGAACCTAGAAACGGGATCTCTGGCTACCGGTCATAAATTTTTCTGTACCTTCCCCGACTGCAAAGGTTGGCCGACATTCTCGAGCAAGTATGAGTGGATGCGCCACGAAGCACCGCTGCATGTTCCCAGGGAAACTTGGACCTGTCTTCCTTGCAAGGAAGAGGATGTGGCCCTGTGCCCATTCTGTGGCGTCCTCAGCCCTAACGAAGAACACATGGCATTCCATAACTCCCAACGATGCCGTAGCCTGCCTAAGGCGGAGAGGACTTTTTTTAGGAAGGATCAGCTCGTTCAACATCTCCATGGAGTCCATTTCGCCTGTATGAAGCATGCTACTGACGAACGTGGTTGCCGAAGGACTGGCTTCGTCCGCCAAGACCGTACGCAAGATTTTGGATGCTTCCATCTCGCCAACAAGAGTCACAACCTTATGCCGCCGCTACAAGCAGACGATCCCGCATTACACTGCGGTTTCTGCGGTGCTACGTTGCCTGATTGGGAACAGCGCTGTGACCATGTCGCCTCCCATTTTGCGGAAGGGGAGTGGACTCGAGGGATGTGGTGGCCAGAGCGGCGTGAGACAGACATCAGGCATCTTGCCCTTTCTTGCTCCCAAGCATGGTCTTGTCGCTTCCTCAAGGAAATGGTTTTGCCCCTTCAATTTACAGTTGCTAGTGGTTGGTTCTGTTACCTCTGCGATCATTTTTGGGAGACGCGGAGCTCAATCGACTGGGAAGAACATACCAAAAGCCATCACAATGTCAGGGGATGCAGCCAGGGGATCTATCCTTCTTTTGATGCGTTCTATGAACATCTGAAAGAAGATCACGGTGCGGAATTGAACGGGACGTATCTACGTGTTATGCGTGTATATTCGAGCAACGGCTATGCGAGGAACTCTTGATCCCACCTCTCAAACGCGTGCAGGGGAAACAAGCCCCCAACTGCACTAGAATCAAGATTGGGCCCAGGCTCTGCCATGCCATTATTAACCAGGCGAGCATCACTCAATTAATCAAACACGTTAAACGTACCCAAATCCATCGGTTCATATGACGGCCTTCCGAACGCCTGGAGCCCAATAACTCATCTAAAATACCAAACTCCACCCGACCTTCCCCATCCCACACCCCTTTGTTAAAACCCAAACTTACTCTTCACAGCCCCCATAACCATGCCCCTCTTCTGCTTCGCCACAAACTTATTCACATCGTCCGCCCACCCCTTACTATTCTCACTCAAGTTATCCATGTTATCTCCCACCAGATTCAACTTCTCCGTCCTCTCATTCAGCTGCCTGGACGCCCAAGCGCCCCAGGTCTCGTTGGCTGGTGGCGGGCTAGCGGCGGACGAAGATGCTCCAGCGCGGCCAGCTTGACGAGCCTCGCGGCGGCGCAATTCCTCTTCCCCACGCGCCTGCGCAAGCATGCGCTTTGAGGGCGGGCGGTTGGGGCCGCCGATGAGGAGATCCATGTCTTGCGGCGTTACGTATTGGGTGCCCGAGATCCATTGCAGGTTTGAGATGGTGGGGCGGGGCGGGATAAGGAGCTCTGGGTTCATGAGGGTATCGCGGGTTTGGTCGCTGTATCTCACTCATTAGCATGTATTCTCCGGGCATGTGGCGGTGACAAGGGTGACTTACAGCTTCAAGCCCGTGCCGAAAACATTGATCAGAGCCATCTCAGCGGGGCCCTTCCAGCCAAGGATATCTCCCGTGCTGGTTATGACAGCCTCAGAGAACCGCCGCAGATCTAAGACGTCAGTTACCTTGACGGCTCCAATTTCCTTCAACGCAGGTATTGAGTATGCTCGTGCGCAACCGTCGCCATATAAGCCAAGAAGCGCGTATCCCAGGTCCTGGTACCGCACGATAGCGGCCGAATCGCACAGAAACTCGTCCCATGTCTTGTGCGCGCCTTTGCTTGTTGCTGGCTTGAATATCCTGGCACCTGACGCAGTTACCGCAAGTAGCACGCCGTTGACCTTGGCTCCGTTTCTCAGCCCTGACACCGCCGCCTGTGAGGCGTATGCCGGTCGGCCATTATCGGCGTGGAAAGGGCATATGCTGATGATGCGGTCGTCGAGCGAGCAAGCACCGGCGAAGCTTGCTGAGTATCGACCTCCGGCTTCTGGTAGAAGTTTGAAGGTTGCGAGATGGCCTAGGTTCGTTCCAACATGGAGTAGGATGCTTGAATAGTCATCTCCGTCCAACGTCATGACGCTGAACTCCATGCTGGTTACCCATTCGGGCTTGGATGCTGTTTGACTTGAACTGCGTCGGAAGCTGCCACGCTTATCTCCTTTGATGAAATCTGCAACGTTCGCGTGATAGATGATGGCTGGTCCTCTCTGATCGATGACTGCTAAGCTTCCACCTTCGAAACCAGCGGCGACAAAGCCGACGTCTGAATGCTTCAGGGCGGTCACTGGCCCATTGTTTTCACTAAGTAGAGTGAATGGTATCATACCTTCTTTGAGTGATGCTTCGGTCCGGTCGGCGATGTTCGTCAGCGCGTTTGGTGCGTTTTCGCCGGGCGGGATTTCTTGACCCGGGTGCTTGTTGATGCCCCATCGGAATACGGCGACCTCGCCGGACCTGAGCCCGACGGACAGCTCGGATGCGGCACCTGCGAAGGATATCCGGGTAACTTCTACATCTTCGTGTCGGCCTACTGCACGAGCAACATCAAGCTGAAGAAGCTCGCCATTCTCGATCTCGTCGGCGTGCCCAGCATCCCACAGCCTGACGGTGCCATCTGCGTGTGAAGTCTGAACGACGTTTCGATGTTCGAATCTCTTGAGAGGGTAGTCCGCTTCATGTCCGCCTGTGAGGAATTTCGGGCCATGCTGTCGTTTCTCGGTCATGCCCAGCCATCTTGTCCGCTCGACCGGAGCAAGGTTAGTGTAGTTCACGAACGGATGAACGAGGGTCAGCGAAAGGTGTAGCTGATTTGTGGGCGTGATGGGCATTCCGCTTGGGAATGATAATGTAATTATTTCCCCAGATGCGAGTACAGCTATAACGGCGATGGGATCCTGGCACCCGGCAAAGTGGGGGCTTCTACGTGGGAGGAGGCACAGGTCGATAACCTCCGCTCCTGGCGGACACGGCAGTATTCTCTGGCGCTTTGGATTCTCGAAGTGTTCCGAGAGGACTTGCCAGGACGCCGTGTTGTATATGGGCGTTCGACCCAACTCGAAGAAGGTCAGGCTCTTGGCAGTAATGGTGGATGGCTGGCCACCGGCAATGAGAAGTCCGGTATCGTCGGGATCCTCATTTGCACACCATGCGACCTTGAATATAGGGCTCTTGATGGCAAAAGTGCCTGGACCCGCGCCTGGACTGAAGGTGCCCGGACCAGGCTTGTCTACGTTCGTGTCCTGCAATGTCCTAGCCTGGATGATTCTGCCATCTTTCGCGTCCCAGATTACGAGACTGCTGTCTTCATGCCCGGTGAGGATGAAGGTGCCGGTGGGATGCCAGACGGCCTGAGTCAAAGGCGGACTCCGCTCTGTGAAGATGGACGCCGGATCCGAGTCTCCTCCGGGTGCTCCTTTCGGAAGCACATAGTTGAAGAACTTGACAGCCTTGTTCTGCTTGAACGAGTATACAGCCGCACCCGCATTGTAGCCAATGAGCAGTGTCCCGATGTCCCGGGGATGCAGCGACAGCGTCACCACGGAGGTCAACCTCGACCGTGGAAACTGCTCCCTCCACAGATTCGGTATCCTAAAGGCCGTCAGCTGCTCCCTGTCCAAGTCGTATGCCAGAACCTCCCCATGTTGTGTTCCCAGGAGCGCATAGTCGAGCGTCGGGTCGGTGTGGAGGGCGGTGATCCTTGCGGGCGGGGAATGCGCGTTCAGCAGCCGCTTCGTCTCGAGCGAGAATACCGACAAGTCGTTCTTCGAATCGACGCAGAGCAGCTTCTCGGCGCAAAACTGCAGTATCTTCACGGAGGCAGGGCGCGGCAGGTGGAAGACTACTTCGACGCGCCGCTGGCCGAAGACGTAGATTTGGCCGGGCCCGAACTTGCTTTCGTTGGTGCCGACGGCGAGGAGGGATTGCACGGGATCATATGCTACTTGCGAAATCTGGCTGTCGATGCCATAGTTCTTGATCTATCCTGCCGTTAGTATTGGGCTTCACAGAGCTCTGGGAGCTCGGAATGCGGCATTCGCGGGGTTGAGGAACATACATGGTCGAGGACAAAGAGATCAGGTCCCAGGCCAGCAGACAGGTCGTTGTGGACGCCGGCCTGCTTTCCGCGCAGTAGGTGTGCCATACTGTACTGGTAGTGTCATGTCTTTGTGGTGTGCAAGCTGGCTGACTGCAATTGTCTTGGGCCACGGCCGCCAGGAACGCGTCTGCAAGGACCAAGACCCCTGCCCCGGATGACGTAACGCGGGGGCAACTTTAAGCGAGCCTTCTGAGCCGCGATCCCGATTAGTACGATACACCAGACCTCGGGCACTGCAAAGGTCACTGAAAAACTCCGCGCCGTCCTTCTCACTACTTTCTATTCATCCTTACGGCGGTTTGTGTCTATGCGTCCCCACCAGTCTTCTACAGGAGCACGGAGGAGAAGGTGCTCTCTATAGCGACCCCGGACGACGAACTCCCGTCATCCCTCAAATTCATACCGCCCGTTGCCTTCGAATACGCCTCGGTTGCCGACGCGGAGAAAGTGCCACCGTAATAGGACCTAGTGTCTTTCTCAATCACCACATTATGGCACGGCACTCCTTCAGCCTTCAAGCTGCTAACATCCTCCCGACACCCGGCGTCCTCTCCATCCGATATCATACCAGGATTTTGAAAGGCTTATTTATCCCATCACCATCTCCCCGTAGGAGATCCTATTCACCTCCCCTTCGCATCCAGCCACTACTTCTACTTTGTCGAAAAGCTCCCCTTCCGAGTCCCCAATCCGCTTCAACTGCGGCTTCAAAACGAACTCCACGAAGCTTTCGCCGCCCACCCCGTCCGACTCGCCTGCATTCGCGATATCCTGCATGTTGATCACCAGCCTGCACCTCTGCATTCCGAACTCCAGCCACGTTCTTGCAGCCTTCTTCGAGACCTTTTCAATCGAATGCAGCATGCTATCATCCACCATGCAAACCTTTGCTAGGTGTTGCGCCAACACTTTTCTGATCCCATCAAGCGATTCCTTGTAGCCTTGTCGTAGCTTGGTCCGCGGATCATATTCTGATGTTGCGACTTCGAGAGCCTTGTAGGCCTCGCGAATTGGTACGTATCGAAATTTTTCCGACTCGAAGGTTGGCTTGGGCCAGACATGAAAGTCGCTCCTTGTCTCGCTAACTAAATAGTATAAGCCATCAGGTTAAGTCCGGCATTTGGGCGCTTACCAGGCGGGAACGCCGCGCTCCACTGCTCCTCCAAACGCCTTCCTTCTTCCCCCAACACTCGGAATGGGCTGCAGAAGATGTGCTCATAGAATGTGCTCCACATGGTGTCTTGTAAGATCAGCTTCCGCAACCTCTTTGGCGAAATTGACATTTGATTCATCGCCTCCTCAGTCCAATCCGAGTGGTTGAATGCCCAGGGTGTGCGAGCTAAAGCATCCACTTCCCGATTCAGCTCGGAAAGTTTCGCTTTCAACTCCCGATCCGAGATATATTCAACGCCCTGCGCGGTTTCTCTCTCAATAAGCGCCTTGTTCCTGGATTGGATATCCTTTTTCAGATAATCCAGCTGTTGGGTATGCGCTCGCCTCAGTTTGGAGATTCCATCCTCATGGCTTTTCCTCAACCTCTGCATCTCGGTTTTGAACCGCTCCTCGCGGCCCGCGGATTCTGTTACCATGCCGTCAATTTTCGATTTAAAGTCTTGCTCCATTTTCCAGTAGTACATGTTGAGCCGGTGAGTCTCAGCTTTGTGTTCCTTCTGTAACGCTTCTTGCTCGGAAGCATGCGTCCCTTGCAAAACCTGAATGTAATCCAGGTGGTCGTTTTTTGCTTTCTTCAGATCTTGGTTCAGCTGACTGTTCTCCCGCTTCACTCTTGTAGACTCTTGATTGCACTTGCGCAGCTCATCTGCTATGAGCTGGACATTTTGTGACGCGCTGAGGGCGCTGCTGTCCCACCTTTCGAACTTAGCATAAATGAGGTGGCTCCATTGATCCTCTCCCAGAAAGTCGATTGTCTGACGAACAACTTTTTCAATACTCCCTAACTGTTTTTTGGCCTCAGCTAGAGCGAGCTCTTTCTTCTCCGCTGCGTTGGTAGTTAGCGCGTTTGAGTGTCGCACAGGGTTCTCAAGACGAGAGGATGTCGTTCACCTTTGTCCTTCCAGAAGCGGGCCCAGTCTAACATGGTGCTCTCTCCGTACGCCAGTTACAAGGTCAATCAATCTCTGAGGAGAAACACCGAGGTAGCGAGCTTTACGGCTGGTCTGCGAACCGGTGGATAGCGTTCTTGGCATTCTCAGCCTGATGGGCGCGCCTGTGGGCTCAAAAGCAATGAGCTTATCGATGGCCTAGCCACCGCCATCTGGGGGGAATATGCACGGTAGCCAATCTTATCCTCTTTCAATTCACCGGAATGCATGTCGCTTCGGATGGGCGTGACGTGGGACGCTGTCAGCAGGCTTCATGCAAGCCGGCGAACGCCTGTCACTGCACGAAGCGAGCGTATGCCTGGCCCACAAGATACGCTAAATCACAACGCAGGTCGCTCGGAAGCCTAGGTCCTATACACAGCCGTCCCTAGGGCGAACATCAAAAGCGTCACTGTAATTCACAGTAGCGGTAGAGTCAGTCTGACCTCTACTGCTTCAAGATGAATAAGGCTCCCGGCTTGCCATACAGGAACACGCAGGATTTTGATAGATACAAAGCACGTCCACGAACACCGTCGATCTCGTCATCGACTACTCGAGCTCAGAGTCCTTTGCGCCCCGGCTTCGCGAAAGAATTCGACTCTGCGACCGTAGGCTTGGATTTCGACGAAGGCATCTCGCAAACCAATGGTCAGCAACGTATAGTCATTGCTATTGACTACGGAACCACTTTCTCTGGTATGTGCGATTACGTCGTAACGAGCACAGTGCGCTTGCTTCACAACCTCTAACTCTTTGTAGGTATTGGCTATGCGATTCCCGATGGAGACCACGCCGAGCTCTCTGACATTTCCATAATCAAAAATTGGGGGTTTGGCATGTTGAACTGCGGCGCCAAAATTCCAAGTGTGATATCGTACTCTCCGCAACTCTCAGAAGACGACCTACAATTTGGCACAAGTCTAAGTAAGGGCGCGGTGGCAATGGTCAATACCAAGTTGGAGCTGGATGTTCAAGACAGTCGCTTGGATGAATTAGATCTCATTGTGCAAGTGCTGGACGGCATGAAGAACCTGAGCTTCGAACATATCAAGCGCAGTAAAGGATACCCAAATTACACTTGGAAACAACCCGAGGAGATTGTCTCAGACTATCTCTCCAAGATGTTTCAGAGCTTCGAGAGAGCCACGGAGTATATAGATGAGTTGAAGGCTACCCTTCCAGTGGATATTGTTCTCACTGTCCCGGTGGTAAGTCTGGAGCTCATCACTTCGCCAAACAACTGACGCTTGGATTAAGAAATGGTCCTTCCGGGCAAGGAATTCGACGCTCAGAGCAGTTAGGAAAGCCGGATTCAACAACACGACGTTTCCACATCTCAACAGGTATATCATGGCGACAGAGCCCGAGGTGGCTGCCTTGTACACGGCACGGTACTTCACGCTGAATGAGGCGGAGACCATGAGGAAGAATGATTGTTTTGTGCTCTGCGACGCTGGAGGTGGGACCGTCGATGTCGTCTCCTATAAAGTCAAGCAAGTTCACCCTACGCTGCAGTTGCAAATCATGACTATACCCACAGGTCGGACACCTTTCAGGTACGGGAGAAGTATTTGGCTTACATACTGCAGGTGCGAAGTGTGGCTCGAGCTTCATAAACAAGAAGTTCAAAGACTGGCTTCGCCGTATATTGGGGGCGAGGAACTACAGCATCTTGGATCCGAAGGGAGAAAGCCAGATGATCAGCGCGCATGCCATGGAGGGAGAAGAGATGAGGGCTGTGATGAAAGATTTTGAAGACCACAAGAAGGCGTTTACGCAACAGTCTGGCGACATGCATTTCGATCTCCCTCCTCCCTTCCAGGACAAGCTAAACATCCCCGGTAAAGTGGATCGTGGCGAACTCACCATCACCAAGTAAGTCCGAGTATAGAATAACCCATAGGTTCGGAGCTAACCAACATAGTGCTGACATGCGCTCCTTCTTTGATGAATCAGTCGATGAGACCATTGAATTAATTCAGGGTCAAATACAACAAGTCGAATCTAAGAATAGCCGGATCAAGGTAATGCGCGTCCCACTCGCGCTTAGAATATCGCTCAAATCACTGGCAGACAATCTACTTAACCGGCGGTTATGCTGAATCGAAGTACCTCCAAGAGGAGCTGGCGTACTCGTTGCGCTTGCGTAACGTCAAGCTACGAAGACCTGAAACGTCGTAAGTGACTCCCCTATCTACTAGCAAGATGCTCTAACCTTGCTCGAAGGTGGTCAGCCGTCATCCAAGGTGCCGTACTTCACGGAATTGAAGTGGATAGTTACCAAAACCCTTCAATTATGGTGCCATGCCCGCGGAGCTATGGCATCAAGGTCAACTCTCCATTCTCCAAAAAACTCCATGACGGAAAAGGGATATACACCGACCCGCTAACCGGCCAAGTCATGGCGAGCCAGCGATTGAATTGGCTTGTCCATAAAGGCGACCTCCTCATGGCCAACGAAACGCGGGAGATTGAGACGGAGCTAGTAGGAGTCTTCCGGGCGAACGATAGCCGATGCTTTCCTGTGTCTGTTTTGGAATACCTTGATGACGATGTGCCCAACCGGTATCAGACTGCTCATGAAGGTACGTTTTCCGTCCTTTATTTTCACGGAAAGGTCGAAAGAGAAACTTATGATTGAGCAGAACTTGTCGAGGTCATGAGGCTGAAGGCTGACTTCACGCGTTCTCCACTGGAGAGATTCGGGAGGAAGGAGAATGTCGCTTCTGGCGTGGTGTATTACGAAGCCAATTTCACCAGTAAGCTGAGATTGGAGGGTATGTCAATCATTGGGGAGGTCTGGTGGTATGACCAATTAATTGATACTAAGAGAATCGACAACATCGATAAGATTTCTAGTGTGTAATAGAAATGGAGATATCAGACGGATTTCGCTTCACACTTCTCAAGCTAGATTGTGCAAATGTAGAGTAGACAACAGGAACAAGGCCGAGCTTCAGCCTTGCGGGTCGGCCTGCGACAACAACTGCCGATAACTTCTGATGTCAGAGTCAGTATCTGACTTCTAACGCCACCATTCCATTTCCGGCGATGTTTAACTCTTATGCATGGGGAGCCTGCAAGCGTCTTCACGCAGCCCGCCCCGACCTTGTTTCTGCAAGTTCGGAGTCAGGGCTTTAGACGAGTACTCATGTGCGCCTAGTGCCCTTTCCGGCGACCTTTCGCGACCTTCCGGTGAACTCAAGTCTCGCAATGCATGAAAGCCCGTCCAGTAAACTCGGCCACGTCAATCCCGCAACTTTCTTTTCCTGATTCATTCTGCGAATACGGGGTCCGTCAGTTCTTTCAGCCGACCCCGACCTTCTTGGGCGAAAGAAGGCACTGAGATCTAACTGCTGCGTTCCCCATCCCCGCCCGGTACCCAGCCTTCTAAGGAGAGTAACCACAACCCACTGCCACAGAGCCTCCCACTTCATTGCAAGAGCAATCATCCCTCAACCACACCACATCAAACCAAACCAGAAAAAAATGGGCTTCCTCCCCTCCAAAGACAAGTTCCGCGCGCTCGACTTCACCAACAAAAAGAAGCTGCGCGCCCTCGAAGAAGAAAAGCAACAACTCCAGCGCGAGCTCACCCTGCGCGCAAACCGCCAAAGCCAGCAAGCCAACCAGGCCTACATCAACCAGCAGCATGAGGAAGCGCGCCGCAAGCGCGAGCGCGCGCAGCACAACGCCAAAATGCGCCGCCTCAAAGAGGCATCCCCCGAGACGCTGCGTTCGCTGCGCGAGCTCATTCGCACGCGGTACCAACTCGACGTGGAGATTTGGAATCTGCGCGGCGTGCGCAGACCGGATCGCTGCATCGCGGAACGGAAGATGGAGAAGGCGGACGCGGTTATGGAGGAGATTCTGGGCATGGTGGCCGTGTGGGGGGATAATGCGGATGGGCTTTGGGACGAAGATGAGTGGGAGAGAGTTAAGGAGATTCGGAAGAGACTGATGAGTGAGGGGAAGAGGGAGTGGGTGGGGAACCCGCCGTGGGCGGAGAGACGGTGATGGCGTATAGGTATCTGGGTTAAAGAATATGGAAGCAGATGTCTGGTGGGGGGCTTTTTTTTCCGAACATTGCGTAGATTCCAGAATCCTTTTCCAAACAACTAGTTAGCCCATCTATCCGCCTTCGCCTAACGCGCCTGCCGCCTTCCTCACCTTGATCCGCCCATTCGCTACAAACGCGATATAATCCTCTGTCGGTAGCCCCTCAGAAATAACTTCATGGGTAGCCATATACTCAAAGTCTAAGGCCGAAGCCAGCCGGTCCCTCACCGCCTTCTTCAGACTGCGAATCCCCAGCTCGGGATCATAGTCCTTAGTTAGAATCTTACAAACGCTCGCATCGGAGCGAATTTTCAAGCGGATGTTGCCCAGCAAGCGCTCTTGGGGACCCGGTGTTGTGTTAATCGGGTGCCGCACTTCGGAGATGAGTTCGAGGAGATATTTGTGGGCGCCGACGCACGTCTCGGGTTCTGAGAAGGGGAGGAAGGGGACGAAGGCTGAGATGCGGCCTGTCAAGGGTGGCTATCCGCGTTAGTGTTTGATGCGTGTGTTGGGGAATGTGGGCGCTTACTTTGAAAACCGACATGAAGTCTTCTTTCATGGTGGAAGTCAACTGCTCTAAAAGCTCCTCACGTGTTGCAGCATCATCCCCGTCGAAGATAGCTTCGTTGTTACTACAAAACCCCACGATTCTCTTGTCAATGGCGTTCGTCGCCAGAATCCATATTGTCTTAGAGCAATCGATCGTCTTCAGGTTACGTCGATCCTGGTATTCACCTTGGATGTATTAGAGTTCACTCTTAGTGACGGGCGCATATCACCTACCTTTGTCGAACGGTATCAGCAGCGCGTTCCATATATCAGCTGTCGTCTTCTCGAATTCGTCCAGGAACACAAGGCACTTCTGCCCACTTTTGGAAGCGAGGAAGTTATTCAGCGGCGTGCCTTCTTCAGCCCCAATATACGGCTTCCGCGGCCCAAAGAGCTCGTTTTCTCGAGCCACAATCGTGCAATCGCTTACGTGAAGCTCCAGGGATAGGAGCGACCCAAGGCGCCGTGCGAGCTCTGTTTTGCCGTGTCCGCTGGGGCCTGCAAAAACAAGCACGAGTGGCTGTTGATGCTGGCGAAGCATATAGTGGAGGAAGTGACGTGTGAGAAGCTCCGTCGCTGCACTTTGTCCTATTAGGAAATACGGTACGGCGAATAGATCGGTCGAGTTGTGCCGGGCAGCAACCCATTTTTGGCGCTCTGTTGGCTTTATGAGCTTAGAAGAGCGATAGAGGTGGTATCTTTGTGTTATATTGAGCGTTTCTGCGAGCAGCTTCCGATGACTGAGGGGTTTGCACCATGCTGTCTCGCTATCGGCATCTTGTTCTAAAGGCTCTTCGACAATTTCGTTTAAGGAAAGGTCTTGGTCGAATGGATCGTAGAATCGTTGTGGAATGACGCTCGCACGCGCACTAAGACTAAGCAGGGTTGCTACCACTGCGGTGGTCTCATGCTCGATGGTTTTGCTGTTAACAATGGCGAAGGCCAGAAGGGGTAGCGGAGGCTCGCCATATGTAGCATTGGCGTCGCCGCCGAACCGTTCAAAGATTCGAATATAGGCGTCGTTGTTTGCTGCAGCGACGTAAAACATTGCTGGAAAACCCTCAATCTCATCATTTATCCGGTTTCGTACTAATCGAGCATCGGTCTGGTGAAAGTGCTGTAAGTAGGTCCTGACTTGGTCGGGGCGAGTACCATGTTGTATCGCTGCGATAACGTCTCGGGTCGAAAAATTAGAGAGACCATCAACGCCTCCTGGTTGGAGTGTGGTCGGTGGAGGGAGAGAGGGCAAGTGGAAATCCCAGGTCGAGCTATCCGCAGCTATGATATTGGCATCGCTCTTCCTCTCTGTATCCGTGCTAGGAGACTGCTTCGGGGTTGGCTCTTTGGATGCTGTCGAGGTCGACTCCGAGGTTGATTGAACTGGTTCTTTTTCCGGTTCGTCAACTTTCATGTCGCTCTCTGAAGATGCCGGTGTATCCAGGTTTGGAGACTGCGGTTCGGGATGTCTCAGGTGCTTCGGTAGACAGTCTCCCCATCCGCTTCTTACAGGCTCCCAGTCATCGAGTGGCTGGGCCTCTGATGCTCGCTCACCGCTACCAGGCCCGGAAACCGTCAAGGACTTATCAGAATTCTCGCCGCGGGCCTGTGAAGAGGTGTCGTCATCCTTCGATGGTGTTGTCGGTAGAGAATTAGTAGCGGTTGGGGGGTTGGTTGTGATAGACCTGCTGGGGGTGCGATGCGACTTCAGCAACCGGATAGCTTTTGTGGTATCATTCTCAGTTCTCTAAGAACAAGATCAGATCGCGGACGGCCTCGCTCATTGGTGGCGCGGAGGCCATCGTACCTGGAGATATAGCCTAGCTTGCGTTTTGCGGCAGCCCGTTGCTAATATCACGACTTTTATGGCTTCAGCCGAAGGCCCCATCGATAGCGCCGACATGAAGGTAATCCCACATCGGCTGCGCTGCGGCGCAAGTTCCTTCTCGAGCAAATCTCACTGGGAAGGGTCGTATATTGCGCGTAGCTCTCTCCTCTCCCTACGTAGTGGAACCCAGGAAGGGCTTCAACCAAGGCCTCGCTCACCGGAAAGGCTCACTGGGCAAGATCATTGCCTATGGCATGAGAGCCTAGGTTTCGGGCCGGAGTCCAGAAGCGGAAGTGTTATCTGCAGATGCGTTACGGATCTGCACGACAGGCAACGAGGCCGACGAATCTAGATCATCCACGTTATACCATTGTGAGACAACCCAGAGAAAAAGAAAGGAGGAAAGGCAGCCTCACCTGGGCCTCGTCGTTTGATTGAACCGGAAAGTGCCGGCTTGCGCCACCTACCAACCCCATCCAGCCTTGCTACCCCCCGCATCTCCATGGTGTGAGTGACAAGAAAATTGCTTTACATAGGCCTTAGGTAATGAACAGTAGTATGTTCACGTTCAGCCGCGCCTTCCAATTCACAAGGCTAGAACCCGCCGAAGACGTCAGCGAGGCTATCCTATCACCGCGCTCGCGTGTCAAACCCCACACCGACAGCGAAGATGGACTACAACTTCGGGGGGCAGATGATGCAAGTCGTTGAGCGAGAGAAAACTCTGGACCATGATCATGCCGATGAGCAGGAGCAGCAGCCTGGAATCAACGCCTCGCACGTTGAAATGCTAGAGTTGGAAATCGAGGAACTGACATCCACGCTGGAAAAAGAAAGGGCGAAGTTTAAAGAGCTTGAAGCTGGCTGGCGCGAACGGAATCTTGACCCGCAGACGGAACATATTGGCGTCAACCTTACCCATGTAGAGATGCTTGAGCTGGAAATCGCAGAGTTAGCATCGGACTTGGAAGAGAAAAGAAAGGAGTTAGGAGACCAGGAAGCCACCTGTGCGAAGCACTTACGCGAGCTGGAGGACATGTCGACGCAGCTATTAAATTGCCAAACGAATCTTCAAGAGGCGGAAAGAAAGCTAGAAAGTGCAGCCACAGAGACCGAAGAGAGAAACAACGAGCTCACCAGTGCCAAACAAGAGCTTCTGCAGTGCAGGCAGCAATTCGAGCATGCCGGGTGGGAGAAGCAATTCGAAGCAGAAGCCGAATACGCTTCCACCACGGTCCCGATCGCCGAGCTAGATTCAATCCGCCAACAGCTCGACGAACGAACATGCCAGTTCATTGAGCTCCAGGAGCGCTATGAGCTCCTCCAAAAGAACTCAACCACCAAACATTTAAGGGCGCAAGTCAAATCACTGGAGGCCGAGCTCCAAAACAGCCGCGCCGAAGCCATCCAAAAATCCACAGAACTCGACGTCCTGCGCAACTACTACAAAACCGTTGAAAAGCGGAAAGCCCAAACAGAACGCGAGACCAGAGAGACAGAAAAGCACCTCGAACTCAAGATCTCAACGATTGGAAAGTTAACGGGCGAGAAAGAAGAATTGGAAGCAAAAGTGCGGAGGATACCCGGGCTGGCGATGCAGATATCGAAACTAGAAGTAGCTATGGGCAAACTGGAGGCCCAACGAGAAGCCTCCGAGCAGGAGAAAACAAAGCTCGCCCAGCACATCTCCGCCCTTGAATCTACGAACAAGGACCTGGATGGTGCAAACTCAAAGCTCGAGAAGAAGAACAAGAAACTGAAAGACCAAATTCAAACCCTCGAGACCAAAGTCTCGCATCTAGAGCAGGTGCGTGCGCACATCGGCATAGTCTTCTGCGTCGACCTCAGCGGTTCTCTATCCGGCGACCTCGAACAGCTCGCTAAAACCGCGTTTAGGCAAATTATTAATGCCCTTCTTTCCAAAACCAAAAGAAACGTCCACATCGGTGTCGTCGTCCACGCAAGCAGCATCAGCATTGCACGCCACATGAGCTCGGTCGACGCCTCAACAGCCAGCATCCTAGACTTCATACCCGGCGGCGGGACGGAAGATTACCGCGCAGCATTCGTGCACGTCGTCTCGCTATTATCGACGTTCACGGCGGAGAATCCTGGGGCTGAGAAGTGTGTTGTAATGATTGGGGACGGAGAGGATGTAGGATCCAGGGGAGATGTTAGTACGTTGGTGGCTCAGGGCGTGAAATGCCATAATGTGGTGATTGGGAAAGAGTATGGTGGGCATTTTAGTACGTTGGTGGCTGGGGGATTGGGTTCGGCTACGTCGGCGTACTCGCACGCTACGGGTGGTGAGAATCTGAGGTATGATGGGGGCTCGGGATCCGTGGCCGTGTTGGAGGGAGCGGTCTCTGATATGCTTTTCGCTGGATGCAGGTGATGCCCTAGGAGTTATGTTGCATATCCCACGAAGGAATTCTTCACAAACAGTGATGATGTCACGCTACGGCACTTACGTAAGCGAGCGAAACTTACATCTCCAAAAGATATCTACATTTTCTTCCGCGCCACTCGTTCTAGACAGACCCTACAATGTAAATGCTGCCAGTCATTCCCAAGGCCATTCAACCTCAGTGCGCCAATACGCCTACCCACTGTACCTAGATGTGGGGACAAGATGAAAAGAAGAGTATGTTTCGCATCCTTCTCATGTAGCTTCTCTAACCAAAGCGATACAGGCATCGAATGGTGGCAAAGTCATCTACTGGTCGTAATTCACACTGATGGCATCGTGCTCCTTATCTGTGTAACGGCATTAGTCGCAGTCTAGTACAATTCGGGCGCGGAATGGCGTTTCAACGGACCTTTCAACGTGAGAGTGTATCTGATCCAAGCACTCTCGTAGGTAGCCTCAATGTTGAATGTGAAAGAGAAGTACCAATGACCCCCCATTCTCTTCTTTTTGCTGCTGAATAGTTTGCGTCCTAGATGAACACGATCCATGTCCACATCTAGTTGCGCGACCCGCTTGGTGTTGCTGTTCCTGTAGCGTGGAGCACTGCGGTCGACGGAATTATGGAAAATCTCAATTCGTGTGCCAGCGGGCATGCCACTCCGGACGGGGAAGTCGATATAGCACTCAATGTTTGAAGGACGATCCTCTGGATATGACTGGCCCTGTGAAGCCGCAAAGTCAGTATGGGCTCAATTTCCGCCTCATGGACTCAGATGCTGACCTTCTCGATGAACCATATCATGCGCTTGACCACGTCGCACCGCCACTTCTCATACCAAAACCTGAATTGATGGTCAGAGCGCCTTTGCGTAGGACGGCTGGTTCAACTCACTTTTTGCTTTCATCATCAATGCCAGGCTGGAAGGCTGTTATCAACTCTGTCCCGTAATGTTTCCTTGCCACTCGTTCGGATATATTCACTCTGGCCAGCCTCGGACTCGCCCGTGTCAGTCCAATCATGGCTGCGCCTTGTACCACTGCTGTCCAACCGTTACTTGGCTGTAGTACTCTGATCGAAGAACCGGCGGCAGCGCTGACGCGGTCCTTGAGATATTGGCTTTGGCCGAACCCTCCAACGAGCAGAACTGCAGCCACGCCTGTGCCGGCCAAAGATATCTGTTCTTGAACGAGCCCGAGGACATCCTTGATAATGGGTTCAAAGACCTCCTTCTGCATGTCGTCTTGAGGGATGCGAAATCGGCTCCGGCGTATGTTGCGGCTCGGGTCGTTGGGAAGCTCCACTCTAAGGGACATCGGCTCCCCATTTGGTATGAACGTTTTCTTATACTGACGAGGTTAGACTTCGATGCATGCGGATTGCAGATGCTCACTTACATCCTCGAATGCGTTATTTGCTTCAACTAGTCGGTCAGCCGTCCAATAGCTCTCTCCCAGTTTTTGCTTCAGGTATCGCCGGAAACGCTTGTTCAGCATAGACGAGCCACACTTCGCGCCGGTACCTTCGGTCGCTTCCCGGACTTGTAGACTTGGAGTGAGCTGCAGTATCTTGTACGATATGAGGTCGACAGTTCCACCGCCGGCATCACATACGACGAATGTGCCCCCTACATTCAACCTCGACTGACCGAGGTTGTTCAGCGTGTAAATGGCTGCGGCTTCCTATTATGCATTAGAATGTCTCCTCTCTGGTCGCAGGACACGTGTTTACCGGCTCTGAAACGAGGTGTATCTTCCTGCCTCTCGCAGCCTTGAAGCCTGCCCTTACCGCTGCTGTCTCGGTTTTCTGTTTGGCAGAGTTCGACCAGATAGCCGGAACTGTCAGTACAAAGTCCATGGGAGTACTGTCCACGACGCTCGACGATAATCTCTCTCTCAGGAACGATATCAAATGCTTGTATAAATACGACAAGTATAGCTGCGTAAGCTCTTCTGGGGGATGAGCATCAGCAGAATTGGACGTAGGATCATCGAGCTTGCTACCAGTTGTCAGTGTTCGCGTCCTAGAGCGTCACTGTGCGAAGAATCTCACAGCTTGAAATATTTGTTGCGTTTTGCTGTCTTGGGTATTTGGAAGCCCCATTGGAACCCGCTGGCTACGGTTCGCAACTCGGTAGGGACCTTGGGACTTGTGGTGGAGGATGCATGCGTAGGCCATTTGTCAATCACGTAGGGGTCAGCCTGGGCAAGGTAAGTGAATATCTCTCCCGAGTACTGTATGCATCAGAGGCGATAGAGAAGCTTACCCTACTAGTCTCTGCCCAGGCAAGCCCAGAAAACGTTGTCCCAAAATCTATGGAAACGATGATTCGGCGCGAATCCGACATTGTGATGGTTCAGAAGTTTCGATATTCAAACAAGGAGAACAAAATGCTGTAAGTACAATCTCATTTGACCTTTCGAGGAGGCTGGTGGTGCGCCCCAAAAGATATCAGGGGGAGACTTGACTACCTGTGCAGAGCCTCATGCATAGCAGGGCTCGGTCATCCCAAGGCCAGCGGATTACCGATCCGATGCTGGCGATGCCTTCAGCCTGCCTTGCCATGATCATGTCCTTCAGCCCCCACAGACAGGCTGCAGCCTCCATGAATAGACAAAGAGTGTGGAACATAATTGGGCAGGCTGGAGTCGTACTGCAGCTACAGATTGTGGCCTGAGTAGCTCATGACTCCCCAGCCTCCACGACAAATTCATCTCACGACATTCGGGGCCAAACCGCCTATCACTTCCTATCCTACTGCATCGCACCCAGCTTTCAATAGCGCCTATCTTCAGGCAGCAGCAAAATTGACAGTGCATGCAGGCGCCACTAGTCCTTCACTTCTTGGCAGCCTTGTTGCTTCGCCTGGGCACTTGTTCAAGGCGGTCTCAGCCGCATAGCCTTGTGCGAGATACTGGTCGGACGAAAATCGTCTTACCTCTGTCGACATTACTGACCCTCAAGGTGTTCAGCATAATCCCGGAATTAAATGGCCTCGGTAATGAGCGGGTGGGGCAATGTGTAAGAACCGGAGCGGAGGAGTCCCGTTTCTAACGCAGGCGCAGGAACGTATATTCCTCAGAGAGCCCTCGGCAAGCTACCGTGCCAGGTGCGTTCGATTTCGCCAAACCTCCACCAGACGGAATCCGTAATCCAGAAGAACCAGAGAGCGACTCAGATGTACCGATGAGCAACCCCTTTGAACCTACAGATACCGATGATCCGTCGCCTCCCACCAGACCTCCTGATACAGAAAGCTTCGGTATGAAGGCCGAAATATCAATACGACAGCAAATCTTGGAGGAACTTGAGGCGCTGAGAAAAGAGAGAGACCACTTGGAGAGCGAGCTCGGCGAAGCGAAGACCTGGAACCAAGATATGGACGACATGCTTGACGAGAGGCAGAAAGAGCTTCAGCGCGAAGAGAAAAAGCGAGCACATGCGGAGCGGCAGCTGCAAGAATGCCGGAAGGAGCTACGTGATCACAAGACACAGGCAACGCGCGTGCAGCGCGAGCTCGAACAAAGCACGCATCAACTGAGTAAAAAGCTCGAGGAGAAGCAGAAAAGCGAGCAGAGAACCCTGAAGCAGCTCAACCAAGCCCGAGACCACATTTTTAAACTCCAGCCTCGGCGCATGGATATCACTGAAACCGAGGCCCAAGAACAATTCGAGGACTTGTACAATAGAATTCACAGATGGGTCACGAATCGTCTCGAGGGCATTCTCGATGAATTGGAGAGTGGTCAGTTACGGAACCGGCCTTTTGCAAAGCCCGGGGCGAAGCGATTCCTGGGCTTAAACAGCGCGCGTGCGACGCAAAATATGTGGTGCGATCAATCCGACGAGTTCATCGTGATAGCAGCTATTATGCGGTTCCTCTGCCGGGCGTTCTTCAACCAGAGCTTTTACTGTCCGCTGCGAAGGCAGGGCGAGGAAAGCGATGCCGCGCATACCATCGACCGAATCGAAGCGGCTATGAGAGGTGTTCCGAGGGGTACGCTATCATATGTTGTCGCTCGAGGTCCATACTAACGGTGATAGACGCCGCGAACTGTCGCGACTGGCGTGTCGAAGCACTGACAGCCCTCGTCCACGAGCCCGGCTTCATCGAGCACCGTGCAAACCACGACCGCCAGAAAACAGAGGAACTCCTAACTGTACTACAGCCTCTGGTTCCGAGGACGGATGTCCAGGAACTCCGCGAATCGATTGGGAAGAACATTGTGCGACCGGCTATGGACCTAGCCCACCGCTTCCAATTGGCAGCAACTATTTTCTCGGTCCGATGGACGCAATTCGATGACGACCTCCACTGCGGAACGATCACTTCGGCTCGATACGACATGTCCTGCTTCACATCTCTGAATGTCTTCCTAGGCGGGAAAATTGTCGAACCCGCACCCGGGGGACATGCCTCAGAAAACAGTCTACATATGATGACGTACCTCTTCGACGTCGCGCCAGGCTTGTATTCGCAGGCCGTTGATAGCAAGAACCCGACCAGTCTAAGGAATATATGCAAGCCGAAGGTGCTTGTCACGGTCGGGGAGGGAGCCCTTGTTCCTCCGAATGAGGGCCCAACGCTCTTGCAGTGGATCCAGTCGGAGTCTGAACGGGACGAGACAGCGCCTGTGGGCGCTTTGAAGGACGTGAGAGTGGATGAAGAGAAGAGGCATGGGAAGAGGAAGTTGGGGAAGCCGGACAGGAGTAAATGGGGTTTTATGGGAGGCTCACGGAGGGGTGCGGGATAGAGTGTTTTGTGGCGATGAGTAGGCCACATGGATTCCGTTCAACTTAAAAGCGATGTCATTTCCGCTCTTTTCTTGAGATTTCCATCGTTGCGGCGTTTATGAATCAAAGAATGGCCCCATAGTGAGCTTTCATCACAATGCATCGGCTTGTGCGGGACTCAGAACCTTAACGTAAAGACGAGGCGAAAGCATCGCCAGTCAGCAATAGATGTCGCTACCTGCATACTAAGCTCTCTAAGCCCCAAGTAATCTACCACAACCGCCAAAAATTGCTAGACCTAGCTCTAGTCTTCGCCCTCACCCACCCCTCAACCGAGTACGCTCGCCCCCGCTCATTCCGTCCTTCCCTCAAGCTTTGAGACCTCGCCGGCATTCTCCCAGAAGACGTGCCCGGCCTCCCATCATCATCCGGCCGATCCCTGACTCTCCGCTGCTCGCTCATCTCCTCATAGGAGCTCGCCTGCCTCCTCACCGGCCCACTACTTCTCCCTCTTCCCACTCCATCCCCAGTGCCCTTCCGCTCCTCGCCCGCGTCCGCAGCGGCGCTCGGCTTCAGCGGATAAACATGCGTCCCCGCGGTCGGCTGCCCATCCGGCGGCACATACTGCCGCACAAAATAATCCACATACTCATCCGTCATGCCCAGCATGCGCGCATCGCGAATCCCGCTATTGATCCGCTTCACATACTCCTGCTTCGGCGCGCCCTCGCGCACAAACTCCGGGCTCAAGTACACCAGCACGCCCTCCTTCGCGGTGCCGCGGAACTCGCGCGCCGTGCCGCCCTCCTTCAGCGCGTCGGTGAGGATGCGCGCCGGCCCGCCCTTCTCCACGATCCACGCGATCGGCCGCCGGTACAGCGCCTTGGGCGCGCGGTGCACCAGCACGCTGCGGTACTCTTTCCTGTAGCAGGGCGCTTCGATGGTTGCAGCGCCGCCGCCGCGCGCGGAGGAGCAGTCGGCGGGGAGCACGCATGTTTTGGCGACGCCTTCGGATTTGTCGAGGCGGCGCTCGTCGGCGGCGTCGATTTCGTAGACCAGCCCTTCGACCCAGAAGCCGTGGCAGGGCACTACGTTGGCGTAGCCGCGCTGGTTGATCTGCCAGCGGAAGTGCTTGAGGGTTGCGCGCCCGATGTATTTGCTGTTGGGGCAGCGCGTTGCCATTTGCTGGAGCGCGAGGTTGCTGCCGAAGGCGAAGTAGTAGGTGCGGATGGGTTGGGGACGGGGCCGGGGCGGCAGCTCAAGGGGGGCAAAATTCGACATTTCTGAGACGGCGTGAAAGCGAGAGACGGGAAATGGTGAGCGTGAGATGTGTGAGAGGCCGGGAGGAACTCTGGATGCAGACTTTCAGCCTTGCGGCTCAAAAGATGGGACTTGCTTTTTGTTCGTCCGGCTGCCACGTAAGCTCAGCTCAGCTGTGGTGGCTGCGAGTCGAACCATGCAGCCAGCCTGCATATGTAGGAAGATAATCATGCGACGGGTACAGCCGCACGTGTAGTGGTGCCTTATACGAAATTCGCCGGAAAAGGAAAAGAAGGCAACCAATGAGTGTAGGCAGCACCTCAAGTAGGCTGAGATGAAACCAAGATAGCATCGACCTGGGCGCTTGCATATCAGCTTGCTCGAGCTCGACGGGGGCGGATGGCTATGCAGGACTGTGTGAGAGAACGCACGGATAGAGGGACTTTTCTTCCTATAGAGTGGCTTATGAGCCTGAGGCAGAGCTGCGGGAAGGGCGGACGGTTGACTGAAGAGATAAGGAAGGCTACACTTACAATCATCCTCATTATCACATCGATCATTACCACGGAAGGCTTCCCGCCGATCCCCTAGTTTCCGTGTCCAAAACATCCCCTCCCAAGCACCAACCATGCCCTACTCCAGTTACAACTTCGGCATAGAAATCGAAACCGTCGTGCGGCCATACGCCCGCCGGCCCAACTTCACAAACCAAGACTGGTACAAGCAGCTCGCCCAGCGGCTGGAAAACCGCAACATCCCCGCCGCGCCCGATCTGCACTCGCGCTACTCCACGCACCCCGAGTACTACAGCAGCAGATGGTTCATCACGCGCGACGGCTCGCTGCAAAGGGCCCACGAGGAGTTCGGTAACAAGTTCCCACCCCCACTGACTCCTATCACAAGCCCGCTAACAAATCCGTGAACTACACAGTTAGCATGGAGATCGTCTCGCCCGTGCTAAACACCAGCCGCGCCATCTCCAAAACGCTCTCCGAGTTCTGGGAAGCCATGAGCATCAGCTTCGAAGTGCAGAAGGAGAAATCCTGCGGCGGCCACGTGCACGTCACCCCTCCCTCCTCGACGTCGCGCTTCTCGCTCCTCGAGCTCAAGAAAGTCGCCTTCGCCTCCGTCGTCTACGAGCCCTGCGTGCACGCCATCCTGCCCGCGTGCCGGCGCAACAACCGCTACTGCGCGCTGAACTCGCTGCCGAACGGGACGCACGGCCTGGGCCGGGCGTGCGCGGCCGGGCTGTCCGCGAGCGTGTTGCGGAGCGTGAGGAGTAGCCTACAGGGGGTTTCCAGTGCGGCGGGGCTGCTGGCGTACATGCAGGCGTCACGGTATGTGATCTGGAACTTTGCGAATATATGCCCTCGGGAAGCGGGGGGCTCGTGCTCGGGGACGCTGGAGTTTCGGGGCGGCAGCCAGTTTCTGAACATGAAGACGACGCTGAAGTGGATTGCCTTTGTGGTGGCGTTTATCCATATGGCGCTGGACGAGGTGAGTGCTTCGCTTACTGCCTGACGTACTCCGACGTGGACCGGCTCTTCAGCTACTAAATCTTGGTCAGAACCTCCTAGAAGGCGGTGCATTCAACTACGTGTCTGCCTCGGACTCCGAATTCGACGCTCATATGAAGACGTGGTGGAAGTCCATCCGACGAACCGCCGCAAAGCTCAAAGTAATGCGGCATCTGCCGGAGAACTGGAAGCAGATGCGGATTGGTTAGGGAGACAAGAGAGAGCATCTGGAGAGGACCAGAGAGTTTGTAAGAATGCCTGTGTAGAGGAAAATATTCGATAGTGTTCTGTTGGCCGCTTAGCTTTTTGCCGTGAGAGTTAGTAGCAACCTAATTTCTGTTAGACTGGATCAGCTTCATTCCCGGGAGGGGCGTATTACGTAGAACTCACCATGACATTACCATACCAACTCTTCTTTTGCCCTGGACCATCCTCTTTTATCGCGCGCAGTCAGCCACGCGAACTAAGAATTGATAAAGCACTCTACTCTGGTATTACAGTACTCACTGTTTCTGCCTAGCCTATTTTCGAATGCGCAAAATCCGCCATCTTTACGACAGGTACTAGTACAAGAATACCTTCCGCCAAGGACGGAAGGCCAGTAACTAACCTCGCACCCATACCATCCATGCCCAAGGGGAAGCGTACCGATAAGAAACGCCTTGAATATGATCTATGGTATCCAAACCATACCGTCCAAACGCCTCGGCACCTGCTCATTATTTTCCTCGCAGCTTTATGTCATCATAGAAGCTCCGTTCGGCTGCTGTTGTCCGCCATACTGACCATTAGGAGGCTGCGGCGTGCCCGATCCCTGCCTGTTAAAACTATTCTGGGCCGCTAGACGAGCCTGCGACTGCGCAACAGCTTGTGCCTGTTGTCTGTCTATCATCATCTGTTGAGTGTTCGAGGATAGAGCATTATATCCCCCAGCTGCGGCCGACACAGGAGTTTGAGGCTGCGGGTTGCCATACTGTGACGGGGGATAGTAGGTACTTCGTATTTGGCCACCAGGAGCGCCAAATCCTGGCCGCGAGCCATAGCTCGGTTGAGTAGCCGCGGGTGCGGCTTTGAGTGGCGATGCAGTACGAGCGTGGGGACTCTGAGCTGCGCTGTACATTGGAGCCACATTCTGGGGCCGTTGATAGAAGCCGTTTTGTGACTGTTGCGGATATCGACCCTGAGAAGGTGTTTGAGAAGTGGACCCGAAGTATTGCGACGCGGCAGCTCCGGTGCCGTAGTTGCTCGGTTGCGCAGATCGCTGGGAGTAGTATTGGCCAGGAGTCGCCGCCTGACTATATGTTGTCCGCGACGTCTGCTGGCCGTATGCCTGGGTCGTAGGGAAGCTTGGTCTAGCGGTGCTGGAATAGGATGTGGTGGGAGTCTGATAGGCTTGAGTGGGTCCGGAAGACGAACGCTGATAATGGACGGACGGAGATCGATGGACTGATTGCTGTTGTGGAAAGTATGACTGGGAGGCTTGCACCGGGCGTGCACTAGAATGAATCGCGGAAGTGGGGCGAGTATATTGCGTGCTGGACGGCGGATAATGAGAGTGCGCCCCTGACCCGGTTGATGTCATCCGTGGAAGACTTGGAGGAGCAACCGCGGTTGCCGAAGAGGCTTTGGCAAGCCTGGAAAGGTGATCTTCTTCCAGAACACCTTTAATTTCCTTGTTCTCGATGAGGATCGTTCGGCTGATATTGAGTTCCTCCAGCTGGTCACCGTTGAGCTTCGCAACCGCATACGGCGGGAGCTGGGATATCATCAACGTTAACTGAGACTTTAGCATTTGGTAAACGTCAATTTCTTCAGAGGATGGCGTCGAAGGGCTACCAGCAAGCGACGCTAGCGATGAATTCTGGATCACAGGTGTGCGAGGATTGGTGGCCAGGGAGGAATTCCGTATCCTCTGGTGGGACGCTAGCGTTTCGAGAAGCTCCGATATTTCCTTCAGCACTTCATCAGTGTTCTTCTCAAGTTCGGTCTTCTCCTTAGGCTCCTCAAGCAAGCCTTCTTGGATCGGTTCGAATTTCTCGGCCGCTGCCTTGAAAACCTCCTCTTCGTCCTCAGCAACCTCATTGGCATCCACTTCTGAAGCGCCCTCTTCACCGAGCAAGGCTGGATCGATGGGAAACACTTCGTTGAAGCGCTTTTCGCCGACCTTCTGCCACCACACCATGTTCTTAGTTTCTTCTGGAATGATGGCAGTAGAATCGTCCCGTGTAGGGGCAAAGCTAGAGTATGCGCTGCGGAACAATGCATCTTCCTTTGCTTGTTTGATTGCCGTAAGCGTGGTCTGAGACGGCGGCTGTTGTGCTTCGCCAGTGCTGAGTGCCCGCTGCCTGCTTTTCTGTTTCGCGGTCGGCGAGGTCGGGTCCTTTGGCATGTCGACTCCACCATAGCCTAACCAGATCCCGGCGGCCAAATTCTGATTCGCGTACGAGTGCGAGCTCTTACGGTTGGGTTTTGGAGGCTCCGGGGGTGCGAAGGTGACGGTGCTTCCCTTCGTAGTAAGAGGCTTTGCAAGTTTGGGAGGGCTAAGCTGCGGCAAATGCGCGGGGGCTTTGAATAGCTTCCCAATGGTCGCATTTTCCTTGCTCTTCTCATCGGTGCTATCCGGCAGAGGGAAGACCTGGGTCGTCGATATGATGTTTGGCAGAGCTGACTCGCGCAGCGGTAACGTCACCTTCACGGATGTGTCGAGGGTCGAAACTTTGTGGGATGGCGAGACAACGCGGGGCTGCTGTAAGCTAGAGAAAAGCTGTTTCGGGCCCTGGGCGTTTCCAAAGATGGTGAGGACAGTCCGACTTTCGGGTTCCTCTTCCTCCTCCTTCTTGACCTTGACCATCTCTTCCTCCTCGCGCACCGCATCCTCGGGAGTGCGTTCTGATGCCTCTTTCTTCGCAGCTACATGCGCTCTTCGAACTTCCTCTCTGGTTATCAGACTCTTCAGCATCTTCCGGAACGCGAGCACCCTAACCTCCTGTGGGGACGGTTTGCCTGAGGGCTCGGTGGTACCGATGCTTGCGAGTATGTCTGCTGTTGCACTCTCGACATCCTTCTCCAGGGCCTCCAGCGACTCATAGGAGCCATTGTGCGCGAGGTCGAAGATGGTAGACGGGCCGGCGGGGGGCGTCAGCTTTGTGCGTTTGGAGTCGGCTTCGCCTGAGGACGCTCGAGTGGCGGAGGAAGTGATCGGATGAGCGAGGATGGGGGGTTGAATATCGTAGCTGCGTCAGGTTAGCAACAGGAATCCGAAGCCTGCGCCGGGGTGCGGATGAAGAGCGGTAGGGAGAGATAAGAATCAATACATGTAGAGCATTTCCAAAGCATGCGATATGAGCGCCCCGTACCTTTTCAGAACTGCGAGGATATCCTCCACAACGGGCTGCAGCGAGTGCGCATCGCCATTCAGCAGTTTCGCTGGCGCGGCGGTAGACGCGCCGTTGGGAAGGTTTGCGTCGGTGTCGGTGCGTTTCCGCTTCGCGAGCGAGGGCGACGAGGGTGCGGGGGGCAGCGACGGCGGGGTGAGGGCGCCGTTGGTTGCGGTCGCGGCCATGGTGACGGCGGGTTAGGGTCGCGATGCGGGAGCGATGCCGTCGAGACGTGCAACGCGCTCAGGGCGGCCAGAGTTCTGCTCAGGCGCTCGCTTTCACCATGCGGGCCGGGGCGGCGCGGGCGGAGGAACACTGCAAAGCCGGAGTGCGACCGAAGACAAATTGGCTGCTCGACTGGATGCGCGCAGGCTTTGACGGGTGGGCAGCGCGATGTGATGTGGAATGCGCGGTTGGTGTGGTTGAGAAGTTCGATGAAGGAACGCGAGGTGCCAAGGGATCGAGGGATGCGCCCCAGTTCCACGCCTGGACACTCACCCAGGCACAACGCAGTGAACGCGAGCACAGTCACTCCCGTCGAGATGGGGATTGCAAGTGAGTCGATGATTGATTGCGGCCCCTGTCATGCGTCTTCTCGCACGCCACGACGGTGTTTCTGATTGCTGAGATGTGTGGAAGCCAAATCGGGCTAGACGTAATATATTCCCTACACAGCTTAGCGCCAGATGCAAAATTACGAGGCCAAACTTCTGCGCAAGCTGCCGCGAGACTGCAGGGCTGCGGCTTTTCATCGCAATTGCTCTTCACGCGTGCGTTCACGGCCGGGCTGCTGTCAATGAATGCCCTTGATTCTGTCCCTGGCAGCTCCAGGTAGCCCATACCGCTTCCTCCGCCACAACGCGCATACTCTGCTGCGCCTTCACTTAGTGAGTCCTGCAAAACCCGTAAAAGGGCCCCCGTCTGACCCCCTATAGCATCGGCCGGCCTTAATTGCGACTTCTTGCCTCCCACATTTCCGATCAAGATGCGCCCCTCGTACGCACTCGAAGTCGTATTTGACCACTTCACCGAGTCTGCACTCCGTACCCCGACTGCGCGGTAGCATTGAATCTCCGCCCGCGGGGCCCCTTGGCTTCTGCAGGCGACATTACTCCAGCGCCGAAGAGCTACCAGAGGATGCAACGGATATATTCGCTTCCATCCTCGGTGTAGGCGATGGCGGCGTGGATGACACGTTCCGAGAGCTGGCGGAAACGGAATATGGGAATGACATATCCTCTGCCCGGCCGCAGGCTTCCCGGGCCAGCAGGAAGGCCCAGCGGCAAAGCCAGCCAGCCCTTATATTGGAGTCTATACATAGCGAGGCACGAGCGTTGTACTACGAGCCCCCGCCCGAAAAGACGGATTTGTCCTACACCAATCCCAGGAGAAGGAAGCCTGGTGGTCTGCTACGGCGGAGTCGGGTCTCCCTTCCTACCGATGAGATGCTAGCGCGGAGGGAAGGCCCCATCTCGCTGTATTCTATCCTTGCTCGACACATCCGCGCCGTTACCCTAGCACCTGAAGCCGAGATAGAACCGGAGTTGACAAGTCAAGAAGAAGCCCTACTCAAGTCGAAAGGCTACTCGTTGAGAAGCGTGGAACAATGGACAACTCTGCTCCTGGATTCAAAGTCTCTTGTTGCGGCTGACATGTTCAAACCGGGAAATCCCACGCCGCCATTCTTTCTTGTGCTGCTGTTTCTCCGCCGAAAGCACATCAGAACGTTCGCTCTGGGGATAACCATGAGGCATATCGCCAATAGGTTGCAAGCTGAGCCCCTTCACTGGCCATCCTTAAAGCTGCTTGTTGTGCGGCTGCTTCGCCATGCGCGCACAGTCTGGCCCGAATCGATACCTTGGATTGCATCCCTCTTCTCTTCGGAGGCCCTGAGGATCTACGAGGAGGGAAAGAAGGAGGGGCGGCTAACGCAGAGGAAAGTCTCAGACCTCACGCACTTCAGCAACACGTTCCTTTCCCTGCTGTCTTTGCCTACGAGTCTAGATCCTGTAATCTCTTCGCTACACCAGGAGAAAGCACAGTTTCACGTGCTTGCTTTCATGGCTAGCTGCGAGCCGCCTTTGCTTGTAACAAAAACTGGATTTAGATCGACGGCAAGGAACCAGCTCGCGCACGCCAAAACGGCGCAAGAAAGGGAGTGGGCGGAACTAAAAGGGCCGTCTTGGCCGCCTTGGAAGGAGAACCGAAATGCTATGGACGAAGACAAAGACTATGATTTTGGTGCATCAAGAGCATCTCGCATCCTCCATCGCATGTTTGAGGCTGGCTACGGACCTGGTATCTGGGAAGAGGTTGCTGAATCGTATGCGGGTTGGGACACAGACCAGTCTCCGACGATCCAGACGCGAACATCTTTGCCCGCGTTCTCGACGCAATATAAGCACCGGGACCATCTGGATGGTCTGCTCTGGGCCGCTCGGGTTAGGGCAACACGGACGCGGAGGGAAGCATGGGCATGCTTCTTGGCACACGAAACCTCGGACGCGCCTGCCCACCTGGAAGTGTACCATGCGATGTTTGAGAAGCTTCATTCCTATGAAATCCCGGAGCAAGAGCCAGATGCCTCAGAATTATTTGAGACTAATGAACAGCAACCCCTCCCTGGAGATATGAAGGAAGTATTGTCGGATCCCAAGTCGCCCTTGCATCTGGTCCATTTGAGCGAGCCCATGCCCACATATGAACAGCTGTATCATAGGATGGTGGGAAAAGGACTCCGGCCCTATGGAAGATTCCTAGCCTTTCTTGTCGAGACGGTCCCCGATTTCTCCACGGTCTTGAGCGTATTAGAGTCCAGCAAAGACGATTTTGACGGAGGAGTACGCCACCTCCTGGAAGGTACTTTTTCGGATGAAGCCTCAATGCCACAGCTCCCTGGTTATTTCCTAGCCTCCTTCATCCGCTTCCTTTGCCGCTTCGGCCGCTTCTCCCAACCGCCTTCTGCCACACCGATTCCCATCTCACCAGGCGAGCACAACCTCAGATTCAAGATGGACCAGTCTTATCTTCTCGAATACGCATATGCCCTTTTGTTTCAGGCTCGCCCTCGGTATCGGCCAGCATGGACGGCCTACATGCAAAAACTGCACTTCGGTTCCTTCATCATGAGAGCGCGAGGGCACAGGAGGACAAGGCAAATGACGAGTAAATACGCGACAATGTTCTACCTGCTTGAGAAGATGGACGACATAGAGCTCGATCCCGATGACGCGCAGTTCCTGCTGGCCTGTAATATCGCTCGATACGAAGCACAATCCGCCTTTCGAGGCTCTCTTGATATTGAAGAGACACGCTATCTTCTCTCCACGGGACCGCGATCCCTGCGGACTTTGTTTCACACCTTAGTCGGCGCAAATACCGATCCAAATGACCCAATTCCAAGAAAGGAGACCAAACCTCTCCCACCACACATCCCTGGACCAGCGCAACTGCACGCATACGTCCGCGCCCTAGGCCTTTTCCGCGACTACGAGGGTCTATTCTCATTCGCGACCTGGGCAAAGACATACCACGCCGAAGTCAACGCTCGTGCACACGCCCAGCGTGGGGGTCGCAAAATTCTGTACCGAACATTCGTGGCGCTACGCGCTGCAATTGAAGGGGTCCTCGACAAGGAGCAGCAAGGTCAAGGCGCGACGACAGAGCTAGCGGAACTAATCAAGGCGCAGCTCGAGAGCGTGAAGGAATGGGGTTGGCCGCCCGATCACCATCTCGATATGTATCTCAAGGGGAAGTTGAGACATGCTGGGGGAAAAGGCTTTGCGTCGCGGCGATGAATGGTGTGTACAATACTGTGTGTAGAGAGAGGGAAGGCGAGCTGTTGATACCCCCACTGTGCGGATATATCTGGCTGTATATTTAGGCGTTGCGGTTATAGACCTCTTGTTATGCTTGAAATGTTTTGAGTCCACACGTGCGGAATTTGATAGTTCGCGGTCCCGCTCGAAGGGTTCGAATGTGCCTACCCTAGGTAGGTAGGTTGCGTCACCGCTCCTTCCTTGGGGAAGTTAAGGTTGTCTTGGCAACTCGAATGGACTTCAACTTCCCGCGTCTCTCGTGTCTCTTTTCTTTGCCCTCTACCTTCTCCAGTCCTCCCGCGAAGGGCGCCCAGGCCACAGTTCGGCAATAAGACGCCAACTCCCTCCAGCATGGCGCGTACACTCACCGATCTCCCTCCAGAGCTTTTGCTCAAGATCTGCATTTCGGTCAACAAAAAAGGCCTGAAAGCCCTTCGGCTCGTGGATCGCAAGCTGAACGGCGTTGTCGGCGAGCGGTTGTTTCGGCGGCTGAAGACGACCTTTCCTGAAGACGACAATCGTACGCTTGCACGCCTCGCTATGCTCCTTGCTAGCGACTGTGCAGATTACGTTAAGGAAATCAACCTTTCTCCGGACGTATGCAGCTATCTTCCCCCCGTGGAACATCACATTCTACCTGTAAGGCATTAGTTCCTGATCTTGTTAATGAATATACGCCGGTGCATTTCGAGCTAATGAATATAGGGATGGTTCAAGGTAGACTGTGCGGTCCTCAATGCGGCCGTCAATCTCAGCGCACGATTTCCGAAACTGGAGGACGTCTGCATATACGGCCGTTTCGGAATCAAGGACCGTGATTGGGCGTGGGAATATGGGACCATCACTGTCGACGGCATGATCGAGGCCATGTTCTCGAGCCTCTATCGACGAGCTACCTACCTTACGCCAGTCAGCGGGCTGTCCCTCAAGAGACTTCAGTGCGATCACGACCCGACGCTCGCCTTGAGCGTTGAATTTCTTACTGTTATGCGCAACATTGAGCGACTGAGGTTACACTTTGACCGCTTCGACGAATACCACTACCCGGGAGACAGGCTCAAAGATCGACCAGATATCAGTGATGCACATGACTTCGGCACACACTTTGCCACTACATGGCTGAGTCATAATCAGGGTAGCTTGACTCATCTCCATTTGAGCTTCCGTTACGGTGCCGGATTCTATCCCAAGATCGATCTGCGAGGCGTGCATTTCCCGAAGTTGAAGAGCCTGCGTCTGGTTGAGTTCCAGTTCTCGCATGACTGGCAGTGTGACTGGATCGTTTCCCATGGCGGACTTCTGGAGCTTTACCTGGTCGAATGTCCAATCCTGGTGACCCGAATAAGTGGGATGGAGCTCGACCACGAGGGTTATCCTATCTACGGACCGGCGTCGCTAGATGAATCAGAGACTACGTATGAGGGACGATGGTATAGATGGTATCACGCATTCAAAGGACGCTTACCAAAGCTCCGGAGATTTATTACCGACACAGAAGTCACACGTCAAGAGGAGAACTTCCAGGGCTGCTGCATAACTGGCATTACATTCGGCCTCAGCAGCAGCAGATATGAGAAATACAGGAAGGGTACCTGCGGTTCTGGAGAAAATCTGGACCATCTTAACATGTGGCTTCAAGGCTACGACGGCGGGGCGTTGGCTTCGTTGCTACGGCATACTGGACAATGGCGGTATATCGAAGGCTTGATCCAGAGACATGGTGCCTTTCCGGGATTTTGGAAGGCGCTGGAGGGAGAGATTCCTGACGAACTTCCTCAGATTCCTCCTCACATTGCGCGCCCCACGTTTCGAGAGGATTGGCGCTTCTTCGCCCGACGCCATAGTCTACCAGATGACGAGGATGAGCATTCGGACGAGTCGGACAGCGGACATAGCTGCTATCTCTTGGGGGACTAGAATGCTATTTTCGCTCCTTAGGGAGGGATTATGCGGACAAGATGGGACAGAATGAGCTGCTTGGGGCCGTCCTTCGGGGGCTTGAGGCTTATCTTGTATTTGTAGTGCTGACGGACCATATACCCTGAAAACTTGAGATCTCAAAATACCGAACTGATAGACTCCATATGAGCATCGTAGCCTGGGCTCCTTTTAGCCTCTCAATTCCTCGCTTTCGGATCTCCCTCTCTGAAACCTCTACTTCTTCTAGGATATTGTCGCTAACGAGGAAACATCTATTGTGATTCGAAGTATATTGCATTTATGTTTACCGTAAAACCGTGATGGAGGCAAGTAAGGCGTAGCCAACGATGATGTGTGATAATGAAGCTGTTGTGGTGGGAGAGCCTATCACCCTATGAGCTGACGCCGAGGGACAATTCTGTGGCTAGTGCGGTGGCGCAAAGAGTGGCTGTTGCTTATGTAATTTTCCCGCACTGAAATTCGTAAACTGCAACATCACAGAATTCTTGTCGCACATTCAACAAACCATCATGGGCGTCCCTTTCGACTTCGCGCCGGAGCGGCCAGAACACATCGATCAGATCCTCAATGGCCTCGACCGGTACAATCCTGAGACCACCGGGGTCTTCCAGGACTACGTCATGCAGCAGTGCGAGAACCAGACGTACGACTGCTACGCCAACCTGGCGCTGCTGAAGCTGTACGTTTCTTTACTTTGCCGCTTACTATTGGCTTTCAAGGTTTCGTGATGATCAAATACCACAACGTTTCCTATTAACCGAGGGGCCGGAGCTTGAATCACTCCTCCCGCTGAAGTGGAATTATTAGCTCTATCTGAAAGAGCCTTTCCTAGTTTCTCGTATCCGCAGTATGTTCTGTGCTGAATACTGACATGGATGCAACATAGGTATCAGTTCAACCCGCACCTCAACCGCGACGAAACCATCACCAACATCCTCGTCAAGGCCCTCACCGTCTTCCCAACCCCGGACTTCTCCCTCTGCCTCTCGCTCCTTCCCTGCCACACCCTCGCGCCCCTCCACACATCCTCACACACTCCCGCCGCCGGCGATGCACCGCTCTCCGAAGCCGTGCAGAAACTCAACGTCCTCAAGAATCTGCTTGAGGGTGCTGACTACGCCGCGTTCTGGTCGACGCTGGACTCAGACGACCTGTATGCAGACCTGGTGGCCGATGTCTCGGGATTTGAGGAGCTGATGCGGGTGCGCATCGCGGCGACAGTGAGCCAGTCGATACGGGAGGTGGACAGGAACATCCTGGAGAGCTGGTTGAATCTTCAAGGAAAGGAATTCGAACACTTCGTAGGCACAGTGTGTGGGTGGAATGTGGACGGGGATAAGATCAAGGTGCCCATCAATAAGGATAACGAGGCCAAGGGCACGGTGGTTCGGGAGAATGTCAAATTTGACCGTGAGTGGAATCCAAAGGATGCAGGGTGGGATTATTTGCTAACAGCATTTTCAGAATTTTCCAGAGTCATTCGGAGGGCATACGAGCAGCCTGCTTAACGAGTTCATATGCAGGACGAAACGCGATAGCCGAAGCATGATGGGCATGGTCAGGGACATGGCGTTTGGAGAGGTTCTGGCAACTGCATTGGAGGCATGCAAATGATGTGCCGGATATAATCGCAGGCAATAAGACATGAGTCTCTGCGACTCGGAATATACCCAATGAAAACTTGTGGTAACATCGTCCAGACAAGCATGCTTATTTTCTGTGGGACATCTAAACTCTCAGAAATCAGGCTCTACATTGAGAAGCCGTGCTTGCTTCGAATTACCGGATCGACATAGAACTCGAGCGTCTTTCCAAGATCCAACTGTGAGATTAGCCGTCACGTGAAAAGAGATCACCATGGTTAAGCCCTGGGTGGCTAAACGGGCAGCCCCAGTCGATCAACCTTCTACCTAAATTTGACTACATACTCACGATACCAGGCCTATCCCAGCGCCAATAGTCCCATAGCAAAAGATCCCGCTCACAAGCCGGATTTCGCGATTTAAACTCTCAGTTCCGCAATATTACCCCACCTTAGGCCGCTAGAATTGCCGTTCAAATGCGGGGGCGAGGTCCTAATGACTCTCGGTCCAGGGACGATCGCTGGTAAATTTCCCGAACCTGTCGAGCTAATGCTACTCCACCACTCATACTTCGGCCTTATGTTGACTGCTTCGCGCTGCATGCTTCTGTCTAAGAACTGTTCGAATCCTTCTCGCAGGTTACACTGCTTAGGCATAAGAGCTGCATATTGAGGGTGTAACGTTTGAGCACGGGACTATGTAAGTACTAAGCTACACTCATTAAATACGAGGTACAAGAAGGTACCCGCGTCCAGTATCGTTTCCGGTAGGAAATTGATCAAGCATTTAGGCGAAGTCGCTGACACGATGCAGCGCATAATATTGCTCTTGATGCTCGCTCAAGCACCCCTTCTCGCTTCGTCAATCCCTCTATTGTCTAACTCCACGACAACATTGCCATCCCCACTATCCACGACCCAATCGACGTGCGCTGGATCTGCACCGCCCACCAATGTACCTAGCACCACCTTCCCGGTCACCGTCCCTGCACAGCCTGGAGGAACTTCAGGCCCAGTCATTGGCCAGCCAGCATGGGACTACACGAATCTCAACCAAACCAACAATGGCCCCCTACATCTCTCCGTCTCAACCACGGGAGGGAATAAAAGCAGTCTACTTCTCTATGGTGTGATGTTGGAGGATATCGATCATAGCATCGACGGTGGCCTTTACGCGGAAACAATTCAGAATCGCGCGTTTCAGGACCGGACAATGGAGGGGTGGTATGCGGTCAATGGGGCTTGCATGGGGCTTACGACGGAGTTGCCGCTCTCGGACGCGCTGCCGAACTCGCTGAGAGTGGAGATGAAAGGGCCAGGAGAAGGCTTCGCGAACGAGGGATGGTGGGGTCTCTCGGTCCGTCCAGTAGCCTATAACATATCCTTCTGGGCACGAACATCCAGCGACGTGAAGAACTTCACCGTCAAAACAGCGCTCATCTCAGCCGCGGACCAAAGCCACGAATGGGTTTCCACCGAAGTCGCGCTCGCCGGCGGCCCGGACTGGACCTACTACACCGCTACCCTCACACCTGCCATCGCAGCCCCAGACACTAACAACCTCTTCGTTATAACATCGACCTCCTCCCAATCTGCAACAGTCCAGTTCAACCTCATATCCCTCTTCCCGCCGACCTATAACAACCGCACTAACGGAGTGCGCCCTGACCTCATGCAAAACCTCCTCGATCTGAACCTCAAGCACTGCCGCATCCCTGGTGGCAACAATCTGGAAGGCCAAACTGTAGCCCGCCGCTGGAAATGGAACGAAACGATCGGCCCGCTGACGACTCGCCCGGGCCGGCCGGGCGACTGGGGATACTACAATACGGATGGTATGGGGCTGTTCGAATGGTTGACATTCTGCGAGGATCTCGTAGGTGCTGATGGCGGGACAATTCTAGGCGTGTACGCGGGCTACTCGCTAGGCGGGGAGAGCGTGCCCGAGGAGGCCCTACAGCCGTTCATCGACGACATACTCCGCGAGCTAGAATACGTGCTCGGAGCCCCAGATTCCGCATACGGGAGTCTGCGAGTTCGAGATGGGCGAACCTCACCCTGGAACGTACAATACATCGAGATCGGCAACGAAGACTGGTTCTCCAACACATATGCCTACCGCTGGCCCGCCTTCTACCAGGCCCTCAAAGCCACATACCCAGACAAAACATTCATCGCAACAACCACAAAAGGCATCCAGCTCCCCGCAGGCGTCCAGTTCGACCAGCACTTCTACGGCGACAGCCGCAATTTCCTCGGCCTGTTTTCCGCATGGGATACCTGGCCGCGCGACAACGGCACCGACGTCATCGTCTCCGAGTACTCCGTCCAGCGCTTCGACAACCAGACCTTCTCGCCCTGGCCGTTCATGCAGGCCAGCGTCGCCGAGGCCGTCATGGGCCTCGGCATCGAGCGCAATTCCGACGTCGTTAAGACGCAGATGTATGCCCCGTTCCTCTCGAATCTGCACTATGACCGCGAGGGCAAGCCGCGGCTTATCTCGTTCGATGCGGATCCCGCGCAGACGGTGCTGTCGAGCAGCTACTGGGTGCTGAAACTGCTGGCCAGTACGCATCCGGCTGATGCGAGGGTGTTGGAGGTTGAGGGGAGCGTGCCGGTGCATCCGTTGTATTGGACGGCGAGTCTGGATGTGGGTACCGCGGCGGTGTATGTCAAGGTTGCGAATGCGGGGGAGGGCGAGCAGGTGGTGAGTACGAATTTACAGTGCGGGACGGCGAGTGTTGTGGAGGGGGAGAAGCTGGCGCGGAATACGCCGGAGGAGAAGGGGACTGTGGGGATTGAGGAGCTGGAGGTGGGTACGGGAGAGGATGGGGGGAGTCGGGTTACGATGCCGGGGTGGAGTGTGGCGGTTTTGACGTGTGGTGAGTAGATGTGGGTGGGGGTTTGTGTTGATTGCTTGATTTGTCTAATTTAGCTCGAAACAGGTCGTTCAGTTGCATATGCGCTCTCTATGGCTTACTTCCATCTGCTCTAGCCAGTTCAATGTGAACGGTGCCCAGGGAGCGTTCCGCTTTTGCAGTATTGAAGTGCCGTCTCTATACGTTTACCAGTGGCACTCTAAGTCAAGACCCTCCTCTGCCCTCACTCTGATCGCGCTGCAGCTGGCGTGGACGGCTGCCCGAGAGGCAACCTCCCAGAAGCCCCAGGAGCCAGACTGCGACAGCCTACTAGCCTCTAGGACAAACCCTTGAAAGTGACAGCAAAGACACCGTTCCTTCCTCAAGCAGCGCCTCTCAGAGACAAACCACTCAATGAAAAAAACCAAGGATGGCAGTGCCATTCACCAACTCGTCCAAATATCCCCGCCCGCTTTTCCCTGACTAGCCTCTTGTCAACCCAGCGCACAGTCAAGAGAGCGATCTAGCCAACAAGGTGCGTACTCGGGGGATCGAGTACCGGACAAAGCTCTTTCGAGCTCCCTGGGCCTTTGACAGCCCGTTAATTCGTGTACCCGTACAACCCGCAAGAGTCCTCCGAGGAGGCCTCAAGCTATACCAAAACCCTAGGGTGATCTGATGCATAGATAAGAGCCAGCACCAGAGCGTGCTGTCACGGTTGAGGAAGCGGCACAACTGGACTCTCTCCTGCAACGATCGGCCGGGCCTGCGAGGGCGACGACTGCTACCAAAGGTACGATGGCGGTTGGGTATTGTCCGGAGGGGTCGATTCGTTCCTCAAGAAGAGAAAGCGAATCTGCATCAAGCAGCGGACTCCGACACCACGTCGCTGGCCCGGAAACGCGCTGCGCGCAGGCAAGCGGCCGGGGCGAAGATGATGCCGGGGGGTCGCGATACGTCGTACGCCTGCGGAAGCCGCCGGGTTACAGATTCCTCCTATTTCCCATGTAAATCCCACCCCCTCCTGGGATGAGATCCAGAGTATGTAACACCGTACTTCCCCCCTGCTGATGCGCGACATGCGCCGGTCGGTGGCAAGTCCCACCTCCCTCGCCGTGCCGCTGGTGAACTCGAGGACTCGAACCTCTGGGCTATCGTGCGATGCCATCCACGGTTTTTTTCCGACTCCATTTTTCAAAACGACCGGGAGAGGGGACGGTCGGGTCTCTGCCTTTACGTTGTGCGAACGGAACGCACCTCAGGGTGATGAAGCCCCGCTACCTCCACTGCCTTGCTCGAGTGAGCGCGGCGAGATGGAGGGTAGCGTTGCGGGGTAGGCCTCGCAGAGCAAGAGGTGGTTGAGGAGAAAAGGTGAGAGGGTGGGCGGAGGCGAGATTAAATAGTCGGCCACCGGAGCTCGGCGCTCGAAGCTCCGGACGGGCGTTGCTAGGGCGACGGCTGGGAAAGAGCGCGTGGTGAAGTGCAGAGTTTTCGCGTTGGAGATGCGTGGTGAAGGTGAAGGAAGTGGCGGACGCGGGCGGTGTGGGACGCGGCGCGAATTTCGGGCAACAGTCAAAACAAACACGCCACCGAAGCGAAATGAGCCTCTCGAAATTGGCAGGAGCATGTAGAAGAAAGCGTAGAAGGGAGTTCCGATGATGGAGGGGCTCGGTGAGCTTAAGCATGTGGGCATAACAACCTGCTGAGGAGCGCTTCATCGCACACACTTTCTAGTGCCACGACCGGCTGCGGCGCTCCCCATTGTCTTATCACTTAAACCATCTTCTCCGCGTTCACAATCTCCGCTCTGCAGCTCCCCCGTCTAGCCTCGCTCCGCTCATCAACCTCAACGTCTGTCGTCGTCTCCGTATGCACATGTATGCCTCCCAGCTCCACGATATCCTCGTCGCTCTCCCGTCTCCTCTCCTGCCGCGCGGCTCTGCACTCCGTCGTCATGGAGCCAAGCGCCTTCTGGGGCTCCGCTACCACACTGCCGCCAGACCACGAGTTAAGTTGGCACGGGCCAATCAACACATTCCGGCTATTAGTGTTGTTGGCGATGCTGAACTGCGGCTGCGACGCGGTGGAGGTGGAGCTGGGATTGCGGTCGATTTGCGTGACCCAGTGGAGGACAAGCACGGAGAAGAGAATGTCGGCGTTGCAGCACATGAGGCAGATCCAGCCGGGCTCACCGCGGAGGACCATGAGGACTGTGAGGTTGATGACACTGGAGGTGAGGGTCGCGCAGCTGCCGACGAAGCTGCGGAAGGCCATTATGTGGAGGGGGGTGTTTTTGTTGTTTCGGTAGGAGTAGAGTTCTGCAGGGGTTAGCAGGCGATACAAGCGAAGTATTGACGACTTACTCCGCAAAGGAAGGATGAATAGCAGGGTGAGGTAGACCTGCACTTCTTATGAGCCGAGAGTGGTTATAGGCAAGCGGGTAGGATTACATTAACGACAACGTCGAACGAGATGAGCGGAAGCATAGCTTTCTGCTCCATGCCTATAATGCACACTCCATCCTCGTTGATGTATGCAATGCGGCTGTAATCTAGTCAGCTCAATCATCTGGCATATCCATGCCAACTTACAAGACAAAGTTCAAGATGACGACTATGACATAGGGCACTGTTCAAGGTCAGCACTCCGGCTGATATGTTGTAATGCCGCGCTCACAGATCATCCCGAAGCAGTTGAACAGCCAAAGCTTCGTCTTCAGGCGCGGCTGGCGGCTGCCGCGAACTATGTACTGGCCTTATCAGCGTCGCTCGAACCATAAATGGTACTTGGACTTACAGCTCGTTCGACGAGGAAGTAATAGATAAGGACTTTGGTGGTCATGTAGCAAAGCAGGCCTGTGAATCATCAGTGTCTGTTGGAGATGTCCACAGATACGGAGACCTACAAAGTAGAATGCCTACTTCGCAGATGCTGTGGGATGCGTTGATGCCGATGCCTTTTGTGAGAACAGCGGTGACGAAGACGAAGAGAGCCGAATCGATGTAAATGATAAGAGCAACTAGCCGGGATCAGCAATCGCTCCGAGGGGCAGCGTGTTAGTCCTTACGCCACGTTGCCAGAGGCAAAGCCTTCCACTTCGCAATATTCTGAGTTCGTCGGGCTGTAACCGCGTCAGTGGGCTGGAAGTTCCAGTTGGGAGGAAACACGTACTCAAGCAAACCGCTAGAATGCCAAATGTAACCATCTCGAGCATTATTGAGATGGTGTTCCCGGCAAGGGGCACCTGCAACATGTTAGGCATGCAGCCATCGCAACCTTGGTTGATGGAGCCCTACTTTGGCTGGTACAATGTGAGTGGCCATCCTGCCTCGTTCTAATCCCGTAGCATATAAAGACTATAGAATAATGGAAAACAAGGGAACAAGAGGAATGTAAGAGCAGCTGAAGGACTTATAACCTAGTCTTTGAGATAATGCCGGCAATTCGGTTCCTGATATAACGCATTCGTCCGCATTGGTAAAACAGGAAAACTCAAAGCAGCTCCTCTAAGGCAGCCATTACACTACATTTCAAGCCGGACCTTTCCTGAAACGATGTGACGCGTTTGGTGCCGCTTCCGGCTATGTCTTAGTTGTGGCGACTCGAGGTTGAGGCGATCCGAGCGTAGTCTAAGTAGTCGAATCCGGCTTGTAACAAGAAGCCACCGCTACGCTAAACTAGCAACTTTTTAATCAAGATCTTAGGGCGAACGTAAGGCTTGACAGACGTAAAGCCACATCTTATGGCACACAGTACGAGGTGGAGAACGCGGAGGAGCTGAAATATGGGTCGTCCGGGCGGCTCGTCGGGATCGACGCCATCGTGAACGTGGCTTACTGGAACTAACGGTTCGCATGGGTTTCCCGAGAGACGGTCCCTTGAACGCCGTACATGGGTGTTCTGCGCGTAGGAGGCAATGGTACGCATGGGTTCTGAGCATAGGAACTGATCCGAGGATTGATGCCAGTGATCAACGCCACGTATTAAGTCAGGGCTCGGGCGCTGAATTAAAGGGGCCACCTTCCTAAACGCTGCAGAGCGGCTCGGCAGAGTCCGTAGGCAGTTGACTTGACGCAAAGTAGCCGGGCGTTAGGTAGAGCTGAAGAGTATCCAGGCAATTGTGAAGCCAGCGATTTGAGCTATTAGGCGTTCCAGTTAAGAGTGGCTGTTGGCGTGTGAGAAAAAGAGGTGTGGTTTATCGAGCAGTCCAAACCCTCGTGCCATACAGCGGCTCAGGGGGGCCGTACAGTATGCGGCAGAATGACGACAGCTCTGAAACAGCAACGTAATCGCAAGTGAGACTTCTTTATTCGTTGGGAGTCTTGGATATCGGCGACGCTTTTTGGTGTTTGCATACGGAGTTGCGTCAAAGAATCTGGAACAACGCGAACAACGGTTTGCTAATCTAGCTTGGGGCCGTCTCCTGGGACGATGAAGGTTCAAGCGGAGCTAAGGGGGAACTAAGTAAATTCGCCATAGAATATGATGAGGTTTTTGGACATCGATGGTCGAAGCTCGATGAGATGAAGTGGATGGAGATGCCGGCTGGACGAGTCATTTAGAGGGGTTCAAGTCAGCGAGACTCGAGTTGAGGTGATTATGTAAGCCAGCCACTCCTTTGAGTCGGGACGTACGACGTCTCTCTCCCCACCTCACCCAACCCCCAACACAATCGCCAACAAATTCTCCATTTGATCTTTGTCATTTTTCAGGTCCTGCTATCCTCGAATTATGATGCACTTAACAGGTCGCGTAACCAAAGCATGTGACTCCACACAGCGAGGAATGTGGAAAGCGTTACGACCCGCACTTTCTTCAAGAGCAGTATGAAGATGAAGAGCTCGGAATTGAATCATAGGTTCAGAAGCACGATGACGGGGCGTCGGCTGCTCCGGGAAGCCAACATCCACTGTACCAAACGCATGATTCCACGCAAAGCCGTCAGTCGGGACGCGCTTCGGCGGAGTCGACGCCATTACCCCCGTCCTTCTCTTTCATGTAGCTGTCGAAGCCTGGCTTTGTACGATAAGCTGCCTCCAGAAGACTCGCCTCACCGCACTGTCCAATCTTGCGATGGAGATGCACAAAAGCGGCTGCATCGCGTCTTAAGTCATGTTCACCGTCGATGATTCTATCTGGTGAAATCCACCCTGTCCAGTAACGCACGTAACGCCCCAATGGCAGCTTCCCCTTGTATTCCTCCTTCAATCCATCACCATCATCCTTATAACGCAAGACGAAATGCCTCAATTCCGGAAGATCCTCATGGAATCTGTCGGCCACTTGGCTCCAGCGAAGGGGAGACGTGAATGTTCGCGGGTAGCTAAGCCGCCTGCCCCAAAGAGGGTATCCGTCATCGTCGGAATACCACCGCGTGTAAGTCTCGGTGGCGATGGTGCAATTGACCAGTTGCAGGCTCTTCAATGTGTCGCCGTATGCCGCAATACTTCTTATGAGTTCCGGGAACAATATGAAGTCCAACAGTTCCAACTCCCGCAGGCAAGCTGGTCGCACGTCGTCCAGATAGACTCTTGGAGAGAACCCTACATAGGGCTTGAACGAGAGAGAAAGCTTTTTGACCTCGGAAAACTTGGTTAGAAAACAGATATCCAAGCTCGCGAGGAAGTCGTGCACATCTCCGTTGACAGGAATGTCTACCAATCCAGGTTGAGACCGCCGGTTGAACGTATCCCAGGATGCAAACAGCACTTCAAGGGATTCGACATGCTTTGCAACCCGCTCGAAAGCCGTCGTCTCGAACAATTTAGGTATCCGGAGAGGCGGAACATCGATTAGCTGAAGCCTTCGTATATGATGTGCAGGTGTCGTCCAGCCGTGGTGCGCAATCGCCTGGAAGAGTTCGAAGAGCATGAAAAGCGATGGAGTGGTGTCCACGGTAGGACGCACCGCTGCTACGGCGAAGCGCGCACCGAACTAAGAAAGATTGAGGGCTAGGCTCTGGAGATTTGGGAACTGAAATGCCACATCGTACGCTCGGTCCACGCTGTTTTGAATCTCAGGATCGACCTGCTCGGTCCAGTAAGCTCCGCTACATTGATAGAGAGAGCTTCACTTACGCTTGTGCCTGGCTCCAAACGCGCCTCGAGACGCACATTACGCACGAGATCCTTCAGGTTTGCACTGTGAAGTATTTTCCTGAACCTGAGGGCACGAGGCGGACCATTGAAGATCGGGATCGTCAGCCCGTCCAAGAGGAGCTGAGAAGCGGCTGGAGCGACATGTTTGCAGGTTAGACGTAGTGCGCCGAGGTCGCTCTTTTCCAAGTCACGGACGATCTCTAAGAGGATCTCGTCAGGCATACCCGTCAAGGTCTTGGATGTCGCGGCAGTGGGCGCGGGATTCCGGTCAAGTCACGACTCGGGGTCTGGAGGCGCCATCGCTTCGACTTCCCCTCGCAGCTCGTGAAGCTGGCTCCTTCCGATGGCGATAGCAGCTAGAAGATATCGGCTGTGCTCGTATGGGTCATTTACTAACGCGAAGGTTGATTCCTAGCCCGTGGTGGGAGCACTCTAGCAAGTCGAACCGCGGGGCTTTAAAACCTTTGACCACGCCTCACCCAAAGCCTTTCGCTAACTCTATATTTCTCTAATATATCTTCCTGGAAAGCCCATGGTACGTCATTGGGCAGTGAAATTGAGAAAAAGCGAGCGATTCCCTCGAGGCTGTTCCGAGGTACTGTCTACTTATATTTCACTGGGACTATAGAGTTACCTTCGACTATCTTCCCCACTTAACTCAGTCAATTTATACATACGCTGACTCTACGCGCTCCCAATCGCTAGGTCTGCACCGAAGCCAACCGAATGGAAACTCGAGTCATGTCGTTTTTCCGAGTGTTCAAGTTCTTCATAGGATACAAGTCTCCACTCATTCCATATCTCCCAGATGAGATTCTTCTAGAAATATTTGGCTACTTGGACCACCCTTCCCTTCAGAATGTCCGACTCGTTAACAGAGCATTCTATGCCTCGGCGACTGAAATACTCTTCGCGGAGTTGAGGAGCTCTGTGCTCTCAAGTCCGTACGTGGTAGAGCGCGTCGAAAGCATCCAGAACGCGGGTGGCTTGTCGCAGCTTGTAAGGGCGGTCCGCTTAGTTCCTAACGGAGATCTTGTGTGGGAGGCCGATTCTCCAGTATGTTGAAGCCTGTCACCATCTGTTTGGACGAAAGCTGACTTGCCAAGATAGGGTTATCTATTTCGGATCGTGACCAAACAAATGACCTCGTGAAGTGTGCATACGAGGCCACCGTCGCCTTCCCAAATTTGCACACCATCGCAGTGGACTTATCCCATCTTGGCCCCGTCGATCACAAAACCCTCCTGAACCAGTTAGCCCCGCTAGAGCCCCCAATATGGGCGCTGAGCCAGCTATTCCGCTCGATATCCCGGAACAACGGCATCCCCTTAACCGAACCCAAAATCCGCAGCTTGGAGCTCACCAACGTTGCGCCAACGCTGTCACTCTACAAGAATTTCTACAGGACCGAGGATTTCAGAACGGTGATGAAGGGCATCAAGCATCTAAAACTGTCGATAAACGCCTGGGTAGTCGACCCACGCTGGGAGACGTTCGGTTGCGACTTCCCGTATACTTACGCCCCTCACGAGTTCATGAGCTTCTTCCCCAAAGCGTACCTGGACAACTCTAGTAACCTTCAAGAGTTAACCCTCCAGTTCAAGGAGTACGCTGGACTGTACCCGAAACTGGATCTGCGCGGCCTTTCCTGCCCTTCGCTTACCGTGCTAAAGTTGTGTAAGGTCGTTGTTCTCCCACGTCGCATCTTCGAGTGCATCCTGAGCCTGAGCAGGACGTTGAAGACCCTGTATCTCGTCAGCTGTCCTCTCCTGGTCGTATTGGAGACAACTATGGCGCTCGACAGGGAGCTGTATCCAGTTGCAGGCCAATCTACGAATTACGGCTCTACCTGCCCGAAGTACGTTACCCGCTGTCGATATCGAGATGTGTTCGACCGGCTGCGCGAAGGCCTGCCGAAGCTCACCGAGTTCATCGTAGGCGAGCTTGATGAAGATACACCGGACGCCACACCCGACTCCGAGCAAGACAACGCTAGCATTGCCACGACGGCTTCGAGCCAGCCGGCATATCAGCGCTGGATTTCTTCCGCAATTCCTCACATCCCCTTCACTGGCGCATTCCCCATCATAATACTCCTTGCCGTCTGGGACGTCGTCACCTCATCATTCAAGAAAAACCGTCCTCCCCCGCCAGCGACTCCGAGCCGACCAGCGCATCAACGCCCGCCTTCCCCCGCAACCTCTCACATTATCTTCGCCGTCGCGTTTCCCATCACAATCCTGCTCGCCTTCTGGGACACCGTCTTCTGCGCATTCAAGAACAACTGTCATCCTCTTCCTTATTCTCCTCCTCCTCTCCGCCCAACCGTAGCCGAAACCCTGCAGTCCCGTAGCTTCGACTGGAAAATCAGCGTCGGCCTGCGTCGAGAGCGGTATAAGATCTATTCCAAGGGCCACTATGAGGACCCGGGAGGCGAGTTCCACAATGCGAACCTGGGAGGCGATGCCGCGGCTTTGGTGCGACTGTGGAGGCATACGGGACAACGCGCCGAAGCTGAGGACGTGGAAGCTAAGTATGGCTTGGGGGCTGGCTATCGCGATTATTGGAGGGGAGAAGAGGTTGACGGCCTTGTTTGGGTAGTATAGAGCGGAATGGTAGGTGTAACCGGACCGTTTGTGTTTGCAGAGCTAAGCAAGGTCCACTATTTCGGCCCTAAACTTTTATGCAGATCAGGGCCCTCCCTCTCCGGCTTCAATTCAGATCTTCTCCCTCACTCCCAACAAAGCCCTCCCGAAAGCAGCTTCCATCTCATCATAGAACGCGTCCGCATCCTCGTCCCCAGCATCCTCCCTCGTGAACAGCAAAGTTCTCAATTCACGCGCTAGTCCCTTCAGCCCCCCAAGCCCCTCCGCAAACTCGTTCAAAACGCCCTCGAACCCGTCACCCACGATATCGCTCCTCTTCCTCTCCGCGCACTCCGCAAAACCCCCCTGGAACCATCCCCAAAGCCTACTCCCACCTGGCGGCATCTTCCCGTTCTTTGGACAAACCGCCACCCAAATCAGACAGTAGAACAGCGACTCCATGTCGTGCCGGTAGGTATGCGGTTTCGCGTCCAGCACACCGAGAGCCATGAACGCGCGCGTGCCTTTACGCTCGCCTGTCGCGGGGCTGGCCTCTAGACTTCTTGCTGCGTCCAAATCGATGAGAAAGCCGCGTGGAGCGCCGGCGGCGGGGCGGTCGGTGATCATGATGTTTCCGGGCGACACGTCTTGGTGCAGGATGCGGCCGTTCTGGTAGAGCGAGCGGTGGCCGCGGATGATGTCGATGAAGGCACAGAGGAGCTCGGAGATGGAGGAATAGGCTTCGATGGGACGGCCGACGGGGTGCACGGCTATGCAGCAGAATGTTAGGTCTGGGAATGAAGGTTCAGCGTTGGAGCTGATGGTCGTGCCTTTCGTCGCGGATGCGGGGGGTGGCCCTTCGATGTCAGAGCGTCGCTGCTCGTCATAGTCAGAGCTAGTGCTGAGCGAGAGTTCCGAGCAGAACGGGTGGGGAGGCTCTACTTACGTCCAATGGAAGGGGTACCGCCGATTCGAAACTTAAGCCTGCGTGCAGATCACAGATGGAAGTGATGTCTTGGTTGCCAAAAAGTTGGACAACGCCCCACACCTTCCTCTCCGCAATCTTACGCAAGATGTCCTCTTCAGGAGACTCTGCCTCTGTCCTCCACGTGAATTTAACGACCACCTGGCCCGCATCCGGACCTGTCCTTTCGGCACGATAGCACGTTGGGCCACTGTATACCACTCCTGGATGCGAACGAACCCGCTCTCGGAGGTTGAGCCGCTCGCAAATAGAGTCGTCCTTGCTCGTGAGCATGATGTACTTGCCTTCCCGATCGTTTTGAATGAACGTGTCCACACCTAGTTCCTCATCGCTCATCATTGCATAACCGGCAACGGCAACGAGGAAACGTCTCGGCTCCGTCCGGATATGGAACGGAACGCAACTGTATGCACCAGCGCGATCAAATACCCACAATGTGACCAGCAGTCCTGAAATATGGAAGCCATGGAGGACCCGCCGCGTCGGTTGGTTATTGAATACCCGCCACGCATAAGTGCAGAAATGTAGCATCTGCCGGCGATAGTCTGCGGGATCATCGGTGTCACACTGCCCTATGGCTTGAACATCTGCCCATTCATGCTGCGCCTTCGGCGTTTGCGAGCTGGTATGGACCAGGTAGAGGGTTGGAGTATCCAGCTCATCGAAACCGGATAGAGGGTGGCTGTTGCCGCGGCGATATTGACTGCGACCTGGAGGAAGCTTGTATTCAAACACTAAGGACTGTCCGAGGAAGAGATCGAGCACGTTTTGAACGAGCACATCGTCAAAAAGGATTGAGGATACGGCTGTGCCGATATCCTTCGCTAGCTGCTCAGCCAGGGGTGACCAGGGCTTGCCCTCGAAGTATTTCTCAGAGAAGCCTCTAACATTGCGAAAAATGTGGCCGTTGAGGTTTCTGAGCGTTGGCTGGTATTTCGAATCCGGGTCCTCTCTTTCCACCTCCTTATGCACCGTCGTCTTGCCCGGGCTCGAGGTTGAGGATGCGATGTGTCCTGTTTCAGCCTTGTCGTCCGATCTTGGCGTCTCGACATCCATGGTGTAATCGGAGGTGTAAACTTCGCACGTAATTCCACGCAGGTGGACAAGGGCAGTAATTCGAGTTGTGGGTGATGGTGGGGGTAAAAGTTCGAAGACAAGGCTGGGCGGGGAGGAGCGAGGTTCCAAGATTGGGCCCACGTCAAGCAAAGAGCCGCATCAGGCCTGCTGACTCGCCAAATCCGGCGACAACGTAAAATATCGCCTGGGCACTACAGAGTGCACAAGGCAGGTGCACAAATGCAGGTTGTTTGTGATTAATGTGCAGCGTCCTTCAAACCCCACCAATGTTGCTAAGCGAATCAGATCTATCAGCAGAGCTTTGCAAGGTCTCACAGGGCACACAATGCTAGACGACACGAGTACTTGGTGCCATTTTCCAACGTCCCTCACCACCTACAATAGCTAGTACACAAAATGAGGGCGGGGTCACGCATAGTGGGTGCATGAATATCGTCAAATGAGCACGTTGGGACAGATCCACGGGATTGGCCCTCTGAAGAATGCACCCTTTACGGCACCTTTCGCCCGGCATGTGTTACCGGAAGGCAAAACAAGGAGCCCTACGTGGATAAACGTCTGCTGGATAGGCTGGACCAAACAGCCGATCGAGGAACAGGCAATCTAGAGCCATGGGCGGCATCAGACAGCCGTAAGCTTTGCGAATAGAAAAGTCCCACAGCCCTCCCAAGCCAAAGCCTCCTCCTTGGTGAAAGCGGTTAAATGCATCTGATAGATTACAAATCTCATCGTGTGTTTGCTGTCAGCAGTGCGAGCTGAAGATTGGCAAGGCAAAGGACAGATGGTCGCCGGAAGTAGTAGGTCCAGGAGATAAGTTTTGTTCACCATGCAGCCGTCCAGCGGAGCCCAGGGTGGAGAAGGGCGATAAGGATGCTTGAGGCTCTGCCCCTACGAGACCCTTCTAGGAATATGCGGTCCGTCTGCTTCTGGGTATAAGAGCTCAGCTCTTCCACGACAGCGAAGCCAGCACGCACACTGACACACCGACCATAGCGACCCGGACACCCACGACCCCTGCGACATGGCTTCCACCAAAGACACCTTCGTCTCCTCTGCCACCTACAACAGTCTCCCGCACATATCCGATGTGGGTGATGCTCCGGAAAAGCACGCAGACGCCCTACGAGCCCTCCGTGCGCTTCTCAATGAGCACCATGTGCCACCAGGCATCAGCGTCCGACTCATCCACAAGCACTACGACACAGAGGACGGCGAAGTCATGGCCTTCAAGGAGGTCTCCGTTCCGTCACAAGGCAACGTGCTCACCATGGGACCCACGTTCCCTTCGTCAAGCCCACCACTCCGCGGCATCCACTTCTTCGTCGACGCGGACGGCGTCTTCCAGGCATACGAATACGCCAATATCGACGTCCCCGACATGTCCGCATACCAGACGTTCTTGGATGAGTTTGGGCGGCTGATCCTCGAACGTGGCCTGCAGCGCATCTTTGGGCTGAAGCTCGACTGCAAGCAGGAAGCTCTAGGCTGGACGGAGTTTGAGTTCCCGGGCAAGCGGAGCACGGTGATGATTCCGACGGGAATGCCAGTCCCGGACGAGGTCGAATACACGCTCAATGTGACGACCGAGTGGGGCAAGACGGATGACGAGGCCTTTGTGAAGAGGGGTTGCAGCCACTGCGATCATACCAGGACTTGCAGCAATCATAACCGTCCGCACTGTGGCGCTGAAGCACAGGAGTTGTCGGGCTTCTACCTCGGAGGGCGGAAGATCGACGCTGCTTCGCCAGTCTTCCCTATCATGAATGCTGTCGCTGCGGTGTGGTAGTAGGGGCGCGCTGTACTGGACACGGCACCTAGTGCCACTAGAGCAATGCGGTGAGGAGAAAGGGAGAGTTATGTTTTGTTGGTGGATGTTCGGCCCCTTGCTATTGGCCTTGGTAGTGCTTTAGGCTGCAATGAATTACTGCCTGTTACGCCGGTTCCCGTCGCACACGTTGACCCTCGGAATCCTGTTAAATCCATGAGAAACCAAGCCTACCTTATGAGGGATCCGAGAGAGCAACAACTCACCACCTTAAGCACCAATGCCAGGTCTAACTAGGGGATGTATAAGTCGTGCTCAAGTGTGCAGACGGCTCTGAGACAGAAGGTGGCGATTTGGAGAGCGAAGGGCGGGATTAAGAATGCGGTTGCGGAGGATTTGCCGAGGAGAGAGGATTTCATGTAGTATAAGTGCGTCGAATGAGGAGGCTACGGTTGCTAATCGTGCTAAATCTACGCGAAGGAGGGAGGTCGCGGTCTGATGTAGAAGAGAGGAGAGGAGGGTGAGGAGGGGAGGATGATAGGACGAGGGGCTTCCGGTGGTAGGGAGGATAAATGCTATATCAAGTATAAGTAGCTAGACTAATTCTAGCTGTCTAAGAACGTGCGATAGTTCTTAGATTGTAAAAACGCAGCACCTATAGAGATCATAACAGGGCCGTAAAGCTTGCAAGCAAGCCAGTCCCTCAGGAATACGTAACTCAGGAGCAGAAGGCCACATCCCACCCTTTGGCCGCATTCCGCTCCATCACGCCCATTCCTCTTGGCCACATGCGGGTTGCAAGATCAAGAGCCCCACTTCTTAGTGCTGTCCAATCTCCTCAAGCAACCTCACCAACGCCAGCAAGTCCTTCTCCTCGGCAGCTTTGTGAACGTCCTCCGCTTCGGCATCAACCACGATATTGCCGATCTTATACACCTTGTAGCGCCACACGATGATTGAAGTAGGTGGCCACGGCTTCCCCGACCGGACTGAAACCCCAAAGATCGCAAAGTTGAAGTCGTTCAGCTGCAGCTCCTTGCGGAACCGATCGAAGACTTGATGCCAGCGGAGGTGAGACTGGTATCCCTGGCGTGTATTGTGGTGCAAAAGCTGGCTGGAGATGGGATATCCGTCCGAGTCGACCTCTTGGCGGGTTGTGATCTTGACGATGATGGGGCAATTGATCATGTGGAGCTTCCGTAGGGTGCGTGCGTGCGACGTGATCCAGTCGATGAACGCCATGTCCTTGAACGCAATTCGATCCAGCTCTAGCTCGACCAGGCGTGGCTGCTTGAGGTCACCAAAGTCTAGTCGCGGATAAATGCCTGCGTAGTCCCCGAATCGGAGCGCAAGCGATTTACGTTTGTCGGAGCCGTGGTGGAGCCAACTGCGTGCGAAGCTCTGCATGTAGGCATGCGCCCCCGGCCGGTCCGGAAAATCCGAACCTAAAACGTCTACCGTGTCTTCCCTGTCTACGTACCACGGGTCGATTATTAGATGGATTTCTGATAAGTTCTCCATGACGTACGCGAAGGCGGACATATCTGTCAGGGGGTTCTCGATCGGCGGGATACGGACGAGCTTCAAGCGCTGCAAGTTGTTCTGTTTGCACATCTGCCGCGCGACGTAGAGAGACCTGAAGAGGAAGGAGAGCATTTCCCAGGGGTGGCCTTGGTTCTCACTAGGACCAGGAGCTGTGCGGAAATGCCCGAACCGCACTCGGCCTAGTTCAGCCAGCGAGACCTCGACCGATTTGACCTTCGTGAATCGCGCAAGTAGGTCGGATAAGCTTTCGAGTAAGCCGCGCTCGGCCTCATAGCCCTTCGTACAGGGCGACGAGTTATTTTAGTAACCTAGTGACTACATATAAGGAGTGGTAACTTACACGCGCGGAGTTGACCTTTGGACGTATTGACATCTGCTTCACTTCCTGCGCCAGATTTCTGCTGTCCGCGATATCCTTTAACTTGACGATGATTGAGTGGTCCACTTTGGTGACTGCAAGCGTCTCGAAAAGGCGTGAGGTTGCTGGAGGTCGAAGTTGTTTGCTCGTGAGTCTAAGAGACTTCGCGTCATTTAGCTGGACGGACCTGAGGACTTGAAGTAGGAGTTCGTCCGGGAGTTTCAGGAGGCCTCGACGCTCGTCCTTAGCCACGTTCTGGTGAGAAGGTTGGACAGCTTTGGCCATGGCGACGATTGCTTCGTGGGTCGGGTTGTGGTGGGAACTGGTTAGCAAGAACAGGCGATAGAGGCAGCTGTGAGATTTTAAGGTCGCATTTAGTGGCGGCTGGAGGGGCCCTCACGTGACGAGCGACTTCACCAACCGCTTTGGCCGCCTTGCTCCGCGAGGAATCCAGTGCTCGTGCTCTGTCGGCCGAGCGAGGATGCTATAGGGAAACTAGCGGAGGTAACTTCTGTGAAGCTTCGAGTCGAGCGCCGAAGAGCACAGTTGCTGGGGAAAATATCGGCGTAGCAAACACCGTGAAACACATTCACCCGTTGAGGTACAAAACTCTGTCATTGTTTTCCTTCTCTTCTCTCCACCTCGCGCCACAACCTCAAGCTAGCAATCAACGGTCCGAAGCCTAGCGAGGTACCGAGTTTTCGTGTCGCCGCTATACGAAGTTATCCTGCTCTTCACGTTAGTATATCGCTTTCCTCTTCTGTTGTATCTCCCCCTTCGACTCGCTGCGGCTAATAATCGACTCGACAGCTTTCCTCGACCAATACCAGCTTCTAATGTTTCCGGTCGCGCTTCGACACGTTGAGCGCGCCCTCCGTCGCCCTCCGGCTTCAAGGGCTACGGAGCAGATGCAGGCGTCGTCACTGGCGAGTAACGGCTACTCGAGCCCCAAGAGAGAGGAGCGCAATTCGGCGGGCGCCAGTTTCGCAAACCTCCCGCAGGAGCTACTCCTCAATATCTTCACGCGTCTCGACAAGCCAACTCTTATCAGCGCTTCAGTCACTTGCAAGACGTTCAATGGCCCTGCCACTGAGCTCATCTTCGCCGAAATGACGGCCTCTGTGCTTCTCGACGAGCGCTTCGCAAGCAGATTCAAGAATATCCAAGGCCGCAAGGATCTGGCACGCTACGTGAAGCTGATGCGGCTGGCTCCAGTCCTGGAGAGTGACTTCGATGTACGTTTCTGCCCACTTCCCTTTTCTGTAGTTGTTGTTGCTGACTTCCTGATAGACGTTCACTCATAACTACCATTATGCCATAGGTCGCCTTGGACATGCCTGCGATCTTGCGGCGCGTTTTCCGCGCCTCGAGACTCTCATCCTCGACGTCGGCGGCCTCGGTCCAGTCCCAGCAGCTCTTGCTCTGAGCGATCGGGCGGCGGATTCTCTGCCATTCCGCATAGTCTTCCAGCTATTCGAATCTCTTTTGGTTGAGGGTCGCTGCAACGTCGGCAAGAAGCTCACAACTTTGGAGTTGAAGAACATCCCGCCGTTGCACGAACCGGAGCTGACAGACTTCAACGTCTTCGCGAAGGTACTAGCAAGCGTTAGATGCTTGAAGCTCTCATACGACGGCTGGGTCACGGTGGTCTCCGATCTCGCCCTCGACTACCCGGCGAATGGTGAACCTCACACCTTCACGAAGGAATTGCCCAGAGTGCTACAGAAGGCGACCTCTATCGAAGACTTAGAGCTGCGCTTCAAGGACTACGTCGGCCTTTTCCCGAAGCTCGATTTGAGAAACCTTCGCTACAACTCCCTCAATTCTCTTACCCTGTGCAAGGTCGTCATGTGGGAGCACACAGTCGACGGAATCCTAGGCTTCGGCAAGACCCTCCAGAAATTGCGCCTGGTCGACACCCCTGTCATGGTCCAGATTCGGACATTTCGGGAGCTAGACGATGACAATTGCCCCGACTATTACTCTTTGGCGTTTGATGACGTCGAGGCGTTTGCGATTGGTAATCGACAATGGCACAAAGTATTCGACAAATTTCGCACAGGCCTTCCTCGACTAACAAAGTTTGAGTTCATGGAGGATGAACAGCAGTCGGAGGTGTACTTGTTCCCTAAGAGATACGGATGGTATGACTCCGGTATTGTCTTCGAGGTAGGCCCGCATGAGCATGAGCGGAGCCTTGGGGTGGACGCTGCGGCTCTGGCACATCTGCACCGAAAGACGGGAGAGCGGAAGAAGACTGTGGCCCTGAGACGGAAGTATCGCCGGGAGACGGGTTACGAGCCATACGAGGAGCAGCACGCCGACGAGATTGGCGACGCTGATAGGGGAGTTGTCGAGCAATGGGAGGCTTCTGGCGGCGACACTTCTGCTTCCGGAAACGGCTTCGACATTTCGGACGTCCCCGAATGGGAATTTCCTCAAGGGGAAGCTGCGATCGAGAATGGAGACGGTCCGGATGCCTCAGCCACTGGATCTCACACCGACACCGACACGGCAACAGTAGGTGTACCGAGCGAAGGTCTAGAAAGCGCCGAGAAGCCTCGATCTAGGGGCAATATCTTCAAGACTCTAAAGGCCTTGGTCTCCAAGTAGACATCTAGGAACGGCTTTTTTGAGGGTGAGGTTGCAGCAGGCTTGCAATTGGAGCGGAGTATGAGGGCGATCATTGAGCTGCGTTGTTAGGAGACGATCTGTGCGTATTGGTGGCGATTGGAGAGAGTCGCATTCGATACCGATCTCAGGATGATGCTAGCATATTACCGTTACTGGCCCTGACAACTTCTACTGAGGGGAGGGAAACGACTTACGCTTGCGTTACCGCATCTGCCATGCCCATAACTAGTACCAAATAAGAATCATCACGTCTTTGCTCTGCCGTAGACCACAATGTCGACTTGCGTCGGATAAGAATATTGACATTCCACAAAGTCCTACATAGTCGTGTATATATCCAAAATACTGCCCCAACGCCGAGCGCTTGGCAATAAGACCGAGAGCGCGGGAAAGTAGAAGCTCTAAATGCAAATGTACATAAAGGTGAAGCAAACGTCTATGCCGGAGTCTATTTGGCGAGGATGGGACCGCCCTTGCGAGCTTTCTCGGCAGCGAAGTCTGCCAACTTCTGCAGCTTCTCGGCACGGACTTGGCGGAAGTATCTGAAGAGGAGGACGAACGTGAGCTCGATCCTGTGGACTGTTAGCAACCGGGGCGCACAAGCTAAGGCCCGACGGGCTCGACATACCTCTCCTTGGTCATCATGAGGAAGCCTTGTACAAGCAAGCCTTTCATGATCTGAGGGCCAATGCCCTTGAACAAGCCCAGAAGGCCTTCATGCTGGACAATATACTGCATCACCTCACCGAACGTCTTGAAAGGCTTGCCATTCCTAGCTGCCGGGGGCTTCGACTGCAATCCGACCTTGGCGACGATCAGAGGTTGCGTTGCGATGGTGGCCAGTGCCTTCGACATTGCCCCAAGAACTACTTCGGGTTAGCAAGCTTGTTCTCTGTCCGCTGATGCTTGGTTACGCACCGAACGCTTCCCACGGCTTCAACGCCGTTCTGCCTGGGAACAGTGTATCTTTCAATCGCTGATAGGCTCCGTACGTGATTGCAGGATTCACCACGAGCACCAGACTGGCCTTCAGTCCTCTCCATAGCCCCGACCACCCATCTTCGCTATCAATGACCTCTTGGCCCGTGGCGATCAAGCCCTTGCGCTCGTGCTTGCTGACTGTCTGTTGCCGCGTCGTCACAACGGCAACCGGTATCGTGAAGATCTGGGCAATGGCTCCTGATACAGCACCCAAGGACAGCTCTGCGGCGGTACCCGGAGGGGTGCTGACAGTACGGTATGAGAGGTAGAGGGTGCGCACGATTGTGTACCAGTAGAAGTAGGCAAAGTTTGTAGACGCAACGCCAATCAAAGAGCCTGGCATGCCCGCATACAGTCCAGATATGCCCTCGGCTTTGACTATCTTTGTTATCGCGTCGATAGCGGAGGTGTAGTGCTCGTCGTCGGCGGGGTTGCTGTCGGCGGAGGACGGGGAGCGCTTCATTTGTACTTGTAGCCGCGTCTTCACACTGGGTCCCGCGTCAGTAAGTCTGCTATTATCTGGCGAAGGAAGTCGCGGCTTGGGCGACTGTCGAAAGAGGAACTCACATGTCCAGCGGGTAGACCAAAGCATTTGCTACGACAGCACCGGCCGAGCCTGCGATGGCATTGCCCCATGGCGGCAGCTTCTCGACCTTCGACTGGCCAGCCATCGTGAAAGCGCCGGAGGAGGTGGTAGATTCGAAGTTCTGGAGAGGTGTGACGGCGGACTAGCGGCGAATCTTGACGCAGCCGGTTGTAGGGTATCGCAATTAATTGAAATGCGGGAGCGCTATCTCATGGCCTCAACGAAAAGACGACAAGAGGGAAAGCGGAAAGAAAGAAAGATATGGGTGCTAGAAATGCGGAGAAGCGGGCTGGAGGCGTTCAGGCGCTTCTCAAGCCCGGCGTGGAGGAGCATTTTGCCCATGGCTGACGAGACCCGAGATAGGCCGAGGTTCACAGGCCCGAGAGGTCAAGATGACATCGGCAGCACGGCGGCCCGTGCTTTGCCCATTATTTCGGATCTGTGGATAAGTTCTTGGTCTCTTTCATCGGACAGCGTCGAAGACACTCTGGCGCGGAGGGAGTCGCGTCTTTGGTCCACGAGTGGGAGCCCTGGAGTGATTCCATGGGGCGTGATGCGGCAGTGTCGGCTCAGCAGCATGTGAGAGGCAGCTGCGATGCGCTTTCGGAAGGCACGTGTCTTGGCGCCGGTCGGTGGCGGCAGGCTTGGCTTGAGCCTCAACACCAAGAGCCCATCACCAAACCCACCAAAACAAAGCTGCGCCTCCGCCTTGCCACCACAACCACCATCGTTATGCACCCGTAGGGCCGCGCGCCGGCTTTACTGACTGACGCCCTATTTTACTGATCGTTCGTCTGCGCCATCGCCCCCTATGGCGGACAAGCCGACCCCAGGCGCGGCTTACAAAGCTGCTGCAAGCGTAGGTGACTGACATTGACACTTTTGGCCAAAACAGACTGCTTCGGGCCCGAACACGCCACGTCTCATTACGACAATCTACTTACCTTATCTGCAGAAATACCAGTCGCAGCTTCAAACCGCCGCAACCAAGGATGAAGCGCTCAAACTGGCTATCGGTATTGCTGAGAACCTTGTGAACGCTTTGAAGCTCTCCCCGACCCCGGACGAAAAGCAAGAGCTTAAGCGACAATGTGCAGCCATAATGGACGTCGCGGACCAGATCAAGAAGGCGAAAACTTGGACTCCGGCCAAACCCGCGCCACAGCACGAGAGCACGAAGAGCCAGGAGATAGGTCAGTGGGCTGCGGACGTCGCAAACTCTGCGGAGCCTTCTACCGGCCATGGCGAGCGTATTTCTCAGTCGAGCAACTCGCTCATCGACCTCTCTTCAAGTACGGCGCCTGTCGAGAACACTCGCCCATCATCAGGTAATACTTCCCCCTCCACTTTTTCTTTTACTGCCGATGTCGTCCATGGTGCAGCCCACCACAGAGGAGACTCGAAGGACGTTGTTTTTGGATTACCCATTCAGCTTTCGAAACATCGAGTCGCCCCACCGTTAGTAGTGCCAAACCCAGCTGCTGATACTCGACCCCAAGACAGTCAGCGCCTTGAAGGATGCGCGGGGTCAAATGCCAAACCATCGCCTATTATGGAAGGCGACGCTGCCCAAGCTCTAATGGTGCAAACAGATCATCTGCCCGACAAGGCCTACAACAAGACATCGGCCCCTACGACGCCTTCGCTCGCGCCGTACTCTCAGATTCGTACGCTAGCAGAGCCGATATCTACTCGGAGGCGCACTAGGAAGGAAGAAATCATCCTTCTCAAGGCATCCGTCGTCAATGGCTTCAAATGTCCTCCGTGGGACAAGAGCCCTTCGTCCACAGAGTTCGCCCTTGTCGACGGAAAGCTATTCGTGTAAGTCTAAACAAACGCCCCAGCTCTTTCTGTACTAACAGTAGCAGCGATACGCACGATCTCAGCCTGTCGGCCTACCAACAGCAATTCTTCCAAGGCTGGGTTCGCGCCAAGGAAGCTGTACCACCGCCTTCGATGTTCCCTGATAGAAATGGAATGGGCCCTCTGATGTCCACAGCACGATCCATTGATCTAGTTCAGGATGCAGCAACCGACTGCTCAGTGGTGGCTAGCCTCTGTGCTGGAATCGCCCGAGCCGAGCGCGGCCACGATCAGGTAGGTCCTTCCTGTGTTGGGTTCAGGCCATGCTAACCGGACAGATACTCTCTAACAAGATCTATCCTTTCGATAAAAACTTAGGCAAGCCTGTTATCTCCTCAAACGGCAAATATGTCGTTCGCCTAAACTTCAATGGTTGCTGGCGGAAAGTGATCATTGACGATCGCCTTCCGATGTCTAATGGTCATCGCTTACTCCACGTTATGGACCGGCGGCAGCCCGCCCTGCTCTGGCCAGCTCTCCTAGAGAAGGCCTATCTCAAAGTTCGAGGCGGTTACGACTTCCCCGGTAGCAATTCCTGCAGCGATCTCTGGACACTAACTGGCTGGATCCCGGAGCAAGTCCACTTGCAAGAGTACGTCCATATGCCCACCGTTTTGGAGGCCTTTGCTGACCTTGAGCCAGGACTGACACTGTTCCTGCGCAACTATGGGACCGAATCTATAAAGCCTTCTTGTATGGAGACGTTCTGGTCACGCTAGGCACGGGCAAGATGCCTAGCAGGCAAGAGCGCGAACTTGGACTTGAAGGCCAGCATAGCTATGTCGTCCTAGATATGAGGGAGACGGACCACGATCGATTGCTACTGGTGAAGAATCCTTGGGTGGAGGGCAAGGGATGGCGTGGGCCGCGCCCTCAGGCGGTGCCGATTCCCGACTCGTCTACATCCACTGGCGGCACCGGGGGCAGCATGGAAGCCTCCAATCGCGACAGTGTCCCGACCAAGGACCGACCACATCCGACTACCTTCTGGATTGGGCTAGAGCAGGTAATTCGACATTTCGAGAGCCTTTATCTTAACTGGAATCCCGGTCTATTCCGACACCGACAGGACATCCACTTCGAATGGAAGGTCAACGGCAATGAAACCGATAGCGGATGTATTGTGACGCATCCGCAATTCTCCTTCTGGTCCGAGCAAGGAGATATTGTTTGGTTTCTTCTGACCCGTCATTGGCGCGACTCGCCTGAAGAGACCAAGGATGAGTCGGATGCCTTCAATGACGGGAGCATCCGGCCAGATACTCAGATGAACGCTACAGGAGAGGCATCCAAGGGCTTCATGAGTATCTATGTATGCAATGGGCGTGGCCAACGGCTGTATATCAAAGACACGTACCTTGAAAGCAGCGATTACGTCACCACGCCACAATGCCTCCTTAGGTGGGATACGGATGCGAATTCCACGTACACCGTTGTCATAGACCAGGACGAGCTTCCTCCATCCTCTTATACCTTCTCGCTCTCCGCTTTCTCCACAAAGTCGCAAATCGTCCTGGAGCCTGCGGTTCAAAAGTATACCTTCCAAAAGGCAGTTCGGGGCGAGTGGACGAGGCAGACGGCCGGTGGTAGTACCAGTTCTGCTAAATACTTCGAAAACCCGCAATACACCTTGGAGGTTAAAGAAAAGGGTTCTCTGGCAATACTGCTTACGAGTGCGAATCACAAGAATCCGCTGCACGTCAAGCTTACGCTCGGATACGGCAAGAGGATGTACCGCCTCCAGAGCCGGGATGTTCTTGTTGATTCTGGGGATCACCGCTCTGGATGCGTGTTTGCAGAGATACAGGACCTCCAGCCCGGCTTGTACACCATCATTTGCTCGCTCTTCGAGGCTGGACAAACAAGCGACTACACTCTAAGGGTCGACAGTACTAGCAATGTTGTGCTAAACCAAATTCCCCGGGACGGCGCGGGCTTGATGTTGATGAAGCTGGCCCCAGCGTGTTTCGGGCCCGAGGTACAGAAGCTCGCAGCTCCCATTGTTGCCCACCGACTAGCCTCATACACGATTGTAGCGCGATTCGCGAAGGCAACGTCGCCGCGCTCGATGGGCATGCAGCCGCTCGCCCGCAGTCCGTTCCGGTTTAGCGTGGAGCTGGGAAGGGGCCCCGAGCGCAAGTTCATGATCGCTAGCGAGCGCGGAGAATACGCAGACTCAGCAACCGTTCGATCCGAGGCCGTGAACATCGACCCGGCCTTGTTCACTCAGGGGGAGCTGTGGCTTGTTCTGGACAGGCTCTCTGGCCCAGGCGGACCTGTCGAGGAGTGGTATGATGTGGAGGTTTACACCGACTTCCCTAATGCCTGCACGATTGGCGTTTGGCGTAACTGGAACGATTGACGACTTTGCGAAGCATCTCAGCAGCTGCGTTCCTGGGATTCATTTGGATCGGGATAGTAATGTGGCGTTTCGTGTAACTTGGAGCTAGAGTCAGTGTTGGTTCTCCAGTGGATAGATGTGGCGTCGGATCGTGGATATGCCTGCATGCCCTGTATGAGTAACGATAGTAGCACTGCACGTTGCAGTATGACCGTTGGTGTCACATGCGAACGTCAGCATTCGTGTCTGGTAGCCACGCGTAGATAAAAAGTAATTCCAGAACACAGCATCCGGCTTGTGAGCAGGTCTGCAGGTCACTTCACCGTGTACTGAGATGGTGTTCGTGTCCTGGCGCCCAGATTCGAGGGGCATATGCAAATGGGAAGGCTCCCTGACGCTTCGTGTCTGCAGTGATTGGATGCAGTTTCACCGCCCTCGAGCATCCTTGCAGCGTTTCAAGACGTGCATACTGCGATAGCGCTGATAGCCGAACACCTTTTTGTTCATATATCCCTTTCGTAGACGGGAGCTTGTTCAGGCCTGATTCCTTCTAGCGTTCTTCTCCATCTCGTCTTCGCGACCCCGCCAAAAGCACGATAAGGCTATCGAGGCCAATACGTCAGAGTCCGGGCGCCCTTTGCTTGGCGAGCGGTAACCTCTACCGCCCCAGGCTTGACTCCGCGCCTCAACACTGACATCGCGGCTCTGCTCTGGCCTTCAGGAACTGCGCTGTGCTTCTTGCTTCTAAGGATCCTCTCCGCAGAGCGAGAGCCGCCCTCGGCATCCCATGGCTGAACCGTCTGCAAATTCGCTCGCGGCCCGCACAGCCTCAACACCCAATTCCGCGGTCAACTCCAAAGAGCCTTCGAGAGCCTCCACGCCCGCAAATGCACCCGTCGAGAAGCCACCGGACGACAGCTCCAAGCTCAAAACCTTCTTGGGGGTCTTGAGGAGGTACGTTCCCGGCCAGCCCGGCGGAGCGGCAAGAACGCATTGCGCGCTGGATTCGAGGAACCAAGGCTAACACAAAGTTCACGACAGGTTCATTGGCGTTTCCGATCTCGCGGCCGTTCGATTCTCTCTCCCAGCTCAACTTATCGAGCCGATACCAAACTTGGGTATGTGCCTTGCCACCGAGCCCTGCCACGTTTTTCGCGTACGGCGCGCTACACCGGAATCTCTTCTGACAGAGAGCAGAGTACTGGCATTACTTGGATAGGCCAGATGCTTTCATAAGGTTAGCATACAGCGGATTCGGCACCATGGAAGGGCTGGCGCTAACCGGCGTAGCATCGGGGATTCAGACGAGCCGCTCGGGCGTATGCTTGGGACGTTGCGCTTCTGGTTTACAAAGGACTTGGTAGGCAATGTGTATTGAGGGCGAGATCATGGCACTGACGGACGGCAGAAATACGTCAAAGGCAAGCCGTGCAAGCCATATAACTCAACACTAGGCGAGTTTTTCAGGGTATGCATCAGCCCTATCGTATACGCCCAACTACTCCAGGCTGACTTGTAAAGTGTACATGGCAAATCGAAGACACACAACCGCCCCTCAAACATACCCACAATTCCCAGCCGTCTAGCAGTGCTACCAGCATTACCGGCGACAAGGTCGTCAAAGTCTCCTACCTCACCGAACAAACCTCCCACCACCCTCCCGTTTCCGCCTTCTACGTCGACTGCCCTGAGAAGGGAGTCATCGCAAGGGGATACGATCAGTTGAGTGCGAAGTTTACCGGAACAAATATTCGCGTCATTGCTGGGGCGCATAACTTGGGCATTTTCATAACGCTGCAGAATCGCGATAATGAGGAATACCAGCTGACGCACCCGGCGGCGTACCTGGGCGGGTTGCTGAGAGGTATGTGGGATCTACAACAGCGTCTTTGGGGATTGGGAACGCTAATGAACGACTAGGCTCGCTCAGTGTCTCCGTCGCCGACTCCTGCTACGTCACTTGCGCAAAGACCGGGATAAAAGTGATACTAGAATATTTAGAAGAAGGCTGGCTGGGAAGGACACAGAATAAGGTCCAGGGCGTCATATTCAAATACGACCCGGACAACGATACCAAGACGAGGATCAAGGATGTCTCGGACAAGGAGGTCCTCGGAAGGATAGAAGGCTGCTGGCAGGACAAGGTGTATTACACGCTTGGAAATGGACCCTTCGCAAAAACACCCGTACGTATAATCCGTATCACCCCGCGGGCAAGACTGCTAATGTGCCCTGGTAGGAGAAAATCCTTTTGATCGACCTCAACCCACTTCATCCCGTCCCAAAGAATGTTCCCTCGCTCGAAGAACAGCTCCCCAATGAATCGCGCAAGTTCTGGGACGGTGTCACCAACGCTATCGTCAACAAGCAGTACTCGCTCGCTACGACGCTCAAGCAAGACATCGAAGAAAACCAGCGGCGGAAGGCGGCAGAGAGGAAAGCCGAGGGCAGAGATTGGCAGCCCCGCTTTTTCGCCGGCGCCGTCACGCCCGTTGGGAAGCCCGATCTGACCCAGGACGGCGAAGAGGCGTTGAAGGGGTTGCATGAAGACCGATACGATCTCGCGCCGAACAAGGAGAACGGGGCTTTTTAGAAGGGCAAATGCATAGCGGATAGAGGAGTGGCAGCATGAATGCATATAGAGGAGTCTGGGTGCAGGGGCAACGGCAACGACACGCTCATTTGGTTATTATGGCTTTTAGGGTCGCGAGCTAGCGTCATTCATCCATCCATCTGTCGGTGTTGTGTTGGCGTGGTGGGGTCGGGTTGTGGCATATATACACGCGGAAAGCTCTGCTCTGCTTTGGCTCTGCTTTGCTAGATCTTGGTTTGCTCGACTTGACTAGTTGGGTGTTACTTTTGCATATTTGTTTCGGAATAGATGATTATGACTACCTATAGCGATAGTCAAACTTCTCTTAGATGCCTCGTTCCAGTTATAGTGGCTAACGTAAGTAACTACTACGTTTACCTAACTTAAAGTTAAGTATCTATACATTATGTTACGATCACGGATCGAACATGCCAAGGACTGCTCCAAAGGCAAGGACGGCCAAGGATAATCACGTAAGGGGGGATCCCGCCAAGGGTGGTGATCCCGGTCACGTGACAAGGGAGCACATGGGAGCACTCCTGTGGCTCCCATGGATCCCGTGGATCCCGCTGGGGAGCAGGGGGATCAGTGGGATCACGCCAAGGGGCACCTGTATATAACGAAGAGGAGCTCGCTCCTTATGGCTCCTCGTAGTTATTGATAAATTGCTACTGCGACTTGCGATTTATAGTCTCATTGCCTCCACCCCTTTGTCACTGAATAATCCCTGTCCGAAGCACACCCTCTGCATCACCTTACGAAAGCCAGCCTGTCTCAGTCAGAAGGACAGCTCGTAACACATTATTAGAGAATAATACCCGAAGTCGCGGGAAGCTACGAGAGCTTAATTATCGGAGACCGCACTGGCAGGTACGTACACTTTCAGCCTCATAGCCCCGCACCCGGATGGGATCTGGAATGTCCGCTGACTCTGAATTCTTCTAGCCCATCAAGCCCGAAATCTGCCGCATCCATAGTAACAAACGCTCTACATTGGCACAACGTCATCATGGTGAGCTAATTTCCATATGCTAGAAGCTATTCAGTGACGCTGATCGACAATATCAATCAAGGCTACGGCATCCGCCGGCCCAGGTCCGAACGAAGCCTACCTCAAGCTGATTGCCAATCCAGAGAACGCATCGCTCGAGTGAGTGCCAACTGCCTAGTCTCTTCGGGGCGACAATCGAATTCGTATTAACCGTCGATATTAAAGTATCATCGCCGTCCACGGTATGAACACCAGAAATGATCTTGATCACCCGAACAAGGCTTGGACCCATCAAGAGCCTGGTATCCCTCAAAAGTCCGGTACCCACTGGCTGCGAGATCTGCTCCCGTCGAGTGTCCCACATGCCCGTATAATGGCGTACCAATATAACGCCAACGTTGCGTTTGACTCGTCGACTGCTGGCGTTCAGGAGCAGGCTGAGAACTTGCTCCAACATATTTTGGTCGAAAGAGAGGTACGCCGATGAAACTATCTGACTTGGTTGTAAGATGTTGACTCGGTGCCTTCTGGTGATTTAGAAAGCTCATGCCCATTCGCGACCCATGGTTTTCATCGCCCATAGCTTGGGCGGTATCATCGTCAAACATGCGCTGGCCACAGCATACAACACATCCTCTGGGGAACGTGCCGCAATCTACGTTTTCACTTTTGCGCTGTTTCTCTTCGGCGTCCCTCACCGAGGATCGAGCGTTCCCCGACAGGCATGGGCATCCATTGCTACACGAATCTTCCAGCTCTGTGGCAACTCGATCAACGCCTCATTTCTAAACAGTGTGACGGAGGGCTCGAGCTACGCGGAGCAATTGGAAGACGGTTTTAAACCCCTACTCGGTTTCTACAATGTCTTCACTGTTTGTGAAACAAAAGGAGAGGGTGCCTTTGGCATCGTAGGTGGCTCTCGAATCCTTGAAAACCAGGTAGCTACTAACTCTAGAAGATCGTCCCGAAAGAGTCGGCTACCCTCGGCGCTTTTTCAGAGGATGTGTATTACCCAGATCGCAGTCACCGGACCATCTGCAAGTTCCGAGACTCAGACGATCCGGTGTGGCAGCACGTGTCCGAAATGCTCTCGCGAGCTGCTGAGCGGGCTGTCAGATCTACACATTACAGCTCAATCAGCGACACAAGGAAGGCGATGCTTTGTCGGCTGCCCACGCACCCTAGAGGCATAACCTCTCGCATCCCATTTATTGTGCTTGATTGCTCGCATACTCATGATATCCTCATTAGATACGCAAGTTGTTCGCCGACAAGCTACCCAATCCATTGACAAAGCCATTGAGCAAGCGCAGAACACCATCAAGCGACTCCAAACAGGCCATGAGACTACCAGAGAACTTGATCAACTTGTTCATGCTCAGACCGCCGAGATCTTTAGCTATGCCCTGTCCTGGGGCGTTATCATCTCATATATCCTGTCGATCATTTCCGGATCCTGGCTGCTGCTGTTCGTGGTGAGAGCAATCGTAAGTCTCCCAAGCCCTGTAGTCGTAACGCAGACGGTGGAGCAGGGCCTCGAACGCCAGCAAAAGATCGTCCATCTCACCAAGCAAGCCATCAAAGCCCTAGACTCCGAATGCCACTCCGCGGTACAGACATACAACACTCTCCAGGCTTTCTTGGTTCCAGGGATCAGCGTTGGCACCGTATCCGCAGCAAACCAGCTCGAGCGGGTGCGCCCTCTTCAACTGGACCTCGACAGGGAAATCGCACGAACCGTGCAAAAAGCACATAAACTGGCCCACCTGGATCTCCCAGAGTCGGAAAGAAGACTGAAGCTCGTCCACAAAACCGTGGACAAAGTGAAGAGCTTGGAAAATGCTGACTCGGCTACATTCTGGATGGAGATGTCCCCGTACGCGGAAAAGGAGGTGGAAGCGGAAAGGCAACACCTTGTGGAAAAGGGCGCTAAGGATGAAGATGTTTCTAGCTGCTTTTGCGTCATTCTTTGAGCGTGGACTTCATTGTAAGTTTCCCGCAGTTATGCCTAAGTAAATGCTGGATGGAGAGGCGTGTTTCTCTTATCGAGGGTCGAGGGTTCAGCTGCCGGATTTCGTCCTTTCCTTCTCTATTTCGATTTCCCTTTGATGACCTTACGGCTACCCTAAATGAGTTGTCTTAGTTCTGAGAATCTAGTTTACTTACTTAAATTTATTACTTCGTATATATATGTGTGTATGTGTAGCATACAGTAAGTAGAAAGGCCCTTTAGGGTGTGGAGTAGAGTGGTTGCTATGGTAGGTAAGTTAAATTGAGTCCGGCCGCGTGTTTGTATCTTCCTGAAGCACTTTTGAGGTTCTATAATGCGGTGATGGATCAAGACAGCGTCTTTCCGTAGCGGTCGACGGACGGGTCATACGTTGTGGGCTGGGGAGTGGATATGTGTGTGAGAAGGGGCAGGTGAGAGTAGGTAGGATAGATTGATTGAATACTGATAGAGCAGATGGCTGATATACGTAGAACCCCTCGGAGGTGCAAGGCCTTTGGCTTAAAGCCACCACCACCGCCCGTGAGAGTCGGCGTGACGAAGAGCCCTCTTTACACAGGATGAAGACCATGTTTCCCGCCCTCACTTACTCGCTTTATTCCTCGACAAAGTCGGCCACAGATCGCCAAACCGGCGGCCCCATCCCGCAACCACCCCCACCATCAACACAATCAGTGGAATCGACACCACCCAAAAGATCCAGAACCGCCCGTCGCCCGGCTTAAACCCATCCGACATCCCGAAAATAGCAGCCACAAACGTCCCCGGAAACACGACTGCGGCGAAGATCGCAAGACGCAGGTTGAACGCGCTATCGTCCAGGCTCTTCGCCGCCCCGCGCATGTTAACAATCTCATCCGCCGTCGAGCCCAGCGCGTCCGCGCGCGCTTTGTACAGCCTGAGCCGCGCGAGCAGGGCTTTGAAGTCGATCGTCGCGTCCCTCAGGGCTGACGGGAGACCATCGACGTAGGCATCATGCGGATTCAGGCGCTCGAGGGCGAGGTCGAGATCGTCCTCGAAGAACGCCAGGCGGCGGCGGAAGATGTTGAAGTACCAGATGGCCTCGTAGAGCCCGGCGATCTTGCGCTTCCACAGCGCGTGGTTGTTGGCGAACAGCTCGCTGACGTAGCGCGCGGGGTGGCGCTCCTCGTCGGCGACGAACTCGCCCTGGTTGAGCGTCAGCAGGATCAGCTCGAGCAGGTTGGTCCAGTGGTAGGCGGCGATTTTTAGCGCGTAGAATGAGGCGTTGCATGGGCTTTCTAGCGCGGAGAGTATCAGGGCGGAGTTGTCGTTTTGCGTCCAATACAGGATCGTTTCGTCGAAGAGGGAGGCTTTCTTGCGGTACACGGGCTTGCCGGTGCTGGAGCCGGCGGCGGTGAATTTTAGCGCCTGCGAGATGGGTAGGGGGTCTGGGTGCCCGAAGTGGAAGGGCCGGCTGGAGTGCAGGGCTGCTTCGTAGTGGAGGTCTTTCTGGTTCTTTGCGCGAGGCTGCTTCTTCAGGACGCGGTAGGTCACCATACCTCCTCTGGCGTCGCGGACGACTGGATCCTTATACGCATCAACCGGCGGATCGACCAAGAGCAACGCTACCACCAGCTCAGCATTCCCATAGCTCTATATGAAGTAACCGACAACATACCATTCCACCCATCCGCAGCCGACCGCGGATTATCGACCCAGAACGACACACACCGTCTGACCAGCGCAACCTCGTCGTTCATATCCACCCGTCCCCCCTCGATCGGAAACCAGGGGTCGATCTTCCTCCTGTTCACCGCAAACGTCCACCGCCAGTCATCCAGGATATTCCTGAAGCTCCGGAGCTCGGGATAGCGCACCGTGAACGCCTGCCGCGCGTCGCTGAGCGACGGCAGCGTCCGCTGCCCGACCGTCCCCGTGTTCGAGAATCTCCACGAATTGATCTGGGATGCGAAAACGAGCGGATCTACACGCAGATGCTTGCCCAAGAGGTCGACGTATTCCGGCGCCAGGTCTTCGAGGATGTACAGTCGGTGATGGCAGTCGTCGTCGTCGTCGTCATGTGATGCGTTCTTCCTCCCCGCGGCTACGGGACTGTGCTTCTCGAGGTATTTCCGCATGCTGACCTCATCGTTGAGATACTCCTTGCGCACCCACGCATCTCCCGTGGCAGCAGCCGGCGTCCGGAATTCCAGCACGCAGCAGCGACCGGGTGGACGCTTGCCGTTCTGCTCTTCGCAGTAGCGGGCGACGATTTGCCGGCCTTCCTCGTTTTTGTTGAGCAACCGGTGGACGAGGACGCCGAGGGCGGGGTAGCTGAACTTTAGCTTGTCTACTTGGCTGAGGTAGGGGTATTCGTTTGGGTCGATGCTGAGGGCTTTTTTCTCGGTCATTTTGGTGGGAGATAGGCTGCTTCTAGAGAGACACTTGAATGCGAAGGTCTTTATATCTCTTCTCCTGATCTCGTAAGTTTAGGGACCGAATGGCTTTGGGTGCGTTGTCGTGTTCTCCAATGCTCGATTGATGGGACGTCTGGGATTTGCTTTGGCGTCTTCCAGCTGTCGTGGTCCAGCTGCAGCCACAAACGCGGGGCGCCTGAGGCGTCATGATCGGCACCGGCTCAGGGCCCTCCATTACAGTAGAAAAGGTACCAAAACCCTAGCTTCGTGTCTTTACGCGCTCATCAGGGTCGACAAACGCTCTCGGAGCCTTAACTTTTCGCTCGTGCCATATAGATCGACTCCTGCGAGGTTGTCGGCTGGCCGTCGACGCTTGCGCACTCGCTAATCTCGACCGGGTAGAAGCGACGTAGATGCAAGGCAGTATGATGGGGATAGCATGGGATGATGGAAAGGCCGATGTTTGGGTAGAGGAACCGGGGTGCCGAGTCGAGGTGGAAAGGTATTCAGACACGCCCACGTGACCACAGGTTCGCACAGTCGCCTCCGCTAACGCTCTTGCTGGCTTTTTCAAGATTCTAAGGAGGAGATACGACGAGATTTCGAGCAGAGCGGTGCCTTGTCGAGTGCTAGGTGGCTTCGGTGTTTCAGCGAGCAGTGTCGTGTTCTCTCCCGGGTGGATCTCCGGGCTGCGGCGGCGCACTGTTCCGCTAAAGCTATGGAAGCTCTTCGCTGCTTCGGAAATATGGAAGAACGCTCATTCTAGATCGTTGCAGACGGGTACGGTGGCGCTGGGCGGTGGATTCAAGCTCCATCTCGCCAGTTCCTCTGGCCAATCGACGATACTAAGATATAGGTGTGGAGTCGCAGCCGTATTAGTTGAAGCCTGTAACAGAGTATCCGGGGAGCCATCCGGGTACATGATAGAGGATCCTTACTCGCCACAAATGAGAGGGTTGACGCCTTCCCAGGTCTCAGCCTCGCTGATCTTGCGCAGATGGTAGCTAGATGTACGGTGCGAGTGGGATCTCGATTAAGGAGATTGGTGGGGTATTTCCACGAGAAGTCTGGGACCATATCGACTTCAATGATGGAGTTAGCGGCTATGCCAGCTAGGTAGAGCTCAAACACATAGTCCCGTAGTTTTACGGGCCCCCTTGGGCCCCTTCCTCGACGCCAGGTTCTTCTTCCCCGCAGTCTCGCAGTCCCGGGTCTCTTTTGTCGTAGTCTCCTGACGGCGGACGATCAATGGCGGCAGTGTACTCTCCTTCATGCCTGCCGCCTTCGCTGACGATCCTGGGATGCGACGTAGCTCACAAGGATACGTCTGCCGCCTGTATGGGGTGAGCATTGCCTAGAGGTCAACGGTGCAACGGTCGGTCACCGAGTCGACAACAGAGGCTGAGCTACTTGCTCTGTGGATAGCTGGATCACAGATGGAAGAGAAGTCTCGCTTCTTTAGGCGGCTGTCCTACTCTACAGACAAGATTCCAACGCTTTGGCGTGATAACCAGCAGGCAGTTGGCATTGCTACTAAGCAGAAGAACAAGCTGAACTCTACGCTTAAGCACGTCGATATCCACTAGTCGTGGGTGTGATAGGAGGTGTAGGCTGGCCGATTAGACGTCAAGTGCGTTGATGCCAGCACCATGCCTGTCGACGGCATGACTAAGATCCTTGGGAGGCAAAAACACGCTGAATTTCTAAGGTAGCTCCACCTTGTAGACATCTCTGCTCGCCTTAATCAGGAGGTGCAGCACGCAGGCTTGTAGGCCTCTCTCCTACTCTTTCTTTTGTATTCACCTTTTCGCTACTCACTGCGAGGTGAGGGTGTGTGTGACGGTTGTAGCCAGGGGTAGGATGCTGAGGTTTAAAGCGGAGTAGTATATCTAGAAGCTTCTAGAGAAGGGGTATAAAAGCTGCCTCTTAGACTGGGTCTCTTAAATTCATACAGTTCCTTAAGCTTCTACTATCGTGACAGATGCTCGCATCATGGTCACATGACTATAACCGTCACATGACTATAACCGTCACATGACTATCACCGTCACAGTGTCTATATCCATTTTGGTCAGCCGTGCATGTCGGATGTAAATTATGATGTCCTTCAATGGAGTTCTACGCCGACCCGCCAGCTTGTGCGGAGTACAGTCCCCTGGCTCGGATTGCTAGCGCGCCTTTTCCGTACACCCTAGCGATCCTTCCAAAAGACCTCTGGCAAAGCCGTGCACACCATGACACGCTAGCAATCCGAGCCAGGGGACTGTAGCAGCATGATCACTGGTGCGGATCAATTCGAGCGCGGAGGGGCCCTTGGAAAACAACGGAAAGTGGGACGGAAAGATGAATGCACGAGCACGGTCGTCATTGCTGATTGGTGGGTATTATGTTCATCGGCAAATAATCTACCGTTCGGACCGTGCCCGCAACGTCGCGTAGACGCTTTCGCCCCGGCCCAGTCAGAGTACGCCTTGCTCGGTCGGTGAATATGCGGTGAGAATCTCGGCGGTAATGTCGTGCTTGCGTCACCAGGCCGAGCCGTCCTTGGTCTCACTGCCGAAATGGATCCTGTCAGCAAAGGAAGCTTGGCAAGTCAAGAAGGCTTGCCTAGGCACGCGCCAGGGGCCGGGCCGCCGGGTCCATGGGGCAATCTTTAGCGCTGCCGCCCGAGGCCAGGTACCGTACAAGGGCCTAGATGTGGACCGAGTGTGCTGACACGCGGATCTTGTTACATCCCAAATCCGCAAAGATCATTCGACACTTCGTGGGTCATGGTTACATATCTGTGCCGCACGGCTAGCGTTGCTACCTCCAGCCTGCACAAGCAAGCAGACGACCCAGCACCAAAAGGAGACAAGTTGGCAAGTTTGTCTATCAACTTTCTTGGGAACAAGCATGGAGTTCGAAAAATCATGGCCAGAATTCTCGTTGAACAGTGGACAGCAGTTCACAAATACCTCCGTGGTCATCATCGGAGCCGGGATTGGAGGCATGTGCGTTGCCATTGATTTGATCAGACGCAATAACTGCCGAGACTTCGTCATTTTGGAGCAGTCTGCCGGGGTCGGTGGGACATGGTGAGGAAAACCTGCCATCCTCGTGTATAACCGGTGAATGTCTAATCAATGCTCGGTAGGCACGCCAACACGTATCCCGGCTGCGCTGTCGACTTGCAGTCCATTGTCTACAGCTACAGCTTTGCCCCCAACAGCAATTGGAGTCGAGATTTCCCAGGGCAAAAAGAAATTCTGTCTTACTTGACCCGGGTGGCGGAGGAATACAGGCTGTACGAGCACATCCGGTTCTGCTCCACTGCCGAATCCGCAACCTGGGATGACGAGCTGAAGAAGTGGAACACGAGCGTGACGGTTGCCAAAGGCTCCAAAGACGCTGAGGCCATCTCCAGCTACACCATCTCTAGTGATTTCTTTGTCAGTGCTGTGGGCCAGCTAAGTCAACCAAAGTGGCCGGAAATCGAGGGTTTGGATAGTTTCACAGGGAAGACTATGCACAGTGCTGCATGGGACTGGACGTACGACTTGAAAGATAAGAGGATCGCTGTTGTAGGAAGTGGTATGTCGACCATAGCAAACCTTTAGCCACCCGACTGACCTTTTGTCTCCGCTTAGGTTGTAGTGCAGTCCAGATCGTACCCGAGATCGCGAAGGTGGCGATGAAGGTGACGGTTTTCCAAAAAACACCTCACTGGATCGTACCTCGTGGGGACTACGAGATCTCAAACCTGAGAAAAACCCTTTACCGCTATTTCCCTTTCTGGCAGCGGTACTGGCGCCGACGTTACGTGGACCACAACGAAACGGAATACTTCTCTAACAACTTCGCTGATCATGAGGAAAACAAAAAGCTGGAAAAAGTAGCTCTGGACATGATGCACGAGCAGCTACCCAACCAGCCTGAGTTGCGGGAGAAGCTGACACCCAACTATCCGGTGGGCTGTAAGCGGGTGGTCGTCTCGGATTTCTTCTTCCCAGCTTTGAACCGTCCCAATGTTCAGCTTGAGACAAGACCTATTCACAGCATCAACGACCATACTGTGCGTGTTCTCGGCACTTCGGGACAGGCAGAGGATGCGGACTCTCACTACGATCTCATAGTCTTCGCAACCGGCTTTCGAGCCACCGACTTCCTTCATCCAATGAAGATCTTCGGCAGGAACGGTCGGGCCTTGCATGAAATGTGGAAGGACGGCGCTCGGGCCTACCAGGGCACCTGCGCTGACGACATGCCGAATTTCGGAATCATACTGGGGCCCAACACTGGCTTGCTCCATAACAGCTTCATTCTGATTATCGAGGCCCAAAGCAGGTATATCAACGGCCTGATCAAGCCGGTGCTGGAAGCCCGAAAGCAAGGAGGAGCACTGAGCCTGACACCGCGTCCAGAAAAGACCGAAGAGTACAATGCGAAGGTGCAACATCGACTCAAAGACTTCGCCGTGAACAACTCCCAAATCACCAATTGGTACAAGACTGAGTCAGGGCTGATCACGAATCTTTGGCCAGGCATGGTGCTGGAATTCCAGAAGCTGATGGAGAAAGTGGACTATAGGGACTACGAGGCTGAAGGATCTTCCAAAAATATTGTACAAAAGCGACCTTTGCACAAGGTGGGTCGCGTTGTTGAAGAGGGTGGGCTCCTGGAGAACCTTTCCTTGGCGAACCTTGTAGTGCTTGGGACAAGTGCGATTGTTGGAGGTCTTTTGGTGCGCAGACTGATCACATTTGCATAAGGGTCTCGGGCAGGACTATACGGTTGACTTTATGTACCTCCCCTCCTCAATTTGACTGTTACAAATCTCTCCCTTTTCAGCGCAGTCGGTTCCAGTTACAGCCCGTCATGCCAGCTACGTGAATCATCATGCAAACCACGCGATACGTAATAAATAGGCGTACAGCCAGCATGCATTTCATTCTGTAGCCTCTTCCTTTGAAGCGGTCTTTATTCTTCTAACAGACACCTACGATTTGTACTCTACTGATACCTGAGATTGCAGTTTCTAGATTTGTTCAAATAAATAGAATGTATTGACCACGTCTTTCCATGACAGATGCCCAATCATGACTAGATGATTCCGTTTTCCTGATCCGCCAGCATTCTTCCATGAGGCTCAAGGCCTCTAAACATGTCCCGTGCGTTATGCGTGATGAGGACACAAGCTCCCGAAAAAACTTCTGCTGCTCATCGGCTGCTAAACATCCAGAAATGCAGTACGGCCAGACCACATGTCGTAGCAGTTTTGGATCTGGTAAACCTCGAAGAGCGTCAATCATTTTCGAGACGCTTCTCTTGATATCTGGAATGTTAGGATAAGGGCCGGAGATGACGACATGGAGGTAGGTGATAGCTGAGAGAGCAAATATCCTCGTAATCTCGGGTTTGATGAAGTCTGGTCGTAGGCGAGCGTCGACTGAAGCTCTTTTCGAAAGTTCGTTCTCGATGCTAGCCAGTCGGCTCATTAGGCGCTCCTCGATTTGACGACCACGTTTCGTCAACTCTATAAGGCTCAATCTGTGAGCATCCTCCTCTTCTTTTTTCCACTTGTCTAGAGATGCGATCTCGAAGATGAAGATCATCGCCCAGTTACTGCAGCCTACTAGATCCTCTAGGTTGATTTGGCCGGTCTCGAGCAAGACCTTGTGGTCCGATATCAGAAATTGGCTTGATCGAGTTGAGGCACAGGTGATAATATGCATATGAATGAAGAAACCGAGCAGAAAGCTAATCGAAGTATCGGGATGCGGAATCACTCTGTCCATGTGTTCTTTTGCTTGGCCTTGTCTTGCTGCAGCTGACCCCATCTGTGCTTGCACAAGCGATGGAAGTAGGGCATTCGCGCCCCGAAGGTGTATCTGCCAGTTGTGTTTGCCGCCACTACATGACTGTTTCATGAACTGATTAGCATTCATGATTACACTAGAAAGGAGCAAGAACGTACTTCGTAAAACAAGAGGTGAAGAATGGTAGTAAGGACTTCAACATTGTGGGCGAGGCCTAGGTTTCCGCTCCATGCAGAGGATCGTGCAAGGCTGGTCTTCAATTCTTCGACAGCCAAATCGTAGTGTCCACCTCTTGTTCTGACATAATAACCGCTTCCATGTTGCGTTGAAGTCGAATGGTGATATTCGCTCAAAGCAAGAGCTGCGTGATAGGCTGAGTTAACCCGCTTTAAGATCGAAAGCAGCCAACCCCGCCCTTCCCGATTGAAAGGAAAGTAAAAAGGACAATGCTTGTAGAAAACATGATCCAAGTAGTACATGAATAAGATGTCTTCCACGTCTCCATGCAAAATTGGATTGCTCGGTCCGGCCGATTGGGGAACAAAATCAGTAGAAGCTGAACGGGAAGTCCTTGGGGCGCAAATCGACCGGTCCGCTTCGCTGCTGTATCCAGACAACTCCGATGCGCAATATTCACTCAACATCGTGTCGCAAAACAGATCAATACCGTCCATGTTTGCTTCGGATGAGGAACTTGATCTGGGTATATCGATGGAATGTCGCAAGTTGCTTTCTCCAATGACAGTCGATATACTCGTTGCTCGTGTCCGAGAAGCATTGGAGGAGGACTGGTCATGCGAGCTAATGCGGACCGTCTGATTGTAGAAGGGTTGCGTCGAGAAATCGGTCTGGTAAAGCGCTTCACCCCATATCGGCTCGCTAGAGGTGTGCAAGTCCCCGTCTCTGCCGAGAAGCTGAAGGTTGCTTCCGGGCGCAAGCCCACCCCGCAGAAGAGTTTCCCGTGTCGGATGTGCTGGAGGATGGCTTGATGTGGCGACGGTTCCGGTAACCAGAGTGTCTATTTCATGTCCGACGTTTTGCGATGTGCCGGGAAATTCATTCTCTCGCATGGCCGACTTGTTCTGGGCGATGACCTGTGTCTTGTAGCGAGCTTGCTCCCTCTGCAGATCTCCCCTGTCCATCCAGTAAGGCCTTGGCCCATAACCATCGCAGGCTATCTGGAGGGAAGTGCATCGGAAACACGAAGGGTGATTCTCGTCACATTTCTTTTTCCGGAGTCGGCAAGTCCAGCAGCCATGAGTGCTTCGACTGGCTAGCCTGCGAGACATGTCGGCAGTGAACCGAATGCTCACGCCGATAAAATCGGCAAATGCCAACTGCCCGGCTCCTCAGCCAAGGGCGGGTTTTCCCATTTGTTGGCTTCACTGTATTGTACATAGGTGAGCAATCATAGACTCGGAGTATCTTGGCATTCTGCTGGCCTACCTTATCTTGTGTCGGAGACCAGTAACTTGTGCATGTAAGGCTCTGGGGTAAGCCTTGCCGTGGACTTGCGTAGCGCTAAATACATTTAGTCGGGTACCCGACAAGGGTGACTTGGAGCTTCGTGACAATCCCAACAATATAGTTAACCAACTAAACGGTTTCCAGGAGCTACCACAGGTAACCAATATTGTGTTTCATGGGCCGTTATGGTCCCGGAAGGATGAAATGACGGTTGGAATAGCTGGAAGGATGACCCGGAATAAGCTCCCAGGAAGGGCTTAGAATAAGCTTGGTAGGATTCTGGCTGAACATGTCGCAACAAGTCGCGACATAATCCGGTTGGTGTCGTGATTTGATCCTTCTAATGTACGGTGTTGCAACGGCTACGGGCTGTCGGCGCGTCCGTTCGGATCCTTGTAGCCCCGGCCTTGATTTTAGCCAATGGTATAGGTGGGATCAGCAGAGTGAGGCATTATTATTTGACTAGAACATACTTTACGCTATAAGGATCCGAACCGACGTGCGGACACCCTGTACACAACTGAACGTCTACCTTTGACCGGCGATCCCCCCTCTTTTCGCTTAGCTACCTCGGGTCATCTTCAGAATTCTAACAAAGTGCGGCACAGATCTGTGAACCAACCTCTCGGTAGGCTTCTCGGCCAATTGGCCGAAGCTACTTCTGATAAATTAGGCTAGCTCGGAATAAGCTCGAGATGGCTCTGAATAAGCTCGATGGGTCCTCATCAACTAGTGCTTATCCCCCCAGGTTCCCTCGATTCCGCCCCACCCATCAACATCGCGATGATGTAGGCTTCCAACATATATTCCTCGGCGTCTAACTTCTCGCGCGAACCAACATGGTCATTTTTAGCGTATCTCGGAATTCAGGGATGCTGGATATGAAGGAGCTCGTATTCTTTGAGTCACCGCTGTTGGTGCACTGACCACCCAGATCGGTGCCACAAAAATTACGAGCTCCTTCGTAATATGTTCTTGCTTTCGGCGGTGAAGCTGAAACAACACGCACCAAGGAAAGCTCGGAGTTCGTGGGCGGCAAGGCTAAACCGAAGCTGTCACAAAATGCGGAGGTACTGTAGCGGCAGTTTCAGTACTGAATTCGGATATCCATGCTTGGCATAGATGGGCTGGAAGTGTAGCGGCTAGAAATGGAATGTGTGGTATTAGAAGAAGTTGGATACTCCAGGAGTGGCCAAAACTCCAATCAAATGCAGAGGGCAGTACCATTTGTGAGTCCGCACTTTACAAGTACCATCGTTTACAAAACGCACCAACTCAGTTCAACTTTATCAGCCCTACACGATCCCTCTCAAGTCGGTTCACAAGTACGTACCACTACTAAACCAGACATGGTCGGTCTACTACTTTCGTCGTCTGATGAGGAAAAACCAACCAACAATGGACCGTTCCCTACAGCCAAAGGAAACCCGCAACTGGAGGATCCCGGACAGAAAGTATTTTCAAGAGAACAGTTGCGCGTACGCGATCTTCAACCACGAGCAGACAAATCAATAGAGCATGATATTGAGGACATGGAATGGCCTCAAGATGTCAAGCTCGATCGAGTGGTTGAATCTGCGTGGGCAATACTTCTGTCTTGGTATGGGGAGGCAGCCGATACAGTATTCGATGTTGCGTTGCCAGTATCAAGAATCGAACAACTCCCCGGACCCACAACCGTAACTATTTGTGTTGCGGTTGAAGGAGACATGACTTTGAGCGCATTGCAACACCGAATGATGCTACCTGAACTCTCGGGATCACCGACCACTCAACGCATCGGCGAGGAGGCTAATCTGGGCTGGCAATCCCAGTCATTGCTAATGGTGCAATCCACCTCCGAAGCGGAGGAGGCACCGATCTTCGACGAAGGAATCAAGTTGGACACGTACGCCATCGCTCTACACTGCGAAGTAAAAAATACATCTCTACTCTCAAAAACGGCCTTCGATTCGAATGTGCTCAGCGAGCAGGTCGCATTGCGAGTCGTGGACCACTTCAGTCACATACTGCGTCAGATCTGCCGTGCCGATATGGCCAGTACGAAGATCAGCGATCTGGACGCGATGACTGCGGAAGACCTACGCCAAGTCTGGACGTGGAACGCGAAGGCACCCGAGGAGGCAAACGGGTGCGTCCATGATCTATTTTCCCAGAGCGTTTCTCGATATCCGCACAAGACCGCCATAAGTGCCTGGGATGGCGAGTTGACATACACTCAATGGGACACGCTCTCAACGCAATTGGCACATTGCCTCATCCACAGGGGTGTCCGTCCTGGAGATGTACTCCCGTTGATATTTGAGAAGTCCATGTGGGTGACAGTCTCTCAATTTGCTGTCATGAAGGCTGGTGCGGCCTGTGTGGTGATCGATCCCTCGCAGACTAAGGAACGCATCAAGGCTATAATCGACATTGTAGGGCCTGGCCTTATCCCCTGTTCTCCTTCAACAGCTCCTCTGGTTTCTCTTATTACGGAACGAGAACCATTCGTGGTGCAGAAAGAGACTGTATCGGAGTTGCCGGAGCAAAGACAAAATCGAGGTTTTGGGACAAAATTGCCCATCGTCAAGCCGAGTGACCTGCTCTATGTCGTGTTCACCTCCGGCACCACAGGTAACCCAAAGGGTGCGGCAATAACACATTCGAACTTCACATCGGCAGTCAAGCATCAGAACGAGTATTTGGATTTCAAACCGACAGCAAGAGTTGCAGGTTTCTGCTCGTACGCCTTTGATGTATCATGGTCCGATTTCATCCACACACTCGCGGCGGGAGCTTGCCTATGCATACCCTCGGAACACGACAGAAAGCATGACTTCATTGGATACATGATCAAGAATGAGGTGACCTTTGTACACCTCACACCATCCTTCGCCGCGATCCTGGAATTGGACAAAGTGCCAACACTGGACACTGTTACCCTTAGCGGCGAGGCTGTAGACTTGGATAAGTTGCCACAGCTTAGAAAAATTGAAACCACGATCATCACATACGGGCCGGCGGAGTGTACAGTGACTGCAACGAAAGTCATAAATAACGGTAGGACTACCAAGGCTACCATTGGGTGGGCGCTTGGATCAACGACCTGGATTGCCGACCCAAACAAGGATGCTCTTACGCCCGTCGGGTTGATCGGAGAGTTGCTCCTAGAAGGACCATTGGTTGGAGCCGGATATCTGAACAACGCCGAGAAGACGGCAGCTGCATTCATCGAGGATCCTAGTTGGTTGCTACGTGGCGGTGCAGGAGTGGAGGGCCGCCGCGGACGTCTTTATCGAACAGGAGACCTGGTACGCTACACTCCTGATGGTGAACTGATCTACCTCGGGAGAAAAGATACCCAGGTCAAGATTCATGGCCAGCGCACGGAGCTAGGCGACGTTGAACATCATATCTGTCGAGTTCTAAATTCGATGCCGGCTGTGGCAGATATTGTCGCCGAAGTCGTCACGCCATATATCACCCAACGCCCGATGTTGGTAGCCTTTCTACTCATACCCGCGACTAGTCCTGAACAATTGAAGAAGGAGTCTGTTCCAATTATCGAAATACTGGAAAGAGAAATGCCCGGCCAGGTGCCACCTCACATGATCCCAAGTGCATATATCCCAATGGCCGACCTGCCAAGGGGATTAACAGGAAAGACAGACCGAAGAGCACTCCGTGAGATGGGTGCTAAGTTGGACCGCAAAGCACTTGGGTCTTTGTATGGCGCCAGTCCTGCACAGCACGTCGAACCCACTACCGAAGCTGAGATACAGCTCAGGGATCTTTGGGCATTTGTGCTTAATCTTCCCGCAAGCGAAATCGGGATACAAGACAATTTCTTACGCCTTGGCGGTGATTCAATCGCCGCCATACGGCTAGCAACTGATCTTAGACGAAAGGGGATGTGGTTGACGGTCCCGGATATCTACAGTCAGCCACAGCTCTGTGAGATGGCCAAGCTCATGTCACGAAGTGAGGCAACAACCACGGAAGCTGTGCAGCCCTTTTCTTTATTGAAGGCCGAGCTGGATAGGGATGACGTTTGTCGCCAAGTAGCAGAGCTTTGCTCCGTCGGCGCTTGGCACGTGGAACCTTCACAGATCGAGGATATATTCCCCTGCACAGCGCTCCAGGAAGGTCTTTTGGCCATGACCGCGAGGAGCTCGGGCAAATACGTGGGCCACCACGTTGCTGAGCTGAAGCCAGAGGTCGACATAGTGAGGCTTCAGGAGGCATGGCAAAAGGTGTCTGAAAGAGCTTCTGTACTTCGAACCCGCATTGTCGACCTTCCGGGCCAGGGCCTGGTACAGGTCGTTCTTAAAGAGGCATTGCAATGGAAGACCTTATCTTCTTTGGACGAATATCATCAAAGCCAAAGGAACGCCAGCAAAAATCTACAGGAAGATGTTATCGGAGTTACCGCGATGGGCTTAGGCACTCCCTTATCACGTCTCGCAATCATACATGATGAGGCGGCAGGCAAGAGGTACTTGGCGTTGACGCATCATCATGCGACCTACGACGGCTACTCGGTGTCACTACTGCAAAAAGAGGTGGAAAAGGCGTATAATGATGGGGAAGAAGAACTTTCCTCACTTCCGCTACAAAGCTTTGTGAAGTATATCATGAGACAACATGACGAAGACGGTATGGCTTTCTGGAAGCGACAATTTGCTGGGATAGAAGCATCGCCGTTTCCTGCTCTCCCCGCCAAGACGTACGAGCCAAAGCCAGATAAGGTCATCCACCATTCCATCAATAGCATTCGCTGGCCGACTTGCGGTGTCACGCCTTCTTCCGCGCTTCGTACGGCTTGGGCGACGCTCATTTCCTGGTACGTGGACTCTCCAGATGTAACATTTGGAGCTGTCGTGTCGGGCCGTCAAGCTCCGGTACCAGGAATCGAGGAAGTAGCAGGCCCTACCATCGCCACTGTACCACTCCGAATACTGGTCCGCGGAACCGTCGATGAACTGTTGCATCAGGTACAAGAACAGGCGATGGAGATGATTCCGTTCGAGCAGTACGGCTTGCAGCACGTTCGTCAAATCAGCCAGGAGGCCCAATATGCGTGTGACTTCCAGTCACTTTTGTTGGTGCATCCATCAGTCGAAGAAAGCACAGTTGAGAGTCTACTCCTTGAAGACGGTCTAAATGACCAAGAAACGGGTTCTGGCTCAGAAAATACATACGCCATGATGCTTACCTGCCGAACATCGGAGTCAAAGTTAGACATGCAGCTGAGCTTCGACTCGATCGTTGTTCAAGAAGAAGCTGCGGTACGCCTCCTTCAGCAGCTGGAGCATATATTGGGTCAAGTCGCCTCTGTGGATGGCTCGACAAACGTAGGAGATCTCAGCAGAGTCAGCGAGCGTGACCTACATGACGTATGGAAATGGAACGCAGCAGTGCCGGAGAGCGTTCAGGACTGTGTCCACAACGTGTTTGCCCAGAGGGTTGCGGAAACCCCCGAAGCACCCGCTGTGTGCGCATGGGATGGCGAGCTGACATACGTCCAACTTGATCGGTTTTCCACATTGCTGGCGGGCCGCCTCGTCTGCTTAGGGCTCGGAGTTGGATCTGACACCGTCGTGCCACTGTGTTTTGAAAAGTCAGTATGGGTGCCGGTCGCAATATTGGCAGTCATGAAAGCCGGTGCTGCATCGGTTGCTTTGGATACAACATTGCCTCGCTCCCGGTTGGAGAGTATTGTAAGCCAAATATCAGCCAAGGTGATACTGGCCTCGACGTCTTGCGCAAAGCTCGCGGCCGATATCACCGATGCCCCAACGATGGAAGTGGGAGGTGATTTGGAATATTTCGAGCAACAATTTCAACAGATTCCCATTGCGAGAATGCCGAAAATCAGCCCATCCGCGGCCCTTTATATCGTCTTCACCTCAGGAAGTACAGGTGCTCCGAAGGGGGCGATCGTCACACATGCCAATTTCTGCAGCGCCATCCGACACCACCAAACAGAGCTCGGCTTCGAAAGGTCGTCGAGAGTTTTCGATTATACATCGTACGCCTTCGATGTCGCATGGTCAAATGTACTGCACACACTAACCGCAGGTGCATGTCTCTGCATTCCATCGGAGGACGAACGTACCGCCGACATAAATGGCTCCATCAACCGGCTGCAGGCAAATTTCATCCATCTCACACCAACCGTCGGAAGATTGCTCGATCCTACAGCCTTGAACGCCCTCAAGAAAGTTTTGTTCATTGGTGAGGCGCTCAAGGCTAGTGATGTCGCCAGATGGGAGGCTTCCGGTGCCGAGATCTACAATACATATGGACCTGCTGAATGCACTGTCACGAGCACAGTTGAGAGAGTCCGAAAGGGGGAGCCTGATACCAGAGTCGGTGATCCCGGTATCGGCAAAGGTACTGGCGCGCTAGTATGGGTAGTACAACCTCGTGCGCCTGACAGGTTGGCTGCCATCGGGACCATAGGAGAGCTGTGGCTAGAGGGGCCGATTGTGGGTGCAGGCTATCTGAATAATCCCGAGAAGACAGCCAGCGTATTTACTGAGGACCCCAAATGGCTATTGGAGGGAATTCCGGGTCGAGTTCCCGGTCGCCGTGGGCGGCTGTACAGGACGGGTGATCTGGTCTACTACAACCCAGACGGCTCTCTTGGGTTCGTTGGGCGAAACGATACTCAGGTCAAGATCAACGGCCAAAGAATGGAGTTGGGAGAGGTCGAATACCACGTTCGTCAACTACTTCCGACCAAGGCGGTGCCACAGATCGTGGTAGACGTGATCACCCCGGACGCTACTCAGAGCCAGACTCTGGCGGTGTTCTTGGTCATGCCTGATGACGACAACCCAAGAGTCGAGCTGAACAACGTAACCGCCTCGATGATAGAAAACCTTCGAAAGGAGCTGTCGAAACTGCTCCCTTCGTACATGGTTCCCGGCGCATACATCCCTATTCCCCTTGCAAAGCTGCCCATGACGGCAACGGGGAAGACGGATAGACGAAGGGTTCGCGAACTAGGCAGACCCTACATCCCACCAACGCCTTCATCTTCAGACGCGTCAACTTTTGATGCTGTACTAACTATTACAGAAGAGGTCTTGAGGGACATCTGGGCTAGGCTACTTGATATCAAGCCTGATCTCATTGCCGCAGGTCATAGCTTCTCTGAGGTTGGGGGCGATTCAATCAAGACCATGTCACTGGCTATGGCGATACGCAAGCGGTTCGACCTCAACATTGGAGTACCGCGATTGGTCCGACAGCAAAATAGCTTGCGTGGACTTGCCGCCCTAATTGACGACCTATTGCGCGGCCAGTCTGTTGAGGAGCCGACGCAGCCGACACCAACTGACCTGGAGCGTGAGATAGATTTGCTTGTGAGCAAGATCGACTTTGGCCGTGCCGCTACTGGGTCGACGGTCTTCCTCACTGGATCAACCGGTTTCCTGGGAACTCAGATTCTCCATTACACACTCAGAAAGCGCGCATTCGACAAGGTTGTGCTACTTGTTCGCGACCTCGACGAACAGAAGGGGCTGCACAGGGTGATTAAGACGGCTAAGATCGCTGGGTGGTGGAAACAATCGTTTGCTTCCGCAATTGAAGTCTGGGATGGAGACCTCGCAGCCGAAAGACTGGGGCTGAACGATTCACAATGGAGCGCGTTGTGCGGCCGTCCCAGCGCACACGGCACTATCGATGCGATCATCCACAACGGCGCCAGGGTGCATTGGACCACGAGCTACGATGGTTTGAAAGACGTGAACGTTGGTTCTACGATACAGCTTCTGCAGGCCGCAATGGCCTCTCCTTTTCTGAAGAGCTTTGTCTACGTCTCAGGTGGTCTCATCACGGATAGCCGAACCTGGACGGAGGAAGAAGCAAGGATGGCTAACGGATACGATCAAACGAAATATGTGTCGGAAAGACTGGTGAGCGCTACTGCCACCCAAATCTGCAAGCCAGGCAAGACGTTCTCGGTCGTCAAACCAGGACAGATTATCGGGGACGTATACGCAGGTGTTGCAAATGCCGACGATTTCTTGTGGAGGGTCGTGATGGGTGCGGTCCGGCTTAGAGCCCGCCCAGTCGATTCAGACACATCGTGGCTCTCGGTTTCGGATGTTCGTCACGTCGCAGAGTCCATTCTATGGCATGCGGCAGGAAAGAGCCAGGAGCATTTCGTCCACATCAAGAGGGGAGTTTGGGTTAGTGCCTTCTGGGCTGCCGTCGAGGATCAATTACAACTGCAGCTGCGTCCAGTCTCGTGGGACGAATGGATTGAGCTTGCCAGGCAGGACATGGCGCAGGAGCAAGAACAGCATCCACTATGGCCGGTGCAGCAATTCCTGGGCGCTCTCGGCACTGAGATCGATGTCAACGATCATGAGAGTTACGAATGGGAAATGCGAGAGGTGCTTGCAGCTGCGCGACAGAACATTGAGTACCTTCGAGGCAACGGTTTCCTGGGAACCACCGGTGGAAGGCCGATCAATGGCAAGGTAATAATGAGGACCCGAAATGTACGTATGACGGGTCCAAAAGCTGTCAGCGCCTGATACAGACTCATGTTCGAGGATTATATATTGGCATGGGTAAAAGGCTAGCTGTCAAATACCATAAGTATCCACATCCACACATGAGCAATTGAATGCGGCAGTGAATTTCTGCGCTATACAAACAAAAAAGAGATGAATGGAGCACCTGTATGCCACCGGGGACGCCAAAGATCATTCAACATCTGTTTCTGATGGACGTGCACATCAGTCACGATCAGCAACGTAATTTTGGGTGAAGGTGATGTATTGTGGATGGCCAGCGACCCCCGTGGCATGCCAGGGTATCTACAACTGGAGGAGCGACAGGCAGCATAGCTGGCCTGTGGGTCCGTCAATAGCGTCTTCGTATACTCCGTACACCATTCCCAATAGAGCAAGATGATCATGACATAGATACACCATGGGCATGTATCACAGACACCCCTCAGACAAGTCAAAGTTTCTGTTACGTAAAGGGGCGCAAAGGCATGTGGGACCACGTTACATTGAGTGCCGGCCCAGGCAGGAGTCCAGGTATATGACGGGCAAAGCCGTTCGGGCCGTGCACGGGGGTTGGGGGCCGGGCGGCAACGCTAAGGATATACCGTGGCTTCGTGCGTACAATAGAACATGCAAGTACAATAAGTAAAACAGGCTTAATTTATAATCCCTGCATGTTCCGAAGACGCGGTTCATGAGGCGCAGCTCCTCCCTCTCAAGGACTCTCTGCCCCTCCATCACTCTACCCCTCCAACACTCTGCCACTTCATACCGCGATATTTGGCAACTGTTCCGGCTGGATAACGGCCTCGAATAATAGGCACCACCTTCATTCATCAGGAATATACAAACCTTAAGAATTCACAAAACCATCACCCCAAAATGGCCTCCTCAACTCTCCCTTCGAACGGCCGCCTCGTCAACATCGGCACTCACTCTCTGGCTCTCTACACTCATGGCCCAGAGCCCAGCAGCTCCAAAGATCCCGTCGCACTATTCATCTCAGGTGTAGCAAGCGATGCACTCAACTGGCAAGCCGTGGTGCGGCTGTTGGGTCCCACGCTGCGAAGCTACACTTACGACCGTTCCGGCTTTAACAACTCGGAGTCCTCGCTGCTCACTCCCTCGGCTGAAAACATTGCCGTGGAGCTCTCCCTTCTGATCGAAAAAGCGCCCATCCCGAACCCTCTAATCCTTGTGGGGCACTCCTGGGCCGGCGTGCTCACGCAGGAGTTCATCGCCCTGAAGGGAACTGACCAAATCGCTGGTCTGGTGCTTGTGGATGCCAATCATGAGACAGCGCCACTGGTGATGGACGTGAATGATCCTACTCTGTGGACTGTTGCCGCGGGGGTTGAACCATACTCTGCTTGGGGCCTGGAGGCAGAGCACAAGTTGACGCAGGAGGAGTGGGACGCATTTAGGGCGGCCGAAACAACCGAGAGGTACAAGCTGATTGAGCATAAGGAGGAAGCAGAGAACTACATGCCAAGTTTCGAGACCCTGCGGAAGAAGGAGCTGAGTAAGAAGCAGCCCCTGCTTGCAGACAAACCAGTTTATGTGATTGGGGGCATACGAAGCAGGGATTGGAGTGGATTGTACAACGTGGGCGTCGCTAAAGGGAACGGGTCCCAGGAGCAGAGGAGTTATGTGAGAGAGTTGATCAAGACGGTCGATGCGAAGAATGAGAGTCTCCAGAAGGAATTCTTGAAACTCTCTACGAAGAGCGAGCTTGTCTTCGCCACCGAGAGTGGACATTTTGTCCAGATGACTCAGCCGGAAATTGTTGTTGATGGAGTGAAATGGGTCCTCGATAACCAACCAGCATCTTCTTAGTGGCGAAAACATGTAACATCAACACTTAACACCCACATCTAATGAATGACATGTATATGAACAATGGTGGAACGAAGCTACGTCAGCAACAGACTTGTGAACTCGATCAGATTTTGTGACGGTTAGTCCTTGCATAATTCAGAATTCTAGGAAACACCCGCAACTCTAGATTTCACCAGGCCGTAAAAACATAACGTAGTGAGCGAGGAGAGTTCTGGAGACTGGCCGATAAGGGCACATTAGACAAGATAGAAGACACACTAAGGAGCCATGTGATTACTCAAGCAACATAATATCAATTGGCCGTATCTATTCTCTTTTCCAGTGCATTCATATTCCCTACAATCTTTTGACTCTTGTTCTTCCAAAATTTTCCATCATGTTATGATGCCAGAATTGTTTGCGATACATCCTTGGGACCACGAATTTTCTGGTTCAACCCGAGGCCTTGCCTCTGATCAGATAAGCAAGTTCGAAACCAAAAGTGGAGAACAGTAGAAACCCAGTGATCGATCCATATACAATGACCATGTTGGGATCATAGGCGGCAAACGACACACCGACACCGAAAACCGAACCCAAGGCACTGAAAAAGTTGAAAAGAGCCTGAACGATTGACTTCATACTTGCTGGGGCCCGAGAATAAGCAAGTTCAGTACCGGACACGATCGCAAGGATTTCTGCCCACGCGAGAAATACGTAAGTCGGCGTTTGAAGTCCGACGGAGAGGTCGTTAGGTATGTTTCCAGCAAGGCACTTCAATGGATGGTTGAAACATGGACCAGTTGTGTATATGAGGTGTTGGATCCCTGTGGCATATGCGATCGAAAGCGTGGCACAGAAGAGGCCCACACCAATCTTGTGCTCTGGCGAGAAGTTGATTTTCTTTTTGGCGAGCGTGGGATAAATCCAGCTTTGAAAAAAGGGCAAGAAGACCATGACGGAGATCGGATTCAAATTGTACATGATGTCGTTCGGGAGGCCGTGAGTCTGCATGGTGCCTGCTTGCGCTATAAGGGTACTATCCATGAGATTGATGGAGAGCATCAGAGCTGGGAAAGGAAGGCTGCTTGGCGTAAGTAGCTGTACCTCAGGTGCTGAATTAACGTGAGGAATAACTTACAAGACTAAACAAGCTCGGGCGGCGGTCTTTGCATCAGCTATTATGGCCTCATCTCTACTTGGAGGTGCAGAGCCGTCTTCTTCAGCAGACAATTGTATTGCAACTTCAGTCTGACCTTGCCTGGGATGGGTTGGGTTTCGGCGGCGACGCAATGCGCCAAACGTATCTGCGACGGCGTTTCCAGACGGTGGTATCGTTACTAAGAATTGGTCAGCGGTGGACGCATATTGATTGTCAGACGGCAACGGATCGCTCACCAAATTTCGTATATCCGACTTGGAAGATCGTTGCAGATGCGGCAATCAAGCAAAGGCAAATAAGAAAGGCAAACCCAAAGCCAGCATAGGCATACCTCTCTACGTTAGTTGTTATAATGCCGCACAAACCTCCAACGTTGATCATCCTGTTTGATCTTCTATCAGTCTCCGGCGCGGCAAGCTCGAGAGAAGGCATACCAGTAATTGACGTTCCATATAAACCGAATTGTAAGTTCACGGCTCACCATCGCTGACTTCCCATCCTTCAAAGTAACAATTTCAGGTTCCTCTTCGGGATACTGATCAACTGTTGAGAATCAGCACGCGTGAAGATCATATCATCCAGCTCCCAATGCTTACTCAAGAATACTGTTATGTTGGGTTTCACGGTTCCTGTGCCAGCGCCGACGAGAAACATGCCAACTATGAAGCCGGGGAGGCCGCCGGTGCCGTAAATTCGCTGCGTGAAAGCTGTAGCAGTGACGATACTAAGTCCCAGTACGTAGATTCTGAACCATTAGTCCCCGTCTTAGGCTGAGCTGGATTGCTGCTGAACCTACAGAAATCCGACCTGAATTGTTTTGCGACGGCCGAGCCAGCAGTCCGCCAGCAGTCCCCCCACAAGAGGTGTGCTGTAGCTGTATATGAACCAGATATATACGATTAACACTGCTCTTGCCTGTCCTAGGCCAAGAGCTCCTGGGCGATGGGGGTCGTCCGGTTGAAGCTGGAGGTAATTCTCTGTGGGAGTTATGTTAGACTGATGCCATACGCGAAGGTAGTATACAGGGAAACATACGGAGGGGCTGGCTGAGACCATAGAATGCCGCTCTTTCCAAGAAATACAGGCCTTGGACGAGCCATACTTTGTGCGGGACCTGGCCTCTGACAGTTGGGAGATCTTGTTCGCTCGAGTTCACAGACTCCACAGGTGGGGACTCCGGCTCTTTTTTCTCGGACATGATGTTGTTCGGATGCCAGTATGTCGTCAATGAGCACTCAATCGGCTTGTGTGTGAGAGCACAACGGCAAATACAGCAGTGTTGCAAAGACAGGAGAGCAGAGAGCGAGAATGTACACACTAGTAGGCGGCTCTAGCAAGGAATTTCGTGCAGCACATAAAGGACAGGGGCCCTGACAGCTAGTTCGGCAACTTTTTCTCTCTGAATACATCTAATCAAACCCTTGCGTCACGCAATAATACGTCAGGGCCTCTGAGGCAGAGATGACAAAGAATAAGACGTTCGGAACACGGTAAACACGGAAAAAGAAGGTGCCTCGTGGAAGCCACACGGAGTCTACAGTAGCGCCGTGACGGCTGGCGGAACGGTGCCTCCCGCGTCCGCGTGTGGAATCGTGCTTACAGTTGCCTCTGAAGAGCTTAGCGTTGCCGCTAACCAGGAAGCTTAGCGCTGCCGCTAGACTGCGCAGAGCTTAGCGTTGCCGCCACCCGTACTGCAGAGAACTCAGCGTTGCCGCCAGGGCGTCTCATTTCCGGTGCTCAACCAGGTTCAGCATCCGTGGATGGTTGTGGGGCCGAGAACAGCGCGGTTTTTGCTGAGTCTGTTGCTGATGTAATACGGGCGACGAAAACGCCCGCCATTCTCTGCACCTACCCACCTAGTCATGCATTGTAGATTCCGTAGCTTGTTCAATTTGTAGTCATCGTCTCCTTGCTCGACATAAGGGAAGTGTGGGAGAAAACTACGTCAATTTCGCTTGAATCAAACTCCCCTGCCTGCCTCATCGGTCACTCCTATTGTGATGTGAGCTCAGATGAAAAATAAGCCATGCTCAAGCAATGTATACCTATGGTAGCTTGTGTTAGATCAGTGGTCTTCTGCTCGATCCAGCCTAGTTCCAAGCTACAGTGCCCGCAGGCTGATTCAGGCGTGGCGCTCAACGCAGAATGCCTCCTAGAGGTCGATTGCGGATCAATCTAGCATCGTGTTGCCTCAATACCACTAAATAGCGTTCCAGGTTTACGAATCAGATCAATTCAACTTTCTATCCAGTAGCGATGCATGCCAATTCACTTCAACGCTATCACTACGCCTCTCATTGGCTAGCCCAAGTACGCATGAACACAATCTCCGGCATATCGCGATTTCTGAATTCTTCGTCGACATCAAACACAATATCCTCTCCAGCACCCTCTGCTCCAAATCCAAGCCTCCTGTACACAACCCGCCCCATAGCTGACGCCTCAGTCGTGCACTCTAAATTCCCCCTCCGCTTCGCCTCCTCGAGGCCCCATGCTACCAGCTTTCCCGCAACACCTCTTCGCTGGAAAGCTGGGTCGACGGCACAGATATCGAGTGTAAACATAGCGGGCAAGTCCGATTTCGATTTTTCCCGGGCGAGGGAAACACGGCGTTTCCATAGCGCGCGATACATCTGGCTCGCGAAGCGCCTCTCGGTTGGAGTCAAAGTCTCGAGGCCAGCAGGGCTGTCCGTCGGCAAGTCTCCGTACCCGTCCACGAAGGAGAATTGAGTCCAGATGGCCGCGCCGACGATTTTGAGCCTGAAACCATCTTGGGAATCCCGCAGAGTTGCCTTCAAGATGACGGTATTAGAATGGCCCTCTTTATTCTTGGTTACGGATCGCCAGCGCTCGAGGAGCCTGGACGCGCCTTCTCTTTGGCCTTTAGGAGAGTTCCAGTTCGGATTCATGGCTATCCAGATCGATTCTTTGATTTGGCGACCAAAAGCTTCGCTAAAGCAGTGGTAAATCTGAGTGAAGTCATCGAGACTATCGACTGGTTGGACGAGTACATTGATCGACATTGTGGGTGAATGCTTCTCGGTCCAGAGGAAATGAGTATGAGGGTTGATTGCAGGGGACAAAGGGGTCATTTCAACTTTTAACTCTACTGTTGTGTAGTTTCTATCTTAATCACTACTGGCACTGTAAAAATAACTACAGCGGTCTCTCAAACGCTGCTACCTAGGTATTCAACTGCCGCTAGCCAACTGCCGCTACTGCTACCGCTAGTGCTCCTACAGATAGCAGCTGAAGTTCATCAGCCTCTTCCCGCTTATTCAGGCTGGCGCGCGGCATCGGGGCGGCTAGACGACAAGGGCTTGCCGAGCTTATAGCGGGTCGATAAGAGCGAGGTCCACCTTCCAAACCTAAGCACGGAAGTGTATGGGCCACTCACTTTGACTATCGTCGCAATCCCGAAGGATTCTCCTATTATGGCATAGTTTCGGGGCGAAACGAGGCCCCAGGGACTTGGAAAATGGTACGGTACCAAGGCGTGTGTTGGTCTCTTCGCACGTGGACGCCTTGTCTTTGCCCAGACCTTAAATACTCCGTTTGGTACTCATATACGACACATTACTTCTGGTCTGTTGCTACATATAAAGTCTACGCAAATTCAGTTTCCATCATCATTTACATCTAGAGCCGTCCGCCAACATAACGGAATCGATCGGAATCATGGGAATTTTGCCAACTATGGAATCCAAGGTCGGGGACGAGGTTCAACTTGACGCCAATGAATGGGCCCCGGAGGTCGCAATTTCGGGCGGTTTGGGGATCCTCTTATCTTCCTACCAACGAACACCAATTTCCTTATTCCACGTATGCACCAGTATCTCTGGGCAACTGTGGGATGCCAGCATTGCAGTCGATCAGGATTGCAGTGCGCACGACTTTCTCGAGCGCATTGGAAAATCTTATGAGCAGAGCACCGCATTCCCCGTCGCATCACAAACCTTCTGGTTGCGTACAGACAGCTTCGAGAACTGGACAACTACCAATGAGGGGGCTTCCGATCCACAAAGTTCTGCTATCCCGCGTCAGATCCTCTGCACGGTGAAAGAGTCACAAGCATCGCGTTCGCTGGTCCTGGAGATCAGCGGAGAGGCCTCTTCCGCTAATGCAAGATTTCTCAGTCAAATTGTACACATTACCAGACAATTGGTGGCTGCAACGAGTTGCGGACGGACGCTGCGCGACCTCAACTTGATCTGTGATCTGGACCGACGGGACCTGCAGCGATGGAACCAGCAACCCCCTTCAACCATAGCATCCACAATCAACGAGACGTTCAAACAGAGAGTGCTTGAGAGCCCAGGGTCGCAAGCCGTGGAGTCTTGGGACGGCGGACTTACATACCTGGAGCTTGACACCCTGTCCTCGCGTGTGTGCTCGCTACTGCTTGAGGCGGGAGCGCGTCAAGGAGATTGCATTCCTCTCTGCTTTGAGAAAACGCTCTGGACCGTGGTGGCGATGCTGGGCGTGCTGAAGAGTGGCTGTTCCTTTCTGCTCATGGATGTCTCACACCCCACAAGTCGACTACAGACACTATCTCAAGAATCCAAGGCCACCATTGTCCTCAGCTCTTCTGCTCAGGAAGAGAGAGCAACCAGTCTGGCACCCCGAACCTTTGTTGTGTCCGCTTCCTCATTGTCGGCTCCTGCAGGAAACGAGCAACATGAGATTCAAGTCAATCCCTCCGATGCAGCAGTTGTCATCTTTACGTCGGGGACTACGGGCACTCCTAAAGGGATTCAACTTGAGCATAAATCGGTGTGTTCCACACTAGCATTGGCAAAACTCTTTGGCATAAGCAGGAATACTCGATATTTCCAGTTCTCGTCTTACGCATTCGATGCCGCGTTCGGAGAGACCCTCATGACGTTGATGCACGGCGGTTGCGTCTGCATTCCTTCCGATGCAGATCGTTTGAACAATCTGGCAGAATCAATACGCAACTTCAATGCCAATGCGGTCCTTCTCACGCCTACCGTTGTGCGATTACTATCACCATCAGATGTTCCGTGTCTGACAACACTCATTGCTGGCGGAGAGAAGGTCACACAAGATATCGTGGGGCTGTGGGCAGACAAGCTGGACTTGATCATAGTCTACGGTCCTGCGGAAACTACTATAGCATGCGTCGCGAAGAAAGCCCATCCCGCAAGTGACGACGCCGTTCGGATTGGGTTTCCTGTCAACAGCCGTGCTTGGGTAGCGCGCCTGGATGATCCGAATCAGCTTGCTCCTGTAGGAGCTATCGGAGAGCTGGTGGCGGAAGGGCCGGGAATCGCACGAGGTTACATAAATAACGAGTCGGGAAATGCGGACTCATTCCTCGACTCTCCACCGTGGGCAAAAGACTGGGAGTCGAGCGTGGCCTCAATGGGACGGAGCTATCGAACTGGTGACCTGGTTCGGTACACCGAAGACGGTGAACTTATTTTCATTGGTCGACGTGACCGCCAGGTCAAACTTCGTGGCCAAAGGATTGAGCTCGAGGACATTGAGACTAAATTGAAACAGCATCTTCGACTCCCAGAAGCCAACATACTCCTGGAAGTACTTGATGTACACGGCACTGCCAATTTGGTAGCTTTTCTTCATCACCCCAGTATCAACGACACACCTGGACAGGAAGTTGACGGAGACACCACACAAATGACTGAAGAGATGGAGATGGAGATCGAAGGACTTCGTGCACGAATTTCAGAAGTGCTTCCCGCCTACATGTGGCCCGTCGCATGGATACCCCTAAAAGAAGTTCCCCTGGGTCCCACAGCGAAGCTTGACCGGCGCAAGCTCTTGAGCATAGGGAATAATTTCTACTCCAGATTGCGAACGAGTGATGAAGAAGACAAAGACCTATCGCCCATCGAGTCAGTACTGGCCCGGATGTGGAGACAACTTCTCCCATCTGCTCAGAGCCTCACGCCAGATGCCAATTTCTTCCAACTCGGTGGAGACTCACTCCGATGTATGAAACTGGTGGCGATGGCCAATCAGGAAGGTTTTCATTTGACTACGGAGACGGTGTTCAAAAACCCAGCACTATCCGCCATGACGACCGCCATGCAGGAAGTTCCTGCTGCTGCCGACGACGCGGATGAATCCCACCGAATCATCGCCCCAGCCCCATATTCACTTACACAAGACGATCCTTCTGAGATCTGGTCCTTGCTGGAAGAATACGGCCTTGGTCATGAGGAGGTCGCGGGTATTTTTCCTTGCACAGCTCTCCAAGCTGGGCTGTTTTCGCTATCGCTGGCGCTCCCCACATTATATTCGAGCCAGTTCGTATTCGATTTTTCGGGTGCTGTGGACATCGAACGGTTCAAGGCAGCTTGGGAGAGTGCGACTACTGCGTTCCCAATCCTGAGGACAGCAATCGTACCGTCTTCTTCCAGCCTCATGCAGGTGGTCCTAGGATGTTATGCGGAGTGGAATGAGGTCAGGCAAGATCTTGCCTCATTCCTGGCTGCAGACAAAGCGGTCTCCTTTCAGCCTGGTCAGCCTCTCAGCCGGCATTACCACATCCAAGACCCATCATCCGGCCAGTCTCATTTTGTTTGGACGCTTCACCACGCGGTATTCGATGGTTGGAGCCTGGAGTTGGTGGTCGATCATATCCGCCATATTTATTGCTCCCGCACAGAGATTGTGAAGCCAGCAGGAAGCTTCCAAGAGTTTGTGCAGTTCTGCGAGGGTCTGAACCGAGATGAATGTACTTCATTCTGGAGAGAGCAGCTCAAGAATGCACCAACACCATCATTTCCCAATTTCCCGAAGGCCGGGCATCTGGCAGCAGACAGATCCTGTTTGCGACACACCATGGCAGCCCCAACAGCAGCCACCACAACTACAACGGTTCTGGCCAGAGCATCGTGGGCTCTTCTCCTTTCGGAGTACGAGGGTTTGGACGACGTCACATTCGGAAACTCCCTTCATGGACGCAACTCCCTGCCTCCTAAGCTGCAGGATGTTGTTGGACCCACCATCACAACTTTGCCGATTAGGGTGAGAATTGACCTCACTCAAACCGTTCGCGGCTTCTTGGAAGGCCTCCAAGAGCAGTTCTCGGCCATGATCCCTTATGAACAATTTGGCCTCTCTGAAATCCTGGGCATAGATCAGGATGTCCAAAATGCCGCTTCGTTCCGTACTCTCTTGATTGTTCAAATCGATGATACCAAATCCTTGGAGGAACAAGGTATCAGGCTGAATGAACTCGAGAGATCCCTACACGAATATCCATTGGTACTTACGCTTATGCCTGGGAAGTCTCAGATTGAGATAGTCGCCACATTCGACGGCGATGTCATTTCACCGCCGCAGGTCCAAAGAATACTTGAACAATTCGAGCAAACATTTCACGAACTCAGCACGGTGTCTAGAGACACCAAAGTCGGCGAATTGGACCTCGCAAGTGAGGCAGACAAGTCAAGAATGTTTGAGTGGAACGCTACGCATCATAAGGCTTACGAGGTTTGCGTTCATGAGTTGATCCGAGAGCGAGTAAGACACTTCCGAACTTCGCCGGCAATCTATTCTAGAGAGGGCACCATGGATTACGCGACCTTAGACGGGCTATCTGACGGCTTAGCGGGAGAACTGGTGCGATCAGGTGTGAAGCCAGGCAACACCGTGGGTGTCCTTTTCGAGAAGTCACAGTGGGCTATAGTGAGTATTTTGGCCGTCATTAAAGCAGGCGCCGCCTTCGCGCCACTGTCACCGACGTATCCGCGAGCACGTCTCGAAGGTATTGCCAGCGATGCCGGTATCAAAGTCGTTCTCTGCTCTCCATTACAAGAGGAAGCGTTTCCCAATCCACCCTGGAGGAGTCTTGTCGTTTCTGACGACACAACATACTTTTTCACGCCCGCTGCGCAGATCCACGGCAAGGTTGCGACCCCGGACAGCCTGCTTTATATCCTTTCAACATCAGGAACTACTGGGACTCCCAAAATCTTTGGAGTACAACACAAGAGCTTCGCTACTGGTGCTATGGCTCGTGCGCCTTTGCTTAGACGTGGACCTGACTCTCGCGTGCTCCAATTTGCACCATACGCCTTCGACCCGAGTGTCGAGGATATATTGACGACGCTCATGTTCGGCGGTTGTATCTGTGTACCATCAGACGAGGATATCATGGGTGATATCAGCGCGTTTATGAAAACCGCGCGAGTCAACTTTGCCAACATCACTCCCTCTGTGGCCTATACATTGAAGCAGGACGAATTGCCGGATTTCAAGATACTGCTGCTCTCCGGAGAAGCTCCCGACCAAGCTCTAGTGGACAAATGGGACGGCATCGTACGAGTCATGAATGGATACGGGCCAAGTGAGTGTTCTGTCAAGTGCGCTATGAACTGCAACTTGTCACGCAACGACCCTAGGAACATTGGACACAGTGCTGGAACCAGCCTATGGATTGTGAGGCCCGAGAGCCACAACCGCCTCACTCCTCTTGGGGCAGTGGGGGAACTTGTCATTGAGAGTCCACATCTGGCAACAGGTTATATGAACCGCCCCGAAGCCAATGAGGAGAAATTTATTCTCAGTCCACCGTGGTTGCGAGACTTCCGAGGCGACCACATCACGCGCATGTATAAGACGGGCGATCTTGTCAGATATATGGAAGACGGCAGCATCTTGTACATCGGACGTGGGGATATGCAACTGAAACTACATGGCCAGCGGCTTGAGGGTGAGGAGGTGAGGCAACGCATTCAGGAATCGTTGTTCGACGCGCAGCTTCAAGTGATTGTCGATATCACAAGATTTGAGGGTCAGGATTCCGACGTTCTTGTCGCTTACCTGGCTCAGAAAGGAGAGTACCGGGGAGGTGAAATGGACATCGACCATGCACTACAGCAGCACCTGGCGGATATGAAGGAACATATGATTCGCCAAATCAGCACTTTCCTACCGAAATACATGATACCCTCGGTATTCCTAGCAGTTACGAATATCCCCGTCACAGCGAATGGCAAGGCCGACCGCCGCGCACTCAAAGCTTACACTGCGCGACAGCGCCTTGGGCCTCACCTGCTTCTTTCTGGAGAAAATACAGTTCGGCAACCTATTTCGGAAACAGAAAAGCTGCTGCATAGTTTGTGGCAAAAGCTTCTTGGATTGAACGGCGAGCAATTCGGAACCAATTCCAACTTCTTCGAGCTTGGTGGGAGTTCTCTGGCGGCAATCAAGCTGGCGTCTGCGGCACGAGAACTCGGACACAATCTTTCGGCACAGATAATATTCAAAAATCCGGTCTTGTCTGCCATGGCTAGTCAGATGGCACCTCTGAACGAGACAATAACATCGGGTCCATCCAGGTTCAGCCTACTGGGGAAAATTGATCGCAGTGTCCACCAACTAAGGAAAAGCCTTGTGGCTCACCATATCGAAGAGCAAGACGTTGAGGATGCATATCCCTTAACACGACAACAGCAACGTTACATGGAAGGTGAGATGATCTCGCCAGGAGGTACTACTCACCGGCACATCATGCAACTGCCGGCCAATATGGATTTGGTCAGACTTGAGACTGCTCTGCGGCGTGTTGTGCAGTCGAATGCAATTCTGCGGACTCGAATCATCTCGGTATCGTCACAATTGGTCCAGGTTGTGCTGAAAGAAGACTTTGCTTATCGCCACGTTGAGGCCTTGTCATCTCTCGTCTCCGAGGATCGAATGGTATCGTGGGGTCTTGGGAAACCGCTATCACGATTCAGCATCGTGGATGGTGGGCACTCTCAGGATAGATGGCTCGTCTGGTCAAGCGCCCATGTTGTGTTCGATGGCTGGTGTCGAAAGCTGTTGTTGGAAGAGATCGACTATGCGTATCACCACGACGATAGCCCGCCGAAACGGCCGCAGTACAACAGGTTCATCGAGTACGTCTACGGATTGGAAAAGGACGAAGCCGGCTCCGCGCTTGTTAGGGAACTCGAGGATAAAAGGTTCTGGAGTTACTTCACCTTGGACGGCACAAAGACCCCGGGTATGACTCACGTGTTGTCCCTCAGCATCGACTTCCAGGCAACTCTCCCAGCTGAACTATCCTACCCAACCGCGATGCTCACAGCTTGGGCAATAGTTGCAGCGCACGTCGAAGAACATGACCATTTCCTGTTCAACATTCTGTTGAGCGGTAGAGATGCCGATTTCACGGGAATCGACAAGCTCATGGGGCCTGTGAGCACAACAGCGCCTTTGGCCACCAGCATCAACCGTGACTGGACTTTCCGAAAGAATGTGCAATTCATACAGAAGCGAATCGACGAAGCTAGGAGTGTGCAGCACTTGATCCGACTCGGCGATAAGCTGGATCGGTTGCTAGCGTCTACCCCCGTTGTCGTCGTCCATCCTCCCGATGATTACGAGGAAGCAGCAACCAAGCACCTCGGACTGGTCAGAAGCCGCGTTGAATCGGTCCAGCGGTTGGTAGACACCATGTTCATGAACTTTTGCCTCCGGCCTAGCAATGCCGGGGTAGATCTTATCATGACGATTGACTCCAGCTTTTTCCCGGAAGATAACGCCGTTCGGTACTTCCGCTATCTGGAACAAGTTTTCATGCGTGTCTTTACTCAAGGGGGTCTCGATCTGACCATTGGGGACATGGAATTGGGCTCTAGTACACCTACGAGCCCTGTGTTGATAAACACTGAGATAGTGTGACGGGGAGCCTGAGGTGATTAGAGTAGAGCTATCTAAGTAAAGTAGTAGGTAGTTGTATCAATTAGTCGATTATTACTGCAGGCAAAAAGAAAACCCTGAAACAGCGGAGAGCTGCGTGTGATCGATTCTGTTCAGCAGGACACATCTGCCGTTCTTCTTCTCACCTCATACCGTTCAGTGCAGTATCAAAAAGTGACACCGATGGCGGGGTTGTTGGTGCGGCGTCTATGGAGTTACTCCGACTGATGAACCAGAGGGAGTTTATGCGTTGCATGCGAGTGATAGCAGTGCCTCGCACGGATAATCCGTATCGGACCCCAAATCCTCCCAAATATCTGGGTCTGAATATTGGAGGCACGGAAGCGTGACGCTGATGTATGAACGGTCTGTCCTCACGTGCGGGGCTGCGTTTCGTGAATGCCGATAGGCGTGACACAACATTCACCCCAACCAATCGCTTCGAGTCGAGGAAGGCGTAGCCGCCGCCAAGCCGTACCTGCAGAGCATCAATCGGATGGGGATCGTCCAAACCGTTGTTGAGGACTAATTAAGCGGGTAAGAAGAGCTTGGAATAGGTAGAGTCCTGAAGTGTGGGGTGCTGCTGTCGAATGCGGCCTTCCGCCGGTTACCCGGCCGCCCATTTTTAGTGTTTGGAAGCCCTCGTGCCGTACAGAGTAGTGCTCCTGCTAATGCATAAAGACGCTCTCATCCCCCATGGTTGATACGTCAGAGGATCCGGATCCACTCGAAACTCATTCTTTGCACTTTTCGATCTTCCAGGCTGTAACCCGTTGCTTAACTACTTTTAATTAATTTTACGTGCTGCGCACTACCATCGTCACAACATAAGTTACAAAATATCAAACATAAAAAAGACCTCGACCTCGCACACCAAAACTCCGGTTTCATCGACATCAATCAACACCGACAATATGCACGCCAAACTCTTCCTCACCACCTCTTTTGCGGCTTCAGTCCTCGCCGCGCCCCTTCCGGCCACCCCAATCGAATCACCAGTCGAAGATGTGGAGCCCTTGATGGTCCGAGATGCGAGGCCCAGCGCAGTCATCTCTCCGATCCCGGACAACATGAAGCGCGAAATCCTCGAGCGACTAGATGCCATGGCCCAAATCAAGCGTTGACGATCCCAACCCAATCGACAAGCGTGACCCCGAACCTAACCAAATCTTGGGAGCGGCCGGCACAAATGAGAAGCGTGAGCATATCGAGGGAGCGGCCAACACGAACGACAAACGTGAGCCTGAACCTGTGGGCACTGCAGGAGCAGCCAGCACGAACGAGAAGCGCCAGAAACCGGCCTAGCCTACAGCTACAGGCAAGCGGTCCAAGCGACAGAGCGTGAGTCCGAGGATAAACGTCTACTGAGGTGCAAACGACACACAGTGGAGGCAAGGATAACGTGGTTGAGGTATCTTGAATGCAGCTTCCTGCTTTCTCTGCAATCCTTGTCCTAATCTTTTCGTCTGACAATTATCGTGCTTTCCCTTCCTTTCCTGCTTCGTTTTTGAGCGGTTTATGCCTTCAGAAGAACGGCGGCTTGGAGATAGAGGTTGTGGAGCTTTCGATGAGGCGAGAAGCGTTGTTGAACTGTAGGTTACAATCTATGGATGTGACGACACTCCAAACTGCGAGCTCTTGTTATTGGAATCCACGATGTTAGGCAGCGATGGGCGACAGCCATTCATACCAAAATGTCACCCTATTTAGTCCTCTTGATGGAAGCATCCTCGGTCCTGCGTAAACCTTAGCAGGAACTTGAGTGCGAGAAGACCTTCCCTTGATTGTCGAGCTAACCTTGCAAGAAGTGTACATTCCACGAGACATTGAGAGATGCCCCACCTCGAGATCCGACCTCTTTCTACACCCCGCGCTTATCCTCTTCTGCCGGAACCATGATTCGCTCGATGTCTTATTCCAACCTCCGTGAAAGCACACCCATTACATGCGGCGTAGCGTCTGTTTCATCTGTAGCCGCCAACATGCTGTACAAGGTCTCTGTATGGCCAAACGGTGAACCGCCTCCAACGCCGTTTCGCATCAATTTCCGCCCGGTGTTGGTCATAGCATCACACTTCTTCTCTTGACACAATCCTTTGCGGCGTAGGCAATTTGTGCGCGTACGGCTCATGGTGACTGGAGGCTCGGAGCGGCAAGCCGCTCTCTGGAAATCGGTGAAAGGCGAACAACGAATTTGTTTCATTTTTGGAGCTCGTCTTTTTTTATAGCTACGTTTACAACGGCGATCGCTCTGTGGCTGCCATATTAAGCCTTGGAGTCATATTTCTCTCAGAGGAGCCTGGCAACTCATCTCCTTTCTGTACACACCCTCACGGCACGATCAAGCAAGTACTATCGATTCGGACGTCAGCACAGGTCGGCGCCGGTACTCTGCTAGACGATGTATACATCTCCCCGCTCTCCATTCGGGTCTCAGAACCCCAAGGTCCCGATATATCTCGACACTCGCGACGAACATGGACCTCAACCGCTCGGCCAAATATCTGAGCATACCTGTCCTACCGGCGAAACTAGCTCGAGAGAACAGCCTATTCACTGTATCACCAAATCATTGCCTGCAGTTCCACTCTCCCGTCGCGATGTCTCGCTAGCTACTCCTTCCTACCGCTCGGTTGTTCCGTCTCCTCTTCCCTCGAGGAACTTGCCAATTCCCGGTCTTAGTCTGCAAACATCACGCCTTGGATCGCGGCCTCAGCGTCCTCGTCCTGTCCTTCGATATGATGAAGAAGGGAGGCCACGCTTGCGATTTCGTCGGTCAACTCTTTCTCCAGTTTCACCAAGCACAACCATAAGCGACGTTGATTTCGATCGGAAGAGTCGTACCAGCGGCGCTTCGATTCCTAATACACCAGAGGATGACACCAATTACATTAGAAAGAGCAAAGTGGGGCTTGGCATTCCAGACGCACCCTTCCACCCCGATCCCAGTCCGATACGGTCCCCAGAGAGTGAGAAACTCGCCAAGGCAGAGAAGGGCGCTTTTACAAAAGCATCACCCAGCATTGCTGAGCGTATCGAGCAGAAACTTTGGAAATACAGCGCTTCTGGCAACATTGCAAAACGCTGGCTTTTAGAAATTATTAGCTGGTTGCTAAGCGCATCGTGCATGGCGGCTATTATCATCGTACTTTTCGTTCTTAAAAACAAGCCGGTACCGAACTGGCCTTTGGGCTTGACACTAAACGCCTACATTACGGTTCTCTCTAGGGTTGCCTGTGCCGCCCTTCTCCTCCCAGCTTCGGAGGCTCTTGGTCAGTTAAAATGGAGCTGGTTTCAGGGTGATTCAAAGAAGATGTGGGATTTCGAAATTTTCGACAACGCGTCTCGAGGCCCCTGGGGATCATTCTTGCTTCTCGTCCGCACAAAAGGCAAGAGTCTAGCTGCGATTGGTGCAGCCGTTACAATCTTTGCGATGGCGCTTGATCCGTTCTTCCAGCAAGTCGTCCACTACGGAAAGCGCTGGGAGCTCCAAAAATTGCCCAGCTCCATTCCGAGGGTTACACGCTATGATCCTTTCTTAGCCCGAGAGATGAGATTTCAGGATAACGCAACGGTCATAAACCCCGATCAGGATATGAAAGCAATCGCCGACAAATTCTTCTTTGGTTACGGAGTTCCAGAAATACCATTTGGCAATGGAACACGTGCTGAGATACCGCTATCCTGCCCATCCAGCAACTGTACATGGGAACCCTACGAGACGCTTGGCGTCTGCAGCAAATGTGAGGATGTAGCCGATATGCTAGAGTTCGGTTGCCTTTCCACGCGGCTGGACTGGATCCGAAGCGCCAATTCGTATGACCCCTACGAAAATGGGACCATGTGCGGGTGGTTCTTCAATGCAACCGGCGACAAACCGGTGCTCATGTCAGGTTACCAAGTAGATCCCGACACGAACCAATCTTCTGGCGAAATCCTTACGACGCGTGCTCTGCCACTCATTACCAACATCAAGAGAACACCCTTGTTCGGCGGCTCTATCAACTTCAAGGACGTCCGAAACCCGATCGCAAATTTTGTGGTAGTTACGCCTCCGGTTGGACCGGACACTAAAAGCATGCTGGACAGTATCTTCAAACACGAGAAGCCAAAAGCGACCGAGTGCATGCTGTCATGGTGCGTCAAGACAATCCAGTCCTCGTACCATCTGGGCACATACAACGAATCCGTCATACGCCGCTTCATCAACACGACCGCGGGCCCGTCCCCATGGGTCGAAGTCCCAGCCAAGCGACAAGACATTCCGGGCGCCACAGAGGAATTGTATGTGCAAAATATCACCGTCGATCCGCGCGCTGTCGACGGTCGTGGCAATACATCGGGATATGGAGCTTCGAACGACACGGCCTTCAACATCATCAATATTTTTGATGATTATCTGCCTGCAATGGCGACAACTGTCAACAACCAGACTGAGATATTTGTGAAGTACAAGACTTATGAGACAGATCCTTTTCTACGAGAATACTCCGCACAACCATTTTCGGCATCAAGGGACGTGGGAAATCACATAGAACGGCTGGCAACAACCATGACAAATCTGATGCGCACGTCGAGCAAGGAGAACGCTACGGGCCAAGCTTTCAGCGAAGAAACTTTTGTCCAAGTCCGTTGGGGCTGGCTGTCTCTGCCTGTCGGCCTACTCCTACTGACATTTATCTTTCTTCTGGCCACTGTTATACGGTCATGGTTGGAAAAGGACCAGGTGGGGATTTGGAAAACTTCAGCCGTCGCAATACTGCTTTACGGCCTACCCGATGAAATACAGAAGAATATCATGGCCTCCCAGGGAGATGGTAGCCACGGTACACCACGATTCAAAGCAAAGCAGCTGAAAGTCAAGATGCTACCCAAGCAAGGCTGGCGAGTTTCAGGGAACACAGCTACGCCAAAGCCAAAATTCGAACCCCCTCCTGGCTGGATATGACCGATCACGAAACAGAAGAACCTTACCAAGTATATGCGTATCGTGCGCATCGCTACAATGTAATCAACGAACTATTTCGATACTGTTACCGTCACTACGATGAATGTCGTGCCTGCGATAATTGTGCTTTGCAGTGAAAGATTCCTTCTGCAGCTCACAATTCTACCCCGAGCTTATACCGAAGCACACGTGGACTTCCAAGGCTAGTCATGGTTTTCTCTGTGCCGATTTCGAGGTCGCTTCGCCAGATGCACCCGTGTACACCTCGTCATGCTGCGCACTCCACCCGACTGAGATTAACCCTGCGTTCACTCACAGCATCGGCAAAATCTAAATGTTCCACTAGTTGTACGGTCCTGCCGTTTCCGTTCTACCAGGAGCCAACTTGGCACAAACTTTCCGATGTGCACATGGGTGCTATGTCAAGACACAAAAATTACCGCGATATTGTAGAGAACCTAGTTGTCGATTGTAGGGCCGCGAGTACCTAGGTAACCTACTGTGAGTTGCCGTTTTACAATCTAAATATTAACGGAAGAAAGGCAGGAGGGTTCCCGGTTCTAGCTTAGCTATAAACTTAGTATAACTATACAAGAAGTGTATTTCTCGCGACCATGGTAACACTCACAGGAGGCATTAGAACGACTAGGCATCTACTTCATTGTCACCTTCACCATAGCTCTGTGCAGCCTCTTTCTCGTTGCGCTCGTAGCATAAACAGAATGCGCAACTCTTATCTCTTAACAAGCCTCGACTATAGGATAAAGACTATTCGGATACCTAGGTATAGAACCTAGCTTCACACCGAGAAGAGATATGCTAATCGGATAGAATAAGATGAGATAGGGAGCATTTCTAAGACGATCAAGCAGAGAGTTGAGGAAGAGATGAGATATGGGTTAGGAAACTACCTGAGTAAATTGAGCAAGAGGGAAGGAGTTAAGTTATAGAAGACATAAAGGGCAAGATCGCAATTCATCCGGTTCTATGAAGGCCTTCTAAAATCTATATGCTCGCCGGCCAGGATTAAGAAGGGTACAAACACCGGAATCTTGCAATCTAGACAGAAAATCCCCATATAGTTGCCATCTAGCGGCCTTCGCGCTGTCTTCCATTGTCTAATTGAAACACCATCGCGTATCCCGACCTCTAGAGTTCCTAATGGCAAATCTTGTAGGTTAATGGGCCCACTACCAGGGATAGAGGTGTTTAACAGCAAAGACATCGAGGTTGCTCACTCGGTAATTTAAGTTGATGATCTCCGAGTTATCTTGCGTGACCTGGCCTGGGGGTTGGAAACCTGGCCAACGTCCCTTCCACATCGTTAACGGATGGTTCTGGACGTTTCCCTCTTGCCGGGACGCATCGAAGCCGTGACCGGAGGCGTAGTGCATGATAGAGGCCACATCGTAGAATGGACCCTCTGCTACGTGCCACACGTAGTCCTGGCCGTGGTACGTCGACTTTCTGCTCTCTTTGGAGAAGTTGGGAGGGCCCGCGAAGTTGTACTTCCAACCAAGCGTCTCCGATGTGCACACTTCGTCCATGGTATGCTGACCTTGTTGTTCGACCAGCTGGCGAGCTTGATTATAACCGACCAGGTTGCTACACTCGAAGTGAACGTAGTGATCCCCTATTCTCGTCGTTAGCTACGCTGACTGTTGAGAACTATTACGGAATGCTCGCTTTGCCGGGGCGACTTTGCGTCGGCTCCGCAACGTTAGGGAGTACGGGAGGCAGTAACTTACGGTCCGATCGCTGGTGCTCATGCAAAAGTCCCCACACATGACCTAGTTCATGCGCTAGGAGTGGCACCGAGAAACCGGAGCCACCTGCGCTCGGGTGAATGTTCACTTTGTGCCGCCCGGCTGCGTTATTCAGGGCAGGAAGGGTATACCCAAGGGTTGATTGAGCAAAGACCCCAACATCTTCACCGATAATTACAATCGTTTCAGTCGGCAGATTCGCGCCATGGTTCCAGTTTGCTGGGGTTGAACCACCGGCTAGGTCTTTGTAACAGTACTTCCACTCAACTGCGGGGTTCCAGTTAAACTCTTGGAAGATGAGCCGATGACCGCGTGAGTGGCCCGGATTCTTGATCCCAGTTTTCCAGACATTCCATGCTTGATCGATCTGCACGAATGAGGTCCAGGTTAGTTGAGGTTCTGAAGTAGAGGGAGCGGAAGGAAGTCTAACGGACAGTACTGGCACAAGCCACTCGCGAAGGCATCCAACACGCAAAGGCAAGGCTGGGGGATCCGAGTAAGTATCCCGCGACGAACGTACCAAGATTTTAAAGTTTTGCCGATCATCCGGTGTGGCAAAGCAGTACTTGATGCGGACAATCCCGTCGGAATCGCGTGGCCAGGGCTGGATCGGATTCTGAAAGTGGGAGGCCGCCTCCGTCCAACCTAGACCATTTTCCAGCATGGCCTCTTGAATGAGGGCAGCAGTGTCGTTGCCGGCGAAGCGGAAGTTATTGAACGGTGGAGGGCACGCACGTGCTGCCGCCGCGAGGACGGTAAGGAGGAGGAGGAGGAGGAGACGCATGTCGACGGTTGCGCGCACCTGTGGGGTGTCCGGTTGAGCAGATGGTAGATGGCGACATAAGAGCCCCGCGGCAAAGTAGAAGCCCAGCGAGGCAATGCTGAGTGAAAGAGATATGCGCGCCGATTAGATATGGCCTACTCATGACCTGATTAGCGGGCGGAAGAGCACGGGACAACGCGGTAGAAGGCCGCCGAAGTGAGGGAATCCAGTTTTCTAGCGGCTGCAGGTTGACATTATCCTCCTATAAACAGCACAGTTTTCACTCGGAGTCTTCAGAGTCGTCATCATCCTCCCGGTTCTCCTGGTCAACCTCAATCCCCATACGCTCTAACAGGGCGCCCTTCACCGATGTCGAAATCTTTACAACCCAGAACTTTTTTCCATTCGGCAGAAAGAGCTCGCCCCTCCTGCCGAAGCAGAAGTTGGCAAGCCCACCAGGGATGATCACTTTGCCCAGGAGTACGCCGCCCGGATTCCACACGCTGAGTCCATCGGCACATGCGACATAAACATTTCCTGCCATGTCGCACTTCAGGCCATCGGGTACACCTACGTCGGCCATGGCAAAGACTCGGCGATTGGTGAGCCATTTAGATTGGCGGCGCTCTTCAATATCGTACGCGTAACTGAGAATGTAATTAAGCGCTGTATCATGGGCTACGCTTGGCCATGTATACTTACATGGTTGCTGGCTTGGTGAAGTCTATCTTCCCATCTCCGTGTATGAAGTCCGTGTCCGATATGTAGCATATCTTTTCGTACGGCGAAAAGCAGATTCCACTTGGGCGGCCAAATCCGTCAGCCATGACTCTCACGTCTCCCGTCTTAGGATCGAATCTGTAGACCTGGTTCGGAAGCTGGGGAGGAGGGCGTATACCCTGTTCATGTCCATAAACCGGATCCGTGAACCAGATCGAACCATCTCTCGCCACTACCAGGTCCTTGATGGAGTTGAATGGGCGACCATAGTAGTTGTTGAGCAGAGTTCTGGTCCTAAATGGAAAGTCACCCTCCATATGAACAAGACCTCCGGAATTCTTGAGGTCGCCCTGAGCGCAGAAAAGGATCCCATCCTCGTGATTTATACCTCCGCTTGCCATCTGCACTTCGGTATGTACTTCGTGTCGTGCCCAGGAGCCGTCGGGCTTGCGTGATAATTTGCTGATGATGACTGCTTTCGAGTCTGTTCCTTCTCTCCAGGCCGGTACAAACTGATTACTGGCGACGAAAACGAAGTCGTTCTGCGGAAAGTAGACTGGGGCACGATGCGCGAAAGGGAACTGCTCCTGGTAGACCATCTTAAGGTCGGGATTGTCTCCCAGGATCTTATTAAAATCATTGTTGAACACTAGGAAGGTAGGCGTGTCCAGTGGGAATGGGTAGCGCGTCGTTGACACTAGTCTTTGATTGAGAGGCACGTTGATTCGCTTTGGGAACATTAGTCATAAGACGCAAAGAAGGCGAGGGATGCTGGCCTTAGTACTGTTTCCCGTCGCGGCAGGGGGTGTAGTTAGAGGAGCTTGAGGTGTCTGGAGCAGTTGAGGAGTTTGCATAAGTGGGGAATTATGCATATGTGATGCTGGTGTTTGCTGGAGCCGGGGCGTCTGAGATATCTTTGGGCTCCCTGGAGGAGTAGAAGAAGGGATATTTTTAGGCTCTTCGTCGCTTTTAGCTCGCGGCAGCAGGAGGCGCTCATTGAGCCTGTCGTTGATGGGGTGGTTGTGCTCGTTGTTGATAAGTTGGACGTTCCAGCCACCACCAGGATTCCGAATCATCTTTGCGCGCCAGGGGCAACCTGTCATGCGCGTGGTGGACTTTCTGATCCCCTTGGATTCCTTGACATATTTCTTCGATCTAGCGCACTGCAGCACCACCTTTTGGACCGTCTTATCTGGCCCGCTGCTGGTTTGTTTGCCGCGCGAGATGCCGATGCCGTAGCCACACTGTCCAAGATGGACCCTTATTTGCTGAAGGCCATCGTGATAATCATCGGCGGAGACGAAATCCGGAAGAGGCCTGGATGTAGGCATGGCGGTGTTGGGGCGGGTGACGAATAGTGGGGTGTACGAATATGTCGCGCTTGGGTGCGTATAGCGTCGGACTTTTGTCGGCCCGACGCTAGACGGCGTCCTTAATCTCTACTTGCAACGCTTTCCTATCCACCCGCCATCACAGCCTCAGCGAACTGTCCACCTTGGACACATTGATGCGGCTTGTTCAGCATTAGTTTACATCGCTATGCGGCTCACCTTTCGCAGTGATTGCGGAAAACCCTTGGGCTCGGACATATCCTGATATTGTCTTAATTCATTGCTGGAGCCTCCGGTGCCTGCGGTGTCTTCACGTGGCGTAGAATAGAGCAGTAAGGAACTGAGTCGCTCGCTATATGCCGCTCGTATGCAACTCGGGAGCCAGTTGTACTGTGGTAGGATGCGGAGAGACGCTTTTGCGTTCTCTTGGCATGACGCGTGCATCTCCAGTTTATGCCCTCGTCATCCATTTTAAGACTTGTCTAGTCACGGTAAGCATGCGGATATGCCTTCACCTGCACGTCACTTTTGTACTTATTTCCTATTCCTCGGTGCTCTCGGGCGCCGGCTTCCCTACTCCTTCCACCGCTGATCTCATTCTTGTGCGTACATAAATATGACTTGTTCAAGGGCTCTTCTACGTTCTGCCAGTTCTCCTCGTCTGCTACAGACTTGCACGAAAAGTTTCCGCCCAAATTCTTCAGCTTGCTTTGCTGGTCCCCGTTCCAGACCGTTTTCGATTGCTCCATCTCTCAAAATGCCTGAGCACCTTACCCACGACGAGATCAATTCGCAAACAGATCCCTCGGTCGCGAAGCAGTATGACTCCAGCACCCCTAAGGAGCAGCAGATCAAGGACTTCTTCAACATGGTCGATGGCAAGAAGATTGCAATGTTAAACACGTACAGGAACGGAGTTGGTCAGTTCCGCATTGCCCTACCCTGCAATATTTCCTTCAGCATGAAGGTCCCTATAAAATGGGAATAAGTATGTTGCTTGAGCTCAATCTAACAAATCCAGGCCCTGTTGGCAGATCCATGGCCGTAGCGAAGCGATCTGGACCAGACATCCTCTTGCTCGCCAACCAGCACTCGCAGAAATTCCAAGATCTCTCCCAAAACAAGGAGGTCCAAATCACCTTCCAAGACAGCAAGACGCAGGACTGGATCTCTATCTCCGGAACCGCGACGACCGTCTCGAACTCCGACCCGCGCATTAAAGAGCTTTGGTCAAGGGGCATCAAAGCCTGGTTTGGTGATCTCGGTGACGGCAAGCACGATGGCGGGCCTGATGATCCCCGAATGGCGCTCATTGAAGTCAAGGCGAAGTATGCCACGTATTATCTGACGCAATCGGGTACGCTGGGGTTCATCAAGGAGGTTGGCACTGCAGCTGTGACTGGAAAAGTTGCTGAGACGGGGGTATTGAGGGAGCTTCATGAAGCGGATCTTGAGCAGGCCAGAAAGATGGAGTGAGTTTCTGCTCGAGCATTTTTTATTGCGATGATAACATTGGAACTTTGGTATAGTTTGCCTCTATCGAAGCTTTGAAGTGCTTTCCCACTCTACATGGTAGAAAAAACCTTCGATGTAGCTACGCTAAATCATAGTCAATTGAACAACACTAGACATCCTCTGCGCGATTTAAGAGGGCGTTAACACGATATCACGTGCGCGCCTATTCAGGCAAAATCGACTACGGCACTAACGGCGGTATTGTCCTTCCGTCAATTTACATTGATGAAGTCTCGCACTTCTAATTGCTTTTACGGTACCAAATGTGACCATGGCGTGCAACAGTGGGCTTTTTGACGAGTTTATTGCTCCTACTTCCAATTTATATGAGCTAGCGTGTATTCTCCGTACCGTTTCCTTCTTTGATCGATCGAACGTATGGGAATCCGTTCGAGACATCCATTTAAGCCGCTATTGCCCTAACTTCTAAGCTCTGGGTCCTTTAATCATTGTTCGCACTAGAAAACGAAGCGCAGATACATTTTCAGACAGCGGACGCTATTCGTCCTGGTCTTCCCCTACACTGCTACCCTACCCCTTATCCTAGGATAGGCTAAATTTGCCACCATTTCGATCATGCAGTTAATGTCCGTTCTCTTCGTCCTTCTACAGACCGCCCTTGCTCTACCGAACGTGCCGCGCATACCACCACTACCACCCAGCCAACTCTACATCGCAGACACAGGCGTAGGCCACCGCAGCACCCCCGTAACCCGCTGGCGGACATCTCTGCGTCGCCTTGACACCGATGGCACCAATGCCGCCAAACTCCGAGAATTCGGTCCCACAGGATCCCCAGGCTCGCCACCGGAACCCATCGGCGCGTATGCCATGACGTCCAACCCCTCGACGCAACAGCTGTACATCGCTACCGGTGAAGGCATCATCCGCACCGAACTCGACGGCTCAAATCCCACACCCATCATCAACGAAAGCGCAAGCGCACTCACGATTACCAAATCCGGGACACTGTACTACGGGACTCAGACTACAGGGCTGATCAAGCGCGCGGACCTGGATGGAAAGAACGCGGAAGTCTTCCTCAACGTCTCCCAAGGCATGAACTTTATCGGCAACCCGCCGTCTTATTCATACTCGAACAGCTGGCCATCCGGTCTCGCCGTCGACGAGGAAAGCCAGCTCGTCTACTGGAGCGCAAATCGCGACCTCGAAGCGGGCTCGATCCGGCGGTATCCTCTCCGCCCGGTGCCGTGTCTGCAGAGCCAGTGCGAAGAGCTGCTTGTTGATTGGATAAGTTCGCCGGGCCAATTGCGCATCGTCGACTCGCATCTCTACTGGGCTGAAGAAGGCCGCTGGTACAATTCACCCACGTCTCTCAAGCGCGCTAAATTCCCCACTACGCGAGTCAGCGGGCCTGGGGCAGTACCTGTTCATACTCTGATCCACTCCAATCAGAGCAAAGTCTTCTTCGAGGCAGATATGACGGGGGAGGTGGACACGCTGAAGATTACGAGCTTTGCGGTAGATGAGCGCACGGGACGGTTGTGGATGGTTTTGATGAGCGGGCTGAGGACCATGTTTGGGAAGGTGGTGGAGCTTGTGGGGGGTGCGGATGCGGATGGAGATGGGCTGCTGGGGGTGCTAAATGTAAATGTTACGGAGGTAGGTTTGCCGGTGGGATTGGAGTATGTGCCGTAGCATGTGAGATACTCAAGGCCATGGCCATGGCAATGGTCGCGGGTCAACGAAAAAGTTCTGCTGTTTCTATTGAGCTGAAGGCAGGATGTGTCTTTTGGTGTAGGGGACGCTGGAGTCAGAATGCGGTGCCTAACGGAGCAACGTAAACAAAGGCGCTAACGGGTAAACAGAGGAAAGAAGAGGTAGAGTAAAGAAACCACCTGCAAAGTGGGTGCAATGCTTATGGATTCTATAGCATATTTTAGGGGGCAGAATAGTGTAAGTGAGGAAGAGAAACAGAAAGGGTGACCCCGCGTCATGGACGCGTCGTTAACTCCGCGCTAACTCCGCGCTACGTCCCGCGCGGCGAGATCGCTGCCTCAACTTCACTTTCTCATCGCTCTTTGCAGACAGCAGCTACTCAAGATTCACCACTTTTGAGCCCCCGCCTAGGTTGAGCGGCGGGCGCCCTTCGTGGCTTGCTTCTAGCTCTTCTCTCGTTGAAAACCCACCCCAACCGTACGCCACCCGCCTCTGCCGAACCGCCCGACGAAATTCGACTGCGCGCCTGCCCACAATGCCCCTCGGCTTCGAGCGCATAAACGAGCGCACGCAGCGCCCCAATGCCCTTATAAACTTCATCAAGCCCCTCCCGGGCTCGGCCGCTGAGGTCGCCGAGAACATCCTCAACCGCGTCGCCGCTGTCTGCTACCCGTTCATGAAGTCGCACATGATCCTCGTACAAGCGCTCGAAGAGTTCCCCTACAACACCGAGTTCGTCGGCCGCAACTTTAATGCAGGAGAAGTGATACAACTAGTGCTGAGAGACCGGCATGGGCGGTGGCTGCCGCAACGGATGGTGGAGATGGTCATGGTCCACGAGCTGGCGCATTGCAAGCAGATGAATCACTCCGAGGCCTTTTGGAAGGTGAGGGATGCGTATGCGGTGGAGCTAAGGGTGCTGTGGGCGAAGGGGTATACTGGGGAGGGTTTGTGGGGACGGGGTAGAAACCTGGCGAACGGCGCTGTGCAGCGGGAGAGCGTGGACCCGGGAGATGTGCCAGAGCACCTTTGTGGTGGAACGTATGGCAGGAGGTCTAAGAAGAGACGGCGAGGTGGCAAGACGAAGGAGACACTGTCCTATGCAGAGAGAAAGCAGCGGCGCATTCTGAAGAAATTTGGCGCGGGCGGCCAGGCGCTAGGAGCGGACGACGGCACCAAAGTCAAACTCGAGGGAGGTGTTGCGAAGAAAGGAAAGCCCAAAGTGGCTGGGAGTGCGCGTGGCAGAGAGCTCAGAGCCGCCGCAGCGCTAACACGCTTTGAAACGGTCAAGAAGGAGCCTGAGGTGAAGAAAGAAGAGACGCCATCGGATAGCGAGACTGAGGACGAGGATACTGGCGGAGAGGATGCTGCCATTGACGTCGACGGCACCAAGATGACAGACGACAAGGGTCGCGCTCTGGTCAAGATCTGTGAAGAGGAAGACGACAAGGACGAGGATGCAATGAGGGAGCTTGCGGAGATTGAAGGTTTGGGAGCTCCCAGGACGAAAACGAATAAATCCCTTCAGCCCCCTTCCGGAGCATCTTCGCAGCCCAAGAAACCCGCAGATCCACCGCCAGCGCCCGCAAAGGAAGCAAAGAAACCCGCCCCAAGCGGCTCTGCCCCCTCCCGCTCTTCAGCACACGTCGTACGCCTCGACGAAATATACAAGCGACGCCCCTACTCTCCTCCAGAACCACAAACTGCACCCACCAGAGTCGCCTGCGCCATCTGCTCGCTGATCAACGAACCGGCCTCGATCACATGCATGGCGTGCTCTAACGTGCTGAACCCACTTCTGATGCCGAACCACTGGAAGTGTAGAAGCGCGGCATGCAAAGACAGTAACTACGTCAATTCCAGCGACGCCGGCAGGTGTGGAATCTGTGGGGCTGCAAAGACGGCAGAATGAACAGTGGTACGATAAGAAACGAAGTTAATGCGTACATGGTTACGAAGGCGCAATTGAAGCAAGTCTAGGATGACTGGCGAATGGCTGACTTGCGGACTGGGTGGATTAGTGCTTGATACACCGGGTTTTGTCCTGGCGCAATATACTTCTTCGTGAGTGATTAGCACTTGAGCATAACTGGGTAATAGTCGGAATCGCATCATCCACTGGATCTAACTAGCTTTGTGAGCTTAACTTATGTTTCTTTGCTTGAGTATACGGAGCACTTCGGCAGCTTGAAGGGAGCCTTCAAAGCTCGATTCATCCTTGCGCCACTAATCTCGCAGTGCGACCTAGTGTTACCCTCCCATACCGTCGCCATCTAGCTAATAGTAGTGACTGCTCTCTTTCCGACCGACACTTTTTAATGCGCGGTCTCGCGAATCATACTCCGGTCTTGTCGGTCTTGGATAGTCTTCCTAATTCAGCCTAGCGCCGCCAAGGTTACAGGAGCTTGTGGCAGGTGAACCACAAACGTCAGTGAGCTCTCCGCACACACGAGCACTTCCGAGCTATCCCCATAACACCACCGTTACACACTTCTACGACTGCGATATCCCCATAAACGATTAGTACCCCTTTGTGAACGCCATACGGGCCATTGATGTCAATGGCATCCCGAGTCTTCGCTCCGGCCGTCCGGACAGCTACCCGCAGCGTCCCTCGACTCCATGCGCCCGCACGCGGTTTCCAGACAAGCTCTGTATTGAGGCAGGAGGCGGGTGCTGCGCCGATTAAGAAGCCTATTGGTGCTTTTCGGGGAGGGTGAGTGATGCGCTCACTTACTCTGTGGACTCTAGAGCCCCGGCCTAGAGTTTGCAGCATTCTACCTACGTCGGTCAAGAGGGAAGCTATCAGGGCTGACTGAGTGCTCCGCAGACTCTTCGGTTTCCTTCTCGGTGCGACGACCGCCGGCGCAGGCATGTACTACTACGTCGTCGATGAATACCGCGTCTCGAACGAGCTTCTGCAGGAAGATATCTACGTACGTCTACTAGAACCTTCTTGGCGTTTCGGGTGCTGTCCGGGCATTTCGAGAGACGAGAGGGATTACGGAAAGGAGCTAATCTATGAGTAGGCTCTCCAGGCTGCGGTACAACGGATAGAAGGCTACGTGAAGACGCTCGAGGAGAAGGTCGCGGCGAAGAAATAAGGAGCTGAAAGGAGACACTCTCAGGATGTACTAGCACGATGGAGGAATGCCTGTAATGGTACAAGGGAAAACCAGTCGGACAGGTATGGAGGAGGATGTATATTATGATACCGCGGATCTCAGCTCATCCACTCGGTCGTGGGTCTTGGGCGGGCTAGCAATATACCAAAGCGTCTCTTTTCGGACTCTCCCTACTGACCGTTATAGGCGAAATGTGGCGGCGCAGATAAGTTTAGCTCCAGGCCTTTCCGTCGAACCACGACCGTACCAGTGGCCTCGCGAGTTTGCGTTTCAGCGTTTCCACAACTAGGCTTGGGAGCGACGTCGTCGAGCTATTTCAAAATACCAAAGCGAGACTGGAGGAGCCCGCTATTGTGTTAAAAGGCACGTACCTGTATTGAGCCGCGGACATGACTCTGACTAGTCGCTGACCATGAGCACGGTGGGAAAGCAAATTCCCAAACAATCAGCCTATTTCGATCCGAGCGCGAATGAAGACGAACTATTCGAGAAGCGTAGCGTCCAGCTTTGTGCCGAGTTGCTCTGACATTGATGCGTCCTCCGTTATCCATTCAAGACACGCGGGTCCATTCTTATCCACACGTAGAGGAGATCCCGTAGCCCCCTCCGCTCAGGTTCCACAAATGAGCTCATACCCTCAATCAGTCGACTGTCAGCCTTCCAGGCCTCGCCAAGGCTCCGCTCCGCTCGAAAGGGTTCAGCCACAATTTTGGGTAACAAGGTGGCCAATGGACGGGGATGCGGTGTCAACGATCTCGACACTATCCGGTGGCGATCTGCAAAACTACCGCATAAGAGTATTGCTTGCACGGATGAGTCCATCGCGAGATCATCACCTTTTCTCGTGGTATACCGATATCCAGGCTTGGAGATCCCGACGGGATTGAATACCGGGGAATCGCATAGGAAATCAATGTCGTGGCACATTGCCAACGACAATGACCGCAAATGGGAGCACACTCGGAGTTTACGGAAATGGACTGGCTCTCTACGCCTTGGCATATCACCCTTAGCCAAAAGGGTCATTTCAGTCCCAAAGGAGGTCTCTCAGCTGTGTCATGTGATTTAGCGCCTGGCCGGCTCCCCACGCTATGGGTATGGTTGTTTTAGCATGTAGATCGCTCCGCTCGTCAAAGCACCGCCCTTCAGATTCTTCAACCTCCGGTTCAATCGACTCTCGAGAACCTACTATATTATCCGATAGCTTTCGCGCATGATGCATGACGCTGTGCTCCGCACAGCGACGGCGAAGAGGCGTCTACATGGACTCAAGCTCCTGTCTATCCCGGCTTCCGATGCGAATCAAAGGGACCATTGAATGCCAAGTGAATAGGCGAATATCCTGCGCTCCGAGCAAGCCACCATTCACGACATCTCCTAGAAATAGTAAGTTTTGTGGCGATCTCCCGATAGAGATTTACCGACGGCATGGACACGACAGGACGTGGATGGCGCATGTTTCACAGCATATCCAGTCGCCCGATAGAATGACAGCCAAAGCGATAGCCCTGGTCCATTGATGCGCGATGGCAACGCCTGAACTGCTTATACCATATCATACACACTGACCGTGATCAGGGGCTCAGGAGCAGAGGTCGGATTTCAAACTGAGCTTTGGATGCTCTTCCATTCCAGTTTGTCCGGGTGATCGGCGTGGCTTAACGGCTGTAGCCGGGTAGCCCGCTTTCGCTCGGTCAGGGCAATGCTCTCTTTCGGCGAAACACCCGTCCACTGACTATCAGAGCAGCTCTCACTAGTCGAACTGCCTGCGCATGATCCGGCCAGGGGGTACAAGGGCCCAGGTTCTATTTTAGGTAGATTTTTCTGTGGCTGACGAGCAATATTCCCGCCACAAGGAAAGATCGCCTCGTTGCAGCACTGTGTTTCTTGGTATTAAGCTGGACTGCAAGCGGGACAGATATGGGACATGAGTCCGTATAAGATGTAAGGTTCCAGCCCGGACATGATGCAGCCAGTGTCTCGCGTCATCGATTCCATCGAGAGCTTTTCCTCACTTTACTTGTCACTCGTTTTGCGCTCTTGCTTTAACGCCTCAAGATGTTCCGCAACGGTTTCGTCTCACTGACCCTTCTTTTGTTAGCACTCCTTGCGGTAGCATCACCTCTCGAGCAACGCGAGGCTTCTCCAGGATTGATTGACAATTTGCTCAAAGGCGCTCTCAGCGCTATCCAGCAGCTAATCAAGGATATCCTAAGCGGAACCAAGTCCGGTATAACGGATGAAATTGCCAACAAGCCGGCGATCTGCTTGTCAGCTGTCGACAAATGCTGCGTCTGTAAGTCAACCAGGGCCTCTCCCCAAACTCACGGGATGGAAATGCTGACCAGATGAGGGTGGGATGTATCCGCCGAATTGACGAAACTCTTCAAAGGCGCCGATGGTCAATGCAACGACAACGCTCGCGCCGCCATCCGCTTCGGCTTCCACGATGCAGGCGCGTGGGACAAAAACTCAGCATGGGGAGGCGCGGACGGTTCGCTCATGATGGACTTCGGCGAGCAGGACCGTCGCGAGAACAACGGCCTCCAGAACATCCGGCTCATCCTCCGCGGCGTGCAGTCCAAGTTCAAAGTCGGATACGCCGATCTCGCGCAGTACGCTCATAACCACGCCACCATTACGTGCCCCAAGGGTCCACGCATCCGGACCTTCATCGGTCGCAAAGATGCAGCGAAGGCCGGACCCGAGGGCCTGTTGCCGAGTCCATTTGATGATCCGGATAATTTAATCAAGCTCTTCGAAAACAAAGGTTTCTCCGCACATGACCTCGCCGCCCTCGTTGGGGCTCACGCTGCAGCCAAACAACGTTTCGTCGATCCCTCGAAAGCCGGGTTCCCGCTCGATACCACGCCCGGAGTGTGGGACGTGGAGTTCTACAATGACACGCTACAGGAACCGCCGAACCCGAATATCTTCGTGTTGCCGTCCGACAAGGCGCTATCACAGCATGCCGCAATCAAAGACGAGTGGCTAGCTTTCGTCGGCAACCAGCCTCATTGGAATGAGGATTATGCAAAGGCGTACATTAGGATGAGCCTTTTGGGAGTTACGAATTTAGGAGATTTGAGGGATTGCACGAGGACGCTGCCGAGAAAGAGGAGCTTGTAATGCGAACGAGCTGTTGAGCGTTAGGACTATGCAGAAAAGAGCATCGGGGCAGTTTGAGATACCTGGAGTCAAATGGGTTGGAGCGTTTTTCACATGTCAAGAGTGGACGACACCTGGGTTCTTTTTTACTCTATCCCCACATATCGCTATGGCGAGTGAATGTTTAATTTCTATTGTCTATTGGATTACATACTCCTATTGCATTTGGCATGCGGCTGCTTGCGCGACGGCGGATATCCTTCAATCTCGCGTATACCGTTGAGCAGGCATGACGGCAAATCACGTCCTCAGGCTATAGCTCGTAATGATTTCTTCTGGAGGAGTATCGACAAACGTCTCGTCGACTTGCTGGCTTGGAATGAAAGAATGCTTCACGGATTTGTTCGAACTTTGTCATTTGCTACAAGTGATCATGCTCATGGAGCTTCGCCTTCACCTGATGGACACACGTAAGCCTGGATGGCTTCACAGAGCGAAACAGAACCGAATTGACTTTGAATTTCGGCCGAAATGGCTTCACGACTCCTCCACGAACGGCAACTTCCTCGGCCTCCTAAAATGATCGCTAGGCAGGAACCTCCACGCCCCCCGATGCCTCCATGCAAACACATAATTAATAACATAATCTGCAATCGCCGGCATCGTCGGCCAGTCTCTTCCTTCATACGTCCGATCGCAAAGACCCATCACCATGGGCGGGACCTCGAACTTGCTCTGCTTCATCGCCTCCGCCTCGCACTTGTCATACACGTCCTGCAATTTTTTCGCATGCTCGGAAGCTACGCAGTCCAACGCCCACAGCGTGCCAATTTCGTCCGCGAGATGGGTGCGCAGTGCGTCCCCAAAGATTTCTAGCGTCGCACGGACTCCTTTTCCGTCATAGTCCTCCGGCTTGGTCGTCCTTGCATATGTGTTTAGGCCCTCCAGTCCCTCGAGAAACGCATGATGCTGCTCCACATTCGCCTCCATAACGCCCTTCTTCACGCCCGGCACCTCTTCAAAACCTGGAAACAACATCGTCTCCTCCATGACATGGTGGTGCATGATCCAACCCGACCACGTGGCGACGAAGAACAAGAAGTCAGCGACTGTTTGAGGGGAGGTGGTGGGGATGTTGGGTGCTTGAAGGTAGATAGCGTTCAGGCCTCGGATCATGGCGTTGTGAGCGGAGGCCATTTCGTTGGCGATGTGGTGCGCCGAGTGGTGCGTCTAGAGAAGGGGTTAGTGCTTACTGCGAGAACGTCGGACAACAGCAGGACGTACGACATCTTTTGTGGCAGAAGGCGTTTGAAGAAGTGACCATGGCCCATCGGCCCATTTCGAAGAAGGCGGCATGTTGAGAAGGTATTCAGTTGTTGGGTGCACGGATGTTACGGGTGGATCTCTTGAGGATGATATAGGAAAGCTCGCAGGGCTGTGCCGCGACTGCGCCCCACAACAACCATCTTGTTTCTGATTCGACTAATGCGTATCATTGGCGTCGCTCTAAACTTTTGGCCCCCGCTAGGCGCAAAATACCGCCTTTTTCGACTTGCTGATTAGAACTCCGTCTAGGTAACTGACCGCGCAGCGTTTCCTTTCGTACCAAACGAGAGCCCTCTTTTCTGTCTCGGCATCGGTATTTATTCTTCATCGGATCTTCCTACGGGATAGGGTTTACGCAGCGCCCAATGAAGCGGGTGTCAGGAGAGATTTCGGTGCTCGGTCGCGAAATGGGGCCGATGCGCATTTCTCAAACCGGCCGAAGTAGGTCTCATCACGGGTCCTTTCCGGGCATTGAATGATGGACTATATATTGTACTTAAACAATGGAAATGTGCAATGCAGAAGAATGGCATGAGAAACTAGTGGGCTATTAAGTGCAGACGAGAGAAAACGCGGCTGTCATGACAAGCGGCTCAAGGGTGCAATGACATAATAAAGCTTTCTTCGACTTCTGATCAATTCAATTTTTCGACTCATGGTAGGATCCACGAAATACGCGCTTCCGTGTCACGGACTTCGGCGCTCGTGCGTTTCTGCTCATTTCAAAGAGTCCGATCCCCACAACCTTAAGCCCCATTCTACTCGTCCTTCTAGCCATGGAAAAGGCGGCGGATCTGGTGATTCTTATCCACGAGTTCAATGATCCCCGCCTTCCTCAGTTCAGCAACCTGGCTCTCACAGGCCTTGATTGTGCGATTTGGAAGGTACTTGTCTACGATAATACTGTAAGGGACCCACTGCTTCCATGCCTTCGCTAGAGCCGTCAGCTCATCCCGTGTCCAATGTTGAACTGGAGATGCGGGCTGCTTCTGTGGTGTGGACGAGGTGCCGCCTTCAACCAAAGCCAACAATTCTTCGTCATCCTCCAAGCACTGCTTTGAAACACGGTCTACTGGAGGGTCTCATGAGTCGAGACTTCCTTTTTGCGAAGCTCAGGAAAGACAAGCTGGTCTAGCTTGTGCTCCACGTTGACATTGCGTACCGCGGTTGGATTCAACGGCCATTGATGAAGCATGCTCAGGGGTATATCGTCCTCGCTCAAAGAGCTCACAGAGGCAGCATTTTTGTCATGGTCGGTCACGTCTTTCGCGTTGTCGGTTCCAGAGGCCTGCGGACGCTGTTTGTACACAGAGTTCCAGTATTCTGTATCGTCATCCAAAATGTCCTGTACGGCGTACGGCGGAGTCCCGGGAGTCAGTCCAGTTTGAGCAAGCCCATGCGACGCCTCCTGGATATTTCCAGTAACCCGAGACTGAAAGTGCTGCTGCGGTTGATTGTGGACTCGATCGTTCCGAAAAGGATTCAGAGACGCGCCGTCAGTGACTCCGTTGGGCCAGTCGTTTTGGTTCTGCGGCTTTGCGTGGGTTCGTTCCGAGTCGCCAGCCCCTCGGCCAGATAGAGCTACTAAGCCCAAGGCCGCATTGGACCTATCATCGGTGTACTTCAGGAATTGGTTGAGATCCATCACTCTTTCGCATCCATTCTGTGAGGAAGCTGGTGTATGAGGCTCTGGAACTCCTTTGACCGAGTTTGCAGCTTGTGAGACATCGCCGTGGTCGTTGTGTGTTAACCCGGACGTTGGCTCGTCGCGAAGTTCGGCGGAAACACCATTCCGGCGATATTCGATCGGAATACCATTGATGATGACTTGATCGTCTCCGTCCGCTAAATCAATCGTGAACGTCATGACCGGTCCACCGGGATGGAAATCGTTGTGTTCGCTCATGGTTGCGGATGAGGGGTTGAGGAACGTAATGATGTGGGTATAGTGCTAGATAAACCCGAAGGGAACTCTTATTTAGGTGCGCAGGTAGGGGGCAGTGCACGGCCACATATCTACTCATAGTGAATTCTTGACGATCGTAGTCACCGAATAATGATACAGTTAAATGTGCAGTGAAGTATATCGTTCTTGGCCAAAAAGCACCAGGGAAACCGGGCTACCTAATGTGGGTTAACAATGATTGTGTCAAAAGTGAAAAGAGCTTACTCACTGAATCCAAAAACTTCCATGCTCATTAGTTCTAGTGGGAATACCCTTAGCACGTACGAAGAAAAGAGTTGGGATTTGCCCATGCTTAAGTTTATAGCCATTCATACCATTCATATATTAATTTACGCTATAGTTATTACTCTGATATCTGTGATTTCATTTATTGGGCCGGTACTCCCCTCAGACTGGATTCTCATGGTGGTATCATCGCGTTACCGCCCGCCTTATGCGCTGCCGCCTCGAAAGCGACGTTATGCGAGTCGTTGCCATTCATCTGCATTCAATGTCGTCCTTCTTCGTGGAACGTAGAACCGTACCAAACACGCTCAACGAAGTCGATGGTACGAATCTCTATGATGAACCCAAGAAACCGCAACAAACCAATCAGTTCTCGACAGTTGGCTACTGTGCGTTCTGGAAGAATGTCTCGAACGATGTCCTCGTACGGGATTTTCTGGACCCACGCTTGGACTAGTTTCGTCTCTTCTTCGCTAGTCCACATCTTTCCGGATTTCTTCCGACGGTGAGGTTCCTCGGGGGCTGCAGTGCTTGAGCCATTCTGCCGGTTGAGCCGTGGAATCTCAGGATTGAAGAAGCTGTCAACTTCAGTGGTTTCCAGAGGACCGAAGATAACATTGTCTTGCTTTGATCCTGCAGCTTGCTTGGTACCACTGGTCAACCCATTGTTCAGGTTGGCTGTCCGCAATTCAGGCAGGGCTTGGTAGCCACGAGACTGGGCTTTTTTCCCCCGATAATCTCGAATGTCTTCCACGGACTGCATCCGGGAAAGGCCGCTATGTTGTCCACCTGCCTTGCCATGTTGAGAGGGCGGGAGTACAGGCTCTTCTCCGGATTCAGGCGAGGAATGTTCTCCTGCTGGGAAATGGTGTGCGTCTGCGCGGTCTGTCGCTTGGCAGTGGCTAGGTTCGTTCAGGTTATCTAGACCGTTTCCAGAGACCTGTACGGAGGCATCCACCATTCGATTTTGTTCCGCGGTTGCTGGTTCGAGAGGCCGGAAAACGTACTGGGGACCTCCAACTACACCCCAGATACCGCCTTCCTTGGGGAACTCAACCTTCACTGTGACCCTGCGTGAGCCCATATTCTCGTAGTTGACGTTGAAGTTGAAGTTGTGGATTTGGTTGTTGTGGTTGTTGATAGGCGCTCTGATACAATATACTGAATTATTTATATAATCGGGAGCCTCATGAAGATGTCACAGTGCATCGTCATTGTGAAATGACCATGGAAGCTCCTCGGATGGGGGATGGTACATGTATAAGCTATTTCTTTACAATGTATGGACTTAAAGCACTTCCCCGCCTCGTCGTGGCTGCCAGGAACCGTCCCTATTCACTTATTTTCATTTTGGCTTCATTTGAGTCCTTTTGTACGTAAGCAGAAGCTTTGCTTGCTGATTGTTAGTCAACACTACCTTCGTAGTTTAACGACTCAAACAAGGAAAAATCAATGTCTCAATTAAATCCCCACCTCCGAGGTTAGTGGCCCTTTTGTTCACTTCTGAATTCTTTCGCTAGATGAATAGGCTATGGCTGCAAACGATGGTGTTCCATTCTAAACTTTGGATTCCCCAACTCATCACGTTTCTCCGATATCGAAGTCGGCCTACAATCCGCCCTTCCAGCAGTCCTCTTTGAGTGGAGTAATCCCCCAATCTTTCCACTCCCCAAAAGTAAAATTCCCAGCCAGAACATCGTTCGCCGTCCACGTCCTCTTCTTGTCCCCGTACCCCGCCAGCAGCTTGAGGTACATTTCCGAAGCCATCGGTCTCACTCCAGCACCTTGAGTGTGGAAAATACGCCGGTCTCTCACCGACTTCTCAGTCTTCCCAGGCAGGTTTAACAGCACGGAGATATCCGAATCGGATGTCATAGCAATCCACAGCCGAAGAATCATCTCGTCTTCCTCATCGGTGAAAGTGATCTTTGGTCGACCTCGGGGTACATTTTGTATGAGACCCTTGTCTCGTAGGTGTCTGGTGCGTCTGATGATGATTCCATTTGGTAGTCCTATGTCAGCCGCAATTTGAGCGACCAAGTAGCCTTGTCGACGTCCATCGATAACCTTTTGGTCTAGTTCGTCTGTCCATTGGAAGTCCGGAGGTACTAGTGCTTCCTCTTTGAGCTTTTTGTAGTGCTCGCGGACTGGCTGGGGTCCTCGATTGAGCTCTGATGCGATCTGGTCCCATTTCAAGCCGTCTTCGTCTCGCAATTTGATAAGACGTTGGCCGTCTTCCTTGCTCCACTTCTTGTTCATATGCTGAGGTGCCATCGTTGTTGGCTGGCGTTCGTTGCGGTTCGGTTGCTTGAGAGCGTGGTCTGTTTGCATGAAAAGTTCTCAGCCAGGCGGTTTATATATATTGGCGTGCCCATCGTGGCCGAGCAGTGAAAGAAGTATTGGCGATGGATCCTCTGCCGCTGCACGGATCTCAGGAAGTCGACGTGAATGGTAATCACACTTTCACTTCTAATTGGATGACTCACTCCTTGCTCAGTACCCTCCTTCCAGACCGGATTATCACTAACAACGTCATCTCCACCCCACAGTTATCCGTCAGAACCTTTACCATGATTTTGGGTCGTGTAGCTTTGCTTGGTTCCTGATTTATGACTACTCCGCGATGTCTCGTGCCGGTGTCTTCTCGGGTGCATATCGTGATGAAGGCAGGTCTCGCACACATTCAAGCTTGGTATCTACTAAGCGGAGATTTCCTATCTCTTCATATGATACAGTTGTGTCTCACTTTCGAGAACTTGACCGCGAGAAACCCGGTTGTGGTCCAACTACCCTTGCCATAATCGACGCATGGACAAGCCAGACGACGCATTCGCCAAGTCCATTTCCACCACCTCCTCCAGCATCCACATCCCCCATCCTCCATCCTTTCGTCTCACACCAGAAACGAATTGTAGAAGAAGGAAACATGTAGTGGCGTGAGCGGAGTAGCTTTCCAAAGATGTCAGGGTAAGGGAGAGTGGCCTGGCTAATCGATATCCTCGTTCTCCTCATCGTCTTGGGTATTGACCAGGGCGTTGGTCTCAGCGTGGGCGTCCTCGGGATCGTCAGCCGCGCCATCACCGCCGTTCTCGCGCTCGTTGGGCTCAACCGAGAAAGTGCTCATGCCGTCCTCCTCGTCATCTTCGAGCGGGTAGCTAGCCACGATTTTGACGCCCGGTGCTGTCGCGGTCTCGTCCTCGTAGATCTTGAATGGCGTGCGCTCCGTGTCGAGGTGCACGTGCGGCGCGCCTCTAGCGTTCATATTGGCAGCGATATTGTTGACGCGGTCGCGGGCCCCGTCTTGGTCGCGAAGACGCTGCGTGCGCTCGGCGTGCTCCTCGCTTGGGCTGCTAGGAAGATTGGACATACTGGTGCCTGTGACCGAGTTAGAGACTGAAACTTGAGAGTGCACTGCGATGTGTCTTCGAAGATGAAAATTTTTGCTTTATGGAGATATCTCCACCGGCTGCGTAGCGAGATTACATCAGCGATTCTTGTTGGAGTGAAAGGCATGGAGGCTTTGGTTGGCTGTTGGTGTAGCAAATGCGGTTAGTTCGGTCTCGGGCGGATCCGGAGCTCTACTGTCGCGCGTTTGGGGTTCGCGGCGGTGACAACTAATCGAGCGTGTAGAACTTCTTGCGCGGTTTGCATCGACCTGAAAAGCTATGGTTGAAGATTACCTCTTCCGAAAGAATGGGTGACCGGGAAAACAGAACTATTAACGTCACGTACCTTGATTATCCGCCGGCTACTAGGTCATGTTACGATTTTGTAAGGGAACATGCTGATGTAGTGCAATAATCGCGCTGTACTCTATACTCTAGATCAACTCCATGTTATATCGAGGTCTGTTTTCTGTCATGCTTTTAGTATCGCCTTCAACGGAGTCGTTATGTTAGTCACGGCATCCTCGTTCACTTCGGCCCCGTCTTTCTTCGGTCTTCGTACCCTCTTCGCCGGTCTTCCCAGTCCAAAACATGCATGCTGGTGTATGTCGAAAAGCTATGGAAATGGATGTTAACAAGTCATAGTATCTTATAGAGAGTGATGAAGGGAAGAATGAGATTATTATAATAAAGTTACCAGTCTATGAAGACCGGCAGCTTCGATTAATCTATCCGCAAGCTGGTAATTCCTGCCGAAACCATGTTTACCTCAACTAGGCCGTGTATTCTAGAGTGTCCTGGATGCAATGTAGGAGTTGGGTTTGGGAGCGTGGGAACCGCAGAAGGTCGTACATTCTTTTGAATCGTATCGCGAAGTGAATTCTAGGTCTTTCCAATCAGGCAGCAGCATCCGGACCTCCGTACCCGTCTACTCCGGATCATTCATGTACTGCCTGTAAAGATAATCATCCGCCAGGCCGCCAGCATGCTCCGCTATCGACTCCTTCTGGCTCGCTTCGACTGTGATGCCGTTCAGCTTCTTGGTAAGAAACAACGCGAAGTCCCGCTCGCTGGTTCGTCCCGTATTAAAGAGCTTATCCTCCCACTCGAAGGCAGCCTCTACCTTGGCACGCAAGTCTTGGAACCATGCACTGCGTGTCTTCCAGTCCTGACCCAACAGCTCGCCGAGGAGGTAGCTGCCGACCTTGTCCTTCCGAATCCAGCCACCCATGACGGCGTAAGTGGCCGGAGTCTGAGTGGTGCCGGGAACTAGGATGCCGTTGTACACGATCCAGCACCAGTCGCGGAAGATGTATAGGATTCCGGTGCGGTTGAAGTCAACTTCCCGGTCGCCGACGTACTGGTTGACTTGGTCTGGGAACTTGAAGATTGTGGGCTGGCTCTCGCTCTCTGCTGGCTGACCTTGTTGATTGGAAGCCATTGCGGAGGTCTCGATAGATACGGCTGGATTGTGGTGGTTGTGGTGGTTGCGGTGGTGGTGGAGACTCAGTGGGGAGGTAGGCTTCAGGCAGTCGAGGTCGGTCGAGGCTCGATTTAGTTGAGGGGTCCTAGCGGTTGAAGAGGGCCTAGCGGTCGACGGGGTCCTAGCGGTTGAGCTCGGTCGAGGTCAGAGAGGCCCGGTTGTGTTGAAGAGTTCCTGGGAACTTCGGGTACAGTGCTTTATATACTCGGCAGGACGCATGCGGTGAATTGAACTGTTCTCGGCTACTCTCTACGGTGACCGCTGATTCCAAAGGTGGACGCATCATAACGACATAGGATATATGATTTATGATGCACAATTGTGGTGAAGGATGATATACCGAAGAAGATATTTCCAGCGTGGCGAAAGAAGAAGGCTTTCACCTCTCGAATCCAAGGTCAAGGAGCCAAAAAGGAAGAGAAGATGAAGAACTCTTACTCATCATGGCAACAAATCCAATGGACTGCACCTTCTCTGTCAGGTCTTTCCCATCAAGCCGACTTCCACAACTATTATATACTCGCTTCGTTTGCTGTCGACCCGTTTCCCTCCAAGTCATGCGCTCGTTGCATCTCGTCAGGAGGGAAAACATTCCCGCAAAGAACGCAGCGCTTGATCAATGCAACTGGAAACGTAGACCGAACCTATTCTCGAATAATGCGTCAGCTCTTAAGTTGGTGAGGATACAGCTCGTAATATGTGGCCCCAGGGTAAATTTCCAAACCTCAAAGCCACACCAGAGGCGCAGTAGATAGGCACGGTGGCTGGTGCAGAAAACTTTGTCAACTCGTTCTCATCTAGCAACATTGGCTGCGGTTGCCTGCTCTTCCTTTTCGGAAACGGAGTGTTGGACTCTCAGCCGCATATCCAAGCGCATGGAAGGCATGCACGGTAGAAGGCATAAAGTTCCGAAACGAGACACGCAAAGACTCCAGCCAGGTCTATGTACACATTAGCGCCTAGACGATTGGAAATGGCGCTGCAGTCGCTGAGATCGGAACTGTAAGCAAGCAAGGATTGAAGTAACGTCGCGTAAGGTTCTCCACGCTGAGTCATGACTGCCCAACCAACCCCACCGTTTCATGACTCAGTCCAACCAACGCAGCAGGAGGCTAGAGCGGCTACTCTTTTTCTCTTCGCTGTGCTCAGGCTAGAGAGAGAGCAATCCATGCCCAGGTGCCCATATGTGCGTATCCCATAGATTGGGTCAGACGAGAAAGATCAAGTCACGTGACACTCGCGTCACAAATATCGCGCGTGCTCCCTTGCCCATATCGCGGGTGGATAGATGCCTTCAGAATCCCAAAGGCTGTAAGACATCGGTGCAGTCCAGCTTTTCGCAGCAGCCGTACTCCTCACACTCTCTACCGCGACCCGATAGCCATCAAAGTGCCACAGGCCTCGAGCGTATTCCTACCCACGCAAATTCCAAGAAATTCAACAGCAGCAATTCAGATAGTCTGCGCTGGTCTACTCCCACCCAATCGCTTTCCCCTCGCTTACGCCTGAAAATCTGCCTTGCAGGATCGCACGCACGTTCACAATCCTTCAGCCGCGCCCACGATCCCCTCGCTTATCCGACCCCCACCATTCCCGAAGCGGAAAATACCCGAGCCCCAAACGGGAAACAGGCGTGGTCCGCTGTGTCTACCTCAGAGCGCGAGGAAGGTAAGAGCGCTGGGCATATAAAGGGCTTGGGGCGTGGTTTTCAAGTGGACAGGTTTTGGGTCGTCGGGGGGCCGAAGACTAAAAGCGCGGAGCGGGAGGGGGTTTGCGGAAACTGGCGATGCGGCGGCGTGGTGGATGGGGGAATCTTGCGATACTAGCGATGCTTGTGATGGCAGGTTGAGGACGAGATTGGGAGGTGGTGGCCGCGATGGAAGAGTGGGGAGTGACGGTTCTTTGGGGGCTGCGGGCTGCGGGCGGTCGAGGGGGAGGGCGGAGGAAGAGACAGGCCGCCGGGGGCATTAATCGTGGAGGTATATATGCGGTGGGAAGTCCTTCGCGTGGAATGCAAGAGTTGAGGGCTCGCCGGTGTTCTGGGTTACCTGTTACCTGCGGGATTGATCCCGATACGTCGGTCTATACATAGACGCATCCCTTTTACGATCCTCCCAGGCGGCAGCTGGCGGAGAAGAAAGGCTTATCCCCGCGAACGACACTAGGACTGCTTGCTATATGCGGTAGTGCACGAGTCCATATAGTGGATAATCGAGTCAAAACGAACCCTCGCTTCTCGGGATCCACGATGGCGAATCCAAACCCCAACCCCGACCGAAACCGCCAAAAGCCACAACACAACTACCTTCTCCCCGCCCAATGGCATCCTGTCACCTCGGCACCAGCATCTAGCGGCACTACAAGCACTACCTCTGGCACCTCTTCCAACCCCCGGGCCTCTCAATCCGGTCCCCCGACAAATACTCAGTTCCGTCACTACCAGCCGACACCCCCGCAGCAACAGACCACGACAACGGAACGATACCAGATCACCGCGCCGTTCCAGATACCACGTATGCCGCATTCCTGGCCGTATCCCGCAGCGAGAAGAGAGGGTGGAGAGGGAGGGGTTGGTGCGGCTGAGCAAGGGACTGTGCCGATTGATCCAAGGTTGCTTGGTTCGAGGGAAGGAGCAAGTCCGGGGCCCGCGCCGCCTAGTGGGTGGAAGCGGAGTGGGCCGCAGAGCGGGTGGCCGCCGAGTAGTGGTGGGCAGTAACGAGGAAGGAGGGGCTGGGAGTGTAGCTGAAGCGGGGGAATTGATGGAACGTGGAGAATAGAAGGAGGCTTTTCTGCTCGCGATTCGTCACATTGCATTCCTCATACCTCTCTAAGTAGCGCATTCGAGGATCCATCGCATCAACATAGCACCAATTGATTCCGTATCTGGGATTCGCGCTTGGAGGAATGCCGGTGAGTGGCGTGACCGAGTGGGCGGCGAAGAGAAATCAGGCCTTCGCTTTGCCCTTACCTTTGCCTTTCGTTTCATCGTCGGCATCAGGAGGGAACTGCACACCCATCAAGCCCATCAAGTTCCCCGCCGGCCCCGCCATGCCAACCTGTCCCTTGAAGCTCTTCAGCATATTCTCCGCAAGATTATAGTCTTCGTCTAATAACTCTTCATCGTCACTGCCTTCTTCTGGTAGCTCCTCGAGCCTACTCTTCCCTTTGCCTTTCGTTGACGTGATAGCTTTAGACCCGCTGGCGCGCTCCTTTTGCTTACGATCCGGATCGAGGTTTAGAGCGCCGTGACCAAATAGCTCTGCCTCCATCATTTCGGAAAGTTTCTGGATTTCCTCGTCCTCTTCTCGTTCGGCTTCGTCGGCGTTGGCCAACTCGCGGGCTTCATCGGTGAGAAGCGCCTTCTCCGCGGCCGAGAGGGACATATACTTTTCATAGGCCTTCTCGTATTCCGCGTAGTCCGCTTCCGTTTCCGCTTCCGCATCGTCCTCGTCATCGTCCTCTTCTTGATCTTCTTTGGCCTCGTCGCTGTCCTCAGGGTCCTCCCATCCGCGATTTTCAGCATCAGAGTCATCGTCCACGTCCATGGGATCAAGACCACTGGCCCCATCAATACCGGCATCCTCATCGTCTATGAAAGCATTGAAGCGCTCAACCATCTTCTTCAGATTCTCTTGTGCCGCCTTATCGCCGAATCCCTCATTCCCGCCTTTTCCGGCAAGTTCGCGTTCGAACTCAGAAAAGTCGATGTTCAGCCATCCTTCGTCGTCCTCGCGCTTAGGCCACGCTGCGATTTCGGCATCAGTGGGTAGCACATCGTCGCCCGTTTTAAGATCTTCCAGCAGAAGCTCAATCTCACGCACGGCTTTCTTGTCCGCGTAGATTTTGTGTTGGACAAGCATTTCCATTCCCGCTGCCATCTTGATTCCGAACTCGGCTTTCTCCGCTGGCTTGCCGACTTTCTTGAGATGTTCGAGGGCCGTGCCGAAAACATCCGGAGGATCCCAGTGCTGACCGAGCATTTGCGCGTATAAGACCTTCGTAAACCGTACGCTAACGTCTACAAAGTCTTCCGGCGGGAAAACCAGTGCGCGCTTCGACTTATCTGGCTGCAGGAGACGAAGCGAGATAGGATCACGGAGATAAAACGCTTCTACAAGCGGGGCGATGTAGGAAGGATTGAGGTGTAATATATGTGCGACTTTACGTGGAAGTGGGAGGGTCGCATGATGCTGGTTGTCAGATATAGCGGCAGGATATCCGATCAACCGGTGGAACGCTTCTTTCTCGATCTTTGGGTAGTGCTGTGGTCGCGCAGGCGTATCCTCGATGATGGTAAGCGCTTCGGTTTGCTTCAGCGGGCGTGGGGGTTCTCCCTTCGAGGCCGGTATGACGAGGAGACGACGATTGTTTATCCAGACCCTGTTCTCTGCCACCTCGGGGTTCAGCCATTTTGGCAAGGCATTTGCGGCTTCGATGAGGAGAAATTCGCCATCTGTGTCGTATATCCTGATCCAGGCATCCTTGAACTCCTGGCTCAACTCTCGTAAGAAATACACGATCAGCCACTCGTCGGCGACACTGTCTCCGTAATTTGTAGATCCTTTCAATATCCAGCGTCCCTCTTCGCGGACGAGGTCGAGATGGATAGAGTCCCGCTGCCAGATATATTCTTTTAGAAACTTCTTCTCAAGACTGGTAAGTGCCCGCTGGAAGGCCTGGAGCCGCTCTCTGGTCTGCACATCTGAGAGTGTTGTGTCGATTATGAATATGATGTACTCTACGACGTCTTCCGGGAGTTTCTTTGGGAAGCCTTCGAAGCCTTCGCCGAACCATTTCAAGTTGTCTTGGGGAATATCCATCAAGGGTAAAGTATGCCGTCGGCGACCTAGTCGAAAAGTGCACTTCGATCCGTCTGCTACAAATGGAGCAAAGAGCGTCGTGGCGGACGGGGACGATGAAGATTTGATGCGGCGGCAGGCGGCGACTTCTGCTGTTGATGAGTGGCTGATGTCACTCTTGGCAACCGCATCGCGCTTTCCCATCCTGGGCTAGTGCGGCTGCGATAGCTTGAGCACGGGCGTGGCCCGTGCCCAGACGTAAACAACGCGATCAACAACACGCACTGCGGAGGATACTTTCCTCTCCTTGTCCAGCTGTGCGCGTGCTGCCATTCCTACACTCCTCTCGCTCATGTGTTAGCAGAAGACATATCTACCATGGCGGCTTACCTCGATACACCGCGCGGCACCGACGCGGGCGATATGACGCGCTTGCAAACCGAAATTGACTTCAGCAGAGAGGAGTCCTTTCACCCTCCGGCCGGCCGCGACAATCTCTTCAAGCAGATGAGTGGCGCGCGGACGCCACGAAACCCGCTAGCAGCGTTACGAAATGCCAACGCAAAGAACGAGTTTACACCAATGTTGAAGAGCGCGACTGCGAACAGGACCCGGCAGGTCAATGGGCTGCTGAAGGGCGGTTTGGCGACACCTGCTGCTCTCAAGCCCGGATATGACTTCGTCGGATCGCCCGCACTTCCCGAAGCCAGCACAATGAACGCGATAAGCAGCTCGTTCAGCGAATCTGGTGTCGACGGCCAAACACCAGTACCACAAGCCAGCTCGAGTGCTATGAGCACGCCAATGGCGCTGCCGAGAAGAGGAGAGGGCGAGCTGGATAGTGGGAATGGGAACGTGCTCACACTGAGGGAGCAAGAAGCTGTGAGTTATCAACCGCACGACCAGAGGCAGGGACATCGTGAGGCCATAGTGCTTTGCTTATCCAACGGCTCGTGATAGAAATTCTTGCTGACATGACTGCAGCGTCTCGAGCAGATCGACAAAGAAAACTTCGGCCTCAAGCTCAAGATCCACTTCTTAGAAGAGAACCTGGAGCGCATGGGCCCCGAATTCAACACGAAAGCAGTCGAGGAGAACATAAACCTCAAGTCCGAGAAGGTGCAAATGACGCGCGACCTCCACAAGTACTCCAAGAACCTCAAGAACGCCGAGAAGGAGCTCGAAACATACAGACAACAGCTAAAGGACTATGCGGAGAAGGTCAAGAGGCGGCATGCAGACGAAGGCATGCGGGAGGAGATGGATGAGCTACGGCGACTGGCTGAGGAGCGCGCTGCTGAGCTAGAACGCGTCGAGGAAAGGCTTCAAGAGGCGCGTGGTGCCGAAGACGAGTTAGAGAAGATCAGCGCAGAACTAGAGAAGGCACAAGCTGAGGTCGCAAGCAGGGATGAAGAGCTGGACGCGTACGAGGATAAAATTGAGCGTCTTGGGGAGGAGCTCAAGGCACAGGGATCACAGAACACTGAAATCGAAGAAAAGCAACGTCTGCTGGATGAACAGGCGAAGCAGGTCAAAGCATTGGAGGAACAACTGCACGCCATCACTCAGTCCAAGGCCGCCGATACCGATGAAAAGGCGCGGCAGATTGAGGAACAAGCAGAAAAAATTGAGGACCTGGAGGAGCAGCTGCAATCCCTCACACGTTCGAAGGACGCCGAGATCGATACGTTACAAGACAAGCTTGACTCGGCTGTGGATGCCAAAGATCAGGAGCTTCACGACCTGGAACAGCAGCTGGACGAGGTAGAGAAGGAGCTCAGCGATGCAGAAGAGCAAAAGCGGCACGAGTTGTCCATGCTCGAAGACCGGCTGCGGTCTCTTGAACGCGAGAAGGACCTAGAGATCAAAGGGCTCCAGCGGCAGTTGCAGGCGCTTCAAAGTGAGAAGCAGACGGAGCTCGATGCTCTCCACGAACGACTGCAGCTGGCAGAATCGCAAGGAGACGGTCAGGTCCAGCTGGCACAACAGGCCGCTCGCGATGCTCACCAGAAGGTCATCGACGTCACACGCGAAAAGAACGTAGAGATCGGACTATTGCAGTCCCGGGTCGACGATGCCGAAACCAAAGCGGACGAACTTGACGACTGCCGACAACAGTTGCAGAACGCCATGCAGCAGGTCTCGCGACTACAGCAGGAGACGTCCTCCTACGAACAGCGGGTCCAGCAACTTCAAAAGACGCTCACTCAGAAGGATCATGACCTCGACAGCCTAGAGAAGCTTCGTCGCGAGCGCGATGACGCAACTCAAGAGATCAACGGCCTTCGTTCAACGCTTTCTGGCAAAGACGCCCAAGTTGAAGCTCTGCACAAAGCTACCCGCGAACGCGACGCACTCTCAAGACAACTTTCCGACTTCCGCCGCCAATACGATAATGCCGTCCAGGAAATCGAAAACCAGCGTACCGCCATGTCCAGCAAGGACATGCAAGTGGATGCCTTGCGGAGGGCAAGCCGTGAGCGTGATGCGTTGTCTCGAGAGCTCGGGACACTCCGCCAGGAGTGCGATGACGTGAAGGAAGATGCCAACCGCTTGCGCTCCGCTATGTCGAGTAAGGATACTCAAATCGAGGCGCTCCAGAAAGTCACGCGCGAACGCGACGCGATATCCCGTGATCTATCCAACTTGCAGTCCTCTCTTCAACCTCGCGAACGAGACATGCTGAACCTGCAGAGAAAGGTCGAAAGCCAGGAAGCTGTGCTTGAAAGCCTAAAGCGGCTAAAGTCCGAATTGAGTGACCGTACGCGCGACCTAGAGACTGTCCGACGGACCCTCTCAGAGCGAGACGCGGAACTCGATGCTCTTAGGAGTCATGCCGATGAACCGGATACTCAGCTCGATGTCATGCAAGATCTCGTCCGCCAGCGAGATAATGAGCTTGAAACGCTGCGCGAAGAAATGAACACCCACAAGGGCGAAGTAGAGTCTTTGCAGCGACTGGCTGAGGAGAGGCTCGAGGCATTGGAGGGGCTAAAGGACGAGATGGAGCGCGAGAAGCAGAATATGGATGACGAGATTGAGGTCCTACAGGAGCAAGTTGATGAGATGGGAGAGGAAAAGAGCTCCTTGGAAGAAAAGATTTCGGTCCTCGAGTCGATGCTCCGCGAAAAGGAAAGCCAACACCACGCGCTTCAGTCAGAATCCAAAGCCGCCCAACGTGAGCGAAACCAGAGAGCCGCCCTAGAGAACAAGGTCCGCGACTTGGAGTCCCGGATACGCGACAAGGAATCACAGCACCGGAAACTGCAAGCTGAAGCCAAGGCCGCGCAGCGCGAGCAGAAGGCCTCTCTCGAGAACCAGGTCCGCGATCTTCAATCACAGATTCGCGAGAAAGAGAGCCAGCACCGCATGCTCCAGGCTTCTGCCAAAGCTGCGCAGCAGAAATCCATGCACGAAGCGATCGATCTCGACGCCCAAACTCAGGCTCTGGAGAAGCGCCACGTGAAGGAGATCAACGGCCTCGCCAAGCAGATCCAATACCTCCGCGCCCGATGCAACCGCGCCGAAGGCTTCCGGCAGTCCCTGGGCTACCAGAAGCGCTTCTTCCTCATGCAGATCGAGGTCTACAATCAATGGTATGTCGCTTCCCTTTCTTCCCTCTCCCACCCCCTTCTATCCTCAACACAGACACTAACAGAAACAGCAACACGGAAGACCTCCACCTCATCTCCGAAATGGGCATCACGCCCGACATCACCATCCACGCCAAGAAGCCCACGCTCAAGGCCACAGCGCTCGCCATCATGGCTGCGCAGCGCATGCAGAAGATGAGCGAGGGCTGGGCGGCGAGTCGCAGGATTCATGCTCAGCTTGTGCAGAAGCTGGAGGGCATGCGCAGGAGGAGTGTGAGGACGGCTGGCGGCTCTGGGTTGAGGATTGCGCGGTAGATGTGCTGCTGGATGCTGTGATGAGATGTGTGCGTAGACGAGCGAGGAGAAGCATAAGGAGGGGTTGCCGAGGCAGAGCGAGCGAGATTGAAAGCGTGCCGTTTGCGTATTCTTATTGCATGGCATGGCATGGTGTTTTGGAGAACGGCGCGACAGGCTTTGGGCTTGGGCTTTGTTGTTCCGCATATAACTATGCTCAGCATCTTCTTTTTTCCCCACGAATCGAATCATGAATGACGCCAGTTCGTTCCCCTCCCGGGCGTGCATATTCACTTTCTCTCTCTCTCTCTCTTTCACGAATTGCAAATTGCAAATTCACGCCCGCCCGGGTGCATACGAGCTCCGGGCTTAGCTTTTCCCTCTTTCGTGGATACGCTAAGTCCTAGACTATGTCAGACCGCCCAGCGCCCGCGCGAATAGGGCAGTACTTAAACGCTGACTGGCAAGTAGGTCTTGGCTTGGCTCGTCTTTCTTGGCTCGTCGTCGCCCGTCATCGGAGCCCGGAGCCGCGTCCGAATGCCTTCGCATTAGGATAAGGATAAGGATAAAGATGGAAGGGTGCGGGATAGAAGCGTACGGGCGGGATGTTGTGCTTCGCTCCGCTTCGCGCTGCTGACGTGAGCGCCTCGCTATCTACCTACCTACCTACGTGGGCAGTGCGTGGGATTAGTAAGGACAGAAAAGAAAAGCTTATTTAAAGGTCGCGGTTGCGGTTGCGGTTGCGTATCTTATGCCAAGCCAAGGGAGGGCGAAGATTTTATAGTGCGTGGGTAGTCTATTATGACGTGGATGACGATGAGAGATTGCGCGTTTTCCTGTTTAGGGCTGGGTTGTGCGAGGATGAGGATGCAAGAGTCGCTTGGGCTAGGGATGAGTATTGCTCGGTTCGTGCCACTGTATGTGGGTACGGCGTGCGTGAGCTTTCGGCATCCCAAGCACATAGTCCCAAGTACGCATTCCAGTTTGAATAGCGTGAGTGATGGTTCGATCGGCCGCGTGACCGCCTGTCTATCCGTCCATGTACGCCAGTACCTGCCCTTCCTAGACGTCTCGCCTAATCCCTCCTCCTAGGCGTAAGCCTAACATCCAAGCTCCCCACATTCGTGGTAAACACGTCCTTCGTGTCCCTTGGCACACTGCTCCCATCATCGCCCTCCACGAAGCTGATCTCAAACGCGCGCACCAAGTTCGCCGTCACGCTCCGCATCTCCATCATGGCCAGCTTCTGGCCCACGCAGTTGTACACGCCGGTGCTGAAGGGCATAAAGGCGCGCTTGTCAATGATGTAGTCGGAGGCTTCGTCGGTCCAGCGCTCGGGCATGAATTTCAGCGGGTCGCGGAAGTAGCGCGCGTCGCGCTGCATCGTGTAGATGGGCATCCAGATGAGCGTCTCCCCGGGGATGTAGGTCTGGTCAGGGAGGGTGAGGCCTTCGCGGGGGGTTTCGCGGGAGACGCCGCCGGGGACCTATGGGGTATTAATACTTGAACACTCCGGGGGCATATGGGAAGAGAGATTGCTTACGGATGGGTGTAGTCTCATGGCTTCATTGACGACGCCGTCGAGGTAGGGGCAGTCGGCTAAATCGTCGGCATAGAGGAAGGCTTTCTCTGGCTTGATCTCGTCGACTACTTTGCGCACTCTTGCTTGAAGGGCGGGATCCTTGCAGAGTTCGTAGACGAGCCAAGTTAGTGTCGCGGCAGTAGTGTCGCTGTCCCACAAAGGCGTGTTAGCAGTGGTCCCACGGGGATGAACGAAGAGAAAACATGCGCGTACCTGCCCGCGATGACCAATAGACGAGCGTCGGCATTGAGATGACGGGGGATGTCCTCGTCATTGGGGTCGAGCAGCCAACCGAAGACATCGTTCTCCGCGGGAGTAATCTAGAGCCACGGTCAGTTACCTTCGTCGTCTGCTCAACTCCGCTATCATACCTTCTTCCTCTCGCGCAAAACGTTGCTTCCCCAGTTCATGAAGTCCAGGATGTCTTTCGCGCCGAACCCTGTCCTCAACATAATGGCCTCCACCCACGTTATGTGCGTTAAGTAGCTCATGGGCGCCATACTTTGATGCAGCTTCTTGATCTGGTCGTCCTCTTGTCCCTTCTCCACCATTCCGAAGCTGCGGCTGAACCCGATGTCTCCCATGACGTCGAAGCTGTAGTAGTTGATCCAGTTCGAGATGCGTACAGACGGCTCGTTCGCATGCTCCTTCAGTCGCTCGATGAGTGCATAGGCGTGCCTGTTGAGGCGGGGCTCGTACTCGCGCAGGGCTTTGGCGTTGAAAGCGCGCTCCCAGATCTTGCGGCGCTCCCTGTGGTCTTGCTTCGAGCGGCTCGTGTGTACGGAGGAGCCTTCAAGGAAGTAGGAACCGGAGTACCAAACGCTCTTTGTACACTTCGTCATGGGTCCGTGGATGAGAGGAATGGCATCTGCGGAGGCGACGCTCAACTCGCGAGGTCCAGTGCGGACGATGTCTGACTTGTATTCCTTGTGCATTCCCTCGATCTCGGTGTAGTATTGGCATTTTGGCGTGACCCGGCTAATACTGTACAGTTTGGAGAGACGAGCGCCGAAAGGGCCGGGAAACTGATCGTGTCAGTAATTGGATGAAAGGCGGGTCAAGGCGCCCGTACCTTCCGTAGGCGGTGGAAGAAGGCGCGATACACCAAAATACTCGCGATCAGAGTCCCGAGGTACACGGCCGCCGCAGTTCCCGCCACCTGTAGGGCTCCCAGGATGGACGTGACTCGCGGGTCGGCGGCATACTCGAACGCAACCAGCCCAGCAAAGGTAAGGACCCAGCTGGAGAGCACAAGATGGCTGGAGTTGTCCCACTCGCCGTTGTTCAGTACGTAATGAGAGAAAAGGCCAAGAGCAGCGGCAAGAGGCTTGCTGCGGATCAGCTCGTCCCAGTGAGTTGCGCGAAGAAACTCGGACATTGCTGCGTGGATGTCGTCGAGGATGAAGGTTCGGCCTTGGAGGTACAGCCTACCGTACAGGTGAGGGGCCTGGATATATATGGGCGCGATGGTGATCCGCGCCAGACAGGGCTGTGAAGGAGTGGCCGAGTGCCCGTCATCCTCGAGCAACGGTAGAGGGGCCTGCAGCACAGGTGCAAGGGTGCCACGATGTTGGTGAGGCCGTCGACAAGAAGTAAGCACCTTCACCGTTGGCGTCCGTGGGCGGTAGCGTTGTCTTTGTTCGGCCTAGCATGCGGGGTCCCGCTAGTACGCCGTCGCGCCTTCCTTGCTTTTGCTCTGGCGCGAAGCCACCACATGCCCACAGTCTAGTCACACTGCGCGCGAGATGCCGCTCGAGACGATGCCCGCGGGTTCCGGCTACTGCCTGGGACGCGCTTCATGCCGTACAGTACCTAGGTAGTCAATACTGTGCAAACGAGAGTTGGGCCTTTCCGCGCAGGCGGGACGCCACCCAAACACGCTATTCATTAGTGTACAGTCAGCCTGGCCGCGTGTTGCAGCAGAGGCTCCAAGCATCCGCATCAAGACAGGACTAGTAGCAGACGATGAGGGCGCAAAATAACCCCCTTACCGGTATTAGTAGGCCGCGGGTGGCCTGCCATGCAAGGTGGATCCGACCAGGCTCAAATCGGACGACATGCGGACTAATGCCCGTCGTCCTACACGCACATTGTTCCATCGGAACTCTCTCATGAGGCACGACTTGAGAGGTGCTCTCACATGGTCGTACAGATTGCCGACACGTCGTACGGATCGCCGCGCTGTGCAACCGAATTGCCGAATTGCTGGGATCGGGGCTCTGGCTGCAAGTCGATCCTTGGCGTTGCCTGGCGAAGCAATCGCGCTTACATCATGTTGGCGGGTTAGATGCGTGCAATCTTTCCTCCAGGCGATATTGGCGAATGATATCGCGCGCATGCTGACGCATCGTCAGAGCTGAATCGACGGCTGTGAGTGGCTTCCGCGACTGGTGGGATATCGCCTATGCTGCTGGAGCGCGTCCTTGTTCTTGCGACTCGGCCTAACTTTTCTCTCAATTCGGCTGCGTCCTGCTCGATTCCCAAAAGCACGTGGTGACGAATGACCCGTGGCCTTGCCGCAACTCACGTAAGAATTGTTGATCCGTCTTTATCTCCGTCTCATCCGCGTCTTCTCTCGCCTCAACAAGCCGCGTGCCGTCAAATCGCAGTCCGCACACCCGCCAGCTGAGTTGATCGGTCACAGCGCTGTAGCTCATCGCGGCGCCAATGTCGACCTCGCTTTCGTTGTTGGTAGCAAGCATGCGGACTCTGACATCTGCAATCTCTCCCCCGGAGACAGGCGCAGTTGTCTCTCCCTGGGCGCAACCGTCCAACAACATCCGGTGACGGAGAAGATCCAAGCAACGTGCAGTCCTTCGCAGAAACGGCCAGCTCGACGTCCACCGTACCGACACTGCATGGAGCCCTGTGAGCTCGAGTAGAGGGTTGAGCCAAGAAGGAACTCCAGATGGGCTCCTTTCCTCGACTGAGAGGCATTGCTCGATCGAAATAGGGTTCCGCTCCTGCAGGAGATGATATGACTCCATGACGAGGCGCAAATCGCGCAGCTGCATAGCGGAAGAAGCAAGCAATGAACATAGCCGAGGATAGTAGTCGTACGCATACACCAGATAGCAGTTCCCTGAATCTGGTTCGGATGGAAAGAAGCCATGCCGGTCCAAACTCAACGTGTACCGCGGCTCGTTAAGCGGGGGTCCATCTTCCATCAACGCGAGCTCCAACGAGAATACACGGGAAAGCGACGCAGCCGGTCGATCCTGCAGAAAGTGCAAAGCGGTCAGTATCCGGAAGTCCCTGGTGAAGGAAAAGGTATTCCTGCTGTAGAAAATCTCGCGAGCTTCGACGTACAGCTGCTTGCACCCAAGCATCACCTGGAGGTAGAGGAGCGGGCGTCCCTTAGCGGCCTGATACGTCATGCTAAATTCCCCCTCGACGGCCGGACGTGTCGGCGGCCAGGAGGACCAAGAGTGCTGGTAGAAATCGGCAAATGGCACTCGCCAGGTGGAGCGTCCTACGCAAGGGTGTCTCAGCGGATATTGCTCGCGGAGGTCTCGCTCATCGCGGCTTCGATTCATAGGGTTAGAGACGCCCGTGATAGCACACTCCAAAGCTATGTGGTCCTGGACGAGGAGGTGGTCGTAGACCATATCGCGCAGTTCCCTTGGTCGTGCGTCAGTATAACGCACACGAGTTGGCAGACTAAAAGATCACCTTGGAATAGCCAGCAATCGCGAAGACTGCCTCGAGCCAGCGCATGCGTTCACGCAGAACATCATTGTCATGCCTCGGTGGACGAGCGACCGATGGTCCAGTTTGTACGTCGTCCAATCCCTCGAGAGGGTAATCCAGGCAGCACCCATAAGCAAGTGCGCCTTCCTTCCGCACGTAAGCGAACGCGGAGTAGATGCTTCGAACAACGAAAAACACCACTCAAAACAATATCAATACAATGAGAGGAGAAGCATGAGGTTGAAATTAAGAACGCCCGCGCCGCAAAACTACGCCCGGGCGGACGATCTATCTTTCTCTCGCGCGAGCCTCGGCTGCAGCTTCCCTTTCGGTGTGCGGACCCCGGCTCCTTTTCTCCTCCGCCCTTCCTACCCTAGGTAGCCTTTCAGCACACTCCTTATGTAGTCTGCTGAGCCCTGGTATGGTATCCCAAATGCCGGCTATCTACTGCCGTGCGATTCGCGTCCTTTCTAGTAGCGCTCATTCGCCTATTCACAGCACGCTCACTCCTCAGCTATCGCAATTCCGCCACACCTGAATTCCCATTCAAATAATTCCAGAGTCACCGTATCTACCGCACATATCGCATTGCTTATTGAGCATCAGCATTCCCCCCCTCTTACCACGACACCCAGAAAAAAAATAACGCAGCAAGCGCAGTCCAATCTCTTCCAAAGCTCGCTACATATCCGCCGACAGTGCGCAGGAATTCTACTCGCTGCTCCGTGGGACGACACCATGTCGTGTGAAGTACAGGAGATCGCAACGTTTCGAGCGAGAAGATCTATCACAACAGCAAGCCAACAGGAGGTGGTATGGTATCAATACACGAACTCTTCCTTTCCCACGTATACTCGCTCAGGAGAACTCCAAACTTAGCAGCGGCCTTGTCAACACACCCCCCAGAAGCGCGTCTCCATTCTAGACCGTCCGCGCGAAATCCACTCAAGACGTAAGTAAATCCCCGCTTCTCCACCCCAACGCCCATGCATTCTTCAACCCGTTCGTTCCAATTCTTCGGCCCTTGTACGAGTCTCTCCAGAATCAGAAGAGCAATAGATGGAAGCGGGAAGACACCGCGAAGATCCAGATACCGTCCATGTGGTTTGCGCTGAAAGCCAGCGCTGATACGGACGTGCCGTGCGGCCTTCCGTCGAACTAGGGGAGGGGGCAACAGTGAGTGATGACCGTGAGACGGCGCGCTGAGGGAGCCGTGCGGGGATAGAATAGCGAGGGAATTCGGAGATTCGTGGTGCTGGGGGAGAGTCGTGGACACGTACGTGTGGAGTTCGTGACGGAGGATGTGGCTGGAGCTGGTAGAGGATGAAGTGCTGTGTTAGAAGGCTCGTCCCGTGAGATGAGTAAGTCCTACGCGTCACGCGTCTGAGTCAAAGCTCATATCCTACGTATTTTGTTCGGGCCATACTTCGTGAAGCCGCACGGCGCCTTTCCTATTCCCCTAGCCAGCGTGCACATAGGAAAACCCCGTAAACCCTCACTAGCTACTACCTTCGGTGCATTAACAAATGCGCGCATCTCAAGCTATCTAAACCCCAGCCCAGCTCAACCTTCCCCACCTCCGCCTCCACCTCCTCACAAAACCACCCGCAGTCGCGAAGCACCATCAAAGCACGCACGTCAGGACCCCATACACCCAGCCCAGCCCAGTACAAGCAAGCTTAGAACCATAGACCACAAGTTACAGAGCGCGAACCGAGTATGAACGCCCATCCCACCCTTTGCCTCGTCTTGGAGTACTAGCTCGCGCTCCTACTGCATACAGTCCACAGAAACGGAACCTCGGCTTCACCGATACGGCAACCAATCCTACGCGCGAAGGAGAAAACAGGCAGGTCGAAGCGCCTCCACGAGCGAGCGAGCGAGCTATCAAATCCCACCTGGGCATATCGGGAGGAGTACAACGTAAACACGTTGAGCCACTTTAGTCGCAGCTTTGCATAGCCAGGGAGAGAGGAGAGGATATCGACCAGGCTGTATTGAGTTAATTTAAGAGTGGAGGAGGGGAGGGGACGCATGATGTTGAAGACGAACAGACGAGCACGGATTGCCTGCTGGAGGGAAACTACCCGTAAACGATGAAATACTGCGACTACTTTAGGAACGACCCAACCAAGAAACTTCAACGCCTTAAGGCCCGTTGCGAGCGCTAGCTGCGTTGATACTCCGGGGGAGCGAGGGGCGCTAGTTGGTCAGGATAAGGAAGAGTGTTCAAAAACACTTCTAAACAAGGATGCGGCTCCATGGGAAGGTCCATGATGAGGTCACTGTACCCGGCGCCTAAAGGGTTAAGTGTTTGGTACGAGGCGCATATCTAGGCGTGATTAATGGAGAGATTGTGAGGACGCTGGATCGCTTCAGACATGACTGGCTGGCACTGGAATGGCAACAAACGGTTTGACAAGGCATAATGCTTGGCGAATGTATTCTGAACTCGCTGCGTGAGTGCGAAGAGGTTTAATGCGTCTAACGGAAGTACTAGAACGGACAGGAACCGCGAAATCCACTAACGTCGAAAGCTCTACCCGCAGAGCCGCGTTGTCAGACGCTGCTACATCGCCTTTACGTGATGTAGCGGAATGCAGGATTCCTATAGCCAAGGTCTTTGATTTCTGCCTCGCTGAGACCATTGAGTCGGTGATCCCGCTTGCCCAAATCGCGCTGTCTGTTCTCCCATTTGCAGTATGCGATACCGGCAAGAGCAAGAACAAAGACTCCGCACTGCCCGGCGAGGTTGATGGTGTGTCCGGTGGGGTATTTCGGTTTTTCATTGTTTGTATATGTCCTGAAGTGCGGTTAGCGGAATGGTATGGTGGAAAGGAGGGGACGCCGGCATGTGGTCTTACCATGTAGCAAGAATGCCTCCTGCGGTGCCAAGTGTAACAATATAAGCGCTAGATACGGCACGCACGGCGGGGCCGGCCGCGTTATTCATCCCCCATGAGAGGAAGCCGGGACCGCCGGGGAACGCGCCAAGGGTAATGAAGAAGATGCCCATGTATCGAACGTTCGGGCTAGTAGCCCATCTCATGATAGCGAAACCAGTGATAGCAAGAAGCGTGAACGCCGCAAGATAGATGCCGCGTCGGTTGGTTTTATCTGAGACGAAAGCAACCGCGATAGCGACAATGCAAGCGCAGACGTAAGGCGGTACGGAGTAGAGCTGAGCTTTTGTAGCGGTCCAGCCGAGGTCGTTGAGAATGGTAGGCTGCGAGAGCTATTAGTTGATGCGAGGTGTTTCCATGTCAGGGGACTCTTACCATGAAGAGCGAGATGCCTTGGACGGTGATGTTGATGAGGAAGAATCCCACGGCGCACATGTAGTTGTTGATATTGAAGAAAGACCTGACGACGTGTTTAACTTCCACTTTCTCATTTTCGTCGGCTCCGCCCTTCAACTGAAGCCTCAGTGCGGCGATTCTGCGCTCGCGTTCGTTGAGGAACCAGCATTCGGCGGGGTTCGTCGGCATAAGGAAGGGAGCACCGAGGCCGACGATTATGGTGAAGAGGCCCTCGAAGAAGAATATGTTGCGCCAGGTGTGGATGACCATAGATGAAACCCCCCATGGAGGAATACGAGAAAGGCTGAAACGGGCATTTTTCAGTAAGTTGGGCTTCGTGGATGTAGGAGGTACTTACACTGTAGCCAGAAGGCCGCCAAAGGCCCCAGCCAAGGATGCAGCAGAGACGTAGATTCCCACTCGAAACAGCAGCTCTTGGCGTTTATAAAAGCAAGTGATAAAGAACGCGATGCCGCTATTTGACACGTAAGTAGGGTGACGGGATGAATGACGGTGACGGACTTACGGCATCACGCCTCCTTCAAAGACCCCAAGAAAAGCTCGAGCGGCAAGCAACCCCTGGAAGCTCTGGACAAAAGCCGAGCACATAGAGACAAAGCCAAAACCGCACACCAGAAGCGGTAGGTAGTACTTGGGACCGATAATCTTCAACAGGATATTGCTGGGCACTTCGACGAACATGTAGATGATGTAGAAGATTGAGGTAACCCAGTTGAACCGGACGCCGACGAGATCCAGGTCGACGGCCATTCCCTGGATCCGCGCATTTCCAACGTTGGCCCTTCTCGGCGTTATTTTTCGCTCCAAAATCTCAAGTGCGGATCTTACCGGTCAAGAAAGCATAGCAAGTAAAGAAAGGTCGTTAGGGGTACGATGACCTTGTCGAGCTTGCGTCGGACCGCGGTTTCCTCCTCGACCGTCCAGGTGAACTCGTCACCGGAGTCACTGCTGGTGCTTTCGCCTAGATTCTCCTCATCTTACCATCCGTTAGCGTGTGAAACCGTCCATGGGAGGAAAACGCATACATAAGATCTTCTCGGCTTTCTCAGTGCTGGACAGGACTTTGTCATCGTCTCTGTACACCACCTCGTCCACGCCTGTCGCTGCCATATTGGGAGAGTGGAAAGAATTCGGTATTGGCTGAATAGACCAGAGGCCTTACGGTGCCACTAGCACCCGACGTTCTCTTGTTATCGTAGACTCGAAGACCGAAACCTGGGGAAGGGCTCTCCACATATGGCAGAGCTACGCGTTATGAACGCCTTCAAAGTGCTCCACAACGGTGGAGCTTTCGGAAGGTCTGGATGGCTGAACCGGCAGTTGCACGAAAGCCACGAAAGGTACGGTCGGTCTCGAATCTGGGCGACGCCTGCTTTTAAGGCCGCTTGAGCTATCTCTTTCCAGTTGGTGTTTGATTGAACATGGGCCATTTTGCGTATGAGAATTTTACCGAGTCCACACAGCGGACGCTCGCCATGCGACCGGTCCAACGGTATTTGGGCTCAGTTCTTGGCGGCTGCGGGGTGAGGCTTGGCTGGCATGGGTAGCGGGCGGAGGAGTTGCGGATTCTGGTGCACTCCAGCCGCCATCCCTTGGCGGAGCGGGACAAGCAACGCACGCGTCGCCACTGCTTCGGCAGATGGAATTGACGTCTTCGATGCCAAATCGTGGTGTTGGAGGCACATTTGCGCGTCCATTTCGCGATGAACCCGTCTTGTAATCCTCCCTCTCATGGTGTAGCGGAACGAATCGGGCAGGCGGCGGGCGTTTTCTGACGTTTAACCAGAGGATTTCTGTAGAGGTAATCAATATAAAGCCTAGGCATGGATAAAGTGGTTGCATGAACGAGGATGGACTCCTACCGTTCGGTTGGAGCAGCCTGACCAGCGCGTAGGCGACAGCATCGTATTCAGTGCACCGCTTTTTCGCCACCCCGTAGAATGCGATTCCTAGCCGAGCTATTGCCAGCAAGGAAGGCTACGAAAAATGATTCGTTGAGTGGCCTGAGCGACCTATCTCGCGCCGAATATGAGCGTACCATTATTCGCCGATAGATTATCGGATGGGAGACTGGCAGCTTCGGAGTTAAGGGGTCAGTCCGCCGTTTTGTTGTGCACGCTTGGCTCGGCGACACTGCGGCGCGGTAGGCATCCGTTGACCACAACACTCCACATGCTGTGAAAACCGGAATCGATTTGGGAAACGCGGATTGTGAAGAACCATAGGCTGGCGTGGTGTTGTGGAGGACGACTGCATGTCGGGCTGAGGTCAGAATAATGTTGGTGGGACGGCCCCACTTCAGGCGCCAGCACCCAATCAGAAGGGTAGTTGCGAGGGCGTCTTCCACCTTCCACCTTCCTCCCGTCACTCCGCCGGATCCTGCTGACCAGCTTCCGAGCGGGCGCGTCCCCCGGCCACCTAGCGTACAGGCCGTCGCTAGTACTCGATGTGGTTTGACTTCACACCTCGAAGCTCTCTCTACGGGTGACTGTGGAGCCCGTGAGTACGTCGTCTTGATCTCTGAGGAAAGGGCACTCATTTCTTCCTACTACTATTCTAAGCGATGCCCACCCATCCTATGGGGGGAATACGCGAAGGTCTCGGAATCTACTGAAGAGTAGGGCGTTGCCGATATAAGATGCGATGCAAAAATCGTGCCTTGATCACGTGCAGTAGCACCAGCCCTGGAACCTTCTCAGGGCGGATTATGGTCTCGCAGGACCGCACTGATCCGTCGCTTTCCATGGTTCTTTTGAAGGCACGTGCCAGTACGCAAATCCATCAGTTCCCATGCGATACAATCGTCACCCGGTTTGGCGATGACCAAAACTCCCTGACTCGCCACTGTGCACACTTCGCAAGAACTCTTGCCAAGTTCCACTGAGTGTGGGAAATGAATCCTCCTATATATCGACTCTTTATATCTGGCCCGTATGACTGACATCGCGAGCCCAGATTGGTCTTCCCCGCGATCTCGGCAGTTCACCCTTGCTCAGCCTAAATTTCCCTCGACAGCAAAATCCCCTTCCGAGATCGAACCTCATATTTTGCTGCATTGCTATTGGCGGCAAAGGGCAGCTTGAGAAATACAAGGCATGGATTTCCAGAAACACGAAACTTCACCACCTATCTGAGGACGTTACTATATTGTCGCTACGGGATTCCTGCCCTCCCAAGAACGCTGTGCACCTCACGCCGCAGGGTGATGAACCTACGGCGAGTATAAGTTGGGTGGACGCCATGGCTCTCTCGCCACTTTCGATTCCTTTCGGAAGGGTGAAAACAGCAACATGCAGTTCCTGGCCAGTCTTCTGCTCGCCGCTACGGCGGTCCAAGCCCACTGTACCTCCACCAACAAACCCCTCTCACATAGCAAGTCTAACACCTCTAGACACCTTCCCCAGGCTCGTCGTAAACGGCAAAGCCGAAGAAAAAGACTGGTCCGCCACGCGCATGACCAAGAACGCGAACTCCAAGCAAGGCATCGAGAATCCTACCGTCGCCGACATCCGCTGCTACCAATCCCAGAATGCCGCCAACGTCGTGACCGTTCCCGCTGGCGCTACCATCCACTACATATCTACGCAGCAGGTGAACCACCCCGGACCCACGCAATACTATCTCGCCAAGGTCCCTTCGGGAGCGTCAGTGACGAGCTGGGATGGCTCGGGAGCTGTTTGGTTCAAGATCTTCACCACGATGCCGAAGGTCGATCAGAATAAGCAGATGACATGGCCTGCACAGAGTAAACGATCTTAGTTCCGAATTTAGGACCCGTACTAATACTTATTAGATGAATACAAGACCGTCAACGCCACGATCCCCAAGGCCACACCCGACGGCGACTATCTTCTCCGCGTCGAGCATATTGCTTTGCACATGGCATCCCAGGCGAACAAGGCGCAATTCTACCTTTCTTGCTCGCAGATCAAAATCACAGGAGGCGGTAGTGGATCTCCAGGACCTCTGGCCGCCTTCCCAGGCGCGTATAAGAGCAACGACCCAGGCATCCTCGTCGATCTTAACAAGATTGCGGGCGCGCCGGATACGTATCAGCCACCTGGGCCTGCTGTATGGAGCGGCTAAACGAGGATCTTCATGGCCTGTCTGGCGAAAGAGAAAGGGAAGTAACGCTTGTCATGAGCGGCATGTCAAGGCCCTATTTTTCCTTCTTTAAACTTTCCGTGAGCAGCCTACCAGTAACATAAATATACCCTTCAATTCTCTATCCTCAACCATGAGTGAATTTCCTTCCGACCCTTCCTCATTCATACTCTCTCCTACAGTCTCTCGGAACCCTTCACCAAGACCCCGTCTCTTCCCCATCTGTAAATGACCCCATCTCCCCTTCCCCCCAGAACACGCAAAACCGCACAGAATTGATCATACACTCCGCCAAGTTAAATCTCCTAAGCTCCGAGTAAGATCTGTTACAGCACTGCTATGTTCACAGCTCCATGTCAATAGCCGAGTCACTCGCTGTCTTCCAAGCATCTTTTACCTGAATTTTTACACCCTCGCCAAAAAATCATACCTTGCCACCGACTTTCTCAGATGTCATTCATAGAAGCCCGCTGAAACTACAGACACAAAACGCCAGCACGACCTTACGGGTCACGGAAACCCAAGCCTTCCAGGGCGCCTCGAAACCCGTCCACTCCCCCTTCCATATATCAATAATCTTGACCACAAAATTCAGACAGTCACTCCAATCCCTATAAAGCCCACCAGAACCCACCAGAACCCACCTCGCCAACGCACCTACCTACCACCCGCCCAAAAAACACACAAACGCACAGCAGAATGTGCAAGCTCTGCCGCTACATCCTGCCCTGCGGCCACCCGAAGTACCAGCACATACTCAAATGCGGCTGGAAGAACTGCAACACCATTCCTGAAGATTTCGCTGTGGAGTGGACGGTGAAGTGCGCTTTGTGCGAGGCGAAATTGGGGGGTAGGGAGAGAGTGCTGGTTGATAGGGGGTATTGGAGGGATGGGCCTTTGGGGTGGGTGGGGATGGGGGATGAGGGGTGGTAGGCTGGAAATGGGAGAAGGAATGGGGAAGGAGTGGAGGGTGGGCACGCGGGGAAGGGTGTGATGTGAGGTGCTGGAGGTGAGTTAAAGGCTAATTCGGCGGGGGATCTGGGATATAGGGGGGAATACTGAAGAGGGTGGGTCGAGTGGTAAGAGCGCGGTCGTAGTTGTCATGTTGAGAGTAGACACTGAGCGATATAAGCCCTATAATGCATGTTTTGCGCAGTTTCTATTTGTATTTGGCACTGAAGGACCCGCGCAAAGGAAATATAAGTAGGATATACACAGTTATTCAGCAATATTTCTCCCTCTCCTGCCATGCCAGCACATAGTATCCAAACCGATCCAGAACACCAGTCTTTCGCGCCAGCGCTCTCACTCCGCGTCCATGTTTCGCCACCTTGTCTACCCCTCAGTACCTATCTCACATACTATTCCGCCTCCCACCCCCTTCCTCCTCAGCCACTTCTCCATTCTTTCCCACTCCCTCACCCACACCCCTGCCCTCATCTTCCTGCCTCCGACATTCCTCGCATCTCTGCGCAAAGCCCAGATACGTAACCTCCTGATGCGCGCACCGATGCTCACCCGTCACGGCGTCCACCTCGCAATGCACAGAGTGACTGATTCTCGTCCATGCAACGTGGTCGCAGTCGTGCTCGAAGACCATGACGACGCAGATGTTTGGGTGGTGATCCATCTCGTTTTCTGTAGGTGTGTGGTGGCTGGAGTGGATGTGTGGCGAGGGTAGTTGTTGGTACTGTGGATTGAAAAGCCGGGGATGGCGAGTGGTTGGAGAGAGGGAGCTTTAAGGACAGCGGGTGCGGATTTTGTGGCGGACGTTGAAGGGGTGGAGGGATGCGTGACACCCGGCTTTTCAAGGTTTGAAGATTTGATACTGCATTCACGTCTTTCTGGTCTATGCCTTCATCTTCACGGCTGGCCGTCGCAATGGCTCTTCACATGAAGCGAGTCCGAGGCCCATTCCAGGGCTGCGGATCCACGAATCCGGGACGTCGTCTTCCCCCGGAGCCCCGTTTGAAGACCATGCGTCAAGTACTGCAGCCACCAAAACATTCAATAGCAATGCTCTTCACATGACTCCGGGATGCCCCTCGTATAAAGCGTCTTCTTGCCAGCCACGACAGCTCTGCACAATACGTACACTCATACCTTCTCTCGAAGAAAACGCTCACAGACTACAACTCATAGACAGGCAATAGAAACCCCACTCTACTTACTCATTACTACAGGCAAGATGTGTTGGGTCTACACGGTATACCATGCTTGCGGTGATCGGGCTCCGGAGATCATCCTCTGCCCGACGGCGCGACAGGGGATTAGGTGTCGGATGGGCAAGGTGGATGCGGGGCAGCGCGAATCGCCGAAGGATTGCCCTGAGTGTGCCAGGGGTGGTTGGGGCGAGGCGTATATAGTGGGTGGGTAGACCGAAGGCGTGTGGATGCTTGGGTGGGGGTTCAGCTGGTCTGAAAGTATACCATTATGAAAGGATTGGTCAGATTCTGCTTCCATTTCTGTTGCTACTCGGGGTTTGGCTTTGGTAGTGCTTTCCACTGGTGTGCGTTCATGGGAACTTTCAATCCCCATTCAACGCCATGTACGATGTTGCACTTGTGTGTTGAGCCTTTGGAAGTTACCCATGCATGAGCATGGGTTGTCTCTGGCTTCTCTTCCGCATGTGAAGGCTTTTGGAATCTTGCAGGGGGCCAAATCGAACTAGAGAAAGATAGCTGTCATCGTGTACAGAGAGAAACCAGGGGCAAATGCGCTAGCGACAAAACGGAAAGGCGCTGCCAAGGCTCGCTTCCACGCCCACTGCAGCCCCTCCAACATTGTTGCGCCGTCCTCGTCAAACTGTACGAACTTTTTGCTTCAACCTCACCACCATTGCTCCCTCGTCACACTTTCGGATCAGTTGAGACAGACTACCTCTCGCACTAGCCATGCGTGAGTATCGTCCTTCTGATCGGCTGCTACAGCCAGGCTAAACCGTGCGCAGCGCCAAAATTCGATCCGAGCGAGGTCAAGGTCATCCACCTTCGCGCGACCGGTGGTGAAGTGGGTGCCTCCTCCGCCCTCGCCCCAAAGATTGGCCCGCTGGGTCTGTCGCCGAAGAGTACGTATTTCAGAGCTCAATCGAGGGAATTGCGGCTTGAAGACGAGAGCTAACATTGCGTAGAGGTCGGTGAAGATATCGCCAAAGCCACGGGCGACTGGAAGGGCCTCGTAGGTTGCACCTGAATTCATATTGGGACCTCAACTGACATCAATGTAGCGCGTCACGGTTAAATTGACCATCCAAAACCGCCAAGCCGCAGTCTCCGTCGTCCCTTCCGCATCGTCCCTCGTCATCAAGGCCCTCAAGGAGCCGCCGCGCGACAGGAAGAAGGAGAAGAATATCAAGCACACCAAGAGCATTCCTCTCGATGAGATCATCAACATTGCGCGCACTATGCGCTTCAAGTCGATGGCCAAGGAACTGAAGGGTACCGTCAAGGAGATTCTCGGCACTGCCTACAGCACCGGCTGCCAGGTTGACGGACGGAGCCCCAAGGCAGTCTCGGACGACATCGAATCTGGCGAGATTGAGAGTGCGTTCTGGCAATTCTTGAAACAGCTTCAGGTGCTGACACTTCTCTAGTCCCCGATGAGTAGATCTATGAACAACTGGAAGGCGTTGATAGGACAACATACCAGACAGAGAGTGCTACATATCCGAAATGAGATCTAGTCTCCATCTGGGTTTCTTCGTCGCCGAGAGCAGTGGGCGGCTTCGGTGTTGATGTCGATACCAAACGCGACGGTTGGGAGGCTCTATAAAGTAATGAGATATTTTGCCTCTCAAAAATTGACCATGCCATGTAGAGTTACATCAAGGCACCTGAGAACATTCAAATAGAAACCTGTGTCTGCGTACGTTTTGGTTCACATGGCACGTGATGTTCTGGGATGCGGCGGGCGTCGTCACCTCCGAGCGCCTCCGCTCCGCTCCCCTGAACAAAAGTGCATCCGGCTCACCCCTCAACCATGAAGCCGACTACCCATTGCGGGCCGACAGAATGCGTCGGAAGCGCTCAGATGAGCTCCCGCGCTTCGTAAGGGACGCCGAACCTCACTTCTACCCCTTCCAACGGCATCGGCGGTACTGGTACTACCTCGCTGGCGTGCTCTTCGTCTGCTGGATCCTCTACCCGAGTCGCAAACCCGTCGACGACGGCAACACGCTGCGCATCAACTGGTCAAGCTATGCATACAGCCTATATGCGACAGACAGCGCAACCCTCTGCCATGCGGTCCTCATATTCGACGCGCTCGCCAAATACGGCAGCAAAGCAGACCGAGTGCTGTTCTACCCGCGCAACTGGGACACAGTGATAGCGAATTCGCGGGATCGCGACAGCCAATTGCTCGTCATGGCACGGGACAAGTACAATGTCAGGCTGCAGCCGATCGAGCTACTGACCGTTGAGGGTCGGACAACAGGTACGTTGTTGCACGCCCCGCTACTGTCCCTCCCTTGCGTGCGCTCCCTACAGGGCGAAACTTACGGGCTAACTAACGCTGCCTGCCACACAGACGCGTGGACGGGTACCTGGGACAAGTCCGTCACCAAGTTCATGGCCTTCTCCCTCGCGTACTACGACCGCGTCATCGCGCTCGACTCGGACATCACGCTGCTGCAATCCCTCGACGAGCTGTTCCTCCTCCCGCCGACCCCGATCGCCATGCCCCGCGCGTACTGGTACGAGAGCGCGCCGCGGCCGCTCACGTCGCTGCTGATGGTCATTAAGCCGGACTTGGCCGAGTTCGAGCGCTTCAAGAGCGTCATCTCCGGCGGCGGGAACCCGCTGCTCGTCAACGCGCACAAGTTCGACATGGAGCTGGTGAACGACCGGTTCGAGGAGAGCGCGCTGGTGCTTCCGCACCGGCCGTACGCCCTGCTGACGGGCGAGTTCCGGCGGCACAGGAGCAATCACTCGGCGTATCTCGGGAACGCGTTTGAGGCGTGGGACGCGGAGACAGTGCTGAAGGAGGCGAAGCTGGTGCATTTTAGCGACTGGCCGCTGCCGAAGCCGTGGATTATGTGGCCGCTGGAGGGCCTGGCCGAGGTGCAGCCTGATTGCGAGGGGAGCCATGAGGGGAGCTGCCCCGAGAGGAGGATCTGGAAGCATTTGTATGAGGATTTTAGGGCGAGGCGGAAGGAGGTGTGTCGGCTGTTGAGTGTGCCTGCGCCCGAGTGGTGGAAGATTAAGGGCGGCGAGCATCATCCTAATGTCACAGAGGGGACGGCGCATGAGGCGCCGCATGCGGAGGGCGAGATACCATCTCAGAGCACATCGGAGTCTGATGAGCAGAGCGTGGTACACGACGTATAGTATAGCATACCTATAGACGGTCAAATCGCACATAGAGTACGGGTTTCTGGCTAGAACTTATTGGAGCGTCATGCATAAAGGCCCCCCGATCAGGCAATTCAGGCCCAATATAAACATGAAACACCGTCCCTTGCGGACCCCAGTACGCACGGGCTCGTGCGCATGTCTCCAGAGATCTGATGATTCTCTGCCCAGCAGGGCTGTGGCGCAGGCGGGCGGTGATTTGTTGGACGGCCTGATGCTTCTGCTTACTGCCGGTTTCGCGTGTTAGATGAGAGGAGGCTGCCATAACGCAGCGAGCAAACTTTCGAGCTGCGCGCACGTCGCCGCCCGCGGCATCTGTATGTACCTGTAGTCTCCGCAGCGAAAAACAACACGCTGTGGAGGCTGGCGGCATGGCGCCCCTGGGGGCTGCGGTTGGCTGAAGCCCCCGCCGCCAAATGGAAATCTCCGACCCATCAATCAGCAGCGCGCCGCAGTGCAGCATGCGCGCAAGAAACATCTCACAGTCCTTCAGCTCCACACAAACCAGTCACCCAGCCCCCATCATGCGTCGATTTTCCGCACTCTCCTCCACTGTCATCTGGCTGCCTGCATGCTTCGCGTCTGCGTGCGGTCAGAGAGAAATGACCTGTCAGGCTAGGCCGTGTAACATTCCACGAAACATGGCATGCGAGCGAGCGGCTTGGGTGACACCCACAGCCGTTTGTTTTAGCGGCGCCGGACTGATCTGCGGCCGGATGGCGGGGAGCAAGCGAGGGCCCGATCGTAGAGAGAGTCCGCTAACGTTGACTCTAGGACAGTGAATGGACGCTGTGGTGGTATTCACTACTTCGTACCCTGGAAACGACTGGAGCGGGGGTTGCATCCCGCCCGCCACGGGTCTGGAGGCGGGCTGCGGGTGCGTCGACTACTGGGCTCAGAGCGTTGCAACGGAGGAGGCTCACGGTTCCTGGGTGACGGCACTGCTGCAAGGCTGAGCTGCAGCCGGGGACTGTGAGCCAGTGACAGCGGCGGATGCAGAGCGCGGTCCTGGCGCGTGGCTTGATCACCGTGAAGCATCCCGGCGCAGCCTGTCGCCGTCACTCTATTTCCTTTCCCGGCTGCAGCTGGCCTTTGCCTGGGGTTCCTTAAAATATCCCCCTTTCCTCATTTTTCCCCAATCTCATCGCGGCGATACCTTCTCTTCTTACAACTGCGACTTTGAAGAAGCTAATTCTACTATCGACACTCTTTTAGATATTCCCGTTTCTATTGCTTAATACGAGGAGGGCCGTACACGATGCGCGACTTTCTCCTGGCCTCTGTGGCCACCGCAACGGTGCTCTTCGCCCGCCACGCTGAAGCTGTTGCTGCGAATCCGCTTCCCAAACCCGCGAACATTACCTGGGGCTCTTCTGGCGCTTTCTCCGTTGGCTCTCTTACTCTCAATGCTCCCGACAACCAGATTGTCCAGGATGCATTTGAACGCGCGACCAAGGCCATCACCGACCTCAAGTGGATCCCTGCTGCAACCGAAGCACCTCCGCAGAGCTTCGAACCCTTCCCGACCCCAACTGCTGCAGCGTCTAGGAGAGTGAGGAGACAGTATGGAACCAATGCGACTGGGACTCTCACCACTGTAAATGTTGATGTTGCGGATACGCACGCGGCTCTCCAACACGGCGTCGATGAATCGTACACCATGGAAATCGCCGCTGGATCTGACTCCGTCGAAATCAAAGCTAAGACCGTCTACGGCGCCCTGCACGCTTTCACCACCCTCCAGCAAATCGTCATCAACGACGGCAGCGGCAAGATGATAGTCGAGCAGCCCGTCTCCATCCAGGATGTGCCCCTCTACCCGGTCCGCGGCATCATGATTGACTCCGGCCGGAACTACCTCTCCAAGAAGAAAATCTTCGAGCAAATCGACGGCATGGCCCTCTCCAAGCTCAACGTGCTCCACTGGCACATGGTCGATGCCCAGTCGTGGCCCGTGGAAATCCAGGCTTACCCCCAGATGACGGATGACGCATACTCCGACAACGAAGTCTACTCCACGGAAAGCATGAAGGAAATCATCCAATATGCCGCTGCACGCGGTGTCCGCATCCTGCCCGAAATCGACATGCCGGGCCACGCCTCCTCGGGCTGGAAAGAAGTCAACCGCGACATGATGTCCTGCATCGACAGCTGGTGGTCCAACGACGTCTGGCCGCTGCACACCGCCGTCGAGCCCAACCCGGGCCAGCTCGACATCCTCAACAACAAAACCTACGAAGTCACCGGCAAGGTCTACAAGGAGCTTGCCACCCTCTTCCCGGACAACTGGTTCCACATCGGCGGCGACGAACTGCACATGAACTGCTACAACTTCAGCAGCCTGGCGCGCGCCTTCTTCGCCGAGGGCCACTCCATGGGCGACCTCTACCAGGTGTGGGTCGACCGCGCGCTGCCCAACTTCCGCAGCCAGGTCAACAAGACGTTCGTCATGTGGGAGGACGTGCGCATCAGCCCGGACGCCGCCGCGACGGGCGAGCTGCCCAAGGACGTCGTGCTCCAGGCGTGGAACAACGGCATCGCGCAGATCAAGAACCTGACGGGCCAGGGCTACCGCGTCATCGTCTCATCCTCCGACTTCATGTACCTGGACTGCGGCTACGGCGGCTGGGTCAGCAATGACCAGCGCTACAACGTCATGGTGAACCCCAACGCCACGGACGGCTCGCCCAACTTCAACTGGCTCGGCTTCGGCGGCTCCTGGTGCGCGCCCTACAAGACCTGGCAGCGCATCTACGACTACGACTTCACGCTCAACCTGACGGACACCGAGAAGGCGCTCGTGCAGGGCGCCATCGCGCCCCTCTGGTCCGAGCAGGTCGACGACGTCGTCCTCTCCCCGAAGATGTGGCCGCGCGCCGCCGCGCTCGCCGAGCTCGTCTGGTCCGGGAACCGCGATGCGGAGGGCAACAAGCGCACGACCGAGATGACGCAGCGCATTCTTAACTTCCGCGAGTACCTCGTTGCGAACGGCGTTATGGCGAGCCCGCTCATGCCGAAGTACTGTCTCCAGCACCCGCACGCTTGCGACCTGAACTTGAACCAGACGGCGCTGTGGGGTCCTTCGGCGTAGGTAGCTGATCGGCTTCTTTTCTTTTCGAGGCATGTTTGAGGCGTTATGAGTGGTTGGAATGGTATTTTCTAATGATGGTTTGATATTAGTGTGGGAGGGGCGGGGGAAAACGCGGTGCAACCGGCGACCCATCGATTTTCATTTTTCTTTTCACTTCTTGTGCATATTTTATACCCATTCTATATCTTTTCTTTTGATCTTTATAGCATTAGCATTAGCATTAGCACATATATATATATATATATCATCATTATCCTTATTATCCTCCCCCATCCCATCCTCATCCCGTCCGACTAGTCTATTCCCTTAGGCCCGCCTTCCAAACGACCCTCCACCAGCCTTCTAGCAATTCCAACAGACGCCTAGAACAACGCGAAGAAGAAAAAAAGAAGAAAACCACACCCAGACCGCGTTGCGTTGCACACGTCTTCCAATGAAGCCGCTTCAACACGCCCGCCAAGCCACCTCTCCGGAGCTAGATTCTATCCTGGAAAGCAAAGCCAGGAGTCAGTCTGTCCTTTAGAGCCACCTGCCCACTATGTAGGATCCTGTCTATGCAGCAGCTCTGAAACGGTGGGGTGGTTCCGGGGGTGCTTAATGCGCGGGGACGGGTTCTACGGGGAGGGTAGGGGGAAGGAAAGCTTAGGCTGGTGGATTATGGTGTTTGTGTTTGTGTTTGTGTCTGAGGAGTACGTCTGGGTGGCGCTTCGTGGCCGCTAACGTAGCGTCTTGTCGTCGTTTAAGTCGCTTGGCCATGGCGCGTATTATAATTATATGTATATATTGTCCTGAGGAATATCTAGCAGACACCGATGTTTTCTGCAATCCTCCGCTTCTTGTATTTCCTACAAGCCTCGTTCTTCTCGGTAGAGTTATCGGCCTTTTCAAGCATCCCCTCGCTCTCCAACGCATTCTCTGCTGCCATTTCTGGCGGAAGGTGCTGGCACTTAGTGCAATTCCTTGTGTCCTCATCTTCGGGTGTCAACCTTCGTCGCTTGCTCGGTTGGCTCTGCGGAGACAGAGGGCTGGCGACAGTAGCGGTTGGCGTCTGATCTAGCGCTTCAGTGGCCTGCGGTAGTTGTTGTGGATGCTTGTCTTCACAGACGGTATCCGCGTCGTCCTTTGGGGTGGGCAGAGAGTGCAGCATGCTCGTTGCTGTGTTGTCGACAACCTCCTCCCGAGCAACCTTTTCATGCGCCTCTAGAGCTCTGCGACGTTCCTCCTCCTCCACTTCTTCCTGCTCCTCCTGAATCAATTTGTCGATCTCCGCTATAGCCTTGAGGTGGGCTTCATAATACCGTTGGCGGGCTTCAACCGGTGTGTATGAATATCGCCAGTTGTCCGCGATGTCGCGTCCGTATTTTTTAATGCGGATTTCGTGGCAAGTGAGGGCGGATTCAAGCAATAGACGCAAGCTGTTGGCATCTACGGGCGTAGCGGATCCGCCTTCTGGGCTGCTCGGCCGGGTAACCAGGTGCGCTCCGAATGTGCTTACGACGTCGGGGAAGGGCTCCTGCAGCCGTCGGTGCAATTAGCATCAACGCACAAAAAGAAACGGGACAGGAGGTGCGCATACGCCATTGAGATATTCTTCCAGCACGGCTCGTTGGCGGAGCCAGCACATAGGGCGCGGAGGGGAGATGTCGGAGGGATGCAGAATGGACGACGAAAGCGGTGACGAGAACTCTGGTGCTTGATCGCCCGCATCGGCTGCATCAGCGGTGCTGTCTTCCATGGCGGCGAGGCGGTCGTGGGCGCGAATGGCGTTACAGTACAGGTGTTGCGAAGGAGCCCTGGAGTGGTGATGTTGGTCAGGAACGCCGAGAACTGCCAAGCCCTCTTACGTGCCGAGCGACACAGCCACACGTGACCCTAGGCTGCCGGCCCGCCTACAACCACCTCTGCACCCCCACGTTGCTCTGCACCCCCACGTTGCTCCACCCACCCTTTCTACTGCATGAAGCACACATGGCAATCGATTGTCATGGTCTGCGGGCCTTCGCAACCCTAACCCCAGCCAATGCTGAGGCTCAGGATGCATTCAGCCACGTCGTGGATTTCGTGAAGATGGATCAGTCACCCAGCGTGCCGTCGTCCTTTTCGTCCTTCCTCTACGTCGACGAAGAAAAAAAATACAATCATGACGTTGCGATGCTGCGCCGAGACAGCGAACGCCCTGCCGGTGAAGACGACGAGACTGCTACAGAACCGGACACCGAGACCGAACAGCAGCCAGAATGGCAACAGCGGGGCATGGTATGGTCTGGCTGCTTCTATTTTACCATCAAGGATATGCCAGAGCCGATGAATCGCTGGCATGCCGGAAGGTTGCACAAGGGCATTGCTGTACTTCAATTTCCTTTAACGGTTAAGCGTTCCTCTATTAGACGTTTACACGCAATTTTCAGCTTCTGCACCTATACCGGGTGCTTGAAGATCCAGAGGCCGCACAACGGCCTGGAAATAAGCGTTAACGGTGTCGATGTGCCTCAGTCCAGCACCTTTGTTAATGGCAACCAAGCCATAGTCCATCTCGGCACCCTCAAATACCGCTTCGAGTATACCCCGTACAGCTATACCGACCCTTATTACGAAGAGCGCAATGGGGCGGTCATGAAATTTGCCGATTCTGAACCGTGGATAGCTGCGAAGTGGGAATCCCTTACTCAAACACCCTCCATACAATCGACAACTATTATGGGTTGGACGCTCCGGATGCCAGTTGGTCAGTAAATTCTCCTCTTCATTCCTTACTTGCGGTTTCTTACTCTGTGATTAGGTCGTGGGGCATCTGGGAACGTCGTGCAAGCGGTTAACGACCAGAGTCATACCGCGGCTTTGAAAACGAGACAACGACGATGCCGTGATACGGCAAAACGGATATCCCGCGAGATCCAAACGCTCAAAGCAATCACGACGCTAGCTCGTCAGCACAATGAGTCAAGAATCCTCCAACTTCGTGACGTTATGTACCAATTCGGGAACGAAGACTACCAACAAAACACCACCGAAGACGTGTACCTTTTGCTGGACCCATTTCTACCGTTCACTGTAGATCATATTATCGAGATGGACCACGGAAATCCACTCAAATCTCGCCTAGCTCTATGGGTCCTTCATGAGGCCATGCTAGGGCTCCAGTTCTTGCACCAGGTAGGATGGATGCACGGCGATATCAAGCCCGGAAACATCGGCATCGAACTGCCACACATACTCCCCTCAAGCCTAGAAGGCCTCCAAGCTGTCCGTGTTGTCCTCCTAGACCTCGACAACGCCACCAATCTCCAATCTTTTGGCCCAAACCCCCGGCTACCTCCCACGCCGGGCCGCGGTGGTACCGTGCCCTACCTCGCGCCAGAAAGAGAGCTCGAGTACCAATCATATACCAGCGATGTCTGGGCCGTGGCTGTTACCGGGTATGAACTACGATACGGGGAGCACCCGTGGAATTTCTCAGCCAATGCATGGAGGCCTATGGCATCTGAGAGTCTGCGGACAAATTGGCTGTCTAAGTATGAACATGGTATTGCAAGGTTGCAAAAAGGTATAGCCCAATTTCTCGTCAAGCCAGTCACGTAATACTAATAACGGTAGACCCTATCGGCAAGCTTCTCGCGAAGATGCTATCATTCTCCCTCTCGTCTCCTAAAATCGGGGCTCAGACTACGCGTATAACGATTGATCAGGCGCTGAAGGAGCCATGTTGGGCACTGCTGAATTCCTATGACCAGGACTTGGGAACCAAGAAGGCGAAGAGATGAGACTATTTCTTTTCCCTATGTGGTGATTGCAAGGGATTCTTATCGCTTCGGCGCCCATGGACTAAGCAAGGAATATGAGTAGAGCTATGTAAATGCTCGAGCGGATGTAGAAGGGGACTCATAGTTATGCTGACTAGCCATTGGCTCGTCCACCTTTTCCGGCCTTATCTCGAGGGCTTCATTTTAAGTCTAAAAAGTTTGTTTCTCAAATCACCTTCGCGACCTAGCACTTGCATCTTTCGCGCCAAATATCTAAGCCACCGCAACTAATTGCTGCCCATGAGGCGGTCCACTCAACACATCGTGTCCCAACGTGCGAGAGCATGGAGAAAGCCATCATCAGATTAACCAACCTACCCCTCTCGTTCTCATTCGCCAATAACTCGCAAAGGACCGTGAACTGGATGAACGCATGTGTTCGAACCCCCACATGCGACGGTGAAGCTAACTCCAGCGGATGCGGCTTCTTTAGTCCAGGCCTCGTCCCCAATACCCCGTATGGCAGCCATGGTGCGAAGATGTTGAAGGGGCTCCGTTGCTGCACAGTTCAGCCCATAGAGGTATAGCCAAGTATTCATTGAAAGTCGAAGCCGCTTCTGCGGCGAGCGGGGAATGTGTACTACGATGCACACAGAAGAAAAACGAGGCTGGCTATGCTCCTGGACCGAAGAAGCCACTGACATTTCCGATGCCGATGGGATCTGGCAAGAAGCTATTGATCTGACGATGAATCGTGGTGTTGTCCAGGTCGAGGGTTGACGGGATGCCAGTCATCTCGGGTGCGAAGTCGAGAGGACAAAATGGAGCGAGAGTCTGAAGTAGATATGTTTGAGAGTATGTGTATTGGGAGGCCTTTTTGTAGGCGCCGGAGTTCCTTGGCCCACCTGCAGGGGCGCTGAGCTCGTCTTGGTGCGTGCCGCCCATTCAGCCTTGTAGTGCAGCGAGTCGCTGTATGTTGCGAGAAGCGATGTTTCCGTTGCCGAAAATCTTTATCGGCCGCTGTATTGAAAAGAGTGCGACATGCGGGAACGCTTCAAGTCCTGTTTGCGTGGCCTAATCTGACTTGCATGAGTACCTGAAAACCTCCAGGAAGCCAGATGAGGTGGGAAACTACGCTTCTCTCCACAGTTTGGCCCCATTTTCTAGGAGCGGCAGCACCAACGAGGTCCTGGAATAGTCGTCTCTCCGATCAAAGCGACTGGTGACTTAGGGAAGGGCTCCGTTGCTGTTTTCTTCGCCTCCTTTCCCCCGAGTTGGTACCCCGAGGTTGCCGCCCTTCTCCGAGTATTCGATTTCCACGACAAACATGCGCTGGCCAAAGACCCTTTCCTTGAACACCGCAACATTCAAGCTCTCATGGTATATAGCGCCCTCGAAGCCATGGAACTCTTCCACCGCATTCCGCCACGGTTTCGAAGAAGCGCTCTTGTGGTACGCTTCAAAAGTACCGTAGGCGTGCCATACGTGATCGTCGAGGTGACACCAGGGCTTCGGCTCGTGGTAGTCGCTTTCCTGCCGCAATCCCAAGCTCAGGAAGATGCTGTAGCGGGAAGGCAGGGCCGGCGAGGAGTCGTGCGAGCTGAGCTCTAAACTTGCGTGCCACGAACGGAGGCCCCGGGCGTCTCTATCGCCCTGCAGGATTCGATCGGCGGCGTTCCACCATTCCTTTGGGAAGGCGTTTGTTACTTTGAGGCCTGGGGGAATACTCCGGAGGAGGAAGCCCCAGCGTCGGTGGACGCTGTTCGAGATGGACGGGATGCGGCTGTTTCTAATGTAGATCTCCCTCATCTGAAGCGAGGGGCTGTATACTGACAAGGACCTTGTGGGGAGAAGACCGACGTTGGTAGTCGTGTCGCGGATGTATAGGTTTGCCGTTAAGTGACGCAGAGGGATGACGACGACGTGTTTGAAGTCATGAGCAACGTGGCATCGCAGAACAGCTGCTTCCAGCTTGAGAGGAGTCCGGATCATGATCGGGGATCGCAGAGGCCGAATCTCTTCGTTGTATTCGTAGACCTGGAGCCAGATCCTAAGGCCGCGGTGCGTCAGTGCGTATGGTGCGACGGGGTCGTCAGAAGCAAACGGGACCAGGTTTCTGGCTTCGAGGAAATCTTTCGGATCGCTGGCCAGGGCATCGCCAGAGGTGTCGTCGGCGGCGATTTCCATGCTCTCCCAGGCGAAGAGCGTCTCGTCTTCGGAGATCTTCATGATTTCTTCCTGCAGTCGCCGGAACGCTTTCACTTTGCCCTCGCCGTACAGCAATGGCATGTTCACGTCGAAGATGCCGAGTAAGCTATACGCGATATCCTCGGCCCTGGTTGCTCGTCTTTCGGCGGCCCAGGACATACGCATGCTGATGCTTGCTGTATCCAGGCTTTGGCCCCTTAGATAGGCCTCCGCTATGCCGGTAACGGCTGATATCCGTCTACTGAGGGTCGCCTTCGTACCGAGACTCTTCCATTTGGAGGAGAAGAACTCCATGCCCGCTATTTCCCCCTGGCCAATGCTGCTGGGCGCCAAGAGCTCCTGCAACGTCCAGGCCCGAGTGAACCACTTGCTGCCTTTGAAATCATGCAAGCCTGACACATCGAAGAGGTAAGCATAGCATTGCGCGGCACGCTTATACCAAGCGAACATGGAATTAATGGCCTCCGAGAGCTCGGCGCTGCTGCTCTTGTCGATGCAGAGAGTGTCGATCCAGATCCAGTCAAAGCCATCGCGTCTGGCCTGCTCACAGGCTTTGCTGACCTTCTCAAATCCTTTCTTCTTCTTCGCGCTTTCTAGGTCAAACAGGTCGGCGAATAGGACCTCTTCCTCTTCCCATGTGTGGGATAGGATGGCGTAGGGCGGGGTATTATCCACGAACTCCTTTAACTGGAGAGCGCGCACATCTAGAAGCCGCATCGCAGGGGATCAGAGCTCGGTGGAGCATTGTTTTGCGGGGTGCTATCGCGATGAGAGGGCAGTAAGAGGACGGGAATTCGTGTTGCCTAGGAGTTGTGCATCCCAACCAGTTGTGTACGTGGGGAGTTGCCAAGGCGAATCTTAGTCAGCGCTAAACACAGCCCCTCTCAAGGCACCGTCTTTCTCGTGCAAGCTCAGCTCCACGGATAGTGATTTCATGCGACACCATTCTAAATCGTGGATATCGAAGTTTGTGCATTCGGGAATCCGTTACAGAACACGAAGATGATAGAAGCGGATCCAAGCCCAGCTTTTGTGAATGACTCACAACAAGATCGATCCCTACCGCTGCTTCAGGTGTCTTTCTTGCCCGCTGCGACGGCGAGTTCGACGCTCTTCGTGAAAGGCGGATACTCGCTCTTCCCATCAGCCACATTGACCACCTTCCCGTCCTCAACATAGACCTCCTCCCACCCAACAGTCAGCTCGGCTCTCTCCGCATCGACCATGTCCCCCTCCTCAGCGAGAAGAGCCTGGAAATCAGGATCGTGGAGGATTTCCATCATCTGCGCCTCGCTGCGGACCCAGAACTCGATTGTGATGTCGTGCTCGGCGATGGACCATCCGGGAGGTAGCTTGCCCTCCAGCATGTCGCGGCACGCTTTCGGCGTATGGTACTAGTTGGCGGTAAGCAGGGTGCTTTGCGCAGTTGGGTCCCCGGAGCGTTCTTACCTGGGCGACTTTCAAAGGCGCGTGGCGGGCCTGGATCGCAGCGGCCCTTGGAGCATGTTGCTGTGTCGCGAACTCGTGGAGCTGCTCTTCGGAGACGCCTTCTTTTCGGAATCGCTTTGAGGTGAATTTGAGAACGACTTCTTTCTGGGGTGCCATTGTGAGGTTTCTTTGCCCTGGTGTAACGTTTGCGAGAAGGTGAGAAGAGGTTCCAGGAATTATGGAGCGTGCGGCGTTGTTCTTATGCACGTCTAACCTGCCCCTCGCAACATGACTTCCTGTTTGACGTCTTACGGTTCCGCAGGGTGGATGGTGGAATTCCGCGTCTTACCCAAGGAAGCGGCCAATCACGTCGCTGTAACAACAGCGCTGCCTCGCTAGCCACTCAGAACGGCTTACTCTGCGCCTTCTTCTGCGCCTTGGTTTTTTCCTGGCATGGTCATGGGAGGCCTTAACAGCGTTTTGGATGGAACGTTATGGAACATCCCGCCAAGGTAGAGAAGAAGGTATATAAGGGGAAGGAGTAAATCCATTGCGGATACTAGTTCGCGGTTTATAGGCACGAAAGGAAAGTGCAAAGAAAGTAGACGCTCGACAGTATCTACCTAGCACTACGTGCTGCCACTAATTGTAACGCCTAACTCTTCCGTCTACCTAGCCTAATGAAAGATTGACGTACAAATACACACAGGCTGATAGGCTGTAAGTGGAAGCCCACCCCCACGCAGTACTTCTCTCTTCTCCCTCCCGACCTTCAGCCCTCGTACTTGCTAGTGTAGGCGATTCTGTACTCGTTCTTCTCCTTGCCCAAACAGTCCGGACATCAATTGTCAGTTACTTTGGAACTACCTTTCATCTAACACGCCTCAGGGCATTTCTTCTCACATTTGGCTCCGTCAATCTTCAATTTGCGCTTAGTGCTCTATTAGAATTTTCCGCGAGATCCGCAAGCATGCTTTCGAGTGATGCGCTGGCACATGTTGATCGCTTGGGTCGTGACGGCTCGACATAGCGATAGGCGATTGGGCGGGGTATTTGTTTTAGGCCCTGATGTTGTTATCAGATCGCAAAGACTGGTTTGTTGAGATATAGTAAAAAGTTCAGTGTATGGGGCAGGGTATGGTGCAGAAACGGGGGTATTCGAAGGCATTTTCATACTGGCTTTTCGAGTCATGGGGTTATTGGCTGTTTGACGATGCTAAGATTAGGCCCAGACTCCTTCTGGTACGGGGAGTCCATCGCGCACTGTCCCCATGCTATTCTGAGATACTCGGCTTGATACCAAACTATGAGTACGCATGGTCAAAATACTCATGCTCGAAGTACTCTTCGTCGATGCGCGGATCGTGGATTGTGGTAATGGCGATGATTCAGTGTTTCTACTTACGTGCGAATCTTCTGAGGTAAGGTTGAACATGCGGGACAGCAAGGACGATATAGTGATCCCCCATCCTAACTCATAGGGCTATGCTGGTGGGAGTGGGGAAAGGCGGAAAGGGGAGTGGTTGGGCACTGTCCGGTATGACCCACAACCGCGCACGAGCACTCCCTTTCAAGTCTTGGAACCCATAATAATACCCATAGTCGTGAAGGCATCCGGTACCCATTTTAAAGAGTGGACTAGACACATCTTGGTTTTCTCGAAACAACCTTTCCAGCTTTCTTATCGACGCGTTGTTGGAGTGCGGGAAGCGCCGACGAGCCTATTATGCACGAGCATGTTTGAGGAGACACTAGGGTACCATTGTGCCCGCCTAGCACTTCAAGCCTCGTGATCTGCCGCAACAATGTATTGTCTTATTGAATGTTACATCTACATCATGGTCATATGTACAAAAGCCGTGAGCTCTCCGTACCTCAATCCCACTGGCTTTCCAGCCTATGATTACCTTCTTGATTCCACTCATTACTCGTCTGCAACTTTCTTGTTCCTACACACTGAGTATAAATCATTCCCTGATCCAGTCGAAAGCCATATGCGACAGCACGTGTGACGGTACTTCCACGACGCGATAAAAGCCCTCTGCTCCGACTGCCGTCGCCGCGACAGACGCGAAGAAGCAGACGGCAACCGACGCAGCACCGTTCGCAATAGGCAACATCTAGTAGAGCCTGATGCCAAGCGTGTATACGATGATACTGGAGACGAGGAACCAGCCTACAGGGATGCATTAGCCATGAACTGGCTAACCAAAGGGAGTAGAAGACTCACTCAACGACCGTCTCCCCAAGTAGACAAATAGCGGATTCGCCAACGCCCACTGAAGCACATCCGACGTCTCAATGAACAAGAAAAATCCCAGCAGCACGAGGTAGTTATCATCTCTCGCCTGTGGCTGCTTGACGTCGAAATCTTCGTTCAGGCCTCCGGTGTAATACAAGCCCCCGTGCGCGATCAGTTCGGCGTCGTGGTACTCCGGGCGCCACGCAACCCAGAGGTACTGAATGACCAGGCCAGAGGCAAGGATCATGAGATACACGACGTATGAAGGGCACCGGATTGATCGCCATACCTTGATACCCCGCTGCGCCTTCGCTTTGAAGTCCATGTTCGCGGCCATGTCGGTGAGGAGGAGGCCGGTTATCGAGTACCAGGCCCAGGACTGGACCCACCAGGCGGTGATGATGACGAATATGGCGCCTTTGACGCGCCACGAGCGACAGGTGTAGGGTTAGATAGCGTACATATCTATTACGACTGCTTAACCCTCTGTTTTAGAGACGCCCCCTAGAACGAGGCCCCACAGAGTCCGATTTATAAAAGATCGCTCTATCCGAAGGGAATAGACCCTGAGAAGAAGTATCAAACAGGAGTATATCGTAGACGTCATAGCGCTGCGTTCCGTGCGGGCTGAAGACCACGGGAGCCTTGGAAGGATGAAGCCATCGCACGTTGCGGACTGGACTTGAAATGGTCGTGCTTTCTCGCCCATGTGCTTAGCGACCCGCAGTTTCTTCCTGAGATGGATGACCCCTTCATCTTAAAGAAAAGACTCTGCACTAGTCCATGAGAGAAGGCATCTTCGGTGTAGACTTGGGAGCGGGGGAGACTGGAGCCGATGGATTGTGGCTGGCACTAGAAGGCCGCGTATTCGGAGCAGGCGAACTTGCTGGGAGGCCGGGTGAGAGGAGCCTGAGTTGCTCGATGATAGCTGTACATTGAATAAGCGGAGCGATGCACTTCTTTCCGTTGGTGACCTACACTCAAACCCTTTGTACCGCTGTAGCTCCGCCTCCTTGGTCGCGAGATTGGAGGTCAGTTCTTCAATTTTACTCTCACTCTTCACGTGCTGCTGTGTGGAAGCGCCTAGTTTCCCCTCGAGCGCTGCTACATCGTTGCAACGCTTGTCAAACTTCGTGGACAGATCCGCGTTGGCAGATTCCAGAAGCATACGTTTCTCTCTCTCTTTGGCAATCTGCACTTCCAATTGCTGTAGCCTCTCGGCTTTGTGCTTGTTGTCCTGGTCATAGCGCGCAAACAGGACTTTTCTTCGTTCCTCGCTCTGGCGGAAGAAGTCGGTATGTCGCCGATTTTCCTCCTCGAGGAAGTCCCTTGATTTCTCGATTTCGTCTTTCTCGGCGAGTAAGCGATCTCTTTCGACCGCAGACCTTTCCTTCTCTTTTTCCTTCTCGTTTTCAAGAGTTTCGATTTTATTTTGGAGGTTCGCCACAGTGGCCTGCAGTTGATGCATCTCTGACTGCTGCTCAAAGAAATATCGCTTGACCAGTTGGTACTTCTGTTTCAGTACTTCGTGTTCATTCAGCAGGTGCTGTACTTCCTCGTGTGTCATCCCGTGCTCTGCGAACGTAGCGTTACGTATTAGCAAATGTTTGAGACTTCAGCAAAGAAATCAAGGGAATAGTATGCGCCCGTTGTCTTTATCCGCAAAGGTCCCAGGGATCGGCTCCCCAGATCAAGGACTCAGACATGCTGGTAATATACCCTAATATACGTACCCGGTTTCGGTGTTTCGACTATTGTATCGGCGTCTGATCCATTCTCCGACTGTTCTTGTACAGGAGCCAGATTCACGCTGCCCCTCGATTGCGCGAGGGCTCTTCGATAAGCTTGCGAGTTTACGACGAGATCATCAAAGGCGAAGTTCGTGGAAGTAGCTACCGAGTCCACGGAGTACAGACTCGCAACATCGTCTATCTCGAGCTCAAAAACGGAGCCGGGGGCTTTGACGCGGGGGTTGGCGTGGCGGAACCTGGTGGTTTGATGGGCAACGCTCTGCAAGACGGTGGTGTTGTTCTCTAGCAGTATCCGAATATCATGGATAGAACCCCTGAGTCTCTTCAGTATCCAGAAGGAAGAAAGGACCGTCGACTGTGACGTACATCTGAAGCGCTTGGATCAACAACCCTAATGCGGCCTGCTGCCCTCGTATTTGGACTAGCACATCCCGCATCGCATCCTCCTTCCAGATCAGCTTGATCCTCCCCATGGATCCAGCCAACCCGTCTTTTTCAATAGCGACGTACAGTCGCTGGACCTCGTCATCCAGGACCGAATAGACCAGAACGCAGCCCGTTAGCGCCTGGTCAAAAGTGGCTTCCAACTCGGGGCGCTCTAGTAGCGTCGATCGCAACGCATCTGGGTTCCTAGTACAGAGGCCTTGGATATGGGCAAGGGAGGTTGAGATGACTGTGGATTCAGAGTAGATAGCCGTGATGGTCATGGAAGCATCCCGGTACTTTCCGCGGAGGTCATATAGTGCGCGAGCGGTGCGAACGCATCGAGCTGAAATGGCAATGACGGTGCTGGTAATGGTGAGGGGATCCATATCTCATCATCTATGGGATTCGTGACGGGATCTAGACGATGTGGTTGAAGAGTGCAAGGCTGGAGTGATATCGACCCGGCGGCTAGAGCGGAGGATGAGCTTGGCAACTCAGCCTTCTCACACAGCCTCCAACAAGATCCAGCCGAGTCGCTTCATCTTCCTACCACGAGATAGCAACATACTATACTTTCCGTTTTATCGGTATCAACAATTTTCAGAAAGCCTCATCATTGCGATTTACGTGGATGGCACGGGAGTGTCGTCATGTTCCCGTATCGGGCCATCCCACCAACTGAAACAGGCCAACAAGCATATCAAGCTCCTGCGCTAAGACGATCGGCAAACTCATCTCAGGGTTCTACGCTGCATGGGTTTGCTTGATCTTGCTTCGACTTTTATCAGTTCTTCTCTTCATTATTCTAGACCACTTTCCGCGCGAAGCGACGGCGTCCTCATTTCAGCAAGCGACGCGGTCACAAGCCTCTCGAAGCAATAGCGGACCAGCTAACCAGAGTCCACACAAGCCGATTTGACGCGAGTTATGTCAGCGTGTTAGAGGCTCGGCGCTGCGCTGCTTAGGCCGCCACCTGCCGCCTGCGCGAACCCCTATCACCACCATTTGGATTTCGTCCCTCGTTTTCCTATGCCCCGCGACACTCTTGTATCGCTTCCAGCTGGCTTCGCCCCGATAAGGATTGCTGGCAGCTTGGCGCCGAGTACACGATATGCACCATCGCACCCATGAATGGCTAGGCTCGTCGCTCGATCTCCTGAAGAGGGAGGTTACATGGCGTCAATCCATGGTGTTGAAAAGGCTTACTTGAGGTGCAAGCTTCCCCCCATGGCCTTCCAGGGTCTTCCACTCCTCTTGTCCGTCTCTTGACATCTCTTGTCGGTACTACGGTTTGCTTCTATTCTTCCATCCAGCCCTTTATCCCAGTCATTTCTTTTAATTCGTAATGCCATCATGATTCGCAAGGGCTATCGTCTGTCGTTAACGCATCTCGCTATTTACATATCTGCCTTCTTTTTTGCTTCGCAGCTTTGGTCGGTATGGAAGCAGTCAGCATATGGCTTCCAGTCGTATATGTCCGCTAATTGGCAATTTGACGCGGACGTGCATGCGAATGTGCATACCCTCAGCCATGAGCAGTGCGACATTGCGTTCCCAAAACTTTACTACAGCCTGGACCAGTCGATAAAACGGCGGCAGGGTAGGAAAGTGCATCCGCAGGATATTGAGATTTCGGAGGGAAGGTGCATGCTGCGGGTTGTGATCTACGAGGGCGAGGTATGTTGAAGATTCTGCCCATTACCCATAAGTGGGCATGGAAGGCGCGGCTCTATTCGAAAGTCTTCCGCAGCGAGGACTGACAGAGAAGCAGCTTTTCGTAGTCGACTCCGGCATGCCCGAACGGTGCTACGTAGCCAACGGCAACGAACGCGAACGCATCCTCGGCACCCTCGCACAGATCGACCGCGCTCTCAGCACCTCGCCCACCTCCGACCCCTCAATACCAAACATCGAATTCTCGCTCTCGCTCGACGACCTTCCGCGACGCTCGAAAGGCAAGGGCACGTTCTTTGGATACACTAGGAAAGAAGGGCACGAGTATAACGATATCTGGTTGATGCCGAATTATGCATACTGGAGTTGGAACTATACTCATGCGCCGAGTTGGAATAGCATCAGGAGGGAGATCATGGCCGCCGAGAAGCAAGTGCCATGGGCGAAAAAGGACCCAAGGGTTGTTTGGAGAGGCAAGATCAAGATGGCAGAGTTGAGGAAGGAGCTTGTAAGGGTCAGTCAGGGGAAGAGCTGGAGCGATATTAAGCCGGTGGTGATCAATGATGCGAAGGATAAGCATACTAAGGATGTGATGAACTTGCGTGAATTCTGCGGGTAGGACCTTCGCCTGATGAAATAGGGCAGCGGATGCTAATCGGAAAATAGGTACAAGTTCACCGTCCAAACGGAGGGCACTTCCTACTCCGGCCGCCTAAAGTACCTTCAGCTCTGTCGCTCGGCCCTCATCACGCACCCGCTCCAGTGGCAGGAGTTCCATACGCATCTCATGAGCCTCGCCGGCAAGGACATCAATTTTATTGAAGCTTCGGAGAACTTCGGGAACCTGGAGTCGGCGATGGAGTACTACCTCAAGCACGACGACGAAGCGGAAGAGATTGCTAGAAATAGCTACGAAACGTTCGCCAGACGGTATCTAACTCCAGCAGCGGTAAGATGAACATCCTTCTACTAGCAGCAGGAGTCCTGGCTCATCCAAATACAGGTCACTTGCTACTGGCGACGGCTCTTCTTTTCCTGGGCCTCGGTTCAGGGCTACGAGCCGCAACTGTACGTACCGGACCGGAACGGCAACACAGTGATGCGCGCGACACCATGGACCGCATTTGCAGCGAATTGGCCGCAGGATCCTTCCATCATACCATAGAATTCTAAAGAGTAGAACATAGAGGAGGAAGCATGACGAAGGTACCAGGTTTAGAGATGATACCCATATTCCGTACAAACAGCATAGTTAAGGATGTTTCATTTTCTTTATATTCAATCTTATCCTCTCTTCGTTCCCAATAGCCAGATCGTTGACAGCGCGCACCACGGATCAGTACGTTGCAGTCAACCTCTTCACCATCCATTCGCCCGGAACAATGGGCCCATACTTCTTCGGCCTCGCCTCGGAAACGCAGTTCTCGATCGCGTTAATGATGCGCTCGTGATCCGGATGTGCAAAGAACTACACCATCATCAGCACTTCAGCCACGCTGCTATCTAGGGCGAGACCACTTACTGCAATCGAGTACCTCGCCGAATACTTTCCGTCTTCCGTCGTCACCGCATTTGGCGGGCTCACAACCCGATGGTGCGTCGACTTAATCACATCATTCGTCCAAATCTGCAGCATATCCCCTACATCTCCTAGTCAGCACCTCACTGCCCTTACCCTTCCTACCAGCTACTCGCACGAGAAGACCCACATACCAGCGTTAATCACAACAGCCCCCTCAACCGGCTCCACATGCACCCACTCCCCCTCCGGCGTCCTGACCTGCAGCCCCCCACTCCCATCCTGAAACAGCAGCGTAACAGTCCCATAGTCCGTATGACTCCCCGCTCTCACCGCGCCCTCCTTCTCCAGCACCGCCTTCGGCACACTTGGATAATGCAGCAACCTCAGCACATGATCACCAGCCGTAACATACTGCTTAAACCACTCTCGTTCCAGCCCCAAGCCCTCCGCAATCGCGCAAAGAAGCTGATGATGCAGATCATCGCACTTCTCGTAGAACGCGCGCATCGCAGCGCCAAACCCCGGCAGCGCATCATCGGGATAGTGGTTCTTCCACGGCTTCGCGGGATACCGGCCCCCTTCCTCATCACTGCCTATTTCGAGACTCTCTTTCAAATCCGGCAACATCGCCCTTAGTTTCGCAACCGCGTCCTCGCCGCCGTCTTCTAGATCCGCATTCGTCGTCTTCTCAATGCCCATGCCGCTGTACCCGCGGTTCGCCGCTTTGTTGGTGTTCGGATGCTTCATTTTCTCGTCCAGCGGCAGCGCGAAGTATTTCTCGGACCAGGAGTATGCGTCAGCGGGGGAGAGCCCGCTGTGCGTCAAGTAGAGGAATCCTGAGGTAGTGAAGCCGGCCATGATGGCGGCGATGCATGATTTCTTCTCTTCTGGAGTGCCGTGCAGGTATTTTGAGAAGTCGATGATGGGGATGCGGAACTGGGGTGGGTTGGTGGTGGTGGCCTAGCGAGGCTGTAAGCCTTATGCTCGACATCTGTTCTTTTGTTGGCATCGCTAAAGTGGGGATTGGACGGGGGGAAACTGGGCTGGGGGACGTTACCTGTGGAGTTGCCATTGTCGGGGCAAAGTCGAGGGCGGTGCCGGACAGCGCTAGGTGGAGATCTAGAGTTGGCCTGGGCGCGGAGGCAGCGAGATTCGTCTGAAGCGGATCATAGAGGTGGGAGATTATATGGATCAAAGGGCATCAGTTGGGCGCTTGAGCGTGCGGTAAGATGGATGCCCCGCTTGTTGAGGGCGGTCTCCTCCGAAAGGAGGTGGGCTCGCATATCCGATCGCGTAGGAATTCGAACATGCATCAAGCTAGACTAACTGCGGGCGGCGTAGCTTGGTATCGCACGGATTGTGGACCCATTTACGGCGTTCTCTTCTAATATTGAAAGGGCTTCAGCTGTCGATGAACCAGTGCATGCGTCACATTGTAGAGGACTATTCCGTGGATCCCGATAGCTCAAGGCAACCCCCAAGTTGGCATAAATTGTGTACCTGTTTGAACCTACAGCAATCCCTTCCCCGCCATCCTTCCCATCACCCTACCCGCCAAACTCTGATAGATATCCCGCATCCCATCCATACCCTTCCACCTCTCCGCACACCACTGCAATAACACCAGGCAACTATTACTCGCCTCCCACAAGCCCTTCCACTCAATCGCCCCATAAGTCAGTTCGCTCGTCTCAGCCACAAACTCCAGCTCTTCCATTCTTTTCAACACGCGCAGCCGTCCGTCCAGCACAAGCAGCGCGTGCGCCATGAGAGTCAGACCAGCGAGGTATATGTAGTGCGCCGAGAGAAATGTCATCGGGTAGATACCGAGCGGTGACGACTCTGATGCCCGGACGACTTTTTCGTAGGTCTGCAGGAGAGAAATGGCGGAGTGGAAATTATCTTGGGGTATAGCAGTTGTACCAAGGCCCTCGAAGATGCCGTCGTCTTCTTCAGTGGCTTTCAGCGCACGGAGCATGATTGGCTGGAAGATAAAGCACATAGTGGAATGGTAGCCCACGTCGCAAGTGATGGTCGCTACGCCCGCGAGATCCTCGCTGACGTCGAGGTCTTTCCGCCAGTCACGGAGGGTAGCACAGCGTTCTTTGTACCATGGCCAATCGTAGGATGGTGGATTTGCGGGGAGGTAGAGGACTTTGAAAAGTTCGGAGCGTAGGTAAACAAGGCGATAGTGGTGCGCTATAGAAATTGGCTGAAGGGTCTCTTGGTCAACGTCAGATGTTGAGGTGAGGATCGAGGGGTATTCCGTTGTGATGATCGACTCTGGGAGGTCGGAGCCGCGGCCGAAGAGCTGGCCTGTTATGCGTTCGATCGCATACACTACCTAGGCCATTAGCAATAGTCACTCAAACCATGGAAGATATGGCGAGCTTACAGCCCCAAAACGTTGACCTCCTCAACTTCCTCTGCCGCTCGTCCTCCGCGATCCCATCTCCCTCCGTTTCGGTGTGATAACCAAGTTCGACTGTTAACCGACATGCGTAGTCCAGCAACTTCCAGATGTCTCCCTTCCTAGGATTAAACAAGCAGAATATAGTCAACAATAGCAGTGCCTGCAGGCTCGCGGGACTAACTTCGCTCGTGACTTCTTCCACGCATGCAAGAGCGTCGTGGTAGTATGCCATGCTTTCCGTAGCAAGCTGTGGCTGATACCTCGCCCGAGTTGCACACGCAATGGCGCACATCATGCTGATGCGAAAGTAGGCGTGTGCTTCCGGGCCATGAAGTGTCGGCAGAAGAAAGCCGGTGGATCGCAGGGTAAGGTAAGTGCTTATATCTTTCGGACAGGTATTCTCGTCTATAATGCCGTAGAGAATATTGGAAGATGATAGGAAGACCTTGCAGTGCGCTTGGACGGCCTCTGGCTGACCATAGCTCTCGTTAGACAGTCGCTGCTGAATTTCAAGGATAACGCCGTCTTGAGTTGGTGTTGTCGGTTCGTACTCGATGGGGAGAATACCCTTCGTCGATGCATGATGAAGCACTTCAACACTCAGTGTGAACACTGAGGAGGAGCCAAAGAACCGGGACCGATTCGGAACGGAAGCGATAGGAAAGTGTTTGTCAAAGGAATGGTAAGCGGGGTTTTCGTGTAGCTCGTCTGAGAGGAACGTTTGGGAGAAATTGGATACTAGGGGGCTAATAGCCGGCTGTTTCCTAGGTGATAATTGCACCTGGCGATCACAAGGCGAGGTCGAAATGGTGTTCTTGACCGCTTGAAGGTGTTCCACTCGTGTGATTAGTGATTGTACGTACCTGCAAGACTTCGATCAGCAAGACATAGGATCCAGAACGGTGGCAGCCTACGCTCTAGGTAATGACTGTTGCAGTGCATGATCAAACAGCATGCACTCAGCGCCGGCCTTCTGACACAACCGGCAATCCGGTAACTGCGTGTCACACTTTCTTCTCAGTCTCCTACATCTTTGACAAGTTGGAAGAAGCGGCTGAATCATTTCTCGCGATGCCATACTGTGACTAGGCGGGCTGGGAGTTTGCGCCGCGACTGTTGCTTTGGTTGCTTGCGCTCGGAGAAGAGAGCTTGGTGGAAGCGCATTGCGTAGGCCCTAGCATGGCGTACCCCTTGTCATGATAGCGTCGGGTGAACATTGCCGACACTAAGCTGGACCCTGCATTTAGGGCCGATGCAAGATAAGAGTAGGAGGGGTCCTCGGACATGTCCGCTCGCACGCACAACTCCTTCTGCCGCGTGAGCAGGACGGAAATGGCATCCAAAGGAAAATGGAATGCATCGGGGTTGACTGCTCTGGTCCTGTCGCGATGACCAGGCGAAAATTGCTTGCGATCTCAAAACCAACCGCATATTTCTCATAAGCAAATTTCACAGATCTGTGCCTCTTGACACAGGCTCGCTTTGGGAGAAGCGATCGATATGGCTTTCACGAACAAGCGCATCGCAGTGATCGGGGGCGGCTTGGGTGGTATGGCGTTCGTGAACTCGGCGCTGTATGCTGGACTGGACAACATCCATTTGTACGAGGCCGCGCCAGAGTTCACGGAGGTGGTAGGTATCCCCTCATCCTAGCGTTCGCGGGATTTTGACAGCAAGATAGGGCGCAGGAGTGAACATCACCCGTAATGCGAACCGTGTGCTCGACGCCTTCGGCCTCAAAGATGCGATGTGGCGGATGAGCTCACGCAATCCACCCTCTTACATGGAGTATCATCACTACCGGACCGGTGAGCTCCTCGGTCGAATTGAAGAATTTGGTGAACCACGGTCGCGGCAGATCCACCGCGCGCACTTGCTCGACGTCCTTCGCTCCAAAGTGCCCGACTCCAAGATCTCAAAGGGGAAGAGGCTAGTCAAGCTTGACAGGGACGCCGGGAACAACTGTTACATCCTCCATTTCATAGACGGCACGGAAGAGACTACAGACATTGTTGTAGGATGCGACGGCATCAAGTCAATAGTGCGAGAGCACTTGGGCTTCAGCGACAAACCCATATACTCCGGGCAAATGGTGTACCGCGGGTATGTCTCATACGATGATCTGACACCCGCAACGGCAGCTCTTCTCCAAAAAACAGTCAATTTTCGCGGTCCCCAGCGACACGTCCTCACGCTGCCCATTGGCAACGACGAGAGTAAGTCGGCGCGCGTGGGCATCATTGGATTTATGACTGAGCCACTCGAGAACTGGAAGTCTGAGTCGTGGCTCGCGACGGCACCCGTGGATGCGTTGGAGGCGCAGGTAAAGGACTGGTGTCCCGCGGTACAAGAGATCATCTATGGGCTGAGGAAGGGAGCAGGTGAGACAGGCGAGATCCTGAAGCAGACGCTGTACGTGAGGGAGCCGACAGAGAAGTGGTGGAGTGTAGAAAGCGATGCAGCCGGAAGTGGGATAATCCTCATAGGAGACTCAGTGCATAGCACGCTGCCGCATCAAGGTAAGGTTTCCGAACTCGACTCCACTTCCCCGCACAATGAATCCTTCCGAATCCTAATTTTTAGACATGACGCGGCTAACTTTTGATGAATAGGGCAAGGAGCATGCCAAGCGATTGAGTCCGGCTTCGCGCTTGCACAGGTACTCAAGCACTGGCAAACGCCCAATTTGGCCGATGCATTTCAGTTTTTTCAAGATTTCAGAAAGCCTCGAACGGACCGTATCACCAGGTCCAGCTACGAGACGGGCAAGATGGCGAGCGCGGATATCCCAGAAGAAGAGTGGGCTACCGCGTTCTCCCCTAGTATTGTCCGAGAGCGTATGAGATGGGCCATGGAATACGATTTGTTGGGAGAATTGGCGGGCAGGCTTGCTGCGAAGTTTCCGCAGGAGGGGAAGAAGCAGGCGCTTTTTAATGAGACGGAGGTTCCGGTGGCGAGTGTACTGTGACTGACGAACCGTATGGTGAGGAGGTTGAGACCTTCGTATCTGCCGCACTGGCGACTCCTTTCTCGTACATAGTTTCAAAGGTCGACAACACCCAATTTCATCGGACAGGGATGCATGTGTTGATGCGCCAATATTCCGCTGTCGTCTGGACGATCCCCCACTTCTGCTATTCCGCAGGTGTCAAAAGTGGGATACCACGTGCACGCCAAAGTCTCTTCCAATCCGCGCCCTCCAATTGGACTATTGTACTGTCGTTTTTACGACGCGCATATCCGGCTCCATGGAGCCGTAACCGGGCTAGGAACGGTCGAACGCTAAGCTCCACCATTATCTCGCCTTGGCGCAAGCCACCAAGGTTAAGCTTGCGACCCCAGATTAGGGCAGAGATACCAGCACAGGAGATACCGCTGCTGGGCACGCGAACTTGGCACGGAGTTTCGCGTCCCACTCTTTGCGATAGGGACGAGAGCTAATTTCTGGTCTGGCCTCAGAGGCTTGATAGATTTAGCGGGAGTCGAAGTGGTAGAGTTATGACCGGAAATGCTGGGAATCCGCAAACTATAAGGTTGTCGAAATCCTTGCGAGTATTTGCTTGCCATTCCTGCAAGAGTGGAGGACTGTTGTACCTCGCTCGACGATCCAGGAAAGGTTCGACACAACTTAGTCCTTTACCACAATTTTACCCATCCTTGGGACCTCTCCTGAACACTTCATTGACGGCACGGATAAAGCGCGAAGACCAACTCCATAATGGACTCAGAAAAGACCCCCGAAGCCTTCGCGGACATTGAAAGGTCGGCCGGGAGCTCTACTCTCCACAATGGCACGGTGGAAGAACTCGCGATCAGCGAGCCAACGAACAAACTCCAGCGTTGGGCTAACAAGCTTGATGCGCTGGCCGGCGTTGAAGCTCGTGGTATTGAGCGTATCTCGGAAGAGTTGAGAGCGAGGAAGATGACTACCCACGATTATGTGCAAATGTTTACTATGTGAGTCGAACTGCGCTCCGTGATGGATAATTCGCTGATGGATTCGCAGCTGGTTTTCGATGAATTGCACTGCGAACCAGATGACTCTCGGCGTCCTAGGTCCTGTAGCCTATGGCCTGGGTCTTACAGACTCTATTGTGTACGTGCGGGGACCGTTACGTTATTCAATCTGAGACGGAGCTAAACACGCGTTCAGTTGCTGCCTGTTCGGTACCATCTTCGGCTCCCTCTGCACAGGGTACATCTCAACCTTTGGCCCGATGTCCGGTCTCCGTACGCTCAATGTCGCGAAGTACACCATGGGTTGGTGGCCCTCAAAGCTCTGCGTCATCCTAAACTTGGTCATTGAGCTGGGCTACGGACTGATCGATTGTCTCGTCGGCGGTCTCCTCCTTTCCGCGGTCAACGGAGGCGGTATGTCGGTCATCGTAGGTATCGTCATCGTAGCTCTGATTACCTGGGCCGTCGCCACGTTCGGTATCAAGTGGTTCCACAAATTTGAAGCGTGAGTTGGCACTTCCTCCAGCGTACTGCTGCTACACACTAACGCATAGTCAGCTATGTTTGGGCGCCTACAGTCCTGGTCCTTTTCGTCATGATAGGGGTCGCTGGTCCACACTTTGACACCAAACCTCCTTCCAGCGGTTCTGGCGCTGTGCTCATCGGCAACCGCATCTCATATTTCTTCTTGACTTCATCAGGACCTCTAGGATGGGCCTCTGCATCGGCCGACTATATCACATATTATCCGGCAAGCTCGAGTCGTTGGCTTACGTTCGCGATGACGGCTGGAGGGATAATATGCGGCAAACTGCTCATCGAGTTCCTCGGCATAGGGCTGGGATCTGGCCTTCTCAAAAACCAAAATTGGGCTACCGCTTTCGAATCACAGGGTATTGGAGCTTTGGTGGTGGAATCCTTCTCGCCCTTGAATGGATTTGGCAAGTTCTGCTGCGTCGTTCTTGCGCTTTGCATTGCCGCAAACAATATCCCAGGTTCTTATGCGGCAGCCTTGAACTGCCAGCAGCTCGGCCGCCCTCTTGCGAAAATCCCTCGCTTCGTATGGAGCACCATCGTCTGTATCGTGTTTACTATCATCGCCATTGCCGGACGAGACAACCTGTTCGATATCTTCATCAACTGGCTCAGTTTAATCGGGTACTGGACGATCATATGGATTGCGATGACCTTCGAGGATGAATTCCTTTTCCGACATGGCAACTTCGACTGGGAGATTTGGAATAGGAAGGATCTTTTGCCTCATGGATTTGCCGCATTCCTTGCTTTCTTGGTCGGATGGGCTGGTGCTATTCTGTGCATGTACCAGACGTGGTACACTGGTCCCATTGCTGCGCTTGTGGGACATGGATCCGATTTAGGTCTGCCCGTCGCGCTTGCTTGGACTGCGATGGTGTATCCTCCGGCTAGATGGCTCGAGCTAAAGGTGGTCGGCAGGTAAAAGGACAGACAATACGCGATACACAAGGCAGCCAATCAGATGGGAGAGGGTAGAGGGTTTGTAGTTTTAGAGACGTAGTTTCTCGCGCCGCTCCGATTCAGCAGAATTGGAACTTGTTCATCTGTCAGTTTTCCACGACCACTCGCAAGCGGCGGATCTGATGCGTGCTCAAGTATCAAAAGGGGGAGGTTGAGTTCCACTTTGACGAGACCAAGTTGCATTGTTATGGTAGGCGGCATCTGGGACTTTTGAATGCCCACGTCTGTGAACCACTGATCAGGAAGGCGAGATGCAGAAAATGAAAGGCGGAGGACATCGTAGTTGTGAAGCCGTCCCAAGAGTGAAGCGACTGGTGGAATTGTTTTAGAATGATGTCGGTCTCTATCTCAAATCTTGGCTGTGGAACGCCGAAGGTAATCGTCGTATCGCAGGTATGCTCCCAGCAAAGCCTCTGCTCCGGCTGCACAGTCCTCTTCGCGAGAGAACTCTGCTGGATGGTGACTGACACCATCTCGGCATCGGACGAAGATCATGGCCGTCGGGACCTTGCGAGATGTATAGACAGAATCGTGGCCAGCGCCGCTAACGATTTCCATGTCACAGCCGAGTTCAGCCGCGGACTGCTTAACGCAGCTCACCATAATGGGATCGAAGTTGAGAGCTGGACTGATCCAGAAGTTGTCGAACGTCATCTCCAAGCCATGCTGTTTACAGACCTTCTCGAAGCCTTCCCGGCATTGCTTTTCGATCAGTTCTACATCGATATCGGCCGGTGCGCGGATGTCAAGGCCGAGATTGACCTTTCCAGCTATGGTGTTAATGCTCTGTGGTAGAGAGTTGATGACCGCAATCGTGGCCCGTCCTCCTCGTAGACCAACCTCCGTCTCGGTCACGATTCGGTTAGTTTCCACGATCATCTTGGCTGCTCCGAGAAGGGCGTCGCTTCTTCGGTCCATGGGCGTAGTGCCGGTGTGAGCCTCCCTTCCTTGCACGCCGACATTATACCAACGGATCGACTGGACGCCTTTGACAATTCCGACAGGTTTCCGGGCAACGTCCAGTATGGGACCCTGCTCGATGTGGACCTCGAAGTGGGCGAGAAGAGGGTTCGCTTCGAATGAGCATGGGGTGGGTCCCATGTACCCTATCCGCTTCAACTCCCCGCCCAAGGTATTCCCCTCTGGATCTTGCCGTCCTTGCGCATACTTGACGGTGAACTCTCCGCCCCATACACCCGAGCACAGCATGGCCGGCGGGAATCGTGCGCCTTCCTCATTGGTCCAATTCACGACGGCCACAGGAGCGTAGGTGGTGATGTTGTTGGTATGCAGGACCTGCAATACCTCCATTCCACAGACAACACCTAGTATCCCATCATACTTTCCCCCGGTCGGTTGCGTATCGAGATGGCTGCCGAGGCCAATGGGTGGCAGGTTATTGTTCTGTCCGGGCCGGATCGCGAAGATGTTGCCCATTTCGTCGACCTTGTGATGACAGCCATACTTGTTCGTTTCGGAGATGAACCAGTCGCGCACGCTCTTATCGTCGTCGTTGCACGTAAGGCGGTTCATGCCGCCATCGGGAGTGCTGTTGAGGTATGTCAGCGTCCAAATCTTCTTTGCCTCCAGCTGAAGCGCAACCTACTTTCCCCATGCACAGGCGGCCTGCAGGGTCGCATTGGTACGAGCAGCATCGACGTGGAGACCGCTGTACTTGGTCGAAAGTTGAAGCGAAGGGAGCGCCACAGGCTCAGACGCTATGGGAGTGGTAGCCATAGGTCGTAGAAGGCAAGCGGGAGCAGCTGGTAGGCAGTTCTGTCTCTGAACATGAGTTCCTCGACTTGTACATGGACAAGGCCGCAGAGCAGCCTCTTTAACAGAGGACTACATCCTGATCCGGCAGGAGGACGCGGAACCTGGGCGGAGCCGCGGCGGTGGAGGATGGGATTCTGCGGAGTTCAGCGTGCGGATGCAGGGACGTAGCAATAGTGCCCCCATCGATCAAAAGCGCAATCACTCATGCAGGAGAGACTGTAGGCACGGCAATTGTCGGTAGTAGCCATTAGCGCCGAGAAGATGGGGAGGTGGTGCAGGAATGTCGCCAAACACGAAGATCGCGGCTCCCGAGATCGCACAGTCGGAAAAGTGTTGCTTAGGTAAGCCACTACAGCATTCCACATCTCATTGTGCCGCTCTATCGAGGCCATACACACTCCCAGGAACCTCGCCAACCTCGCTGAGCATGATACGAGCGCTATGCATTCCATCAGACCCAAGATGGCGGTTAACATTACGTGCGCCAGCAGCTTCGGAGATGTGCGCCGACCCAGTTCAGCCCCTCGGTGGGCCCGGATAACCCCACCGGCAACGCTTATCGCACAGTAAACTTGATCTGCCCGTTACGTTTGCCTTTTCTCTGGATGCCGTCCGACGAGATGGTGGAGAACGCGAATGTCCGACCATCATGAGCACCGAATGTCAGCGCAGTGTCCTGTCGTGCTCGCGCTGCCGCAAGAGGAAGACCAAAGTAAGTGAAGAATCTCCAAACCAAACCCCGCATTGAACCCTAGGGCTGCGGATTATTTTATCTGGAAATCAGAGAGCTGACCATTTCGAAGTGTGACCGAAAGCTGCCATCATGCAGTCAATGCGTCTCCGCGAAAGCAGAATGCACAGGGTTCAGTGTAACTTCTACTGCCAAAGACATCCCCCGCTCAGTCGTCCGTCATCTAGAATATGAGATTGCTCGGCTTGAAACAGAGCTCGCACACAGAGGGCAACTTGAAGCTGTCAATGGTGCCGACATCTTACTGCAGATGCCGACTGGTGTTGCCCGGGAGGGAATCCCTGACTTCAATGAGCCGCGACCTCAGACAGCGGTGACCATCCTTACCGAAGAACGTGAGTTCTGCAATGGAATGGCTCAACGGCGCGTGTGGATCACGAACCTTGCCGTTGGCCATAGTGTGGTGACTCCGAGCGCTGACTATCCTCAGCTACGTCACCGCTTCCCATAGTCGGCCCCTTGGCACAGTCTATCATGCTCAGTCGCTCAGTTCAGTCGATGATATCCGCCACCCTACCTCAGGGTCCCGGATTGATAGACCTTGTGTCACGAGTGCGAATGGGATTAACTCCCTCCTCCGCCTCAGCCGTAGTACAGTCTGCCATCTCGAACGACATCACCAGAAGCCTTGGCTATAAGGCATCCGTGTCCACCCATGTGCCCAAGCCTAGTCAAATTGAAGATCGAGTACTCAGGAGTATGCCACCGGAGATCGTTATGTCACTCACCCAGAAATTCAGTCAGAAGGTCCTCCCACAATATCCCTTCTTTCACGAATCAACCTTGTGGAATATCATGCACCGAGTTCTCACGGTATTGCAAAGCCAGCCCATGGAGGGATATGGGACACCGGGATCCACCACCTTAAGGCCCGATTACGATTTCTTGATCCTCTACATCGTCCTATCAGTATCGGTTACCCTGGGAAGTGCGAAAGGCGGCCATGAGTCCCGCTGCATCTCGCTTTCGGCTTCTCTTTTCGAGGAAGGCATCAAGCACTTCTCGAGCCAAATGCACATTCCTTCCGATCTAGCTGGTCTCCAGCTCAATCTTCTCATCCTACTTTATGCAACGATCAATCCTCGCTCCGCCAATGTATGGATCCTCTCCGGGGCTGTCATGCGATCGTGCCTGGAACTCGGTTTGCATCGTGAGTCTCCTGAGATTGGGAGGCCGAATTCTTTTGCCACTGAGTTACGCCGCCGGCTGTTTTGGAGCGCATACTGCATGGATCGCAGCATATGTTCTGCGCTTCAAAGGCCGTTGTCTATTCCGGATGCCGCTATTAGTACGCACTTTCCCTCAACATTTGCGGACGCGGAGTCAAGACTGCCTTCGTTGGGCGTCATCTACTACCATCAGCTTCTATCCGAAATGGTTCAAGTCCATTTCCAGGGCGAGTCACTTGGCGATGGTGTGACCTGGGACGTCTGGACTGCCAACATGGAAAGCAAACTGCGAGCATGGTATGCAGACTCCCGCACAGAAGCGGGCAGCAATGAACTAGTCGAGTTTGCCCTGTCTCGTGGACTCATGATCCTTCATCGACTTTCTCCAAGGAACCCCATGCCCTCTCAACAAAGTCTGCTAAACGCATTCGAGGCCGCAGCAGCTTCGGCGCGCAGCCACAAAGACCACATATTTACCGGGTTCTTCCGTCGTCCATGGATCTCTGCCCACCACACGCTCGAGGCGGCGGTTGTGCTGCTTTTCTGCCTGCGTCACGCCTGCGCAACCATTTCTCTAAAGTTCAGTGCTGGACAGATCTTCGAAATGTCTAAGCTGTTCACAGCGAACTTTCTCGCTATTGCTTCTCAAGGATGGGAAGAAGTGTCGAATTACGCTGGAGTCTACGAGAGATTACTTGGGCCTTTGCTGGAAGCCGTGTTCTCGCCTTCCAAGAACCCGCAAGAGCACTTCGGTCCCGCACAAGATGCTGAGCTCACTCGACTGCTATACCCTGGACCAGCTCATCTGGAGAAGCTCAGATTCGGAAGGACACTCCCGGAGGAGACTTCGCCGTTCGACTTCAGTCTCTTCAACTTCGATCAGGATATTCTTGGATTCGAAAGTATGCGCACAATTGGTGCCGATCTGGACTTCACGAGGAATGCGGAATTCATGGAGCGCACACCACTAGAGCAACCCTTAGGCTTCGATGACCTCGGATTGATCTTCTGAGATCCCTCAACCTTCGTTGTACAGTTCCGGATACCACCTGATCGCGGGACCTCTTCGACCACCGCATATCCAACTCATGCTGAGTATGTGGAGAGTTGAGTTATCTCAGATCGGCATGGGCGTGGGGTGTGTGCGTGTAGCGACCATGTAGGATAGGGAATTCGCGAAATCTGACGGCGTGAAGGGTACAATAGGGAAAGCGGTGTGTAAGCAGCTGGAGCTATAATCACATGAAGGCCTCGGCCTGATGACTCAGCTCGATCAATACTTAAGAGCCTCTGATTGCCTTAAGCTATACACACAAGGAATAGATCAATAACTACATACCCAATACTAATTACCCTGTTATTCCTATACGCTTTCCCTTACCTCCTTACAACATGCGTTCCGGGCGGTCATGCCAGATTAGGAGCAGTGACTCCCGGGAGACCCAATGCTCCAGAAAGAACCGAACCTTCAGCGAAGTTTAAAACCACCGCGGCATAGACCACTAGAAGTGAAAATGCCCTTACGATCAACGCTCTCTTGTATCTGCACCAGCTTCTCGCGGTTGTCCGCTCCGTAAGACGAGAAGATATCTTCTCCCAGTCTGGCGTAGCCTACATACTTATAGGGATGATAAACATTCAGCCGTCTCGAAGCGTCCTCCAATCGTGAGAATAGTCGATCATAGAAGTCGCCAACTAGTACATCATCTTCTTCACGCAGCCAAGCGGTACTCAAGAGCGTTACTATAGTATTGTTCATAAGCGCTTTATACTTCCCCTATAACTGGAGGCAGACTTACTAAATAATGGTCCTTGTACGTTGCTTAAGTTGAGAGCATTGCCTCCTCGATCGGCCATACCTTGAATAGCACGCGATGGGATTGTGTACGTGATGATTTGAGGATTCAGACCTTCCACGGACTTGATATCTTCTACTTCCTCACGAAAGATCTGTAACGACCCTTGTAGCCACTCGCGAGATGGAAAGGCGGTCGTAGTCTGAAACAAATGTCTGTGTCGAGTGAGCAAGCTTGCCAAAAAGGGGCAATCAAGACGTCGGATGCTCACCTTTGAGGCGGTGGAGTAGCTGGTATACGGCCCGGTCCGGTGATGTTGCCTAAGCTGCTGATTTGTCCGGAGAACGTCGCGGCGGGAATTCGATCGATGGACGCAAATGCGGGAGGACTACCTGTTGTATTCATTGGATCAAAGTACCTCAGATTGACGGTCGGGGTGAATATATCCTCGGCTTGGACGTAGCCGTAGTAGAAATCGGCAGACACTTGTGTGTTGTGGTCTTGGCCTGTATACAGGTCATATACCTCATCTGCCACCTGATCTGTGTATGTGTCGTTCCAGGTCCGGCGTCCCGCGTATATTGGTCCTTGTGGAAACGTTCGTATGACGAAGGAGGTAATGATGCCGAAATTCCCGCCACCTGCGCCGCGAAGAGCCCAATAGAGCTCAGAATGCTGGTGCTCGTTCACTGTGACAGAGGTGGCGTTCGGCAAGACCAGCTGTTTCAGATTAGTACCGACGTGTACAAAGGTGCAAGTTCAATTACTTACCTCATACTCATAGATGTTATCAAGTGCCCACCCGTGACGAGAGGAAAGCGGTGAGGTGCCTCCTCCTGTAGCAAAGCCACCAACGCCAACACTGCCTACGCGCCCACCAACAAAAGACAGGTTGCGAGCATCGAGCGCGGAATAGACGTCCGCCGTAACGGCTCCACCACCGACCCTTGCAACGGACCCATTCATTGCCACCTCCACGCCATTCAAGCGCCTCAAGTCAATAGTTACACCACCGACTGAGTTCGAGAAATCTGGGTCGCGAGAGTGGCCGCCACACTTGACAGCAAAGTTACACCAAGTGTCAGCGAGAACACGAAGAGCGGCAGCGACTTCCGTCTTGTTGGAAGGTTCGAAACGACATGCGTATTGAACTTCAAGCTGCTTGGCATCCCAGATCGTAAAGTTGTCCTGTCCGTAGTAATGTAGAGCTGTGGGCCCGAATTCGCTCTCCAATATGTTGCACTAGGAGCATTTAAAATTAGTAAGGGGATTCAAATCAACCAGAATCCTCATATGCGTTGGTACTTACAACATTCTGACAGTTCGACGATATGGAATCGAGCTGAACCGTAAGTGTGTGGGCACTCAGGATAAGCAACCACAGAGGCAATGATCGCGGTAGGTACATGACGAAGTATTCTGTGCTGCTGCAATTCCGGACACGTGAAATGAAAATCTGGAGAGCGACAAAAGCGACAGTGCTGATGTCAAAGGGGAAAATTCAGAGCAGTAGAACCTTTTATCCGGCCGTCAATCGGACTAGACGGTCCACTCCATCTTGATTGAATTCGCCACGCCGGTGTATGCGCAGCCTTGTAAGGCCATAGCTCCGTTCTCTCAAGCGGCATCGTGCCAGCGAGGGCTTTTGTTGATCTCAATAGCAGCATCGTGCTCCACTTCCAGCCCTCGGCATGTAGGAATTCATGGTATGTGCTACCTTGGCTCACGTCAGTGCGTTGCCACATTCCAAGGATCATAAAGTATGTTTCCGTTGCATTGGCCCGCTATCAGTTCTGCGCCGAACTTAGATACCGTTTGAAGGGCATCGAGGCACTACCTGCTGCGCTTTGCATTATGTATGTCTCTACATGTTTAAGGGTCTGCTGTCAGCCATGACGGCTGTATGGAACGGTACTTGATGCGAAGATAGTTAAGAGTCAAATCCGCAAACGGTTCAGGGCTACCTCTCCTGGTTGGCGGTTACATGCAAATCTTTGAAAATTCGCCGCTACTGCAAGTGGATGACAGTCCGTGGCTGTGCTGACGAGCCAAGCCAAGCCAAGAATGCGTTGCAGACCCACTCCGTTAACTCCGCCTGCGGGGAAGAAAGAACAAAAGGGAAGGGTCCGCTGCAAGAACCCTAGCACTCAATATAACACAAAAGCCCCCTGCCAAGGTAACCTAATCTCGATCCTGCGCAGTAATGATTGTGCATTGAATTCTACAATGCACAGGGCGTCGATAGACAGCTCTTGCGGAACGACGGAAACGTGATAACTTCTTCTCTTCATCCATCTAGTCTATCTTGATTCAGTTCCAGTTTCCCGGGCATCGCAACTACCCGAAGATAGACCGGGTGTGATCGGGACCCAGGCTCCGCGCCCGCGACCCTACCAGAGCGCTCCGCATGAATTAGTCAGCCAGCCCATATTGCGTACCCTGGAAGAGCCAAAGCCTTTCAATAATATGGAGAGATATGCTAGCAATCCTATCACAAAGCCCCGCCAGCGCAACGCCATTTGAATCCAAGCCGGAGAACGGAAACGCACATTTCCGGGTCGAGGATGTCTTACGTTGCTTGAAGCAGACGGGGAACGCCCTCTGTTGTGTACTCGCCGTTATAATCAGCTACAAGTGCATATAGAGCTGAATTGTCAGTTGTGCACCTGACATGTCTTCCTCGACAGTCCATTTCCAATGTGTCAATTAGTTAGGCCATTGCCAGGCAACAGGAGTGAGAGTAGATTATCGGTGTACGCGCTACCGACTGTTTGGAGAGACTAAGTACGGACCTCACTCTCTTAGCTAACACTTGGCTAAGAATTCGCGCTTTCTGTACTAGCCAACCTGTCCGAGTGCCTTCCCCTTTTCGAAGATATAGTCCCCATCTCATATCTAGCGATATGCCTTCTATTTCCTGAAGTAGCGTCCTTGGCTTTGTGAAGTGCGTTGCACCCATTGCTGGAGCAATACCATTGGGAATAACGCTGAACTCGTAACTACAACTACTGACATTGTTTCGGGCCAAGATTTGAGCAGTTAGGCGGCGAGGTGCGTGCCATACAAGATCTCCTACAAAAGCAGATATGCGTTTGTACTGCAGGCCGAGTGATGCTGGTGGTCGACCTTCGAGTGTCGACGGAATGCTAATTTCGGGAACATCGGGATACAGTGTCGCGAGATCACCTCGAAGGCCATGCTCGACGGCTCTCCCTTCCATCTCTTGCCAAGCGATCCTTATCCTAAACGCCAACGCCTTGTTTGCTGTTGTTTGGTACAGGAACTGGTCGTGGATAGACTGAATGGTGGTAGACCACATGTTCTCCAAGGTGCCGGGGTCCACTTCCCCTTCGGACTTCAGCGCCGCCATTCTTATCGCGCTCGAGCGGGGTAGTGTAGCTTCCTTTCGGAACGCACAATCTAGCAGTGGAGATGGGAAGTCGCCGGCGCACCTTTCACGCTATGATATATCGTTGAACGGTGGCAAAGACCTGGGATGGCAACGCTGGTGCTGGAAACCGCTGCTGCGTGACACAACTTACTCCTCAGCTCCTCTTACACTTATTCGGGAACTTTATCCCTTTTCAACGCACAGAGTGCCTTCACGCAAATCTCAGAAGCCGATATACAAAATCGCAATGGCTCCTTCAGCCGTCACGCCTCCCGCTGCTCCTTCTACGAAAACCCTCCAACAAAACGTTGAGCACAATTCTGGCGACCCCTCATTGGCATTCATTCACGATGAGACTACCGCGCCGCCAACCTTCACGGACAAGTTCGAAGAGCGCGCATATCTCAAGCACCGCCTCGCCCTCGCGTTCCGTATTTTCGCACAGTTTGGATTCGCGGAAGGCGTAGCCGGTCACATTACAGTCAGAGACCCAGTGGACCCCAGCAGCTTCTGGGTCAACCCATTTGGGATGCACTTCAGTATGATCAGGGATGAGGATTTGATTAGAGTGGATCATGAAGGCAAAGTGGTTGATGGTGGGAAGAATCGGAGGTTGAACTACGGTAAGCGGCGTGCAGAACGAGGCAAGAGAAGTCAAAACTGATATTAAACAGCTGCCTACGCAATCCACGCTCAAATCCACGCTGCCCGCCCAGACGTTCTCTGTGCCGCTCACTCCCACACAACCTACGGCCGCGCCATGTGCGCCACCGGCAAAACCCTGCAGCCCCTCACCCAGGACTCGTGCGTCTTTTACAACGACCACGTCCTCTATTCTAACTTCGCTGGTGTTGTTCTGGTCTCTGAGGAAGGCAAGCATATCGCCGCCTGCCTGGGCAACAAGAAGGCTGCTTTGCTGGGAAACCATGGGCTGCTGACGGTTGCGCCGAGCGTGGAGGCCTGCGTGGCGTGGTTCGTGTTGCTAGAAAGCTGTTGCGAGGTGCAACTTCTGGCAGATGCGAGTGTCGGCGGACGGAGGGAGGAGCTGGTAGAGATAGGGGAGAATGAGGCGACTAGTACGTGGGAGGCGCTGGGGAAGGCCAGTGGGGGGTATTTTATGGGGTTGCCGTTGTTCCAGGTGGCGGAGAAGGAGTTTGGGGAGCGCACGTTCTTGGGAAGGGGGCTGGAACCTTTGTAAGCAATCAATAGTATATGGTCCCATGAAAATTCAAGCTTTCTTTCTCTGCTGGTACATGAACTGGAAAGGGACTAACTATGACTGAGTTTCGTCCATCTACAGCGCACCGCTCTAGAACCCAGGAATCTCCTTCTCCAGCGCCATCTTGACCTGGTCGTTCAGCGTCTCCATCTCCGGCTCCCCGATCCTCCAGTTATCCCTCATATCATACAGCGTGCCGCCTTCGGTCCATATCCTCCTCAGCGTATACACCGTGGCTAGCGGGTTCCCGCTCTCCCATGCGTCTTTCTCAAGTGTCCTCAACTCATCAAGAGACGTATAACTCACGTCCCACTTCGAGCCTGTTTGCTTCTCGTACTCGGCCGCGATCTCATTTGGCGTCGTGGTGAAGCTGTTCACTTTAAGAGTGCGAGGGGATTCAGTCACGGGCGTCTTGAGGGCAGCGACGAGCAGGCGGCCCACGTCTTTCATCGTCGTGAAGCTCACTTTGTCCTCTCCAGTACCTAGAAGAACTGCTTTCTTCGCCTTGGCATCAAAGCTGCCTGCTCTCTCGTCATCTCCTCTCATTTTCCCAATGTACAGGTCTGAGTACGGCCCAGTGACTAGGTATGTGACGTTGAGCTTCTTGATGTTTTCGCGGATGTACTTGCGTACTTGGAGTTTGAGCTGGTGCGGCTTTTCGTGGGCGGAGTGTGGGGAGTATTCGATGTCTGTGCCGTATTCGGAGGGGTAGAAGTGGGTGATTGTGGGGGAGGATTCCGCGAGCTTCAGGAGGGAGATTTGGGTGAGGATTACGTTGCGGCCGAGGGCGGAGATTACGGTGTCGTATCCTTTGTTGGACTATTAACAAGCTAACATTTTGACATGCGGAAGACGCATGTAAATGGGCAACATGGCGTTGCTACCATCTTCATGAAGTCGTGGGGAAAGTGCAGGCTAAACTTACCCTCGTAAGCTTTCACGACGTCCGCCTCATTGTTCACGTCGCCAACCACGACTTCTACACCCTTCGCTTTCAACGAATCAATATCATGCTTCTTCTTCTCCGCCGTGCTGGGCGAAGTGAATATCCCAATCTTCTCGAAATCACTCTTTGCGCTCACTAGCGCATCGAGAATGTACTTTCCGATGACGCCGGTCGCGCCGAACAGCAGGATCTTCTTGGGCAGCGGCACTGCGTCGCTCGGGGCCATGTTGCGGGATGCGGGACTTCCGAAAGCCTGATGATCAGTCCACTGCTTCGAGTATGAGCGACGCTCGCGATAGACTCCGTGGCTTGATGGTGCTGTTGTGAAATGCGTGATTGCCGCTGGTGTTGCGCGTTGCGCGTCGGCAGTGCGGAGTTGTCCAAGTGCGGGGCTGCGAAGTGGGAGCGCAGATGTCCGATAAGACCTCCACTACTGGAGGTAAGTAGAATAGATGATGGTTCGGTGGGCGATGGCAAGTGGTGGCATCGGTTGGTTTAAGTATTCCAGTTTCCTCTGCTCGTCCATGTTGTGCTGCTTTATCCTTCATCGGCCGCTCATTCGTACGAAGCGCATTCGGACCCACTTCACGTGTCTCGATTTGTGATTTCCACGCCCTTTCCGCTTGCAACAGGCATAGCTTTGGTATTTCCATCGTATTTCAACATGGGCAAAGTCGTTGCTGGCATTGCGCTCTCGCACGCTCCTGGTATTGCCTCACATTCCACATTCTACCAAGTCATCTAATAGTACTCTCAGGAGCCCTTGGCTTTCCAGAGACTGCACCACCACACCAGCGCGAATCTACCGAGAAGGCGACACGGGACCTAGGCATCACACTAGAACAAGCTAAGCCTGATGTCATCTTCGCCTTCCTGGACGACCATTTCGAGAACTTCTTCCGCAACCACATGCCCACGATTGCCATTGGTGTATCGGACTACCACGAGGGCCCCGCAGACCAATGGATGGAGCCGCTGCACATCACCAAGAAGACGAAATTCCCCGGAAACCCAAAAGTCGCCGAGCACCTAATCAAGAGCCTGGTAGACCAGGGATTCGACTGCTCGCGGACGGGATCGATCGAGTATGGGCAGAATCTGCTCATGCCATGGGTACTCATGAAAGCCGACCTCCCCAACGTCTCCGTGGTCCCCATTTTCTTAAACGTCTTCACTCCACCGCTTATGAAGTACTCGCGCGCCTTTGCGCTGGGCGAAGCATGTCGTAAAGCCGCCGAGACACTCCCAGACGACACCCGCGTAGCCTTTATGTCCACAGGCGGCCTGTCCCACTGGCCACCATACTGGAACCCCAACCAAGCCGGCGACCCACCCACCGACCCCTTCCTCGCCATCATGAAAGAGTACCAAACATTCGGCAAGCCCATCCTGAAAAAGTACCCAGATCTCTTCGTCAAGTTCGACGAGTACGAAATCGAAATGGCGGCTAAGAACGAGTATCCGCTTAACTCATCACGCAAAGTCCCGCTCGTCAACGCGGAGTGGGACCGCAAGTTCTTGGACCACTTCTGTGGCGGGGACAACGAGTGGTTGAGGAATTTGACGTACGAGGAGGTCGAAGACGAGGCTGGGCATGGTGGGCATGAAGTGCTGAACTGGGTAGCGTTGAGCGGGGCAATGGGTGGGAAGCGGGCGAAGTTGCTGCTGTATGAGCCGGTTATTGAGTGGATTTGTGGGATGAGTTATGTGGATTTTGAGGTGGGGAAGGGGGAGACGAATGGGACGAATGGTGTTCACTGAGTAATGACAAGTATCAGTGCCCATTATGCAGTTTATATGTACGTATTCACGATTTTTCATTGCATTCTTGTTCTTAGGTAATGCTCAGCGCCACCTTCACGCCCAAGAGGCGTTCTGCAGGCTTCGCTCGCCCTCGGTCCTCAGTAAGCTTCTCCCTAACCTGGAACGTCTCCCATCGATCTATCCTCCTCTTTAATCGTTGTACAGTAACCCTAATAGCATCCCTAGCATCCGCCTTTCCGCTCTTCCCTCCTGACTGCCCCTGAGTTAGAGCCCAAGGCTCTTATCCACAGGCCCCGCGCCCCGGCCGAGAAAGCGCGCCATCAATTGCGATACAGTGATCCATCGTCACGCTGTCTTGAGAATGTAGATGCAAAACTATGGGGGTCTGATTGCCTTGAACGGAGGCTTAAGGAATAAAAAATACCACTACACGAGAAGGATGCGTATAAAGTCGTATTCTAGATTGCGGTCAGCCTCGCATCCGTGACATCAACCCCACTCCGGTCCTGCTGCCAGCGTCAATGAAGAGCAGCATCGAACATTTTTCTACGCTCTCGTGATAACGAAATTGCTACCCCGCGTAGAAGGTGGGGACTATTGTCTATAGGCTGACATCTAAGCGACCTCACTACGGCAGTATCATGCTCAAAAGTCTGCAGCACAAGCCTTCGACTGCCTCATCGGTCTACGTTTTCTCGTGTTCCTGCTTAGGCACGAAATCCTCACCGTCAAAAAATGTTCAATCGAAACGTAATATACGACATCCTTCTGGCCCACAGTACGCTCCCCGCAATGCATACATAAACGCACGATCTGCGCCCTTCAGAAGAGAGATCGAAACGGTATCCAGCTCATCATAATTCCTATTGCGCATATCTTCCCAGGTGCCCAGACTTTCCACCGCCACAATGAAATTCACTCTCATCTCCCCCCTCTTCCTCTCCCTCACGCAAGCCTGCCTCGTCTACCAAGCCTTCCAAAACGCCGGAACACGCGACCTCTCTGCGACGCTCGTCGACAACGGGCAAAAAGTGTGCTGGTTCGACGGATCGGGTCCAGACGCCGGCGGCGCGTATCGCTTCACCTGCATCGCGGCGAACTTCGCTGCTATTGTGTATGATAACGGGGCTCGGGTGACGTATGCGAATCCATGGGGGAACTTTGAGTTCAGGGCGAGCATAGGTGGGCACGGGGGCACGATTGAGTATTATGCGTATGAGTATGGGTGTTAGTGACGGGAAGGGGTGAGTTGGGGGTGAGTCCATTCTATTCTACTTGCGTCGCTCGACGCTGACATTGGCTAAGGTACATTGCGCCAGATCTACTTGTGGTACAACTAGCTATGCAGGACCTTCATTTGCACCAACCGCTATCCATCCTGCTCGTCGGTAATCCCCAGGCCCGCCATGTGACCCGATATGTCATTCGCATTCTTCGATCGTCCTCCATCCCCGGTGAGCCTCTTCCTGGTCCGGAACGTCACGATTTCATCTACCATCTTCCTGACCTTCTCTCCTTCAATCCCCATGGCAGCCGTCGGACAGAACAGCAGACTCTCGCCCTGCTTCAGCTGCACAATTTTCTGAAACCACTCTCGATCCCCACTCCCCGCGGTCTCAGACCTCCTCTCCGCTTCGACACCGGTAAGGTACAGAGCTGCGATATGCTTCTTCAGCACTTTGAACCATTCGGGGCTCGTGCACTGATGCACCATTGTGATGCTGCATAGATCCAGAAGGGCGGTGTTGATGGACGGCTCCTGTGTCGCAACGACGATTCGTGCGCCTTGGTGTCGCTGCTCGCGGACGGTCTTTAGGAGCCTGCCAGTGAACTGCTTGGCTGCTGCACTATCGGTCTTCATGTAGTTGTGGGCCTCATCGAGGGCGACGATCTTCCCACAAGTGGTTAGAGGAAGGAAGATGGAAAGGCAGATGTCGAAGAGTACGCATGCGGAGTCGGCATCTATGACTGGGTCCGTGAGGTCGATGATGGTAAGGTTACCCGGCTTTCCTTTGAGGAGATCGCGCTTCTTCGGATCTTCTTTGGCGACCAGCTTCTGCCACTTGCGCTTCCGAACTTCAGTTGATTGGTTATCCGGATTAGCGCCCGTTCCGCCTCCACTCCCGCTAGTATTCTTGCGTGGTTTAGCGGGGAGGCCCAAGAAGCTCCTCAGTAAATCCAAACGCATCTCCATCGGCCCACTCTGCCCGCTCGTGAAGTTCTCGTCATCTATTTTCTTCTCGAATTCTGCGTAGTCGAAAGCGCCGAGACCACCAGTATCGGTCGCCATCTCCCGGAGGATCTTGATAAGGACTTGCATGTAGAGCGGCATCTCGCCGTCCTTTTCCACTGCCATCAAGGTCTTGACACGCTCGGTATCTAGCTGTGAGGAGTGCAGTTCCAGCTTTTTCACTTCGATCGTTGGCTTTGGGTACATGCGCGCCATGTTTTCGTACTGCTCCTTCAAGCGCCCGTGGTTGCTCGCGCTGACCAGTACCGTAACCGGAATCTCGGAGCAGAGATGCGCTGCCTCGCAGACGCCGCTCCCTTGGGAGCTATCGTAGTGGAACACCAGTCCCGCAAGTGGATTCGGATTCTTGCCAATACGCGGATCTTGAAGTAGGCAGTTCTCCAGCATACAGGAGAGAGCGTGCGATTTTCCAGAGCCTTGCGAGCCGCAGAGGAAAGCGGACCATGGAGTGTTGGTGTTCAACAGAATGGGCTTGGGGCGATCCGAATCGGGATTGGAAAGGTCCTGACCCAGTACTGCATACTGCTGCAGTGCGGGATCGGGATGAGAATGCTGATCAAGGGTGTGCTTGACGTCCCACCAGATCAGAGGCGCCGTCTTGACTTCCTCGAGTGCGACGGCGGCTTGAAGTTCCTCTTGATTGGTAGATCCATGGGTGGTCAGGAGTTCTTGGTACAGGCTCAGTTCGTTCTCGCTCGATGTGGAGGACATCTTTGAGAAAGGTGTTGACAGGATGAGGACTAGGAAAAAGGATCGGAATATGGAAGCTGGTGTAAGCTTTATACCAACCTAGAAAACTGTTTCCCACTTTCAGAAGCATCGCGAAGTTTGTATTTGTCGCAATAGCGTGAATTTGCGGGCTCTTGCAAGCGAAACATTGTCTCGACGAGGTTGGTTGATTGGAAATCCTGCGGTGAAACCTGATCGGGTTATGGGAAGACGGCGCGGCTTCAGTGCGCGACCACAGTTCCAATGGAGAGATGGACGCCAGCCCCGATACCTCAGCCACCGCCTTGGGTGGTTGATGTTAGGAAAAGAGGAGACATGGCTGGCCCGCTGTCTTAAAGCTCTGTCTTCAGCGGGCGATCCAGGCTCCAAATCACCGGCCTTGCATATTACTGTAGTGGCCTAGAACAAGATCACGAGACAAGGTATGTTTGGTATAGAGACGTGTAGTATTCTTGAGTGTGAGATTAGAAGTCGCCCTTGGAGACATCGGGAGGGAAAACTTGCAAGTGGGGCCAAGCCGCTAGGCTCACGCTAAGCCTACCTTGGATCCATGACCGGGAAAACATTGATTGATAGTGCTCGACTTGGTGAATAGACAAAGAATTCAAAAGTTGGGAAAGGCAAAGCCTTTGCGCGCGAGGCAATGATTCCCTACCTATTCGGCCACCGTAGAAAATCGGAGATTGCATGCAGAGGTCATCAAGCCCCGCTCAGCTTTGGATTTTCTTGTATTTACAATTATTTACAAAGTTCCGCTCACAGAGCCAGTTCCAAAATATACCAGTGCAAGAAGTCCTCACCCCTGAATACACCACGCTCCCCTTCTCATAGCCTGCCGTCCCGATGCAGCCATGTTCATCTTCTTAGACGTCGAGGAAGAAGGTTAGTTGCAGTTCGCAGCAGCCACATTGTTGTTTGCGTTGTTGCCATTGCCCTTGCCCTTGTGGTGCCTCTTCTGGTTTGCGCAGTTGTTACCGGTCGCCCCGGTCGCCGCGGTGGTTCCGTTCGTGGCCGCAGCATTGCCAGCGGCAGCGGCTGCAGCAGCGTTGGCGTTGGCGTTAGCGTTGGCATTAGCATTGTTGTTATTGTTCTTTCCCTTCTTGCCGTTGCCGTTGGCATTGGCGTTGGTAGTCGCGGCGTTGTTGTTCGCATTTGCGTTCGTGTTCGCGTTGTTAGCATTGGCAGCAGCGGCGTTATTGGCATTTGCATTCGCGTTCGCGTTGTTGGCATTTCCGCCCTTGCCCTTGCCTGTCATGGAGTCAGCATCAGTTTGGAAGAGTGGAGTAGTGTGAGAACCGTACCCTTGTGGTGGCGGGGCATGAGCTCTGCGGCGACCGATCGAGCATGGTCCATGTAGATGTGCGCAATGTTGGCCGGGCCACCCTGTAATCGAGGTTAGTCCAGCTATCAAGAAGTGTCGCGTCGGGTGCGCATACCACATGGCGGACGGCTAGAGCCCTCTTGAACTCAGCCGGATCGGCGACAACGGGAGCGGTGGCCATGAGGCCGAGGACGAAAGCCGAAGCGATGGTGGAGAAATGCATGATGATTGAAAGGATTGGGGTGGAATAAGACTGGTATATGAAGAAACTGCCGGCAGTGAAGGGACTGAAAAGGTCGAATCAATCGACGAAGAGAACGTAAGGCGAACTGAAAGAAAGGCCCGGAGGAAGGTATAGAGAAGGAATGCTGGTGTGGGATGAGGTCTCAGTAGGGAGGGCAGGCGCCTTAAGTACTTCAGCACACCTGATCTCCCACATAGCTATGCACTGGGCTCATGTAGCACTAGACGCTGCACTCCGCAATGCAGAGGCAGCCTGGTGGCTGGAGAGCGATGGCATACTTGGTCATCCTGCATCTCATCAAAACCATTCCGCAAGGGGTTCGTGGACCCCTTCGCACCGTTGATCAAGCAATACGTGATCCACTAAGGCCATCAATGGGCGGTAACAGGCGTCAAGGCCCCAGTCCATTAGCGATTATGGCAAAGTCTGCGGAGTCCAGACGTCGTTCAGGGTTAGACTCCACGAGAATGGGCGCCTAGCTGCCGCTCAGGCACGTCTCAGAGGTTCGAGGCCGCAATGAAGCTGCGCAAGCGGAGCCTGTAACCGCGTTAACGGATGTTGGTGAGACTGTTGAGCTAAGCTTTCGCCGAGACCTGTGACAAGAGATGAAAGAGACGAACGGGAAAGCAGAGACGAGGCGGGTCCCCGAACAATTGAAAGCTAGGCCCTTCCTCAAGCGCGGGAAGGATTCGAGTCCGGGGTTGAATTAGAGGGGCGAATCGATGCGTGAGTCCGCGATGTTGGTCGTGTTTTGAAAGGCGATCAGACAGGAACAGGAAAAGGTGCGACAGATCGGGTGTCGGAATGCCAAGAGTCGCTAGAACACCGTTTTGAAATGCCGTCTCGACTTTCCATCACAGCGAGTCGAAAAACATTAGCTGTTTCAATTATACAAGATCTAAAAATCACAAACGAAGATGCACCCATATTACCTGAAGCTTTTGATGTAGGATTGGGACTAGTCACGTGACTACCATTTCCCCAGGCCGGTTTTTCATTTGGATGCCACCCTAAACGCACAGCACGATATTAGACGAGCTTTGACCCCTTTCGAAGAAAGTCAGATAGATCTTTTCATGGTCTGAAGGCTGCTCATAGTCACGGATCCCACATGTAGACTAGCAGCACCGTGCTATTAACCCCTGAGGGCGCTGAAGGAACATGTAAAGTGCGCAATGATCTCCTAAAGACTCCTCGCAGCTATTGCAGAGGCCCACATGCATAGCAACGCGCGGTCTGCCCACTGTAATTTTCTTCATCGAAGCCTCACAGAGCGACCCAGCAAACAAACTCGTCAGGCAAGCATTGATGGGCACCAAGGGAGTAAATGTTTACTTCAAGCATCGATCGCTTGACGTAGGCTTCTCCGAATATGAACACTTTGTCAAAAGACGATACCATGCAGCGGTGAGGTCTGCCGCTGGGACCTGACAGGGGCCCATTGGCCGTCTTCCACAATTATTGTTCAGCGCACCTACAAAGCATAGCCGTACGCGAAACCGATTTTTGAGGCTGTTGCGGTGGTCTAACTCGGTCCTCAGGCGATTCTGAAAATCTTTAATGACTTCTGTAGTTACGCTATGATATCCACCAATGAAGCCGACCATTCCTATCCCAGTTCTATTTTGGATCACATCGGCCCGACCTGAGCGCAAGAGACGAATAGGATCCCAAGTGTCCTAACCACAACCAACAACAACGCCAAATTATCGTTACCAAATCCACTCTTCGCAGTGGCGATCAACGTCACACCTCCCTTTAACACTCTTCCCCTTCTTCTTCCCAAGCGAACTCAGAGCCACATCGCAGAAAACGGCCCGTTCGGAGCATCCGCAACCTCAGGGTGGCATTCCGTCGCACGCACCGCGGTCTCTTTGTCTGCCCGAAGTTCTGTGCGAAGTGGTACGGTTCGTATTCGGGGGAACATGACCTCATATCGTTGCATCGCCGAGGCTTCAGCCTCAACGCCGGATACCTGAGCTATCGTAGGTTGAACAGGGCCATCGGCAATACTCACGTATAAATATCATACGTAGACCGCAATTCGTACTCAACATCAGCATTCCTCACCGGTTCCCTTCGACTCGCATCCTAACCAATCGGTCGCAATACTTCGTCTCAAGATCTTCAAATCCGCCATCTCCAAAATGTACTTCAACAGCGCTCTGCTCGCCTCCCTTACCATCCTCGCCGCTTCTGCACCCACTGCGTTCGGAGCCCCTCAACCTGCATCTACGGCTATATCGGAAGGCGACAAATTCGGCGCCATCACTATCCGCTCCGGCTCGGAGATCCAGAACTCAGCTATCCAAGCAGCCCAGAGAAGCCTCTTCGTCAATGCAAAATCGCAGAACGCCACCTGCGCTTCCGAGACAAACTCTGCGACGTTCTACATCCAGGACCAAGAACTGCGCCTCTATTCTAGCAACGACCCGCTCAATCAGACGATTTTCGTTGATCGGTCGGGGATGGGTATCTAATCCCCTTTACCAGACAACCCCTAATGGTAGCTAATGTGGCAGCAGGTATGGGAAAGATCGGCTACATCACCGGGAATGAATCGCTAGGCAGATACTGGGAGACCAAGGGTTGGGCGTTGACGGAGAGCAATGAGCTCCAGTTCCATGGGACAGGTATCCAGGCTTGCCCCGGCTCGATTGATGGCGGTTGGAGTATCTGGCTTCAGGGCGTGGAGAAGCCGGGTTATAATGAGAACTGCACCGGTGTTGTTGCAGCAGCGTATAAGACCGACGACCCCATCGAATGCGTGTATACACATTAGGCAGATGGTCCACATACACGCATGCTTTGATGGTTTAGGCGGGAATGCTGGGCTTACTTCGAGAAAGTTGATGTTTATCTGGATCGAGCGTTGCATCGCATCTTTTGGATAATGGAGTTGAGAAGAGAGCGCAGATATGGACAGAATATTCATATGCTATATCAGGTTTAATAAGACTTATGTGGCGGAGACACTTCCCCGTAATTCGAATTCTATGCATACCCTGGAGTGTCCTCTAGCTCGGTGTCTCTACGCAGGCAGGGCAATTGTCAAGGTCTCTTAGCTAGCCCAAAAGCTCGTTGAAATTGACATGAAGACATCTTTATCACGATTTCCAAAGGTTACGGTGAGCTGAGCTGTAGCCCCATGGGCATGGAGCGCCGGACATGCTCCGCTCGGAGAGGTGGACGTCGCGCTTCGGCGGACCTCGAGCAGTGCCATGTATAAGGGGCATTTACAGACGGGAGGAGTCGCGGTAGCTTCGATGCCCATCTCTTTCTTTCTATAAGCCGCCCTTCGAAAGGTCGCGAGAATTTATAATGCGATTTTTCCAGCTAGAAGGGCTCTATGGCGATTTAGGGCCGCAACGTCGTTATTGCAAGGCGTTGATCCACTCAGGGGACAGTACGAACATCGACGGCAATAGCCTCACCTCGCGCTGCAGCAAAGGTGCATCCTTTGATATCCGTCTCCATTGGTACTCCCCTCTTGCTGTAGCGACTACTCTCGCAAGCTCTATCATATATTATTCCGCTTCAGAACCTATAAGCTCTGTATACGAGGCTGCACTGGAGAAGAGTACGGCGCCGCACCGGTAGCATACCCCTCCCAAATCCCTTCGACGCCCACCCCGGGGATCTCGATTCCGGGCAAAGCATATGCTGGCAAGATCGGATGTCTACGATGGCTTTTCGATTCCGTATCGCCTTGCGTCGGGGCACTTGGACGGGGCGGCGAGCGATGGGCCGCATCCTGCAAGGACGTCGCGTCCATAAAGCCAAGTGAACTCTTTAGATGCGGATTAGCTAATAATCGTTGCTCTTTTCGTATCGAATATCCATATACTTGTCCAGGCCAGCTGTTAGAATCTTCGCGCTGCAGCACGGAGATCACAGCGGATGCACGTTCATGTCGATGTCGGCCGACCACTAGAGCGCTTGCGAATGGCGCGTGGTATACTAAACCCTGTCTAGTCGCTGTAGGCGCCAACTGTATAATGCTTGCTGAGGCTCCGGATGCTTCTGCAAGGGCGAAAGGGTTCAAGCCGATGGTGCCGTCGTCCGCTGCCCTCCGCGACGGGGCGTGTCGATGAGGGATGTTGATAGAGGCCACGGCGTCCGAGGTAGCATATACAGCATCATGGATAAGATAACTACTAGCTCAAATGCGGCGTCTCGACGTCTTGACTAATGTTCGCGAGGATGAGGGTCGCAGAGCATAAAGCGAGTCGAGGCCGCGATGGTAGCGTCTCCGGCGACGTACTTGCGCACCCCCGTCAGCGCTCTCGGGAGCTAATACGTCTCTCCGCCATGCTGTAGGCCGGTGGAGCGTTCTTGTTCTTTATGCCTCTTTTTGCTCCTGGTAGGTGGCCGAGCCGGTACGATGGGGGCATCGCATCAGCAGCCTCATCGACGTCGACGTCCTCACAAGCTCGTTACCACTAGTAGAGGGATTCCTTGACGAACGGCTTACGGTGAATCAACTGCGACGAAAATTCTCCGGCCACGAGCCGAATGCACCGCTTTGCCGATGGCGTGCTCACCTCAAGGGTATGTAAAGCATCGCCCGCTGCCGCTTTCCATCCCTCTCCCAATCGCACCCCGTCATCAGCAAAGCGTCGACCCACCGCCAGACTTCGAATCGGTACGTTCATTCCATACTACGTCGCTGCTTTAGCAAGCTCGCTGACCATACAGGGAAGGCAACACGCCGCACTCAGGTGTAACGTGGCCGGCCCTCTCCGATTGAGTCGAAGATTAGGACTGACAACAACGGACAGCGGACAGCGAATCCCACATTCGCCGACTACTCGCATCCCGCGGAACCTGCAGCCTCAGACCGTGTCGCCTAGATATTACATCGTGAGTCTTCGGCTTCCTCTCCTCCATATAGAAGCGCTAACCGTCTGCGGGGTACCACTTCAACTTGTCGACTCGCCGCACCGCTACCGTCATGGGCCCGTCGAAGGGTGAACCCGACTCCGGTCGGAGGGACTACTGGGGCGTCGTCCTCACGCAGGATGAGTCCGAGGCCGTGTTCGATCACTCGATCCACAGCGTCTATCGCCGCACCGCCGTCGCCGGAACCGCGCAGGATGATAAGTCCGATCTCAAGTTTAAGGGAGGCCATATGCCTGACCTCACTTCTAGATCCCGCTTCCGACATTCCGTCGATGACTCGTTTCGGTTCGATGGGTGCCCGCATTAGCGCCCCTCGCGATACTAGTGGGGTGGTACCGCCATGCCTTGCCAGAACTCGGATGTAACGGATGCGAACGAGGCAGCCACAGAGAACGAGTGCAACGTCGAATCGGGTGCTAAATCAGGAGCCAAGTCAAGCAAGAAACGTGTGTTTAGCAGGCACACGAAGCGTCCCGGAAAGGAGAAGGGCAACGTAAAGAACGGCCTAGATGACAAAGATCCTTACAAAACGGAGGGTATTCCGGCCAATGTGACCGAACAGAGACATGTGAAGGACACGATCTCTGGAAGGACGATCGAGGCTGCCCGGATACGTGCGCTCCATCCTGCTCTTCAACCACCCCTCAGTCCCTGGCGCTGCTGTTGGTCGCCCATGTGAAGGCTATATGCCCTATAGCCCATCGGAAGACCTGATAAGCAACCTTATCATCTTCTGGCGGGATCCTGCTCTTTGCGACTACACCGACAAGGAGATCCAAAAGTTGCTGGTTCAAGAGCAGAAGCATGGCATCCTAACATCGTCGATTGCTAAGGCCTTCAAGAAGTCCATGGACGTACTTAAGGAGGAACACGGGCTCCGTCCCAATGTTCAGTTGCCGATTGATGGTATCAAGAGGGTGATCAAGGTCGACTGTAGCGGAGGAGTCGTGGTTTCGAAGAAGGAGACGGCAGAGATCCACAAGATGGCTGTCGCGAATTCCGAAGTCAAGACGCAAAAGCTGTCGCCGGATATACAGTCTGCGCTGGACCGGCTAGGTACTGATCTCCGGGAGGAGTTCCACCGGTTGTATCTACTTCGTGACCGGGAGGATCCCGTTCCCGACTCGGCGATGCCCCTGAAACGACCAGCATCCCTACCTCCGCAGGGCATGAAATACTGGAGAGAGACTCGTGGCCCGAAGCGCTTGAAGGCTGACACTGCCCCCTCGGCCACACCCAGCTACAACAGCAGTACTACAATTATCTGCGAGAAACCGAATGTGGCGAGGCTGACAGGCAAAGTTGGAGGCGAGGGCACCACGCTCATGAAGAAGTCGCGCACTGAGGGCAAGTCGTGGGAGGATACAGCCAAGCTGCTGGCAACCAAGCTAGACGAATCGATCTCTGCCAATACCGTGCAGCAGCTATATCCGCCTAGCCATCAGGCTGTCGAACCTGTGCCGCAAGCCACCATTACCAGGCTGAGCAGCAACGCTGCACAACCAGTTCAAGCAGATGGAGCTCGTCAAGGAGACGTCTTCCCTGTGGCCGGCAGTGCCGACATGGAGGAACCTCACCGACCGTCCGGCAAGCTTACGCCGGCTAGACGACCATGAATAATAATCAATCTTCCATCCCAAGTTTCTGTCACTGAAAGAGTGAATGCAGTTTCGGCGTTATGATGGAAAAGTATGGTTCTTGCGTGTTTCGGAGGTCAACGGTTGGTCCATTTACACGTTCGGTTCGGTTGAAGTAGTGAAAGCAATCCCACTACCACGATTGGATCATTGTGAAATTTTTTTGCCTTTCCCTACAACCTTGGCGTTGCACGTCGCGTATGCACGTCGCGTATGCTTTTTAAAGAGCCTCGCTCTTTCTCGACGTTGTTCTACCATCGCACCAACACTCCAACCACATACGATCGTTACAATCAAATCTGTACCGTAGGTTGTAATCTGCCCAAATTAGCAGCGGAACAAGCTAACCCGTCAGTCTGATAGACAACTGTTGCTGAGCTACTACTCGTTCGAGGCCAGCCAACATGTCCTCTCCCGCTCCTCGTCCCACGCCCATCATGACTGGAATCGATATGTCCGAGTCTGGCGGCGCTCCGCCCGACGAGTCGCCTCAGGCGGATACTTTCCTTACACCTGGTCCTAGTACATGTGCGTCCGGCAACCAGTCCACCCCGACGACCACCTCGCCGGACACACCTATGACAGATAACTGGGACTATAAGAATATCAATACTCCCGGAAGCTCGGAGCTATCGTCAGAGAAGGAGATAGAACTTTCGGACCACGAGAGCAATCCGTCCGGCATGGAGCCCAAGGGCGTGGTGTCATCTGAAGCCACTGTTGGGCGCACCACGGGTGAAGTCGAGACTGGCCGCAAGCACACGATCACGCCGCCAGAGCAGGGTCATGAGAAGCGCGCCAAGGTGAACGCCGTGGAGCCTGAGTTGGACGAGGAGGGCATCATCAAGTTGCCCTTCCAGACTATCAAGTCGATCCGTATGCCGCCGCGCGACGGAACCAGCCCGCCAGATCCCAATAGCTCTCCATATGGGCCAACGGAGAACCACCAGAACAGCATGATCATCTATTGGCTTGATGAGCAAGACAAGAGCTATACCGAGGCCACTCGACTGTTCGGCGAGATGTTCCCGCGGAGTAAGGCGGTGGAAGAGGCGATCCGTCGGCGGCACATTCGGGCGTTGCAGCGACTCGCTAGGAAGTACGGCGTAAAGCCTCTTGAGGAGATCCAAGGTCCGATTGGGAAGAACACCTTGCGACGAGGCAAGAAACGCGCTCTTAAGGTATCGAAGATCGATGGTGAGGCGAACAAGGAACGCGTCAAGCTCAATATCACCGCTGCCGATCCTGTTCGGAACGTTGGCGGCGTTCGCGAGATGGCCGCTCAAGATACTCAAGTCGCCCAGGATGATATCTCCCAACCAAAGTACGCGCGAAACACGGCGAGCTATCTAGGACAAGGCCACAAGGTAATCGAGAAGGCTGCAATTGTCGTCTGGAAGGATCTTGAGGGTCTCGATTTCAGGGACATCCGGGATAGGTTGGACGACAAGTACCACTGGTCTCTGGGCCGAGGTACCGTCGAGAAGTACTATCATCTGACGCGGTCGAAGGTGTACGGTGCGATCCTCGAGGCCGCTCCCTACCATGAGGGTGGTGACCAGCGGGGCGAGGCTACGATGAAACCGAAGCCAGACGGTGCAGGCGATGACACCGGAGAAGCCACGGTTAGTACTCGGTTCCCGGCGGCGAAGGTCCATCGTCGGCGGCCCTTCTAGTCACGCATTCCAATGGCATATCCAAGGTAAGCAGTCTGATGCTATGGTTCGGCACATTGCTGACTTCCGGAGTACAGCGAACAATTGTCTCAGGATGTTCCTTTGGTAAACGTGATAGCCAAACGCATTCATGATGTGCTGGCTGCAAACTGATTGCCGGAGATGTGATCTTGGTGTTGATGGAGTCGGCTGCAGATGGAGTCCAATAATGACGGATTGTGTTCGCGAGAGGAATGTGCGAGGTGTGGTCTTCGAAATGTTCAGACAACCGGAAGCTCTGTGGTGGTACAGAATACATTGTGGTACAATAATGAAAGAACTAAATGAATTGTTGATTGCTTTATGAAGCATTGAGGGGTGACAGATGATCCAGCGGCCAAGAAGAGCGCAAGGGCGACGTTGACGTGCAGCCAAAACACGCTAAACACGCTTTAGGGAAGGCGCATCTCAGTACCGAGGTCGAGTCCTCCCCTTCCTCGCACCAACTCATCGCCAACCTTCTCCATCGATAGCTTCACTCCATCGTCAGAGGACTCATCATCGTGCGGTTGGAAGAACTGGAAACCTGCATTACCTCGGCTTCGCTCAACGCGTCTTCCAGAGCCACCTCGACGTCCCATTCCAACGATGTAGATAAGCTGCCATACCACCATGTTCCATTACCACCCATCACTATCTTTAAGCGTCCAAATTAAAGACTACGGTGTTTCCCAGACTGTTCCCGCTAGCCTGGATTCTTATAACGATGCTTCGGATCTGAGCAGGAAGTGCATTACTGCAACACTTCCAGCGTTCATCGCCAGGGTTATGGACATTGAGTGGATTCCAAGAGACGGAAATGGCCTTATAGACACTCTAGATCACGGCGAAAGAGAAAGCACAAGGCTTGGACCTTCTCGACTCCCGGCTATCCTATAGCGAGGAGGGACGCAAAGATCCTGTTACTTCGCGCTCGAACAAGCCTAGAGAATATCGGCGCTAATATGAACTCGACAAGGTTGACACTTACGATTCCTTCCCCCCTCCCCCTCCCCCACCAAAACCCACCCGGCAAACGGATAAATTGGGATACATCTTCATCTTGAACCGCTGTCGCGATGATATCGTATACGATCTCTAGGGGCAGTTCAAACAGATCGACTAATCTCGTGGATCTTGCCATACTACTCGTACCAGGCGAATATATCACCTAAAATCTAGACCGGACTCATCGTCATTCGGCTTGCACAGCCTAAGTAGCTTTGCGCATATTTCTCCAGGTCAAATGCCCCACGTCAAAGTCATTCAGTCTTTGGGTATTCAGTCCAGATGCAGGGCTCGTACTGTCTTTCCCGCAATTATTTATCCCCAGAGACGGCATGAATACGGCTAGACTATCACCATCGCAAAGACCGCCAACCAGCGCATCTCATCCCTTCCACCAATCCCACCCACACTTTACAAACTCACCGTCCCCGACCCGCAACTCCGTCCTTGCCACCCAAGGCAGGCTATCGACACTCCCATCCGGTGCCGTCTCCCAGCGCTTCTCCAAAAACAATACCCTAATATTCTCACACCTAATCTCCCTCAGCCACACCAGACACTCAACAGCATCGTAGATACCACAACTACAAAGCGCATGATAGAGCCGCCAATGCTCTCTCGTCTCCAGGCGCAGTGTGTCCGATTCTCCCTCCTTAAGATCCATGAAGCATCCGCGCCAGCATTCGCTAGGAAGAACGATGCGTAACTCCCGCAGGTTCGGCATCTGCATGAGGATATTGCGGAACCGGCGGAAGGTAGAGATGTTGACTGGCGCGGTTGGTGCCGCGTAGTTAGCGCAGAAGATCATCTGCAGGGCGGCGATGCGGTTGAAGTGCCGCAAAGGGATCGTTTCGTACAGCTTTACGAGCGTAATAGGTGACCCGATGCAGAACGTCCGGGAGGAATACAATAACTCCGCTACCTCGTGGTATCTACGTACGGCCATCAGCGGGGTCTACAGCATACCGCAGCGCACGCACTCACATCCGCCGGCACGCTAGAAACACGTCTAGTTCCTGCACATCGCCCCTCGTCCAGCCGTAATCCCACTGCGTCATCCGCGGTCTGCGATGCCACTCCGTGTCGTGTTCTTCCACGATCCGGCGCGGGTCTCGCGTCCACGGTTTGCGTTCCTCTTCGTTGGTGCATTCAGGGTCCAATGGCATGTGTCTGAGCATGGCCTGCCTGGTTTCGACGGAGATGCATTTGGAGCGGGGGATGAGGAGCTGGTATACTTCGATGCGGAGTTCCGGTGGGAGTTTGGAGAAGAAGAGTGATTGTTGCTGTGGATGCGCTTGCTGAGGTTGAGGCTTTGCATGCTGCGGCGTGTGAATGGCTGATGGGGTGGTATTAGGATGTTCGGAGGGCTTGCTCTTTGTCCGAGGAGAGAAGAACGGAAGGGTGAACTTTCGTGGAGGCATGGAAGAGCGAGCACAGGAATACTTGGAGATACTGAGAAAAATAATGTCATTGAAGAAGTTTGGGAATGTGCTGAGAAGAGAGAGAGTCGAGCTGATGTCCGCCGAGAAGTTGCCTACTCGATGCGAGTACGAAGTGTGGCTGTGCAGATACGAAGTGGCGCCAACAGAGGAGCATCCGTGGCACAAGGAGAGTATTGTCACGGCACATGCGGCACGCCAACATCGAAGTCGAAACTAGCACCGCTTTGTCGTCGAAATGCTTCGTACTCTACGTAGAACATACGGGGCGCAGCAATGGCAGGAAACACGCATGGCTACGCCGGACGTACCTTAGGTACGCAATCCACCTCTTCGCGACCGGCATAACCACAACCTGCACCATACCATTACTCCCTGCTTTCTCGCCATCCAGTATCCGAAACACGACTGCTCAACCAAAGGGAACTACCTTATTCGCTGTATAAGCGTCAGCGTCAGCGTCAGCCTCGGCTCTTCCCCCTTCCATCCCACTAATCTAGATCCGACTTCCCATTCGCAATCCCCATCAAACACCCACCCTACTGCCCAGCAACCGTCCCGAAGCAGGGCATCTCAGCAGGCACACTAATATCGAAGGGAAAGTCCAAGCCTGCGTTCTTTGCGGCGCGCATGCTGCGACAGAGGAAACGCTCGAAACTGCACGTACTGGCCACAACCCCAGCTTCGGTGCCGTTCGAGAAAGCGCCCGTAGCAGCAGAACCGATAATCGCCTGGATTAGACCCGCACCATCCCATCTACCGCCAGCCACCCCCTGGTCACCCATTCCCCGATCCCCATCCACTCCACTCACCGTAGTACCAACGCACCACGCACCGCCCAACCACCCCCCGCACTGCACCAACTTTCAGCACCTCCGTCCCCCTCCCTGCCATCACTTGCTCTAAATCCTCGCTCGGCATGGACTTCCCCGCCGTCGTCCTTCCATCCCAGGCGACCAGTGAGTAGCACCAACTCCCCAGCCCTACGAACTCCAACCCGACAAGCGCTCCGCTCGGGGCGCTCACTCACTCCGCAAGCCACCCTATCCTACCCTTCAAAACCGATCGAAAAAATCAAGATAGCTCTATTCGCATTCACATTCCAAGAGCATTGTCTCCCCCTAACTAATCCTAGCCTCCATCCATCCATCCACCCAAGTCTGCAACCCCAGTGATAACCTATCCCCGGGCGCTCGCTCAAGGCTGCAACAAACAAACAAACAACCCAATCTACTCAAGCCAAACAACACAGTCCACACACACATCCATCCATCCCATCACCCCCAAAACCAGCCAAAAAGGCCAAGAATAGCCAAGTCAAATCAAGCACAACCTTGGAAACCGATGTTAAGATCGCGTGTAGGCGCTTAAACGCGGGCTTCCAGAAACGCCAGCGAGCGACGCCTTCCGAAGCGCGGCCGACCGGGCCGCGCTGGGCAGCCACTAGATCTTTGTTTCTTCGACAAAATCTCGCATCTAGGCAGATCGCTTGTCTTCGAAATCTCGCCACGTGTGGACCCACTCTGAGCCTCAGTTCCGATCCCTGCCGACCCTTCCTAACAGTGAGAAGATGCGACTTGGTGAGCTCGGAGTGATTGAATATACCGACAAGCTGATTTTATTTCATTGATTGGTTCATAATCTCATTATCCACCCATCCGTTCCGCCATTCTAATTCCCAGGCCCAGAAAACGCCATTCAAGACCCTTGATTAGCCCTCCCAATCACCTTTTCATCCTTGTTAGAACACGAGGAACGCTTCTCTAAGCCGGCGACATAGCCGCCTCGGCATTCCTCTTCGCCGCGCTCTCCGCCGTGCTCTTCAACGACTGCGGCGCATCATCCCACGGCATCACCAGCTCCACAAACCTCAGCTGCTTGGTGTCGCCGCCTGAGAACTCCTTGTCCATGAAGAGCAGCTCGACCTGCTGCTTCGACTCCACCCGGTACGTGAGCACCTGGCCCCTCTGAGCACCGAAAGCGGCGGGCAGGTCCTTGTACTTCCACTCTTGCACGTCGTTGTAAGCGTCCTTCCATCCGTGGATGAAGCGCTCGATGGTGTAGCCGTTGTTGCAGATGATGAAGATGATGGGGTTCAGCCCGTTGCGCAGCATGGTGCTGACTTCCTGGGCGGTGAGCTGGAAGGAGCCGTCGCCGGTGAAGAGGATGGTGCGCTTGATGCCCTTTTCTTTGGCGGCGAGTGCTGCGCCTTGGCATGCGCCCGTCGCATAGCCGATGCTGCCCCAGAGGACTTGAGAGATAGCCGTGACGTCAGCGGGGAACCTAGTCTCCCAGATACCGAAGTTGGCGGTTCCTGTCTCAGTGATGACAATATCGTTCGGCTGCAACCACTGTCCCAAGCGCGGCCAGAACCAAGCCTGGGTGATGGTGGGCTCGGGTGACATGAGCTCGACCTCAGGGATCTCGTTGTTGGGGTTCGGGCCAACTTCAATGTTCAGCTTGCCCAATTTTGCCGTGACCTTCCTCAGTACGCCGTTCATGCGCACACCAGGATACTCAGAGTATCGGACCTTGACGCCATAGCTGTGGAAGTCGATGGTGTTGAGCTGCGAGACGCGGTATGTGAAGCCTGCAGTGTTGAAGTCGGACTTGATGGCGCCGATGCTGAGAATAAGGTCTGCGGATTCGACACGCTCGCGAACTCCCCTGTTGCTACCGTCGCCTGCGTAGACACCGCCGTAGTTGGGAAGAGTCTCATTCACGGCGCCCTTACCCATGGGTGCGACGAACACAGGTATCTTGGATTTCTCAACAAACTCGTGGACCTCATCCAAGGCGCGGTGACGGATGGCACAGGCATCGACGAGAATGACGGGGTTGCGGGCAGCATGGAGATAGCGCAACACGACGTCGACCACATAGTCTTCCTTCTCCGGATCGTTCGGAGGGTACGCTAGATCTAGCGGTGTATTCAGCCTGTCGCCATCTACCTTCTTCTGGACTATGTCGGTTGGCAGTGCAATGTAGACGGGCCGAGACTTCAGGATGCACTCGCGAATCGCATTGTCGATCAGGGTAGCCGCCTCATGGGAGTCGTTGAGCATCGAGACGGCGCAGGAGATCTGAGCGGACATCTTCGAGAAGACAAGATAGTCGCCATTGCCGAGGGTGTGGTGGAGGAGGAGCCCATCTCTCTGGGCCGCTGTGGTCGGGTATCCGACGATGTGCACGATGGGGACGTATTCGGAGAAGGCACCGGCGAGGGCGTTGACGGCGGACAGCTCGCCCACACCGAAAGTGGTTACGATGGCAGACACGCCCTTGACGCGTGCGTAGCCATCGGCAGCGTAGCCTGCAGATATCAAGTTAGATGTCGCGCATATGGTTGAGAAGCTGTGCTCCGGAGCTTCCGCATGGAGGGGCACGATGAGGGGTAGCGGGAGCGTCACATACCAGCATTGAGCTCGTTGCAATTGCCCACCCAACGCAATCCGACCTTGGAAATGTAGTCGAGAGCGACAAGATTGTAGTCTCCCGGGAGACCATGGACCGACTGCACGCCAACCTGCTTGAGCCGCCGGAAGAGGTACTGTCAACCGTATCAGCGAGGGGCGCGTTCATGTGAAAATCTGTCCACGAAAGCTCACCTCTGCGACGTCAATCGGGTTCTTGAGTGCTTGCGACCTCAGATCGAGTGCCATTGTGTCAATTGGCAGTTGGTTAAGAGTATATGAGGGTGGAAAGCGGTGTTGGGGTGGTGCTGTAGCTGCGGCGGTTGGGCGCGGCTCTCTTAAATAATTGACAGCTATGACGCGCTGGTAACGGAGGTGCAGGGTTAGTCAGGCAGTTTATCAGCTCACATGGCGTGACAGATATGCGTTCAATAACAGCTCGCGCGTAGTAGCACAGAGTGGTAACGGCCTGTGGAGACAGTCGCGGTCGAGAATGCGATTGTGAGACGGCGCAGGTGATTTCCGTCCGCGGATGTAGCTGTCGAGAATTCTGTCCTCTTTTCTTACCCTTCTACGTCCCGATCGGCCACACTTGTTGCAACGGGAACTCAAGCTAAGTGCTCTAGTCTGGCATGTTGAAAGACTGATATGCTAGAGGTTGGTGAGTATGGCTGGACTAGTGAAGGGTGAGAAAAGCAAGTGAAACATTTCGCGATTGGCCGGCGTCTGCGACGCTTGGCAGGCACAATGTATACCGCGCCCGGTAGGGCAAAAGGAAAGGTGCGGTGAGTATAGGGCACCTGGGCATCCTTGGGTGATGGCGAGTCGCTAAAGCGCGTACTGTGCATATGCGATGGTGGTCAGACATCCGGCACGCGAACCCGTGCAGACGGCCGTCCTACAGCGGACCTGCGTGGATGCGCTGAGGAACGGCCTAGTTGAGACGCATCGTCGATACTGTGTAGATACTGCTTTCACGGCAGAAAGAGTGCATCGCAACCGCGATCCGAAACCCGAGTACAAACAAAGGAAAGGGTAGGTTTCGCTGCTGGTGTGGCGGCACCGAGCCGCCGGCCGCTGCCATTCGGCCCAGCGTTTCTCCGCCCGCTGTCCCATCGCTGAGCTGGCCTGGCTGGTGCGCGCTGAGACCGCTGGAGTCGCGACACGCAGCGGAGAGGCAGCGGACAGCTGTCAGACCACACTGGATTCTAGACGTCGCAGAGCCTGGAATACCCGCTGTCTTTCGTCCAGAGACGGTGTTGTGCGGAATCACCACCACTATCGCCTCTCTTGCGGAGTGCAACTGCTCGTGTGCTGCCCGTTCCGACAAATCAAGCCTCACCGGGGCCCGTGCGTACGAACTGCGCACCGCCGCGCAGCCCTCACATCTCACACCAACCCAACCCCAGCCCTCCGCTCGCCAGCCCGTCTTCTCAATCGCTCCCGCGCCGTCCTTGTCCCCCGCCGTTCTGTCCCTCCCATCTCTATCCCCTCGAGCGCGCAGCACCCGCCCGCTGCGTAGCTGCATCCGCCCGTTGTTCGCCTCGGCCCATCCTTGTTGCGCCTAGAGCCTTACCTCGCTGCAAGCGCCGGACCTCCCCAAGAGCTGCGGCCTGCCTTTTTTTGACCTCCGCTTACACCATCCTGCGAGCCTGCATTCCTCCACGGCATTAATAGCTCCCCTCGTTACTGCTACACCGTCTCCTGGCATGTTGGCGTGTGTCTGGACCTCGCAGTGAACCAAAGCGCAGCCGCCCGCTCGACCTTGGCATCAGGCTCCGCTCCCGCCCGCGCACTCGCACACAGCAAAGAGCTCGGAGCGCTCATACCCATACCTTCTTTGAGTCGAGACGACACCGACCGCCGAGTCACCCTTCTGCCGCACCGTCATGCCGTAATGCGCAGACCGCACGTAGATCAAGCTGAGGAGCCCGCCCACGCACCGCTCCAGAAGGCCTAGACATGACAATTGCGTCGCGCCAGCGCTCCTCGTCCAATATCTCGAATACCTCTGATAGATCAGGCCGTCGCGGCCCTCCCACCCCCCTCTCTGCGAGCCGCTCCAACCTTGGCGTGCCCAACGATCTGCTGCTGAACGACGTGCCGAGCGTGGGCTCGCCTGCCTCGTCGCTCCTTATACCCTCCGGCGGAACAAGTTCACCCTATCCGCTGCTGTCGCCGGGGAACAACTCCTACTCGACCAGCCCGCGGGGCCGGGCGCATACCGTTGCGGACCCGAACCTCATACAGCGGCAGCAAAGCTATCTGCAAAAGCCCGTCATGCATCAGTACATCCCCCCACCGCCTCCCCAGCCCACCTCGACGCCCGCTCCTCATAACATCAACAACCTCCCGCCGCCTCCTCCCCGACCCGTCAATACGAACACTCTTGGCGGCATCAATATACCCCCTCCGCCTCAGAACTATGGTTGGGGCGCGCCGCGACAGTACCAGCCTCAGGGCTACAATCCCAGCCTCTATCACAGCTACCAGCCAGGCCTCCCTCCTCCACCGTCTGGGCCGCCACCTCAAACTCAACCGCAACAGCAGGAGGCCCCTTTGACCTCAGCGACATACATTCCAGGCGGAGAGTCATTTGGTCCGGGGGTTGGCATTCCGCCTCTTCACACTTCAAGGCAGTACATCGAGCCGGCCTTTTATCGCGAAGAGAATTATTCTGCCAACACCGAAGGTTCCGCCACCAGCTTTCCTGCACAGGACCAGTATGGTACCAGCACGAGCTATGCCCCGTCTAATCGCAGTCACCTCAATATTCCCACCGACAGAGCCCAGACATATGACTCGCCGGGACCGCCAACCGCCACGCTCCAGAACCCGAACCCACAGGCGCATGGCAGTGTCTACTATCGCACTGAAAGCGCTGGAACAACCCCAATATCGCCGCACGATGCTGCTACACAATGGCCTGCCGAGCGCGTGCAGATGTGGTTGGCCAACAATAGCTTCTCGAGGGATTGGCAGGAGACGTTTAAGGCGTTGGGTCTGGAAGGATCAAGATTCCTCGAAATCGGGAGAGGCCATGGCGGGAAGGGTAACGTTGCTATGATGCACCAGGTCATCTTTCCTCAGCTGGCGAAGCAATGCACCGCAAGTGGAACCGGCTGGGACCAAAACAGAGAGAGGGATGAGGGTCGAAAGCTACGTAGGCTAGTGCGTGCCATTGTGGAGACTGGAAGCTCGAGCAACGTGCGGATGCCGCAACGTGCTGATACTGGAATGACTCTGGCCAGTGCAGGTACAGAGGGGACGCTCGAGAACTCACCCTATCTGGGAACTCGGATGGACTTTGGCTCCACGCCCACAACTGCAGGAGGTGGTGAGGAGAGTCCTGGACGACAAATGCCTTTGAACTCCCCTGCATCTGCTACGGCGCCTAGACGGATATCGACCCAGCGCAACTTCACCGTGCCTGGCCTTGGACCGCCTCCAGACTACAACGAAGCGGCTGGTCGCAGCGAGTATTCCAAGAATGTGCTGCGAGACCTAGACTCGAAAACTAAACGACACAGCCCTAATGCGTCCGGAGAATTTACCCCTTCGTCATTCGGTGCAATGAGCCATCGGGATGCAATGAGGCAAGCAAGCCCGCAGCATAGCCCCGCTCTCCAGTCGGCACGTCTCGCCACCAATGGAAGCCAGCTGAGTGCTGGACTGAGCTCATCTGCTCCGCGATATTATAGTCATCAGCGCGGCAACAGTTCGGAATCGAATTTGTCCACATTTGCGACGGCGGGCTCCATCACAGGAGGATCTGGGCCGCCGTCGGGCAGGTCTTTCGACGGCCGCTCTGAGAGCCGCAACGAGAACCGCAACGAGAGCCGAAGGAATGGATACGACGGCTCTCGGCCCGGGACCGGCATGTCGAGGCACGATAGTGCAGAGATCCCCACGAGTGCGAAAGAACATAAGGGTTTTCTGCCCAAGTTCATGCGACGCGACAAGAAGAAGGATGAGGGTCACCCCTCCCCAGATGATACTAGCCTAGACTCCCCGACCAGTCCTGCGAGCCATCGGCATTTTGCTGGCTTTACCAAGTCGGGCATGAACTCCAGCGAGACGTCGTTGAATGATCGTCCTCCCTCAAGACGCTCCGCTCAAACTGACACAGAAAGCCGGACAATAGGGCGTGGAAGAGGGTCTTCAACCAGGGAAAGCGAACGCAGATTCGCCTTTGTGACGCCCGACGGCTGGAACTACCGGCTCGTGGACGTCTCCGGCGCGACTTCAGCCGCTGCTCTGCGAGAAGTCGTTTGCGAAGAGCTCAATCGGGGCCTGAGCCAGATACCCGGTGTTCAGCTACACCTCACCTCCCCAGGTCAATACGAGCATGACGACCCTCTATCCGACTCAAAGCTGCTGAAAGTTCGCTCGCAGTACGGCAATAGGCTTGGCGATCTAAAGATATTCGTCAAAGTCCCGCGGGAAGCGACCGTACCGCCTTCCGCCGGCTTAGGTGTCTCAATCCCGCCCCCTTCTGGAAAGCCAATAGACGAGGCTACATATGCGCGCCTGAATGCCGACTCACAGCTGGACTCTCCTGATGTTAAATCCGGTGAATCCACTCTGGTCCCTGGGAAGAGTGCCGGTCTACGGAAACTCGCGGAAAGGGACGAGTTGACCCCGGAGGCTGTCGCTGAACGTTTGAATGGCGGTAGCAGAGCACCGGAGCCGTCCTGGGCTGTTGGCGATGATCTGCCCGAAACAGAACGCCAAAGGCTTCTCCAGGCTGCTGAGGAACACCAACGAGAGAACAAACGTAAGCAGGAAGCATATCTCAAGTCTCGCCAAGAGAAGCTCAGAAAGGAGACGTCGCCCAGTCGGTCATCACCTGGGGAGGTCGGCTTCCACAGTCCGGGCGTCATTGATTTTGACGAGCGCCGTGAGTCTCCATATGAAGATAAGAGGCATTTCGATGATCGAAGAAAGAGCAAACAGCTGGTGCCGCTTAGGGAGCCTCCCCCTGTACCTCCAGATTCGAGCACCCTCATTAAAGCCAATTCCCTGTCAAAAAATAAGAAAGACCGGACGTCGTGGCCCGACGGCGAGGACTCTCAAAACAAACGGAGGTCAACCGAGGCAGAGCCTTCGAAGCGAAAAGCCATCCCGCAAGGTCCATCAGCGGGTCTATCCAGCATCGCTGCTGCCATCATTGGTGCCGGCACCGTTGGCAGTTCCGTCGGCGCTGCAAACAAAGCGCCTCCCAAACCGCCCCCGAAGGACTCCGCTCGAGATATCTCCCCTGAAAGTGTTCGTCCGTCGCAGAGAATATTGCAGGAAAGTGGGTTTGGGGGATCTTCAGGTTCCGGTAAGAACAGTCCAGGTGGGTCGCCTCGCAGTCCTGGGTCCCTTACAATGAGCAAAGGCAATGTGCCGTTCACGATACCTGACTATGAGGAAGATGTACCAGACGACGTGTCTCTCGATAGACCAAGTCTCACGCTCAAGATGCCGAGTGCACCGAATCCGACCATCGCGAAGCTCAAGGACGAGCAACACTCTAGAACAAGGTCTCCAGACATTAGCCCTCACTCGGCACATCCGCCAGCATCCACACTATCGAGAGAACCGTCAAGAGTCTCGGTGTATGGGCCCACGCTTGACTTTGAAGAGACACGGGTATCGTTCCATTCTAAATCGCCCATGCTGGCCCCTGTCGATTCGGACGAAGATGATTCCGATGAAGGCTTGTTTGCTATGCCGTTAGCCAAGGCAGGCCCGCCAACTCCCGCTAAGAGTGGCTTCTCGACTCCGAGCGACTCACGCACCCAGCGCCCTTCGCTCACTCTCAAGACCTCGCGATCAAAGAACTCGCTTGACAGGGTGGCGGATAGATCGGGCGAGCACAGTGCAGCCACGGACGAGACGCGCAACTCGCAGCCTAGTGACGCTCATCCGGAATCAGCTGCCTCTGCCACTTGGACGGACTCACCCGATGATACGAATAGATTCATGCGGCGCGAATCGTTTGCCAGCGACCTTTGGGCGAATCGTCCTCCTGCCGAAGCCCTGGTAGAGCACTTAGACGAGTTCTTCCCGAACGTCAACCTTGACCAGCCAATGCTCGAAGAAGACGTAACCGACACAGATGCGTCGACTGAGCTCACTAGCGATTTCTCTAGGGACAGTCGATCGGTTACTCCCATGTCTTCGTTTGAGGATACCGGCACCATGACCTCCACCAACACCGTCCTTAATCGATCCTCCGTCCAATCAATGGCGCAGCGCAACATTAGGAAGTCGGGCGTGGGCCTTGGGCGGACCAAGTCTATTCGCGAGGTTGTCAAGTCCCAATATCAACCTCTCGAGAAGCGGCCTCTCACCGGACAGGGTATCCCAGCGGCCGGTCCCTCCCGCGTTGCTACTCTCCGCGGTGGTGGCGACATTGTGCGAAGGAAGTCGACCAAGATGTTCCACGCAAAGATCGAACAGGTGAAGCCGCCAAGAGGGTCTCGGTTGATCCAGCTGGAGACCATTCCGCAAGACCACTTGCCCTTGCCGCAACGCCAACCCACCTTCAAATGGATGAAGGGTCAGCTCATCGGAAAGGGAACATTCGGGCGTGTCTATCTCGGTATGAACATCACCACCGGTGAGCTGATTGCAGTGAAGCAAGTTGAAGTGAATCCAAAGGCCGCTGGTTCAGACAAGGACAAGATCAAAGAGCTAGTGAAGAGTTTGGACCAGGAGATCGACACGATGCAACATCTGGACCACCCCAACATCGTGCAGTATCTTGGCTGTGAACGCAAAGAATACAGCATCTCCATCTTCCTCGAGTACATTAGCGGTGGCTCGGTCGGATCCTGTATTCGCAAGCACGGTAAATTCGAGGAATGTGTGGTCAGCTCTCTTACCAGGCAGACCCTGTGTGGTCTGTCGTACCTACACAGAGAGGGTATCCTGCACCGCGACCTCAAGGCCGACAATATCCTCCTCGATCTGGACGGCACTTGCAAGATCTCTGATTTCGGTATTTCCAAGAAGACTGATAACATCTACGGCAACGATATCACGAACAGCATGCAAGGCTCCGTCTTCTGGATGGCACCCGAGGTTATCCGTTCGCAAGGTCAGGGCTACTCCGCCAAGGTCGACATTTGGTCGCTCGGCTGCGTGGTGCTCGAGATGTTCGCTGGAAAGCGACCTTGGTCCAAGGAAGAGGCTATCGGCGCAATCTACAAGCTTGGCAGTTTGAACCAAGCTCCTCCTATCCCCGAGGACGTCTCTAGAGTCATTGGGGTGGAGGGCCTGAGCTTCATGTACGACTGCTTCACGATGTAAGTTGCATCCTTATTCCCCGTTGCGATCAGTGGCTGACTACACGCAGTGACCCCGCCGAACGTCCCACTGCCGAGACGTTGCTCCGCTCACCCTTCTGCTTCCTGGATCCCAACTACAATTTTCTCGACACCGAACTGTACGCCAAGATCAGAGGCGCCTTCCAGTAAAGCCTCCATCCAGCATATACCCCTCGCATATATACTTCTCCTACACTATCTATCTAACGGCCTCTCTTTCAAAACCCCGTCGACACGCACATATACCCACTTTGGCGGTCGCTTGTACTTCTCTTTTGTCCTTCTGCCTGGCTTGCATGCCTGTTCTGTTGTTAACGACTACGACTTTCTTATATCTTGATGTTGAGCGTGGCGTTTTGTGTTGTGGGCGGAGCGCGCTCGCTCGTGCCTTCGCATGCGGGTTTCGGGGATTGAAGCGGGATCTGTGGGTGGAGGAATGGGATGGGATGGGATGGGGAGCAGGTTTTCGCGGCTAACCGACCTTTGTCTATGTGTAGACGGACACCCATCGGGTGACGCGGTGTGGCGCGCCATGGGTAGTGCGCAGAGCAGGAAACCGGATTTTATATAGATGTAGTTGTTGTCGTTTCCGCGGTAGACTCCTCGCCTGCCTGGGTTGGGTTTTGCGGGCTAGGTGGGGGGCGGAGACACGGAAATGAAATGATACCATTGCTTGTTGTTGATGATGAGAGATTAGATGCTGCTTCTGTTTGTCTGTCTGGGTGACTATGTTTTCCCCCTCAATCGACTATTCTATTCATTCACTTAACATCTCGTCCATCTATAGCCATATCTCCTAGCTGAAAGTCTCGAAACACGGTCCGTATACGAGATCTACCAGTGGGTGGATGGGTGGGTGCCATGCCGTTCGTATTTAAAGGTCGGTGGTCGGTCGGTCGGTCGGTTGCGTGAGGTGTTGGATTTAAACTCTGACAGATTCAGATTTACCGGGGTAGTTATCGGGCAGAAATAGCCGCAGGAGGTTGCAAGGTTGGAAGTTTGGAATTTCTTTTCTTAACGCGCTGGGAACCGTGGATTGGGACTTCTATTTCATTTTTGGGAGTGCTGGGTTGGGTTGGGGATTGGATTGGATTGGATTGATTTATGTATTTATTTATTTATTTATTTATTTATTTATTTATTTATTTATTTATTTATTTATTTATTTATTTATTTATTTATTTATTTATTTATTTATTTAT